CAAATTATTTCTCGATGGGTACGATCCAATAAATGCTTATAATTCATGTCGATTGTAACAGTTCGCAATCGTTGAAATATCTCCAATTGACCCTTATTAAAGCATATAATCATGAAGTTAATCCCGTCCTGGTAAATGTCTTGAACGTACTAAGACAATTAGCAAATAATTATTAATTAATTAATTTATAATTGATTAATAATTAATTATAAATTAATTTGCGGTACGTACTTGATCTGGGCTGTCCCTTTGAAGTTCGAATTTTCGTTGTACGGCTAAAATACTTGATCCTAATGGGTAATGGATCATTTTCGACAGCCGAATCATATATCGAATGGTAGATAGATTGTTAAGAGAAGGGTGATTTTTTTCCAAATCTTTCCATTCTTTAACTGCAGGGTTACTTAAAAACATAGCTTTGATAAATTTTATTAGTATTTGATTGTAAATTGATTGTTAATTAATAAAAACTTAGTTTAGTTAATTTGAAATACGTTTGTAAAAAATATTTGTCCTTACCTGCAGTTAATCGTGGATTTTTCATAGATGCAATTAAATCCATTCCGCGTTTCATGGTGTCTTTTTTCATTTTACTAGGTGGCGGCAAGGGATGACAATGGATACCGGTGCAAACCACTGCGATATAAGGAATCAAGTCTAAATCAACTGGAATTATAACTTCAAATCGGCAGTTACACGAAGCAGGTTTTATTAACCCCCTTCCTTGCGGATGGTCAAAGCCTAATAAATTAAATATCAATTAGAAATCAATTAGAAATCGATTAGAGATCGATTAGAGATTTCACTTACAACATTTCTTTTGGTGCTTTTGATTGTGTTGCACATACGAGCATTGCCCTGGTTCAATATCGTCGGTATTATTTAAAATCCTTTGAATCAAGTCAATTTCGGAGTTGTATTTCCGGTCAATAAAACGATAGCAATGTTGTATGCTTGATGGCGTTTGAGAATGCGGCGTTGAATTAATACAGCGAAGTATATAATAAGGAATCCCCGAAATAGTCTATAATTAATTAATAATGAATTATTCATTAATTTATATTTAATAAGTACTTACTTCAGGTTCTATTTGTATTTCTAATCTGCAGGTCGGTAAAAACGGTTTGCATGTTTTTTTATCTTCGAAATCACTTATGTGTGCGCGAATATACCTAAATAGAATTAGTAATTAAATATTAATCAATTAAGAATTGAATAGAAATTAATTAACAACTCATTCAAGTTATTATTTCGACCTATCAGTTCTTTTAAATGGAGTAAATAATAATATTACTTACGTGATTGCTTCCATTCCGGCCTGTTGTTGTAGCTTTTCTTCAATATCGCGTTGAATTTTGGCTTTCTTATCCCAAAGCTCATCAGTTACGGCTGTATATGATTGATTTCGAAGCTCTGGATGAAGATATTCGCAACATTTTACACCAGTGCATTTATATGACAGTCGATAAACCGGCGAGTACTCAAAAAATACGGAGGTTGAACGTCTTGTATTTCCATGTTTGGCCCTGCAAAATTCGACCTAAATGAATTAGCAAACAGTTTAAAAGTAATTAAAGATCGATTAAAGATCAATTAAGAATCAATTAAGAACCAATCAAAAATCAATTAAAAAATGTAGTACCTCGTCCATGATTTTTTGGGGATTTTCTTGGGTGCTTTTATCCTTCCAACTTATCACGTAACAAGTGCCATTAATGCTTGTTTCAGGGTAATTTGGCATCGCTGGAACCCATACGAACGTTTCAGCTCTTAGAGCAGTACCATTCAACACTGAATCGGCCGAAGATAATAACGTTAAATCGTCTGGATCATCGTTATTTGGCACTACGTGAGCCTCGGGCTATTGTTAATTAATCAGTAATTGATTATTAATGAATTATTAATTCATTTGTAATTAACTTTTCCTCCGGTTTTTTTCTTTACTTACCCTCTCTTCTTCGACAATATTCGCGTAAAATAGACGGCCTAAAGCTGTCAGTTCTTCTATTTCTTGGCGAATTGAAGGTTGATTACGATTTGCTTCGTGAATCGTATCGTTCCAAGGTAAGCCTGCAGTGATTTCTTCGTTTTCTAGCTGTTCGAGGTCTAAGTCAACCAAAGGGGTACGAGGGACAGAATTCATCTTCAATTGATTAGTAATCAATTGGATTAAGAGCAAGATGTGTAAAATGTTGAACTTTGTGATAGATGTAATCATTTTCTCAAAGTTGTGTTGCAATTGATTAGTAATTAATTGTTAATTTTTCGTTCTCGAAAAATTATTTGCAAGGTTGAAAAGTTCTAAGTTTGAAAATTGAGAAAATAAACCTTAAGAGACAAAAAGTTGAACCCAAGTGCCAAAAAAAACAGTTGAGCCCAAGTGCCTGTCCGAATGAGGTATAGTCGTCGTCCCAAAATGGGGGGAGTTTGAGGTGATCAACAGGGGGGCACTTGGGTTCATGTACATCCTCGCTATGCCCCTAACCAGAGATGAAGAGATGCGGCTCCCCTTGGTAGCTTGGTAGCGTCTTTAGCAGCTTAGCTGTAGACTAGGTTAGTTACTGTATTTCTATTTTCCTCCTCGGCCATCTGGTAAGATTCCTTTAGAGCGTAAGAGGAGGGTGATATTTAGATATTATCGTGATATTATTACTTTCTCTTTCAGCTGGGTGGGAAGCACTACCTATATAAAATATTATTATTATTACTATCCATGCTGCCATGAAATATTTAGGCACTTAATATGCTGTAGAGTTGTAGTTGATCTAGGGACCCCTGTGGTGATCATTAATATATACGTACCAATGTTGCATTTGTTAAAGCATTGGTCGCTTTTATGTAGTTATGTAGTTATGCAGCGAAATGTTCAAATCCCAAAATCGTTGTCTCCAATTCATCAGAGTGAACTGTCAAAAAAAAAGAAGTGGAAAGAAAAAGATAAACATCCAAATTCTTTTTTCATCTTCATCTTCATCTTCATCTTCTTTACCCCAGTATTTCTTCGCCAATCCGAAACAACCCCGTAAATACCCAAAACTACAGATAGATCTTCAGCTTTGTGGAGTTTCCCCAGACCTATCTTGACGGTTTCCGTGTGAATTGGTAGCGAAGACGGTCCGACTCGGTTCCATTATTCAACCAAAAAAGCGACGCTGCGAGCTGCGACTTGCGAGCTGCGACACCGGGATTGATTGGCTCAAGTTGTCTTGGTTCTCTGGGGTATCGATAATAATAACCGATTATCTTTGCCGTATGTAATTGGGTGCCGACATTGAATCATTGATAAGCTTAAGCTTGTCGAATTTGATGCATATGTAAGTGACGAATCTTTTCTTTTTTGTTTTGGTCTTTTCCCTTTTCTTCCTTTCTTTTCCTTTTTTTGCTGTTTCTAGTATTCTAACTACTACCTAAATAATTATGTAATTATGTAATTATGCAATGTTTTTCACAATGACTCGGCATTACATGGATGTTATTGATTGATGAAACGGACAAGAGCGAAGGCAAATCCTTGGAAGTTGATCAACATTCGGCACAACTAAATTCCAACTAGTACCTTAGTATCTTTCTGGTTCCTGCTCCGTCCCTACCGAGGCCGCTAACCAACGGCGGCGCCGCGGGCGAATGTTAAATTTTGCTTCCCGCACGTTTAGCGCAACTCCTCTGTAATTGTACCAGCGACCTGAATTATTTCGGATGACCACATGGCAAGTGGGTGGCAGTTAACAAATCACCCCAGAATTACTAATCCCAGTCACGAGAAACAGAAGAAAAAGTAGATGCAAATGGTAACAACTACTAACAAGTCTAGAAGCACCTTAACTTTAAATTCTCTAATAACTACTGTGTCATGTGCCTAATTACTACTATAGTTATGCATTATGTAATACAATCACGGGACAAACGAAAGAAGCAGAAAAGCTTGCAGCAAAACGGAGCACTCTCACTCTCCTTCTTTCTTTCTTTTCTTTCTTCTTTTTGAGAATGGCCTAACATTCCGTACAAATTACAAGTACATTTGAATTTCCCGGCCACATGACAGCCTTCAATTGGTTTGGTTTCGGTTTCTTCGGTATTGTGTATACCTACATACTCCATCCATGCCTACCTACCTACCTACCTACAGACTCAGTTACAGTACCTAGGTCAGTATACTGAGTAGGTGGCGGTGGTGGTGGCATGTTATGACGACGAGTAACGAAGTTCCTGTTCCTCCCTGATCTGATGTCCTTCCTCAACCTGCCTCCCTGCCTGCCTGCAAAAAAAAAAAAAAAGGTGACGGCCTAGAAACTTTGGAACATCTACATATTGGCACGCCCTTCTTTCTCTCTTTCAAAATATTCATCCTTGATGTCCTCCTCCTCCTCCTCCTACTCCTATATGTTAGGTAGGTAGGCAGGTTACCAAATAAATAAAAACAAGCAAAAGCAAAAGCAAACGCCCATTTCCGTTTCGACGACCCGTTTTGCGAAACTGCAAACCCATCCAACTCCCCCGGCTCCGCATCAAACGCCGAACACAATGCAAGACGCAAGAGGGAAGAAAAGCAAAAGCAAAACAAAATAGTATGTCATCGTTTGTTTCTTTATTTCGTTTGTTCATTTAGTTAGTTATGGTTGGTTGGCTGGCTGGCTGGCTGGCCAACTAGCGGTCCGGCTGGCTGGCTAGCTGCGCCGTCATCAAACGTTGAAGCTTCGACATGGCCATTTTCATCGTTACATACATACATACATACATATACGTATGGTAAGTTAATAAACATTGAACCCAGTTTAGGTACGTAGGCTGGTACATAGGTAAGATAGGTATACCTAGTACCCAGTAGGTAGGTAGGGTATAACCTTTTAACGTAGTAGTGGTAATGGCATGCAGTACATCAATTGTGTAGGTATGCATGCAGCGAGTATGGTGAAGAAGTAAGGTGGGTACATAGGTGATAGGGGAGCAAGTACGTAAAGTAGTCAGTCGAGATGCAGTCTTCTCATAAATCGATCTTCGTAGCGTCGATCATCTCCATTAGAAATAAAGTCGTAAGTACGTACGTAGGTAAGCACGGTCGTAAACCACGTGCCACGGGCCTTTCTTTGCGTAATACGTGTGTGTATGTGTGTGGGGGGGGGTATATTGTGTCGTACTGATATCATTGAACGTTGCAATAAACAATGCAGGCTTTTGGGGATATTATATATATACCGAACGGACCAGGCCAGGCCACGTTCAGATGCAGATCCACTCCGCAAAAACGCACCACCTGGCCGTGCGGTCCGCGAGCACCAGTCCGCGCCAGACGCCGCGCTCAGAGCACTTGATGATCGTCTCCCACGTGCCTCCGTCGCTCGCCTCCTCGTCGCCGCTCGCATTGCTGCGACTGCCGACCCCAACACCGATGCCGGAGCGTCCGTTGCCGCCGCGGTCTTCCTTGCGCATGAGCCTCAGGATCTTGCCGCCGGGCGTCTGGATCGCGAGCTTCGCGGGCTTCTTCCCCGCGATGCTGCCGGTGGCGGAGCTCGGGTTGGACGCCGCGGCGCTGCTGCTCGTCATGCTCATAGCGCTGCCGGGGCGCATCGACGGCACGGGGCTCGACCCGCCTCCTCCTGCGTTGCTGATACTGCTATTGCCGCCCGCTGGACTGGATGGGTGCTGGCGGATGGCGAAGACGAAGGTGTTGTTGAGCGCGAGGCGCTGGCACTGCGGCTGCGCGACGTAGATGTCGTGGCGCTGGGCGTGTGGGGTGGGGTGGCGCGTGACGAACTCGTAGGGGGGGTTCTCGCCCGTGTGGATGATCGGCAGCGCGAAGGCGAGCGGGTGCGGGATATCCTTGATGCTGTGCATGAGGCCGCGCTTGCCGGCATATACTTTCAGTATGCCGCTGCCCTCGTCGCCGGGCAGCAGCGCTTTCACGGTGTACCGCTTGGTGCCGCCGTACCAGTCAGCCTGCGCGAGCGCGCGCTTCTTGACAACCTCGCCGTTCTCGAAGAAGTCGCCGTCGGCGTCGCGCGTGAACCCGCGCACCTCGACCTCGGCGGCGACCTCGATGTCTGCGGGGACGTTGAACTTGATGTGCACCATCTCGAGGTCCTCGATGCGCGTCAGCGACGTGTTGAAGTCGACCATCTGGATCTCCTGCTTGAAGAAGGGCGGGCACGCGCCGGGCAGGTTGAGCAGCGTCTCGTGCGCCACGGGCGGGCAGATGTGCTGCTGGCTGTGGTGCTCCGAGATGTGCGTCCAGCAGAGCTCGCTGGGCCGCGTGAGGAACCACCAGTACTCGGCGCTCGCGCTGTTGGTGCTCGAGTAGAGGGCGCGGCGCGGGTTCGAGGGGCTGGCGAGGCAGCAGTCCATCATGCGCCACTCGCTGTCGATGATGATCGCGTTCCACCAGTGGTTCGACCGAGGCATGATGCCGGTTTCGGGAACTTCTCCGGGCGTCTTGAGGTAACCGCGGATCACCTCCGAGTGGATGCCGATCGCGGCACACATCTCGTGAACTAGAACGGCATATTCTTCGGCGCACGCTCGCTTTGACTGGATTACTCGCCTCGTATCCACTTCCCCTTCAAAGTCTTCGTCCCAGTTGATCTTCTCCGCAACCCAAGTAAAGATGGCTCGGAGGCGCTGGACATCGCTTCGGTACGGTCTACAAACATAGGTTGTCGCGAGAGTAACCGCAGTCGTCATGGTCGGTAGACTGGTTAGGAACCGTGAGTTCTTGTCCACTTGACTCAGGTTGATAGCTTGATAGTTGATCGGATCGCGGACTGGGTCACCGTTGGCGCTTTCGTCCCCTTCCACGCTGTCGTAGAATTCATCGACGGGATCTATTGCCGGATAATCCAGCATCAGACAACGGTCGCGTCGCTCACTTTGTTCATTTTTGGACAGCGTGTTCGAACGGTTCACATCCCGTCGTACCTGGACCCAATCCACGCCGTTCCCAAGTCCCATGTCGGTGGCCGGGTCTCGTAACAGGTTCGGGGCACTAACTCCTCCTGTAATAGCCGTGGCCCCATGATGCATCGATCGCCTGTTTGACGCAGCCTGCCCGGAACCGGCGCCGGTCGCAATACTACTGCGACCGCTTGCCACGCCAGTCTTCGTCGCTTCTAGAATTCTCTTAATAAAATTCTGCTTCTTCGGCTTCACCGCCCCGGGCTGCACGAGACCTCCCACAGCGGCAATTCCGTCCTCGTGGAAGCCGCCCTGAGACGGAGGCCGCATAGCCGAAGTGGAATGGCTGGGGTGGTAAGATACCCCCGTAAAGGGCGTAGTCGGCCTGTTCGCATCCCAATCGTCATCGACATCTCGGAAACCGAGGGCACTCCGCGCTCGTTGGTGTTTCCTAGCCAGGCTACCAGCGCTAGTAGCACTGATTCCGCCTGCCGAGGTGCCACTCATTATACTCCTGTTGGTGTTGGTTGTGGCAGTGCTTCGGGTACCGGAAGACGCATTGGTAGAAGTCGTCTTAGTAGTGCTTGTTCTATCCAACTGTCCGACGTCATAATTCGACTTTTGTCTGCGCAAGAACTTACGTTCGCCAAAAGCCCGGTCAGCCAGTGAGGACTTGGGCCTGCTATACAGTGGATTCTTAGGTGGTGGCGGCGGTGGCGGCGAGGCTGGGTCCTCCATACGACTATGACTATGAGTTGCCTCCGCGCTCGAGCTTTTGTGGTGCATCCTTCGAAGACGACTTTCCATTCTTTCCACATAATTGTTCAGCTGCGGGAGTGGTTGTTCTTGTGGTTGGAACCCAGGTTGGAGCGCGCTATGCTGTGATGAATCACCGTCAAACGATCCATAACCCGAATCTTGAAATGGCAATCCCATGGCAGTCAACGGTCTGCCTTGTCCCTTCTTTTTCGACCGATGATGGACTAGGTCGAATGATTCCGGCGACCACGGACCCAGTTGTGGTTCCGGAGAGTCGCTCCCGCGCTTCATACCTAACGCGTCTAACTGCTCGATTACGCCATCCATAGCTTCGCGCAATGGCGAGGGGGTAAATCCATCTCCACCTGGGGAGTGGGGTGCTGGGGAAGGACCCCGCGGCGTATGATATCCTTCTTGTGGGAGTCGACTGTCGTAAGATGCACGTGACGCGTTCGAATTTCCCCTGGCGACGTGACGATGTGGAGGGGGGGCTGGTGGTGGAGGAGAGTCGCGCTCCGCTCCGGGCCGGTACGGCTTAAAACTAAATGACGGGGCTGGTGATGGTGCCCTTGAGCCGTAATTGTGCATAGGAGATGGGACCGGTGATGGTCCTCGTTGATAATTATAGTTTTGTGGCGGAATAGGGGAAGGGGTTCTATTAGAGTTGTTGTATGGCTTCATCGAAGGCGCGGGAGACGCAGCTCTAGGTTTGTAAGTGTGCGCTGGGGGTGCAGGTGATGGTCCCCTCGAGCCCTGGCCCTGCATCTCGAATGGTGATGGACCACGGTCAACGCCATGTTGTGCTGCGCTCCTAAATGAACTAGCCGAGTTCTGTCTAGAACTATGTTTCGGTGGTGTGTTGGATACGTCCCGTATTATTTCAGGTTGTTTTGCTGTGGTATAGTGAGGTGCTTTCGCATAAGCCTCGAATGGCTTGCGGAAAATTCGCGACTTCGATTTATGAGGCGCGTTTGTGGGACTCGGGGTATTCGAAGTCAACGGACTTGCTGATCTGGTGATAGGTCGAAAATTGTCTGGCAATACCTCGACAAAGTTTGATGGGAAGACACCAACGGTCTTGTTGCGCCGTAACCTGCCCGTCCACCACGATCCATCTCCCGCATTCAAGCATTCTATTAAATCTCCCTCGATGAAGCCCAGATCGTGTTGCGACTAATATGGAGGTTAGCAAAAAAGGAAAAATAGAGCAAAACAGATATACCGCAAAATCGCAAATACAATAACACAAGGAAAAAAACCACCCAAAATCAAAAATCAACAAATCAACAAAATAATTCATACCTCTCCCCCCCAAGAATAAACAGCTCTGCACCAGCACGGAAACCGCGTGGGAAGCGGCGGTGCTGACCCCATTTTGGCGATAATCGTGATGCAGGTACTCGTCTATTCGCCAGTTTGGATAGGCGGGCGTTGGTGCAAATCGGTTCAAAACTTAGAGGATTCTGAGTTTATTCTGATTCCTGTACAGCCGTATCCGGTGGTTGCTGCAAGGCGATGGAGTAAATACGCAGGAAAAAAAGGTTGATAGCATATGAGGCGGTGTAAATTGTTCGTAGGTATGCAGCCAGATGGATCAACAATGACGGGTGCAATAGTAAATGCTGAATTATTATTGACGGCTAAAAAGCGTCTAAGCAATTCAGAGTAAGAGTAAGAGGGGGCAGTGGGAATTGTGTAAGTTAGCTGGTACTCTATGTAGGAGTTAATTGGAGGTACTTTGTGGTTGCAGGCGCAAAAAGGGTAGTAAGTGGTGACAAGTGTTGTCAAGTGGTGTAAGTGGTAGTGCAAGTGGTGAGTAAAGATGGTAAGATAGCCCGGAAGGGAATCTGTAATCTCTGTAATCTGGAGAATGCCAACACACCAAGTTAGATCGGTCAATTGTGATTGGGATAATTGAAAATAATTCTGGTCAATAATTGCGATTTAGTATTAGAAGCTCGGGGCGGTATTGGGGCAGGTTGCAGTTTAGGTAGTTTAGGTAACTTGGCACTACCATCGTATGAAAACAGAGGGGTCCCCAGTTTTGGTTGCCAGGTAACGCCCGAGCTTCGGGTTCCATAAAATAGAGTGGATAATATTTCCGTTTGTGTCTGCCGCACAGGGGGATTACCCAGGTACGCTAGTACTACATGGTACCTAGTGCATACTCCAGGGCTGTTTGTACAACCTACCAAGGCTGCTAGGCTACTATTTTACTGGCCTACCCTAGGTAGGTCGTACTAAACTCAATTACTTCAGGGCGGTTGCAGATAGTCCAAGCTCCTCAGCCCGCCACAACATTTATCAACATTGAAAAGAGGCTAAGGTGTGTCAACGGTAACATGGAACTCTATGTACGCCGTAGTTATGAATAACATTTGAAGGTTTGGATGCTATTCATATCATCGTTTACATGCAATATTTAACTACTATAATTGTACCATACAAATAATGTATGGAAGGCCCTTTTCTCCTTAAAAGTTATGTTGATATCAATAGTTATCCATGGATCCTAAATGTTGTTGTTGTCAATCGATTTCCCCTCTTTCTCCCTTCTTACGTACCCAACTGGGCATCTTTTTATAGCTCTAGTGCAAATCATTCAAGACATGCATGAGATATAGGTAGTATTCAATACGATCATTTGAAACATACAATTATGTCACCTGCTTAGAAACAACATCAATGATTGAACATCAAGTGAGAATGATGGAGTACGGGGTAAGGTACCTAGCAGTTACCCAAGTTACCCATGAATATCAACTCAAGACTTGATTGATGAACAAGCTTGTTTACCTTATGCCCCATTCACAAATCAGAATCCTGGGATTCATCTTGCATGTACATACATAAGTACTAATGTAGGTACATGTACGGTAGTGCAGCCTCTGGTGCAGTGGTGCGTCTGGTATGTAAGTGATACTTACATATGTACATATGTAGTGCTAGAACATGCTTAATGCGTCTCTTGCGTGCTTTTAACAGTAGCATATGTATTGCCCCTGGGACTGTGCATGTGTTTATCTTCTTGATTACATGATGTGCCTACCTACATACACATGCATCATTGATGCATTTATGTTCTTTTGGAGCTATCCACCATGAGAAGCATCGTGAACTTCAATTACACCATATCAGGTCCATACATATGTACAATACATGTACCTACAATTATGTATTACATATGTACTAGTAGTACTAGGTACCTAGGTAGTTACCTAGTACCGACTTTGTACAACATAATCCATGAAATGCGACTGCTAATAATAATACTGATAACCTAAATTAGGTCTCCATAACCTTGGAGTCCACGGATAAGTAAGTTCCCTCTGATAAGTTATACGCTACCCCTAAAGCGGCAGTCTATTGTTGGTCATAGCTCCAAAGGAGCTTTACTACGTAGTACACCCTGACAACCACAAACCCAGCCGGCCTTCTCTTCAGCTCTCTCCAGCCTTCCTCTACAACAATCCAATAATAATTACGATAATTACCTATTTACAACCAATTCCTTTCTATCAATCGCAGACCAATTTACCAGAGTAACAGATTGCCTACATGCACTTATCATATTTAGATAATTGCTGTCCCTACGTCAATTGTCGCAAGTCTTTAAGCTGCTTTCCTGCCCTCGCAACCCCTAGTTACTTACTAGGCTAGGTTTACTTACAATCCAATTCGCTTTTGCATCAATTACATCAATCATTCGTTCATGCTAAGTAAACGATACATACCTATCTTTTACAATTGCGCTGTGGAACCTTACCCTCTATTCCCTGAGCACTTAGCTTAGCTCTCTAGCTAACTTTGCTGCCGTCAAATTCGGGTTCCATCCATCGCTGTCGCTACCTTTTGGTCTCTGCCTTTGCACTCTCGTGTTGAAAATCAGTCTCCAAGTGCGACAGCCGTGGTTCCCCCAGCAATATGAGCAACATGGGCAACATGGGCACCGAGGCTATCGCAAGCCATTATCAGGTTCTTGAAGAACTTGGCCGTGCGTCATACCCTTGCCCTCACCTTGTAACATGCATCGTGAGAAACACTTACTAATTCTATTTGTCTCCTCCAGGTGGCAGCTTTGGAGTGGTTTACAAAGGCATCGAAAAGGCCACCGGCGAAGTCGTTGCTATCAAACATGTAGGTCACAGTCAACAAACAAAAACAACCCAACTAACCCATTTAACCTACCTAGGTATACTACCTAGTAGCCCATGTAACCGCGCTAACTTGTGCTTGGATAGATCGATCTTGAATCTACTGAAGATGATATCCAGGATATCCAGGCCGAGATCTCGGTTCTGAGTACTTGCGCTAGCTCGTACGTAACGCAGTACAAGGCTAGTTTCTTGCGAGGGACTAAGCTTTGGATCGTAATGGAATACCTAGGAGGTGGATCCTGTCTTGACCTGGTAATATATCACAATCGCCACAATATAACCCTTTCGCAAATTACAGCATCTGACCTGTCATTCTTTCCAGCTCAAACCCGAACCGTCTGTGTTCAGCGAGACGCACATCGCCATCATCTGTCGCGAACTGCTTCGCGGCCTCGAATATCTCCATGCCGAAGGCAAGATCCACAGAGATATCAAGGCCGCCAATGTCCTTCTCTCCGAGTCGGGCAAAGTCAAGCTGGCTGACTTTGGAGTGGCGGCACAGTTGACAAACATGAAGTCGCAGCGGAACACGTTCGTGGGAACACCCTTTTGGATGGCGCCTGAAGTGATTCAGCAAGCTGGGTATGATTTTAAGGCAGATATCTGGTCTTTAGGAATCACCGCTATTGAAATGGCCAACGGGGAGCCTCCACATGCTAATCTCCATCCCATGAAGGCCTTGTTTCAAATCCCGAAGAACTCCCCACCCAAGCTCGAGGGTAATTTCTCTAGGGACTTCAAGGACTTCGTATCCCAGTGTCTTATGAAAGACCCAGATCGCCGACCTTCCGCGAAAGAGCTGCTCAAGCATAGATTCGTTAGGGCCTCTGGAAAAGTCGAAGCATTGCAAGAATTAATCGAACGACGACGGAAATATGATGCCACGAAGACCAAAAAGAAGAGCCGAACTTTCTACCAGGAGACACTGCAAGACCTATCGCCTAGGGATGATAGGGATGAATGGGTTTTCGACACAGTTCGATCAGTGGCCCCTAAGAAACCCACGATCAAGTCACGCAAGCCGTCATCGATATTTTCTACTGAAGAAGCCTTGCGCAGAATGGATATCAAGGATGCTCCGTTGCAACCGTCTTCGCCAGCCCCCGTCACCATGCGCAAGGCCACGATGCGAAGACAATCCTCCCTCGCCCAGATGTCGGTCACTGGGTCTGTTCGTGGCCCGCCTACCCCTGCGCTCAGACGTCCCCTACAGCCAGACATGTCCTTTGGCAATACGGGCTCTTCCAATCGCATCTTTCGCCGAGTACCCTCGGATTGCTCCACCTCTGGCCAAGTCTCTCCACTCAGCTCAGTGAACACCATGGTGGATGAGAACAACTATTATCCTAGCAACACCGTTGACGCCACGAACAAAGAAGGAATCCTAGGACGCCGCCTCTACGCACGGGCCGTGGAGCCCACTCTCGCCGAACTCCACGCGCAGACATCCAGCATGGCTAAGCGCGAGGCTCTGGGAAAGCTATCGGACGCGCTTGCGCTGCTCGACTCCGTAGATCCCGAAGGTGCTTACCACCTCCTGCGCAATCTGAACAACGCCGTCTCGCAAGATGCCCGGCTGGCCAACGCATTCCTGCCCAACAACAACACCAGTGGTGGCGGTAACTCTCCTCTAAGCCTAAAGAGCCCCGTCTCTCCCACTTCCCAGAGCACGGTGATAGTCAAGGGCGCGCCCATGACGCCGTCAGCGGTGAGCCATCCAAGCCAAAACCCCACGAAGCTGGTCCTCGCGTCCAACAACCCCCACCTGAAGAGTCACCGCCGACGACAGGAGAGCGTGGCGATTGGCGGCGGCGGTCTCGGCCTAAACGGAAGTCCCGACAAGGCTTCGCGCCTTGACAGAGACCAGGAGAAGGCCGCGCTGCAGATGAAGTACCCCGGCCGCGAGGGCCAGCCCGGTATGGAGCACTGCAAGCAGCTATCTGATGTCCTTTATGGTCGTTGGGTCGATGGACTGCGTTTGCGATGGCCGGGTGTTTGAGCGGGGCCTGCGTAGGTAAAGGAGTCTCATTGACTGACTTTCCCTATGTAAGGAATTCCATCATCCTATCGACTAGCATGAAGTGTAAATGAGCCTATCTTGCCTCCATCGGGTAGGTAAGGCAGCTAATTTGTGAACGTGTAAGATTACGAAGGAAGAAGAACCCCCCCAAAGCCAAGTGGCTCTAATTAATATGGAAACGGATGCTATGTACGAGCAAATGGGTACGAAGTTGCGCATTGAACGAATGGCGACGTCAGCATACAAATAAATAACCACACAAACAAGCAGGCAGGCAGGCAAGGGTGGAGAAAGAGGAATAGGAAGAAGTTGATCGTTCGATTACTCCTTCCCCTTTCTCTGTTTCTCTCTTGTCTCTGTCTCTGTCTCTGTCTCTAATGGCTTTTTTGATTGATTTTTGGGCCACTGGAGGTATTCGGGGTTAGCAAGCAATAGGGGAGTTCAGTCATGATCTTTCCGCATTTCAGGGATCGGGGTGTTGGGAGTCTGGTGCTTGGTGCTGGGTGTTAGGGCTTAAGGGGGTGGGTGGAAGGGGAGAATTCCTCGGCTATCTGACTTACCCTGCTGGCTTACCTAGGTGCCTACCTACCTAGGTAGCCCAGCTGCATTGTAAAGGTGTTTTTGCGTGGCTGCATTCGTATTGTGCGTGGTAAATTATGTAGGTATGCCTACCTACCTACCTAACTTTACCTACCTACCTAGTAAAGAGGCAGATTTGTCGAAAGAAGTGGGATCCATGGATTTGATTTGTCTAGGGCCTTGAGGGCTTTTGTTGTAAGGGGACAAGGTAGATAGATACCTAGGTTAGGTAACCTGGTAGCTAAGTACTGTACCCGAAATACCAATACCAATGTTGTAATCTTGTTAAATACCTATATATGGATGCCTAGTCAGTAAGGAAGGATGTGAGGAAGGAATTAAGTGTGTGCCAGGCTTTGGGTTGGCTGGATCTAGAGTGGCGGATTAGGCAGGTAGGCAGGCTACGAAGTGAACGGGCTGCTGTTTTCAGGATAGGTAGGTAGGTAGGTATATGTGGATGACTGGATTGATGTTCTTAGGATGGTTGTCATCGTGATGGCTGCGTAGGAAGAAAGATAATACTCGCAAGCTGCTTCCCTAGGCACTATACCATGTAAGTCTATTATTTCTCAGGAGTTGGTTTAACGGTCACGAGCCCAAGCTAAGCCACCAAGTTACAACAAGATTTAGTTAGGTACAAACATTATTTAAATCGGATTTTTGAACACTTCTGTGTTTAGTAACATGTAACATGCACGGGTCTATGGAGAAAAAAAATGAATGGTTGGGGAGATCACTTTTTATTCCAGCCCCTTTGTATCTATCCCACAGGGGCTATCTAAGGCAGGTAAGCTACCTAACGAGGGTATGTATGGATGTATGTATGTGTCTATGTATATGTATAGCGAAGGTATCAGTGTAGGTAAGTATGTCCTGCCTCCGTCTAAATGGGTATATAGTGTGTACAGCGAATGAATATTTACAGTTGAAGTCAGTGGGTGAGTATGTCCAACCCGCAGAGGGAGGCAAAGTATATACAAGAAGAGAAAGATATGGCATGTGCATGTGTATGCCTCAGACCACATGCCACGAAAAAAAAAAACGAACGGAAAGCGACCTTGTGAATAGTCGCAGTGCCTGTAGCTCATCGGGAATAGCTCGTCCAACGAGCTTTGACTAGATGGGGTAGGTAGGTAGGTATGTATGTACGGGAGGTTGTCCCAAGTGTTGTCCGACAGCGCGCTCACTGAGCGAGGGACTTCTTGCCAGTGCCGTAGTCGATGTTCCAGACGGGCTGGGACTTGAGGGGGTCCTGGCGGCCGAGCTGGTGGGGGCACTTGGCCTGGTTGCCCTCGCTGGGCGGGGGCATGGTGCAGACCTCGTCGAAGCCGTAGGTGCAGGCCGAGTTGGCGATGTTGTAGAGGGCGTGGTGCTCGGCGACCCAGGAGCCGGCGGGGCAGGAGGAGATGAAGTTCATGCTGTTGGCGGCGGAGAAGGCGAGGCGGCCGTGGGGCTCGCGGATGAGGCTCGCGCACGCCGACATGGGCGCGTCCTCCCAGGTCGCGGGGATGCCGCCCCCGTACGTCGGGTGCGCGGTCGCGGACTGGCCCGTCGACAGGTAGTTCCACGCGTCGTACGAGATGTCGTGGGCGCCGCCCGACTGGTCGACCTTGAGCAGGTGCACGCTGCGGCCGTTGGCGCTGACCTTGACGCAGATGTTGTTGCAGCTCGGCGCCGACGGCCAGTACGCCACGCGGTCCGGGTTGATCTTGCACCCCAGCACGCCGATCGACGACGACCACCGGTCGTGCGGCGTTATGGAGATGGAGCCGCCGCCACGCTTCTCGGATGAGGATGAGGATGAGGGAAGGGCTGCGGCAGACACGGCTGCCGCTGATGTAAAGACTGAAAAGATGCTGAAGAGCATGGTTACTGGTTTTTATCTATTTGACAAGGATTGGTTTGCTTTCTGCTGTTTTGAAGGCTTAGAAAAAGGAGTGACTAGCCGAGTAGTAGCTGTTGTAACTTGAATAGAGAAGACAGTGAGTAGTTTGTGGGTGAGGCGGATAGAAAAGTAAACTCCTGTATTTTGAATTCGAGATGGCCCATCCCCTTATATACGCATCCCTCCTCTTAGTGACGGGAAACAATCACGTTGCTTGACATCGATGGGAGCTATTAGAGGAACATCTGCTTAGATAGACGGTCTTACCCATCTTTGATACAGGTACCCGCCCCCTTAGCACAAAGCAAGCCATTCTTGTCGCAGGTTCTCTTTTTCATCCACGCGATTTTCCCATCCAGGAACACCCAGAAGCTTGTTCTGTAGTTGCACAAAGGAAGGTGGTAAGAGCTGAAGGATCAAAGCTGGTTTGGCAGCCCCCCCCCCCCCCCCCCCCTGGTAAGCTCCTACAATTGAGGAGGCGACATTCAGAGTACTTCTACGTAATAGCATTAGACGTATCATGGATGTAACTGGCACTCAACTCATCTGACACCGAAAAACTTGCTTCAGGAGCTCCATGTGCGCGGATATATTAGAAAATTACTCATGTTTTATTGAACGCGATGACTACGGAATGGTGATTATTAGGCCTTATGATTTAGAGGCGGCTTACCAAAGCCAACTTATCTGAATCACAAGTTGAGGCTTGCTGGGGGGGGGAAGGGGGACGGATGGGGCCCCGAATCCTAATAATAACGACACAAAGGATCAAGTGAAATACAAAGAACAATACTTTCATTATAGCCTCGCTTTTACCCCCTCTTTCTAACCACGTTCACCACACGTGGGCTCCAGGTCAGGCAGCCGAGGTCGGGGGGTTAATCCGCACGAGGCAGATCTGGGTTAGTTAGTTAGTATCTTGCCCAGGTCCCTGATCTGCGGCGTAACGATGCATCTGGGCTAACACCAGTTTGGCCATCTTGGTAACCAACCGATTCTCATATCGCTTGACCGAAACAAGAAGTTCAAATCCCTAGAAAAGGGCACCGACTGACATATATTAGGGTTGACAGCCAACCCCCCCTGCTGCCTCCGTAAAATGGTTCCTGTAAATCACTCGTTTATGTTGTAATCTTGGCTAGTGACGTGCAGTAAACACCTGCTCGACATCGGTGCAGCCCAGTATTTTCGCTGTTTCTTTTTTCCTTTGCTTTGCAGATCTTGGGATTCTGCAGCAAAATGGTTCCTGGCTAAGATCTAAACGGGAATTCTACTGCACATCCATAGGATATACACAAGTACAAACTTTCACTAATCTCGAATCAGTATACCGACGTTCTCTGTATCTTGTATCGCTCCTGGAAAAAAAAAAACCTTTATTCTGGCTCCGACGCAAACTCATTGTCGGATAACGTGTCGGATAGCGACCCAAGCCTACAAAGGCATTCTAGATCCCGCTCATCGGACCGTCCCGACGAGCGGATGATACCTTTTATTCTATAGACCTCTTTTTGTCCCAAGCCTTGGCCATCCATCGCTCACATATCCAGAGGGTGTTCCTTCTCGGCCTTCTCTTTCAACTGGTCCTCGACCTCCCTACCTTGCTCGCCGTCTTCAGGGATGCCATTCTTGACCGGATATTTCAGGAGACCCCTCTGTTCCACCTCGCGGATCTTCTCCATGAAGATGTCGCCCATCATAAAGTAGCCCTCGTTCGTGGGGTGAATCTGGTCGTTGCCGATATCCTCCGGCCGAGGGCGGCTGGGAAGGCCCTGGTCGTAGTGCATCTCCGCGATCGCGACCGGCTTTCCTTCGCGGATCAGATCTGCGGCGACCTGGCGGATTTGCGCGTTCGCGCTCTTCATGCAGGGCTCGAACTCCTGGTTCGGCGTGGTCACCAGCGTCGACATGATGACCGTGGCCCGCGGCGACGCTTCCAGCATGTAGTCGACGAACTCGCGCATGCGCGTAAATATGTTCACGGTGTCGTCCTTCTGGAAACAATCGCTCGTGCCGACCTGTACTAAGATGAGGTTCGGCTGTAGGTACGGCACGGCTTGTTTCGCGTGTTCGTGGAGGTGCCTGATTCGCTTGGCGCCGTAGCCTTCCAGGTCGTTGTCGGGAAAGTCGCCAAACCGATTAAAGCCGACGCAATTAACGGGATTCCCCAGTGATGTAAGCTTTTCGCGAAGCTGTTTCCTGTATCCCTGATCGCCAGCCGAGACTTCACCGCGCGTGACCGAGGCGCCTATGAACATGATACGTAAGGGCATGCCGCCCGCGATGGCGGGGTTTCCATCTGGAGAGGTCTGGTTCTTGGTGGTTGGAGAGAAGCGGTGCCATTGGTATTCCACGTCGACGGGATTCGTGAAGAAAAAGATGGCTATTATGATTTAGGTATAAGTATAAGTTTGGCTTAACCTCGAAATACATGCGTACACTAAAGTAGGTATGCACTCCATGACTGGTATGACTTGTATGACTTCAATATTGTATTGTACTGACCTATTAAGAATAATGCTGTAGCGGAGACGCCCGCTAATCGGTAAATACTGGGCATTGTAACCTATTAAGTGCTGAGAGAGGTTATTGGCGCCGTGTATCGTATGCAGTGAAACTCCTTGATTGGATCTATAAGTGGCTTCTTTTTTTCTTTTTTCTTTTCTTGTCGCATTCGCAATTCATATGTCATAGTCTAACATCAACAGTTACATAAAATCAATGAAAAGTGAACATTCAACGAATTCTGCTAGCAATCCGTCTCAAAATCCCCCTTTACTGTCAGCTCAGCTTATCTACATAAGGGGCCATCGGGAAACACGGCACCAATCTCTGTTTTGTTTAACTGTACCACGCCAGAAACCAGCTAAAACCAATAAAGGGTTGATTCTTGACTTGGCATATCACCACTTACGTAGATGATAGTCGCTGGTATGCCATAGTTTGAGTATTAAAAACGTGGCCTGCATGCGGCGCGGGCTTCAGTTACTCCATGGCTGACGTTAGGTTGTAACATACCTAGTATAATAAGTAGCCTTAGAGGTCAGTATCTCGTTGATTGCTACAGATCTTGTCTCTATTGAGATCAAAGAACATCGCATTTAGTATAAATCAATGCGCTGTGCCGCATTCTCATTTCCTTTGCGTGAATACTGGGTGGACTTCATATATGCGACCTATGCCGGTATTCTATTTATGATTAAGAGAAAAAAGAGAAGGACAAAGTAATATGTGTATGCCTCTTAATACCTAATATTTTATATTTTAGAAAAGGGATTTCATGATGAATAGCATTGAAGTGAATGAGAGTGCTATGTAAGTTACTCTGTAAGATGAGAAGTAGAAAAGATGAGAAGTACTACTAGTTAGTAGTAGAACATTGAAATAGCCGTGGACCCTAGGTATCTTAGGTAATATAGGTATGTACCCACTGGCAAATTATATAGTCTTGCTAAAGTGTACCTATACTACCCTAGGTAGGCGCCTATAATACCACCTGATTTGGCATATTGATGTCACCACCTGCCCAAGTCTTTCTCTATTTGAACCTTGCCAGGATTCAACTAAGTAACAGCACTTGTTGCACTTGCACTCACCCTACCCAGCGCTAGAAAGAATGCCTGGATTAGGGCTGATGTTAGCCTGCCTTTCAGCGGCTTAGCCCCCACCACGCGTTGAACCTGGTCCAAACATTCAATCTACTACTCTTACTTACATCTTGACAACATCGATCATTGAGCCTCAAAATGTTGCACATCCAAAAATTATAACTTCAAGTTGTCTAACCTAGGAGACTGGTAAACTAATTCTGAAGTTATATAAACTGTATGAGAAATGCATGATCCACTTTATTTTAGGTGATTTGTTATCTTGACCTCTGCTGTCCTACATCTCAACGCGTCTTTTCGCTTTTCACCTTTTTCATCTTCCTCACTAAATCAACACCACACCATCTCCAAGTCAGCCTCCAACCCAACCCACAATATCAGCCTCATAAGCTTCTTATTTCTCTGATTACATAATATGGAGACTTTTCTTCGCGAGTGGAGGCAAGATGCCTTAAACAAGGCACAATACGATTCAGCCATCTTCATCGGAGATAAGCTTCTAGCATTAACGAGTAGGTTGCACATCAATGAATTTGTCCCTTTATATACTAGGTATATATTTTATTTCAAGCCAAGCCTCATACTAATCCGTCTTTTAGATGATGATAATGATGCCTTTTGGCTTGCACAAGTACACTTCGCCACTGGTAATTATACCAGGGCCCAGGCTTTTCTATCCAAGCAGGACCTCATCGCCCGCAATCCGTCCTGTCGCTACTTAGCTGCCCACTGCTTTATCAAGCAGTCTCGATTTGATGAGGCGCTTACTGTGCTTGGTGAGCGGAATCCCACTCACTTGATCTCAAATCCGGCCACCAAGCGCAAAACCCAGCATACCAGTGGTCGCACCACCGCTTCACATCATGGAAGAAGCGCCGCCAAAGCCCAAGACCGAAGATATGAATTATCAGAGGAAGAGGTGGGCAATAGGCGCTTCGAGGCCGCCATGTGTTTTCTGAGAGGTATCTGCTATGCTAAGCAGAATGCTTTTGACCGAGCAAAAGAGTGCTACAAAGATGCCGTACGCATCGACGTGCAATGCTTCGAGGCTTTCCAGCAACTGATGAAGAACTCACTCATGTCACCGGAAGAGGAGTGGAATTTCCTCGAGTCGCTTGATTTCGATGCCATTACCGTCCCAGGAGACTCGTCATCATCGCAAGAAGCTGCCGAATTTACCAAGATGCTCTATACTACAAGACTCTCCAAGTATAGAAACCCGGCGTCTTTTACGACTGCCTGCGAGACTCTATCTACACATTACAATCTCGCCTCAAACCCTGACCTATTGCTTGCCCGAGCCGATTTGCTGTATACCCAATGTAGATACAAAGACGCGCTGGCCATCACCGAATCTGTTCTGCAACAAGACAAGTACAACTTCAGTATATATCCTTTGCACTTAGCGTGCTTATTCGAGCTAAAGATGAAGAATGTGCTCTTCCTAGTTGCGCACGACCTCGCCGATACGCACCCCGAGGAGCCGTGCACATGGCTTGCCGTCGGGATCTACTACTTCAGCATCGACAAGATCGCCGAAGCTCGACGTTACTTCAGCAAAGCCAGTATGATGGACCCGCACTTCGGGCCGGCCTGGATCGGGTTTGCGCACACGTTCGCGGCCGAGGGCGAGCATGACCAGGCTATTTCGGCGTACTCGACCGCAGCACGGCTCTTCATGGGCACGCACCTACCGCAAGTCTTCTTGGGGATGCAGAACCACGCGCTCAACAACATGACGCTAGCCGACGAGTTCCTCAAAACGGCGTACGGTCTGTGCAAGACCGACCCACTGCTGCTGAACGAGATGGGCATCGTTTACTACCACCAGGATCGACCCCAGGATGCGATCACACTGTTTCTCAAGGCGCTCGAGGTGGCGGAGGAGATCGACTCCGAGCCCAGCGCCTGGCTCTCGGCGCGCACGAACCTGGCGCACGCGTACCGCCGCGCCCGGCGTTATGACGATGCGCTCGAGCAGTTCGACGAGGTCTTGCGACAGGGCGGAAAGGACCCGGCCATCTTCTCCGCCAAGGGTTTGATATACATGGAGCAGGGAGGCAAGTTCGAGCTCGCGGTGGAGGTCCTCCATCAGGCGCTAGCCATCCATCCCCAGGATCCCATTGCGACCGAGCTGCTGAATAAGGCCCTGGACGAGACCGCTGCCATCTTGCCCTAAACCCTTGTGTGGTACGAAGACTTAATGAGGAATAGGTCGCTTGGTTTTGGGGAAGGGTTTTTGATAATGCCTACCTACTAGGTGGCCAAGGTGCCTACTAACCCAGGTAGGTATGTACTTGTTAATCAAGGGGAATTTGCCCAGATAGTGTAGTGTAGTCTACACGGATGTACCTATCCCTAGGGAGGAGCATGATGATTAGTTACGTATGTAGTACAATAGTTACCCGACAAAATAATTTGGGTCGTATCTAAAGCTCTCGGCTTCTTGGTTCACCTGACTGATCGATCGGTGCTTCTCGTACGGGGATGACCTTTTCTGTATTACTACACTACTTAACAATGCCGGTAATGCCTAGCCTTCATAGATAGTAGATATATGCCTGTCTATATTGTAGACAGGTAGGCAACTGGAGAGATTGATCGTATGTAACTATCGTATTACATAACTAGGTAACCTACACTGTTTGATACGGAATCGCCGCTGCTCATGCATACATACTTACACACTTAGTACTTACATCATTACTTAATTACCTCAACGCCTAGATTTCAGAGGACGCGATAACTACCTAGTCGCCATACCTAGATATCATCTCCGCTGTCAAAAAAAAAAAAAAAAAAAAAAAAAAAGCCGAGACGCACGGCCGTGGTTTTTTTCTCCCAAGGCCGAAGGCTGTTTTTTTTCTTCTTCTTCTAAATAGCCTACCTACACTAATTTAAATAAAGAACGGGGAATGAACACGTCCCTTTTTTGATTTTTTTTCTTCTTTTCTCTCTACTGCCCAGGTGTACGAAGTAGCTAGTTAGAGACTTAGAGTAACTAGTTTTTGAGGCGAACGGGCGGACGATGGGTGGAGTTTATGACATACCGGCCGACCTAGGGTAGGGTAGCTAAGCTGCTGGTAACTGCACAGGGTATGTAGGTTAAACCGTTAGGTACATGTAGGCGTGTAATCGAGTACATAGTTACTAGGTAACTACCTGTTCTCACGATAACTAATAGTTAATAACTAGTGTAACCTAGGTACATACATAGGTGGCTAGGTAGCTGACACTGACAGCTGTGTGAACATTGAACTTGAAAAGTTCAACTATTAACTACGGGTAACTTATGTAGGTATGCCGTTATTATGTTGTTAGGTATAGTTAGTAGGTAGGTATTACCTATACAATAACATAACATAGGGGCTTGCGGATAACTACAAAAGAGCGGTCAACGCTGGCTTTTTTTTTTCGTTGTGCTGTGCTGTGTTGTGTTTTCGTGTTCCCGGCTGGCTGGCTGGCTGGCTGGACTGGGCTGGCCGGCCGTTGAAATGCTGCGCCGGTTGAAGACAGGAACTAATAGCTACGATGTAATAATACTAGAGTCGAACATACTTAGGTGTGTAACCTGGGTAACCTAGGTACGGAGTAGTTGGTCCTGGGCGAGTTTTATTATTGGGTCTGTAGGTTGGGTACTGTAGTCTGTAGGTCGTGGTAACACTACGATGAAGTAAGAGAAAGAGTATTCGAATGAAAAATTTGAAGGTAGTTAGTTATTAGGTGAGACGAAAGGATTTCTTGGGCCTATATTGAAAGACAGCTTTGCTATAACTACCTAGTTATTGAATTGGTGTGTAGTTGCCTACTATTGAAGGCATCTATTTACTGTACCTAAGCCGCTAGGTTAGGTAGGTTATTATGAAATAGTTAACTACTACTAGGTACAATACAGTGAATACACTAGGAGGAATAATGAACGGCGACCTTATGAAACGCTGATCAGTAGCTATGGATATGAACACACTAAACTTACCCAGCTAAATGGATGGACACTAACTAGGCTGATAATATGTGTGTTAACTAGGTACACTAGAGGCTAGGGTAGAAAGTAGGCTCAAGGGCTTGGTAGGTAATTACAGATTCACAAGGCTATTAGGCCATCCCGCTTCGGCGCATCGGAGAGTGCGGCGTATGGTGTTGATAGGTTGCAATTAGTTAAGTCAATGTAGTGTATATGATATCTAGTCAGTTGTATAGACTACTAGTAGTCTTGTATTGTACCATCGTCGTTGTTCTATCCTAGACTCCTAGTTCGTAGCCCGGAGGTTAGTAGGTAGTAGGTACCAAGTGTGTATGCATCCAATGCCATCCATACCTACCTAGCGCCAAATAAGAGAGAGAGAGACGGACAACCAGGGGCTTATTTGGTTCGGTATATGGCAGCCCCTGATGAGTGCACTTGGTAGGTCCCTAGGTAGGGTACATATGCATGAAGCACATACATACATACATATGCAAGGCTGGGTGAGCCTTGAGGAGGAGGGAGGAGGATGAGGCGGCGTTCTGCTAAGTAACTCGGTAACCTAGCCTTAGTGTAATCTATTAACTCCTAGATCTACCAACTAGGCTGCTAACTAAGTAGTTATCCCGGATTGCCTATTAGCCTTGAGGAGTTTTTTTTTTTGTTTGACAGGAGCAAGAAGTGTCTTTAGGCTCTGGGCTGACGTTGTCGTTGTCACCGCTCATCAATCATACATTTATTATATTATATGTATGTACGAAATTGGTTGCCGTTGTTGTCTTTCGTGTTCTCGTACCTACATACATACACTTATATCCCTCGTATGCGAGCGGCGACACTTTAGGGTTAAACTTGCTTGTTGTCCATCACCATTTCTTGGGACGCGGTGGGCCACCGTCGCATCGGTAGACCCAGCCCCTCACCCTCCTCCCCCTCCACCACCACCCCCCCTTAGGCAAGGGAGCGGATTGCATTTTGACCTGCCGGGACGGATCTTGGATTTAGGGGGCAGGCTGTCATTTCTTGCGTGATGGCGTAGTTGGATGCCAAGTCCAAAACGTTTTTTGATATGATAGGGGCCCCAAACGACTTTTTCTCTGGCGAAATCCGCTTTGCTGGCGGTGGGAAGGCTTGTTATATTAGGTAGGCGTTGCTGGCGCCGCTTTTTGCAGGGTTTTGAAAAAGCCTCGGAGAAAGAAAGGGTCTCCCTTCTCTCTCTCTCTCTCTCTCTCCGAGAAACGAATGTTGAACGTTGAGTGAAGCATCTAAATCCTCAGGTGATCGACGGCCATTTGTGATGAGCAACTGCGCAGAATTTGGATGGGGATCGAATCTGGCAATTGCCTGCTTTGCTGGTCGTCGCAGCAGTTGCTAATCTAGGCCTCTTTTTCTCCGTCTCGTTGTGTGTCTGGGTGGTTAGGCTAACAAGCCCATCTCCACAGATTTGTTCTCTGCTATGGGGTCGATGCGAGGAAGTGGAGATATTAGTTCTGGCGTCCCAGGAAATGGGCTTGCGGGAGTGACCCGAGGTGGAGGTTCCTGGAAACTCGTCCTGTCATCGTTTGCCATTCTCTGACCGAATATTTGAATGAGAGGACCCTCTATTTGGACCATGGTCTAGGTACCATCCAGTCAGCATGTTTGTCTTTCCTAACTCTACACCATGTTTACCTACGTACATACGCGTACGGTACGTTCGGGGTTTGGTTTGACAAGTGCGTGCTACGGTTGGCGTCTGTGAGATTTTCTCATTACGATTTTATCCAGCAATGTCTTGGTTGCGGAACTTGCCGTTGTACATTTCAATCATTTTGGTTCAAAAAGGGGCGACCATGCTGTTATCACGCTGTCTCACATTTACTCCCAGGTAATGTATGCGCTTGTTTGCTGAAAAAAAAAAAAAAACGTGACAATATAGAGACATTATGCGTTGCGTGGCAATATGACTGCATACTAGACGGCATTGATGTTATATCACACGGAGAAACGGATTATTTCGGATGCGACGAGCTGTAGGAGGTGATCAGACGGTTCTTCATACCTAGTCGTCTTACGCGAGCGAATCATTCATGCGATCGGGTTCAGCACCTAGGCAGCATTTCCTAGGCCATGATGGTTCTACAAAGTGTAGAAGATTTTGTATACACTACATACTTCGTATGCTATACAAATGAGGCTGTTTAGTCAGGCACGGGTTACACTAGACAAGAGTCGAACACCGGAACGGTTTCGGTGCTGATGTGCATGATCCTTATGCAAGGAGTAAGTTCTCACAAAATTGCCACTATATCGGTGAAGAGAGGATGTAATTCGTTGAGGCGAAGGTGGAAAAGGGTAATACACAAAAATAGGTACAAGGAAGGTGGTGTTGAAGAGGCTCACTTACGAAAATGTCAGATGAGTAAGACGGGACGGTAGTAATAACCCCTGGGGTTACTTGGACGTTGCCAATGGCATTCAATTGTTGATGTGATATGCATAGGTACATGTAACCTGATGTAGGGAGGTATATATTGACTCAGGAGTCAGGACTTTGAGCAGGATGCAATTTGTATCGACGTTGCAGTTGGCTGATTGTTACACTACCACCAAAGATTACCTACATACCTAGCCTTAGGCAGGTATGTAAGTAGGTATCTAGTAATATTGCCGCGGAGGACAACATATGCACTGTAAGAAAAGAAGAGAGCCGGTCTCGGGATGCCGTAACATGCATAGTATGTAAGCTATGATCTGCCTATTCATCTCACCCAATCAGCTGATTCAAGAGTTGAAGTTATCATGAACATACAATATAAATATTTGTATATATATGTATGTAAGCAAATGCCGTTTGGATGTGTTGTTCGTACTATAGGTATGTAGGTATAATGCCCAGATAGCCACTAAATACGTAGTACTACATGTAGATATTAGTTAATAGGTATGTAGTTATTGTTTATTATCGTGATGTCGTTGGGGTTGAGATACCTAGGGCTAGTTAGGTTAGTTATTAGGTAGGCTCAACTAAGTTGAAGGGTCCTAGGGATTCAAAAGGACCGCGAAACTTTAATTCTAACTGTGTAGTGGGGCACGCCCCTTTTTTAAAAAAGAGCATTGAATGCGGGGACTATCGTAACCCGATGGCCACGATTTGGGGCTCTACCCCTGACCCATGCTGGGATCGCTGTCTAAGATATCGGTTATCTTCCCATGTCAACATGCATGTGGTTCAATGTTGTCAGACGACTAAAACCAACTAGGTACTAGGTAGATAGATACCGTTGCACCTTTGCTTTTTTCCATTACATAGCACTGTACTAACCTTCAAGTAGCTAGGCATTAGTACATATATTTATGTATGTACGTAGTGTAGTGTAGGTATTTACTTTACTACTTTGACATGCATGACGAAGATTACCTCATGTGTTTTGTAGATTTTTCTTTTTTCGGTTCTTGTGTGTGCATACTAGGTACATAGTGTAGTATGCATTTCAAAGGGCAATTTGACAAAAATGAAATACATGTAACTATGTATGTAATATGTATTCAGTACCTAAAAGTAGCACTTACATACACGTGTAGACTCCAATTTCAGGACTTACATATTCTCCAAATAATTTAAATGGGCTTCTAGAACAAATGGAAGAAATGCTGCAGTAGCCCACCTAAGTTGCGAGTTACATTGCTGCGTTCAACTCACATCCGCGGCGGAACCTGACCACTAAGAACTTAGAACACCGCTTTCTTTGGATTCTGATGCACCACTGCTGCATACATGGTGTATGTAAATACACACATATCTGCCTACCTACATACATATGGCAATGTCAAGTGATCCACACATTAATACATGCAAAACACATGGGCATCGAACTAGGTACATAGTTGCAGAGAGCTGATTGACGAACTATCCAATAGAATCGTATCCCCTTGCGCGGGCAAATATGCCTACTGTCGAGTCAGGGTCAAAGCGTACAGCCTGCTAGTAGATCCAGCTATTTTCATAGGGTTAAAATCCTCCGTAAACGATCAAAGAAAGAATGAATACACCTTTGGGCTGCTTGGGAGTTGCTTGGGAGCTGCTCTCGTTACCTATTACATGTCAGTATCTAATAGGGGCAGCGACATTATTGTTGATTTATCAGTGATGTGGCCGCATTCTATGCGGCCATGGAACTAGCGGTGGATAGTCACTCCTTTCTTCCTCATTCAAGACAGAAAGACAGAAAACTGTTGACACTAAGTTATCAACAAACCGTCCAACGCAGCTCGAATTTCGCATTTACGCTACGTAGAAAGCTAGTTAGAGAAGTCGCTCCACCTTTTCGGTCTCGTATCCTATGGCTGCTAATACTAACATTGAAGTTATTGTCTTGGGCGGGCACATGGGACGCCTGGATAGACAACTACGAAAACTATTCAAGGTAGGATTCAACTAAGGGAGAGAGCAGATAATAGATGATACTAGATGAAAGGCGAGTGGAAATCCCCGAGATGACCATGATCTCACGGGGTACTGAGAACAAGGCCGGAGTTAGGAATAATTCGGTTACAGTTGATCGTAACCAAACCTCAATTCGCATCATTGATATCTACATATGTTATGTATGTTACTCCTTCCTTACCTAGTTCTTACATAGGAGGTATAGATTTTCCCCATTCACCAACCAATCAGCAAATATAGTAGTTACATATCACAGTAGTAGATGTCATAAGTAATAGTCTTGTGACTCTACTCTGCTCCCTTAAGAGTTTCCAACTTTGGAAGTCATACATGTGTCCATTATATAGATGGATATGTATATTATGCATTATGTTATTTCCAAGCCTTACAAGGCCTATTCCATACATAAATGTAGTGGTTACCAAATGCAACGTGTTTAAATCCGTAAGAACCACATCATTGCCTTTAAGGTTAAAAAGATTGTTACCCTCGATGATAGACCCAGGTAACGAATACCTAGTAACAACTACGTAGGTAGCATTCCAACGATTCCGCAGACCAAGGATGCGATGCCCCTGTGCCTGAATCCTTTGTCTATTTCTGAAACTGCTCATTTCGTTTCCTAGAGTGCCAATGCACGGGTATGATTGGAAGACAAGGGGGCTAGTTTTTGGGTTACCTACATATTACTAGTACCTACCTACCTAGGGTAAGGCACTCATAATAGTCTCATACAGTAACTACCTAGTAGTATTATATACATAAGTAGCCTATGTAACTATTAGATATAGTTATGTGTACTACTTACCTAGTACACATCTAACCTAGGGTAGTAGAACATAACTATGTTGGATGTGTGCTTGATAATCAACATTAATACTCCGTACCTACATATGTAGTGCAATACTAGTATTACCGAGGTTATTCCACATACCAGTACGTATTACATGATCATGCAATACATCTATGTACCATGTGGACTGATAAATGAATATGAATATTATTATATTCATACTTCCTTTGTGTATGGCTCAAACTTTGTCGTCCGGAGATAATTCCATTCCATCAACTTATTAATAGTAAAAGTTGGTAAAAGATTTTATTTTATTTCATTTTACTTTATTCCCTTGCAGATCTAAGCAAAATTAAGTAGGCGCAAGGAAGGCCTTCAAAGTTTGGTCAGTCCTTCTGTATGTATTCTGTACCAACTACATCTCGTACCGGCGCAGCATTTGTGGCCCTACCAACCCCATACTAGACTGGACTGTATGTAGAGGCAGGCATGCGCACCCAAATGACATGCATTAAACATGATTAATAATAATTTTTTAGGGGCAAGAAAGGGCAAGAACTTGAACGGGCAAAATACATACCCAGGCAGTACATAGTAGAAAGAGAAAGGACTCTGGGGCTTTCTGCACTAGGCATCCCATGTTATGTGCTTAACCTAGTATGTTCATACATGCATGTAGTAAGTACATTATGTATCTAGTACCTAACTACCAGTGTACTTATAATATGGAACTTCAATCAATTGACGTTAACATCAACTGCACACATGTACAATAAAGTTCCAACATTTGAGGTTGAGTGTACGTGCATGTACTCTATACTTATAGATGTATGAATGAACAAGCCTCAACTCATTCAAGGTTCTCGTCAGCAGTTCCTACCTATTACCTGGTAAATCAAATGCTTGCTTCATTAACATACTAAAACGTACTTTCCATCTACATACATACTACCTGCTCCCATTTTACTCCCTTTTACACTCTACACACCTTTTTTCAATTTTTTTCTTCTATCTCGCCACCCCTTCTATCCGGTTGGCTCACATCCAAATTCTCTTCTGCATTCTCGCTGCAACGATCAATTGAGTTTGCGATTCCGGAAGAAAAAAAAAGGTTTCTGAAGTTGTTCTCGGGAAAAGCCGATTCACATCTTCTACTCTCTTTTCACACTTTTTAATAATAACCCAATTTCCATTTCCTTATTGTTTCTTGAACTTCTTGATTCTGCTACAAGAAAGACAGTATCTTTCTTCTTTCGGCAAGCCTTTCCTTTAGATATGCTACCATAATCCTTAATGTACCGAGTCGATCGCAAATTTGCTCTGTCGCTTGTCGCTTGTTGTGTGTGCGATCGTACAGACCAAGTTACGACAAAATTTCGACGTATCGCACAACTTGCGCCGTACCGACAAACGGCCTAATTTAATATGGAGGGAACACTGCTCGCACCCCCAGATCGGGGCACCATAATCGGAAGAGCCGTATGGAAGGTAATCGCTTTGCCGCTGCGATCCGCAACAGAATCAGAAAGATGGTATACTAAAATTTAAATGTAGCCTCGATACATCGTCATTGGCCCGCAAAGAGATGCATCCCAAACGAATCTCACCTTCTCCCAGGTTCTATCCGCCGCTCGAATCAAGGACCCCAGCGGTCGGTCATCCAAGTCGCAGCAACAAAAGGTTAACATCAATGCTGACGCCATATACCTTTCAATATACAAGACAAAGGTAAGGAGTCTCTGCAATATCGCAGGGTCTGATGTTGAAAATACTTACTTTGTGTGTGTGCGCGCTACAGGAGGACTGGGAACTCGTCCAGCAACATTCGATATCGTCCATAACTGAGTGTCAGGTTCAAATGGTCTCCCACCGAAAGCAAGGACCAGTGCTCCCCACCCTGGCTGTCCAGATATCACCCGATCCGACTACCGACAAGTTGCGAAAGCGCCGATCGAGTCGAACTGCCGGCCTGACTAGTACAAGGGATTCGGGTCCAACGACGTTATGGTTTCGCTTGGGAGATGATCGCACTTACACGCTAGAGGATTGGGCTCGTTACATACAGGCAATTATACCCGGGCAGCCTGAAGTTCCGAATCGGTATCCAATCAGTCCCATCAGCCCGACGTCGCCAACCTTTATTAATCCATTTGGTTCCACTAGCAATCGGGATGCGAGCGATTTCTATGCCGGGACGTCAAGTGGGAGTTCCTCCAGGACACGAACAAACGTGCCTGCTAAACCTGGTCATGCGTATGGATCCAGTCGAGATGCTGGTACAACTCGTGTCCCCGGGTCACCTAGCATACGCTCCCGTCGTAGCGATATCTCGTCGTCGCACGCTAGCTCGATGGTTCCTCCAAACACAGGTTATGCAGCGCAGCATTACACAACAGTCCATCCGTCCGATCTACCGTCGCCTGCAACCACACTTGGAGGAGAATATCACGACCAATTTATTGAAGGATGGACATCGGCACAAGGACGGTCGTCTACTCTGAGCTCTCCATCCAGGGCAAGAGAAAGCATCGCCTCTTCTCCGGGTCAGATGCTGACGAGTATCCACTCCGGTTCCCCTCCTGCGCCTAGAGAAACCATATTGGATCGAGCCTTTCATTTGCGATGTATTCCGGGCTCGGATCGGGAAGTTCCTGGTGAGGAAAAGCTCAGCTCTATGGCCAGATTTGAGGCATTAATGCGCGAGGCCGAAGAAAGGCAAAAGGTACTCGGCAAAGACAAACCAATTGCGACACAACCTCTGCAGAGTGCATGGGAAGTAGAGAGCGACGAAGACGCTGGCAAGGTTGACAGTGAAGCCGAAGAAGATGAGAGTGATGAAGATGCTTTTGAACAAGATATAGGGGGTGATGAGATTGGCCCCTCTGCGCAAAAGGCACTCCAATTCATAGCAAATCGGCATAGTTCCGGAAGACCACCATGGTCACAACAACAGAGTAGAACAGCACCAAACTACTACGAAGCAGGTGCGTCTATTCTTCGGCCTCATACCGCACATTCGAGACTAAGACCCGCGGCCCAGCGAACAAATAGCCAATCCCACATTTCCACAGCTGCGCTTGACATGACGCCTATGCCTGGTAGGGTACCGGAAGAGGGAGTAACTCGTCGCAATCATGAGAAGCGCCACTCGACATCGGACGTGAAACGGCTGAGCTTTAACGAGTTCACTAAGCGGTTGAGCGGCACCAGTAGCCTATTACTCGTCCAGACTAATGCAAGTGCGGGCAGCAGCCGGGGGAGTAGCGAAGTTGATGGAACATTGCAAACGACACCGCCAAGAGGTGCATTGAGTCCTAGAGGCGGCGCTCTATCACCGACCGAACGAGACGAACGCTGTCGATGGCGGGGTAGCGTTGGTGTATTCGGCGCCAACGAAGGCGGGTTCCTATAAACCTAGGCGCTCGTATTAATATGTATTCGATATCAAAGCCAGCTAGCTGAGGAGTCTGGCTCTCCCTCTCTGTATTTTTTGCCACCACGTTTTGCTTGTTACGACCCGTCACGAAGATCGCGCGCGTGTCAGCGATAGCACGGCGCCAGATGATTCCCGACTTTATGGAGCATGATTAGTCCCATGCATATTCGAGTGTTGAGTGGTTTTCGACGAATTGGAAGCACAGCACGAGACGAAATTTTTGTTGACAGGATTACCGAACGAGGAATCTGCCACCACGAGACCTTTTTTTTATTTCACTTCTTTTTATCTGATATCCATCCATATTTGGTCTTGAAGAGAGATGTTTGATCTTTTTCGAAGAAGAAAAAGCGATACCCTTGGGCATCATGAGAATATACATCACCCATTTATTTGTATTTATACATATCTATGTTTTAAAGTAGACTGCGCCACGTCCCATGCCCTATTGTCTACTAGATAATTTGTTGCGGTGTGACAGCTGTGCCTTGCCGGCACCCTATTTGTCTATCAACCCGGAATATTGGAGGCTTGCATATGCAACGAGTTCTAGGGCAAATCAAGGCGGTAATAGGGCTTTTTGTCTTCCTCGTGATACGTTTGTCCTAAAAATACCTACCTATCTACTTAGGTAGGCTTCCGCTTTGCAACATTCTAAGTTAGAGCCTGGAGTGTTTGTTAAAGGGTTGGTGGAGGAAGAAGGCAACTTGGAAGATCCTAGCCTAGTTGAGTTTATCTTCAATACAAAGCTCTAATAGCCATCATTGAATATTCCGGGTTTATTGGGTGAAATGATTGTACTAACCTAGTAGCTACCTTCCTAAAATGTAATCGAATTTCAAGGGTGTCGAAGTCCGTTTTATCCAGCATGATGGTGTCGCCCCCCAGATATCCTTTCCGGCCTACCTACTAGGTAGGCTGTCCGTGTAAGACGGAGGCACTACATACCTGTCCGCGTGTTGGATGGAGTGAAGTCGGGGGCCGGCGGTAGCCCACTCACGTTACATGGATGCCGGACTCTTGTGGTGTCGTTGACTTATTGAGTAACTGACTAGGTTAACTAGGTCTCAGGGTAGTGTTTCCTCTTTTACGGTTCCTCTGGCGAATAAATTTTCTTCACGGCTATACCTTCTACATGATATGTCTACTAACCTAGGCATGTATGCAAATCCTTCCCGTGAGCTTGAAGTCTTCGATGGTTCAAATGACGTTTTAATGCACATACCTACATATGTAACCTAGGTAGGATTAATTTCATCACATATATGTATGCTCTTGGCAGGCACTTACGTATGACAGCCAACTATTACATATAGTTATACCTACCTATGTAGGTATGCAGGCATTCAAACGACAAGCTGCGAATGAAGGCTAGATGCCTAATCACGTAGACATAGCTGCGTTTACCTGTGGTAAGGATGCTGTTTGTTGGCGGCTATTGCATGCTAGCTTCCTAACTAAGTGCTTACAAGTACATGTAGGTACCTATGCTGCATATGGCCCCCTATTTTAGGCGCATACCTACCTACTCATCGTGTTTTAATGGCACTCTTTCCGATACTAGCTTCAATGTTTCCATTATTTTTTCCTTTTTTCTTTCCTCCTTTTTCTTTATAAAAAAATCAGAACGCAATTATGCCCTGTACCTAGTGGTTTACTCTCATCCCTAGCCCCCAAACTATCACCAGCGACGAAGATCCTCGGCGATGGCGGAACCCCCTGAATTTCACGCCTCCTTAAATCTTTGGTCACACTATGACCTGGGGGCTCCGTTTGCCATTGTCCAGCCCGCAAACGAGAATGACATCGTCCTTGCGGTTCGGGAGGCCGTGGCAGCCTCCCACCCGTCCCAGCATCAGTCCATGGTCTTCCATCAGCCGGAGGGCGTTATCGTTGACTTGAGTCTGTACAGGGGGACTACGGGTGACGCAGCAAAAAGCCTATGTGGTGATAGTTAGGGGCGGTACGCTGATGAAGGAGCTGCAGACTGCGCTGCACCCGCATAGGCAGTTCGCAGGTACGGAGTACCTAGAGAAACGGGTGCGCGACTGGCTCCCTTACCTATACATAATCCACCCATACCTACCTACCTAGGTGGATAGATATTAACAAACCCAACCTTCCGAGCAGCTGTGGGAAACGACGGCACTGTCGGCGTGATCCCCACTAAATACCTCAACGGCGGCATTCAGCACGTAAACGCTTTTTTTTTTCACCGGCTTCGCGAGCGAGAACATCGCCGCCGCGAAGCTACTTAGTCGAGGTCTCGGAGACCCACGGCCCAGTTCCTACGCTTGGTGACAGAGCTGATTATCAGGGCAAGCCGATGGACAACGAGGACGGACGGCGCGTGTGCGTCTTCCCGCTGCACGGCTTCGACGGGGTATGCGGCGCCTTTGGGGGGGGGAGGTTATGAGTAATCGTGAGCATGGTTCCGCTGGCCACGTGATGGATCGCCCAGGCGCCCTCTGCCCTGCAGCAGGTCCTTCTTATCGCGCCGCAGGTCCTTCTGCTCTGCCGCCGCGCTTATCATCGACGCAGGCTCGCCGATCGCTGGTACCGTCCTCGTTTGATAGGATAGGCTTACGTGGTGATCGCCTTGACCCAAGAGCGACTTCAAGCCAGATCGGGCTGCCGGGGTGGGCTGGGACACCGACGCCGCCAACCGCGAGTTCGTCGCCGAAATGGACCGCAAGGCACAGGCTGTCATGCGCGAGGGGACGTCCGAAGAGGAGTCAGTCTCGTATGCCAGTACCACGTGGGTGGATCTGCTGGGGTATAGGTATAAATGTAAGGGGAGGGTGGAGAGGCTTAGGGATTTGAAGAGGAGGGTCGATTCTACGGGGGGTTTTCACGGGGTAGTTGTTGTGATAGGGAGGTAGGGAGGTATATATGGAGGTATCATACACTAAACTTGCTGCTATATAAAAGGACGGACGTTAGAGGCGGTATGCACGGCCGTCAATGGTCCTGGCTACAGGGTTGGCAGTAGAGATACACTTGATCTTCTTCTTTACCTAAGCCATACTTGGATGATTATAGAATCAGGCCCTACGGACAAGTATCTCACGTCTAAGGAATGGGTAGGTCGGTGTGTTTTGTGCCTCCATCTTGAGTATCCTGACGGGGCTGTCCTACTGTGATCTGAGGAAGTATGAGTAGCTATAACATGTAGGCAAATCATTACTTGAGCTCCGAATACTTTGGCAGGCAGGCTTCTTACCCCTACTGTACCTTCAACCATCATACCCAGTCACACAATACACTTAACATCTTCATGGTGAATTAGGGGACCAGGTTTCTATTGATGCTACCTAGTGTATCTCCGATAGTTTTCCTGGACCGACTCAGATATGGCGCCGTCAGTACCTGATACAACCTACTTTGGAAAAGTAGGCTCTATGAAAACAGGCGGTGGCGGTACGTGTACTCGGAGACCCCACCGTGCGCAGTCGTCTCCGTGGGTTTCGCGGTCCTCGCGAGTGAGGTTCGGACACTCGAGCGTGTGGGCGAAGCGGGAGTCGCAGGAGGTCTGCCAGCTGCAGTATGGTATGGCGTTGAGAGGACCGCGATCGCAGTAGTGGCAGAAGAACCACCAGGTAATTGCGTGACACATTTTGTTCTTTTCTTCTTGTTTCGTTTCTTGTCTTTCCTCTTTTTTTGGTGGATGATTCTTGAGGGTGTGGTTATCTATCCTGGTTGTGAGGTAAAAGAGCTGGGCTGGGTATGTTGGTCTGTCTGGTGGGCTCGTATGTGTACCATGAGGTATACATGTTATCGATGAGTTGCATTCTTTAAATATTAAAGATATAGCAAAATAGTAAGCTATGCCAACCTGAACAGTGTGTTTGGAAGGTCATTTGGCAGTTGGTGTTTGCCGATATTGACAACATGTGACACTATATTCTCTACACCATGTCTGGGAAACCTGGATTTTCAGGCACTGTCAGGAGTGTGGGAAGATGGAAATGATGTTAGGAGATATAAATCCATAATCCCCTAAGACATTATGAAATGTTCCAACCCCCATGGCCATTCGTGATGGAGATTCTCGCTTTGGCATTTACACTGAGCTATTGATACTGGATGTAAGTGTTTTACATCCGAGCAATCAGCCGTATAAAGATGGGCTATGCGTGATATTCATCTTCAACTATCCCATACCTACTGCACAACCAAGCCCAATGTCATTTTCCCTGGAGGAGTTCATAAGTCGAGGATAGAGAGAACTCCCGAGTATTGGATGTCTTGATCCAAACTTGGAAGATATTTCTCGAACCACCTCGTTCCTTGTTGAATGTCTATCTAGGTAGCTAGTAATCTTGGCTATTTTCTACGTATAAACGTGTAAGTAATTCTATACTTGAATGTACATACTTCTGCTATTAGCGTAGTGATACTTTCTAGCATTCCATATGAAGAATCAGGGTATGATAGATATATGGGTAGGTGGTTACTCGGCTCATTGAAGTGACTTAGATGCTAGTGAAAATAATAGTACAGTTTGGATGATGTAACTGATGTAACTGATGTAACTGATGTAACTGATGTAACTGAAGAGTGTGAACTAGATGAACACGGTGGATATATCAAAAGGTGTGCTATTTATAAATGTGCCAAGGTACTGTAACGAGTCCAACGACCCACTGAACTACCTAGTGCAGGTAGGCGGCGATCAGCCTCTGTTCGCTAGTCCAGCCCTGAAGATGCTTATTTAATGGAACCTCCCCGCAACCACACATGGGTGGGTTAGTTCAAGTTTCAGCTGCAGAATCTAGGTACTACTATGCACTATATTAGGTATGCGTAGGTACTAGAGGCACTGTAAAGAATGCGGCCCGTCTCGAGTTCCTGGTTTCAGATAAGCAACCTTGAAGGTAGCATCGAACTGTAAATGTTTAAGTTTCAAAAATAAAGGTATATACGTACCCTAGGCATCAACAGTACATATAGGTATTGAGATAAATCAAGGTAATGCATGGAGATGAATAGACGGAGCTTAACGTATCTATGGATGCCAAATTATTTATTCATATATGCACTGGAGTAGCAATAAGTACCTAATACTCTTTGCAATCAAAGAAAAGCAACTGACCACCCGCAATATCAAGGTTGCTGACCTACCTAGGTTAGTAGGTAGATACATAAATAACACTGGGTTAGTGTACGGGTACTGTGCTTTCTATGTAGTCCGATGACGTAAATGCTAAGTATATCTGTTAGCTACGTGGAAGTACTTGGGTATCTACATATAAGATGGTGGCAGGTACGCCAGAGAGGAAAGTGCAAATCACTATGGTCATATATTTAAGAACATTTCAATAGCAAAATCTAATCCTTAGATTTTATCCTTTTAATATACAGGTCCACCCATATTTATCTGGTAACCCCCCACCAGAAGAGCTATGGTGATAGCCTTATTTTTAATTTTTAGTTTTTTTTAATAATTGAGACCTTTATTATTTTTAAAGTTATTTTGATCCTTTTATTAATTAAAACGTTATTATTAATTAAAAACTTTATTTTAAAAATCAACGTTTATTTAAAAAGTCGTTTATTCTAAAAGCCGTTTATTAAAAAGTCATTTAATTAAAAAGTCCACAATCAATTTATTTAAATCAAAAAGTCCAAAAACCGTTTATTTAATTTAAAAAACCCACAGTTTACTAGCCATTATAACTCATTTTATTACCTCTCATATAAGATGTATTATATTTTATTTATCCGATTAACCCCTTACTCTAAAAAACCACATTTTTAACACCTTATCGCTATTCCAATATAGCGTCACCTATTTTTAATACTTATTAAATAACTATATAATTCAAAAACGTCTATATCAAAACTTATTAACACTATTAAAACAAAGCCTAGAAATGTCTGGGATAAGCACTATTATCCCCCCCTAATAAATAATGGCAAATACGCCAAAAAAGAAAATACAAATCACTATAATCATATATTTAAGAACATTTCAATAGCAAAATCTGATCCTTAAATCTTATCCTTTTAATATATAGGTCCACCCACATTTATCTATATAGTGTAGATAACTGGTATCATACTACTAGGTAGGTAGTAAGTACCTAATAGCCACAGGAAACATTTGAAATGTTGACGAATCCTAAGGGCTCGTGCGCTAAACTCCCAGTGTGTACTAGAACTATTTCTAGTGTATAAAAAGTAGTATGGGGCATAGTACAGCGCCTGTAGCTACTAAACTGAAGTAGAAAGTTACTACATAACTTGAAGTATGTACTACTAGAAACCCCGTAGAAAACCCCCACCATACAGAATTACGGTTGCTTCCCCACAAGGCCCCTCGTCGTTAAATTTCCCCACCTATTTCTGCCCCTCCTTGGAACAGCAACAACGACCACCATTCACCACCATTCGTACCCAGCACATAATTACTATTATTTTATCGCTAGCACAAAGTATCTTTCTCTACAAATCCATCCACCGATTCCATCCACCGATATCATCCACCGATATCATCCACCCACCCTAATCCATCCACTGATCCGTCATCATCTAGGTGTGGTACAGGAACCATTATATACGCCTTAACTTATTCCAATTCCCATTGCCATCTTCATCATCATCTTAGAACCCATTACTATTCAACTTAAAGCCCAACAATCTAACCGCCTGGATTGAATCCTTTCGCTCCCACTTCTGGCGATAGACACCGACCTAATACGACGTCAAAATTGAAGACTGTCGCCGACCAAAAGAGCTTCGTTAGGTATCTTGAAGTCGACGACCCTTGGAAATACCTTACTTGGCTGGGCGCCTGGATAACCGGCCGTACGTACTTCACGGGCGCCTGACATTTCACCTTCACTTTTCAATCTCATTTCCCACCTTGGGTTCTCATTTCAAACCTCATATACCGAACAATATATTACAAGTGGCTGATCACTTCAATACCTTAGGTAGTTTAACGCCACTATCTATTTCCCGAGGTACTTGTCCCCAGTACCTCGAATTCTATTTCTGCCTCAGGGACCGTGCGAGGACCTAGTACTAGGCACTCACATATCTACCTACATACAGGTAGTCATCGTGCGGCTTATCTTCTTCTTCTGCCCTTTCCTTACCTACCGCCTTGTCACTTGAACTGGCGACTAGGTCTTGATATCCAAATTTTATCATCATCGTATGAACAGCCCTATATCCCCCAACCTCAAGCCTATTTACTACCTAAAGTTTGGCCTTGAGCGGTGCTGAAACCCGCGAAGCCACCATCGATCACTAACTCGGACAATAGGTCGAAATTCACATCTAAGTATAATCGCACCATTCAATTCAGAAACAAGGTGGTAAAATCCCCTTGCGAATATAAAATGGTGAAGATTACGGCAAAAAACGGTGGTCCTGGTACCCGCTCTCGCAACAGAGACATCATCGTTCGCCAGGATAATAGAAACGAGGGCGGCAAGCTGCGAGGATCGGAAAGAATCAACTCGCTGGATACTGAGATGACATCCGAGAGTATTGAAGACATGCCACAGCAAACTGAGACAGCTTCCACAGCTCCCACAGCAACAGGAACAAATACGAGTGCTGCAACATCTAATTCAGGACGGGTGACACGCTCTATGACTGGATCACGCCCACAGCCGATCAACAATCCGCAACCGCAGCCCGATGAAGTTCCGACTAAAATAATCAGGACTAATTGCTACCGACTCAGAGAACGGCGCCTGGCAACACTTAGGGGTTACAAGCCCTCCCCTACTTTGACTCTTATCTCCGATGGTGGGCCTGGGGGTAAACCCTACAAAGTGGAGATACGGGAGCGTACCACAAGCGATGAGAGCAGTGCAGACAGTGAGATGAGGGATCAGGATCAGCCCCTCGTCACGCCGCCACTGGAGGGTCACTCTAGAAAGCACCCGTTGACTGGCCAGCTTCGAGTGCCTGCTCTTATTGACGATGGCCAGTCTACGATAGACGATACTGTGTACACGGAGGACGCAGAGCCGCCCAAGAAACGATTTAGAATAGTTGACAAGAAGGATAAGAAGGGCAAGGCGAAAGTTCGCACCTTATACCTTCGTCGCTCGCCACGCTTCGTGAAGCCACTCACAGAGTTCCACAAATATCCATTTTTACCCGAGGAACTCAAAATCATGATATGGGAGGCAGCAATCGAGCCTCGCGTGGTGTATATCTGTAATCGAGCTGCAGCATCATGGGGTGGTCTACATTTTGGAGTACAAAACAAGATGCCTGCTTGGTTTGCCACATGTCACACATCTGCGTGGGTCGCACGGCTGCATTATCAGAAGATGTTTGCCCTCCAAACGCAATTCAATATCGTCTGGAACCAGAGGACAATCCAAGATGTCAGTCCCAACAACGACATCGTACTTTTTGAGCCCTGCCATAGTGGATGCCGCGGATGCCACTGTGCTCGACACCAGTATACCGCTGCTGATCGTGCGGCAGTCCGTTATCTAGCTATTCAAACGGAGTCGCCGAACTTGACTGCGGCAACAGAACCATGCTGGCAGTCTGTCACTCGATCATGGCCCAACGTAGAGACCCTCTATCTAATGCGGCTTGCAATCAAAGGTCTCGATAAGCGCGATAAGGCTATGATTCGCGTGAAAAAGAATGATCTTGAGACTACGCTTCTGAATCGGTTTGAGGAATGGAAGAAGGACGCAGGGGCGGACGTCAAGATCCGCAACATAGAGTTTGTCGCTGTGGTACAGAAAGAAGGACCGATCTTGAAGCCGAAAGATCGTTACCAGTCAGTCCATGACCGACTAACAGGGCTTCCGGAGGATATAATCCTCGGTTGATGCTTCAAAATACGTCAAATTAATCATATTTGAACTTCAGCCAGACCTTCGACGAAACAACAATTCTGTGACCTGAACTCTCGGATTCCGTATGTCCTTCTTGCTAGCATTTGCCTGCTTAAGGTTGATACAATAATAAAATTTAAGGATCATGACGAAATTTCCGGTATCTCTCAATATGGCTGGATACCTAAGGCACCTTAGTATCTACCTGTCGCCCGGCAGCTTAAAACATCCATTGCAACTTAGCTTGGTTATCTTTTAGGTAACTACGCTGTTTAATGATGTCTGGCCCTCTAGTGCTTCACACTAACGGCAACTTACCTAGAAAAATCAAGTTCTAGATACATTGCTGAAATTAATTCGAGGATTATTTTATATAATCAAACCCTTTTTACTACCTCGCCCGTTTCTCGTGTGTACGGGCATGCCTTCAACACTTGAATCCCAACAAACCCCAGTTTCTCTTGTCCCCAACCCATATTTATAACCTTATCAGAAGAGGCTATTTCTTGTGTATATAACAACTGAGCCTCGAATAATGCAAAGAGGAATCCATATGGGTGTGGTTGAAGATGCCTGACAACCTGACACGGAGGCGATCACAAGTTTGCAAGCTAATACGCAATTCTGGTATGGGTAACGAATCTCATTGGTGCCATGGCTCAAAAGGTGAGGAGATACACTCGCTGAAGGGATGAAACCACGACATTTCTCGAGTTAATCGTCAAATGAGAGGATATCTAGTGGCACACAGTCAACACTAAGTCAGCTGTGGCTAGATTTCATACTTATATCGGATTTGGGCAACAGAGGAAGGATAATGAAGGCAGGTAGTATACTGACTGCCTTAGGCATGCGTCAACAGCCTGATATTTGGCAGCAAACTTGGTATTTTGTTCTTCAAACCTGAGTTTGCCGATTTTCGATAGGCACCTAGGTAGCTTGACTCTTGTCTGCCTATTTTGCTATAGGTTGATTCGATACTACCATAGGAAAGTCAGATTCATAATAAACCACATCCAAATAACCTTATAGATATCTTACCTGTGACATGATTATCTGTAGATATATTTCTATCATATGTATTCTTCGGTGTGTGATCTATAGTCCCTTAGGTAGGTATCCAGCTGGATTAGGGATTATACAAACTCAACCTAGTATACACGTAGGAAACCAGCACAAAACACATTCGACATAGGTAGTAGCAAACTTATCTATAGATGGATGCCGTCAGTCAGAGCGGAAGGATACTACGATCCAGGAGCATTTTGATAACTATTAGGTAGGTACAGCATGTCAGTTGAGTTGGCCGACAGACTAAAAGAAGAAAGATTAGGCCGAGAATTCACGATCTTCACCTGCAGACACTTAGTTGCCATGGGAGGATCATGAAGGATACCGGATGAAGAGTGTAAAGATGGGATTGATTATACATTATTGAGACAGGGCTACCTAGGCATCATTCATTACCTACCTAGTATTTATACTTTGTAGTATTCCATACCAGAACACGATCGCTCAGAAGTCTACCTACCTATCCCACGAGGTTAACTAATGCGATCTTTCAATTTTTGTTTTTCTCTTTTTTAATTTTCCTCTTCCATTTCCTCAACGCCCCCGCTACTACCCAAGTCTTGCGCCAGCGTCTTCTGTTCCAGGGTTCTTCCCTAGCGGCTTATGGTGTCAGATAGGTACCTATCTATCCCACTCATTCACGCTCTTGGGGGGGGCGAGGTGCTTACTGTCTGATCCCTCCGAGCGCTGACGCTATCACCACCATCACCGCCACACTTCTTGGCCTTGGCTTGCGACGACGGCGACGACGATGTTAGTACGGGCGCGTTGGCGTCATCGGCAGCATCGGATCTGGCTCCTTGCCATGCCGGTGGCGGGGGCGGGCTTGCGGGCTTGGCAGCTTCTTTGCGAGCCTGCCGTTGCCGGCTGACTTCGACGCAGGCGCGGACGAAGAGGACGAAGTGGATTAGGCTTTTTAAGGGTAGGATTTGGGGTTAGCTACCGAGTTGGAGGAGAAAAGAGGGGGAGGGGGAGAAAAGAAAAGAAACCCACGACAAAGCCGACGCCAGAAAACACGCGGCAACCGACTTCGCGAACCACGCGTACCCGTCATGGTCGACGTAGCTGGAGTCCGGGGGAGTGCCATCATCGCCGCCATCCGGGTTCCCGCCGGCGCCCCCGTTGTCGTTGCTGCCGGCGGGGTCGTTGTAGTACTCGCTCCACCGCCACACGTCGCTCGTGTAGGCGATGATCAGCCCGGACATGGCGAAGCCGCCGGAGGCGAGCACGAGCTCGAGGCCGAGGGACACGGCGGGACGCCCGGCCTCGGACTTGCTGCGCCGCACGCACATGGCGATGAATTGGCCGCTGTTGTAGAGGAGGGTTGCTGCCGCCTGTGCTTGGGTTAGTGACTAGGTAGGTAGGTAGGGAGGTTAGGTTAGGTTGGGCAGGGTACCAGCGCGAGCCCCATAATGGGATACGAGTTAAACCCCGGGGGCGCGGCGAACCCGACGGCAGACACGAAGACCAGGGCGACGGCGACGATGGCCGATACCACCCGCAGCGCGAACTTGGCCGTGCTCCACGTCGCGTGGTGGGGTGACCGCCACGACGGCTGTCCTTCTCCCCCCTCCATCGCGCGGCTCCTGCTGGTGAGTGCGGGCTGAGTGAATCTGTGGAAGGCAGAGACGCGCGCGTTGTTTGGAAGATTACCGGTGGGCGCTGACATGGTGATGATGTGTTGGGGGTACTAGGTACCCAGCCAAAATGTATTTTCTTTCGAGTTTGCTGGATTTTAGATAACTGTTCAGATTCTCCCAGGTCTGAACGAATGAGTGCCTGGAGTAGGTAAGTAAGGTGTAGAAGACTAAGTAGGCATATATATAATAGCTAAGCTTACTGTATAGTCACGATATTCGATCGATTTATATCCTCAACTGACATATACTCATTATTTATTAAGAGGTCCCGATGGTAGTAGGTATGTATATCATCACAGCCTTAATACGAGAATCCCCCAAAAAATCATCATCAACTCGCCAGCTGTGAGCGCAAAGCAGGACATAAGCTTTTATTCATGGGGTTGCGAGATATCCATGTTCCCCATAACTAACACCCAAATAGATCATCCAACCCCGAACTGATTGGTGACATTTTCCATGTCCACTCAACGATTTAAGAAGCATACATAACCCCCCTGGTAGAACTAGTTAGGCTGCCGGAATTCGGCAACGCTGACTTGACTTGTTTTTCGTTGTAATCACGGCTGCAAGGCGGGTTTACCCCCAACCCAACTGCATAGATGCCCTGACAGTAAGTGAGTGGTGAACTATATATTGTACATTCTAGGTATGTAGGTAGACATAAGACAAACTAACCAACCAGCTGAACAAACGGCTCGACAGCTTAACAACAATGGATTAAACGGTGAAGTTGCGGACTTCGGGATGTTGTTATTAGGCAGCAAAACAATCATACCGTGAAATTTTACATAATGCATACCTACCTACCTAGGTAATAAATAATATGTGTTCTTCGCTCCAGTTCTAGCAGCTGTCTAGGTAACTAGGTAGATGGGAACTCGGGTGTCGGCATCGAATAGGGCGATCAATCATATGGGGAGGCATCTAGAGAGATAAATAGGGGGAGAGGGTTGCATGTCTATTGGACAGACAAAAAGAAGCAAGTACGGAGAGATGGCTGGCATTAAGGAAACTGCAATGCACACACATAACTAATATATACGTGCACGCATGCATCCATCGAGTAAAAAGCAAAAGAAACAAATCCAAATCCAAATCCAAATCCAAACTCGAAAAAGAAAGAAGACCAACTCCACAATAGTATCGACGAAGAATGAAGAATAGGAATTACAAAAAGTAAGCATTTAAATGCCCCCACACCGGATTGAACGATGGACCTCGACATAAACTTGCAGGGATACAAGTGTCGCGCTCTACCACTGAGCTATAAGGGCAATAGATGGTTGCAAAAATGAGTGCAAGAAAGCTCTAAGTAGGTAGCTTTGGTATCACGTGAATGACTAATTCCACCGGCCTGACTTTAGTAGATTACGTACACACAACTTGAAGTATTAAAGGGTACTTTCTAGTAATGGAGATGTATAATCTCAATCTGAGATTCCTTTTATTCTTTTCATGGCTTTTTTTTTTATAAAAAAGGCAGTCAATTTTAAACAGAGCATACAATGGATAGACTAGTTTCAAATTAATCAAGAATCCTTGCCATTGACTACTTGAAAAACACCCCCCTCTCCCCCGGAAGCCATTCGGTATTGGTAGTCGTAGATTTTCCTCGTAGTGACTACCTACACCGATAAGGCCACGATATCGCGATAATCAGGTCGTAGCCGTGCTCTTCCCTTTTTCGAACGGCTATCGAGCTCCATCTTGCTTCCATCTACCTGGTAGAAACCCTATAGATGAATCCATTCCACCCTCTCGCCATAGAAACATATACTGACTGCTACGGCAGTCTATAGGCTAAACGGCATAGTTCGGTGTTGTGTTGTTCCCAGACTAAAAATGGGTGTTGTAGTCCATGATTTACGCCGGAGATCGCGGTAGGTATTCGCGTGGATTTAAGTCCCATGTGCGCCAACGAGACCGGGTAGGTCAAACTTCGTAGCAACATATCATAGTTGTATCTTGTGTGATAATCGAGGTCTTCCTTCTTCATGAGTGCTAGTACGCAGCGCGCGTTTTTTTTCCATGGATGTTTGTCATGGAATTGGTTGATATGTTTTGAAAGGCGTCATTCATTTGAATATGCGGCGTCCTCCGGCTCTGACTGCAAAACGCTCGGTTCCGTTTTGCGTCTGCTGGTTCCAAACTAGCAGGCTTCCCAACGCTCCGCCATTTTCAGAAGCAGCCTTGCGGCGTCGGTATGCTTCTCGAAGGTGCTCGGGTCGCAAGGGAGCATGTCGACGATATTTTGACATTTCGCTCGTAGGTTCGAGTTTGTCGTCGGGCAAATCAGTTTGACTCTCTCCCAGTTTGATCCATTCGTCTTGAACATCGCGCGCGGCCTCGATCACATCGCCAAGATACATTTTGCAGACAACCTGCATCATCTGGTGAACGTTGACGGGGCATGACTGGGATGTGACGCTGTTGATGTGCTGCGTAGAACGTTAGCCATTTAATAATACCAAGAATGGGATTTCAGCAGAAAACTAGATATCATTGCTTACTCTTTTCACGTCGGCATTCTTGAGAGTTTGACGATGCCAAACCTCATATCGATTGAATTGTGGACCATCCATAAGAGTTTTTAGATATGCCAAAAGCTCCTTCTCCGTCTCCATTTGCTCCTTCGTTCGGACCACAGATGTGCTGGCCATGTTCTCGGGTATCTCAAACTCTTCTTCTTTCCTATCCTCTGCTTCCGCATCTTTACCGGCATTGTTGCCACTAATATTGCTCAACACCGTGGGGGCGCGGCCTCCAGCGACACTTGGCGATCCATCACGCATGGCTTCAGCAGCTGCTTCGTTCGCGCGCTCTGCTTTGGACTTCCGACCACGCTTCTTCTTCGTAGGAGCAGCGCTCACCTGGCTTCCACTGACTAGGCTCATGGTGTCGATACTTGGGGATCGTCGGTAAGAGGGAGAGAAGGTTTGTGTCTCTGATTCGTCGGGCGGAAAAGAAGTCTGTCTGAGAGGGTGGGCTGATCCGATAGAGGTTAAGGACATCACAGATGCTTTGCGGCGTTTGATGGAATGTGGTGGTCCTGCAAGATCGGCAGCGGTAGAGACGCGTTTCTTGGACGGCAGCGGCGCGCTAGAATAGGGTGGAGAGCCAGCAGGCGAGTAGGCACGCGGAGGAGACGCCATATTATCGGGGCGCGATTAGCTTCAGTGAAGCCCACTCTGAATCTTTAGATGCTGTGATGGTGTCGAACTAGACTAGACTGAGTTGTTAAGGAGATCGGGAGATTATGGCGAATGGTATGGTCAGGTTGGCGTCAGAGAGGAGAATATTGCCGCGAGAATCGAGGGTTTGGTTTGATTTGATTTGATTTGGTAGGATGTTGATGATTAAAGAAGTAGAATGTATGTTTGGTGAAAGATGTTTGGTGTTGGCAGTTGGGAGTGGAAGTAATGAATGGTAGTAGGTTAACCTAGTACAGTGCTGATTGCGAGATGATTAAATTTCAAATTACATAAGGTGCACATGTACAGGGAGCTGTAGGTACCCAGGTACAAACTTTAGTTATGTAAATGGCACTAAAAATGCACATGACGGACTAACTATGTACGCTAGTGCCCCGCTATGTAACATAAACCAAATTTCGAAATAATATGGGGATATTCGAAATGTCCGATAACACTAGTTAGTCCGATAACGCTAATTCGGGGTTCATTGCCGATTGAATTGAGTTTTCGTCTGACTTTTTTAGAGCTTCAAACTTACATAGTAGTACTTGGGTACTTAATGGTATGTCGGAACTTTATAGAATCCCTGACAACAATATCAATTGACAAACTTTGCTGACTTTGCTTGTTTTCTTAGTTTTTTTTTTGTATTTGTATATTATTATTCCACCATCCTACATCCTATATCCCATCTGACTGAAATGATTAAAACCTCAACGCTTTCACGTTCTACATAATTCCCCTCGCTCGACCGACTCACCAACGATTTATCCAACTTAAGCCCCGCCAAACCCTGAGCATACAAGACCAGACCGCACCGCACCGCATGCGCCACTTTGTCTCCCTCTCTTGCGTCTTATTAATGCTATGCCTATAATAAAAAGTAAAACGGTCCCGTTCGCAGGAACCGAAATGGGCAATGAGAATTCAACAGTCTCAAGGTTAGATCATTCTAGTAGCTCCTCCCCCAGTGGTGTGTCCGATATCGACGACTCTGTCCATGGAAATCAGAATCCGGAACCCGATCAAGGTCAAAATGGCAAACGGGCGAACAAGAAGAAGAGGAGAAGGAGAGCAAAAGATGGTGGGATATCTGAGATCAACGGGCATGCCAATTCGGACATGAGACGAAACAGCATAAGCAAAGCTGCACGAGATCCTAGGGACGAGCCACCAAGCAAGAAAAGAAGAAGAGAAGAGGCGAAGGCGAAGAGCGTCGAAACAAGGTCGCCAAGCCCAGTTATTGATTTTGATGGTCTTAGTAGACCTAGTAGGTGAACCGTCACGCTCTATTCCTAGACCTCTACTGACATATAGTAGGCCGGGGAACACGCGAGAGACTTGAGGAGAGCTCTGAACAAGCCGGCGAGAGACTCGAAAAGATGCGTGGTGCCATTCGAACCATCCTTGAATGCGTCGGCGAAGATCCAGACCGAGAAGGGGTGCTAGACACGCCGACACGATATGCGAAGGCAATGTTGTTCTTCACTAAAGGTTATCAGCAGAATGTTAGGGACATCGTAAACAATGCCATATTCCACGAAAACCATAATGAGATGGTTATTGTAAAAGATATTGAAATCTTCAGTCTTTGCGAACATCATCTGGTCCCCTTCACCGGAAAGGTTAGTCAACTACCTATTAACCCTGAATCATACCGATGTATATCATGGTTTAACCTTCTGAACAGATGCACATCGGATATATTCCAAATAAGAATGTCATTGGCATATCTAAGCTTCCGCGTATCGCAGAAATGTTCAGCCGCCGACTACAAGTCCAGGAGCGATTGACAAGAGAGGTCGCCAATGCCATCATGGAAGTCCTCAAGCCTCAGGGCGTGGCAGTGGTCATGGAGTCGAGCCATCTCTGTATGGTTATGCGAGGGGTTGAGAAAACGACAACCAGTACCATTACGAGCTGCGTGCTGGGTTGTTTCGAGCGGAAAGAAAAGACAAGAAATGAATTTTTGAGCCTGGTTGGGCTTAACAGAACTTACAGGTAAAATCACACCAAAACGGGATGGGTAGGTATAACAGGTCAATTTCACGGGTGCATTCGCGGCGTTTCGGGGGTTAGAGTATGGGATCTCAACATCAAACTCATCATGGGAGACAGGAAGGAAAGTAGCATCAAGTGGCATGGACAGGTGTCAGGTGGATATCGGAGTCAAAACGAGACACTCAACGATTTCAAAATGGCAAGATATGGCGTTCACGGGTTCGAAAATTTATTCAACATTGGCTTCATGCACATCAACTGCAGAATACGAAATATAGGCATACGACAGAATTCTGAATAAGAAATTCTGTCCTTGGAACCATTTAGTGAGGATACACCCAAATTTACATTTCTAACCTAGTTCATTATACGAGGCGTTTTCACCTAATCCTTATATCACGATCCGATGGCATTACCTAGCCCAGTTCCTCAATATTTCAAGAAAGCCATCATTTGCGTTAGTCCTTCTCACTAGGTCAATATCGAACTGGGATCGCCAGGACCAGCTCTTTCGTACTTGGCTAAGTAGCGGAGTAATCAGTAGGGGGTAGCTATATGTGGGATAATACACATGATTAGGTCCCCGAAAAGTAAGTAGTATCCATGGATTCACAAGGCTCTCTTTATACACTAGCTATCGTTGAAGCTAAGACTACAGCCATGATAATATGCTACCAGAATCTATTCCCTCACTTGAATGCCCCCAAGGACTCCCTCAGCTTCGCTTCATTTCTCGGTATGAAGAGCACCCGATAGGGTTTCGGGGTCATAATCAGATCAGTTGGGCTCAAAATATCATTGGTAGGATCGCACTTGATCTCTTCAGGGGCTTCCAAGCGGAAGCTAGACAACAGTCTCATAAAAATGAGGTACAGTTCCCGGGGAGCGAGGAGATAGGCCGAACAGATGCGGTATCCGAGCCCAAACGTGAAGAGAGGCGCATCAGGTTTCTCTAGCCACCGTTCTGGCATGAAGGTGTCCGGGTCAGACCATAGCTCGGGATCTAGGTAGCAATGACAAAAATCGAACAAGTTAGTACAATTGCGCTTTTTGAAAGGGTGGCAGGTAAGGACAGCAAGCAAGCTACTCAGCAGAGAATCATGGGGATTTTTCTTCGTCTTACCTCGATTACAAGCCCAGGCGTTCATGTAGAACGTGCTACCAGCCGGGATCACGAGACCCTCGTGCTGCACGTCTCGAATCGACTCCCGCGGGAGCGCGAGCGGAACGACGCTGAAATACCGCAACGCCTCCTTTACTAGCGCGTGCACGTACGCGCATTTCTGGTCATCGGCAGCGTCGCACAGCGGTTCACTGCCATTCTTAGTAGGGGTGGTGGACTCCTGAAATCGCCGGATCTCCGCGTACGCCTTCTCCTGGATCTCGGGGTGCTGCGCGAGGTGCGCGATCGACCACTGCACCGTGTTGGACACGGTCTCGAAGCCGCCCGCCAGCACGGACAGGCTGAAGGACGCCAGCTCCGCCTCGTTCAGCTGCGCCTCCTTGTACGTGATCACGCTGGCCTGGATGCACGGCTCGTTGGTGCCGCGGGCTACTTTCGCGGCGAGGTCCGCGTTTAGTTGCGCGAAGTACGTGTCCCGCCGCTGCCGCAGGTCCCGCGCCTGCTGCGAGCTGCGGCTGAGGGGGTTGAGCCGCAGGAAGGGGATGTGGTCCGCGATGTTGCCGACTGTCGACCGCGTCCGGTTCAGCTCCTCCTCGACGTGCACGATCTCTTGGAAGAGCGGGTCGTGGATCGAGGGGATGCGGATGCCCCAGTTGATCGTCATTACTAGTGACAGGCTTAGCCGCTGCACCATGGGGAGCGGGTTGATGGCGGTGGAGCCGGCCTCGCCGTAGGTGAGCAGGTCTTGGATGAAGGCCTTTGTCTCGAGGTCGAGGTACGGGACGTAGGTCTGGATGGCGGGCCGGTTGAGAGCCACGCCCGCGGCCTTCTTTTTCCGCTTCAGAGAGTCATCGTATGGAGACGTGCCGATGGTCAGGCCGGCGGTGCTGGCGGCTAGCTGTCATGTGTGAGAGCGCTATGATGTGGGAGATAGGTAGACAGTTCGGGCTGTAGACAGACGACTCACCTTATGAAAAGTATAAGTGATCGGCCGGGAGCTCAACGCTTGTGCGTGGGATATCCACAGGGCCCTCGCCGCCTTGGCACTGCCGACGACAACCACGGTCGTGTTGCCAAGCTGGACTTGAAATACGCTGCCGTACTCTTTGGCCCACTCCTGGTACTTCAACGGCGCATTTGACAGTATGTCGAGAAGGTTCCCGACCACGGGCCAACCTTTGGGGCCCTTGAGGCCGGGAATCCGGCTACGGTGACGGATAACCTCGTTCCCCGCTACGTACAGCGTGACTATGGCCAGACTGCCCAGAGCCACAAATTGGAGTAAGGACTCGGTAGGCCTGAGCAGTGAGAGGAAGGTCGCTATAGTATCCATCGTGAGAGGCGTGAGTTCAACATTTAAATCAGCAGTAGTCCTTGATATCCATGAAAGAAATCGATGCGTGCGTGCGGTGATGCTTTATTTGTACAAAGAAAAACGACGGGAATAGAATATAATGTATCCATTCGTTCACTCCATCGTATATCCGGCGAGTAGAAAACACACACCCCCCTCCTTACTTGCTTTCCTACAATCCTATCTGGGTACCAACCTAGGTAGTAAGCACACACCCTATTACCCCATTCCCCCTCCACGAATGAAGCCCCCCAGCCCCCCTGGGCGGCTCGACGCAAATGCAACGTAATGCTCCAGTTTTCACGAGCCAAAACCCCCATTTCCCATAGTTATTTCCACATCGATGCGGGGTTGATATACTACTTGAATGTAGGCATGGACTCTGGAGAAGGTGTTACTAATTATATTAACCTACAACTTGACAGGTGGGGATAACTATGGGTACGGGATTAGTTATTTAGTAGACCACTCAGGAGTGGGTATTGGCGATCTGTGGTGCTATGTATGTCACTACTGACGGCCGACTACCGAAGACATATACCTACCTAACCTTAGGTGGGTACATAGGCACATAGTGTTGAGAAAGTAAAATACTAGGTAGGTAGCCTCCTCTACCTCTCTACGTTAGGTAGTAATGTTCCGAGGGGGGGTATGGTGGGCTGGCTATTGCCGTTCTTACACGTCGTCCGAAATCTTGGAAGGCTCGTTACCTACTAGTAGTAGGTACCTGAATTGATAATCTCACGCGAGATAGTTATCTATATACCAAAATCCGAAGCAGGGCATGAGGGTGGTGCGGAAAGGCGAGTGTCGGAGAGCGAGGAGGGGCGAGGGCGAGGGCGAGGGCGAGGGTGCGGTTTTGGGGACTCAATTTATTCATTGGGCTGTTTATTCGGTAGGTACTTTGGATGGTTGCTCGGTGTGATTTACATAGGTATTGTTATTAAAGTGCAAATATTTATTTGTATCTATTGTGAGGTAGGTTAAGTACTATCTTTGAGGTGCGCTCTCTGGAGAGGCTCTCTCTGTTAAAGGCCCGACCTATTCTTGACATGGAATATCACAACATGGTCTTGAAGGTTTACGGATTACACATATGCATCTTGACTTTAGGTCAACGTGTACCTAGAGAACATCTAGTATCACATCTCGCACGGTTGCAAGTCCATTTTGTATAATGACTTCGACTTTGTTATTAAGAAGTCCACTAAGAAGTATGGAACGTCCCCCCCTCTCCCCCAATTCCACTGCCACTGCCACTTCCATATTACTTCTCAGCCCCTCCCTTAAGCTAGGTGCGGCTATGGTCCGGCCCAGTCCTTGAAAGCACTTCCAAGCAAAAAAAGTATACTGGTAATGGAGGTTCCCACCCAGTTATTAAATCGCGGGGTGAGTAGGTAAGTAGGTCTTCCTTTTTACATTTTTAATCACCGCGGTAATGGATCATACACAACCAGGACGCCCCGCTCATATTGCGCACGCACCAGCATGCCAGGTAGCGGGACACCGCGCCCACGAGCCAGTCGAAGGCATGGCCATCATACTCCACGAGGTCCGGGTGCGGTAGGTGATCGCGCAGGGAATCCCGGCCGGCTTCATGGTAGCGAGGAGGAGGAGGAACTTGGGGGTGAGAGCGAGACAGTACTGGTCTTGCTTCCAGGTATACCCGAAGATTATTAGGTGGATCTCCAAGGGGAGCTTCATGAACGGGCTCTTTCATTTGACGAGGGTGGGCTTTTCTGGCAGCTGCGTAAGTAGGCAGCTAGATGAGCTAGTGTCAGTAGAGAGTTGGTAGTAACTAGAGAAGTCGCAGAGGGAAAGACGTCTGTCTACTACACACCGAGTCCGGGAGCTTCGACGCCGTCCATTGGCGACGGTGCAACCTCCAGCAGAAGCACATGCTGAAGTGCATTTCGTACGCGGGAGGCATTTTGATGGTTAATGTGTGAAAGGAAGAAGAAGAAGGAATAAAGCACGAGAGATGAAAGAGGGTTGCAAATAGAGATATCGCGTAGATGAATAATGTTCATGGGAAATCACCCTTGGGCATGAATTTCCATATCAATAATTGAGTATCTGCTCGTAACCCACCGCACCAACGACGAGGCCTCGATGGTCTTTGGTTGTTGACATTTTGGTAATCTATGAGAGGCCGGAAGATATTGTGCACCATGAACTAGGCGATTGTCAACAGGAGATGTCGAATTATTAGAGGCTAGCATACAAGAAGAAGTCTGTAAGCAGGTAGTAAGGAGGTACAGTAGTAAGGCTTGTTTATATACCTAGTAGACTTAGTGTTTCAACGACCACTCAAGCGATCATGAATGATCAAAAACAAGTAGTTTGATGTCTAGATATAGATATTATGATATATTCTGTTTCTATATTTCCGTACGTGAGATGTCCATGTACTTTTCCTTTAAAGAAGTAACTAGGTTAAGTATATAGAAATATGAAAATTAGTTACTTCAGTCATCAACTCTGACAGTGACGGGAACTCACGTCAATCTCCTAACCAAACAGTTTTCCATAGAAAATCAAGGAATAACATCAAATATACTATTCAGTCACCTATGCATGTCATTTACCTAAGGTCCTTTGTAATTCATCAAGATAAAAGCCACTCAACTCACAATTATACCTGCGAGATGATTTTGAATCCCTATAGTCATATCGTTAACATCAGTCTCGCTTGCATCAAACACTTCCTGGGCAGTATCTAATCAAGACTAATCGACATGAAAGTATTAGAGCCAAAGGCTTCTGTGTAATTCCAATAGCTTAAGCTATTCGGGTTGGTATTTTGAAAGCCTCCTTAATGAAGGAGAACACTCTGAACCGTACAGAGTTAGGTGGCCAGGGGCAAATTTGAGAGGCCCAATTCTCATGAAATGGGAATGGTGAGAAACTCTGCTAGGTAAACTGACCATGCCTTCGGGCCGTGACATCAGACACTTCTACCTACGTCCCGTCCTTGAACTCTGTGCTCACGCGCCCCGCAAATTTATAGTTTTCATAGATATAAGCTAACCTAGAATATTCCAAAAGGCTTGTGCCAGGAACGGCGCACCTTTTTGTAAACTTACGCGAAGGTCACTGGGACTCAACGACCTGGACTGGACAACTCCACTAGGTCCGCGAACGGCTGATCGCCCGGATCATTGCGCGAAGCAATGTGGATGTCATAGCATCTTCTATTCCATCTTACACGATCAACGAAGATGAGCATTTTTCACATAATGAGTTCTTGGGACTTCTCAAAGTCTCTCACGATGATTCAATAAACAATAACCTCGGAAGTCAATCCTGAGAGTTTTGAATACCTCCGAGGTCCTTAACCCTACTTCATCCCTAATTTCCCACCTCCCACTTCCTCTTCTACTCCTCTTCTACTCCTCTAGGCACCCGAATTGAATCAACATTTTATCCCGAATCGCTTACCACTTTTTGTTGCAGGTGCCTGAGGCACCCTAAGCTCCACTAGAGCCATATGGCCCTATATTGGCACGCCGCCACAGTAGTCAAGAATAAACCAAGCTTTCTTCCTTCTTCTTAGTTGCAGTTATGCTGCAACACTTTTCAATGCACCGATCCACAGCTATCCGATCCACGCATGGGTCCTATCCACTTCTCTTGGTTAGGCCCTATGGACCTTAGCAACATTTAGAAAGGGTCGATTTCCGTCCATCTAGGTAGCTCAGGGTTGAGGCCCCGAAGCGGCATAGGTCACAGGCTTGTTTTTTTGTTCTTCTCTTCCCTCGGCCGGGCATATCATAGCATACTAGGCATTGAAGACTCGAACGGCCTCGAGATCCACCACCCGGGGCAAACGCGTAACTAAAATCTGGCTGCTAACCCGCTTGGGCGGTTGATCTGGTAATAGAAACTCAAGAGCTAGGATGTGGTCATCCCTAGCGAGGCCTGATCCCGATCAGATAAGATTTTGATAATGTTCGATCAGGTCCGATCAGGTCAGAGGCCAATGCCACAATGTCTGTTACTTTGTACACCCACAATGCTCGCTGCGTGTATAAATACTTAAGGCCTGCTGTTGCAAGATGAAGGATTGTCCTGGACTCTCACCCCCATGAGCCCTCTCCTCCTCTTTCTCTCCCTCACTATAGGACATCAAAATGATATTCAGAACGCTTAGGAACTTGGCACGTTTGTGCGGTATCGATGCCACCCGTGGTAGCGGAGATAAGTCACCGCCGCCTCCAACCGAGGCTGAGCTCGATCAATCGATAATGGAGCTGCCTGCAAAAGGCGCCCAAGGTGGTGTCAAGGCCATCGAGGCCGTCACGTTGTCTTGGTCTAAGAAGTCCCTGAGAATGGTTTACGTCTGGTATGTGTAATTGTTCCATGGATGAAAGATATATTCGTATACTGACTCAGACTCGCCAGCATGTGGCTCATCTACTTCGTCAACGCCTTCCAGTCGTCGACGACTAGCAACTTGACTGCCTACGTCGTGAGCGGGTTTGACCAGCACTCCCTCATCCCCGTTATCAGCATCGTATCCAATGCGATGTGCGCCGCCTGCACCATGCCCGTAGCCAAGATCCTCAATCTGTTCGACCGGTCCAAGGGGTTCCTCGCTATGGCCATCCTCGCCACCATCGGGCTGATTCTCATGGCCACCTGCTCTAACATCGCTATCTACTGTGCCGCCCAGGTCTTCTACAACGTCGGCTTCACCAGTCTCATCTACACCATCGACGTCATGACCGCTGACACCTCGACGCTATCTCACCGAGGACTCGCCTTTGCCGTCACCTCCTCGCCGTACATCATCACCGCGTTTGCCGGTCCGGCTGCCGCAGAGAAGTTTCATGCTAATAACTGGCGATGGGCCTTTGGGTGTTGGGCGATTCTCCTGCCCCTGGTCGCCCTACCCCTATTCATTATCATGCAGCGGGAACTTAAGCACGCCAAGAAATACGGGAGGTTGCGAGAGAACTCCAGCGGCCGCACATTTATGCAAAGTGTTTGCTTCTACGTTATCGAATTCGATCGTAAGCTTTTCTCTTTTTTCCTCCCCTTTTCCACCTCGTCACTTGCTTGCATCTCGATATCCCATAAACTGACACCCATGACCCCTAGTCCTCGGAGTATTCCTCCTAGCCGGCGGCCTCGTGCTATTCCTTCTCCCGTTCTCACTCGCCGAATCCATGGGCGACTCCTGGCGCTCGCCCTCCATCATCGCCATGCTCGTGATCGGCTTCTCCATGCTCATCGCCTTCGGCCTCGTCGAGCGCTTCGTCGCACCCAAGCCCTTCCTACCCTGCAACCTCCTAGTATCGCGCACCGTCATCGGCGCCTGTCTCCTCGACATCACGTACCAGGTCGCGTATTACTGTTGGAACAGCTACTTCCCATCCTACCTGCAGGTAGTCTACGGGCTCGACATCGCGACGGCGGGATACATTGGCGGGATCTTCGACATCGTCTCCGCCACCTGGCTGCTGGCCGCGGGCTGGCTGATGAAGCGTACCGGCCGCTTCCGCTGGCTGCTGCAGGTCTCCGTGCCCCTGTACATCCTCTTCGTCGGCCTGCTGATCCACTTCCGGCAGCCCGGGACGAGCATCGGGTTCATCGCCATGTGCGAGGTCCTGATCGCGCTGGCCGGCGGCACCATTATCATCGGCGAGCAGGTGGCGGTGATGGCGGCGTCCGAACACAACGACGTCGCAGCCGTGCTCGCGCTGCTGAGCCTCTTCGGCAACGTCGGCGGCGCGGTCGGCAACTCGATCTCTGGCGCCATATGGACGAATACCCTGCCGTACGCGCTGCAAAAACAGCTCCCGGAGGAGGCGAAGGCGGGCTGGCAGGAGATCTACGATAGTCTGGACGTGCAGCTGAGCTATCCGATTGGCAGCGAGGTGCGCGCGGCGATCATCGAGGCGTACGCGCAGGCGCAGACGTGCATGATCGTCGCGGGCACCGTCATCATGGCGCTCGCGCTGGCGTGGGTCATGCTGATCAAGAATATTAAGCTGAATGAGATACAGCAGACGAAGGGGTTGTTGTTTTGAGAAGAAGAGAAAGAGTGACTAAGAATGTTTAGGATAAGATAGACTCCTGTATACCTACCTACCTAGGTACCTAACATAGGTAGATGCCTAATTTATTAATTACTGGAAAGAAATGAATTTGAATATTGCTCTAAAATGCCGTTCGCATGAGATGCCCCTTAGTTTGACAGATATGCCGTGAGTCTCACCTAGACACTACCTACCAGACGGTCATAATTTCAATCAATGTATTCAATGGCGGAACTGTCTCGGGCATTATATTTCCAATCAAGTAGTTTGAGTAGCTCAATACACGCACATATATCAAGGATAAGTTCGAGTTCATTAAAACAGCGTTCCGACGCTTCTCTTCGTACTAGCTAGGTAGGTATCTTTCTCTCTTTCTCTTGACATCAAATCATGGCCCATATCTGATGCACCGAGATTCCCTTGCGCAGGTCAAAATACCCATGCGCGGCGTCTCCTCTTCACGGACTCCCTAATTTCTTGACACGACCGGTTCTTTTCTTTCTTTTATAACGAGATGAACGTGCCACCCATGATCAGGATCATGGCGACGGAAATGATGGGGAGCACAGGACTGAGGACCTCGATGCCGACGGCCTCCTGGATGGGCAGACCGAGGACAAAGCCAGCGGTCAGGTTGGCAGCGGCGCCGTCGATGGCGGCCTGCGACAGGTTCCCGCACGCGCCGTTGAGCTGGGCGTCCATCATCATGCCGGCGAGCTTGGGCTTCTCGGCGTCGATGATGCTGCGGGCGGCGAAGGTGCCCAGGGGCGAGGAGCGCATGAAGGCGGCGCGGTAGGTGATGTTCAGGGCGACGGTGGACAGGTTCGCCACGCGCGCGTAGTCGACGCACAGCGGGGAGTTGGGGTTGCCGGTGGGGGCGGCGGCGGCGATGGCGGCGGTGGTGGTGCTCGCGCCGGCGTCTTGTCGCGGTGCGAGGTCGGGTGTTGCTGCGTCGGCTACGGCGAAGGCGCAGAGGGAGAGCAGGAGGACGAGGAGGCTGAAGAGCGGGCGGAGGGTGATTTGAGTCATCTTGGCGTTATCGTCGTCGTCGTCGTCGGAACAGTGCTATTATTAATAAAGAATTGGCGTCGAATAACTATATATATGGTGTGGGCCGGCCACGTAAAAAAATAAAAAAGGTCGAATGGAAGAAAAGCGTAGGCGGAAGACGATAGGCGGAGAGAGATCAACTAACTCGTGAGAAAGGTGAACAGGAAGAAAAGAAAAAGAGAGAGGGGATTAGGTATACCTTTTGAGAATACTAAGCAACTTACGATAAAGTCGGGGAATCATATGTTGGGCTTTGTGGCTAGGGGGGGGGGGGGGGGGGTTCGCAGTTTCGGACCAGAGGATCAAACGTCTCGGCTTGGTGTAGTTCCTATCTAACCAGGCCCCTGACGCTGGAACATGAGGCCATAACTCACGACCACAGCACCTATTTAACCAAATACAGTGCCTACCTAACTAATACCTATCAATTACAGTAGGCACCTAGCTAACGCAAGTGTTATCAGCTATAAAGAGCATCCAGTGAGCCACAATTCGCAATCCTTCACGGTTTCCAATCAACGTCGAGCTCTTTGCGCCCGTCAGATGGTGAGTGAGATTAGCTTCGCTTCCTGGTTCGCTTCTTATTATGGGAGGGTAGCATTTTGGCGGCTGCATTGCCGCTAGTGCGATGCTGCTCTTATGTCACAATTTCGATCTTGCCCGCGGATTGGTACAAGAAATTTGCCATGCTCCTTAACGCACAGAACGCCCCCCCACATCGTCACGTAGTTTCATATCCTCATATGCCGCACTCCCGAATAGCTACATATCTGCCTCCTAGGTTAATAAACGACAATTTTATAAGTTGTAGGTTCGTACGCACTTGAGCAGACACATAATAGAATTTAGTTGTATCTTGATTGGGTTGCTAAGTATCAAAAGTGAAGATGATGGGCGCATCTATCTGGCAGATCTCGGATCGATATATCGAAATAAACACTAGATTCTGAGAGCTGAGTAACCCGGCTGATAGAGGACGTAACAGACCGAGAATAACTATTCACTTGCTGGTGACTCTGCGTCAGGAAATGGCTCTATGTTTGTTATAAGAGGAAGCTTCCAACATTTTCACTTTACATTCAATAACATTAAGGTACAAAGGTACTAACCTGATAACTAGTTAGCTAAGGTTTCACTATTTGATTACATAATAACACTACCGCTGCATAATTTCCAATGCTAAAGAATTTTGTTAGAGCCGTACAATCGGGAAGGCGCCTGAGTTAGGGCTTAGAGGGTATGCAAGGGGTATTTATAGTGTCGTAGGGCTGTGTCCGCATTACCTCCAGGCTCCAGCTACCAACTGCATGTACACATGTATTGTACACCTCACCTGAGCATCATGCATACCATACTTCGTACTGTAGCTACTAATTAATACTATCCTACCACAAGCTCACCTCATAGCGGTCAAACAAATCAAGATTGATTGTACTTTATCTTATCCACTCAAAGGCCAAGGCCCATACTGTGAGTCCATCAATATCTTCTACGCACAAGAAACCAAGAAATATTAAGGGTAACTACAAGTTATGCCTCGGTTTTCATCCCAGTATGTCCAGGTAGGTATCTATACATGCTTTCACCGCTGCGATACCCTTCGGGTGTTACGTTACAACCCGCCAAGTTAAACTTCTGACGAAGAGCGAGGCCCGGCATCGCGGGACAACCTCGCAATACGGAGTAGCTTTAGCATAAGATCTGGTGGAACCGTCCCCATACTTTCTGTCGTGTGCCGTGCCGTGTACAGGCCAAGATTCAAGTGAACCACTTACAGCTTACGCGTAGCCTTGCCAAACTCACACCACTTGCCTATACCCACTGTCAGCCTTAAAACGTGGTGTATTGGGTTTGATCACCTCTTTTTACGACCGGTTCATTAGTTGACTTAGCGGAGCCTCGCATTGGACGCATTACAAATACTCATGACTTGAGTATTATGAACGTAAACTCTCGTATGGGCTTCCATACGACAGAACTTGCAGAGTGGCGAGGCTATGTTGCCAGCACATTGCAAACCTTCATCTCGGAGTTTACTACCCACAGTATAATGGCCAATGAACCACGTCAAGCAACGAAGTTGCAAGGCCATGTCTCTCTTGGCTAAGCAGATGCCCCGAGTTATCGGGCTGTAATAGGTTTTGGTGGAGATATCGAGAGTCGTGTCGACGAGTTGCGAGCCTTCTCCGTGCGAGAACATTGGCCTTGATCGTCGATATCGAAAAGTCAAGTCTTCCTCATTGGCGAGAGGAGGCTTCTTGCTTGTGAAAATTCTTGCTTGTGGAGATCTCAACATGTAGCCTGCTGTGTAATCAATGCCATCGAGGGCAAAAGATAGAATTGAAGAGTATAAAGCCCCTATTCATTCCACGTCTTGTCAGTCTTTCCCATCACTCATCACTCACCAGCTCACTTCAATCATCAACAATCAAAGCATCCAACTCATCTCCTCTCCATTCAATCAAACTCCTTCGAAAATCCCCTTTCACTCAACCCAAAAATAACCACCAACATGTTCGCCAAATCCTTCACTGTTGCCCTCGTCACCATCACCGGGCTTCTCCTGCCCGCCGCAGTCTTCGCGTCCCCAGCAGCAGATGCCGACGCACTCCTCGACGCTCGCGGTCGAACCAACGGCGTGAGTTTACAACCCCCTTCCCCTTTGCATTTTAGACCCCTATTCTAACAAAAGAATTCTCCATGATAGCAATGCCGCTTCGACGACGACGGCGGCTGTGGCGGCAGAGGCTTCTGCCACCTGGTTACGGGCGAGGCCCACTGCTGCGGGACCCAGGGCTGGCAGAAGTGCTCCGGCCACAACAACCACTGCGATGCGGGCGGCGCCAGGCTTTTGGTCAACTGTGACTAAGTACTCAGGTGGAGAGAGAGAGATGTGCAGGAAGTTCTGGGATAGGTACTATGGAGTCTATCCTTATTGGGTAGTCTAGGGCATGGGAATGGGTCTTGGGCAATCATGGAAATTGGATATGGGGTTTAACTAGGCATTAGATCAGACGCTCCTTCATTGTGGAAATTTTATATGGTTAGGTATGGATAATCGGATTTTGGGGTGAATGTGAATGTGAAATGTTGTTGTGATATTTAAGATACTTCGGCATTGGCCTTGGTTTGGGTTTTATCGAGGCAAGATAAAGGAGGTTATATGCGAGACGGAAAGCCCATCGACAGTCGACAACGCTGCTATGTATCGAGCAAAGGAAAAGGGGGGAGCGCTTGGGTAAGACAAAGTCAGGTGACTGATTAGATAGTCACGTGGCCTCTTCTTCATGTGACACCCTATTGGGTAGTGCGTTTGCATTTTCAAGCTACCTTCTCACGGATGCCTCCTATTGAATGTATACATCGTACGCCCCTAGAGCCCCCATGCGGGGGCTAAAAACGGCTGCCTGGTAGGCACCTTTCCACGTCCATCACTTTCACTTCAACCATAGCCTTCTCGTTCGTACTTGCATACCTAGTTAAGTACTGGATTACTGACAATCATTATGGAAACTTGGAATGCGGCGGTTTCTTCTCTGCTATATAAACCACTTAGCGGAGGACTGGCATTCCGTTTACTTCATCTTCATCCTGGTACTCCTGACGAAGATCTCCATGCTGAGCTTATCCCCACCACCATCGACGATGTTGCTGAGCAATACGAGGCCACATCCTACACCTGGGGGTCGCCAGACAATCCGCAGCGCATGACGTGCAACGGAATCAGCTTGGTGATTCAGAAAAATGCATTCGACATGCTGAAGACCCTCCGGAAGCCAGACCAGCCCAGGACAGTATGGATAGACGCTATCTGCATCGACCAGTCGAATATCAAGGAACGGGCATCCCAAGTCTCGATCATGAACCATATATACCAACGGGCAAAAAGGGTCCTAGTTTGGCTCGGTAATCCGGATGCTTATAGCACCTTGGCCATGGCCTATGCCGCCGGTCTGGATGTGTTTGACCTCTGCAAGGATAATATAGGGAACCCTGATATATCGATGGCGGATATCTACGCGAGAAAGCCTTATTTTTTCGACGCGGAAAACGAAACATGTCAAGACGAAGCTCTCGGTATTGCTCTGGTTAAGTTTGTCAACCGGCCATGGTTCAGTCGGGTATGGGTTCAACAGGAAGCTGCCCTTTGCCGCGAGACGATAATGATTTGTGGGGAGCAAGAAGTCAGCTGGGGTCATGTATTTGCAGTGGCTTGGATACTGGTCCCTAGGAATATTGGGCTGTATCCTGATTATATTACCGACGACCTTGACCGTACACTAAATAATCTAACTGCTATAGAAAGCATCCATCGCCAAAGACAGAACCGGTTCGGATTCATGGTAAATGATTTGGCCTCAAGGGGGGTTGGCCTTGTTCCGCTCCTTGTTACTACGCTGGTTCTTGCTACCCGTCTCGGCGCCACGGACCCGCGTGACAAGCTATATTCCACGAAATATCTTACGGTGGATGCCGATACCTGGTTCGCTGTAGACTACAGCGTCCCATGGCAAGTACTTTACGCTGATGTCGCTCGAAGGTGGTTGCAGCATGGCACTCTTGGCTTTTTGAAGATTGCTGGCAGAGTTCGACACAAGTCAGGTGAGATACTACCATCATGGGCGCCAGACCTTCGAGATGGGCGTTGGGGTAGCCACGTTATAGTCGACCATCCTAGGTGGATGGCTGGAGGTCCGACGCCGGACTCTTCAGCGAAACATGCTGGTAGCGTTCACAGCCTGCCAAAGCACCACAGACGGCGACTAGATCTACCTGATGAATTGAGGAACTTCAAAGATAAACGCAAGGCACTACTTCAGAGTTATGCTTGCTTCAAATGTATAATGTACGACGAAATCATATACCTTGGCGGCGTCCTCGACGACCTATTTGATAACCCGGCCATGTTGAGTATTTTCCAGAAAGACCTTGACTATATTAAGGGGCTGGGTTTTCAGGAATATTTCAACAAAGACAGCTTGTCAGATGCCTACAAACTCACGCTTATCCTCTCGAGGAATAGGAAAGATGAAATCGTAGATTCTAGCTATGTACGCGATAACTGGGATGACTGGATTCGGTGGGTGCAAGATCCAATGGCAGAACGGACTAATATGCCAGTGTGGCAGTACAGCATGGAGGCATCGACTGTGCTCGGACATTGTCGGTTTGCCATCACTAAGCACGGCTATTTCTGCCTCGTGCCACGAGACACCACCCTGCACGATGCAGTAAGCATCTTCATAGGACACCCGCTTGCTATGGTAATTCGCCCTTGGAACCCCCCTTCGACGCGCACGGATGGCGGAAAAGTCCGTGAAGAGTCTTCTAACAGAACGGGGGAAGAGGGATATTTTGAACTCATTGGAGAGGCGTATATTCATGGCATGATGGATAACCAGGCCCGATGCATTATGGACGAGTTTAGCATCAAACGTAACCCTACGGAATCAAAGATGGATGCCATCATGAAAGCATCAGATTCGGGACATGGGGTGCCATGGAAAACTCTAGGGCTTCATGGCGGCTATGAAAGAATCATAAAAACATTGGGCGAATATCTGGTGAAGATCGTTTAACTGGTGAGGTTTGGTGGTGAAGCTATTAGAGTTACAAGATGAGTTCCCTCCAAGATGATTTCGCGAGTGTGTTCGCTAAGGGTGTCCACGTGACCCCCTTTCAAGCAGCAACCCCCCCTCCCCTATCTTTGGCCCTGAACCTAATATTATAACTCTTCTTTACACATCGACTCCCTTCACAGACCTACAACTCTTAAAACACTCCCTCGGAATAGTCCACGACGATGACCTTCTCTGCAAGGGGTCCAACAAAGGCCTTGAACTCTTCATGAAACGGGTCCTTCTCAACGTAATAATTGCGATCCTCCGTCGTCTCAAAATCTACGACAAAAGCATGGGTAATACCATTCTACCGGGCTAGTTAGCAGCCACGAACATCCATTTCTTAGATTAGCACTAGGTAGGCTACCACTCAGGTACCTAGGCAGTCTTTGGCCGCCATACATACCTGAGCCCCTTCAATTGAATTATCCTTGCCGCCTGTGAGAGACTTGATATACTGCTTCTGAGTTGTGGGGTGGATACAGCCATCCTTCAAGCCAAGCATACGCATATTGGCCTTGGCCCAAGATCAGTCTAAGCCCTAACTAGGGCTAGGGGTGTCCATTAGAAGCATAGTTTACAAACCTCTTTTATGGCATCGGCGCCGACGCCGGCTTTGAATTGAAATAGAACGAGGTGCTTTACTGTCATATTGTCGTGCGGAGAAGAGGAGTACTAGGTTAGGTAAGTAGTAGAAGAGTGACTAAATGAGGAAACCAGAATAGGTAGGCAGAGAAGTGGATGGGAACGGATATAAAGATGAGGGGACTGGAGAAAGAAACCTTGGAATACTACTACCCACCTAGGTACCTAAGTATAGTTCCTACGAAGTACTCCTCACTACTACAGAGGTGGCTTGCAGAATCTCGCAGAACATTTCAAGCCACCTCCTATTCTGCAAGCCACCTCCTTAAAGTACATGAAGTAGGGTCATAGATTGTTCGTGCATGCCTCATTACCTATGCAGGCGGTTAAATTTTAACGGCAACCGACGGTGGTGCATACATCTAACTCATTTTCTATATCTTCGTATAGGTCTAGTCCCAGAAACTTGCTACTATGCTTCCAACCGTGGATGCTTGGTAAGAATTATATGTATTCCAAGTATGGTGTAGGAAGCACCCATGCAGCGCATGTTAAGCTTATGCACGATTCGACATCACCGATTTGCTCTAATCGAGGCGTCGAAATGCAAAGCTCCAATATCTACTATAAGGACCTGTATTAGGTACCTAAGTAGGTACCGACGCAGACGAGGTTGGTACATATTCAATGATGAGGTATGCAGACACGTCAACGGATCCTGCACGAGACTCTAGTAAAGCTCGCGCGATAATATAGATAGGTATGCAATGGTCTTTTTCAACCTTGGCGTAGATCCGCGGAGCACCTACTATACCGCCACCTAGGACATTATATAAGCTCCCATCGTCCTATGATGTCCCCCAGGAATTCGCAGAATAGAGTATATAATACATAGAGTGAGCCAAGCGGACTTTCATGTTAACCCCTATTCCCCGTGTTAAGCATCCTAGCTTGAGGGCAATATTACTTAATACGGAGGTAGGCACGCCCCCTTCGGCAACCCTCGTCGGACTTAATCCTTCTATCCAGCTCTCTTCTCCGGATATGGATGGGTACTACTCCTGCTCCTGCTACTTCCACTACAACAACAAAATGGCCATCGCAGCCATTCCTAAGTATATTCACAGCATGGTTCCTCCTCAAAACCACCCCTAAACTCCTCCTCCTCTCCCTCTCCCACTCACCCCTCACCCAACCCTCCCCAGTCGGCGGGGCCTGGTTTGCCGCCCCACTCCATGCCGGAGCCGCAGACGTGAACAAAAACCAAAAGGTCATCCTGCACATCCTCGGCGGCGCCTTCGTGATGCGCTTCGACCTCCACTCAATCGGCTCCGTGCTCGCCTCCACAATGACCCAATACCCGCACGCAACACACACGCTCGTCGCCCAACACCGGCTCGCGCGCGATCACTCCAGCTGCTTCCCAGGCGCGCTGTCGGACGAACTCACCTTCTCCGAACACGTACTCTCATGCGGCGTGGCACCGCAGAACATACTCATCTCGGGCGACTCGGCCGGCGGCAACGTGGCGATCTCGCTGCAGCAATATCTGCAACAGCAGCAAACCCCTCCGACGAACAACACGCCCCCGCTCCCCAGCGGCGTCATGGCGATCTGTCCCTGCGCCCACGTAACCTCAACCACCGCCGGCTCCGACTAGGTACTTGCGCTGCGCTAGCTCCCTTACCGTTACCGACATCCCGAACGCTTCGTCCTTGCAGTGTGGGGGGGGGGGCAGACTCCTACATCCCCTCCTGGGCCTCGCTATCCCGTATATCTCGCCTCTGCACCGCCCCTTCAAAACCGACGTGCCGCTGTTCATCCACGCGTGGCGTTCTACGAGTTGGTCGCGGGGGAGATGGCGGCGGTGAACCGGTGTCAGGGTGGGTGCGGTTCTGTGAGGCGAGGGAGGGACTTCGCGCACGATTTGCTGCTGAGCCATGAGCCGTTGGGAGCGACGGGAGAAAAAAAAATGGCGGTGGGGCTGAGGGATGCGTGGGAGTTCTTTGGTAGCCGGGGGAGTTGGGCGGAGTGGGTAGGTATCTAGTAGGTAAGCACCGTGATATAATATGACATGACGTGATAGGTACCTAGGATCTAAAGGCCTAGGAGGCGGTATGGTATGCCTTGGTCTGACTGACATGCTTATGGGGGATTCGGATTTTTTTAACATCGTTAAATTTAGTGGATATATTACGACAACTATGGTCACTCATGGGAAACCTTTTATGTTGGGAGAGGGGTGCCAGAGATAGGGGTAATGTAACTTGATTTGGAGTATGTAGTGTATCGCTGGGTACAAGGCCTCGTGAAAAGGGGTCGTTTCACACGTGTAACTTGACTTTGGACGCGAAAAACTACTGCTTAGGAGTTGTCTTCCAGTAAGGAATACTGAATAGAAATGATACCTGCCTACCTAGTTCCAAAGCATCTCTCATACCTATTAGCTAGTTACCTATATCATGAATACTGTACATATTAGCCATCCCATCATCCCGCCTTCGCCACCACCGCTTTTGGCACACCCGTTGTCTCCAAAATACTAGGTTCAGCCAGAAACGCATCACTCTGAACCACGTCCTTCAGCACACGGAGTAAGTTACACTCGATCACAATCGCCCTATCATCTTGCACCTTGGCCTCGCCGAGCACGCGAGAAAGGTACACCAGAGCACTGTGAAAAGCTTTCTTCCTCATCTCCTGCGTACTAGGACCATCCGCGTCGATGACCTGTAGAACAATCGCCGGCATGTAGGTAGGCTGCACCGCCGGTTTGCCGACCGCGCCATCGATGTTCAGGCCCTCGATCAGTGCAGACCTGACAGAGGGCTGGAGACCCCCCCACACATCGTCGTATAGCTCGGCCATTTCCCTGCTGCTGACACTCCCCATGCACAGCAATCTGAGCAAAGCCCGGTCTGCTGGTATGACGACGTCTAATTCCCGGAACCCCTTGGCATTCAACCGCTCACTCCTTTTAAGCAAAGTCATGTCATACTTTTGGCGTAAGGTCCATAATGTTGGGGAGCTGACAATACTTATAGTAGAGGTATAAGCGTCGCGGAACGCCTCAAAAATAGGCTGGTTCAATTTTTTGGCACAGGTCCAGTCCATGTGGCCTGCCGCTCCCGCGACGTCCAGCAACTGTTCCATGAAGTGCAATTTGAAGGCCCGTTGGTTTCTCCCTAGCTCCCCTATAATCGATAAAGAAGCTGGCGGATTTTCCGCTTGGGCGAGCTGGCCAAAGTTGAACTCGGCACCCAGCCGTATACCATATCTAACGTCGTCCTTTTCCTGCGGAGTAAGACGATCGAAGGCAGGGACCATTCCCGCTTCCACAGCTTTGAGTAAGATCATGTCGTGGTTCTGATCCGAAATATCCTCGTCCGTTTTCTCCCAGTATTCAGAAACCAGCTTTTCGTCTTTGCCCAGGTCATTTATTAAGATCGATGTTATCAGTGCGTAAAGATTCCCATAATTCGATATGAAAGTGTTAAACAAGTGATAGATCCAGTCAAAGGATTCTTTACTCAATTTGACTGCCGCCGCCTGTGTTCCTACAAGGGTGTCATATTGTTTCGTACAAATCCATTTTAGAGTCAGGAGGCCTACAAGAGTGCGATTGACCTCGCCATAATCTGAATTGAATAAAAGTCGTGATGGCGTTGGCGTCGAAGAGATGACAGAGGGCCCACTTGGAATATAATATGCCCTTTTCAGCCGCTCTAGTTCATCAGCGAACTCTTCGCGAATAATTTTTAGTAACTCTTCCTCGGAAATCTTGAGAAATAAATCAAGCCGGATGAGGGCCTGGCGCGGATCCTCAAGAGTAGATGAATTATTCATCGCAACAATACGTAATTCTGTATCTTTCAAAGTGTTTTCCTCCTTTTTCGTGATGAGTTTGGGTTCAGTTTGGTTAAGTAAATCAGATATGCCTGTTCAAATATATATAGAAAATTCATTATCGCAGTTGGCCAAACTTGGTTGGTAAATACCAGTACTTAAACGCCGCAGCAAAGGGGGAAATTGGTTGAGATAACATGTTGGATGCAAGGCAGGTTGGGACATTTCGAACCGTGTCAGTTGACAAGGTACTGAATGTGACATGAAACCTAACGTTAGAAGGGGGCTGTGGGAGCATTGAAGGAGGATCAAGGGGGTTAAACGAATACCTCCCTCCCTCTATCTACCAGGCCCAACCTATATAGTATCTAACATAAAGTAAGCCTGGTGAGCCTAAAAGTCCTTCACTCACATTTAGTAAGTTCCAATATCTCGGCAGTGCTCCATCCAGGGATAACACTCGAGACTTTCAGCCTTCTAATTGGTCACAACTCTTAACGCCATTTGTACTAGGTTAACTTGTTAGGCTAGATACTCCTCTTTTCGTAAGGCCCAACACATTTTATAGCTTACCTTTAGGTACGTTGGCAACTAACAACTAACTTAACCGCTTGGATAGATACCTGCCTAGGACCTAGGCTACAGGTAGGTAATTGACACTGACTTAGTACCCAAACTTAGGGTACCTACTTTGTGAGCGTGCACACTGCAGGCATGTACTCTGTTCTATAGTCCAGAGTTCCAAAACTAAGGAATCCGGGTCTGAAAGAACGAGCATATGAGGTTGGGTCTCATGTCCAACAATGCCCCGTAAGGCGTCGTCCAGAGACCCTAACCTCAATAGTTGGTTTGCTCTCGCGTCTTATGGTGGTCTCCATGCTATGGAGGGGAGGATCCGTAAGGAAACCCCCCAGCAAGAAGACGTATCGTATCTGAACGCTGGAAAGGTGTGGGATGGCACCGGAGTCGCATGATTAGCACCCTAAAGTGCATAAAAGCTGAGCATAGCGCGGGACATGTACAGATAGTCTAGCTAGTTGGAGATGGGTATATGCACAAATATTGTACAGATAATCAGGGTAGAGCGTTAGGTTTCGGTCCTCACTCGACGCCGCTAACGTCTAATTCATTCACCTTCCAAGACTCGTCAACCCAGTCCTGCCTCTTACCGAGGAAGGCGACCCGTTCCTTTTCTTTAGCGAGAGCGTTGACGATGTACAACGCAGCAACCTTTTGGACTTGATCTTTTGTCACGTCCAAGAGTCGTTCACGTCTTTTCTGCTGCATCTCCGGCGTGATGCCTGCCATGAATTGAAGCATGCCCTCTGAACTAACAGCCTTGGGTGCGTCAACACCTTGGAAGACTGATATTTTCGCTTCTTCGAGGTCCTGCTCTGACCATTCCTTATCAGCTGCCCAGCGGCCGGCATTCCTCATGATGGAAAGGGTGTTTTGCGGGTTTGGGTCGCGATACGAGTAGAATCCAAATATTCCATCGAGGCCTCTCATATAAGCCCCGCCTCCATAAGCACCACCCTTTTCACGAATTTCATGATGGAGGTGCTTGTGGGTCAAAAGTTGTGCTAAGATCTGGAGCGGTGCACTGTGCAGGTGAGTGTAGGAGGCGGCTGGGAGAGCAAGGCAACCATAGTAAACTTGGTAGGGAAGTGGAAAAAAGGTTTTGATATCTTGCGTAAGCGGCTGCTTACTTTGAAGCTGCTTTGATAATGGAAAGTTAATAGGCTCACTCGGCTTAGATGCCAGAAAATCGAACAACGAATCAGCGTTGGCTTGATAGCTATCCGAGCCACAAGTCAGCGACGTGCGGATGTTAAGACCTGCCAATGCAGTTTTCTGAATAAGTTTGAGCTTTTCAATCACGTCTTCAAACTGATTTGATTCTGGTCGCTTGGCGAGCGACGTAATGAGTTTTACCTGTGATAAGCCACCTACTTGTTCAGATAGGTAACCCTCCTGTGTTATACCGGACTCTGCATATCTTTTAGCATAAGAGTGGCCAGATGAGGCAATGTCGTTCACGACACCATCAGCTGCAGCTTCCAAGAGTTGCCGGATCCTAAGAGCTGCCTCAGGACTGTCGAAATTGGTCTCCAAGATGATCTTGCGTAGGAGGCCAAACATCTCCGGCACGTTACGATCCAAGGCAGTGCCTTTTAGAAGAAGTCCCTCATCTGCCTTGCTGAAATCTTCCGGTGATGAGGTCGATACATAACTGACGGATATACCCCCAGTCTTGAGTTTGATTTCGTCTTCGAGTTGCTCCATGGTCATGTCTTTTGTCCCAAGCCGCATGATGGAGTCTGTAAAAAGTGGGATCAGGGATCGAAGATCACTAGGCAAGTTCTCAAAGGTATTGATTGCCCGAAAGTAGGTAAGACCATTAGTAGGGGCTTCATGCGATAAGATTGGGATGCCACGATAGTTTTCCTGTCTTAATATAGCAGGCTCCTTCTGCCTTGGTATATCCCTGACATGAACAGTTGGGAGACAGCTCAAATCTTGTGTGCTTGATTTGTTCTGCTCGACCAAAAGTTCAAGTTCCCTTTGCTCAAAGAGTTTCTTGGCCTTTTGCTCTCCACCAGCCTTGTGAGCTGCATCTGAAATCTTGGCTGCCAACCTGTCCTCTTCTTCCTTCGCCACTTCCACGCCGTATGTTTCTGAAGGCGCCATTGTGAAAGTGAGAGTCTTATCATTCAATAAGTACTTATCCATTAACCCTTCAAGATAATTACCTTCAGCAAGTTTCGCCTCGAACGCGGAAACTGTGGAATTCCATGCTAGTGAGTCGAAGGGGTCGGTACCTGAGAACCACTTTCCCTTCAAACGATGTAGCACGGAAAGGCCGAAGTTCGCAGTCTTATGCTTTAGACTTAATTCAAGCTGGTGAAGATATCCGTCGATTTTGACTTTCTCGAAACCGTTACCGCGAATCTCACGTAACAATTTCTGCACCTCGCTCTTCACCCTTTCCACATTGGATTGCCCGACTCCAGTCAATCCAATGGAAAAGATGCCTGTAGCAGCAGACCCGTCATAACCGGTATTGGGACTCCAATCTGTACCTAAGCCACTTTCGATTAGCCCCTTATACAAAGGGGATCCGTATCCATCCATCAAAAGAGATGAAAGTAGGGCAATCGAGAAGGACTCTAGTACATTGCTGGTATCGCCCAAAACCCATGAGACTGAAGTTTTGTATTGCTTGTCAGAGTCGGCAAGCGGATCCATGGGCCCATGCACAGTCACAGTACGTGGTCCACTGTTAAGATCGATCGGTCGTTTATGCTCAATATCTGTTTGGATCTGCTCAAACGCCTTCATCCGAGCATCGACCTCTTTAAGATGATCAGCTAAGGGCATGTCACCGTATGTCATTAGCTTCGCATTGCTCGGATGATAATGCTGAGCATGAAAATTCCGTAGTTGCTCGTATGTCAAGTCGGTGATTTTCTGTGGATCACCACCAGAGTTGTTGATGGATGGGAAGATATGATCTTGGAAACGGATATAAAAGAGGTAGCCAGCATCTGACATTTGGCCCTTCATCTCGTTGTAGACAACACCCTTGAAAACGAGCTTGCTGTCGGCATCGGAATCTCCATCCTTCTCCGCAACCCTAGGATTTTCAGGTCCGATTCGCCAGCCCTCCTGCGTGAAGTCCGTCTCTTTCAACAAAGGATGCAGAGTCGCGTCGAGGTATACTGACATCAAGTTCTGAAAGTCTTGAGCGTTGGTTGTGGCAAATGGGTAGTAGGTGTGGTCGGAGGCGGTAAAGGCATTCATGAAGTTGGAGAGAGTTCGTGGTAACATCTTGAAGAAGGGATCTCGTATAGGATACTTCTGGCTACCGCATAAGGTTGTGTGCTCAAGGATATGCGGTACGCCTGTGTCATCAGGCGGATTCGTCTTGAAGCCGATGGAGAAGACATTATTGCTATCATCTCGGGCGATGTGCAGATAATCAGCGCCTGTCTTGTCATGCCGTAAGTGTAAAGCAGTCAACTCTAGCTCTGGAACATGTTTTGTTCTTAGCAAAGTGAAGCCATGAAGTTTTTCTCCAGGCTTCGGGTAATGGGATAATTCCGTTACAGCTTTCTTCGCCGCGCTTGTTGCTGTGTTTACCGCGTTGCGCAACATCTTCTTCTTGATGTAGTAATTAGTAGCAGAGGCTAATAATATTACAGAGCATCGGTGAGAGATGAAGGACACCACCTATTAATGTAACGGGATAAAACCACGGTTACCACAAACTAGGCGGCACAGTGACGAAGAAGAAAAAAAGATCAAGGAGAAGAAAAAAGGTCAATGGGTAAGGAAACGAAAGATCAATCGACGATTGATAAAATGCTCGAGGCGTATGATGGCAACTGCATTTCTAGAAAATTTCCGATGGACAAGTGCTATGGATGGATAGGTACTAGGTAGCAGTCACGGGTAACATCATGCTGGATGACGCATATTTGGCGGGTCCACCCCTGCTCGCCGATATAAGTACCTAGATATGTGATTATTGAGGCTGATCTATGTGATGTTGGCTTAATCGCATTAACTTGCTCTCAATTGGTTAGGTTTCCTTGCAAATATAAGGGTTTGATGAATACTGATAACATATTATAGCTGCTTCATACATATTAAAATGAAGTTAAATAGTGTAATCTCCACATAAAACCGGCGGCTCGGATCCGCTAGTGTTAAATTCTTCATCTTTTTTTTTCTTAGGCAGGTTTTAGCGTATCAGATATTGCAGTTACTACTATGTACATAGGTACCTCCACTAAAGTTAAGTTTACTTACCCTAGGTAGGTACCTAGTAGGCGGTCGCATCGTGCAGCAATTGCAGCAATTGCAGCAGTTGCAGCGGCAGTCCGGTGTGTGTCTTCATTTCCTTCCGTCTTCCGTCGCTGTGATTGATTAAGTAACCGACACTAAAACGCCGCGCTTCATCTCAACCCTCAAAAGTCTGCATTTATCACTGAATCACATACCACTCTACAGCCTCCACTAGCAACCACGTAGCCTTGAACACCTAAGGCAAAATCGAGCTGACTCTAGTTTTTCTTACCCCTCCGCAAACATTATTTTTCTTCTTCATATCTAAGCTTATTGCATCTTCAACCTTTCCAATGAACAATAATTCTGATCGGTGCGTTCATATAATCACATCGTCACTTTCACTTCCTATTCTTTGCCTTTACTTCTATCATTCCGGGTCTTGGGTCGCCTTGCAATTCTGATTGACCGATACTTCCGCAGCGAAGCTCCGTCATTCTAGGTAATCATGGCGACTACGAATAGTCGTGCCCCATCCGCCACGCCTGCCCCTCTTTCTTCTATTCCCACCACGAATGGAAATTCAGTTCATGCTCACCTCCACGCTCACGACGATATCCTACCGAACGGTCACCATGTTCCCGTTCAAGAGCCTCGACTCGCTCCGACTCCAACGCCCGCTATGGCTTCGAACACTTCCGCTAAGAAAGGAAAGGGGAAAAAACCCCTCGATTCAAACGAGGCTTCAAAACTCGTCGCCGCTAGGATCTCCCAGTTGGAAGTCGACACGGCTGCCGAAAAGGAGCAAGAGGCGGAAATTGGTAGGTCTTTTCCTAGTTTGCGTCGCTTGTACATTCTTGGGTTATCTATAGGTGATATTGGACTTCAAAATTCAGAGGGTGATCTATCACGCTACCTACCTACAAAGCATTATCCAAATGAGGGTAGACCGGCAATTACGGAGAACGAACCTTGTTCCCATACCCGCCATGGCGCATTTTCGACAGTTACGGGCTTGTCGGAACATTCGAATGAGCGACTTGCGACGTTATAAATGTATTTACGCACCATTTGTCGCAGACGAGAAGCCAAAATCCCCCGACACGCAGGTCGCGATACCCTTTAAAACGGCGCCTACGAATACAATATGCAACCTTTACTCCGTCGCACGGCACCAATACACAGCATCAAATCACGGCCTGCGCTGAGCGATCACTCTCTTGCCAAATTTTATGGTCTAATTGGTTCTGTTTGTGATATCTGGGCCTTGCTAATGTCTTGCCGTTTACTAGATCGAGAAGTACGCAAGGCCAATCGCGAGCTCAACCATCAGATGAATAAGATGAACGATATGGACAAAATCGAGCTTCTAACTAAGCGATCCTCGGAGCTTTTTGCAAATATGAAGCGGCTCGAGCGCGAAAATATCAAGAACAAGAAGCGCGCGGATCAGTTGCAAAAGGAAAAGGATTCCAGCCGCACAGATCTAAGCAAACAAATTGGCCTAAAGGAGAAATTAGAAAAGCTCTGTCGTGAGTTGCAAAAAGAGAACAACAAGCTGAAGGTATTATGAGCCTATTCTGGGGGACTGGGACTTCACGCTGATGGAAATGGTTTATAGAATGAACACCGCGCTTTGAACGATACCCATGATCGACTGAAGGCCTCATCTGACGAGCGCTTCAAGAAGGTGCTCGAAACTCTAGAAGGCTATCAAGAAGAGAAAGACAACCCAAGGAAGCAAGTGGTGTACATGAAGGCTGAAGAATTGTGCGCTCATCTCCCAACGTTAGGCGCGAACAGGCTCCGTATTAACCAAAACATTACAGATTCAAGGCTCGATTCAAATCCCTTATTGACCAGTATGAGCTACGAGAGCTACACTTCCACTCCGCCATGCGAACCAAAGAGATTGAAGTGCAATGCAATATGGCTCGTTACGAACAGCAGAAAAAGACGGCGGAGGCGGAGGCCAGCCGCGCGCGCCAGCTCAACAGTCAAGTGCTTACATTCTCCAAAACCGAGACTGAGTTGCGAAACCAGTTGAACGTTTATGTCGAGAAGTTTAAGCAGGTATGCGCCCTGTGCCCCTCAATAGCACGCCGTGCCAAGGCATTAACAAATGAGGAGGTCGAGGATACCCTTAACAACAGTAACGACCTGTTTTTGACTTTTCGTAAGGAAATGGAAGATATGTCTAAGAAGACAAAGAAACTCGAAAAGGAAAACGAGGCCTACAAGCGCAAAGAAGGCGCACTCAACCAGAATATCCTCAAGATGGCCGAGGAACGAAACAGGTACATCAAGGACATCGAGGACATCAAGAAGAAGAACGACAAGCTCACGAGCATCATCAACCAGATGCAGCAGCAGGGCCGCGGCATACCCCAGGGCATGCAAGGTACGGTGGAGAGTTGCTATGCTGAAGGGACAGAAGGCGACGAGGAGGGGGAGCTGGAAGATGGCGACGAGGAAAGCGAGTACGATTACGACGACGAGGGAGACGAGGAAGTGAGCGAGGAAGGCGAGTTCGACGACGACACGGAGGAGGAGCTGCCCCAAGCACCAGGGGCCTACGGCCCGGAGCGCCCACCTGCTATGAACGGGCATCGCTAGGAAGACGATGACCCAGAGTGGCCAGCGGCGGAGTTCCCCCCTGCGTTCCGGGACATGTTGCGGTGGATTCGCGACCTGCGAAACGCCATCCAATATAACCAATCCCTGCCGCCATCCCCTGCTCCAGAACCAGCTACCAAGTAGCACCAAGTAGCACCAAGTACGGAGACGTTTAAGGGGGGGATACTCGCCTGCCTGCCTGCCTGCCTACCTACCTAGCTTAGCCACTTAGTTAGTAGGTGCTGTGTAATTATCCTTTTGCTCACCAGCTAGTACCTCGTGCTTTTTCTCGTGCTTTCTCTACTACTACCGATACTACCGCTACTGCTATTGCTGCTGCTACTGCTACTGATGCTATTACCTACTGCTGCTACTCGTGCACAAATTCCTGTTGAAGATGCGCGATCAATGGCTACTGGCTACATGTACATGAGATACTTCGCTGTGCTGTATGGGTGTTCTAGATAGATACCTGCATGGGAGAATACTAAATACTCGTTGGCTTGGGAATTTTCAAACATGCATACCGTATGTACAGTCAAGTCAGTCTGCCCACTTGACGTCTGTCGCAGATGAATTGCCAGGCTACCTAGGTAGGTAGACACTGAATTAGACTTACGTGCCTGGGTAGGTACCTAGTATCGTTCTGTTACACATTATAGTAGGTAGTAAATGCGGATTGATGCTTCACTCGACAAGGCTTGTACTCGTAGTATTACTCCCTATTTACTTACTTAGAAGGTAGGTATCACAGAAAAGGGGCTTTGCATGATTAGGTATCTAGGCAAGTAGGACATTTATTTTGCGTGTTTGTTCATTCACTTCGTGGGTATCTCTAGATATTCTATTCTAGCAACACATTGATTCAGTTCCCCCTTTTTTTTTGATCTCCTTCATCGAGACGCCGACGCCGACGCTGTTCCCCGGGTCGAAGCCGGCGATTTAACACCGTAAGTACCGCGGACCCTAGCCGGGCCCAACTCCCGCCTGATCTCGTCCAGCTCGGCTGTGCCGCTCTTCCACTTGCCCTTCTTCACGTGCTTCTTTCCGTGCATCGAGTAGCCACCCAAGAAGTCATCAAGAATGCCGTCGAAGTCGTTGCGCATGGGCCCTGTTACGCTAGATGTGGTGGAGATCTGGGATTGCGCGATGGAGGCGTCTTCGGGGAAATCATCCTCGTCGTCCTCGTTATATTGCTCTTCAATCTTGTCGAAGCGCGCGTCTAGGATTCCAAGCTGCTCTGTGCGGACAAGAGATGAAGACGTCATTGAATACCCTGACTCGCTCGTCAGCGCACCCTTACGCTTCTTTCGACGGCCACCGTTGGTGGTAGTGGTCATGAGCGATTGCAGGTCTGAGTGCGACGGCGCCACAGGCTTCGAGGCTGGCTTTTGCTCCTTCTTGAATTTCTTGAACTCGTCAAGCCAGTTCTCATTTTTAACTGTCACGCCACCCTCGCCATCTTCATCGACAGGGACTAAGTCCGGTGCGTCAGTCGAGTCGGTCTTGTACTCCCTGATCGGCTTGGCAGTGTCATCCGATTCCCAACCGTCCTCATCAAATTCTTCTTCGAACTCGATTTCGTCCAGCTCACGGCCATCCTTGGCTAGCTCTTGGAATATGTCGTCACTATCGTCGACATATGCCTCATCCTCTAATGCCTCCAGCACTTCGCGCAATCGTGGGTCCATGTCAGGTTGGAACCCACCAATGACATCGGGGACATCTTGCTGCGCCTGGTAGGTGAGATGTTGTAGGTTCTTTGATGGTAAGAAATCATCGCCGAATAGCTCATCGCGCTTGTGTTGTTCGCCCTCCATGTCGAGTTTCTTTAAAGCATCCTCCAGGCTCTCCTTCTGCTTCCCTTTGCCCTTGTTCTTGACTCCATTATCAGCCTCGATGAAGACTACTTCGCCGCCACCATTTCCGGAGTCAAGGTCTCGTAGATGCTGCATATAATCATACTCGGTGTCATCGTAGTAGACGCCATAGCTGGCAGCTTCTCCTTCGTTTTCGCGGATGCGCTCGGTATCAATGCCTAGGTCAGAGGCAAGATCGTCGAGCTTTTTTACTTTGGAGGCATTGGGAAGAGAAGTGGGGTTTAGGATCATAGATGGTGCGTCGGTATCGTGAATGAGGGGGTCATTTTGTGGACGGTGGACCAGCGTAAAGTGCTGGGCCGTCTTCTTGTTGCTGTTTTGGATTGGTTAACGAATGCGCGATGAGTTGGCGGAAGAGACATCGGAGTTCATGAAATACATACATCCACTTGCCTTTCGGCATATTGGTTGATTTATTGATTTAATAGATTTTTTTTTGGATATTATAGTTCCTTGCTGAAAAGAAGATTGAATACCGGAATGACCCAACAATATTCAATAGCAAGCTTAAGAATAATTGTATATGTAAGTTCAAAGTTCAAGTTGTAAATGGATACTTCTTGTCACTGAACCCTGAAATTTGAAAATTTTGGTGGGGTGAATTGATTATCGGTCTTATCAGTCGTGGGGTGACGCCAAAAAAATAAATTGCCCCTCCATTAATCAGCGATTCTATGAAAATCAATGACCAGAAGGAAACAACTAACCTCGACTTTTCAACAGAGTTCAAGTTTATTATTAACCCTTTTTGCTATTTTATGAAAGTCGCATTACCATCGGCAATCTCCCGAACCTTTTATTTTGACACATTTCAAACATTTGACTGCAGTGTCTCTTGTCATATATATTGGTATTCAATTTGGTATTCAATATGCCGCAACCAAAGTCCAAAAATGCGGTCGGACTCGGCAATAGTTTGATGAATGATCGCTTTGGAAAGGGCAAAGGTTCTGATCGTAAAAAAGGAGCTGTCACCAGAATCAACCATGCAACTGGCGAAGAGGTATAATATTCCCGCCTCCTACTCTTTCATCTAAGCAGTTAGTCACTCACACAGAGATTATAGTATATTACAAATGACAGAAAGGAGGCAGCATGGGTTAAAATGCGCTCCGTAACCGAGCAAGGCGCCTTGGACGAGTTCCTTGCGACGGCCGAACTTGCAGGTACCGACTTTACCGCCGAGAAGATGAACAATGTCAAAATCATACACACCGACCAAAGGAATCCTTACGTCTTATCCGCGAACGAGGAACGGCATGTCATAGGAAAGCATAACCAGCATAGATCCAGATTAACCGTTCCAAGGCGGCCCCACTGGGATGCCTCTACCACTGCCGAAGAGCTGGACCAACTCGAACGGGAGAGTTTCCTGAACTGGCGACGAGGCCTAGCAGAACTTCAGGAAAATGACGATCTCCTCATGACCCCGTTTGAACGCAACTTGGAGGTGTGGAGGCAACTGTGGCGCGTTATCGAGAGATCGGATCTAGTTGTCCAAATTGTCGACGCCCGCAATCCTCTCATGTTCCGCTCCGAAGATCTAGAATCATATGTAAAGGATGTAGACCCGGGAAAGAAGAACCTGCTGTTAGTCAACAAGGCAGACATGATGACCACAAACCAGAGGAAAGCATGGGCCAAACACTTCACAGAACGCCGGATAGCCTACCGCTTTTTCTCCGCAAGTTTGGCGAAGCAGATGAACGACGAACGTAATCTTGAAGATGAGCCTGAAGAGCCATTAAATGGCGGAAGCGCAAACCCCAAGACTATGCGAAAGCGCACGTCCGATAACACCTCGGAAGACGAGAGTGACGAAGACGCAGGAGACTCCGGTGTATCCCTTAGCCAAGATGTGGACGATGAAACGAGGATATTAACAGTTGAAGAACTAGAGGACATATTCCTCAAGCATGCTTATGATCCTGATAGTAAGTGCATACCAGATTTTGTTCCCGTATCATAATAATTAATGTCATGTGCAGATCCGGATAAGAGGTTAGAGATTGGTCTAGTCGGCTATCCCAACGTTGGAAAGTCGTCAACAATCAATGCTCTGATTGGTGCCAAGAAAGTCTCGGTTTCCGCAACGCCAGGCAAGACAAAGCATTTCCAAACTATTCACCTAAGCGAAAAGGTCATTTTATGCGATTGCCCTGGTCTCGTGTTCCCCAATTTCGCAACAACGAAAGGCGACCTCGTCTGCAATGGTGTTTTACCAATCGACCAGCTGCGGGAATACACTGGTCCCACTACACTTATCACGCATAGGATTCCCCAAGCTTTCCTCGAGGCTATCTATGGTATCCACATCAAGACTCGGCCATTTGAAGAAGGGGGTACGGGAGTGCCTACTGCAAGCGAGCTCCTGGCTGCATACGCCAAAGCACGCGGCTTTACCACATCAGGTGTTGGTCAGCCAGATGAATCACGAGCTGCGAGGGTTATTCTCAAAGACTATGTTAGCGGAAAGCTCTTGTACGTGGAGCCCCCGCCTGGGTGGGGAGAAGGCGATGAGTTCAACCGTGAACTCTATGATTCAACACATTTACCAGCAAAGCGTCAAGCAGCCTTGGCCGCTGCCATGGAAACGCTAGACGTAGGAGATGGCGAGTCGACAGTCGATACGGAAATTTCGGTGCGACCAACTGGTGTTAAATCAAAGAAGCTTGACAAGGCATTTTTCGCACAAAACACGGGAAACGCAGGGCACCTCAAAATGCCTTTTAGTCACAAATACACGGAGCAGGGACTTGCGCAAGCGCAGGAGCAGGAAAGGCAGCTAAGTGGGCGCAAAGCCAGAGCAATGATCGCGCTGGAAGCAGGCGTTGACCCCAAAGATGTCCAAATCGGGACTAGTAAGAAGCACTTCAAAGGTGGTTCGAAGGGAAGGGGGAAGAGGGTCGACAACAAGATGTTGAACGAATAAAAAGCTGGGGTGGAGAACTCGTGAACAACAACATATTACACGGACAAGAGGGCGTATTCAACTGTTGTTGGTATCAGCTCTGACCTAGACAGACAGTTTTGTCGGTGGTGAATATCCACAACCAAAGTCGTGATTTACTAAGTATGTAGGCTGAATACTACGGATACCATAGTCATGAGTTTGTTTTGATCTATTAAGCAGTATATATACTCCTATATATGTCTTGTCGGTGCCTACTATTAAGAACAGATAGATCAGTTGCTTCGCTTTTCGTTTTCCATCGTCAGCCGGAATTTGTGCGGATTACGTTCGGTGTTTTGTTACGAGAGTTGCTACATATCAACATGAATCTTGAGTTTGTAACTATTCCCAACATTAATTGTCTGTTACTTAGCATATGATTTGACTATGTCCCTCGGAGGTAGGCATAGAGTAGACTTGAAGAAAGATGTACTTACTTGGATAATAAGGACTAACGTCCCCATGGAATATCTCGGTTAGCAATTGAAAGAATAATAAAGCAAGTTGGTTTAGTGACGCCGACTCGATCGGTTTTTCCAGTTATGCCCCTATTCGAGATATATACGAATTGCGGGGAAGTTATCTGAAGAGTTTTTCGCCCTTCTTTTTGTATCATCGGCTCTTTCTTGGGCTTTCGCTTACGCAGGCATGTGTCGAGGTTGTCTAGGTATCGTCGGGCTCGGTGTCACGTAGGAATAGACATACTTGCGGCTACCCCTATTCGCTAGGTAGGAAGGAATACTGCACAGTTCGCAAGTCTTTGAGATGATTATCTATAGATCCTCTAGTAAACAATCTATGTTTACCAAGTAACTTACCTAGGAATATAAGCAGTCACTGTGACAGAAGCCGGTCAGGTAGCCATGGGCGGTGTGCCTTGACAGAATAGAAAAGGAACCCAAAACGTGGGAGACCCATACTTTGAGGAGTAGCGCCACTGTTCTTCACGATGCATACGTTCAAAACGTCCCTTTCTATTTCCCCTCCCGTTTCTTTCTTTTCCAACCCAAAACCCACCCTAACGTTACAAAAACCCGAGCCATCCCACCTCATCAATGGGATCATGCACAAAATACCTACCTACCTTAACACACAGGTTTCCCCCGGATTTCCCTTGCATCACATCACAGCACATCAGGGTCTGCTCACCTGGTCACATCGTGCGTTCTGCGGGAACTAGGTAAACTAAAAAAAAAAAAAAAAAAAAAAAAAAAAAAAAAAAAAAGTCCGAGAATCTAAAATCGTAGGAACCCCTCCCCTGCTTTAGGGGCTGTTATTTGACGATGATTGTTGGAGTCTTATGCGGAAACTTATGTGCTGCACATATAACTATAAGTAGCGTACCTGTCGTCAGGGGTAACTTTGATCTGGGGATAATTTTATAGTTAGTTGGAGGCATTTTGTTTGTTATTTATATAAATATAGGGTGCACTGCCAAGCGCGAAATACCATCTGCAACACAGCAAAGTTCGGGCATTTCTGACCTATACCTAGTCCTACATAGTTACTGGTCTTCTGTGAAGATCATTGCTGCTGCTGCTAAACTCCAAAACACTTCATCTCGAGCGGAAAGGCTCTTGACCTGACTATGTAACTCGATAGCTTGTTAATAATATCGCGCGACAAGAAATGGTTTTGGTGTACTAGGTAGGTTTTCGGCCTTGACCATGCAACGAACGAAGTAACTAAGGTTACAACCAACTAACTAACTAACTACTCGAGATCAGCGCATGCAGATACGAATAGTTAAAGCTCAATACCTATTTTTCGATTAGCCAGGGGGTAAAGCACAAGTTGCGAGAGAATAATACAACCTAACTAGTTACCAACTCTTGCCTTCTAAATCCAGATTAAACCCGAATATTCATTCAAAGTTTCAAACAGCCAAAGTTGCCCACCCCCATAGCAACCTTTTGATAAGCCATGCCGGTCCCGCATCGCAAACAGCGCAGAGAAGCTAACAACGCAGCACGCACCGGGCCGACGACATCGGCGTCCTCGCGGAGGACTGCTCGATACTAGGTATGTATGTACTACGCACCACAGGCGGACAGGTCGCCGCTGACGCCAAACGGGGCGGGTCAATTCGAAATTGAAAATACATAGTTAACTAAATCCAAGAAATGCATTGTACAATACCCCGATTCCCCGACGTGGCGCCGCGGCACTATTCAGCCCTACAGTACATACCATCCCATCTAACACACGTTTGGTATCTATCCTAACGGCCACACATCAATTAGAAATGTTACCTTGATCAATCGATATTAGGTATTTGGCACTTTACGTTTCACAAGCTTGAATGAATACAACAGATCTCGATTTCTTCTGCTGGGAGGATTATTATTCGAATTAAGAGACTAGTAGTTAACCTTAGTTAAAATGTAAAATTGAAAAAAAAAAAGTCAGCTATGTAGCTAGCTGCCTGGGCCCGGACGGAGATGTGGCATCATCAAGTAGTTAACAGTTGCAATCAATCAATCATTGCCATGTGATGGGCCAGCTTTCCACATATACATAACATACATTTGGTACATGTAGTGCCTTGGCGTTAGCTGACCCTCACTGTAGGCAGTACTGTGTGGATGTCTGTCTGTCTGTCTGTCTATCTGTTGCAGCGATAACTCCCGAGACATCCATCCGTGGCGTCTCGAAAGCCCGGTCGGTGTACAACACAAACTCAACCGGCGGGGAACCCAATCCATCGGTGTGCGACACGGCGATCACCATGCACGCTCTCTCTCATTGGAAAACCGGTAACTACATACATACATACCATACCTAGTCATACCCGAAACTTGACCTGGCTTGTGGTTATTGGGGAGATCCGGGGCATAGTTACAGACCTATACACATGCACGTGCACATATACACGCGCATGTTTTTTATAGGTAGAATATAGAAATGCGAGAAGAATCTTAGAAGTACTTTTTTCTATCTTTCTGAAGGCAATATGGGATGGATATGAATATGGTATTGAGTGGTATAAGGTCGAAGTCTATGATAAATGCATACAATCTATCAACACCGTCTTTTGCTCACGCTTTCTCTTCTAATTTTTTTTTCTTCCTTAATAAGAAAAAAAAAACATGCACACTTCCATCCTTCCCATCGACGATCAATGCGATCAATCAAACTCTCAGACCGTAGCCTGCCTAGCTGTACATAGCTAATGCCATCACCGCATACCTAATGTTTTTGCTACCGTCCCCTTCCCTTTTTTGCCAACGCCAACCACAATCACAACCACATGTAAAAAAATATCAATCCCCCTTTTCGTTCGTATGTATCTCATGGTAATAGATGTATGTATCATCGATAGCCAAAAAGGCACTTTCATGGTTGTTTTGGGATATCTTAGACATGGTTAACCAACCATGCCTCCGCCTGGGTATTGTGCGCTGCCCCCTCCATCCCTTCCCTTCCCACCGGTGCATGATGGCAGGTAGCTACTATCATGCTACGTTATGTAGATAGATAGCGAGCTCCTCATTCCCACCGCCGTCCGCCCACGTTAGAAAAGGAAACGAAAAAAAAAAAGGGAAATCTAAGGAAAATATTGACCACGACAAGCTACTTCATACCATAGGCACCTAGGCAGAGCTTAGGTAGGTATGCCCGTAGGTAGGTAAGTAGCTTGCACGCTTACGAGCCGTTCGGCCACAGATCGTAGCCGAAGACATCCTTGTAGTCGACGAAGCGGGTGTGGCGGCCCTTCGCAACCGCCTGCACGGCCTCGAAATCTTCGTCCGACAGTTGGGGCACCTGGAAGTTGCTCTCGATGCGAGACGGGGTCGAGCTCTTGGGGAGGACGACGTAGCCGCGGCGGATGCCCCAGGCGAGGAGGACCTGGGCGAGTGTGTTGCCGCTGCGCTCGGCGACCTCGATGAGGGTCTTATTGGTGCGGACCTTCTCGCCCGTCGTGGGCACCTGGTCCTGCGAGCCGAGCGGCGAGTACGCCGCCGGCAGGATGTCATTGGCCTGACAGAATTCGATAAGCTCCTGGCTGGGCAGGAACGGGTGCAGCTCCACCTGGTTGACTGTCGGCTTGACCTTGGCGATCGAGAGCAGCTTCTGGAGCCCCGGGATCGTCCAGTTGGAGACGCCGATGGCGCGGGCCTTCCCGCTCGCGTACAGCTCCTCCATGGCGCGCCATGTCGGCTCCGGATTCTCCGTCAGCTCCTTCTTGATGATGTACTTGCCGTCGGGGCCGAGCTTGACGTTGTGGTTCTCGTCACGCTCGGCGGCGATGGGCCAGTGCACGAGGAACAGGTCGATGTAGTCGAGGCCGAAGTTCTGGAGCGAGTTCTCTAGCGACCACTTTACCTCGTCCGGCTCGTGCAGGTGGTTCCACACCTTGGTGCAGATGAAGAGGTCCTCGCGCTTCACCGAGGGCGTCTTCTTCAAGAAGTCGCGGATGGCTTCGCCGACCTCGTTTTCGTTGTGATAGTACCACGCGCAGTCTAGGTGTCGGTAACCGACCTCTAGGGCGCAGAGAACAGCTTTGTATGCCTGGCCTTTCTCGCCCTCATTGGCGAAGGTGCCAAATCCCAGAGCGGGGATCTTGACACCGTTGTTCAAAGTGAACGTTTGTTGGTTTACTGGAGTGGACGACATGTTTCTGATGATGATAGTGTGATGATAAGGGGGGAATGGTGAAGTTGGAAGAGAAATCTTCTATATTTTGCTTTATCTTCTTTTCTTCTTCTTCTTATTTTTCTGGGGACACAGGTACCTAATAATACGGGTAATGTAGCCTACGTATTGCGTCGAGGAAAGAATTAGCGACGCAGGTAAGATGTTTGAAGAGATTGATCAATGTACGTACAGCTAGGGTGGATAAGTATGGATCCGTACTACGTCAGTGCAAGCACTATGTAGGCCATCTAGGGCCATCAGCAGGCGGCCGGACGCTCAATTTAGTTTAGTTGTGGGTTCCGTTACCAAGTGGCTGCAACATTACATCATTCCTCTCAACAAGTCGTCGCTACTGAGTCAGTGTGAGTGGGAAAACTCTGCCGTTTAATGCGAGTTTTGTGGCGCCTATTTCGGTTTCCAACTTGATCAGCTCTCAGTGGCAGTCAGTGCTCCAGTTGCTTGCAGCGACAGTTGGCATTGTGACAGTGTCTGAGGCACAGCCCCTGTAGCTGACCCATATACGACATTGAACTTCTACACAATTGACATTTTGGTGAGAGCTGCATGATTCGTGCTTTTGTGTTTGGTTTTCCATTGCGATAGGCTATGTTTTCTTTGCGTAGATTGTTACGTTGGTTTGGTTGAAGAGAGGGTTGTTGTTAATATGTCTTAATATGTCGATTAACGAGATCGACCCAGCCAAACGAGTTGAGCGGCGAAGATCTTAGCGAATCGAGTAGTGGTGTTAGGTGTTTCGTCTAGTTTCGTCCTTCCAGGACACCGCCTGTATTACTGTAATACCTAATGTTAGCGTACTATCCATGCAGGTACACTTTTGAAACCTAAAACATTTGAGGTTAGTTCTGAAATGCATGAGATACTTTATCGATAGGCTATAACTAACTAGTTAAATAGGTTTGAGTGTATGTACCTAGTATACTTCGAGATACCTAATACATACCTAACCTTAGTACTTTAGCCATACCGATGGTCAATACTATCACAGTAGCTTCGTTTCAATTACTTGCTTCTTTAAATATTTTATCAAATTTATTGCGTTGATATAAGACATACTCTAGCCATGGAGGAGCGGAGATGACTGAGGCAGCCATAAGAGGTGTAAGTTTGGAAGTATGTGGCGGATGGGGCTGAAGCGATATAAGAGTACGTATTTCTCAAAAGTTCTATTAGATTATTAATCAGAGGCAGTTTAAGATATTTCCTTATTTATTTCAAATATTAGGTGATTTTAAAGGTTTATTCGACAGCCACATGTGACTCGTAGAGTATTTTTCCGTACTACACCCCTGTTAGGATCCCTATTAATTGTCAAGTACTTTGCTATTTGCCAGGCCAACAACACTAACACCTGGCTGTCATCTGCGCCAGTTCCTAGTCAATTGAATTACAGAAGGGGCTCCCACTAATTAGTCAGTCGATTAGGTCATACAAACTAATCTGACAGATGGCGTGGAAAAACCGGGACAGGTGACAGATCTACCAGACAGCCGACAAAATTCCGGCACAGGCTCTGACAGGAGTGTAGTATGGAAAAACATCCTGCGAACTACCTTCGTACTGGTTTCGGTAATATGCAGCAGGTCGCAGTATCTGGTCATATGTAGCTCATATTAACATGATTACAGGGGGTGTCCTGTAGTTCTTGCTAGTTTAGACAAAGGAGAGAAGGACTGACTAGCTCTTAATAGTTATATGTTTTAAGAAACAAGCAGTGATGACTGAGTTACGTCATAATAGGCCAACGGAAATATGAAGTTTACCTGAAGCCTAATTATTAGATAAGAAATAACTTAGAGCCCAAGTATTAAGACAGGAGGTAATTGATAAAGGAAGTGGGAGGAAATAGCAAAATGATATTGATAACGGGAATGTTGTTGACATGTGAAGGTTGGCCGGGTGATGACCCTTAGGATTATCTGGATGATCTCTTGGTGGGGGTGGAATATCGTATGGGTAATGGAGATGAAGATATGGATATTGTGTCGAAGTCAATATTTCGTAACGGTTTGCCGGGGGGCTGCGAAATTGGTATCGGAAGTTGGTATTATATCAAGAAACGCTTCCCGTGGAAAGTATCGGCCGATGACTTACACTTGACGGCGAAGATCAAAGAGTTTGAACGTATGCCATATGAGACGTTGTCCAAGTTCATCGGACGAGCGATCGAATTGTCGGAACAAGCGGACAAGGAACGATCAAAGATCTTGTGGGATCGCCTGTATAAACGAATGTGTGATAGTGGAAATGAGGGGGCAAATCTAGGAACGCGTGCCTGACAGATTTTGTGGATTAGGAAAGACAACTGACTTCGGACGTTTGAACGCCTCATGTACATTCCACGATGTTTGAAAGTATATTATCAAGTGTGCAGCTTAGCCTGGAAAGGAGGGAAACTTCATGAAACAACATTGAAGTCGAAATAGGCACAAAAAGGCAAGGACTTATGACAAGTGAGGATGTACTGCGGGAAGTTGGTCTTGCTATTACAAAAGGTGATGAGAGAGCAGAGTACCCCTCTAATATATCCCCCGTTCATTTCATCGTAACATCAATTATAACTATGGACAACCTCAGTCAGAAATTACTCGAGCTGGACCAAGTGGAATTCGCCCAGCACCTGGGCAGATGTATACGCAATCGGATGGACGATGCTGAAGTGCCGAGGCAGACTAGATGGATGGATGTCTAAGAGTGAGACACAGATTGATATGTTCAATTGTAGGGAGAGCAGTTAAAACTTAACAGTAACCTAGTCTATTAGCTAAGCAATGGCAAATGCCGTGTCGAGGTTTAACTACGAAGGTTATTGTGTCGGAAAAAAGTTATGGCACAACCTATAACTACTACCTAGATAGGAAAGTGACAATTAATTTACAATTACATGCTGACCCATCCCTTTGCCTGCTGGGCCAGCACACGTGGGTCCAACTTCACGTGACGCCCCCAGTTTAATCCCTGGATACATTGAGGCACATACCCATATATTCCACTTGCCATCTATTCTTCCAAACAAAGAGCCTCTAGAAGAGAATATCAATTAATAAAATGTATCAAATAATCGCAGAGTTTTCAGTGACTATATCAGTATTTTTTTCATATGAATAGATGGCTTTGAAGGCTGATTAGGTGTTGAGAACCGAGAGATTGAAATTGAAAGCAGGCTAACCTTTAAGGGCTAGCGCTTAGAGGCTCACGTGATAGCCCTTAGCATCACCATGTTATACTCAACTCTGAATATAACAATCATATGAAGCCTTAATACCATGCAACTAGTATCAGTAAATTGCCTTAATTGATATTTATATAAATATCAAAAACCTATCCTTACAGACATAATAATTAAAAAGTTATTTGAATTGAAAAGTTACTATTTATCAATAAGCTGGGCATTGGTTCGTGTGGCGGATCTGATACGCTAGCCAGAATAGGCTAAAGTGGCAAAACTGACGATGTATTGCTAATGTAGCTTGAAAGATAACATATACATTTAAGACACTGAAAATTTGGTGGAAGAGTAGGTACTCTTCAACAGATTTACTTGATTGGATGCATACGCTTTTTTAGACCCAGTTTAGACCCACGTGTGCTGGCCCAGCAGGCAAAGGGATGCCTTGGATAGTTATTGTTAGCTCTGATTTGTTGCAGCATTACAGAAGTGGGTCCGTTTTTTTTATCAAAATGATAGTTAAGGGTCTTTGCACGGGCTAACGCTGCCATGCCATACCTACATAAGCTACATTTGCAGTCATTTTTAGCTACAGGTAACATTGAAGCTATTCACGCTATTTTCTTTTTGGATAAACGGGCAGCGGAGCCGCCCTCTGGGCATTTGGGAAGGGTTTTGGGTCGCACACGAAGCATGCGGCATAGAGACACAGCACAAGACGCTACTACTACTGGCGCGGCTAGAAATGATATACATACATCAGACACAGCTTCTGATGTGTATCATTTCTGGCCGCACCAGTACCTAGTACATACGTGCGGGCGCTAAAAAGAGCTGCCGAAGCTAGCTCTTTTTTGGCGTGCAGCGCGTGGGGGCACACATCGGATGGCGGATGGCTTGAATTCAATTTAATTCAATTTACGACGACGTAGGAATTCAATTTAAATTAATCTAAAGGTGCGATCGGGAGAGTAGGGGTTTGGAGGCGTGTCACGTGGGGTGTAAGCACTAAAAAAACCTTATTTTTAATGCGCCTCATTAATGACTGCGTATAAAATTTCGTACGTTCTTATCAGGTTATCAGGTAGTTAGTTAGCGAAAACTCAGATTATTGTGTACACCTCTAATTATGCAGATGCCTTTTTGTGTATGGGGAGATATTAATATGTGACGGCGATATGCCGGGTTTGAACGCCTAGAGGGGGGAGTTTGGCCGTTGTGACAGTGGCTGACCCCATATCTGTCCGTCCTCTGATAAACGTTTTGGTGCAATTCTTAGATTAGATTTCATACCTTCCAAAATAACTTCTTTGGTACAATGAACAGCTCCGGCCCCTTTTTTTTCTGCTGACGTTGATAAACTGTGTACCCATCATGACATGTGAAGTGGATATTTGTTGAGTGATAAAAAGGAAAAAAAAAGACTGGAGTAAGCTGCAATGCACTCTAAAAGTGCATTATTCTTACATAGTACGGATACCATACATATGATACAGTCCATACCTACATACCGGTTATCAACGTTGTGTTGTAGATACGACACGGTTTTATTATCGGTCACTGCCGAAGATACGGAAGATCCCTACATGCGTTGCAGGCGGTCAGGGTTTATCAGGGTTATCAGGGTTGCTATCCAGAGCCTGCCAAGTCTTGTCAAGTCTTGTCAGGGCTTGTCAGGGGCTTGTCAGGGTCCTGTCTTCCTAGTTCTTCTAGTCTTGGTAGGTACTAGCAGATAACTAGCAGACCTAACCTGGTATGTAACTAGCTCTGCCCTACCACAAGTAAGAGAATTATCTGGCGTTTGTGGCGTCACCTATCGAAATGCCTGTCCGTACTTTCAGGATCTGTCAGTGACGTGCCCGGAACAGCAAAGATGAGGCATGGCGCTAGAAAAACCCTGCAGCTAACCATCTCCATAATCCGAGTCAAGCAGCGGATCTTAAGCGGATCTTAAGCGGAGCACGGCGGAGACGGAATGATGTCAGATCATGTGTGACAGCGGATACCGTACGTGGGCTAGTGGGTTCGGCGTTCAGTTCGGGCGGTTCTGCGGCTCCTCTACGGGCTTGATTATAGGTTTCCAAGGTTCGGTTAGGAGCGTGTTTGTTGGACATGCAGCGTTAAAGAACCGGGTTGTTAGTCACCAAACGCTCCCGGCTTCAACATCCATAGGTTGGAAGTACCACCAGCCGTTGTCGCTAGTGTACGCGACCGTTTCATTGATACTATAGTCTATGCAAGGGACCGTTCTAAACCAAACTCCATTTTGTGGCGACGGGTGCAGTAAGATGATTGACACTTCATTTTTCTTTGGTCCTTTGTTGATTATGTACTTCGTACCTCCGTTACTGTGGTACTATGTAGGTATGTACTGCTTCGCTAGGGGGGCAAGAGACATGGTTGTGTCGCCGGCGAAGTGGGAGTAGAACCAGAATTTTACCCCGTCACCGAAATTTCTAGCTACAGTGTAATAGTACGGTATCTAGTACGGAGGCAGGTATGTACTAGGTAGGCAGATAGATAGAGAATCTTAGATGATAAGAGCCTTCAGGCGGCGAGGCAAATGACTTAGATATAAGGTCATCCTCCCATCATAGATATTGCCTAATAGACTTTCCTCACACTCTTCATGATATCATAACAGCTCTACATCTTTACCTAAAGTCTTTTTAAGCTTGTGTTTTGTGTTTACAAGTAAACAACACCTTTAACAACTCCATATTCAACCCCAAACCCCATATTCAAGATGCCTATGTTCGAAGATTACGAAATTGCCCAGGCCACCGACAAGACCCCTCAGGTGACCAAGAGCAATGGAGCGGACACTCTAGCCATCCCTGGAGATGATGGTGAGGGTCCCATCGAAGTTCCTGCTTCACGATCCTCTATCTCCGAGGCTGCTAAGTACATGCACAACTTGAGCGCCTCTCCATCTATGAAGGAGCGAAGAGGTTCTCGCAACTCCTTCGGTACATCTCTACCCATCCCCAGATCGAAGAGGCAGTCTCGCCTATCTTCCGTCCACTACCCCGCCGATGAATCTGGACGCCCAACTCGCCCGGGCATGCCGCCCGTCCAGCCCTCGCGGGCTATCTTGGCTTCACAAGTTCAGAGTATCGAAGTCGAGAAGGTGAAGAAGGCCAAGAACATGGCTTTTGCCTTCGACATCGATGGTGTTCTTGTCCACGGTGACCGCTTGATTCCCGAGGGTCAGCGTGCTCTCGAGATCCTCAACGGTGACAACGAGCTCGGCATCAAGATTCCTCACATTTTCCTCACCAACGGTTCCGGCAAGCCCGAGAAGGCTCGCTGCGAGCAGCTTTCTCGCATCCTACACAACCCCGTCAACACCGAGCAATTTATCCAATCCCACACTCCCATGAGTGCTCTGGCCGAGTACTACAAGACCGTGTTGGTTGTTGGTGGCGAGGGTTACAAGTGCCGTGAGGTCGCAGAGGAATACGGCTTCAAGGACATTGTCGTTCCCAACGACATCGTCGCCTGGGACCCTACCATTGCCCCTTACCGGGTGTTCACACCCGAAGAGCGAGCCTCATCCAGGCCGCGTGACTTCAGCAAGATCAAGATCGAAGCTATCATGGTCTTCTCCGACTCTCGAGACTACGCGACGGACATGCAAATCATCATGGACCTTCTACGATCTGAAAACGGCCAGTTCGGCACGATCGCCAAGGACCCTGTCTCCCAGCGGGTCCCCATCTACTTCTCGCAAGGCGATCTTTTGTGCCCCACGGAGCACTGGACACCGCGAATGTCACAAGGTGCCTTCCGTATTGGTCTCGAGGCCATGTACAGGGCCTTGACTGGCGTTGACCTAGAGCGTGTCGTCTACGGCAAGCCTGAGACTGCTACATACAAGTACGCTGATGAGGTCCTTACGTCATGGATGGAGGAACTCCACGGCGAGGAGAAGCTACCGGAGAACATTTACATGATTGGTGACAACCCGGCTTCCGACATCATTGGTGGCAACATGTACGGTTGGAACACTTGCCTTGTTCGTACTGGTGTCTTCCAGGGTGGAGACAATGACGAGAACAACCCGGCTAACTTTGGCGTCTTTCCCAATGTACTCGAGGCAGTCCAAACTGCTCTGAGGAAGCAAATGGGTGATGACTTCAAGATGCACTTTGACGAGCGCATCAACCCTGTGCTACACGGTGACAAGTCTGACGCTGCCGCCATCATATGATTTTTGACAGACGACATGATATCATTTGGAATGATATCTCCTTTTGGGATATCTTCAACAATTTTGGGAAGGGCGTTTTAGGGGATGGGGATAGAACTTTGACGAATTTTCTTATTCTTCTAACGACGGCATCGGACTAACGCAAACAAAAAGCAATCTCTAGAGATTGTAAAGACTGACAAAGCTCTATGAGGCTATTATTTAGACATTTCTTTTGCCTCAAAAATCAAATCATCTTCACATAAACTTGTTCCTTTTGAGAGTAGTATGGTGGTGATCGTATCTTACCTCGTGCTTAGCCCTATTTGTTGGCCGACATTACGCCTTCGTAGATCCTAATAGTTGGCAACGTCTTAGATCTCTTAAGGTATCAGTGTAGTCACCAGAAGGATGCGTACTAGGTAACTATTGTCTTGCAGATCTGAGCCATTCTTGTCGGCCTGGCAGTCTCTGACTCTCTGATATATGACGCCTCAGCTAACAATACTGAAGAACTAGGAACATGTGGACTCGCAGGCATCACCATGCATAGCACATACACAGTAGTGTGTTAACAGTGAACACTTACATAAAAGTAGTTATCATATGGAATCCGTCGAGATAGAAGATATAATAGTGATATTTAGTAGCATTTAGTGACGAGTCAAATGGGTTATACATGGGTGACCCTTGGTATGCGTAACTTCATGGCGCCATTTTGGTACGAATCTAGGCGATAAATAGCGCAAGTGCCAAGTGCTTTGGCTATGTACGGATTGGCGTATGGATTGGTGTACGGATTGGACCAGTCGGTGATTATGTATTAGTATTCTGGGAGTTAGGAGCCTTAAATAGGAGGACATCGATGTCTGGACTAAGTAGCAAAAATGCCTTTTGGTTTTCATGAGCCTTGCAACGTAAATGTTTAGCAGAGTGGAGTTCAATGTTCCCTGATACAATAGATGACGAAGTATTAGGATTAAAGTTACGATCGAATCGAATTCAATGTCGTTGGAAAGAACTTTGAAGAGACAATATTACATAAGTGCCAAGGTACATTAGTTAATATTCTAAAGATTAAGAACATTGAAGCTGCAATGTTGAAAAGATCGGATCTCGGGAATCTCACCCAATGATGATCAATCTCAGGAAAACTGAGCCAGGCACCAGGCCCACATAACTACCTAACTAACTTGAAATGTCTTACAGACTCTGTCGGACGCTAAGCTCAATTCAGGGTCTCATTAAATTAAAATCTCCAAGGCTTAGTAACCACATCGCGTGTTACGTGATGTGCCCAATTTCTGCTTCATTATGTTCTTCAACACTTTGAACTCAATCAACCGTTCTTTACCGGTGGCTTGATGCCAGTTGCCTAACGGACCTCGCTACCTACCGCCGTAGGTAGAGGCGTGGCATACCACTCATTCGCTATCTCATTGTCGCTCCTTTCAATGTTGATAAGAATTAATAAGAATTAATCTTCAGTCCCTCCTTTTATAACTATGCGCCACATTTTTGCGCTTGGGCTGTCGCTCTCGACTTTGTCGCGTGTCGCAGCCCAGAATGACCAAGGCAGCGGCGCCGTTTGGGCCACGCCCCACGATAGTTACTCCTCTTCCGTCGGCGTTCTCGGCTGTAAAATTAACACCAACCGCGTCGCTTATTGGCCAGGCTCTGTCGACTGTGATAGCATTTGTGTCTCTTTAAGCTACGATGGCCGCTCAGTCAATCTACTTCGAATAGACCAGTCCCAAGGTGCCCATGACGTTAGTTATGACGCCTGGAACTATCTCTACACGGGCTATTCAGCTACCGATAAGCCGGTAGCCGGCGGCGCCGTCGCCATGAACTACGCAAATGTGGATGCTTCGGCTTGTTCAGATCTGATCCACACCGACGGAAACAAATTACCTCTTAGCGCCGCCAACAGCATGAATTTTCTTGCTAGCTGCCTTGCCCAGCCAAGCAGTTGGGTCGCTCAGCATTACACTCTTTATAATATCCTGGATTCAACTTGTGCTTGGGGTCATGATGATGAATGCTCTCTTGATTGGCCAGCTGCGAACCAGGCGACTTGCCCGAGCACTCTCGGAGATCCGGCCACCTTGACATCGGCTCCGGTGTACAACATCAAGTACCCCTCTGGTCAAACCGTAGTGGCGTCTTCGGGGGAAGTTGTTGACCCTCAAAATAACGGGTCTGAAAATGCGGCAGCCTCGCCTAGGTTATCAGGCCTGATTTTGGCAGTGGCTATTCTGAACTGGCTGAGTTGTACAAATGTGCATTTCTTATAATGCCGTGTGATTGATGCAGCTTGCTTCTATAATAGCGGACCCTGCATGATGATGAACAGATACCCTCTTGATTTACATGTTGTTGCGTATACCTCTTGTAACTAACTTTCATGTACATACAGTATTTTGAATAGGATTCATTTCACTCAGACCATTATTTTCTTCTGCATTCACAGGAGGTGTGTTGCATCGATTAACAATATCTCATAGAACCTACCATATAGCAATATCGACCGAGTAGTCATTCCTGGACTAGAGTCTGCCGCTGACGGATGGTTTATGATTGGGTTGATTGGAGGAAGATAAGTCTGAATCCTGGTGGCAACACCTGGATGGCCAAATCTGGTATCCAAGCTTATGTTCATTCTTGCAGCATACACCACCTGCATTCAACCTGCATCGGGCTTTGCTCGCTGGTTTTGTCATAAGGAGATAAATGTCGGTGAACTGCAGCGCGACAGGTCAAATGGAAATATACAACTTGTACGGGTATTAACCGGATATGCTCCCCTTTTTTGCTGTCTTAACCAATCTATGACAAAAGGCTCTTGATATCGACACCTACCAATAATCGCGCCCTATGTTCGGCATAACAAGCAAGGCATGCAAAATTCTCCAGAGCATCTGGGAACGCCACAAAGAGACGATATTAAGTCTCTACTTACACCAGTTGGCATAGGCCATGGAAAAATATCATGGGCTTCCTGCTAGGTAATACGGGTTTCTTTCTATTACTATCAGCTATGCCTTCCAATTTGCCTAGCATTTCACAATCCAAAGCTCAGCCGCGAGCATGGAGCGCCCCGAAGAATCTGGAAGCTCACAAATGGGATGCCAATCTATAGAAGATAGACCACACGATTCCTCGAGGTCTTCGGTCAAGATTACCTAGTCATTTTAGGCCACACTCTGTCGGCGAAAGGTATCCACTGGCTAAGGCGCCATTGCGAGACCGTTCCTCGTTTAGGAGGTGCTCTCGAGCAGAAGCAGCGGTAAGCAACATACGGAACCACTACAATGCCGACGACAATATTATCGAAGCTCAAGATCCAGATAACAGATTGTCTCCATACGTAGCCATGATCGATGGAGATGCTGCTCCTGACTAGGAGTGTCACGAGGCGGAACCTGGAAGACGCAGAACAACATTGATGTTGCACAGGGACTTATGGCATCTCCCTGAAAACTATTGAGGCTACATGTACAATAGGTATGTAGCCGTCTTTGTTCCAGCTGGCCCCAGGCAGATCCGTGACAAGAAGCAGAAATGTTACGGGCGGCAACCTCACCCTACTGGTTAATAGGACATTAACACATGCCGGAACAAGATGATATCGTGATATTATAGTATTTCGAAACGTTGGGCCTCTCGAAGTAGTTCATGTGTCCTCGTCTCTCCCTGTTCGGCAACCTAGAGTTCGGGGGAAGAGATTTAGTTATTGCTAGCGAAGACGAAAGTGCCCCCTGATTCACAACCTCAATCCAGTGCCTAAAACTCCACCAACCACAGCTGATACAACTTGGACTTGATTCGAATTCTCCATTTCTGAACTTTGAAATGATGTATCGCTCATCGATGCCAGTGAGCCAAGCTGGTTGGATTGGCAAGAATCGCCATTCCAGGATTTACCGTTTGAACGGCGTGAGCTCTAGAAATCTTCGCCTAGCCATTTGTTCGTCCTCTTCGCAGAACTTCGGGACAGTCTCGCGGTTTCTCTTAAAATGCATCTCTGAGCTCGCTGCCTCTGCTGCTGCAGTGATGAGTCTGAAAGAGGGTTATCGCCGCGATAGCTTCACTAGGCGCGGACTTTTGTGATGATCCTGGGCTCAAATTCTCCGAAATCCTCGCATCGCTGTAACAAGAAACTCTCTAACCTTAACTCTCGAGGAATTGCTAGATATTGAACTGAATCGACATATCCTGTTCCTTACGTCGAATGGATTCGCTGATATGGACAGTATGCTGATTGAATTGATACCGAAGCTTCTCAATTAGAATAGCAACGCCACTTCTCTATTGCGACGCTTGTTCCAGGACAATTCGAGCTATGTAGTGGAGAGAAAGGGCTTACTTACTATCCATTACGTTGTCCCATGGCCAAGATGATAACGAGTGTTTCAGTTCAACAAATGCCGAGGGTCTACCGAGGGATTAGCCAAGGCCGGCATGGCTACATGGGATGATTAGTCTCCGTAGTCTCCGGCGAGATATCAGAGATTCAAGCGCAATAGAGATGCTGTTGTTCAGCATCTTCTGGGTTTTGCCGCGTGACAAGAGCTTCAGAGCAGAAAGATTATGTAGTTATACTGGATAATAGTGTTAAACAATTTGTAGGTACTTAACCGATCCTATACCTAGACTTTATTGGCATAACTAGGCATTCTCGTGACTCGTAATTTTTATATACCTATAACTACATATAGGGATTAATTATATTTCCGATGTTACTTGGTTGGAGGATCATAGATCAGACAAGCGCTTACATGTGTTGTTTTGAGACGAGTGCGCTTGTTGAAACAAAGGCCCTGGCATATCTTTGTATGCAAGTCAATAGGCACCCATTGTAAACCTCAGATATGGTGATGGGCTCTAGTGGTTCATTAGAATATACGAATGTAATGCATAGGTACCTAGGTACGTAAGTAGTTGAAATTCATATCTCATTTCTCTTTGGCATCCTTACTGTAGTTATGTGATAGTTAACAATTATTGATTGAGGCTGTTGTTCAATAGTTATGTATTACACAGAATAAAAAAAGAAATAATGAGGTCCAAGAAGTATATAATCCCAGGTGGCGATGATACAAGGGATAGTGGTCCAGGGGGGTTTCGATACAGTGGGATCATCGGCGTGAAAGTATTAGGTACCAGTGTTCACAGCAGTATTAGTTTTAGAGTTCCATGTTTCCCGCCACTTACATCTTGTTAGTGATGCGCAGCCCGTATTGCGTCAGGAACACTACTCGGTATGTAACAACTTGAACTTTAGTTTGTGACAGAAGACTCTTATCTTGTCACAGATACTAATCAGGTTAAGGTATATATGTGCATAGATATATGTTAAAATGCATAGTATGTATATGACGAGGCTACTAGATACTAATCAAGCCTAATCAAGCCACTACGTACATGCATAGTAGTAGCCTAGGCTTATCTTGTGACGCGCACAATCCTTTTAGGCAAGACTTTAGGTAGACTTTAAGCAAGGTACCTTCCTCGGTGCATCGGTGCCCCATTATTAGGGCGGTGAAAAGCACCCAAGGCACTGGACAGTTACGCCAGCTTAGGTGTGGCTACTAGTATGTATGTACTCTGTACTTGTACTGATTACCTGCGCATCTGCGCCGTGACCCGACTATAAAACTTATGTATGCAGATTTTGGCTGGATACAGGTAAGGATACAGGTAATTGTCAATGACTGGATCTATACATAGTAAGTACTATGTACTAGCTGAAATCATTCCAAGTTCCATTTACCTAATTCATCCATCTCAAGTCTATTCTCAACCATTCCTCTTCTTCCATCTCTCCACCTACATTTCTCTCCTCCAATCTTGTCATACAACACGGCATCTGCAAGGCAGGCCATTTCATTTCTCTCATTCCATTGCTTCCATTCCTTGTTCAACCTTTAGATCGATCCATCGAATCAATTAAGTATAGCGGCCCAGTACGCTAAGAACCGACAACCGACCTTATCGATCGCTGTGAAAGGGTACCTTGGGTAGTTAGATACGATTGCTTGCATTGCGCGGTGAACCGGGGTTTATTAAAGGCGTATCAGTAATAGTGGTAGTGGTAGTGGGTGGTAGCAGTACAACAACACACGACGCTTGACACCCGACACATCTATACATCGGACGCTAGGTATACACAACACAAGACACAGACATCACTCACCACTGTCACCAGGAACAGTACGCTCTGTCCACCGAACCGACAATTAAGAACCACCGGCCAAATACCAAAACATCAATATCCCTCTCCAATCGATCCCAACCCTCCAAATTCACCACCATTTTCCATTGCGAACCCAAAATCTCCTGCTAAATTTTTGAGGCACGCCCCTGATTGCAGAATTACCTTCTTTATCACTTTTATTTTCCTTTTTAGATTTGGCTCATAGTCACAACCTATATCGGGGTGATTCGTCCTCGAAAAATACAATATCCGAATGCTTGGAATTTCCAGGTGACGGCAACGTCCCTCGGTCCCAAAATATATAATCCCCTCTCTTTCTCTCTCAACGCCACACAGACCGATCAATCTCCATGTCCAACAGAATGGCGACCTTGGACGGCATCGTAATCGGGATTCTATCCTCATTTGGTTCCGCCATCTTGATAGCCCTTATTTTTCTCGTTGTCTATTTCTTTAGATATACAACATCCGGTCGCATTTTCCTTGACCGAATTGGTCGACCCGGCGAATATGACGACGAGCAGGCATTTGCTCGGGAGGAGGCGGAAGCTCTCGAGTCGATGGATGACATGCAAAGGACGGAATATTTGAGGGCCAAAGGTATAAATCACCATACGAAAGCATTATCATATGTCATGAATTCCCTTATCATAGTCAATCATAGTCAGAAAGGGATATTAACATACTCGTAGCTTTTATCCAAGCGAATCCACCCGAATCCGTCCAGACAGACATTTCCTTATCACAATACTTAGCTATACAAGAAAAGGGTGTTTCGGCATGGGAGTTCGAGCCAGAACTAGAAATCGCAAACTGTTTTGTCGAAGGAAGAACAGAAATTGAGTTCTTCGATTCCGAATGCACCGTTATGAGCAACTTACCCGTACCGAAACAAAATGAAGTCTACTACTGGGAAGCAAAGATCTATGACAAACCCGAAACCACCATGATAAGCATCGGCATGACAACGAAGCCATACCCACTATTCAGGCTTCCAGGTGCGCTACTTCCACGGAGCTTTTTGGCAGTATCTTGAGGCTAACTTCTTCCCTTGTAGGATACCACAAATATTCCATCGCCTACACTTCTACCGGCGCTCGACGAGTTAATCAACCATTCAACCCTACGCTTTATGGGCCTCAGTATGTTCAAGGCGATGTTATCGGAGTTGGTTATCGCCCCCGAACAGGAACCATTTTCTTCACTCGCAACGGAAAACGCCTCGACGATGTGGCGCACGGCCTAAAGTCGCAAAACTTTTTCCCGTCTGTCGGCGCAAATGGCCCATGTACTGTACATGTTAACTTTGGCCAGGCTGGTTTCGTATTCATCGAAGCGAATGTGAAGAAATGGGGATTGGCTCCGATTACCGGCAGTCTTGCACCGCCGCCCCCATACGGGAGCGAACAGGGCAGTATCTTACTCGAATCCGGTCGTAGGAAAGACGAGTATTCCGGGTCACCAGCCGGGGGACACGGTTATACCCAGTCGGTCCAGAGATACACAAATACTCCGACCCAAAATCAGGGACATGGCCGGACGAGAAGTGGTAACTTCAGAGTACTCCCCCCTACGAGTCCCGGGCCGCAAAGGAGTCCTACAGATATTTCTCTTGCGCAACTAGTTCCATCAGATGAAGTGGGCGAGCCAAGTAACAGCGGCAATGCTGCCCGCGCTCCAGGGGACCACGTTGTCGATGTTATCGGGTTAGGCCTCCATGAAGCATCACATCCACCGCCCGAATATACTAGCCCCGAACATTCGGATGAGGACAATTCCAGCAGCGGCTCCGATAGCGACAGGGTCCCGTTGATCAGGGCGGTACGCAGTCGTGGAGCATCCGCAGCCACCATAAGACCGAGTAACCCCCCGATTCCTAGTTATAGTGACGCTGTTCGACAGGGCGCTGGTAGGGACAGGAGCCACAGCGAAAGCGCCATGTCGAGACGGGATGGCAATTGAATAAACTATAGAGGGCGTCATCTACAGATGACTATCAGGTTACGTGCGCTACTACTGTCTATACGTAGTCCACGGCCGGCAAAAAGTTGATTTTAGAGCCAACCAACATGGAACGGGGAGTTTATGGTCAGGAAAGGGAAACAATACTTTTGCTTTCGCAGCAAATATTTCTTTTTCTTTTGTTTTGTGCGTTTTTGGGATAATGACAAACAGTTGGCATTGGGTCAGGTGAAAGTCTTATTATTTACATGATACCTCAAGAAAGTCATTCGCATCGTGTGTTTAGCAGGCAGTAAGCATTTTTCAATTGTTTTTGGCGGTGTTTTTAGGGTCAAGGGGTTAGGGGTTAGGGGCGAAACAAAGGGGTGGAAGGGACCGATACAGTTATTGGTGGAAGTTGGATTGGTCAACTCAACCTCTTAAGGAGTTTTTCTCCTCTGTTTCTTGTTGCTTGCTCTCCGTTTCCTTTCTTTTTTTCCTTCTTCCTCTATTTCATTGCGAAAAGTTTGGAGGAGGGTGAAAAGAAAAGAGAGAAAAGCTGAAGTGTATTGGATTGGATTGGACTACTGTTGTTGCTGCTTGCTAGTACTTACCTACCTACTTAGTACTTACTCCCTTCCCCCTAACCTAAACAGCCCCTTGATAGGAAGAGGAGGAGCAGTGGAGGAGAGGGAGAGTAGAGAGAGAGACGAGGTGTGTGAATTAGAGATACCTGATATGTCACATACATGCATGCATCACGGTCGATATAAATCATTCACTCTGAAGCATGTTCCCTCCTTTTCGTCGTGATACAAACTGCTCGCTGTACTGCTGTTGAGAGCTATCATAAATCGGTAGTGGGGGCTTGGAGTTGATCTTGCCTATTCATTAATCCCTCCCCCCACCACAACCTCTTCTTAGGTGACTGCCAATCCTTTCTAAGAAGCCCAGCCATCTATCCACCTTCTCTTGGATTGATGTGGTGATACGAGGCTCTATATATAAAGAGGGGATTCTAATTCTCTTTACTTTTCTGGGTCTTCAACTGGTGACTTCGGAGAAGAGCTCGAGCTACATATTAGGTACGCAAGGTGGTTAGGTAGGTTTGGAAGGGTAAGGAGTATGAAGAATGAAACTTGGGGGGTTAAGTCCCGCTGAGTTATCGTATTGGATGGATCTAATAATATATCTGTCTATCTCCCCGGGTAGGGATTGAATGCGGTTGCGTACACGTGCGTGTATCGACGGGACTTAAGATGGTGATGTACCAACATTGTGAGTAAGAGAACTTTTGGTGGGAGTTTCTACCTAGTTAGTGCCTAGATAGTAGTTACCGGTTCTAGACTGCCTGTCGATGTCTGGCATGTGTGGACAAGGGGGTGGTGTTTTAGTAAGTAGTAACCCGGTGGTCCTCCGATCGTAGCGGAGCGGTGCTACTGGCTCTGGATGAATCCGAAGAAAAATAGGGGGAAAGGACGACGATCTCAAAACTAGAGAGACGAGAATAGATAGGCTTCCTCTGATCAGTTGTGGGTAATGGTTCTAGATACCCGGGAGCTCCCGTCGAAACAAAGTCATGTGACTTGATTGATATATAGTCACGTGACGCATGATCCACGTGATACCCTTTCGGATACTTCGTTTGCATTCTCGTTTGTTCGTATAATTCGTCTTTCTAATTCAAAACAACTTCTGCCCCAATCATCATAGCGTCTCATAGAGCGCCTCCCTTGAATATCAAAACCTACCTCTTGTTATTAAAACAAGAGCAGACTGATTTTTCATCTAGTTTTTCGATGTGCGAGATGCAAAGCCCTAAGGCCAAGAGAATTGCTATTCACTAAAAAAACCAAAAAAACTCCATGCTGCTCTAGGATACAGCTAAGAGGCGACGGAAGAAGTGGTAGAAAGCTTCCGAGGTAGCATCTCTAGCGACCTAAGCTGGTTGGCAAAGTGCCAAACAGGTAGGCTTGCCTCGCGGCTAAGTAACACACAGCATCCGAACCCTGTGGGATGTTCAAGCTGAGACGATCAATTCATGCATTCGACACGATAACTCCTTGCTGATTTACATAGCTGAAGGACCTGGTTCTTCTAAAATAAGAGGCATGTATGTATGTATGTATGTATGTATGTAACTCTCAAGTTGGGGCTCGGCCCTCTTTTATTCATAGCCTAACTTACCTGAACAACCTTGTTGACTCTAATGATCCGACTCAGGGATCAAGGTCAGGGGTAACGACCACGAAGTTCTGAGGACCAGCTCGGACCCTTTGGGTTTAGTGGAGAGCTGATAAGACAGCTGAAAGCCATGGATGCCCATCAGTTCGAAGTGAATTAGAATGTAACTATTATTGTATGTTTTTTTTTCACTATTATGTATGGTATGGTATCTTAACTAACTATCCCCTAAACAATCCGATGCATGCCCAGGTGCATTCCTCTGTAACTAAGGTTAGGCTATTCTGCCCTATCCTCGAAGAGGAAACTGAAGCAGTAGGCTTCTTCTCCCCGTCGTCCCATTTTCGATCATTCTACCTAACCCCGGGTTTTCTCGTATTATAGAACTAGGCTCGTTTGGAATGAACACAGGCCCAATCTGGGCAGTTTCGCTGCCTTACAACGTAGGTAGTGTAGTCTCGCCTGCCTTAGTCAGGCTCGCTGCGCTGGGGATTTGAACCCAGGAATTCAGGAACTACACCATGATGCGCTATGGTAGGTGATGCCATATTATACCACCCTTCCCTATATACATAGATTGCGTAGTAGGTCGGTGCAACACCTAAAAGCAACCTGGGTATTCAAATTCGGCCCAATGAGGCTGACGGATAACTCGGCTTTGTGCTGTAATTAACACCGCCATGGCCGTTATGTATGTGCAGGTAATATGTATGGGATAAGTTCGAAAGGTTCTTGGGGCTCATCTTAAGTTGGTGGGACCAAAGGACCCGTTTTCGTTGACGATCTTTTTTTTTAAAAAATCATCGTCTGAGAGCGGAGTCTGATCGATGTGATATGTGAGTCGGGTCGGCATATGTAATGCTCGGACCCTTCCCTTTTTTTTTCCCCCAAAAATGGGGTACTCCATCTTCTCGACTCTAAATGGGGTATTTCCATTTCAAAAGGAAAGGCCATGATTTGGAACGTAGATTTCGTATAGGGAATTCCGGCTGGCTCGGCGCCGGGGATGTATTATAGGTGTGAATGTAGGTATGTTTAGATAAACGGGTTGGACGAAGTTTCGAATGGGTATCAAACGACGTGCATGTGTCGCTCTTCCGGTAAAAATGTGACTGACGGTCCAGCAAAGTTGATTAAAGATATTATTTATTGAACATGAGCTTGTTTGGGGAGTCCGAGCTCGATGTCTTCCGGGCCCGGCGAAGTCTCCCTCGCCGACGACGAGTGGTTGCCGCTGTGGGCGGACATGATGTAGGACTGCGAGGTGGAGTGCTCGAGGGTGTCTTTTTTGTCCGATCTCGGCAGGGTCAGGCTCTTGTAGTTTCGGTTGCGGCTCGATGACTTCCCTGAGTCGAGAAAACGCTGCGGGTGGAATAGGGGCTTCAGCGCGGGCGCGCACGCACACCATATCGCTACGTTCACTTCCACTATCGACCAGAGATTCACCTGTTGATGTTTATTAGCTCAACCGTCTCGAGGCTTGGATGTCTAAGTATGATGATGAAAAAGGGGAGCTCGACTTACAAGGATACTGTCGCGGAAGGGATCCTCGGCCATGGTAAAAGTGTGGATGGAGTATAATCGAGCGCAGGAGCAGGCGGTTGCGAGAAGACCGATGCCAAAGACGCCGTATAGTACACGTCGATCGCGCTTCGATACCTGGAGTTTCTTGAGAGTCGGGATGGGGAGCACGATGATCCAGACATCAAGGAGGATGCCGAATGAGGAAGTGACTGGCTGTGTGTTAGTTCTCCGGAGAGGGCTTCTGAATAGTGTATTCATGGAATAGTAGGCACGTACAGTAAAAGAAGGCAGTTGTGTTTATACAGCTGCCTGGGGCTAAAAACGTAATGTCCCACGCCTTCCGAAGTGGTCTGCACTGGCCGACAACGACACCGATAGAGGCCAAAAAGAAAACAAGCATGAGGATATTTGTAGATACACAAAGATGCTTGAAGCCGTTTGAAATAGCTGGTGACTTGTGTTAGCATTCTGAACCAAATTATCGGAGACAACGTAGAGTGCATACCGAATCTATCGTACATGAATACGATAGACGCCTTTACGCAGCCGATGATCGAGTAGTATAAGATCTCGATAGCGAAGGTTATCTGATTTTTCCTGTTAGCATCCTGTCCCCCACGAAACGGTTAATCGATAGGACTCACCTTGAGGAGGGATCCCATCTCATCCAACGTCAGAACTGTCATGGGAGATCCCATGCCTTCATTCTTCCCGATATAGAGGATTATGAGGTAGCCTATTGAGAATAGCAAGGCGCCGAGTGCCATATAATCATCCATCCCGGACCTTTTCAAGACGATGAACCGAATCCATGTTCGAGTGATAACCAGGACGGCTGTAAAGTGCGGTGTTAGTCAAGAACAAGGTCAGGTAGGTAGGTGGTAGTTCACGATGCAAGCAAACAAGAGGAGTGTGGTTTGGGGAGCTCACCTGAGATGGCCGTTAAGATCGTCGATACCACAAGGAGAATCGTTATTTGGGTGTGGTCAACTACTACTTTCGCCGGTGCCTCCATCGTTGGGCGCTTGAAATCTTTGACGGGACAGAATAGGTATCTAGGAACAGCACCGAACTCCAACGATGAGAGAAGAGATAATGAGATCCTGACTGGACTGGCTCTACGGGCGTTCAAGTATTATGATATTATATTTGAGATTTTCTTCTCATAGTAGCAGAGTGGTATTGCCAAGGGTGCGGCGAGCTGAAGGCCACGGAGAATTTTAATATATTTCAAGGTTATAACAGATTCCACTACGACGCCGTCCGATCGCCTGACTCTCTTGGTATTATACTACTATTATACACCTGGGCATGCAACGTGATGGCGTGAAATATGGGGTATTGTATAGGCTTCGTCGAGGAACCAGCGTCATATAATTTACAAACGACAACCCTACCATGCAGGGCGATATTACAATAGTATGTCGCTTTCAGAAACGCCAGCGGCAACGTACAATTGGCCCATGTTAGGTTGTAGGTCCTTAGTCAGGAGTTCGCATTGACATCTACCAAGATTGGTGTGTATTATACCATCCATCCTAGTTTAAACAAGAATCGCTCTCAGACACGAGGAGGGGATTAGCTCGTAGGGTTGGGGTTTTCTTCCTGGTACTATTGGAATTTGCTGGTTGAGAAGCCTCATCCTGGACGAGTCTCTAAGAGTCTAGACGGGTTGCTGGCGAATGGCCTTCGAGATTCGTTCGTGGATCTTCCCTGCTCGAAATTTGCTCAGCCAGAGCCCACTGAGTGGTCCTAGCCCAGTGTCAGTGCGTAGGGTGAGCCGGCTTCCAACCATACCGCCGGGGATGGTACGTTTGAGCCCTAAACTTCTGGGTACTAGGTAGTATCAGACTGCATGTGGTAGCCTGGTAAGGGTCTCGGTAGATATACCCGTGCCCCGATTCAAATCTCAGTCGCATTGATGCTATGTTGCCCTCGTAGAGTCGTAGGATGGCACTGGATAACTATTTGGGTCCTGATGTAGACTAAAAAGTGTGAAACCCCATATTTGGCGATATCCATGTATGTATTGGGTAGCAAGTGTGATTGTATGGATCATATGATAATCCCGTCAAATCTGGTATTGCGTATTATGAAGAGTCGATAATGAACATCTGATGAGTCTGCTCCTACGTTATAAGGATGGGCTTATCTTGAATGTATAGGTAGGTAGGTAGCTAAGCTGCCATATACACTATTATACCTAATCAGTTGTTATTATGAATGATGGAGGCCAAAGTGTAAGTCCAATGTCTGACAAATATGAAAATCCAAATCTTTATTTAAACGCGTACTTACATACAGTGTCATACACTACCTACTAGGTAGTTAGTTGTTCACGATGTATGAGAGCTTAGAAGAATGTCGACGTTACCTACTACCTGATGCGGCAAGGTTCTATGGGTATTCGCCGACGATGGAATCACGTCAATGGTACTAGGTAAACTTTAAATGTGATGATCCTACATAGTAAATAGTATGGTATAGTGGTAGTATGGCTAGTTAATTTGGAGGCACATAACTAGTGCAGCAGGAAGTGTGCAGGTTTTGATGGGCTACTGTCAACTGATACCCCTAGGTTACATAGTAGATCGATACGGTCCCAGACTAGGGAGGACTAGGGAGGAAAGGTATCTGGCCTCTCAGCGGAAGCACTCCCCGAGACAAAAAATCTCCTTCTTCTGGGCACTTGACACTACCATCATTGAATAGAGACTAGTGGCTAGGCGAAGCATTGACTGATGCAGGTACTAACCTAGATTAGGTAGTTACTACATAAGTTCGAAGGGGATAATATGGGCCGTCCCTGAATATGGGCCGTGGGGCTGGCCCTTACTGCTTTAGGTAAGACCCTTACTACTTTAAGTAAGAAGCGGTACATTCTGAGAAGCGAAACGAGCTTTTTTAATTGATATGATTGGTTGAAATGCTTTATACTATTTTAGACATAGCTTCGCAATCAACCAATGAAATCAAAGAGCTAGCATAACTTAGGTTTAGCTCAGTTCTAATTCTCAATTTGGATCAAAACGTCCTTAAGGTCCGAGCTTTGGCAGACTCTTTGAAGGGCCATGTGTAAAACAGTAGTATTAATACTGTGCTAAACTGTACAAATCAGCCAATTAAATAAGCTTAAAATTACAATAATTGCTACGTAATAAAATGCTTATATCACGTGACACATAATATTTATACAGATTTCATAATATTGCATAATTGCGTACCTAATCTTGGTGCGTTAAGCGCCGCTAGTCTGGAGCCTTTCGTACACACCAATTTTCAACCCAATGCGATTAATTCAATTCAATGTTAAATCTCTATTTAAAGACAGAGATCAATAGCCCTTAAATAGAGCTTTTAAAATTGCTAGGCTGCACGACTCTACCATTCTTATTGCAGAAGTTATTTGATATTTGAACTGGTAGCGGTACCGCGTACGGGCCCATAGAGCCATACGCATCTAATGCTTTTGTACTCTTAAAGTAATCATCCAATTAAAATGATCCGATAAGAATCATCTTAATAAGCCGATAATAATAAGGCCTTTCATTGGCTAAAAGATAAAATGGAAAATATCAAAAAATACATAGAATTTATGTGGCCTTCTTAAATTTTATTGGCCGACTTGGCCCCACGGCCCATATTCAGGGACGGCCCATATTATCCCCTTCGAACTTATGTAAGTGCCAACGTTGTCGACCTATATCATACTATGTAAACATCAAAGTCCGTCTATGTAACTACTTCATACTAGATATGTAGGCAACCTGAGTTAATCCAACTGTCGTCAAATTTTATAGACCAATTAGGTAACCCGATTCTCTAACTAAGGTTAGGATGGAGTAAGGAGACGACTACCAGTATAATAATTATCGGGTTTACTGGTCACTCTGTATTAAATCTATTCCTCTTTAGGGTCCCGAGATGTAGATCTCAGAGTCTTCAACGATGGGAAACGAAACAGCCGTATTGGCGCTTTTGCTCCCCGCGTGTCGATCGCGGTACTGAACTCTGATGACGCTGGTCTCGATAGTCTGTTTTCAGGTTTGAGCGGATTTATTAGTTTTTCTGGGCTGTGTGGTTGATGTTTTGATGTTTTGATGTTGTTTAGTAGTATACGAAGTAGTTTAGGTAGGTACCTAGTAGTATCCATATTATTGTATTTCGTAGAAATTGCTGGAGATCGTAGCGTCGAGATCAACTTTGGGGAATCCCAAGCGTTTACACAGTGAGGGGTGAAGAGTAGCACAGTTTATACACTGCCTAATAATTACTAGGTACAATACATAGTTGATAGGCAATTATCTTTAGTTATCTAACTTGTTCAAATCTAATATCAAAGGATCTACAGACGACTCCTCTCCTGAACCGCCTCATTGAACTGAAATGTCGGTAAATTGTGCACGAACTCATTCCACGTCCCCTCCTTCACAAGAGGCGCAGTCGTCCACGGAGCTGCCTCCGTTTCCTTCAACAGTGTCTGCAACTCAGGCATGATTGCCTCCACGGCCTCTACGTCGCGCTTAATGAGTTCTTTCCGCTTGAAGCCCCCCTGATCGCAGTACCAGCTCAGATCGGACATCACACAGCTCGATTCAAACAGTCGCGCGAGGCCTGGCGCGACTTTGTTCTCGCGCACCGCGGCTTCGTACGCCATCCGATGGCCTGTCGCCTCGACGAGAGACCGGCAGCGCGGTAGTATGTACGCATTGAATGCTGCACCGCGGTGGTTGCTCTGCGGGAGGGAGGCGATAATCTCTTTCGCTTCTTGCCAGACGCCGGCTTCGTGTCGCGCAAGCAGACAGTCCTTCATCGTCGCGGGTGGGAGTGCGTAGCGGCCGAGCAGGACCTCGGATGCCAATCCTGTTACAGAACATCTCGTGTTAGTCAAATATGAATACCTAGGTAAGTAGGGATCAAGCCTCTGCGTAGGTAAGCTTACGTATACAAAGGACGGTGAAGTCTCCCTCGGCAATCGAGTTGCCCCTCATCGACATCGCCAGCTCGATGATCCTGTTGTACGAGAAGAGCCCTTGCCATCCACAGCGGTCGGCTAGCTCATTGATTGTAACTTGCGATGCCACCGTGACCGTAGCCTTGAAGCAAGCGGCTACGCTGTGCCGAACCTCAGGACTTAGCGAACTATCGCAAAATAACCTGATGGCGTCATCGGCGAAGGCATTGAACACCGCCGCCTGGGCGAGCGCGTTCAGTATCGGCCGATACTGCGTCGCGAAGCTGATGATCGGAACCGTCTGCCCCGGCTTGTTGCCGCTCACATGTCGCCGGAAGCTGTACGTGCCGGCTATGTACGCGCATTGCTTGAGTGCGGGGATGTTCCACATCGTCAGCGACAACGTGCCCACGGAGACCCGGTCGATGTTGCTGAGGAAACTCGCGCGCTCGTTGGAGCTCGCTTTCGGAGAGCCGAGGAGCGAGCTCGGACTGAGCCGGACGTGGTTGAAGGTCGTGATGGCGTGGTCGAGTTCCTTGGACCCGTTCCGTCGGGGAAGCAGGCGGGAAGTGACGCCGGGGCACATCTGGTCCGCCTCGCATAGCTTGACGATGAAGGGTTTCACGCCGCAGTCGGTCTGGTTCGCGATGATTCTTGCGAATACCACGGCGACACGGGATACGCCGGCCCACGGTGTCGTTGGTGGCATGGCTTTAGCCGCTGCTAGGCTGGGGGTGTGTAGTATGAAGGATCCGTCTGGTTGTAGTGTCGCTGTTGTCTCAAGATTGCGGGCGTCCAGCCCATGTCCCAGCTCGGTTAAGAGATACTCGCCGCATATGTCAAATCTCTCGAGACCTTCCAGTAACGTTAGAAGGTCCTGCCGGTTTCGTCGGGCGAATTTGCCAATGGTACCCATGCATAGGTTCCAATGGATGACAAGGATGATCGTCACGGCCATATCCCTCATCGCAACAACTAGACGATAGCGTTAAAGCTTGCTCAAATCCCGTGCTATGCTAGACTCGCTACTTACGTTCACGGTTAAAATCCCAAAACTTAGCCGTCATATCGACAATATCGTCCGTGGTCATGCCTATATGACAGCTGGTTAAGTCATGTCTTGAGTACTTGTAGGAGCTTGTCTATACGTACTGCTCTTCTGACATATCTTGCGAGCTCTGTTGTAGCTCTGTCTTATCGACGAGGGGTTTGGGAAGTCCAGGTAGTCGCCCCTGGTATCCCAAAGACTCCCCTCTAGTGTGAAGTCATATGGCGCCATGCTTCTTGCTACTTAGTAACCAGATAATGGTAGGTTCGAACAGGGCAGGTCGTGAAATATGAGAACTTAGGCGAAACCGACAGATAATATATAGGGACAAAGATGGAACTGTCCATCAGTGTTGCTATATACTTGGGCTCAACCCGAAATATCCGGTTCCTGCACACCAAGTAGAATCCTAGTTTCCAGCACGATGGGACGTCGGTGGCTCTAGAGCACCGAAGTAATTCCATCGCGTAGAGAGGTGCGTGATACCAGGACTGGGGCTTAATAATCGGATCATCCGATGCTGATGCTTCATGTGGCGATCTAAGTAAAGGGTTCATGAAGATTTTGGGGTCCTCGACTAGTCTCCATGTCGAATCCAACTCTAATAATTAATTTGAACTACATCAGAGAGACTGATTAGGTATGCTTAACCCCCAAATACCATCCACTTCAACTGTTCTTCATTGCGGATCACATGTGGAAGTGGATTGGTTCTTTTGCGACCCCCAAACTAGGCATCGTGACTCTCAACGCGGAAGGGTGGGACTTTTGCCGCTCAGAAATTACCGTTCCTGGCGATCATGAGCTAAGCAACCAAGTCCTCAGACTTAAAACAAGTGGCATCTACACGGATTCGACTAACAGACTATTGAAAATAGGACGGGAATATTGGGAATGGCCCCTTCATATGTCGGACGGTGGCGCGGTTAGTTAGTCGTTTGCCTCCTGTTGCTGCTGGGGTTTGGCGATCGTTGATATCTTGCATAGCCGCTGCGCCGCATGGCAGCATGGATCTAAGGTATAGATAGTAACATCGATCTAATTCTTTGCCGCTCCGATCAAGATGATCATGATAGTTCTAGTATGGATTGCCAATAGGTTCGGAATTGCCTTCCTTGCTGAGGAAGGGCGGGAAAGCTGTGTATAGACCGGCGTCTGGCACCATGTCAATAATAGGTATCCGCATAGTGTACTGAACTGGTACTTAAATTCGTATCATGGACTTCGCATCCCTAGCTCATTATTAGGCATATTTTCAAGGTTGTTTGACGGTGGTGGCTGATATAGTTATCTAATAATTCTTCTATGCTTATTTGAGTGATATAGCATCAAGAGCCATCTGTGTAGGTTAGTGGTAGTGGCTTTGCTACGGCTGTCAGGTTCACATCGTCACGGGTGCCAGCGTCATCCAACCTCAACCTATTCTGCTCATGTTTAATGATTATTGTCTTTGATTGGCAATTATTCGCTTGTAGTCTAATGTTGAAAGACCCTAAGCTGAGTCAGCGTTGAAGAGTAATCGAACGTGAAGCCGAATAGAGCCTCAACTGACTAAGACCGACACTCAAAACTCATCCACAGAAGCAACCTCTGGCCTTAACTATTGCTCGATTTGCACTATGGGGTTCATGTCCTTCGGAGATGTGCTATCTAATTATAATTCATGAATTAAATTGTTTCCCGAGGCTTCACAACGTTACCAAGTTCAGCCCGTTCCAGACGAATAATCATATCGCTATTTGCCTCAGATTGTTGCACCAGGTCCCTGCCGAATGTATACCCCACGATGTCACCTTTTACAACACTAAAATTGTGGATTCTGATGTGGATGTCAGTGTTCCTTATCATAACTCCGTTCTCTTATCTTCAAGCCAAATTTTAGATCTGGGGAGTGGGGAATCGGGGGAATCGGGAATGGGGATAGCTTCAAATCTTTACGAAGTAGACTTAGATACGACTTCTACTGTTAAAATAATAGAATTGAGGCAAAATGTCCATTAGTTGCTTCCAAACACCTTTTCACAACTTTATGACAAAAGTGCAAACTTCTTTAAAAAAAAAAAAAAAGGTCCTTAGTCAGGTCCTAATTGACCCACATGCTTGGGTTACTTCCAGTGGATTGTCGGGTCTCAGGGGTAACAACGTCGTAGCAACATAGATGGATATCGGCGTTTCCAATCAATTCCTAGAAGTGTTACGCTGCGAAGGATTCAAAATACGAAGTATGTAAAAGTTTAGTATATTATATGCTTGTACACCTAGGTACTCTTAGTCGGCATACTGTGGTCGATAGTATGAAAGACGCTATGTAGGGCCCCCTGCTGAGGGATCTCGAAGGCATGTGATAATCGAACAGTTTTAGTTAGAATTCATCATTTGCCTTTCAACTATATAGACGCGACGGCTCTTGGGAGTACTTCGAACATTACAACGATTCAGCTAGCCAATAAAGGGGTTCATATTCTCCGCGGATAGCTACTTAACCTAGACAGTTGTATTCTCCTCATTATATTCTCTTTTTAGTTAAACAGTACCTATCAGTTACTAATTGGGTTAGATATGTTGACAAAAAGCCGCCTTCCCAAGTACCTAACATGTAATTTCCACGCCTTGGGGAAAGTACACTGAAGTAAGTCACGAAATCTTTGTGGTTCGTCGTTCAAAATTAGACTCCCTTAGTAGTATTCTTCACTTCAACATCCGCCCGGAGTCTAGTAGTCGCACTCTCCGAAACCCCAAAGTCGTACACGGAAGCTTGGCATTGGGGTATGCGGCGCCGTCCTTGCCGATCATGGTAAGCTGTACGCCATGATGCTGACCACGTTCCCCCGCCCCGGCCCGGATTTGTGGAACGGTCTCCGACGTCAAGTTTCACATCCCGTGACTTTGTTTCTTTGTCCCGGGAAACAGCCAAGACTATTTTGGTGCATCGCTACAGAGAATAGCATTAACCAGCCAGAATGAGATTCAAAACTGTCTGGCCAGAATCGATCTTAGCTCTTATGGGCCGATGAATGAAGAAAAGCCCCTTTCCTAATCAGATCTAGAGTTGTGGCTTATTCAATTAGGTGCCTAGTAGAAGTGCATAGAACTAGACGGGGAAATTATAGCATCTCGAATGAGAGAAGCACTTGCTATAATGCATTGGGCTGATAGAACCCACAGCAGATTTGTTGAGAAGCTCTGGGGAAAGAGTTCCAGTCTCCTCTGAAAAATCATTCTAAAGTTCTCCAATTGCAGCCGACGCGGGAAGCAATGATGGCAGAGTAAGAAACTAAATACCTGGTCAGGTATGGACCTAGGGGAAGATACCGACTGAAAATTATGTTCAGGGTAGTACAAGTGTATAGGAATCTTCACACGAAAGTTGAAGAAAAGCGCATTACATAAGTACCCAGTAGGAATGTGTAGTAATGTGCTTTATGGTCGTGTGGTAAGAACAACTACCTGTTGGGTTGGCAGTTTGCTATATATCATTGGACAGGTACCAAGGTAGGCAGAGATCAAGCTGATACAGGAAAAGCATGATATGGCAAATTTATCAATTACCAATGACATCTGGAGGCAAGTGTTTGGGACGAGGTGACTCTTGAGTCTTGATGGTTTTCCCACGTACGGTATGTAGATAACTATGGTATGCACCTATGAAAAGCACAGAATAAAAGGGGTTCAACAAAACATATATAATTCTTGGCTCCAAATCTTCCACATTAGCATACAACACTTATACTTTCCATGTATATAGAATTTACCTACCAAATATCGATGTTACCTACATGTAGGTATTCATATAGAGTGCCGCATCTCCTAGTACCTTTGTACCTAGTAGTGCTAGGTACATATGTAACTAGTAGATATCTAAGGTTACGCATTTCATACCGTGCATTTAAGATTTTAGTGGCGGGAGCATCCGATCTATCTGTTCGAAGGCCAATATTGTGATTTTGCCTAGTCAGGTACGACAGCAACCGCTGATGCGCTGCTTTGGTACCTCAGGAGTTAGTGACTTAGGATGTGTCTTCAACATTGGATGAAGGTTCATTCCCTTTGCGAATTAGGTATCAAAGTTCATAGTGCCTGCCTAGTAGAGAATCCTAAAGTTGTACCTTCAGTGCGTGCTGTGATGCAGTTTCCATTGTCACCTGGGCAACAACGTCATTAGTACTGTGCTGAGTCCGACTCACTTGCGTCCTACTCGACTTGACTTTTTAACGCTCTTGCCATAATGCTCCTCTAAGCGGTCAATGCATCAGGCATAAACTTGCTAACCGGGCAGGAACCTTTTCTTGACTATCTAGTACCTCGTGTAGCATGAAAAGCTTTTAGTTACTGCCACAACTCCTACCACCCACCACCCACCACCCACCTCCATACTTCAGTTTACCATCTGTCCTATCCACACAATATTTTTCCTTAATTATTTCATCTCTTCATATCCGAAGCTAAGAATAAACTATCAAACACCACCAAAATATCTTTCTTTTTCTTTTCTCTTTCTAACTTCCCTCACATCTCATATCTTTACATTACATCTTCACTGCTACCAAATAACCGACCATCAATAAACCATTATCATGGATTTCTTTCCTCCATTCCACAATACCCCGTTCAGTCGCAGCATCCAAGAGGCGATGTCTGCATTCCCAGAAGAACAGTGTCGAGAAGCACTAACCCAACAATCACCGAAGCTAAGGGCGCGGCGCGCTCTCGCATTTGCAAGGCTCGACATTTGCTCAGTGCTGAGGAAGCGCAAGGCTACCAGACTCTTGCGCTCTATAGGAGTTCCTACATCTTCCATAAACACGTCAACATTATCCCCATCAAGTCCACCCAAAGTCTTAGTCGAAAATGCCCTTCCTCAAAAGGCCACTGTCGTCGACAGCAAATTGCCGAGGGAGTGGCAACTATTCAATGGGCATGAGAGAGCCGACGCTCAAAGGCGCTGGATAACGATGAAGAATGCTTTGAAGATGTTTGAGAACCTTCCCGACGACGATATCCGGCCACGGCAATGGTCCGATGAAGAAATTGCGCGTCACAAAGACATAGTGACCAAGTACTACATCGATGCCGGCAAACCTCACAAGCTGGCGCCATTGTACCGAGGAGACACGAGTCGCGATGACATAGTCAATGCGCTAAAGACACTCATCGTAGATGCATTCAAGGAAGTAAAAAAATTCCACATGTCTGTCTCGTTGTCTGGCCAAAGGATACGCAAAGAGAGCCATCATCGTTTTAAGAAGCGCAATCGTCTTCCTTTTGGTCCCGAGCGCACTCGAGCGAAAGGCAGACCCTCGCACCTACACCACTCGACAACCCCCGAGGATATACCAGATGAGATACCCGAAATCATCTAACAAAATGAGAGACTAGGGTAGACAACAGAAATTGGATATCCGGGCCGGTGGGGGGTCTCCTGCGCCTGGCTTACACGGCGACCTAGCGATTGCAAGTATGGCATTAACCTGTTTATCGACGCAGTGAATGATGCCATATCGAATGACGCTCGTACAGACAAGGTAACAGAACACTTACACGAGCTATTCAGGGGCAGAGCCCAGGTGTACAAGGCGTGATTTTAGCCCATGGTCTGGAAATCAGCGGCGTCTTGGACTATATTGGTATGATTGTCATCTCTTGCTCGTCGCCCGGCGCCCGGCGCCCAGCCACATATTGCGGCTGAACTGCCAGGGCTTCGTTCGATTTTTTGCCGCAGCACCAGTACTCAGCATTTCCTTTCGGGCTTGCTGCTTCCAATCACCGAGTCTCGATGGGTAGGCACACTCAGTTGTAATTTTCCTATTCCAATCTCATGTTTCCATTACAAATGATCGCGACGATGATCGCCCCTCTCGGACCGATCGCGACGATCGCCGTGATCGAGACAATCGCAGGGACGATAAGGGCAAACGCCGAGCCGATGAGCGACAAGAACCACGCAACTATTCCCGGAATGACCGTTCCGGTGGTTACGGCCGCCGACGCTGGGGATATCGCGGGGGTCGCGGAGGACGGGAATACCGTCTCGACAACCGTAGGGGCAGATTCAACCGCGGAGATCGTCGCCGCTTTAGATGGCAACGATGGGTCAAGCCGGGTCGTCACACGGAAGACAACTTTTTGGCGGATGAAGTAGAGATACAATATGACATTTCGGTCCCAAAAGAATGCTTCATGATCTCAAGGGAGTTTCGATACAAAATCTGACAACGAAAGTGCGCACATACGTACAATGGTGCCCGCAGTGTCAAGAAAATAGGACTGACAGATCAAAACCGTATGGCGAGCTGATGCCCATTGACTCCGTCCCACGACCCTTTCATACCATCCCCCAACCGCATCCTACCTGACTCACACCGACGCTGCTGAGTATAACGACGGTACTGAGAAATTGTTCTCATGGGGGTCGAACCCCAATTCTACGAAAGACTTCATCACTAAATAATCCAACACATGGAATAGGGTAGCGTAGCCAAAGTAGGTGGCTGATAAAGAGAGGTGGATACTGAGTCCTCTATTACCGGCTGTTCAAATCAGAATTAGGTCAACGTCTCATGGCTAGGATTTCCAACAAAGTGTTTTCGGAACGTGAGTTGCCGTCAATCGACGTGTGCAGTTTTATAATGGGCTATGGCACAATCTACTCGGGCGTGGATAAGTGGCGTTGGGTCTACTGCGACACTGTCTACTTTGTGATTATGCGATGCTGGCGCCAGTTTATGTTCTTAACATAACATAGGACAGCGCATTGCGAACTAGGTAGTCGGAGCAGAGGCACTAGAGTCACGGCTGAGAGGGATAAGGTGGGCGGCAGAGGGAGACGATGGAAATGGACAAATGTATGGCGAGATTTTGGCTCACTACAGGATATTATGAGGCTGGCAAGGCAGCCGCACAAGAACAAACAAGCTATTTATATAGTAGATTAAAGAATAGTGGAATCATCTAACAACTCAAAGTCCCGGGCGGGTTACCTAGAACTGAGGATTTTTATTCAAGGTGATGATGCCACGTACTGTCAGATTTTACGTTATACTAAAAGGTGAATGATTGGTCTTTAATCATTTTTCTTTTGTTTGCGTAAGTACATTTGACATGTATTGTTAATTGAATCCAGTTGATTGATATTAATTCTTAGATGCGTGTGGTGTAGTTGTATGACAGTGACCAGCATATTACACGTGGCCAATCAGCGTTAACAAAATCCTAGCGTCCATCCTAATCCGGTAATATTCTTCCCCACCACATGCATTTTCCCGCTTGCCGGGTCGAGTCTTTCGTACAGTACACATCATGTCTCGGTAATATCGACCATCATCCACATCGCGTTGCAATTGATTCAGATGTCTATAGCACCCACAAGCTGAACAGTATAAAAGTCTTATATTGTATTGAAAGACTTAAACGTAATTATTACAATATCCTCGAATCCACAACCGCCAATTGGTACATCCTCCCAATATTTACCCACCTCCTAGGTAACCTAATAACCTAGGTAGCAACCAGCTTTCCTTCCTGGGTATACAATCCTATCCGTAGTATTTTTTCTCGCTCGAGAATCCCTGAATCTGTGAGCCAATACCAATTAGATAGGTACCCGGTACCCAAAAACACTAACTTAGGTACACAACAAGTCTTAGCAAGTTTTCCTCCCGCAACGACCAACCAGCATGTCCATTATCTAAGGATCCATATCCTTCCTGGTCTCGTAAGAAACGGTAAACTCCCGCGTCTTGTGGATGTTATTGTCCCCCAAGATGCTCTCCTCGCTCCCCGTGCTCGAATGCGGCCGCTTGGCGCCGACCATCGTGGTGTTGGCCTGCTCCCTGAACTCTGGCGCCGGGAGGGTGTTCATGGCAAAGCTGTTGTCGGCGCCTCGGCTCTTCCTCCCTCGTCCGCCGGTCATGATGCCGCTGGAGGCTTCGCTGTGCTTGTAGTACCGGTCCGAGACGCTGGTGCCGCCGAGAACGCGGGTCCAGAGGGGTCGCAGGACGGGGATCGAGACGCACATGATCGTGATGGTTAGTTCGCTGCTCGTCCACATTATGGAGTCGGCGGTGGCGTCTAAGTTTTGCGTAAGGTTAGAGAAGAGTTAAAGAGACAGAGAAACGCATTGCAAGACTTACAAAGATAATCAGCGGACTCGCTCAAGACTTGAAGACCTGACGTTCTGACAGTTCCGCACACTCCAGCGCTATTGAAATGTTAATTATCATTTCTGGTAGAGAATCAACGGTATACAGGACTTTAACTTGGACTTACAGAATTCCTAGACTTAGAGACGTGCAAATCGTAGTCTTTTCCTTCTTCGACATGTTCAGCTTCCAGAGGACTAGCCAGGGGAAACCCGCCAAGAAGAAATCCATTGCGGCGGACCAGGCTGTATTGCATCATAAGTTAGCCCCTTATAACTTTGTCTAATGTTGTGTTTTTTTTTACCGTCAGATACTTACAGCACATGATGAATGCGACAATGGTCAGATTGATATGACATGTCTTCTCCGTAATGCGTGCGTCCCAGATGGCCTCGACGGGAGTGCATTGAGCAAAGCACGAAATGGCCAACAGCAAGGAAAAGCCCATCATCGTGACTATCCAAAACCATAGGACAGCCTTGTGCCTGACGTGCTGTGTTAGCAAATTTGTCCTAGTCCGGTCGGTGGCTTCACTCGATTCTTACCATTTTATGACCACGATGCGCATTAGAAACATAGCCACAGCTGTTTTGCTGATGCCCATAGCAATCGACACGGTAAACTGACCGATCACTTCAATTTTTGTCGCCAATCGTACATCTTCTAGTGAGATATCCGTAGTGTGCTGGCCGAAGCCATAGATAGAAGATACGATCATGAGAATCGTGAATAGTAATTGGAGAATCTTTTTTCAACCTTGTTAGTACCTAACGACAAATGCGAAAAGGGGTTCGTTCAACTTACCCAAGTTATCACGAGCAGGTGATCATCGAGCCCGATGCCGCCCCTGACGGCTATACGGGTGTAGAGTCGTAGACCGATACATAGCGCAGCGAGGGCAGTCTCTACTGAAAGGACGATAATAGTAAGCGGCCCCTTACCACCGAGAGGCATCTTGGGCAGTGTCGTACGAAGTTACTAAGTAACCTAAACGATCTTGTCTTGGGGATGGATGTTGTGCTTTTGCAGAGTTCGTCGAGTAACTTAATCAACACAAATCCCGATAGACAAACCAAATCTGCACGCATAGGCAGCAACCCAAGGACCCGGAATTTTGGGAATTTCAGATTTTTTTTTTTTGGTAATAAATATTAAATATATGTACGGAGTAACTACCTCCCAACAAGATCCTAGTCAGTCAGGGCCCGAACGAACGGTAGGGGTACCATGCAGATGGGAATCTGCGGCCAAGTCAAACCGCACTGCAGAAGCTCAGGCTCTTTTTTTTTCGTCATCGATGTGGTTGAGCGGCGGGATAATATTCTTATCCTCTTACTAGCCCTACAACGACATCTCGATTCTGGGGGAAAGTTTTTTCATGTATGTTTTAGGAAAAGGGCGAGGCACTGGAAAGGAGGCGTAGAGTTGGGGTAGATATGCACCTACCTAGGTAGTCCTCAGTCAAATATCATAACGATCTTGACCGAGATTTCTAAGGGGCTATAGTGCTTATTGGCTGCGAAGTACATAATAATGCATGGCACAATAGGTAGGTACCAGATCTCAACGAAATCTAGGCATAATCACTGTAACATTGAAAGAAAATTTCGATGAACGTTCCACCTGGAAGGAAGTACCTCTGCTCTGCTCTTTGCTCAGATGGTTTCAAATCGACGATGAGTTGAGGAGGCGACAGGCCTAGGATAACTGCAAGCAGCAAATGAGTGGGTGAGAGGCCACCACCATGCGATCTATCTCACCACCTACAATGTTACACAAGGCTACTACATGGGGATATTATACCTAGGTAGGTACACTCTCGCTTATCCCTAATAGAATAAAAGCCGAGAGCTAGGTTCGTATGGCCGACGGAGTTCTAGAGTCGGGTCGTTCTTCAATGCTGCCCCTTGTGTGATGTTACATACGGTTCCGTGTGGTCTGGAGGGGTTGGATGATTCAACCCCAGCAGAAAGTGAAGATCACATTATTCAGGTGCTTGGGCTCATCGAGAATCCGCCGAGGGTAATACGTCCGTCCGTCCCTGTCTACGTATATATAGGTACCTTACTAGGTATATTCATATTACATATCTACCAAAGTACGTACAATACATAGATAGGCATCTAAAACGTACCTGGTAGATATGATCAGTCATATTCCGAGCGACCGCTCTTCCGTCTCCTGGAAATTACCTAGGTACTCATGTTGGACTCGCCAGAAAGATCGTTTTCCTAAAACACCTTCCCAAGCCCAGAGCATTGGTAAAAACAAGTGATTTTCAACATTGCAGTTGAGGCCTCTAGTTTTGTAATCGCCGCGGCGTTTACTCCGCAATATGACAACCCCCACACGCCCATATAAATAAGTCATCCCTTCCTAAGGCGGCTCACGCCAACCAGAACTAGACTTCCAGGCAGATGTACTACGCCGTAATGTGGGAATACAGGGGAAGTCGGGTATGTCTCAAGAAATCAGAGCCTACCAGCTGAGGTACCGGGCGGATTGAAGCGAATGACCATAGTTATTTGCTGCTGGAATAATATTTTCTCCCTTGCAGATCCACCTTTGTATGATATCGTTACTAGGTATGTACGTAGTATGCATGTATCAGTGCGGCGGCACGTCGAACAATTGGCGAATTATATTTAGTCAACGGCCTGGTCCGGGAGCCGTCAAACCGGGGCTTCCAATAGATGGCTCCACAGGGACCGACGGAGTGGACGGGGAGACATTAGTGTTTGCATCCGCTATCATTTACAAATCTGACATGTCGATTCTGGCGTGGGCGGAAACATGGTTCATGGTAGGAGAGCTGAATTTGAGGAGGTATCATAGGTACTAGGTACGCAAGGGATGATTGTATAATTTTATAGTCTGACTTATGCGTGGCTAATACGGTTTAAACATCCTTATTCAGGTGGTAATACAAAGAAAAACTTCTCATTATTGAAGCTGGCTAGTAGTACCTATTAGGTATGTAGGTAGGTTGGTTGGTTATTAGAATTAAATGTCGAACTATCCACTATACGTGTAGAAAGCCCTTAGGTAGATAGGTATGCCTTATCACTGCGAGCCCCTTTCGCATCACGATGTCTTCGCATTACTAGTTTCAACACGAGTTTCGGCGGCAATGGCATCCTTGAAATCCACTGCTACCACATCACCAAACTTGGCATTAATCTCTTCGAGAGTCAGATTCTTGGTCTGTAAAGCAAGCATATTAGCATCCACCAATAACAAGAAAATTTGGGAGTGTGAAGTATTACCTCTGGGAAATAGACAGCGATAATAGCCGTAGACACAATAGTCACACAGACGAAGACAAGATAGTACATCCAGCCAATGTTCTTCAGAGCCAAGTTGACTGGAGCACTGTACGCAAGAGCATTGCCAAAGAAGGATGCGAATGCGAGAGTAGAACCCTCGCTTCGCAAGTGGGTTGGCCAAATTTCTGAGCCATATGCGTAGGATGTGCATTCGATCGTGGACGTGAATGCGAACCCAAATATGAAGTAAAGAGCAACCAGGGCGTTGATGCCAGGCTCATAAGTGGTGGCGAGATAGTACTTTACGAGGGCCGTCATTATAGCGAGGATCGCCGCGTTGGTTATGCCGCCGATCACTTAGAAGTAGGCACCCTTAGCAAACAAGAAAAGAAAAAAAAGAATGATGGATGTGGCTGGTAGGGGAAAAGAAACTTACCGAGAAGCCTTACACGGCCAACTCTATCGATGATGGCTACATTGAGCAGGCAGCCGAGAATCGCCACAACGGTCCAGGCACAGCCTAAGCCAAGCTGAAGGGTAGGGTTGAACCCGAGTCCACCCATCAGAACTGGTATGAGGTTGGCAATGGCGGTGATGCCCGTGCCTTGTCCCATAACCCATAGTAGAATAGAACAAAACGCCCGCTTGCGCAGAGCAGGTGTTTTGAAAATGTAAATGTATCCCTTAGGTAGGTTTTTCTCAGCTTCAACCTGGGCTTTGATCTGAGTGGCTTCTGCACGAGCAAGAGTGCCGTCAGGGTCAGACTTGGTGCTATGTAACCGCTCCAACTCGGCTCTCGCCTGCTCCTCCCTCCCATTTTCCATCAACCATCTCGGCGACTCAGGAAGGAAGTAGAGAGAACAAGCAAATCCCACCGCCGCAACTGTCAAAACGACAAATGTCAAGCGCCACTGGACAGGGTGGTCGACGAAACTAAATATTAAACCGCACAAAGAGCAGACAATATACGCCGTGACGATGCCGACGCCCTGAAGTCCTACAAGCAGACCGCGAGTGTGGGGCGGAGCGACTTCACTCATGTAGACGGGGCTATTCGCCATGACCATGCCAGCACCGATTCCACACAGGACACGTGCGACAAGCAGCATGGCAATGTGGTAGGAAGCGCACTGCAAGACGCCGGCCACGACAGCGATCAGCGCGGCGACGAGATTCGCCTGTTTACGGCCCCATCCATTCGAGATCGGAGCCTGGACGATGCAACCGACGAAAGCACCACCCAGAAAGCTAGCGAGCAATCCGTCCATTCGAGCCGTCGCGTCTTCAGTCGTCAGGAACATCGCTATGAAGCTCGTCTGTGCCAGCGTTCCGCTCATGGCGTTCGCGGAGAAGCCGTAGAGGAAACCGCCCATGGCGGCTGTGACGCATACCTCGCATGAAGTTAGAATAATGGTTTGCTACACACGAATTAAACCGACTCGTTGAACATACCTGTATAACTCTCTTACTGGTGCCCCCATTGTGAACCTTGATCTCGTCGCCATGGCTGCTGGTAACGCTACCTGGGCCACTTTGCGGCTTCGACTTTTCCTCGGGATCCATATTCCGGGTATTGTTAGGACAGCAAGAGAAACAGAAAAAATTGAGAAGTGGTGAGAGATGCAAGAGACCGCAAGAAGCAAACCAGATTTTCCAAAAATCGGGGGGACATGCACATAGCTACATAACTATGTCGACTGTTATCTTGATATAGCTTACCTAGGTACCCACGCAGCAGAGTTGCATTCCAGACAATTCTGGGGTTACACTATGTGATGAACCTATTACCTACCTACCTACCTAGACAGCGTAGTACTCGTAGCGTAGTATTCGAACCATGCCAGAATAGTTCTACATCGGTAGGCCGGACCAGCATAATATCTTCCGGGGTGTTATGCCTAGAGAGGCGTAATGAGATAGAGAGCAACGGGGCCCCGGAAAAGGGGGAGGGGAGGGGCTCGCATTGACACGTTAAGTTTCTACACTACACACATGCATATAATATTGAGAATATTGGCTCTGGGTTAGCTATTTCGGCAATCTTTGTTGGGACACTGTCGTACTGACTAGGTAGCGGCTCTGCAGGTTACAATCTTGCTGATTACCTATTTATTAGACCAAAACATCCAACAGTGAAACGTACATCTACCATACATATCTTACCATACCACCACATCACTTACTGCATCGAGTAACTACCTTACCCCTTTATTCCTTTTTTCCAATCATATACGAAAATATTCTACACTATGCCTGAAGTTGCCGAGGCCCAGATCTTCCCTGTCCTGAAGGGCAAGGTTGCGATTGTCACAGGCGCGGCCCAGGGGATGGGCAGGGCCACGACCGAAGTCTTTCTCAAAGCCGGTGCCAAGGTCGTCATGTGTGACATCAAAGAGGACCAAGGGCAGAAAGTCGCCGAGGAGCTCTCGAAACTCGGCGAGGTCATCTTCGTCAAGGCCGATATTTCCAAGGGGGCCGAAGTGCGGCAACTCGTCGAGAAGACCGTGGCCAAGTTTGGCAAGCTCGATGCCGCGGTTAACAACGCGGCCATGACTCCTGACAACACGCCACTCATCGACTTCGACGAAACTTACTGGAGCAAGCTGACTGACATTAACCTGACCGGCACGGCCCTGTGCTGCAAGTACCAGATGCAGCAGATGATCAAGCAGGGCGGAGGAGGCTCCATTGTCAACATTGCCTCGATCAACGCTTTCAGGCCTCAGCCTAACATGCCCGCCTACACGTCCTGCAAGCATGCTCTAATCGGCCTCACCAAGCACGCAGCAACCGAGGGCGGCCCCCATGGCATCAGGATCAACGCCATTGCTCCTGGCGCGATCTACGTAAGAAACTCCTCGCTATTTTACATCCATCCACAGTTATAATATCTACTCTGCTCTCCAAGTAGAAACTTCAGCTAACCAGATACGTACGATCCAGTCCGAGATGTCTGCAGCCGCACTCGTAACGATGGGCCTGACAGAAGCTGAATTCACTCCCCAGGTCAGCACCCTGAACCGATTCGGCATGCCGCACGAGGTTGCGCAGGGATCGCTCTGGCTCTCGTCTGACGCCTCATCTTACGTGACTGGGGTTTGCCTACCAGTCGACGGAGGGTTTCTGGCGAAGTGAGGGGGTGGAGCGAACGATGAGCCCGAGCCCGAGCCTGGGACTGTCAGTGTCAACCCATTAAAGTGCTTATTTCCATGCCTAGTGTATGCAGCAGCCCTTGATAACTAGATACTATGTAGATAGATATTGAAAAAAGGTGGGCTTGAGTGTCACAGATTAGATATATCATATTTACAATGGATCAGAATTGCAGCTCTCAATTCTTCTTTTGCTTTTTTATTCAATGATTAGTGTGCGGCGTAGAAAGGGAACTTTGGAATATCCCCCCCCCCCTTTTTTTTTCTTTTTAATTTTCCTGGTTCTTCTTCCCCCACAAACCTGGGTTCACTGGTTCAGTACCAAAGCGTGCGTGCAACATATTTCGTCGTAAGAAATGACCTCTCAAATTCTTCAGCGTGGCAACTGCTTGCGATGATGCTACCTCGCTTAAGCAAAATAATGGAGATGCCCGTTTCGATATGCACGTCGTTAGCACCAACCGCGTCAGAAAGGGGACGGGCCGTGCGACCAACGACTTCCTGTTCCATCCTACCCAGTTCACCGTAACACTTAGTAATAGTATTTGTTGTGTAACATTAAATATTCATACTGTTATAGGTATCTGGGGGGCGGATGGTATATAGTCTTTTATGTAGTTACCTACGAGCTAAGGGATAGAGAGAGTTGTGTTGTATTACCTGACTATTCTAGGCAACTCGTCAAACTCGGCAATATTATACTAGTCTTTTTTCTCGTCTCTTCAGACCTTCTTATTCCAATTTTATATACTCATAACCTTAGGAGAAAATGGCATCAGCTCAGATCCCACGCAGCTCACCCCGAGTACACGAGGGGAAACTTGCCATTGTAACTGGGTCCGCAAGAAGTGAGATACATAAGCAAATCTTAGAGAATCTTACAATGTTAGAAGTGACAAAGTCTGACCTTGAGATGTACATTATACAGGCATTGGCGCGGCAATCATCCGCAACCTAGCTAGCAAGGGTTGCAACGTGGTGGTGAATCACGTCACACCATCGTCCGACCAGGCGGCTCTTGATTTGTGCAAAGAGGTCGAGACCGCGCACGGCATCAAGGCCATCTCGGTCCGCGCTGACGTCAGCAAGACCGAAGGCTGCACCAAGATGATCGACGCGGCCAAGGCCGCCTTCGCCAATCCCACGCTCCAGGTCGACATCCTCGTCCACAACGCCGCCATCCTGTACATGGGCCCCCTCGAGAGCGTCGTCGAGTCCGAGTTCCACCACATCTACGCCGTCAACGTCCTCGGCCCCACGCTGCTGACGGCCGCCTGCAAGCCGTATCTGCCCACCGACCGATCGGGCCGCATCGTCATGATCTCCAGCATCAACTGCAAGGTCGGCACTCCCAACACGAGCCTGTACTCCGGCACTAAGGGTGCCCTGGAAGCGCTGGCCCGCGTCTGGTGCCGCGAGCTTTCTGAGCGCGCCACGGTCAACACCATCAACCCCGGCCCGGTCATGACCGACATGTACATGAACGTGGCGGATGAGGTCAAGCAGGGCTTGGCTCTGTGGAATCCGCTCACGCCGCTGGTGGCAGTGCGGGAGACGGATAGCCCCGAGGTGCAGGAGCTGGGAAGGAAGTTTGGCGGACGCGCGGCATACGATCACGAGATCGCGGGAATGGTTGCGACGATTTGCAGCCCAGAGTCTGGATGGTGCACAGGAAGTCTGATCAGCGCCAATGGCGGCTTGAGTTTCAGCCTCTAGGCTAAACAGTCTCTCTTGCTGATCGTGGCGAGAGCCATGATCTCAGATTAGACCTGGTAATTTTGGACAGCATGCTGTCTAATGCGATGGCATTCCAAATAGAAGTGTAATGCATGTACTTAGTACATACATATATATTCATATAAATATATATAACTACATATTCATGTCAAACACCCAAACCCTGTGCTCATTCATCTTGGATTTGCCGTGTCTACAATTGCATTTGGTTACTTTTATTGTGAATTTGTGATTGACCTGATTATGTCTCTAGTTACCCCTTAAAAGCTAGAAAGCTTGGCACATACCTAGTACCTAACGTGCTACCTACATCAGCGTCTGATCGATACATATTCCTGTTAGATTTGAGCTCTAGTTGTTCTTGGATAGGCTTGCCTTTATCCCGGAATTAAGAGATGCTTGGTAAGACTCGGTGCCACGCACTTTTCTCATCATTTCTAAGATGCGATCTCGGGGTCTCGGTAACTAATACTATCCATTCTGTTGTAGATGCCTCGATGATCTATTATAGCCTTACCAAAGCCACGGAATCGGCACTTATTAACCCTAGGCCCTGAGCCGATCATGTGAAGATTCCTTAACATGAGGGGACTAAGAAGTTGGTCATATCTTCCAGCTAGTTGGCACTCATTCCAATCCATGGATATAGATTTGCAACACGTTAGAGTTAGATAACTCAATAAAGCCTTATCTTCCTGAAGAATATGTCATTATTCAAGTGTAAGTATAGCTAATCTGTTTGTTTAACAAACAAATTTTGTTTGCTTGTTCTGGGGTGTCATTTTTGGCCCCCATTTTCTTCCTCCTTACATGAAGTTTAACAGAAATATTTACCTAGGTTAGATACCTAGGTACGCAGGTAAAGCACATGCGTCATATCGTCACTTTCGACTTTTCTTTTTCTGATTAGAACCGAATATCGAGCCTTTTAGAGGTGATAAAGGGTGTATGAGACGCTCATCCGTTAGGCCTATGTTAAATTTCTGCTCTGAAGTGGCTCTTGGAACAAATCTAGCAAGTTTTTGAAATATGCCTACCTAGCTTATTACCTACCTAGGTAGACAATGACTCCTAGCCAGTCGCATTACTACTACTCTCGAGACATGCCCACCTACCCTAAAAGAGACCTAGGTAGGCGCTTACTCTTCCATAAAAAGACAAACGCAAACTATCCCGCTCCATTATTTACCTCTCCATGGGCCAAGACATCGAATCGACAATCCTGACTCTCATGCTGTCAGATTGTCCTGCTCTGGTAAAAGGTGAATGATGGTTCTTTCCTGATTCCTCTTAAGTTTATGTCAGGATATCTGGCACATGCCCAGCTAAAATATGCACCACCGCAGACGACATGCTAACTACCATATGCATAATTGTCGAGTAAGCGGTATAGTCATGAGCTGATATTCTGTCTCTATTCTGCACTTCTCGGCGTATGGTGACACCTTATTTGCGGAAGGTTTGGTCTTCATATGATGGAATTGAGTTTCATGGGGCGGGATGGCGATGTGGCTGATCCAGTACGTACATGTAGGTGCTTATATACCCAGCTAGGTACTACATAGAGTAAGAGGAAGGGTCGAAAGGATATACCGAAGGTAGCGATGAGCCACAACCAAAAAGTCGTAGATATATGCTACATTGTGTCGCACTTTCCATCTGGCGTACCTGCCACCGTCTAGTAGACACCGAAAATAAGGGGTAAATGTAAAGTGATATATAATCTACCTAGGTAGGCAGGTATATACCTAGGTGCCTACCCAATATGCATAAGAATTTCTAAGAGACGTTGTTGATATATAGCCTCATAGTGGTTTATTCTGGACTAATACGTTACCTACTGTTTATCAATCATGAGCATAGAAACATGCTCCTTACTCCTGTGGCGCGAGCAGGAACCAGTTAGCGACACGGGCGTATTAGTGTTGATGATAGACTCAGAGCTCTCAGAGGTTTTAAACGTTGACATCATGGGTCTCTTCCAAGGTTGATCCACAGCTCACGATACCTTCACAACATCGTCAGTACCTAGGTAGGTATGTAGCGGTGACAATCTGAAAAACGTCGTTTCCCAGATTCTACCCCCTTTTCAACATCATGCTTTCCTCTTCTCCTAGAACCTGGCCTTACCATGTCTAGATAGAAAGCAAGCGGTAGACTTGCCTACACGACCTAAGAATCAAGATGTCCTGGTACCAAGGTAAATTAGGTATCTATGGATTTGACAATGATTCTTCAATAATCCACGACCCAACGTAACCCCGTGGAACTTAAAGTAACTATACAGTATGGTGGCACCTAGACAGGTACATAACATACATACATAAAAGCAGCCCCTTAATCATCTCGGCCTACGCCAGCCCCGTATATATGTTGAAGAACCCGACGCAAATGCCGATTACTACCTACCCAATTACAAATTAAGACTTGACTAAATGGGCATCACATGAGGAGGCCTGAAAACTGGACGTTGGGCGAGGCCTTTGACAAGGCATTCCCCTGGCTCAGGGGCACGTATATTCTGGAAATCGCTAACTCCACAGTCTCCACTATGATGAGAGAGACAATGAATGGGCATCTTAGTGGAGGAGAACTGGATATCTACGCGAGCTACCACATCAGCTGATTCGTAGTAATGGGTATGACCTATCCAGTGTGCTCTCTGAGTCGAGTTTAGCAGAACAAAGGAAGCAATAGAAGACCAGCAAGCAACCTGTGTGGAGTACAGAGATATGGGCGACTCCGTAAAGCTAACCCTGGAGAGTTCATAATTAGTACAGCTACGGGCATAGCCGTCATCCTACGTTGGCCGTAGTGCCTAGTAGATCACGGAGGAAAATCACAAGTACTTCTTATTGAGTTCATTTTTCTCATTCGGTGTCTAAGCGACGAATTCGTAGAACACAGGAGACCGGAGCCGGTGACATGATCCCAACCCTATGACCGCCCCTGCCCTTCCTCGAATTGTGCAATGTGACAAACGCAAATATGATCAAGTTTCCCTAACCCACACGCCGGTTCTAGTTGCAAGTATGGAGATTGTTGGTATTGATTTTTGGAGGTTGGAATAATGCAGAGGGGGCGAAGAAACAATTAGTAGCCGTATGACTCCAGAGCCTGGGTCGTCTTGCTGTCGACCGTAGCGCTCTTCTTGGCCTCCGACAGTTGTCGTTGAGCGAGCTTCTTGCGCTCGTAGTAGGCAGCACCCTTCGCCTTTCGTCGCTCCTCGAGGCTATAAAATCCAAGTCAGTAAATAGCCACGCCAGCAGTGTGCTAAAAAGCTCAGACAGAATTAACATACCGCTCAACAACACCTTGGTATTTCCAGCCGACTTCGTGGCTGAGACGGCCGACAAGGCAGTACTTGCGGCCAGGCTGCAGACGTAGGACACGGAGAGCCTGGGGGACAACCATCTTCTTCTGCTTGTCGTATGGGGGAGGGACACCCTCGAAGACCTTAAGTCGCTCTAGGGCAGCGGCGCCTCGGGAGGTCTTGTGAGGGATCATACCACGGACGGCCTTGTAGAAGATTCTTGACGGGGCACGGAAATGGAAGGGACCTAAGACATGTTAAAACCTTCGGTATTCTTCGAATGAGGGAAGCGCAATGTATTCAAGGCACTGGTTGGGGGATCGAACGTACCACCTCGCGTAGGGTTGTATCGAGTCATCTTGCGAAGGTAGGCGTGGTACTTGACTATAGTTACACATCAGCTTATGTTCTCTTTCTCGTTTTGTTTAGTCTCGTCTCATCTGGCAAGCAGATAATGTCCCAATATTCGAAAGACGCGTCCGGCTAGGCTCGAATGATGACACCCAGGATCGAAATGATCGAACTGAATCAAAAGGTTGGATAGGTACGTACGCTTCGCGCGGAAGAACTCGCCGGAGATGTTGAGGGCCTCGCAGCGGACAACAACGATCTTCTGCCCGCTAAGGAGCTGCTTCGCGACAATGCTGGCGAGACGACCAAGAAGGTGACCCTTGCCATCAATGACGACCTAGAAATAATCCCATGATTAGCCAAGGATCTTCCAATAGTATTAAGCTCGTGCGATGTAGAGAGCTTGGCTGTAAGTTGTGTTTCAGGTTTGCACCCAGGTAGATTGAATTCATGATGAGAAAGGAAGCATTCGCGTTCCCAGATGAAATATCAGAATATTAATTGAAATAGTGAGGTTTATATGAAATGGCATCTGTAGGTATATACTCACAACCTGCTCGAAGGACGACATCTTTCCAAATTATGACCACGGTGATTTGATTGTGGGTAGGAAGTTGTGGAAAGAATGAAGAGAAAAAGAAAGAGAGGAATGAAAATAGGTCAAGAGCGCAATGGGAGAATGCGTCTGAGGCCTATTAGATTATTCCTCGCTGTTGTGGGTTAGTAAGTGTCGCAGTTGTTGATGATGATCGCAAATGTTGAAATCACTTTGGTAGGCCGTTGAAAATTATCGGGTAGAGAGTGTGCACTGCGCCAGAATTGATCTATCCCCAATATGGAATGGTGGGGCTATAATGGAAGCGATGAGGGTTTGTCGCCTAAGTTGTCTAGGGCTTGCATGACCTAACTAATAATATTTTAAGTTTCAAGCCAGTGCTCCCATCGAAAATTCGGGATAACTTATCCGATGTCTGCTGCCGCCTGCCGAGCCACAGATAAGTACTAGGTACCCAAGTACATCCCATTTACCTACGTCACTTTATCGACGATAAGGTCAATATCACTTTCACATGATTGCTTCACATTTCTAGACCTACTATGTAGTAGCAGTGATTGAGTAGCTAATAGATTCAGTGCCTTAGGTATGTAGGTATTTTCAACTACCGCAGGGATACAAATCTAGCTGGAGTACTTCGTAGATAGCAGCCCATCCCTTACGCATTGAGTATTGAGCATTGCCTTTGGTATCTACGTAGTACCGAAAACTTCAAGTTATTCATCTCATAGCGAAGAACAAAAATAGTACCCGTAGATGGCAACACACCCATGGACTTTGAATTCAGACGGAACGTTGCTTTGATGTTGCTTTGATGAGTGGTTATTATTCTGTAGAATATGTAGCGCTTATCTTAGTAGGCAACGAACTCTGATTGCAAACAAAATACCGCCTAGGTGCTATGTGAATGCAGCGCTAGCAACACAAATACGAAAGACGAAAGCTTCGTATTCACATCAAAAAGCTATCATCTTCCTCTCAATTTGGAGTTGGGGGGTAGATACTCGTCCATTTCCCTCAGCACATCCTGAACATAAGTCACCAGTTCTTTTCTCCTTGCCCTAATGTCTAGGTCTCCTCCAGTCTCAACCTCATCCAGCTTCAGCAATACTTGCTGCATTATGGTCTCACTCAACTTCGTGTGCTCATCTTCTAGCTTCTTCCTATCCCTCGGTGGACTCTTCATGAATTGTTGGCAAAGAGGTAGGAGAGTCGCATTGAAATTCGATCGGATAACCTCCAGCTTTTCTATAGGTCCGGATGCTACCGTCGGAGAGGCCACCCTGGATGGATGACTAGAAGGATCTGGTGAAGGCTTCCTGGTGTCGTGTTCGCGTTGTGGGGGCACCCCAAGGTTGGCTGTGCTTCCGTTGGGGCTGACACGCTCCTTCTTCTTCTTGCGAAGCTTGCCTTTCTTGCTCTTCTTGGACTTTTGCTGATCAACTTGTTCTGCGACCACGGCTTCCTCACTGCTACTTTCATCCTCGTCGCTGAGCCTACCCTCAGGTACCACAACCAATAGCTCACTATTGTTTTTCACGCCGTAATCGCGGATTGGGATATCTTGCTCCTTAAGATGGCGACCTTTGTAAAGCATCTTCAATCGGCGGCTGCGACGATCGCTGAGGTCCATAACCAGGCCTACACGAGTTCGCACATCTCTCACAAGCAGTTTTCCGTCGCCGATAGAAAATGCGGGGAAATGTACAGGATACGTGATCCCTTTGTTCTTGATGATGAGGACGTCATCGTCACCGCTAGATGTAGATACAGGGCGTCGGCTTTGTGGGTCGTATGCTCGAGAAGGGCTTTGCAAAGATTGCTCTAGGTCTTCGGATGTGATATAGCTGAAGTCGTCATCAGTGACGTGGGGCACTCCCTGGCTGTCGGTTTGTGCGGCATATGGGGATATGCCATCGCGGTTTGATAGCCATCCTCCAAACCGGGACATCATACTGAGAGGTATAGCAAGGACGGCGGCAAGGATTGTGTATAAGAGGATAGGTGAGAGTCCCTGGGAGACAAGGTACTCGTTTGATCCAGCGACGACTTCGGAGAGCTGGTCGACTGTGGTCTGAACGTAGGTTTGTAATACAGGCGGTAAAAAAGTAGTAGCGTTCTTGATGGCACTAACCGATGCCAAGAATGCTTGATTAGAAGCCACCTTGACGAGAGCTGGGTTGCCCCGGAAAGGACACCCAGCGACTGTTCTTTATTTTAAGTAGCAGAAGGGCTACCGATGCAGAATGTTTTCCGAGACTTGCGGCAGGAAATTTGAATGATTCGTTCGACTCAATGCAAGTGATATCGGGAACGGAGCCGTGCATAGGTACCTAGGTAAGTTTCTAGGACTTTTGCACAAGTTTATAGGCCTGCTACCTGCTAGTTGAGTTGGCCGATTAGCCCTTACGACCTTTCTTGGTATAGGTACTAATAAGGCAATGGCGGCAGTAGGCTCTATGGCTCTGGGCTCTCTCAGGGTCTGGGTTTTAGGCTCTAGGCTCTACCTGGAGATCTGCAAAGGTTTTAAACAGAGGCTTTGTCTAGGTACTCCTTAAGTTTTCCTTGAATGAATATGTATGGCTGTGATTGTTGTAATTGTTGTAACGCGGTACAAAGATTGGAAACACTATACAACAGATTGATGATGTGTTGTCACTGCGAAAGGGCAGTTCGGTCAAGATGGAACCCACGATAGGTTGTTGGATCGCCCAGATGATCATGCGATTCGAAGACGAAGCTGCTTATGGATCTCTTGTTAGGGAAAGAATTCAAGATGTCGGTCTGTTATTGGGCCGGCTCTACGAGAAGTTCCACAGCTAAGGTATCGTAGGTATCGTAAGTATCGAACTGTGCAACTTGAGTTGGAACCATTGAAGTCCACTACATATAAATGCACATATGTATGCGTACATGCGCGATAAAGATTAAAGGGAGGGGTTATCGAATTGTTTCTGGATTGCAATTGGATGATTTTGGTAGTGGATGTAGATGTAAGTGCAGATAACGAGAGAACAACAAAAACGAAAGTAGAGGCAAAAACGTACAAATGTTGTTAGGGGAGTGGAACGTTGAAGGAAAACAGTTTGTAAATTGCCAATTGGCGGGCCAGGTGTCCGAGCTTCAGTGGTTATTACTTTTTTTAACGCAAGGCTGTCCATAGCATTATGTACAATACCTAGGTACCTAAGATACCTACAGTTACACAGTAACGCGTACACCTGCACGTGTGTGAGAAATTCCAAGAAAATTCCAAGAATTATTTTAGGAAATATTACCTACAGATTACTTAAGACGAACCAGGTCTGGTATATTTTCTGACGTATTACCTAGTATGTAATCTGAGCTATACCGAGTGCTGAGTACCGAGGTACTTCAATTCAAATTGCCCCACCTTAATGGAATATTTCGATGCTCAAATGTACCCCGCTTCGATTGGCTTCTTCGATCTTGGGAAGTTGTACTCCAAAGCACTGAGATTGCGTCATTCTCTCCGACATCAGATTTGAGATGATATGTATGACATTGTATGTCAACAATTCATACTACTCATAAATTCTAAGTAACTCTAAGTGATTCTGTGATTTTGAGCTTTGATTATCAAAGGCCTTGTCCTCTTTTGACATCTGGGTACGTACATGACATATACTTATACATTGTATAAAAGTGATGAATTCGAATCATCTTTGTTGTACAAAGTAAACATAATAGTAGTTTACAATTGCGCCTTCCGTCGTCAATGGAATTTAAAGTGTCATTCACCCCTTGAACCTTAGATTTTCCCGATCTTAACCCCGTTCCGCGGTAATGGCCGTATCGATTCCACATTACAGTGGTATCTACCTGCCTTAGTCATAGCCCGGTGCTACGTTAAAGCCATTAGTGACCCTTGCCCCTGACAAATACAGAAATAGCCCGGGCCTATTACCGCAAAAACCTACCATACCAACTCGACTGTAGATAGTAGTAATCATATAAATAAGACCGAGACCAATCCATCAGTGCGATATTATAATTATATATATATATATCTCTTGCCCTACCCATCCCATCCCGATTTCAACATTTCATGTTTCTCTTCCGACGAATCTTCTCATCATCCATAACGCAACAAGCCATGGCCGACGCAAAGACAAAAGCCCAGAGCATCATCGACGAGAATGCCGTCGGTATGTCATACAACTTCTTTCTTTTCTCCCTTCCCTCTTCGTATCTACCTACCTCCCCTAGGTAAACCAATGCTAATCAAACTTAACATCACAGCCGTATTCTCTAAATCCTACTGCCCCTACTGCTCTTCCTCGAAGAAGCTCCTCGACAGCTTAGGCGCCAAGTACAAGCTCGTCGAGCTGGACGAGGTGGCCGACGGCGCCGCGCTGCAAGACGCGCTGCAGGAGATCTCGGGCCAGCGCACCGTCCCCAACATCTTCATCAACAAGAAGCACATCGGCGGCAACTCGGACCTCCAAGCCAAGTCCAGCCAGCTCAAGAGCATCCTGGCCGACGCCGGTGCTCTATGACTCGATGGCCGGTCATCATCGGTGGCGAAGCTGTGAAAGATCAGGGTGAATGAAGCACAAAGGAAAGTTTGGAAAAGAATTGGCCTGCGCGTTGACTCGTTGATGCTAGTTGTCTTGGCCACGTCGCACTTGTTTCTTTCATAGATCGAGTTGTGCGCCTTAACGTCCCCTCACACCTACGATGCGTCGTTGTGAATAGAATAAATTTTCAACCTATGCCAAATCGTCTTAAAATCAAAGCATGAAGTGCATGTCTATCTCTTAGCCTCACACGCAGGATAAATCCTGTTTATGGTAATGGGGAATAAGCAGCCACACATCTTACTGGGTGCAGCAATCGTGATGTGTAAGAGAAAGTCCTTCGTCATCCCCATGCCACCAAGTGAGCGAGCCATGTGATCTGTCACTTGCATTGCATAGAGCGATTCTCAAAGAATCATTCGAACGAAGACGCAGATCACTTATGTGTCTGTGTTCGGCCATTGTCAAATCATGACAAGTTGCCTGTGAACTTGTTTTTACCATAACCCCTGACCAAGTACCCAATAAGGAGGTACTTAAGGTGAGAATACATTATTATCCTACTTGAGCGCATTGATTTCCAAACAATAGTCATGCAGAGCAAGCTGGTCTTTTCCATTTCCTTGGTGCGCCAATAAAAGCGTGTCCGTCCATTCGTAATGCGTGTAAAACGTATTTCCAACCAGTAGATCCAAGCATAACCTATCAGCGTTGTGAACAAATCGTGAAATCACCCAACCTTTTCCCGCCGCTTTTTGGAAAATTGGCGTCAAGCAACGTAATCATAAGCTAAGCCCGGGTAGATAGGTATCTAGACTTAAGCAGTCATCGTTTAGTTCGTCTTCCAAACATTGGGTAGGTTATTCGGAGCCTTTAATGCGCCCCAGGACAGTCCTCCATTCCCAGTGACGACTTTTGTGATAGACGAAGCTGCGGCTAGCTTATGATGACCAGAAAATGGGCCCCTATTCGACCTCTCAGCCCAAAGTTGTATTATCATGAATCTCCAACCATCCATAAACCAGGGCCCAGATGTGTGTATGCAGAGACTTAGACCAGCTTCTTGAAAGTCAAGAATAGATGCAACTTCTGAATAGTGCGGTAAGCTTATATATAGCCTCGCAGAATCCGTATCACTTATGATGATTGTGATGGAAAATGCCCCCCTCTTCTGATATCCTAGATAACCTAGAGGGTTGGTGCGTTTGAAGCTCGTACGTGGGTATGGTATAAGGAGCAATCGTATGATTGACATTATCCGTACTGGCGTTGACACTGACATCGCCGGCTTCTATGCCAGAACGCGGAGCATCAACACGCCTCAAGGGGCAGTACCACATAGCCAAAATAACTGCGATCAATCCAACGGGGACAAGGATGACGCCGATAGTTGCTGCAGTGTCCAGCATCCTGCCGAGTAGATAGGGTTGTAATGTATGTCGAGCATCGAGCACAAAATTTGTGTGAGGGCTTTTTGGTGTTTATCTACCTAGGTCAGTAGTTTAGTCGTCGGTGAAGGCCATAATAGAGAGTGAGAGGACAGTAAAAGAAATGGGATCGTGTAGCCGACTACATGGCCCTTTTGAACTGGTCATATTTCAGTAACTGGCAGTCGTGTGCGCAATCGCTACAGAGTTGACCATTTAATTTGCATTTATACGGCCAAGACTATTCCCATGATATGAAGCGTCGTGTTCCTGCGGTTTTCGCTAGTCGTATGAAATATCGAAGACGTATAAGATGTTGCACGCCCATCTCGAAATCCCCGACTACGGCAGACGACGAACGTATTTTCTTCCCCATGAAACAGAGCCAAGCACCTCGGTTCGAGGAGGTGAATAAGAATCGTCGCATTCGGAACTTTAGCCTAGGAGCCCGTCCAAGTTGCACCCGCAAAGGCTCGAATCATCCGGGAATCTTGCATTACCGAAAAAGACACCTAATGGGTAGTAGTGTTACAGGAGAAGAGTTTTGAGCAGATTGACAATAACCGTGATACTCCGTCACTGCATGTAATAGGAAGTGATGGAAGGCTGCATGCTGTACACGCCAAGATTACACAAGACTGCTCGATAAAACGTACAGCTCACCCAGGTTTTAATGTGTGCTTTCGGCACATAGGTCTCGTCATACTACCTGCGTCGCTACGGTGCCCACTGGTCTTTCTACAAACTCCATAATTCCCTCGACAATATTCTTCCTTGCGGGTTCAGAGGCGACCTTACTACCGGCAAGATAGTTAAGCCACAGCAATCGCGAGACCCGTTCCTCGGAGACACGTCCAATGGTGCCCATGCCGGCCTTGCCATCATCAAATGTGATAGTTAGGCGCCCTTCCTTATCTCGAACTAGCAGCATTTCCCGCTTCTTTGGTACCTTGCCGCGGTTGAACAGGCTGCGGAACTCGGCCATAGCGTTTCCAAATGCTTCGTCGCCGTATTCGCCGCTGTTTCCTTGCGACCTTGCTGTTATAGCACGAACAAATCCGTCCCGGAGGTGATGAAAGTCGGTATCCCGCGTAGGTACAACCCTAAACAGAGATCGTGGCCGAACCTCTTGTAGAATATCGTTCCACAGCTTTTCTCCCCTCACCGGGTCTAACAGTGCCTGGCGCAATTCGTCCTTCTCGTTTGCTACTAATGTTGTCGCAATCGGATTTATTTCTTTGACAAGGCGCGATTGCAAAGCAGCGATATCTTGCGTCGCGATGTAGTATCCTACCATATAGACCTGTATACTTAAAAAGCTCACCGTCCTCACGCCTAACCCTACTAGAGTATATTCAAGGCCATTAGCCATTTCTTGGCCTGCTTCAGCGCCGAGCGCGAGGTCGAGCTGTCGCGGAAAAGTAGGTACAGTGCTATTCCCTGTAGGAACAAGTTCGGTTCCGTCTGTGTCATGGATGATAGTTTTGCGTTTCGAGCCGGCTTCTGTACTGAATGGATCTAAATTCTTGGGCAATCCGCTATCCAACTTCTTTGGTTTACTCAGCTCATGGTAGATCATATACGATGTGTAGCAGATGCCAGCAAAGCCCGAGACCGCACCAAACAACAGAAAGGCTCGTTTCCGGGTATAGTATGTTTGGTACTCTGTTTTCATGCGATCGACATTCAACGTTTCAACGGCGCGGAGGGAAGACCGTCGTTGCCGTACGAACGTTCGGCATTGGCTTTGGTTGAGACGTAAGCGATGAGAGCCATTATACGAAGATGGAGTGCGAAGGTTGAATGGGATATTCTTCGGAAAGGGGCGTATCGATTTCATGACGGGTAAATAGGGTGTGATAATTGTAGAAGACTAATAATATGCAGCTGAAGAAGCTTGAATAAGACTTGTAAGAACATTGAAGCTCGGAATATTGAATCCTGAGTGGGAAGATTCATGTGGAGCTTTAGAATATGGAGTGCATACAAGTGGAGCATGGAGCTACCTAGGCTGGTAGTGCATAAATAAGACGTACGTCATTGGCCAATTCCGGCCCAATATAATTCCTATAGTTAATACCTCGTTTAACTCATATGTAAGCGTTGTACCCCATACTTGAATATTAACTAACTCCAGAGTCCCCGAGTCATACATTTCTTTTCTTCAAGTCTTCAAGTCTTCAGTTCTTCAGTTCTTCAGTTCTTCAGTCAATCAATTTGATCAACTACCTAACCTTAGGTATCTAGGTACACTTCACAACCTGACGAAAAATATACCAGACTCCTTAAACGTGCATCTCTTTACTACCGCCTGACGTTTGTACCGTAATCTCATAATGTATAACTTTTCGGATACCCCTGACATCTTCAACATCGCTCATACGGGTTATTGAATTTGTATCATCCAACATATATTCCTGGCTATTACTATAACGACCAATTGCTCTGGGGCTTTGAACGGACGTCACACGAGTGCTCAACATCGTATTATCACCTCGCATCGGAGCCCATTGACGACTCGAATTGTCCGAGGGCTGGCTTGGGTTATATCCTCCAGACACCCCAGAGGCCCGCTTTGAACCTGAGGCAAAGATAGACGGGAATAGCCGGTTGAGAGGGCCTTTGCACATGGGCAGACAAGCACATATTATCGCCACGTTTTCTTCGATAACGGTCCAAGTTGAAGATGCAACATCGTAAGTCGGATCGGAGCTTGTCGCTGAAAAGTCAATGGTCTGCATACGCAAGATACTGGTTATGGTGACGCTATTTATAGCCTAGGTCAGTCTAGTTCATAATACTCAGGTGTCTTTTTTTTTTCCCCCTTTTCTTTTTTTCAGATGCTATAACCCTCGAGGGGAAAAGAAATCCTCGAAACCCACAAGATTCCCAAGGCAAAGACGGTCATCAGCGCCCACTTCTGCTTTGGCGGTAGATTGGATCGATAAATTGGCTGCATGGGAAGCACCAAGATCAAAATGTCCGTTGCGATCGAAAAGCTCGCGTTCGAGTACCAGTTTCCTGTGATGCTGATGCATGTTCCCGGAATCGATTTATCCCAAGCTCGACTTATCGGTGTACACTGCCAGATCGATGATGCCGTTGTCGCGAGCATGTAGCTCAGGATGATACTTAACAAAACATAGCACGAGATCTTAAACCACCGCTGGAGAAAGATTCGCAGATACAATAAGATGATTGACGCTTTGGTAAGATTCAAGGTGAGCTTGTAGAACGCTTGTGCAATATAGTAAAGCTTTTCTTCTATTAGCTTACTGATATAGCTAGGTGATTCTTTATATTGGCATAAATACCTTCAGCGTCAGCAGTTGTTCCGAAGCCTCGATGTTATATATATGCTGCCCAAATCCATGCATGCAAGCAGCTATCAAAAGGCCTGAGACGACCTGGGCGAAAACCTTCGAGGGAGAGAAGTAAAAGTTAGCTATGATAAATATCTCAGTGGCCTTGATCCAATTTCAGCATACCCAGGATACCATGATTGTCCAGTCATCCCATCCTAGGCCCGAGCCAGTTTTCATTCGAGACGCAATCCTAATGCCTAGGAAAAGGGGGGTTAAGACGAAGAAAACGATACATGGGACGATGATGTCAGTGATGTTATTGTCTAAAGGTAGGCTTTCGCCCGCCATGATGACAATGGTCTTCCTGAATACATATAAGTTCTTTGAAAGAGTCTTAGCCCGAGTCCCTAGGGGTCATGTGAGAGGTAGGTAGTTATATGTTTATACTTGAAAGCTCTAACTACCTCTTTCCCTGTTCTTTGTGGGCGATACCTAAAGCGGAAGGCTTTGAAAACATCAAACACCAACTGGGCACTTGCCTGGACGATTTCAATATTACTACAACTCTTGTCACTATGGAGATATCAAAGTCCCGAGCCAGTATCCACATGATCACACTTATTCTCATTGACGGGCATCCAAGACCGGCAACACAATATAAACTGTTCATTGGCGAAGGGCATAATACGACATGTCATGACTAAGACAATTACTTCAACGATGAACTATTCAATGGTGGATTTATCGAGTTTCCAGACTCGGGGAAGTTTTGGATCATCGGCATACCTCTCTACTATCCTGAGCAGCCTAGGGTATCGTTAGATCTACCGAGTGAGCCTATGTTACGATAGTTCTACCTGATGTGTCACAAGTATCCCCAATCGAGGTAATTCGTTCCACACGATGATACTTCAATTTTGCAACATAAATCAAGCCCACAAGTCGATCGTATTATGCTTCGGTACGTCCCAAACCAACAGATATGAGAGTGGCCAACTATTCTTCATCATTTCAAGGCGTTTTGTGCTCGTTGACAAATGGTTGAACTAGTAAGCTCACTATGAACTATCCTCTCGCCTTTTCAATCACGTCGTACTCCGGGCAAGTTTAATATCACTTAATTAAGGTACTAGTGACCCGGTTCGAAAATCTATACCTTAGGTACCAAGTATTAAGACGGCCGCAGATTTATCCCCCACGCTCGATCATATTGACACCATATCACCACTCCAAATACTTCTCAGGATATCAATGCTTGAGATATGAGATATGAGGTTACATCGGATATATGACGCGATGTGGAAGCTGTTTTCTATGCGTCCACTTGGCTGCAACTACATGTAACCCAAGATTTAAACGCACCTATCATTGACACCGGGCGCAGTAAATTGATTGACGGAATAATGAAAATGAGAACGGCGAACCTGGGTTCGCCATTGATATTCTAGACACATTTTATAAATTTATTACTTCAATATTGACAGCAATCGGATTTTTGAGAAGTTAAGCAGGTTGGCTGGACCACCAAGGACATTTGACCCCTTAAAATCTGCCCAGATAAATGCCCCTCGTTCTTCCGCCATCTCTCCACGACTATCTTCCAGGGGGCTGTTGGTTCTCCCCACGAAACCCCGTGAGTTGCATCTGGAGGACAAGGGTCAAACTGATACCGCGCAGATTTACCAAGAGTGGCAGTTCTCGAGCGTGCCCAGATACGCGCCTATACCGACTCTAAGCATTTTTCTAAGTGCTCCAACGGCGCAAAAAGCAAAAGGCACCTTGGGCATATATGCCAAACGATGTTCGGCACAATGCAGTTCCCGGGTCACGTTTATCCGCCGCATCTAGATACTCTATGGCTGTGAGGGGTTTGGAGAGACTTCAAAGTTGTTATTGGAGTACCACGCCACATATGGAGGATGTGATACCAAACAGGCTAGAATTACATCTGGAGGTTGCAGATTTCTAGCTAGGTACCTGCTACATGAGACACTGGCTGGCGATGCGATATGAAAAAGTAGCCACGTTCGAGCCGGCTCGGGCCAGTGGCTCATTGGTTCATTGGCACGTGCAACGGAATGTTGTTGGTTCCTAGTTCTTCTCCAGTGTAGATCCTATCGTTTCTAATAGACAGCATATCGTTGATTCTCCAGTATACGAGTGAAACCCGTAGCGCGTGCCTGAACCCCAATTGCGGCAAGCATTTGGCGTGTGAGACGACTAACTAATTGCAGGCTTCGGAAAAAAAAATATGAAATCTCTCAGCATCGCGTGGGCCGTCCTCGCCGGACTTGCCACGTGCATTCAACCGATAGTCGCCGCGACTCTGGAGACAATTAGGGATATCCCGTCTGACGGATATCTGCATGGCTCCAATTTTACGTACCCGTTTCCGCTAAAAGTGTACACCTTCGGCTCGCAGCTGCAAAAACTTGAAATGGCCTTCATGGACATTGCGCCAACCGTGGAAGCAAACGGCAAGGTCGCCATCTGCCTGCACGGAAAGAACTTCTGCGGGCCCACGTGGGAGGAGACCGCGAGGCAGCTAGCCGGGGTCGGATACCGGGTTATTCTCCCCGACCAGGTCGGGTTTTGCAAGTCGTCGAAGCCAAAGTCGTACCAGTACACGCTGCAGCAGTTTTCCTACAACACGAAGAATCTCCTGCGGGCACTGGACATTGAGAAAGTGACGCTGATCGGCCACTCTCTGGGGGGCATGACGTCCATCCGCTTTAGCTTGATGTTCCCGGACATCGTGGAAAGGCTGGCGCTTGTGAACCCGATCGGGCTCGAAGACTGGAAGGCGCTCGGCGTGCCGTACGAGAGCATCGACGACCTGTACGTATCCGAGGCCGCGAGCAACTACTCTACCATCCGCGCGTACGAGCAGCCGACGTACTACGTCGGCCACTGGGACGCCGCCTACGACGTCTGGGTCAACATGCTGGCCAACATCTACCAGGGCGGCGAGGGGTCCACCTTCGCGTTCAACCAGGCCCTCGTCACCGACATGGCGCTCAGCGCGCCCGTCGTCTACGAGTTCGCCATGCTGAGGCCGCCGACGCTGCTGCTGATTGGCGAGAGGGATACCACGGCGTTGGGAAAGCAGTGGAGCCCGCCCGACGTCCAGGCGAAGCTCGGCCACTACGACGTCCTGGGGAAGCAGGCCGCGGCTGCCATACCGGATTCGGATTTGATTGAATTCCCGGACTTGGGACACGCGCCGCAGATACAAGAGCCGGGGAGGTTTCATGAGGCGCTGCTGGGGTGGTTGGCGGGATAGACGTATACAGTAGGTATATAATACCTACCTGAAAATAGAGGCTCATATTCATGCTCAGGTTGCAACTTATCGTGACAACTGGCAAAGCCTTCAATTTATCATGATCCAGTTTGAATGGACTGTGATACTCCCTAGGTAGCAAGCTGCTTCAGAGCACTTGGTATTTCGGATCAGAAACGCCATGCTCAGGAGGCTGGAAGTGCTTTTCTTTGTCCTTAGGCCTGCCAACTCATGAATGACTACGTAGTACCTAGTTAGGGATCTCCTAGTCATTCTTTATGACAGTAGGGAGAGTACCAGTTTCAGTGTCAAACCTGGATGCCTATTGAAACACAGGAGGTCCATTCTGAGCAATGGGTATCAGGATCTTCTCCATACCTGCCTGCCTATATATACCCAGAGGGATCCCTAGCCACAAGAATTAAAGATACCACTATAATATCGTAATCATCTCTAGGAGTCACAAAACCGGGACCGTCCGATTGATATTCAACTAGAAAAATAGTACTTTTTATCGACTCCAAGGAACTTAACGCCAAGCACTTGCTACTCCTTAAACTGCAATTTAGCAACCTAGACTATCCAGAAAGAAGAAACTCTTAGTATTGTGGCTTTCGTCTAATCATCGGCCACCAAAATTGAAATGGATGAGGTAGACGACTACGAGGAATTTCAGAGAGAGCTACTAGAAATGGTGATTAACCTGGGCAAGACGAGGGCGAAAAACTGGCGGATTAAATATATTAGGAATAAACAGAAATGGGAAGGGGAGAAGGAGGAGCTCGAGAAGCGGTTGCATGCTAAAGAGAGGGAACTGGAAGACCTGATACTATCTGACACTCATGAAATTAGGGACGCATGGGCTACAAAGAGGTAGTTTGGCATGTAGGTACACCTTATCAGTGAGGTTCTAGAGAAGGAGCTCTTTCGCATCTAAATTACCTGGGCTGTGCATCAGCGTCTACATGTAGATGTGGTCCTGATTCCCAACGCCAATGCATCTCATCGATAGATCACTCTAGGTAGATAGCTTATAGAGACCGTCTTGTTCCTATTGATGGCAATCATCTGCTGGGACATTGGCGTATATTACAGAGTAAGGGGTGATTAAGTATAACAGTGAAATATAACTAGTTTGCATCAAAGATTACACATCTAATCACTGCCCCTTTTTCGTCTTTAGATCCGCCATGTGAGACCCTACCAACCTTCCATCGGGCAACACTATTTCTGTCTGGCGAACACGCCAAAGAACATAGGGATATATGACGTCGCACATCAGAGACAGACCGCACATGAATATGCTCATCGGTTGCGTCCAATAAGAGTGCGCTTCCGGCCAGTACCACCACAGCACGCCGTTACAGAGTCCCATGCCAGAAAGTGACCCGATGAACCTGCAGAGCCTAGATATCCAAAGTTAGCCTCAAGATTCAATCCAGTTGCTTCATGCGTGGTGAGCTTCTGTTGTAGAAAACAGGGGAATTGAAAAAAAAAAAAAAAAAAAAAGGAGGGGGGGTGGATGAAGGGCTTACCAAATCATGTACCCAGTCCCTCCGGAATGCCCACGAACAATCAGCATCGCCACGCTCGAGCTACTCAGGACCAGCTGCGAAAACCCCGCCGACCAGTACGCCAGCTCCGTGGTATCGTACCCATCCATCCCATAATACCACTTCCCCGTCTTATCCCCAACGCCTATCCCGGGGCGCGACAGCCACCACTTCGCAAACGCATAGTGGCCCCAGCACCCCAGCGCCAACAACCCCGCCAAGATCTCCGGCATGCGGCGGCCAACACTCGCATTCGACCCGGCCCAGTCGTCGGGCGCGAAGCGGACGGTGGTGTAGACGAGCCCGAGGTCGAGCAGCAGCCACAGCGCGAAGCCGAGCCGCTCGAACGGCATCTCCGCCACGTAGAACCCGTACACGACCTCCCAGCTCACGTTCACGGCCAGCCCGAGGATCGGCATCCCGTAGGAACGTGTGGAGAGGCTGCGGAGCGTCATGAGGATGTAGGTCGCGCACCAGAAGGCGACGCCGGCCATGAGGAAGGCGGTGGAGAGGGGGACGAGCCAGGGGGGCGCATGGGGGGGCGCGATGTCTGAGGAGCCCATTGTTTGAAGTAGGGGGGGTTTGAGGGTTTCTTAAGATTTTTCTTTTCCGAGTGAAAATGACGGGTGTTAGGAACCTACTATGTCTAAGGTGGTACTAGTTGAAGACAAGTACAGTAGGTGATGACATTCTCGGGTTTCAGCCCCTTTTCTGTTATGTTATGGGTTTGTTTATTTTCTTTATAGGACTACATATGTAGGTTAACTAAGTACAGAGTACATAGGCAAGCCTCCGATGCCATTATCATTAGCCTCATCGTGGCGGTGCGGTGACCCACGAGTTCGGTTCTGCCCATCCCCGCCGCTTTATTCAGGTAGTGTAACTCCCGCTTCCGTTTGCTTTTCCATCGTTATGCAACCATCGCCCTCAGGACACCAATGTCTTGCTCACATAACATACAAAGTTGTATTCATCTTCTTAGATGGACGCTGCCAAGGAGATGCCAATTTAGCTCAATGGCCCCATCGTGGGTCGCCTTCTAAGTACGGGGTAAAGTGGGGATTTCGTGGGCGGGATAACTTAGTCCATCATTTCAGTGATAGACATCCCAACGACATGTTACCCCCCCTCATCTTCCTATTTTTGCTCATTAAGTAATGGAGAGGATCATCGTCTTAAATTTCAAATTTTGAAAGATGGTTCCTCGGCCAGTGCTATCCACCTCCCTCGCCAGTGTAAGGCGGGCCAGCTCAACCACTAAAGCTGCTGTCAAGAAAGAAGGAAGCATTGCTGATGCCTTCAACTCCCTATCTGGGGGTAATAAAAAGGACCTTCCGCCTCGCTTCTTACACCTAAAGCAGCAGATAGTCCATGGCCGCGAGGATCGCATCGTTTCTAGTTGGCACCGCTTGTTAGAAGACTTGCGAGCTGAATGCGACCTCATCGCCCGCAAAGGTCCAAAAATCATACCTGAAGTCGACTTCCAAGATCTTGAAAGTGACCTACCCGCTATTAGTGCCGAGCTCAAAAAGCGCGGCACGGTGGTAATTCATAATGTCATACCAGAAGCGGAAGCCCGCCAATATAAAGAGGATGTCGAGACATACATTAGGGTTAATCCAAACACTCGTAGTGAGTCAATCAATGCCGAGTTAAATACAGGCCGTGATTAGTAGTCAATTCGTTAATATCGATCCATCTAGATTTTGAGGGCCAAATATTCGAGTTATACTGGTCTTTTCCTCAGTTAAAGGCCCGTGTACATCCAAACATGTTGTCGGCACAGTCATCTCTCATGAAACTTTGGACCAAGTCAAACCCAGGCTCGCCAATTTCTACATCACAGCCATTAATGTACGCCGATAGATTGCGTATCAGACAACCGGGAGACGCCAAGTTCGCACTTGGCCCCCATCAAGACGGTGGCAGTGTAGAGCGCTGGGAACCAGAGGGTTGCGGTGGTGTGTATGGCGAGATCTTAAAGGGGAATTGGGAGAAATATGATCCTTGGGATGTTAGTGCTCGAGTTGATGCCAATAGCAACCTGTACGACGGTTTAGGAGCATGCTCTATGTTTCGTATGTTCCAAGGCTGGCTAAGCATGAGCACAGCAAGCCCTTATGAGGGCACGCTTTTGGTCCAGCCACTACTAAAGCACACTACTGCTTACACTCTGCTAAGGCCATTCTTTCGACCGGTGGTTGGGTACGGTGAAATCCCCACCGATCAGTACCTAGATGCTAGCAACTGGCAATTCACTTCTGGATCAGATATGACGAGTGAGCTTCATGGAGCTACTCCAGGTCACGGGCAAGAGTTCACAGAATTTCAACATCCGCATTTGGAACTTAATAGGACTATGGTGCACGTACCTAAAGTCCGCCCAGGGGATTACGTGGTCTGGCATTGCGATTGTAAGTCGCCTTTCGTAACAGCATGGCACAAGGGTACTAATTTGGTCACAGCGATTCATGCGGTAGACAAAACCCACAAGGGCACCTCTGACTCCAGTGTCCTTTACATCCCCGTCTGCCCATTAACTGAACGCAACGCCAAATATGCAGCTATCCAACGTCAAGCCTTCCTCGATGGTACTCCAGGCCCTGATTTCTCGGGTGGGATAGGAGAAAGTCAGCACATACAACGCCCATCTCTACAGGATTTACGAGGGGTTGCCGACATTGACGGCCTCCGTGCTACGGGGTTTGAGAAGCTGGTAGCTGCTAATAGTGACACTGCAGGGTCGCAGGACGTAACATCTATAGCGAATACCGTGTTAGGGCTGTAAAATTGCCCAGGATACTCGTATGTATGATTTTTTATCAATGTACAATTATCTCCAAGCAACCAGTATCATGAGTTGAAAGCTATTAAGAGGCTCGAACAATCGAACCCCCGTAAAGACCCCCGTAAAGAGTGAAGTTGTATTACTAAAACGTCCTGGTTTAGTATGCCCTGGCAATCCCAGCCATCAAACGAAAACGAAAGTAATCCATCATAAGTGTCTAATCCAAACTCGTCCCAAGCAAAGCAAAACGTCAAGCCATTCCATAGGCACCCAGTAATCTAAAAACTCCCAAATCCAAAACCCCATGATGTCCTGTACTGGCACTAGCGCGCGGTGCGATAAGACAACGATCTCGCCCTACATCCCCCCGATAGAGTCAAGTGGTGAAAGCTGCCATTTAGGTTGACTTCGGACGTTCAAAGGTCGACTGATTGCCGTTGTATACTGGTGCAACTGGTGCAATGTATGACCCGGATGTCCTGCAATTTGTTCTGCCACAGTCATTCCACTTTTCCTCACGCTTATCCTCTCTAGTCCCATTGGGCTTGGTTATAGTTTTATAGGTGATAGTAACGGCGCACCTGGTATAAACTTTTAGAAGGGTATCAATACGGTTTATGAATGGGATATACGTACATCGTGACAGCACGCTGAGTGACTCAAGGTGGGGGTATGCGGTTGCTGCTAGGATTCACCGAATGAGGCAGTCAAGAAGTTTGGACTTGTTGTTGCTTGTTGCTGCTTGTTGTTGCTTGCTGGCGTGTGTGATAGGTGTGGATGTTGGAATAGATGAAGGAGAATTGGGTAAGGAGGCACACTAAGGTTGCGTAGAATGCGCACTTTAAAATAAAATGCGCATATTATTCAAAACCCCTATAAAATACATATTATACCGTATTATTCAAAAGTGGAACACGTAATCACCCTAACCTAATACACTTAATATATACCCACATATAATAAGGCTTTACACTTTAAAATAATATAAAAAAGAGTTTTGTTATCCGCACCCCCCTTTTTTGATAAACAGGCCTTATTCGCACCCCGGTACATTGAGATCGCAGCGTAAAAGGTCCGAGCTTTAAAGCTAGCTTCCATCAAAAGATCCAGTACAACTTCCGATCCAAGGATCGGATGGAAGTGCATCCTATGTCGTTCGAATCAGCTCAATTAGACAATCCAAACGATATATGTTTCAAATCAATGCGACCGCTGGCTGCAAAGTTATTCGAGTTTGAAGATTACATTCCACGTTGAAAATGGTACAAATTCAGGTGGTCCGTGCATCACGTGATGCCCTTTGCCTAGCGCCAGGCTAGCGGCAAAGCGTCTATTTCACTCTTTCCTGAATAACTTTACAGCTACCGGTCGCATCAATCTGAAACATATATCATTTAGACCGTCTAATTGAGACGGTTCTAATGGAGCTAGATGCACTTCAATCCGACTCTTGGATTAGAAGTTATTCAGGGTTATGTGTTTGAAGCTAGTTGGAGCGCTCGGACGACCGGCATTTTGTCGCTTTTTTTCCATGTACCCGGGTGCGAATAAGACCCTTTTATCAAAAAATGGGGGTGCGAATAACAAAACTCTTATTTTTTAGCTATAACAGCTCTTGCGATATACCTTGCTGCATTAAAAAAACTAAGAATTAATCCTTTACTTTTTCTTTTTTTCGTTTTTCACACCCGGCGTTGCCGTACTAATTTTAGCGCATTCGCTTACAAAGCCCTGTGTGCCTCCTTAGTTCTCGGGCCCTGGTTCATTCATTCCGCCCAAGTCGGGCGACATCACTGCCTATGCGGGGCTGAATCATCCTATTCTTGCAAACCTACCTAAGTAGGTATATAACTAGGCAAGAATCCGAGAGATAAAATAAGAAATTGGTGATTGGGTATTCTTCAAACAGGACAAAACTGAAAATGGCACCGAATATCAAAGCCTTTGGAGATCTTTATTACGTGGCTGGGTCTTATGAGCCCGGAAGTAACTCCGGCCCTCTCGATGACAAAGGCTTTCTGTCCACGACCTTTGCGTATTACGACGATGAGGACAACGCATATTTTGGAAAAAGTCTAAAGCACAAGCGTTTTATGACTCTCCAGGATTTCTCGTCCGCACTCAGCCTGGTCCCCGCTGAAGACATCTGCCCTCTTTTGCCTGAAGTTGAACCGCTCTTAACCGTGGCCCCTGATCATCTCAATCTTACCCCTGCAGCAGAGCTGAAGGGAACATACTACATAAAACGACCGCAGGTCGACTCTTACGATTGGTATGTCGAAAAGGACATCGTTTTTGCCATACCGCAGGAGTTACTCGAAGAAGCAATTACGCTACAGCACATTACCAATCACGAACAACACAAGAACATCGTCAAGTATCATGGCTGCCGCGTCCGTAACGGTCGAGTCACAGGTTTAGTCTTTGATTTCTACAAAGACTCACTAATTTATGCGGTCAAAGAGAACAAGCCACTCGATAAAGAGCGCATTATCAATGGACTAGACTCTGCCATCCGTCATCTCCATTCAATCGGCCTAGCACACAATGATATCAACCCATTCAACATCATGGTGGACGAGACGAGCGGAGAGCCGATATTGATTGACTTTGGCTCCACTCAGAAGATAGGGGCGCAAATGACAACAAGCCGTGGGACACCTGGCTGGATGGAAGATGGAGACGATTACGAGATATCAAAGGAGAGCCATGATCTATTTGCGCTGGACAAGATTCGTTTGTGGTTGGATAAGCCAAATTTTGATGAAACCAAGGGTTGAAGAATAACGCTCACACGGCTTTGAGATGCCGGTGGAACTTTATGGTATACCTAATTAGCTGGATTTGAACAGATGATATGAAGGGGTTTTATTTTGCTTAAGGACTAGATGACAATAAGGAGGCGGCTTATCAGGTAAACTACCCACCCCCCCCCTCCCCACAACCACGGTTCTCCCGACGAAATTCATTTCCTTCACTTCTAAATTCGCGACGACGAACTCCGTTACCAGTGATGCATGCTCTGGACCAGTTACTATGTACTTCAACCCCCCCACCCCTTCCGGTAATAACGGTGCCGGGGGAGACTCTGCAGAGCCCCTCGACCAACACCGACCGACAAGAGGTGGGGACGAAGGTACCTGGCCGATCGATCGCAGATCACCCAAAGAAAAGCACCCCGTGGCTCCGGGACCGAAAAAAAGCTGGTTCGTTCGGGTTCCGCTCCTTTATTTATAGCACAAAAAGAGGGGAGAGGGGGGGGGAGGATCTCCGATGAGGCACGTGTGTATGTACATAGGTATGTTCGCTTAGTGTCGATCTCGAATGGGATTTACATATATAAATATAGCAAACATCTATAGATGAAGTACCTAACCTGCCTACCGATATAGGTAGGATCGTGGTTTGTACGCGGTTACCTTTCGTACACTACTATGTGGATACCCTAGATATTTGCGTGCTCAGGTAGCCCAACACCGCAGACCACAAATCACGATCGTGACGACATAACAAGCCTGCCTACCAGACAGACGACAGAACTGAGTGTATATACATAAAAATACAAAAGAATAAAACTTATTAGATAATTTTACACTATAGATTCACAAATACCTACTAGGTAGGCGTAGGAAAGGGAACCCAGAACCCCAAAAGGTTTGATATATGTGAAGAAAGAATTTGATTTGATTGGGTATTTGTAGTAAAGTATTTCGCATTCCTAAAGAAAACATTTGTGAAGCCGGTTTCGTTATCCCGCCATCCATCCCCCCTTAACGTTAATAGCCATCCATCCTTCATCATTCCAACCCTTCGTTGCTCGCGTACGTGAACGTTATGCGTACCTACGCAAGGTATATGGATACCAACTAACCCTAAGCCAATTTACTCAGCTTACTTGCCGTGTACCCGTTTCTCTCTTATACACACACCACACACCCCATCTCTCTGCGCATACATAGCGTCTACGAAGAAGCCTGCTTATCAATAAAGTGCCGCGGGACCTCGTCGTTATCCTGCTGGTAGAGCGGCTCGAGCTTCGCGTAGCGCTGGAAGAGGACGTAGCGCTTGAACCACCAGGGGACGACCTTGGTGACCTGGTAGCTGGCGAACTTGCGGTTGGGCACGGCGAACACGTAGTCGAGCTCCTCGAGCGTGCGCTGCTTGGTCTCGGGCACCAGGAAGAAGATCATCCAGAAGGCGACGAAGTTGAAGCCGGCGTACAGGCCGAACGCGCCGACGGTGTCGAGGCGGTCCAGGATGAAGGGGAAGGTCATGCTGAGCACGGCGGCCCAGAACAGGCACGTCGCGACGGCGAAGCCCATGCCGACTTCGCGGTGGGAGAGCGGGTACACCTCGGCGCTGTAGGTGAAGGGGACGGGCCCTTCGCCGGGGGAGTAGAAGGCGCCGAAGAGGAAGATGAAGAGGGCGACGAGGGCGGTGCGCGCCGTCGAGATGGGCATGAGGGTGCACAGGCCGGCGGCGAGGAGGGTCCACATCATCTGGGGGAAGGTGAAGAGGAGGAGGGAGCGGCGGCCGAAGGTGTCGATGGTCCAGAAGGCGGGGAAGGCGAAGAGCCAGTTGATGAGGCCGAAGCCGAAGGAGCAGAGCATGGCCTGGAAATGGTCGTAGCCGGACTCGACGAAGACGGTGGTGGAGTAGAAGGCGATGATGTTGATGCCGCACATCTGCTGGGCGATCATGACGGTGAAGGCGGCGATGTTGGCGCGGCGCACGCGGGGGATGGTGAACAGCTGCGTGAAGCGCGTGACGTAGTTGCTCTTCTGCGTGATCTCCATCTCGATCGACAGCTGCGCGTGGATGTAGTAGATGTCCCGCGCCACCTGGATCGGGTTGTTGCGCAGCCGGATCAGAGACTTCCACGCGTCCGAGTACCGGTTCTTCTTCATGTACCAGCGGGGCGACTCGGGGCACAGGTAGATCAGGCACAGCAGAGGCACGGCCGGGATGAAGGGGGCGCCCAGCATCAGTCGCCAGTTCAGCGGGTGGTAGAAGACGGCGAGGTTGATGGCGGTTCCGAGGAAGATACCGAACGCGGTCCACATCTGCCAGGACATGACCAGGGCACCACGAACGGAAGCAGGGGCATTTTCGGCAGCGTAGATAGGTACTAGAGTTAGGGGGTTAGATATATAGTTCCTCTAGTTCACGAAATTCAAAGCAAATAAACTGAGTGATAGGTATTACGAACCAGTAGAAGCCTTCACGCCCATACCGATACCCATCAGCAGACGGCAAGCCAATTGCTGTTCCCAGGTGTGGCAGAACGCGGAACCGATGACGGGCCAGAGACAGAAGTGAGCGGAGACGAAGATGACACCACGGCGACCGAGCCAGTTGTTGATGGGATCCGAGAGCCAGCAGCCGATGAGGGCGCTTCCAATGTAAGGACCGGAGTTGACCAAACCGACCAACTTGATAAGAAGTTAGCTGACCGCCTTCGTTTTGGAAATTGCACGAGAGAAAGAAAGGGTGGGGGGGTTTTTTTTTTCTCTTTTTATAAAAAAAGGCACTTACAAGTCGATCACGAGAAGAATCAGTACCGATGCCGTAAACTTCGGGGAAGAAGATGTTAGCGCCATTGCTACCAGTCTGATCCCAGCCCTGGACCGCAGCACCGATCGAGCAAGTCGCGATGGTGAGGAACAGGCGAGCGGGCATGCGCCACCGGTGCAGGATCTCGTCGCGGAGACACTGCTTCTCGACCTCGTCGAGCGCCTCCTCGCCGTCCAGGTCCTCGTAGTCGTGCGGGTTCTGGGCGACCAGGGCGCCCTTGCGCAGGAGCGGGATGTGCTCGACCAGGTTCTTCTCGTGCGCGAAGTTCTCGACATCGCGCATTAGCTGCTCGCGGGGGATGCCTTTCAGAGGGTTCTTGATCCTGTTGGGGGGTTGGTCGCATGTTAGTCACGCCGGAATCTATAACGGCGCTAAGCGGCAGACAAGCTCCTCCCGAGTGCCGAGTGCGGGAGAGCTATCCTCCAAGTGCCGCGACGCTTGTAAGTCTGTAATTGGTTGCTTACCTCGCTTCTAGGTTGGCGTTCAAGTCGACATGTTCAGTGGCTTGGACACCAGTCTCTAGGTGACGACCTTCGACGCCCTTGGGCTCGATGCTGGAAACCACTAGTTAGACACAGGCGGTGATAAGATCAGGGAGGCCAGGGAGCACTTACGCGTCGATTGGAACCTTATCGCTCATGGTTATTCACAACCGAAGAGAATAGCAGACGAGTCCGGGGAGAGCTAGTTAGTTGAAGGTAAGGAAAGGAAGTGAATAAAAATATTCGGGGCTGCTGCCAACGGGACAACAGACGAGCGTCTCCTACAACTAACTATAGGAGATGGAACCCGAATCTTATGAAAAGGCGGACCGGGGTATAAGAGTCTAGATGATGAGAGGGGGGGGGGGGGGGAAGAAAAAAAAAGTATCACAAAGAAAAAGAGGATATCACCCGAGACTTATATCAGCGACAAAGAAGAGCGCCACCAAGCGGTGTTGTGGCCGATGGGCTCGCTCGTAAGCAGGGAGAAGATCATAATCCCAATCGAAATCTTCGCGCGAGAAACCCCAGACGGAGAACCCATGTCACTTCCCATGGGAAGCAAGCTCCCCCCACTGTACAGTTAGTTGGGGATGGGAACGAAGTTGTTGCATGCCGGGATCCTCCATGGATCCAGGGCTGCCAGGATATACAGTAGCTAGGTAGTGTACATAGTATGGGCGACACGCGAAGGATCTGAATGTTGAACCATGGACAAGCAACCATGGGTGTTACGCTAATCCCAGCTGGGAGGATTCAGCGTTCCGGTATCCAGACACAGTCTAATGCGTCCAATGTCTTCGCTCGCGAACAAGAATCCTGCCAAGTGAACTGTGGCGAAGAGGCTAAGGCAGAGCTAGGCGGCACGAATTGCCATGGAAGAGTTCTTGGCAGACAGACAGAGAAAGACGATGGCGGCGGAATGGGTTAACGGTACATTCTCTATAGAGAAGCAAGGGTATGTGCAGTCACTGCCAGCCAGGCAAAGGAAACGGTAACTAGGTAGCGGGTCCCATTTGACAGGTCCTGATTGTACCTACGACGTAGTATAATACTTAGTAACTTAGTTTGTAACAGTGCAGATACATATAAGTGTTTATGTATGTACTGTACCTAGAATGTTTGTTAAAAGGCTTTCTTAAGAAATCAACCAGCTGATGAGAATAGTCAAGGTATGTGATAGGTAGGTAAGTACTGTATGTAATGTAGGTAAGCATGAATGTAGTCGGGTTTGTGTGTAAGTCAACAATATATTTCATTGTTTTCAGCTGGAACCCCTCGGCTTTCCCGAAAAATATGCAACTCGAGGCATTCGAGAACCACGTTGGTAGCCGCCTTTGTCTTCTGCCTCTTGTCTCTCTAACATGACTTCCGCCATGTTTTACTTTTTCCTCTTCTTCATTTTCTTCATTTTCTTCATTTTCTTCATTTTCTTCTTCCTGCTTTTGGCGCAGTAGGCTACCGACTTGTCCATAGTATGTGCATTGTGCGGTGTGTGGTTCGAGAGAAATGTTGTGTGTGGTAACACAACGCATTGAGACTCAGATGAAGACGTCTGATTGGGCGCATTCGAGGTTCTCTAGGTATATTATTCACGGTACAATATGTACCTTGTAAGTTACTCGTTGCCATATGTAATACCGGACATTCCTTTTGCATGTAGAAGTCGGAATGTCTCACCACCATTCGTTCGGTGGCCGTACTGTTCCTGTGGCTTGAGGCTTTGCAAGCCTTCAATGCAAACAATTACACCGTATTGTATTGTATTATGCCTGTACACCGAAAACGTTACAATTTATACGACACAACCTACATCAAGCTAAATATAAGTCTTACTTAGGGTTCAACCAATTAATCCATGAATCTTTTGAGCAGAGGGGAATCATGAGCCTCGATGAGGGGAAAAGAGATATAACATGCTACTATGTAAGGAAAAAAGGGAAAAGAGGGAAAAAAGCTTGGAAAGGGTTATGCCTTTTCTGGCAAAGGTAGGGTTAAAAATCATGGACGATGACGACGATGGCTTCATACCCGTCTTGCCTGCGCAATGGATAGTGTGTGTAGGACTACATACTAGTAGTACAGAGTACATATTATAGTATACACCTCTAAGCGCGGGCCCTGTGGGGGGTTAGACCGGCCTGATTCTTCATCTTACTAGCATGACCTTGATAAGCTCACATGGATATTGCCTTGTACATGTACTCTAATGTACTGTAAGTAAGCTCTACCATTCTCCGTTTTTCTCCTCTCGCCGCCGTTTTCAATCTCTCGATTTGGAGCCTGGTGTTTCTTCTGCTACATATTCTTGAGTTTCCATTTTAGTTCTCTTGTTCAGTAGGATTAGATGCTATCCAAGGCTGGAAGTTCCCAAATCCATCTTCTCAACTCGTCTAATAATAGAATACTATGTAGTTATTATCTTGTAATTGTAACCGCCATGTGCCGCAAGTAGTAGAAAGAAAGAACTCTGGGGTATCTAGTGTCAACGTTAATCGAGCCTGGGGGTTTCTGGGTATGTAAGCATTGTAAGGTATCAAGTCTAGACTGTCTACATGTAGGTCTTTAGACTGGCAAACTAGGTACCTAGCAGGTTAGTTCTTTTGTCTTTGGGCTCCTCAGCTCGGTGAAATATCATTTCCTAGTTTGTGTTCGCATGGACTTTTTCCGGTAGCGAAGTGGATGTATCGTAGTATGTAATCCATGGCAATATTAAACGAAGTCATATCATTGGTCATTATACTGAGTATATCCAATTATTAGTTCTAAAGCGTTTTCGCTATTCGACGCCGCAATTCACCTCCTTACTACTTACTATGTAACATATGTAACACCCCCAGAAATCATCTCCGCACTCGTCGGGATCCCCTCCATTTCCATATATTTCCACTTAATAGAGTCAAAGTCCAGAATCCTGTTCCTTGGATACGAATTCGTTCACGTGATCGGTTTTATCGCCATCACTCATCCTCTATCCGAAACGTTTGGCTCCGGAGATGTATCACAAGACGCTTGTATATGTAGCTTGTATACCTAGTATGTAGGCTGAATAGCAAAGCTTGTGGTTTGCGGTTACCTAGAGTTATTACTTGGCTTAATATTCGGTGAATATTATCGTAGGAGGCGTTGCTTGCTATACCAATGATAATAACTAAGATGTTTCGTATTTGAATGTTGCTATAAGGCACGGATCACTGTGTCATCCAATCATATAGCGCCAGAGATGATGAATCTATCGTACGACTCGCATCGGGCCAGTGATATAATTGCCTACCTACATATGTAAGGCTAATTATCTACATACTGGATGATACTACATACATGCCTATACCTATCATCAACATTTGACAATTGCGTCCACGTTTATAACGACTATTTGACGTCTATAATATTACCATAATCTACATAGTTACTAGTGTACCTAATACAAAATGCAGTATCACCGTTGACAGTACTAGGTATTATCATGCATGTACTAATATGCTTCAGGTTAGTCCAAGTTACCTATTGCCAGGATTAAGCAAGCACTTCAAGACTATTTTTCCTTAGTGGCGCATGCCCCCCCCTTGTCCCTTAACTGAAAAAAATTAGCCATGCCCCCCCATTCCCCAAGATTTCCCAAACTTCCTTCGTGCGGAGGAGAGTACGCTAGGCTGATTTACTTCTAGTACCCGGCGCCACGACCGCAAATAGTAAACAGCTTATACTTCTTATGTACCTAGCCTGTGTCCCTAGACTCGCTTCTACTACTCCCCTACCCACCGTGCCTCTTCACATGTAGCCTTAGCTTCATCGCCAAGTCCAACGTCGTAACAGGTTTATTCGGAGGTAATTATGTCATAGGTCATTGCCGTAAAGCTGGGCTGACCGCACATGTGGTCGTTGCTGATGCTTCATGCCATAACTATGTACTCGAGTAATGATGATACGTATTTACTTGTAGGAACTTCTGGAAGGGTAATCCCGTGCTTACTATGTACTGTTGTATTTGCACCGTTACGTCTGTGTGTACATACATGATGTAAGTCAGATTCGTTAGCCAATCTTGATCCTACAGATTATTACATAGATTAGGTTAAATGGAGCTTGCACCCGTGCTGCATTGTGATAGCCGTATACACAATTCGCTTTGACCAAATGCGCTTTGAGCAGAAAAAGGCACGAAAGGATCAAAGATGTATTAGCGATTTGTGCTTGATGGATTGGCACGAATGTCTCCGTGCAGATTCGGAGTTACGGCTGACACGGCATACTAAGGGAAGAGAGCCAAGTCCGCCTTGCCGGCGGCTGCAACGAGATACACGGGACAATCAGCTTCGGTAATGATATACAGCAAAAAAGCTCCTAGGGGATGCGCGCTAACCTAGGGGCACACGACCGGATGTAAATGGCCATATGTATGTAACATACCGATGGATGAAACCAGAAGCTACCTAACTTTTCTGTAAATATTCCAGAATGTCATATATACTAGGTACCTAAGTGATAGTTTTCGATTCATCTTTAACTAGCTCGTGAGGTCGACTCTGTCTTCATTCCATCACTGGTGTATTCTTCCGGTAGTTAGATAGATACTATGTAGCGTACCTTAAGTACACAGTGTGCAACATTGAAGCTCCTATCCCCTAGTCGCGAACTTTGACGGGAGCTAGGGAATTTGACCTATATTCGTGATTTTGATGTCCAATGTTAAAAAGTACATCATGGGAGATTATTATTAGCTTGGAAGCGTAGGATGACAATGTAAGTACGTATCAAGATCGAATCTATGACAAGTCGAAAACAAGGTAGATTTAAACATATCCAAATATCTTGAGATCACAGAAGTGAAGCAGGTAAAAGGTCAATGTAAGACTGAGGCACGTACGTCCAGAGGCCTTGGATATGTAGTCCAAAATAAGCGATCACACGTGTCGGTGAAGAAAAGCAAACCTGTGTTGGAACTACCACCCCCCCTACTTGGATGGATTGCAACCCACACAAATACCAAGCGAAAGAGATCAGAACCCGAACCCAAATGCACCGAGTCCCGGATTTGCAAAAGGTGTCTAGGTCTAACGCCGGCCGAGAAATATGGCAGTAGGCACGGATGAAGGAAAATAGCATATGCTAGAGTGCTGCCTATGTGAGAAAAGATTTGCAAGAGGGTGGAATGAGCTAATAGGCACCAGCCAAACGAAGTCACCAATCATAGATAGCCTCGAGGTCCCCGCATGACTGAACCAATAGAGTGTGTTCTCACTTTCATGGCATCACGTGCCAAACAATCAAAGCCCAAAACTTTGTACGGCGTAGTACGACGTAACTACTCCAGACTCCAGCTTTTTCCCAGGCTGCCAGATCCACTACACTAGTTCTGGGGAAAGAACCGAACCGCACCGAGCCTACTACCAATGTCCACCATAGTTGTACAATACAATACATACATTATACATAGTACTACAAACGACGCCGTCACACAACGCTACCCATTTTAGCTTGCTGGAGAAGAGGGCATTAACGCAGTTTGTTAACTTTGAGTGCGGATCACAAGGCAAATCCTCCTCCTTTCCATTTAGATTTGAAACGGTCGGTGCACAAGGGCATGGTGAATCGCTCTTTCGAGTTTAAACTTCCAGGGTTCAGTTCATGATGGATTCTTACCGTCGCGATATTGTAATCTGTAATTATCCCAATACCGTAGTAAGTAACACAGTAACATCTTCATCTCCTCTTGCTGGTATGTAATAATAGTTATCATTTGCTGCATTTCGTCGTATAGTTATCTCGTATAATATCGCTTTCGCTTTTCTCTTTTCTATTCTTTTCTTTTCTTTTCTTTTCTTTTTTTTTTTTATACTGTCTTCTCTTCCCTTTTCTTCTTCCAATCTTTGCCTCTTAACTATTCCTCTTGGCACGATTCCTTTCGCTAAAACACCCATCGATATCATTGGTTGCTCTTACCGGGTATCAAAGATGGATCGGGCCGGATTTCGTCTCTTGTGATGTGATGTTGAGTCTTTGATGACAAGGTCACGAGGCAACAAAAAGGTACATACCACGTGCGACCACATGGCCTCGACGAGTCGAGACTAAAAGGGCTAGAATGGGTTAGGTACCTACATTTGTTGAAAGCCGACAATGCCGTAACGTGTAGACATGTGAGGGATAGGAATTGTTATATGTTTGCTTCGTTAGTTCCGCCGAATCATGCCCGTTCCTTCACTTCCACACCACCGCATCCGGCCAGATGGAATCAGCTTGTTGTCTTGTGCCCAATTCATTTTCATTTTCCTGCATATGATCTGCGTGTTTGGACTTCTCGATAAGCGGTAACGTTTTGGTCGACGTTGGCTTGACTGTGTATTTCTGCTTGGCGGGTGTAGATCAATCTTTGAGCCCATCTACGAAGTCTGACTACTGGTACAGTAGGTAGGCATTACACCGCTTTGGATTATGTAAGACAAGGTGTGTGCTCGAGAAACTGTTATATAGGTCGAGGTCGGTAGACCAATAACCTCATATTGAGAACAACCTTGGGGTAAAGAACACCAGTGGTTGTAGTCGAGTCCCTCGTGGGCTTTATATAGACCTCCAATCCCTATGTTAATAATTATCCTGGCGTGGGGGTCTGAAACCACGGGATCCTAATGGTTCTAATTTTCACTAGTCAAGTCTCTTCACGAGCTTGCATATTGACAGCCGTGGCTTTTAGTTAGCTAAGCTTGCCTGACTTGGGGCCCCCGCGTCAAGGCCGAGACCAAGCCATGGCCATATTCTCCGTAGAGTGGATCCATCGTGAGGGTGGCTGCAGCAATTGCTAGGTACCTACCTAGTATTAACGTGATATGCTTCAATGCTCCCAACGGTCCCTTCACTTAATGCATCGTGGGGTTCCTGCATGTGAGAATGATACGCTGAATCTGTTATACATATCACGTACGGCTGGCCCGTTGGGGTACAGGCACGACCTACGTTCGAAGCTATCCAAGTATAGGCTTACCTCGGGACACAAGATCAATTCAAGTGTAGGTACCTAACTAATATGCTCTTATATCTTATAGTTAGGTATGTACATAGATATAATTCTATACTTCTATTAATTCACTTTACTGTTACTCTATACTACCAACGCTAATAACAACTTGTGGTCAAGTACCTACCTAGTAGTAGCTAGAATAGGTATATCCTTAGACAGTGTCTTCTCTATCTTAAATCACAACCCTACCTGATATTGATGATAGCCGCCGTTACGGCTTTTCATCGTGCGTAGTATCTTTCATGTTCACGTTGTATTTCTCTAGTGTTGAGGTTAAGGTACCTACACGTTACCCATATTCATCTCTTCGGAAGGATGCCCTCATTAGCCTCAAATGTGATGAGAACTTGTATTTGTAGTCAGAGTCAGTTGCATAGTATAGGGGAGGGCAGATGAGAAGAAGCTTGAAAGTTGTCCGTTGATCTTTCGCACCTATCCATATATGATTCTCGTTACTACCCACCTACCTATCTACCTACCGAGGGTAGATCCTCACATATATTCTCGAAACGTAAACTCCGTCGCTTCAGCTATTCATTTCGAATCCACCACTGAGCTCTTGGGCATGCTCTCCTTAATTAACACTTCCCCTACTTTTCTTCCGTCGCCACACATCGACCTCTTCGCTCCCCCCCCCTTCTTCTTTTAAGCATACCCTACGGTCCCTTTCACGGCCTAGACGTATCAACAATCACTATAATTACAGGCAGCACGCAGAACAACCCAAGCGCCAGCTCCCCATCTATAGGAAGAGCCCCATGTCCCAGTTCTCATAACCCAAGTTTCGGAAGCAAGAACCTAGGTATCTAAAGTACTCTACAAACCGGTTCAAGCTATTCATCTACCTCTTCCTACCTGCCTACCTACTCAGTCTACTTCCCCCTCCATTTAATCCTTTAAATAACCCATCTCGCACCCGACCCCCCACCCCCATCCTCCTTGGCGCCAGACAGCTAGCAGCATCCCTAGCTTGGCTTAGAGCATATGAGCAGCACACACAGGATCGGCGCCGATGACGACGATGAAGTCGTAGAAAGCCCCCATCTGCCCAGCACGCATACCTACCTACCTACCTACCCACCCGCCCACCTACTCAGAAACTCAGATCCCCAGTCTCATTTCCTTCACCATGAAAGCCACCTAGGGACCTATCATTCACGACTCGCACAACCCAACCACATAAGTACCTACAGACCAACTTCCACAGCCTTGACATCTGTGCCCCCCCTTGTGCCATACAACCCCTTGCGTCAGAGCTTGAAGTACTCTATCCTAGGTTAGGTACCTAGGTACCTAGGTAAGTAGCAAGTTGCTCTCAGCCCCCGACGAACGGGTCCACGGACTGCTCCTCCATCTCCTTTGCTCCCCTTTACGTCTCTAGGTTATGAAACTCACCCAGCGTTTAGAGAAGCGTGTAGTCTGTCTACCTAGGTATGATTCGGGACATGAACATTCGGACTTGGGGGCTAGGTTGGAGGTAGTTACTAGGCATGTATTAACCCTTAGAACTTATTGGTGCACAACGTGACTACCAACCAACCAACCTACCTGGGAACTTACGTAGGGAGATAGGCTGTTGGTCTTGCTACTTTACTGAGTTATAACTTATATTAGGTAGCTAACCTAGTAGGATAGACATCTACTCGAGAAAGGCTTCAAAACAAACCTGTCCCATGAGCTTCTTACCACAGGGGTTTGACTAAGCATATATTCTAGCATTTAACTTCACAGAATTCCCTCATAGCACTTATTGAAAAAATAGCGAGGTGGTATAATTAGAGTACCTAGTGGGCAGGATCATTTTCTACTCATCTCTCGTCTATCAGCCTCGGTACGAGGCACATCAGTTCGGCTGGCTGAACCTATCCCTCGCGTCCAACTGCCACAAACAAGCATTGCAGAGTTGCCTTGACTAAATAGCCATTGGCTACTTCAATACTGGAATTCCTGTCACTTGGTATCTCGCCCTTCTCCAGCATTAGCATCCCAATTTCTCTAGACGCCATCGTTTCTCCTATGACCAATGTCCCCTTGGGGAATATAAGCGGGATGTTTGCATGCCTCAAGTCACTAGATATAGTGATCGGGTGTAAGTCCATATTAGACCCTCTGGATTCTTTCTCTGTCATCTGGTTCAATGCCCAAACCACGGCCAAGAAGCCAAGGTGCATATATAAGGGTTTCGAAGTGATATTAAGCCATCCGGGATAACAGCGGTAAAGGCACAATGTGGTAGATAGGTCGTGAGTCATCCAGGGGTAGTTGGGTATCACAGGTAGTAGGTCAGCAAAGACAAATTAACTGATTAGCATGGTCATATGATTATGTTTCAAATTCGTTGTGGTAGTCCTAGACAGCATATCTGGGGAAGCTGAACGGTTGCGCGCAACATCAAGCAGGATAGGAAGATGATTTATGGCCGGGCAGTGTCTTCCTCGTCCTCGATGGGTCCCTGCATAGAAGCGGTACTGGGCCCGGAGGTGTGCTGGCTTGCAAAGAGTCCCTGGCCGGCAGTGCTAGGGCCCGGGGTGTTACTACCCGGACTGATTCCTGCATCGTGATCGTTTTGGGCCGGCGACATGATAGTAATGCCAATACTGCCAGTAGTTGGATGCGGCGACAGTGAAGGATGGTGCAGTAAAGGCATATTCGGGTGGTGTGGCGGAGGAGGCGGTAGCGAGGGGACTGCCATGCCAGCTTCGGTGTTTGGTTCAATATTGATGCCGAAGGAGCCTTGATCAAGAGCAATCTCGCTACCATCGCCCATGTCGTCGTCCTCAACACCTTCCTCGTCAAATCCATCCATCTCAGGGGCCAACATCGCAGCTTGTGCTTGTGCCTGGCCTTGGTTTGTATCTTCGTTGGCTTGACCAGCCCTTCTAAGGGGGTATAGAGTCGGTTGATTTGTCTGGTACTCGGCGAACTCGGGCTGCGTGTTAAAATAATGCCTGAGACCTAAAACTGCTTGGCCAGAGAAGACACAGAACACAGCGCGCTGATGTTCCGAAAAATCTATGACAGCTATTTTAGTACTTGATAACCACACGGGCCGAGAGAAGGGGGTTGCTGACCTGGGGGGGCTTCGCGACAAAACGCCTCTAGATCGTCTCGCAGGAAAGCGGGAACGCCCGTCAAACTCAAGTGCGTAAGTTTGGGACAGCAGTTTAGAAGTCGAATGATACTCTGCAGTAGTGTTAGCAGCCTAATAAAGCATTCCAGGGTATGAATCAGATCATACCGGGAGAGTTAGGTTGGTACAGTAGCTAAGATGAACGCGTTCTAAGCTTCCCGTGTGGTACTCATGTCTCCGAGAAGTACTTGCGGTCGCGTTGCGGCGGGACTGATGGCGATTGGCTCCGGCTAGAGCATACATGCTTTCATCTGTGATATTGCTGCACTTGACAAGGCCGATCCTCTTAAGCTTAGGAAGCCTTGCCAATTGTATGACAGACTCATCCGTAAGACGCGGGCAGCAACCCAAGTCAATATATCTAATGCGGTTGCAGCCCTGAACTAAGCGTTTAACGGCATCATCCGTGATGTGCCTGCAATGACCTAGATGCACGTAATGTAGATTCTTGCCCAGACGCGATATGGCATAGACGGCAGTATCAGTCAAATTGCTGCACTTGCCCAGCACCAGGTTTCGCAATCTCGGCGCAACCTCGATAATCTTCTCGACCGCACGGTCTGTGAGGCGAGCGCAGGAGGTCAGATCAAGTATTCGAAGGTGTTCGTATACCTTATTCGAGGGGAGCGAGAGGAACGCGCCGTCATCGATGAGCTCGCAATTAGCGAGGCGCAGCTCGCGAAGGGATCGCCCTTGCGCAAGAAGATCCGTCACCGGCTCATTGCCAACATTTACACATTGGTGCAAATCAATCTCCAGGATATTGGGGCAATTGTTAGCGAAGGCTAGTACGGCAACGTTGTTAAGTTGGTCGCAATCATTCAATTTGAGCTGTGTCCCGAGTTGTCAGGTATAGTCAGTATTGCTCCTTGAAATAAGATGAAGTTTGAGAAGATGGTCCAATGTGGAAGCCTCAAAATACAGTACATTAGACTGGAGGGGGAGAGGGAGACCTACACGTTTGATATATTTGCAGTTTTGGGCCAGTTGAGCCATACTCTCGTTAGAGATCTGCTTGCAGCTAGATACGTTCAAGCCCTGGAGTCTATGGCAGTTCTCAGCGATGGTCAAAATCGAAGCTTCTGTAATGTTCGTATCGCCAGATAAATCGAGCGCAAGAAGGTGTGGATTGCTCGCAATAAGGGGTATGAGTCCCAAGTCAGTTAGGCCATCGCAATTGGTCAAGGTGAGACGCTCGACGCGAGTGCAGACGGCAAGCGGTATAACGCTGCCGTCGTTAACCTGAGCAGCGAGCGCAGCCAGGTTAAGACGTTTAACGAAGTCCGTATAGGTGAAATAGGGCTTCTCAAGCCCCAAAGTTGTGCAAATGATGGAATGCTTGTGCCAGGAAGTACAAGTGGGACGGTGCCAGAGTATCTCGACGACGTTGCGGGCCCACCTTTTGCAAGTCAACATGCAATTTAGTAGTTCATTCGGACTGCTTATACGATTGAAGATGCTAATGAGAATCTCGCTGGGGAGAGCGGCAACAGTCGATAGACATTCGGGGTCAGTAACTTGCATGTCTTGCAAGTTGGGCACGACTCCTAGCGAAGATTGCGAATCATTTGCTACATGAAAAAAGTCCGACTCTTCATTGTCGGCAGGAACTGGAGAGTTCGTTGATGAGGATGACCTCGAATCCCTCGAATCATCGGCCGCGGTCGGTGCCTGTAGGTTTGAGCCCGACGCAGCGCTCGTGGCGGCAGCAGCGGAGGCGGCAGCGGCAGCAGAATTACGGGCGGCTATAACATCGAGAGAAGGGGCCGGAGGCCGCATTTTGGCAAGTTCCGAGGAGCTTATCGCAACTGTTGTTATTAGACTAGTGTTAGGCGTCAAAGGTCAGTATATCGAGCGAGCGAGCGAATTGCGAATGCGAGTTATTGGGGGTTTCGATGATGATTTGAGGGGCGTGGTCGTTGGAGGGATCAACGTTCAATGTTGAATGTTGGGCGTGGGAGGTGGGAGGTTGATGCTAGTAAGATGACGGTGTATTGAAGTAGAAGGATTCAATGCGTAACAAGGCTTAAGGAGTGGTGGGATCGAGGGGTACGCGAGTAGGACGACAGGCCTCAAGGAGTAAATTATGTATGTATGTATGTATGTCACTGCTAGGTGGTATTGTATAGTATGGTACATACCTGAAGGGTAGATGCGGTAAGGCGGAAATGCTGTCGGACCATTTAAGTCGCCCTTCTCTTCTTTCAACTTAGCAACTAAGTACAAAATCGAAATTAAGAAAGAGAAAGAAACAATCAAAACGAGTGACCGATAAAAGTGATTGTGTCTCTCTCCCGATATATTGGGTGTCGCAAAGAGTTGAGGTACTGGGTAGGTAGGTGCGTAGGTATGTAGGTGGGAGGGAGCCGAGGAGGCACTGGAAATGAAAGGGTCTGGTAGGAAAAAAAGATGGAGCGATCTTCGATGCCCAGGTGATTATATGTACCTATGTGCCTAGTTACTTAGGTACCCTAGGTAAGGTAGGCAGGTAGGCTTAATAGGTACGACTCAGGAAGGTTGAAGATTGAAGATGGGGGCTGGAGTGCTATGTAGTGTAGTAATTGATGGTAATTGATGGGGAAGGAGAAACACAAGACAAGTGACAATGTAGGTAGAGTCTAGACAAGGCAAACTTGAAGTGAGTGAGTTCCGTGGTGGATCAGGAAATGATGGAACATTGAAATGATTGATGTTGGTAGAAGGGGCTACGGGGCTAACTATCCAATATTGAAGTATGTATTGTTTACTTTAAGTCTTAGGTCGTTAGTGCTGATTTTATGGTAGATTGGCCTAGCAACTTATAAAGTTCTGTGTACTCTATACTTCCCCAAAATTGTCAGTTATGTCGGCTTTTTAGCGTTTAGGTATGCTTACAGCCCTGGAGCAGGCAGGTGACGCTGCCCGGGTGTTGATGCAGCTGCCATTGTGTGCAGGCGTTTTGAACGGCTTAAGCCGGCCGCGAACATGGAAATGCATAAAGAAGGTATGAATGTACTTGATCAGCCAATATGCTAGGGAAGATACATATGTAGTGCAACTTCATTTCAAGATTCAATCATTGATGTTATGTTCGATGTTGTTTAATGTATGTATTCACTCATTTCCAGTTGCATGCACATGTGGGTTTACTTACATACTTAAGTCTTCACCATTTATTAACTACATCAATAGTACTGTGATTCACGTACTGTGTAAGCACATATTCCATAAATAACATCGGGCAAGCGCGCTCAATGCAAATGTGAATATCCGTACTACAGATTTAGCTGGGCTTAAATAGCTGGGCTATCCTAGCGCTTCTCGCCTAAGGATTATGACGTTCATGGAGTTATACCCAAGTAACCCACCAAGTTGCAGAAGCAAAAAATTATATAAAAAGAATTGTGAATTAAACAGTTGGATGTAAGAGTAAACTTTAATCGGCCCTTAAACATCGACATCATCAACTATTTATTATCAATAGTCGGCATCTGTCTACCCCGTCTGTCCGTCTCAACTTAATTATACCTAGGGTAGTTTACGTCACTAGGGAAATCAGGGGTCTTCTTGTCAAACTTCAAATGTTTCTTACACAAGTTGCACTTATCTCATTTCCACATTCTATTCCATCTTGGATTGCCAAGCTCACACGAGACCATCATACTCAAAGCATGAGCACCTTGCTCAGAGTCCGTATGATCAACATTCTAGGGCAACATGGCATGGACACCATGAAGCTTCATTCTAACCTAGATGAATTTCCATGCTGCATACTATGTACATAGCTAAAGTATTCTGTAAATTAATCGGCCAAGTGCCCAACACTCCCTTGCCAAACGCATCGTTGCCCATTCCAACCCGTATACCTACCTACCTACCTACCTACCTAAAAATATTGCCAGTCTTACATTAGTTAACAGTAGAGATCCAGCAGTAATATAAGCTGTCCCAAATTTACCTGGATATTGTTGAAGCTCGTGGTCAAAAACGGCATACTTCTATGCGCCGCACATAGTTCCGGCCCCACCCGGCTTCGGCAGCTTCGGACTCTTACACTAGCATTTCCGGCTTAGTCGGACTGTGTTAGTGGCCGGGTCTATTCGCCCATGTCGTTGGGCTCGCAGGGCGGTAGCAGTGTCGTAGACTCTATCAAGCCCGCCATAATCTAAGTCGGCTTAACTCGACGGAGGAATTCGTTCTACTAACTGTACATTTCTTCGTGAGACACTGATACAAATGCCTACCTAGGTATATTATGCCTACCTCCGGTCTATCACCGCGAATAGTCAACCTAGATCAAACTTGAATAGCTGGTGTGTAACTACCATACTTGATTCTCGTTCTAATCGCCTGGCACCCTTCGATAACTTGGATTTAGTTCCTGGCCTGGGTTGAATCAAGTGACTATTTCTATAGCGCAGCCACAAGTAAATACGGTTGCTATGAAGGGAATGACACTTCAAAGACTACCTAGGGCGTCACCGAAGGGGATGTATTTGAGCAATCGGGCGTATGGAAATTTCGCCCTTGAAGTTGCCGAGTGTGAAATGCCATTTATTGTGGTAATCGCCACCTCCTAACATGAACCCTTCTAGGTTTAGATCATCCACCGTATTTCACCTCACACCAGGCCCAGTCATCCCAACCATAGTCTATTGGAATATGCAGTTCGCTATCCGACTCAACGGCATTCAAGTCGTGTTGGTTTGCATCTGTTAGACGCTTTGTACCAATATTATTCAGTCGAAAGAGGCCCATAGGCAAACATCATGCTATAAGCCTTCCCAATAAGCTCAATTATGCGCACCATACTAGGTACTTAATGTTGTGTACTTGAAACCCAAAGAGGAGCCTCCCTTCCATAACACCAACATTGAAGCTGTTGGCAGGTTCGACTAAGCTGTAAACATTAGCAGAATTGCTTCTTGGGGCACTTATCCCGGGACTGACACGGAAGTCGTTAGAAATAGCCTAGACATACTAGAATCTATCATGGAGAATAAATTAGTTTTTACAAGCTTCTCTAATAGGTAGCATTTGTCTAGGCCAGTTAAAGACGTCGTGACGAAAAGCCAAGAAACAGAGCGAATCGAAAATTTGACGGGAGGGACCGTTCTGCTCACCTAGCAGCCGATTTCCAGAAGCACCGTGCTAGAGGGTCAAGGCCTCGGCGGCAACATGCTCGGCTTGGAACCTGACGCTATGGGCACGGCAGCGTAGTGAGACTAAAGGAAATGGCGAAGTACAATCCGCATCTGGTCTTCAAGAGCCTGGTTTTAGAGAAGTTCAAACTTCCAGTAGTATTAGTAGGCTGTACCAAATCATTTGCGAACTTCCTTTTTTTCAACAAAAGACGTCGTACCTACAACACTCCCCTCCAAACCGGCCGTTTCTTCCCCCCCTTTTACACGGCGCGTCCAGACTTCCATAGCCAGCCTCAAGCCGCCCAATCCCAACAGCCTCTTGTCAAATAAGGATTTTCGAAGGGGGCTCATCGTCATCGCCTCGGAGCGGCTCGAGGTTATCGGCTTCTATTTGTCATGTGCCATTCCCTGCCCGAATCGTGCATGTCCTTCAAACTTTCCGCTCGGCCCCTATATGTAATTTTGAGCAGCGGGAAAAAACGAAAAGACACGCCGATACATGTCAAGAACAAGTACAGGTAATTACCTAGGGAGAAGGATTTCTGCTTGGGCGGCTATTAGAGGGCCGATATAAATGCTTATTGGTGAATACCTAGAAGCAGGAGTAGCCATTCAAAAGACGTTTCCCACTACCTACCTACCTACCTTACCTAGGTATATGTATGTGAGTATTATCTACATAATAAAGATCAAAAACTGAAAAATTGTATGACTTTAAGCATAATTCCTGCTCGTACGTTACTCAGCAAGCGAGGTTCAGTCAAGGATGTCATCGCTGTCATCGCTGTCATCGTCAGCCGCAGATCCTTGGCCGCGGCAAACCGGGCACTAGACAAATAGCGTATCAACTTAACTTATCACCTAGTCCGGGTTAGTAGTAACTTGGTGTAGACGCGGCACCACCTTGAATCCAGGTGAGTGGAAACCCAACTTATTTTGACAGCGGTTCACATGAACTACTGGCTGCCAACTTACTTAGTTTATAACGCCCGCCCGTTATGTAGAAAACTAAGCACCTAAACTGGAATTGCACATCTCGCTTTAGGTAGCTCATCTCTTAGGGCCGCGTAAAACCCAGTTACTCGCCCCCCATCCCTGAAAGTCCTTACTGATCCACCTGCAGTTACGAAGTATGCACAGGCATTACATCATGACTACTAAGTCTTTGGACTCGTGCGTGGCCATTTTCTTTGATCGTATACCCCGCTTCTTAAGGGGTATATGAAAGCTCGAGAGACCGTTCCTCTTGGCGATTCAGGAACCGATTCCAGGTACAAGACTGACTATCCACATTCGAATACTTCATTAGGAACGTTAGCGTTGTGTGCCCCCCTTTTATAAGTCGAGATGGTTCACCAACACGGCGACGAGCACGATATTCCTGAGGAGCACCACATTCCTAGGTTAGTAAAAATTTGGAATTAAGCTGTACCGTTATTGATTCATTGAAAAACAATACACTTGATTTCAAGTGACCCTGACTGACCACTATCATAGACATGGTGCCTGGCTTCCCGCTGATCACCGTATTCAGCACGAGTGGCTGAAGACCCAAATCGAGCATGTCGACAACAGCTCTAAGAAGGAGCTGATTCCTGTCCTTCAACAGTTCAAGAAGCTCATCGAGGGAAACTCGCGGATCTATATGTACTTCAACCAGATGTGGGAGGAGATCCCGCTTAAGAAGCCATACAACAAGGATCCGACCGGGACGAAGAAACAGATCCGGGATTACCGACACATGTTGGCGGTGCTGAATCACATATTTACTCAGGCTCCATTATGGACTGATGCTGCATTCGGTGTTGGCATGGTCGGTGTTCCGATGGTGGGCATCTTTGACTATGTCATGGCTACGCCTAGGTTAGACTCTTCGTATACTCAGGTAGTGGACCAAATCGCTAATTCAAAGGATGTGAAGCGGACATGCTGCATTTCTGGACCCGGAGGTCAACAAGATGATGAAAAAGATTTTGAATGAATGGGGAAAGTTCCTGAAGGTAAGCTTCCCAAAGTCTCATATGATACCATCTGTAAGCATGATAACTAACTTAAGTCAATATAGACTCCAGAATCGGCGGAGGTTCTCGCGTCTCACAAACAAGGCTGGTTCTCCGAGCACGGCATGAAAGACCTGATGGAGGTTGCCAATGCGCCCTTGAAGAGCTCGCATCGGTTCGAAGATATGTACGTGTGCGACCCTTCGGCCAAGCACTATGGGTACACCTCCTGGGATGGTAAGTGACCTACCCAACTCGGGTTGTCTTCTTTCATGGCAACTAACCAACTTGCCCCAGACTTTTTCACGCGTCAGCTCCGCGATGAAGCTCGCCCTATTGCCTCGCCCGACGACCATAATGTGATCGCCAACGCCTGCGAGTCAAAAGTTTACAACGTCGCGCGCCACGCCAAGCTACGTGACCGCTTCTGGATTAAGAGCCAGCCATACTCGGTCCTTGATATGCTGGGTCACGACCCCTTGGCGGCGCAATTCGACAATGCCACGGTGTACCAGGCATTCCTGTCGGCACTATCATACCACCGGTGGCACGCGCCGGTCTCAGGGCGCATCGTACGTTCTTTTGTCAAGGACGGCACCTACTTTAGCGAGCCCTTGTTCGAAGGGCCGGCAGGCAGTTACGCAGAGGGTGAGCGCAGTACGTCCAAGTCTGGAGAGATTGATACGCGGGGAATTAGCGTAGCGCAGGGATATCTGACTGCACTGGCAACACGCGCTGTGATTTTCATCCAGGCGGATAACCCGGCTATCGGGCTCATGGCCTTTGTGGGCGTGGGTATGGATGAAGTGAGTACGTGTGAGATCACGGTCGGCCAAGGGCAGTATGTGCAGAAGGGCGAGCAGCTCGGTATGTTCCATTTCGGTGGCTCATCACATTGCTTGCTATTCCGCGCCGGTGTGCAGGTTGACGGCTTCCCATCTCCGGGAAGACTGGAGAATGTTCCTGTTCGGGGACAGGTCGCCGTCATCAAAGGCAGGTAGATGAGTGGACGATATCATAATGAATTTGTATATATGATTTGGCTGTTTGGCTGTTAGGAATTACCAATAGTTGTGATTTTTACAGCCGATGTTTTAGTTTGTCGCAGGCCATATTTATAAGTAACTGTTATTCTCATGAAGCACTTGAAAGGTGAGTTTACATGAGTAAGAAATAAAACATGTAACTTGAGTAGAGGTTCTGGAATCTTAAAATGATCGAATGCAAGTTGCATGTACTACTAAAATGTGGGGCCTCGTTATCGGCTTTAGCGTACCTAGGTACATATATATGTACCTATTACTACCTAGGTACCTACAATACCTACTGTACATAATGTATCGTCGCGTGGGCTGCACATGCAGTGTTTAATTAATCGGTCGCGGAGCTTGGCAATAGCAACACCGACCGAGATTCATTAATGATTAATCCTTCAACTTTCCGTCACCGTCATTCTTCCTCCTCCTCCTCCTCCTCTTCTTCCGTCTTCCTTCTTACAAGGTCGGCAAGATGCTTTCCGGCATCCTGATCTTTAACCAGAAGGGCGAGAACCTCATCTTTCGGGCTTTTCGAAATGACTGCCGACCTCGTCTGGCCGATGTCTTTCGAATTCAAGTCATCTCGAATCCCCAGGTCCGCTCACCTATTCTCACCCTCGGCAGCACTACCTTTAGTCACGTCAAACACGAAAACATTTATCTAGTCGCTATCACCAAGAGCAATGCGAATGCTGCCTTAGTCTTCGAGTTCCTCTACCGGCTGATCCAGCTTGGTAGGGGTTACTTTGGCAAGTTCGATGAAGAGGCCGTCAAGAATAACTTTGTGCTTGTCTACGAACTTCTAGACGGTGTGGTCACCTACTACTTCTTATATATATCTCATGGTCTCTTTTCTAACAATATACAATCCTTCTAGAGATTATCGATTTTGGATACCCCCAGAATACCGAAACCGATACGCTAAAGATGTATATTACAACCGAAGGTGTTAAGTCCGAACGCGCTGCCGAAGACTCAGCCAAGATTACCATGCAAGCCACTGGCGCATTGTCGTGGAGAAAGGCCGATGTTAAGTACAGGAAAAACGAGGCATTCGTCGACGTGATTGAGGACGTGAACCTTTTGATGTCCGCTACCGGCACTGTGCTCCGTGCCGATGTCACCGGTCAGATCATCATGCGCGCATATCTCTCCGGCACCCCCGAATGCAAGTTCGGTCTCAATGACCGCCTTCTACTGGATCACGATGGTCTTCAGTCGCTACCGAGTGGAAACAGACTCGGCAGCAAAGCTACGAAAGCAGCCGCCGGAAGTGTTACCTTGGAGGATTGTCAGTTCCATCAATGTGTGAAACTAGGCAAGTTCGACTCAGACCGAATCATTTCTTTCATCCCACCCGACGGAGAATTTGAGCTTATGCGCTACCGAGCAACCGAGAACGTCAATCTACCCTTCAAGGTGCACGCCATCGTTAATGAAGTTGGCAAGACCAAAGTCGAGTATAGCATTGGCGTCAAGGCGAATTTTGGCAGCAAGCTATTCGCAACCAACGTGGTTGTCCGCATCCCAACTCCGCTCAACACCGCTCGTATCACGGAACGTTGTACTCAGGGGAAGGCTAAGTATGAACCAAGCGAAAATCATATAGTATGGAAAATTGGTCGCTTCACCGGCCAGAGTGAATTTGTGCTGAGTGCTGAAGCGGAGCTCACTAGCATGACGAACCAGAAAGCCTGGTCACGCCCACCCCTGAGTATGAGCTTCAGTCTTCTCATGTTTACCAGTTCAGGTCTGCTCGTACGCTACTTAAAGGTGTTCGAAAAGAGTAATTACTCGAGCGTGAAGTGGGTGAGATACATGACACGAGCAGGGTCCTATGAAATTCGGTAGGTTATTCCCCGATTCCATTGAAATTGTTGTCTTGTCATAGCTTCTAATGATGCCACAGTTTCTGATCGGATCAAACGATAATACTTTCGAGTCTACCTCGACCGCATATCGCGGGAGACTTTACTATAACTCTCCTCGCAAATTAATGAGGGTCTTGTCTTAACGACACCCCTTAAATCGGTTACGGCCAATGTTTCGATCATCATCCCGAGATATCGACGAGATTGAAACATGATGCATATAGCACCCTGCTATGTAAGGTGCTTTCATGGGTGTAGTCGATAGGCTATTCGACCTTACCCCAAATACCAGATCTGCCCGCGAGGGTAAGACGACAGAAATGAATAGTCGTCGGATATAGTGCACAAATTTCAATAGTGGTGTACTTGTTTGTAGCTCTACGTAACGGATATATCCCATACCTTTCACATATTGGATGTGATGAAGTTAGGACTTGCAGAAGGGACTGAGTAGAAGATTAAATGATTAGTATGATTAGTATAACCCCGCGGGATTATACACCTACCTAGGTAGTAATGACAAATCTACCAACCAGATTTCTGCAAGATCAAAGCCCGAGTATGGGATATAATGCGACTACTCCAAATCTGACTAATACTGTTTATAAAGAGCATGATAAATAATTCCGTCATCGGTCCATTAAATCATATAAACAAATAAAACCTTACCTAGGTAGATTTCAAGGCAGTATCAAAATTACTTGTGTGAATAGGGGTACTGCTTCTTCGATATATATTAACTTTGAAGTCAGTTATCACCATGTCATCCACGCCAGCAGGAACTGCCGATGAGATTGCACAGCACGGTTGGACAGCCGTCCCAGTTGATGCCAACGCTATTCTCAATGGCAAGCCCTACATTCATAAGCCAACTCCCATAGCACAGAAGGATATTCCCTTCCCTTCCGACCCGGTTGTCGTCAAAGTTCAAGAGTACGCGAAGGAGCACCTGATCGAGCAGACTTACAATCACTCGATGCGCGTGTACCACTGGGGTGAGCATTACTTACCTTATTTCTCCTCACTTACCTACTCCGCATGCATATGCCAAACGTAGTAGTATCCTTTGAGTTTGAGGATGGAGTATGTACGCAAGCTTAGCATACGAGCGGACACTGACAAAACCCTACCACATAAAAGGCTACGCAATCCTGAAAGACCAGTTCCCAGACGAGTTCCGCCGGCTCTCGCTCTCCACATGGGCACTCACATGCCTGCTCCACGACATCGGCACGACGCACACGAACCTGCGCGCGACCCTCCTATCCTTCGAGTTCTACGGCGGCATCCTCGCGCTGAACCTGCTATCTCACGACCTCAAAGCACCACAAGCCCAGGCCGAGGCCGTCGCGGAGGCCATCATCCGCCACCAGGACCTGGGCACCGTGGGGACCATCACGTTCCTGGGCCAGCTGGTGCAGCTGGCGACGGTGTATGATAACATGGGGATCAACCCGCAGATCGTGGATGTGGTGACGAGGGAGAGCGTTAATGAGAGGTTCCCGAGGAAGGGGTGGAGCGGGTGCTTCGCGAAGACAATTAGAGAGGAGAATGCGCTGAAGCCGTGGGCGCATACGACGCATCTGGGCGAGGAGGACTTTCCTGGCGGGGTGGAGAATAATGAGCTTATGAAGCCGTATGATCGGTGGGGTTTGTAATGGCAGGTAGGTAACTAGGCAGGGGAACGGGGGCGGGCTGGTCAAAAGGAGGACATATAAGATTATACTTGATAAGGTACTAGTAGTAAACGGCGCGCAGGATGGTACTGACAACATTCATTGCCAGTGTGAAACGGCAGGCAACTACCTAGGTAGTACTTGATATCCATGGTTCTACAAGTCACCATCGTCTTGTGAGGGAGGATGCTAGGGCCGGGAATGCCTACATAGCAGTAGATACCTCATAGTGTAGTTTCAAGCAAGGACCTGGCGCTACCTGACTTCGAGGACAACATTGAATGCTGTATATTGACGCGTTACTTCGTAATATTTCGAGGAGAAGGAGGTTGTGGGTAATATCAATGCCAGGACTCGGGGAATGCTCCGGTTGAATGTACCGTGGACCTGGCTTCAGCCTCAGCCCCAGTTTCAGCCCCACTGGGGTATCGAATCTTCTACCGATTCAAGTTGATTGAAGCTAACTAACCCTTTTAGCCAGCCTTACTACTTAATAAGGCAAGTGGGAAATGCTTAATAGAACACACGGACCAGCGAGAGTGTCAAACAGAACTTCAATGTTCGAAGACTTTCCATCTGCCTGTACAACCTCAGGTACGCATTACCCACAAAAACTTGGTACCGCATCCGTTTGCCTTCAATGTTTGAACTTTGAAGAGGCTGGATATCTGGATATTGAAGCAAAACGATCTGGTATCGCTTCAGTACTGCCTACATACCTGCATATCAAACATCAGTGATTGAAGTTTTTTTCATATACGAAGTAGTTATATACTTAGTAAGTTATGTGCTAGGAGAAGTCCGTAGTACATAACATTGAAGGCAAAAATAATTTGAAAATTTCTTAGACGCAACTTACATACATCATGATGTTAGTAGTAGACGTTGGATTTCAACGGCATTGCCGTTTCAAAATTTCTCTAGTCTTTTGGTTTTAAATCTATGCATTTATCCCATACACAACTTGTAGGCAGCTACGGTATCACTTCAAGGTTGCCTTGCTTTCTTATTCGCAGCTGCCTTCGCGCATGTTCCAGAACCCCGGAGAATCCTACATAGCACCGTACGGTCCGTACCTACCTTAGGTACCCAGGCACACACATGCCTTTGTAGATAGAAAGAAGAGAAGAGAAGGCTCGCCCATGGACTGGCATGCCAGTTGTGTGGATGCATTCGTCCAATCATTGGTCCACATTGGTTGCCATGGAGCCTTCCTGCAGCCAATCAGGAAACTAGATTTGGCTGGTTAGTACCAGAATTGCCATAGAATTCAATAGAAACATCATGGTGGGGCCGTGCACAGAAAGAGCTGTGCAGAACATTTCTAGCTGCGACTTCATCTTTTCGTTGAAATATTTCTTTCCCTCCTCCTCACCTTTTCCACTTCTTTCTTTCGTCAACACAAATCAACTTCTTCTTCCATTCTCATCTTTGAAAAAATAAGATAGACAGTTAATTACTCTTGTGATACCCTCAACTGATTTCTTTTGACCACTATACCATCGGTAAGTTCTTCCAAGCACCGTTTGCTTTCTACAGCTCCCCACCATTCGCCCATCTCTCCAACCCGCCATCAGCCTTGTCTTGAGGTTCTCTATCTTCCACGAGAAGAGCCATTCTCCTTCTAAAACCGTTCAAATCACTTCACGCACGCACATGATTCATCCTCAGGCACCAATCAATTAAAAATTTTCCTTCTGTTTTATTTTTGCAAAGCACCAATCCTGTTGATGCCTTGCGTCCTCTAAACCATTTTACCCCGCCATCCCACCTTCTTCACTACCCTTGCTGGCTCCACTACCCATGATCAATTAATCAATTAATCAATTCCATCTTACCCATCCCACCCATTACAACCTTCAATACGAAAATTCATAAAGCTAATCCTCTTATCATCCAGATCACATCTTTCTATATCAAGTCAATCAAGATGTCGTCTGAGACTTTCGAGTTCCAGGCTGAGATCTCTCAGCTCCTGGGTCTCATCATTAACACAGTTTACTCCAACAAGGAAATCTTCCTACGAGAGTTGGTTTCCAACGCCTCAGATGCCCTTGACAAGATCCGATATGAGGCTCTTTCCGACCCAAGCAAGCTGGAGTCCAACAAGGACCTCCGCATCGATATCATCCCCGACAAGGAGAATAAGACCTTGACTATCCGTGATACCGGTATTGGTATGACCAAGGCTGTAAGTTACACCCCATAAATTGCCTTGTATTTCAAAATTAATCAATGACTAACTTAAAAAAAAATAGGACCTTGTCAACAACTTGGGTACCATTGCCCGATCAGGCACCAAGCAGTTCATGGAGGCTTTGACTGCTGGTGCTGATGTTTCCATGATTGGCCAGTTCGGTGTCGGTTTCTACTCCGCATACCTTGTTGCCGACCGGGTTACTTTTATCTCCAAGCACAATGACGACGAGCAATACATCTGGGAGTCGTCTGCTGGTGGTACTTTCAGCGTCAAGGTTGACACTGAGACCGAGCCCCTTGGCCGTGGCTCTAAGCTTATCCTCCACCTGAAGGATGAGCAGACAGAGTACCTCAACGAGAGCAAGATTAAGGAGGTCATCAAGAAGCACTCCGAATTCATCTCCTACCCTATCTACCTCCATGTTGTGAAGGAGACCGAGAAGGAGGTCCCTGATGAGGAGGCTGAAGAAGTCAAGGAGGAGGAAGGTGATGACAAGAAGCCCAAGATTGAAGAAGTTGATGACGAAGAGGAGGACAAAGAGAAGAAGAAGAAGACCAAGAAGGTCAAGGAGACTTCCATTGAAGAGGAAGAGCTCAACAAGCAGAAGCCCATCTGGACTCGCAACCCTCAAGATATCAACCAAGAGGAGTATGCCGCCTTCTACAAGTCTCTATCCAATGACTGGGAGGACCACCTTGCTGTCAAGCACTTCTCTGTTGAAGGGCAGCTCGAGTTCCGAGCGATCCTCTTCGTGCCCAAGCGAGCACCCTTCGACCTATTCGAGACTAAGAAGACCAAGAACAACATCAAGCTCTACGTCCGCCGCGTCTTCATCACTGATGATGCCACTGACCTCATCCCTGAGTGGCTTAGCTTCGTCAAGGGTGTTGTCGACTCTGAGGATCTGCCTCTCAACCTGTCTCGTGAGACCCTTCAGCAGAACAAGATCATGAAGGTTATCAAGAAGAACATTGTGAAGAAGGCTCTTGAGCTGTTTACCGAGATTGCCGAGGACAAGGAGCAGTTCGACAAGTTCTACAGTGCCTTCTCCAAGAACTTGAAGCTCGGTATTCACGAGGACTCCCAGAACCGCCAGATTCTGGCTAAGCTTCTCCGTTTCAGCTCCACCAAGTCGGGAGATGAGCAGACCTCTTTGGCCGACTATGTCACTCGTATGGCTGAGCACCAGAAGAACATTTACTACATCACTGGCGAGTCTATTAAGGCTGTTACCAAATCGCCTTTCCTAGATGCCCTTAAGGAAAAGAACTTCGAGGTTCTCTTCCTTGTTGACCCCATCGATGAGTATGCCATGACTCAATTGAAGGAGTTCGAGGGCAAGAAGCTCGTTGATATTACCAAGGACTTCGATCTTGAGGAGACCGAAGAGGAGAAGAAGGCCCGCGAGGCTGAAGAGAAGGAATACGAGGGCCTTGCCAAGTCCTTGAAGAACGTCCTCGGTGACAAGGTCGAGAAGGTTGTCGTCTCCCACAAGCTCGTCGGCTCTCCCTGCGCCATTCGTACTGGCCAGTTCGGTTGGTCTGCCAACATGGAGCGTATCATGAAGGCCCAGGCTCTCCGTGACACGTCCATGAGCAGCTACATGAGCTCCAAGAAGACCTTCGAGATCTCCCCTAAGTCTCCCATCGTCAAGGAGCTCAAGAAGAAGATCGAAGCTGATGGCGAGAACGACAAGACTGTCAAGTCTATCGTTCAGCTTCTATTCGAGACTTCTCTACTAGTCTCCGGCTTCACCATTGAGGAGCCCGCCGGTTTCGCTGAGCGTATTCACAAGCTGGTGTCTCTCGGCTTGAACCTCGATGAGGAGCCTGAGGTTGAGGAGGTGCCAGCCACCGCTGAGACTGTCGCCGCCGAGACTGGTGACAGCGCCATGGAGGAGGTCGACTAAATTCTTTAGACGGTCATGAACGGAAATGGGAATCGTAAAAAGTTCTACGGAGTTTGGATGGTTTCGGGCTTTTATTACCGGTAACATCGACTTTCGATGTGGGTACTTCATAATTCATCCATACCCTCCCGACCATGGGAGCACAATAATGCCTAGCAGGGCTTCACAGCTCAGCCGAGTTGGTCGTTGATTGATGCATTCCTGGTTGCGCATGTATTTTACATCATGCCCTTATGAGATACGGGCCGGATTAATTCGTAGATGAAATGAAACGTTATGAAATAATTCTTCTCTTCATGCTTTGTGATGTTGGTGACTGTCGTAGTACTTCATGTTCAATGCCTGTTCAAAATCTTCAGATGCCTCTTGCGCCTACTATGAAGTAATAGTTGAATAGTTCTTACCAACTGGTTCTGTGAAGCTGATCTATGCTAATCAAAAAGACCAATTCGTTCGATTCGAATGTGGATGTCCTGAGTAGGCCTTATTTGGGGCACTCCCTTTCTACGAACGACTACCTACCATATGTAACTACTAACGATATAAAGCTTCATGTTTGAATTTCTTAGAGCATGGTATCAAGGGGTTCGAGATATGAAGCCCTATCGGAACGATGAAATGTTAATCTACATATATTTTGGAGGTTTGTCGTCGTAGCCTTCTGTAAGTGGTGGGAGTCCTTGGATGGTTAGCAAATACCTCCAGGGCTGACTACCAGGGTACGTGTGTACCTAGTAGTGTACCTACCTACCTAGGTATAGTAGGACTTGAAGTATGTATTAGGGGATCATATCAATTTGGTATGGGGATAGAAAGGGATGGGGACTCAGGATATTGTTGGGTGGGTAGGTACTGTAGGTAGGACCTGGTACATAGGTAGTGTCTAGAGATCACCGTGATGTGATTTTAATGTAACTTGGAAACACGAATAGGTACTAAGCGGGCATGTACCTATGCGAGAGCTTAAGAAAGTTGCCTTCTATCACGGGTACTTGGAGGATCTATGAGAATGCCACGTCAATACACAGAAGGAAGGGGGGATTAACTACTACATAAGTAGGAAGTGGTAGGTAGTATATGAACAACTGATACCAAATATCTTCTTTGGAGCTACAGATATGTGCACGCATGTAAGTATAAGTTAGTTAGGGGTATTTGTCTAGGTAGCCTTGCAACTTCCAAAGCTTCGCTTGCAGATCCACCGTCCGCCGCCCGGCGAGCATAAATATGTTGCCCTCTGACATAGCGGTGGCGTTGTCTCTGAACTGCTTCATGTACTCCGGCCCCAGCAGCAGGTCCATGTTGTACACGGCCAAAGTTGTCGTCGCGATCTCGCCTTGGATGTCCGTTTTTTGGACGTCGAAGGTCGCGAACGGGCCGGGTTCTGCTGCGTCGGGGTTCGCATTCGCACTCGACTCCTCACCCTCACCCGAAAGTGATGATGGCCGGAACCATAGTATGGAGCCGCTGTGCTTGTACTTGACGTCGTCCCAGCCCCAGCACCGGACCAAGTAGTGCCGCCCCATGGTGGCGCACAGCTTGTTGAGGTACAGCAGGCCGTCGACGATGTTCTGCCGCATCGCGTTCACGATGTACCGGTCCATGTCCTGGCGCCACACGACCTTGCCCATTATGTGCCGCTTGGCCGGGTCTGCGCCCGCGAGGCGGATCGGGCTCTTCTCGAAGGGCGAGCCCTTGAGCCCAAAGCCCGAGAGGAGATCTTGTCGTGCTAGCACGTACACGGAGCGACCTTGGGGGGTTTGCGATTCGTTGAGGTTGGGTGAGGTAGCGGTGGCGGTAGTAGTAGAAGCGGGTGTTGTTGTTGTCAGCTCCTGTGCGCTGCTGCTACTTGCTAGCTCCAACTTGGCCTCGTCTTCTACAACTTCCTCGCCTGCTGCTGCTGCTGCTATTGCTCTTTCTTCTTCTTCTTCTTCTGCGCCAGCTTCGTCTAGGGCCTCGGATATCCCCTTCGTGTTGGGGGGCTCTGGCTCATCGGGCATGATGCTTTGGGGAAGCAGCCAAGGAGCGCCGGTCTCGGGGTTGGCAACGAGGTTGAAGTCCTGGAGGAAGAAGCTGGGCATGCGGGCGCGGGTTATGACGCACATGCGCACGGGTGTCGCAAGAGCTCTGGCTATATTGTAGGAACGAGAGAGTCAGTTCAGTGGTTTTGAAGTGGGCGACGAGGAAGATTATTGTTCGCGAGGGTGAGTGTGTCTACCGTACCGTATGCATTGGCGCGGAGTTGGCGACCGACGGAATTTTTGGGCTTGGAGGGCTTCGCTTTCGGGATCTGGTGCCGTTGCTTAGCCTCCCAAAACATGGGATCCATGATGGGCGAGAGCGCCAGGTCGCCTACCGCGGTCGTAACCGTCTTCTTATCTGGGTTGATCGTAAAGGCATCGTCTCTGTTGCTAGCTAGTGGTTGTGGTTCGGGAATAGCTTCTATGGGTTTTTTTCGAGGACGACCACGTTTTCGAGGTGCATCCGGAGTGTCAGTGGTGGTAGTGGAATACGCCAGACTAGAACATATGGCAGATGTTCCGTATTGGCCGGGCCTAGCACTACGGCAGAGCAGTGCCTTGCATAGTCTCATAACCACATTGGTTGTACAATACAGTTGGGATATAGGTACTGTAGTTTTAGGTACATATATGTAGTTGGCGTTATGAAAAAAAATAAGCTGAGTAGATGTATCATGCATAAGTTCATGTTTTACATATGCACATATGAGGTAAGATAATCGCGATAAACTACCCGGCACCTAGTACCGATTCAATGGAACGGAGGGGTAAGTTAACTATAATCAATGCGCTAACTCATTGAGGTTAGATAGCGTTGAAGCATCGGAGCTTGTTTCCATCTCCGAATTTTAGTCTCGGGAACTCCAAGACTTCGACTTGCTTACTTACATGCTACATATATATTTCTATGTAGTAGTAAATACATAGTAGTAAGTAAGTTCAAGTTGCTCTATCCTTTACAACCATTCTAAACATATCTTTGTATATATATACCATAGTACCTTTAGCATTATCAAGCTATTAACTAGTTAGTTAAGCAGGCACCATGAATTGCCAGCAGCCATTACGGCGTGCTGTATTGCGACAGCTTCCCACCCTCACACCGACTACCATGACACAATCGACCCGTTACTTCTCTCGATTCTCTCCCGGAGGTCCTATTCAACCGACGCAAAGCGGAATTCCGTTGCCCTACATAACAGAAGTCACTGTAAGAGAGGCCAATGGAGTGTGCGCAAAGAAGCCTGATAGCTGACCGTATAGTCTGGTGGCTGGAGGACCTGTTCGTAGCCTTGGAGTCCCACCGACTTGTTGTATATCATCTTTTGCTGATATGATGAAACAGATGATATATTCTCTAAGCTATTACAAGTACGTGTGATCTTCAAGCTTTGTCGTTCACGGCGTTTTTGTCTCTCTTTACAGCCAGCTAATCCCAATTATCTATCTAGGAAAGAATAATATGCCTGAATGGAACCATAGACGACACTGTGTCCGCCTCTATAGTCGCGCAGTTGCTTTGGCTAGAGTCTGATAATCCGGATAAGCCGATTACTATGTATATTCATTCACCTGGAGGGTCTGTGACGGCCGGTCTTTCGATATATGACACCATGGCCTATATTCGTTCACCGGTATCGACAGTGTGTTTGGGCCAGGCCGCCTCTATGGGCTCATTATTGCTTACGGGTGGCGAGAAGGGGAGACGGTTCGCTTTGCCTCACAGTAGCATCATGATTCACCAACCCTTGGGAGGAACACAGGGCCCCGCGAGCGATATCTTGATTTATGCGAACCAGATGCAGCGGATTCGCGAGCAGCTCAACGAGATCTACCGAAAGCACCTAAATGCGGCATTTGATCACGAGAAGTATAATATCAAAGAAGTGGAGGATATGATGGACCGCGACAAGTATTTGACAGCACAAGAAGCCAAGGAGATGGGTATTGTCGATGAGATCCTTACTAGAAGAGACAATAAGAAACCCGAAGAAGGGAGTAAGAAAAGCGGCGTATAACGACTAGCAAGGCTTCATACGTGAGTACCTACCTACGTATCTACATAGTGTGGTATGACCTAGCTGTGCCGCAACTACTATTACACTATGTCCTTTAGCACCGAATTATGTTACCAATTTCGAATCTATCACCCATTATTTGAATCCTTGCCTACCTACCTTCATACTTCCGCTCATGCATCCGCTCATGCATGCCATATGAAGTAGGCGTCCGCTAATAGTATCAAAATTTGAATGTGCACATATGCACACAACCTTGGAAGTAATATATAATGGGTATACTGACTAATCTCCCCATTTACTACCTACAAGATAGGTAGTGAGTAGCATGTGATGAAATACATATGCAAGTATGTGCATGGATATCAAAAAATGATGAACTGCCTCCACGAATTCCTACAAGGCGTGCCTGGCGCACCGGCCGAGCCGGACTCGATCGAGGTAGGCAAATGTATATCGTCGGTAAAGCGTTCCCTCCCCTGCATTCGACAACATCCCGCAACAAAATGGGGGGATCCTAGACGGAAATGGGGTGTATCGGATGGTGGCCACCCACCCCAATTTCATCTAACATTAGCCTCACTAGGCGTTGGCCCCCAATGTCCGAGGGGTATTGACGATCATGAACTCCTCCTACCTACAAGCCTACCTAACTAGCAAATATATATCCATGGATAGCTATGTATGCATGTTATATTATAGGGTAGGTGCAGTAGTAGGCAGATAAACTAACCTTGGAAATCTAGTGTATACTTCATCTGCATATGTGGACGCATATGGATACTACCTTAACTAGAATTCTAGAAGCCGTTCCTACAACTATTGAAACCTACATACACGTGTAGTTATGTGCTACATATGACATTATCTGATGTTCCCATGGCTGCCATGAAAGTGCTTATGAAACATAGATACTATTATACATACATATAGATAGGTTCTTGGGATGATGAGCCACGTGGTCCACATAATACATTTCACATGTATGCAACTTCGGCGTGCTTCCCGTCCCCACATAGTAAGCACACTTACATACCCGCCTACTCGACTTACGATATTTCGACATGAACGGGAGGGCTATCTAGTAATCATATCACCGAGGGGTAGTTCAGTAAGTAGTTAAGATACAGGTAAGCTATCAATTCCTGTAACACTACTAGTATTGGATATATATAGGTATATAAATCCCCTGGATGCTCAAGTACTTACATTTGTAGGTATATATGCCCCCCAAGATCTACACCGAATATCAAAAGCTTTGCCACGGTTGTGCAGATACCCATCGAGCGGTGGAAGTGGCTCGAGCAGGATTCTCGTCGGGCCATTAGATACAGAATTTAACCTCAACCTACAGATCCGCAACAAGATCGTTGGAAACGATGGAACTAAGCAGCCAAGTAGCGGGATTGAAGTAAGGGTGGCTATGCCTAATAGGGGGGATATACGAGGCTAGAAAGCGGCACGGTAGCTGCGCTATGCGCTATGTATGTATCAATCAACTGGACTTAAACGGAGCAACGGAGCAACGACTTATCTCCACCTTTTCTGCGTCCTTGATTTCCTAATCCAGAGAGCCAAGACAGGCTCATAGCCCGCCATGTGGACCTCTGGTATAGCTTCGGAGTCTGTAAGGCGTCCTCTCATATAGACGTATCGTAACATCGTGGACTCGCACGAGTCTCACAGCCTACTATGGGTACATACATCGTGAGTAACAAATTTCACCCGCTCTTTTAGATCACGAATAGGGTCGCGAATAGGGTCAAGAACGGGCACCATGAATAGCCTAACAGGGGGTGCCGTGAAGCAACCTCCCGAATAGAACGAGTCCTACTTACATAACCACCCTACCAGGTTAGGGATATCCTACTGGGTACCTACCCATCTACTTACATTCATGGATCATAACTAATAATACTACATAGTATCGTTTCGGGTTGGCTAATTTAGATAGTCTCTGCCCTACAGTCTGCAGTTATCCACTATTCATCGTTCTACGCATCTTATTAATAAGCCATATATCCCTATCCCACCAGGCATTCGTCATAGTCATCGGCATCTATAACCGCGTCTTATGAGCATATCTCGCTTTGTTTCTATTCACCCCTCTATCGCCATACTCGCTTCATGTGCTATAACTAGGACCAACTGCCCGGGACTTTTGTCATCGATATTAGTTAATTCAGACTCATCGACACATTTCTTATGAGCTTAGGGGAAGCCATGCACGACGACTTCGCTTTCACAGTTAGCAAATATATGCTTGATTCTAATGCCAAAATGACACATCCTCGCGATTCTGTCTCAAGGTCAAACCCGCAGACGTTCTCTCCAGAAACTTCTCCTCCCCTCGGCGGACCTAATCCCCGCGAAACAAGGAGCGCCCCAAAACGCCATGCTGAAGGTATCAAGCCTGCGGTGATGGGTATGCAAACCGTTTTCTCCTCTCAGACCGGAGAAGCGCATCCCTCACAGCAGCATCCAGCCCACGTGTGGGAATCCCACAAAGAAGAGATACGGAGATTATATTTGGATGAGAACAGACCTCTAAAGGATGTCATGGCGAGAATGCGCCAAAAGGGTTTCAGGGCAACGTAAGATATTTCATCCATAGCCGTTAATCCTCTGACATTTAGATAGCTAACAATCTCGGCAGTGTTCGAATGTATAAATCTCGCTTCGACAAATGGGGTTTCACGAAGAACAATAGTAAAAAAGATGTGATGGCCATGCTACAGGTTCAACGCCAACGAGACGCCATGGGCAAACGCACGGCCTTCCACCGCAATGGTAAAGAAGTTGCCATCGATGTATACCTCAAAAGAAAAGGAATCTCCCAGGCGGAGCTCGTAGAAGCTGGCATGGCCGAGACGCTCCCCCAAAACTTACGATGTCTCACGCCGCCCCCCGAACCCCCCAAGAATCTACAAGCCCCGGGACATCTATCGATACAGGAGCTGGTCTTACATTGCATTCGAGACGTAGCTTGGAACTGGTATTGCCCGCCAGACACTCCCGTGACTGCCTGTGTGGCTCATTATCGCGGCGACGAAGTACGCTGTGCAATCACAGACCTGACCAACGCCGACTGGTTATTTTCGGTTGGCCAGTACGAAAAGGGGGGAAACATGTGCGAGGAAGGGTTCAAATCCCTGCACATGCTGATCAAGAAGCCCTCGATATACGGGCTCATACACTTATTCCAAAGCGTGCTAGACGCCTCGAACCGCGGCATCGTCAAGGAGATCTGGCGGTATCTAGCAGCGTACGCGACTACAATCAAGCACAAGGGGCCCATGACGCGGCTGTTCCAGGGGATATGGGCGTACTTCAACGCGCACGACTACGACGAGTACTGGAGCTTCCTGTTCGACTGCACGGAGCGGCTCTTCGTGATCGGCGAGCAGCAGCTCGGGCTGCCCCTGAACACCCTCGCGCGCATATCCCCGCTGCTCTTCATCCCGCGCGCGTACCAGTACCGCACCGAGCCCGTGCGCCGCCTGCAGAGCCGCTTCAACTACGACAAGCTCGTGCAGGACGCGCTGCCGATCGCCGTCGAGGAGCAGGTCGTCTTCATCGCCATCGAGCTGTCCGTCATCGGCACGCAGACCGACTGGCGCAGCGAGCGCGTGCTGGAGCTCGCCAACGTGATACTGGATGTGTGTAGAGGCGTGACGTACAACGTCGAGCTGTTCTACTACATCGCGCTCACGGCGCTCGCGCAGTACCACCGCGGCCAGTACAAGCTCGACGGCAACCGCGAGAGCCACGAGCTCTCGGTCCAGGCGCTCGAGCACTTCGTCGATATCATCGCCGGACGCTGGGACCCCGATGTGGGCTATATGGTGGGCGAGCTGGAGAGGCTCGAGCATTGGTATAGGGAGGCGGGCGATGATGCGCTCGCGGATGCGATGCATGAGAGGTGGGTGGAGTCGCTGGATCTGATACCGAAGGACTTTGTCAGGGGGAAGAAGGGCATCTTGCATTAGGTAAAGCACCTATGTACCTACCTAGTACATGTCTAGGGAGGCAAGATGCGGAAAACTGTGGCCGAAAAGAAAGGGCGATAGATCTAGACACCCAGGTACACATCACTTACTTGCCTACATATATGGGGCAGGTTTCCTTTTCTTCTTTTTGCTTTGGATAGGTAGCGCTGGAGTTCATATGCTGTGGCTATGGGCTACCTAGGTCATTGGCGGTACTGGTTTGCTTCTTTGGGGAAGGGGGAAGGGGGGGTCGAAATGAGGTCAGCGGGCTAGCCTGCGACAATGGTTGAATGTGTATATTTGGTAATGTCTGTACCTATCTACCTATATATATAAATGCTATATAGTATATACCTATGATATCCTTTGATAAACTTGATGGGGTGTTTTGGTGTTTATTTGCTAGGTTGAATCATTAGTTTAAAAAGGGGGGGGCTATGGACTGTGGTATAACATAACTGTCCGTATTCTTACCTCCATCATTAGACATTGTTAATCGAGTAAGTTGTTGACTTCATTTAGGGGCTTTAATTTTAGGAATATATCATGATTCTATTCGCATCTGTTGATATTATTACATGTTGCGACTTTCAAGGGTTGAACTTCAAATTGTGGCTACCCCTAATGGTACGGTACCCCTGATACTACCTACCCCTTTTCCCCCTCCTTACTAATTTTCGTCCTCCCTCGAATAAAATCCCTTTCCGTTAACATTAAATGCCTAGGTAACTTGCTTTTTCATCTATATTCCTTTCTTTATAATTGACATGACCTTTCAGCCTGAGTTTATTTTACGTACTCGCATCCCTACTAGGTAGGTATCTACCTGATATTCAGTACCTAGGTAGACAGGACCCTCAGAAGAATTTCCATCTACTCATCCGGAATGCTCGAGTTCCGACCGCTCTTAATGAATAGGCTATCTCTATAAGTAGGCAATGCAGAGAAGCATAAAGGAAGACAAGGAGGCTCATCGGCCCAAATATAAGCATTGGAATGATGGAAAGGGTGAAGTGGCCAAAGAAAATCTCTCTCCTGGCTATGGTGTCCCAGAATTCAGTCACCATGACCTCGTTGGCACCATCCCACGCCCAAGGGCCACGCAGTCTAAACTTCGTATTAAAATTAGCGCCGAGGGCCCATACAAGTATCATCTTCCACCAGTGGCCGCTGCTTACGGTGCCGCCCTCGGCTGTGCTCTTCGAACAGCCGACGTGTAAGATATCGAAAAATGAAGGAGCCGAACCCATGTCCAACCCCAGCTGGTAAGCATAGCTCTCGTGGTCCACGCCATACGTGATTCGCGCATGCTTCTTCGAGAACAGCCGATAGTGTGGCTCATCATGCGGGGATAGAGGAGCGCCTACTACCCGCGCAGGAGCAAGTAGGTTTAGGATCCAAAGTTGAGCTTGAAACTCGGCAAGTGGTGGGATGGCGCCTAGATTGGGTCGGACGAAGCCAATGAATCCAATGGAAGGATCATCCCGCGGCCATATCTCTCTCACCATCTTGCCATCGTAGTAGCGAGGATCACGCCTCTCTTCCTCAAGGAAGGGGAATTCGTGCGTGTAGCCTGTACAAAAGACGATCACATCAGGTTTTATGGCTTTGTCCTTCATAAAAACATACTCAGGTCTTCCGTTATCCTTGAACACAACAACGCCGTTATCGTCTATGCGCTCTGGCCACGGGGCGAGGTCTACTTGCCTTCCCTGAGTGACATCCTTTGTGTCAGGCGTTTTCACTATCCACGAACGGCACCGTTCCAAAAACCCTCGAGATCCTCTTGGCTTCCAAGTATTGTTAAGATACGGACTGAGCTTATATCCCGATTTATTGAAGAATACTACCTATAGTCAGCGGGAATCCTCTCACAGATATAATCTCGATACAAGGAGATTACTAGAAATCGACCTACTCTCAGAAGTAGACCACCCCTTAGGCTTTTCTCCTATCCATTGGTCGGTTCCGTGCGTCGTACCCCAGGATGTCCAGAGAATCCATCTAACATAGTAATCGTAGTATTTCCAGAGCACGAAACTGTTTCTAAGCCAAGGATGTACGTACGCCGTGTCAAAAAGACTCGCCCGGGAGACATCGATCGGTACTTGAGGGCGATCAAGCGGACTTCGCCTTCGGCTCAGTATCAGTCTTGGATTTGGATTCCTCTGTATTGCCAGTTAGAATTAGTCACGGAAGCCCCTATAAGGATGACTCGCCTACCTTAGGGGCTAGGTGGAAACCATTCCTGTGGCATAGGACTACTCGCTGCGTTGGCGAAGTGATAGCAAGTAGGGCAACATCAGCTCCAGTCTCGCCACTACCCAACACCAGCACAGTCTTTCCCACACCAAACTGATCCTTTCTTTTTAGTTGCGAAGAATGAAACACCACCGGCACCTTCTCGATGCCTTTGATCTCGGGGATGCTGGGTTCGACATGCAGCCCTGAACATATGGCTACTGCATCGCATTCCCAGACGTGTTGTTGCCCCCTGAGTAGATATCGTACGGCATGGCCACCCCCCAGTCGTTTCTCAACACGTTTTACCAAACAGGATAATATTATATATGGCCACAGACCGAAGTGTGTACAGTACTCGTTGAGGTACTCAACGTAGCGCTTGGCAGTAATAAAGTCTGGCTCATCACTCTTACACCGAAAATCGGAAAAGCAGGTGAGCTGCCTCGAAGACACTAGCTACCGAATAAATGTCAGTGTATGAATTATAGGCTTAGAAAGATTTCAACCTAGATGTACTAGGTAGACAAGATATGATGATCACTGCGTACCTCAGCATCCTCATATGTCCTCGCCAGAAACGTCCCCCCAACGCCTCCATCAGACTCAAAGAGGCGTGCCTCGACAGGTTCCGTCCCCAGAGCCTTTTCCGCGGCCAGCAGATACTTGAGTGTCACGAGCCCAGACGGGCCTGCGCCTATTATCGCGACTCGCATCCCTGCCACTTGGGTACCGTTTCCGGATTGGGGTAGTGCAAGATCCGAGATGTGGATGTGATAGATCCTGTGGAGGGAGTCAAGGATGTAGTCCCACAACGTGCAGAAGCATCTCCATCTCTTTTTGGAGGAGTCGTTTTTGGAAATAGCAGCAGCAGGTTCGCTCACTTTTGCGAACCATGTAGTGTAGGCCAGCTGGCCTCATATTAATATCGCCGGAACTCTCCTGCCTGGATGGGCTCTGTTGTTGTTGTTCCTCAACGTCCAACAGGCCCACTCCTGATGATCACGAGAACTTGGCTTTCCTTCCTCCCCTTATCTCCCCCTTTGCGTTGCTTGTAATCTTTTTTTTCTTCCATCGTGCTTGCTCCCGTCCACCGTCACCCCCTCCCCTTTTTGTCCCCCGTACCCATAATACGTCGAGCGCGAATAATGGGGGCACTGTGTTCGAAGCTACCGAACCAAGTATTTCATCCCGAAAGCGGGTAGGCGAGACACGGGGTTGACGCCGGCGAATCACAGATGGCATGGCCTTGATGTTGTTGCCAAGAGTTGAGGCGCCTTCTTCGACGCTGTGCGCCGCGATCTTCATCATCCCAATCGGATTCGGGCGGTAGGGTGGCGTTACATAAACGATGTCTTACACCAGCTATTAAAAGGTAGAATGTCTCGCCCCGGAATACAGATTTTCATATGGTTTTCTAAACCCCCCCCCCCCCCCCCTCTCCCATCCCCCCATCCCCCCTTTCTGTCATCCTCAAGCCCTTCCACCGCTAATACTGACCCATTCCTCTTACTGGTCGGCCCCCCTCCCTCCCCGGAAGCCTGATCCTAGGCGTTCTTTCGATTTCGGTACCCCAATTACACCAAAGGAGAGAGAGAACACCGGACGGACGCCAATGAGGACCGCTTCTAAACGAGTAGATGGCAAAGTGAACAGGCATGTTCCCAGAGGCAGTCAGTATTGGTTGATGCCGCTAAAATTAACGATCGGTAAGACACAAACGTTATATGATGCAGATATGTTCGCATGGCGGCAGCCACCATAACGGGCGTAGTTCGCAGCTCGAGGCTGCCGAAGCCTGCAGAAGATAAATGATACGGAAAGCCATATAGATAGGTCCCTTAGGTGGGTATAGATGAAGCTCGATAGTGAGTTTGCAATGAGGAAACTATACTTGTCTTCGCAATCTAAGCAATCACTATAGTATTAAGACCTAGGATACTGCGTAGTAGGTAGGTAGGCGGTGAGTTTCCAAGGAGAATGTACCAGTTGTCGAATTTCACCAACACCACCCCCGTTCTTCTCAGAACTTGACTGCCTAGGTTAGGTAAATGCATGCAAGCAAGTATCATCACCGAACACTTGTGCTCGGTAGCATCATGTTAGGTAGCTCTTGCTCGTTCGGGCCTACTTAGATACTGGTGCTAGGCAGTCATGAAGTGCAAACAACTACATGTGGTCTGGATCGTCGAATAGAGCCAAAGGAGTATGAGCAGAGCTAGATGAGAGATCATGTACGTACAAATAATATTTAAACTTAAGTACCTGGATGCTTTGATTTGCGTCCCCCCTTTCACGGTCTATCACCTGTCAAAGTCTATACCTACCTAGGTATCTACATACCCAAGAAGCCTTAGCAATCAAGGACTAATCAATAATACCTATCTAATTGCCAATCATCTCTATATCTCTTCTCAGAGCAGATTCACTCTTCTCCGCATTAGATTCGGCAGCCTTCTCGTTAATCTACTTCCCCTCCAAATCCCCCCTTCTACTTTTTTTTTTCACCCGACGTGTTTCGGCCCCAGACATGCATATTCCATATTACCTTCCACCACCGACCTCAGAAGCGTGCCATACCTAGGTACCCAGATGGAACCGGATTATCGTTCTCATACAGGTACCTAGGCAAGGTCTCGGTGTTCGTGCTTGACAGATTCCGTATAATGTACCTAAATTGCTCCCCCCCAGCTTTGGGGGAGGGAAAAGATGGGTACCTAGGTAACCGCGGTTCGGTAGATACATCTATCTAGACCTACACTAGATTGATATATTGGAGCATTTTCGCAGCACACACAATACGCTGCCTCATATGTAGGTAGAAATGAATCGTGAGGATTCCTCGGGCAGCGGTGGGAAAGGAAACGGAAGAAATGGAAAGACTCGGTTTCTCGTATTCGGACCTCCTAAAGAGACGGCTAGCTGGGTTAAATGGATCGGAATAGGAATTAAGAGGCTCTTTTTATTCCGCATAGGACCTCGGGAGGAAGGAAATGCATATTTATTATGTTCTAGACCATATACTCACGTATACTCTTATTATCTCAGCGCTTTACCTAGGTAGAGAGATACGATAGCTGTCTCGGGAATGTCTACTAGGTATTGATTATATTCTATTCTATTCCAAGCCTCTATTAGACCTCATATTCTGCCATACGGGACCAGCGGAGAAATTAGGGTATTCAAGGTATTATATCACGGGTAGTTTGAATCATATTGCGCTATGAGCAGATTGATGCTCGTAGATTGACCACCCAGGTACTCAATAATCTCATGAGGAGACGTACTAAACTACCTAGCGTGTTAGGCACAGTTGCAAGCCTGTCAAAGGGGGGTGACTTCGAAAGTCCAAGAGACTAAGGCGGGCCTAGATGGTAGCGAAGTAAAGGTGTATATAAGTTAATACTGGCCCCTATTCACAGATGAATCAATTAGCTAGAGATGGCGCTTAAGCGTGCGTCTATACTCAAAATTGCATCGCGAAAAGAATGCAAAAGCTCTCGTTAAAGTAGGCTTCAAGTAGACTCATGGATCAACTGCAATTGTTTTAGTTAAAATCCTGAAAAGAAATGCGAGATCATAAATAAAAAAGGATCGTCCAATGCCTGGCTAAGAGGTTATCTAGACTAAGGCGCTAGTTCATGATGTCAAAAGAATCCATGAAGAATTTCCGGGATGGACGTTCGAGGAATTTTAGATAACATCGGCTTGTGTTGGCCATGTGTGTGTATCTGTATCATACGACTGGAGATAGATGTAGGTGACGTCGACGGCCGGTCGCGCAGATGGCTGCCATCACGCAATCTGTGCGGATCATGGTGGAAGAAATTGGGGTAGGTACTAATAGGGGCCATCTTCAACAACGACATCTGTCATTGAAAAGTAATGACTTGAATTTGAAAATTCCAAATTGAAATCGGAAACTTCAATTAAGTAGTGTATTACTCTATTGTTCTAGAGTCTATCAGCACCTAAAAATGGCATCATCCGGTGACGTCGGGTCTGAGGCCCAGAAGCCCAAGAAGCAGTTTTTGCTGAACGCCTTCGTGATGACAACACCCGGGCATCTGTCGCCGGGTCTGTGGAGGCACCCGAGGAACCAGACAGACCAGTACAACAAGCTGAGCTTCTGGATTTCGCTTGCGAAGCTGTTGGACGAGGGCGGGTTTCACGCCATGTTCATCGCGGACACGCTGGGGGCGTACGACGTGTACAAGGGGCCGGCGAACGTGGAACCGGCCCTCGCGTCGGGTGCCCAGTTCCCCGTCAATGACCCGTTGTACACGGTGCCCGCCATGGCGGCCGCGACCAAAAACCTGGTTTTTGGTGTGACGGCGTCGACGACGTACGACGCCCCATACGCTATGGCTAGGCGTTTCTCGACAGTGGATCATCTGGCTGAGGGGCGTGTTGCGTGGAACATTGTCACGTCCTACCTTGAGAGCGCCGCAAGAAATTTTGGGCTGGAAACGCAGATTGAGCATGATGAGAGATACAGGATCGCCGGGGAGTATATGGATGTTGTTTACAAGGTAACTATAGACCTACCTCGCCACCAAAGGATCTGGGAGCTTCATAACTTACTTATCGATTTTACTTACCCCTTATAGTTATGGGAAGGTAGCTGGCGCGACGACGCTGTGATCCGGGATCGTGCCAAGGGTCAATTTGCAGTTGCGGGCCGCGTCCGACCTATCAATCACAAGGGCAAGTATTTCCAAGTGCCCGGACCGCACATCTCAGAACCTTCGCCACAGCGAACGCCGTTTCTGTTCCAGGCCGGTACGTCCAAAGCCGGAACAGACTTTGGGGGGAAGCACGCCGAGGCTGTATTCGTAGGGGGTCAGCTGCCGGAGCTGGTGCGCAAGTCCGTCGACGCCCTGCGAACGACAGCCAAGGAAAGCTTCGGCCGCGATCCGTACCACATCAAAGTTCTCGCGGGGATGACGATTATTATCGACGAGACGGACGAGAAGGCGAAGGCGAAGTATGAAGAACTGCTCTCGTACGGTGACCGTGAGGGCGCTCTCGCGCTGTTTGGCGGGTGGACGGGGACGGATCTCTCGGGGTACAGCGATGATGAGGATTTGGTGCTGGTGGATAAGCCGGCGATTCGGTCGATACTGCATAGGTGGTCCAGCACGGTGCCGGGGACGGATGGGCTGCGCTGGACGAAGACACGGGTTGCCGAGTTTTTGTGCATTGGAGGCATGATGTGAGAACCCGGTTTCCTATTTTCCCCACCTTTCCTTAATTTTCCCAAATTTCCTATCCGAACTTCATAAATTAGACGGCAATCGCACGTACTTGGCTAACCAGTTCCCCTTTCTACGGGTACTTGAACAGGCCTAAGATTATAGGAAGTCCTAAGACCGTGGTTGATGAGCTTGAGAGATGGGCCGAGGTAGCGGATCTGGACGGGTTCAACCTCGCGCACGTGACCAATCCTGGTTCATTTGAAGATATTATCGAGTTTCTGATCCCCGAGCTCAGGAGAAGGGGGCTGTTCAGAACCGAGGTCGAGCGCGAGGGGGCCACTGCGCGAGAAGTGTTTTTCGGACAGCCGCATCTTTTAAGTGATCACCCGGGATATCAATTCAAATGGCAGATATCTTGATGAAATGAAATACATAAAGTACGGTATTTTTTATTGGAATACCTGCATGGTGTCTGGGACTCTGGGTAGGTTGATACATGTATGGAGTATTGTATGAAAAAAGATGAAATAACACTTGAACTTTGAAATGAAATAAATACCTACATATGTACTTCAAGTTGGTATCAATTGATAACTAACTAGTTATCAACGATAGCACTGAGGAGGTGCATGTGGCTTGTACGTACCTATGTATGTGTGTAATCAGTGACGTCCGGCCAACCCGATTCGATGGTTAAGGTTCGGTGCCGATTTCCTTAACTATGTAAAGTTGTACCTGTAACCTGTTAGGCTCCTGGGCCGTGGCACGTGCGTGTGCGCCATGACGTACTCATAAAACTGGATGGCCTAGAAAATGGCTGTGGGGTGGCAGAGCTTCTCCCCTGAGGCAAACATCGAACATTGATGATCCACATGGATCCATGGATATTTAAAAAGACGCGCTAAAGGTAGGTACTTGAGCCCCGCTATTGAGATAAGCTTACAGGCATTGTAATGATTGTATTGTATGATATTGTAGGTACCTACAATACTATGCCAATATTGCTAAGGAAGTTTCTAGCTGGTATCCATCATCATCATCATCATCATCGTAATCATCTTATTTTGTCTCTTCCTTTTTTCTTTTTTTTTACTATTGCGTGTTCTTCCTTCATTCATTCTCAAATCTTATATCTCTCTTGTCATTTGCGAAAATCGCTTCATATTCGTTTTATGACGCCGCATTACGCGACATCACTATTGTATTTTATTCACATATGAGCCATCAGAACTCCTGTTTGTGTTTGTATCCGTGTTTGTTATAATTTATTTTTCCCTTCGATATTCTCTTCGTTGACGAAGCATAATATACCTACATACCTCCTGTTAGTTCTATACGTACCTCACATGATACTCCATTAGCTGGGCTATCTTGACTCGTTAAACCGAAGCAACCCATTTCCCCTGATTTCTTATCATTGGAGACCTTGCGCCGGCCTGTTATCTTCTTTATTGAAACCCCCCTTTGTTTCCGAGACTCCGAGATATTGAGCTTCTCACCATTGGCTTTCACAATAGACGGGCAGCAACACAGCATGTCCTCCTCCGCCGATTTCCAGCCAGATGGAGGCCATGATCATATCTTACGCCCTAGGCCGCGTAAACCTCAGCATTCCCAAGTCAACGAATTAGTTCGGGAGCACAGTAGTACTTCCATTACATCCGTCAATGGACTCCTTGAGACGCCTCAGGAGGGCACCATATCGGGCTTGACAAGGTATATCCTATCCATGGGTTCAAATTCAAGAAGACAAGAGAGCACAGCAAGCTAACTCATCTGCGATATCAGTGGCCGCTCAACCCCTATCCCGGAAAATGCTCCCGCTTCAACCAAAGCTTTGTCTAGTGCACGAAAGCAAGTTCGCGCCGAGCAACGACGACGTCTCTTTCCCACTGTCGAGTTTACCTCCCGAGTCTCCCACTTCGACCCCCAATCCGACTACCGCGATTTCCATGGCTTCTTCAACCTCTTCTGGATCGGTCTCGCCATCATGGGCATCACCTCCATGTTACGTAATTACAAAGATACCGGATACCCATTGCGGGTTCAGATTTGGACCCTCTTCACGATTAAGCTATGGCATCTTGCTATAGCTGATGTCTTGATGGTTGCTAGCACCGCCATCAGCTTACCGTTACATAAGATATTCAGAAAAAGCCAAGGGTCGCTTACCTGGAAGAAGGGCGGCATAGCTATACAGAGCATTTATCAGGTTGTGTGGTTTGCCTTCTGGGTCGCCGTACCCTTTGTTTTGAATTGGACATGGACAGCTCAGGTCTTTCTTTTGCTACATACCATGGTCCTCCTGATGAAGATGCATTCTTACGCTTTCTATAATGGTCATCTATCAGAAACAGAGAAGCGATTGCGCGCTCTGGATGAGCCTCATGGCGCCTCCAAAGATCCAGCATACGTATATCCTTCAGTTGAGAACCCAATGGGTGAACTCGCGCATAAAGAGGCGGAAGTCGAAAGCGATAGCGATGACGAAGGTCTCCTACAGCTGCGTGACGATCTAGCCCGAGAGTTGACAAGTCCCATCGGCAATATTACCTACCCGCGGAACCTGTCCTGGCCGAATTACATTGACTATCTTCTCTGCCCGACGTTGTGCTACGAACTTGAGTATCCGCGTAACCAGACTATTAACTGGACGTCGCTCATTGCCAAGGTTGTTGCAACCTTCGGTTGTATATTTTTGCTAACCGTCATCTCGGAAGAGTTCATCCTACCCGTCCTGCAGGAATCGACCGTGCGCCTCGACAACACCGCGTCTGTGTTCGAGACTCTACTCATCCTCTTCGAGACTATCTCATGGCTCTTGTTCCCCTTTATGCTGACCTTCCTCCTTGTGTTCCTCGTCATCTTTGAGTATGTGCTGGGTGCCTTTGGCGAGATCACGCAGTTTGGGGATCGCCACTTTTATAGTGATTGGTGGAATAGCACAGACTGGATGGAATTCAGTCGCGAGTGGAACATACCTGTGTACTCATTTCTACGCCGACACGTGTATGCCACCACCAGACCTACTATCGGTCGCAATAATGCTACCGTCATCACTTTCCTCATCTCGGCCATCGGTCACGAGATTGTCATGGCCTGTATTACCAAGAAGATTCGTGGTTACGGCTTCGTCTGCCAGATGCTACAGTTGCCTATTGTCATGCTGCAGCGCACCAAGTGGGTGCGTGCCCATAAGACCGCGAACAACGTGCTCTTCTGGGCCAGCATGATTATGGGGTTGAGCCTGGTAAGTTTTCACATCTGCAATATAACGAGACGCTTAAAGAGACTGACATTCGTAGATATGCTCGCTTTACGTCCTAGTTTGATCTAAGCTTGCGTGTTTTAAGAGTAAGTAGGAAAGCACATCGTAAGTGATTGGGGTATTAAGAAAAGATGAATATATCCCGGGACTGGAAAATAGGGGTGTGCGTGGTTGAAATAAATAAAAAGAAAACTAGGTACTAGTTACACGGGACGGATTTGGGCACTTACATACCTCGTTCCCATCCCTTTCGCATTATATCACCGTCTGTCCGTTATTGACATTCAAAAATCAGCCCTTGTACTATATTTGTATTTTTGCATTGGCGATATACCCCTCCAACAAACCCTTCATCAGCAGTAGACAGGATGAAGTAGACTGATTGCATACTCGCAAATTCCACATGTTAACACAAAAGCTGCCTATGAAGAAAGTATTCCGAGTACTGTGAAGCAAATTCCCACCTACGTATACATGAAAAAGGAGATATCATCTCGCTATATGTATACTACTCAAGCTATTGTCAGCCTTGCTATTGTCATATGGGGGCTATGAATTATCGCTCGGAATAGGGGGGATCTCACGTTCGTATCTACTACGCCTCATCGAATCCTTTACCCCAAGATCCTCACTCCCACAGCGCTGAGTGTTCGTCCTACTCGCTTATTAATGGGGAACTGGCAGGTGAGTACCTAGTAGGGAGGACTGCCGTGCCGTACGCTGACGTCGACGCCGTGGGATCTTATCGGGCTTCGAGTCTTGATGGCACCTAGAAAATATTCCTCCTCGACCTATTTCAGGATGACAGGCTTAAGACGTTTATGATGGTTCTCTACATGAGATAAGTATATGAGCCAAATTCAAAGAGTGGAATGAGAAGTTGAGTACTAGGTACCTATGTCATATATATGTTAGACAGGTACTCAGGTATCATTCATAAACATCAATGCCTTTACAAGGCAGGCTTCCATGTAGACATTAGAGGATCGTAGGGACTGGGTCTTGAGAGATGCCTAAACTTCCTGTCTAGGTGGCATCTTAACTTGGTAAAAGACGACCGCAACACCAACCTGGAGCTGTATTGCCGAGGCAATAGATAGACCGTCTCCTTGAATGGCATCCCGCACTGCTATTCAAAGTCACGATAACTACCTATCTTCAGTCTTCAAACTACCGTAGCGGGAACCACCTATCCGTTAGAATCTTTCTATGAAGGAATGATTCTTCATAAAAGAATGTCCTGTCCATAATAAAATCATTGGGATGCATGTAGGTATTTATTCCATCGACTTTAAAATAATTTTAACGGATAGGGGGTCCCCACTACGGTATGTGTGAAGGGAATAAGACGTCTATCTATAGTCAGGTGCCTACGGTACAGGGGTAGCAAGCTGATGCGATTTTCCACCTCTTACCCCTATTTTCATGTTATCACACCGTCAATCACCCAATTACTTCGAAGCATATCAAGTGTAGGTATCCTCAGCAACATGAGGTACTTTACTCAGCATCAGAGACTATAGATGCCATTATTTAAAGATAAGATGAGCTCAGGTGAGGATTACCTAGAGATGGATGGTCGTTCAAATTCATATCATAATTCGTCGGTAGTTTCACCTTGTCTCAGCGTTGGAGAAAGCTGAAGCCGTTGTCAAATAATGTCATTGGCTTTACTAAGATTGTATATATAGAGCATGAATAGGCATATATTATTGATATCTACTAAGGGCTGTCATCCCACATAAGCTCTGCACGTCATTGGGGGTGATGAAGGTAAGTCCAAGTATACTTCTTAGCAGCTAGCTAAAAATATATGTATAGCCTTGACCACTTAAACCGCTTTAACTAGATGTCTAACAAAAGTGCATCTCGCTATGTAACTTAAGTATGTATAAATAGCATCTATATCATTCTCTATCTTCCGTCGAACCAACCAACCCTCCAAGCAAAGCCTGAAGTCAGAGGGTAAAGTACCAGGTGCATGGAAACTCACAGCAATTTCGTATTCCTACAAAAAGAGAAAGTATCTTAGCAACACCATGCAGTACCTCTCAAGTATCAGTTTGAGGCGATATTATACATTCACATCCCCCACCGAACAGGTCTAGAAAAGGGGTAACTCCAACACCCCGGGTGCTCTAATCTGCAAGCTGGTTCCGCACGCCGGTGCCCTATCAGGTCGATCCTCTCTTACATCATACCCTGGCAAATTGGCCAACCGAAGAGCGTCCACGTAATTACCCCTACGTTGGTTCCTCAATCATGTGGCAAGATCACATGCCACATATCTCCTCCCTACCCTATATATAGGGCCGTGATATTCCCCCGTCTGCGAATGGGAAAATCTCGACCCGCGCCCGCGCTTCAACGACCACGAACCTTTCCACGCCGCGAAACGTATGACCGCCCGCCTGGCCTATCGGAGATCCGGTCCCTCAGTGCAGATGACTCCCCTTGATAACTTTCTCGTGCAACCGACCTGCCCACCGGTAGGTAGCGCAACTTGTCCGTTCGTGAAAAGCCCGTGCAAAGTTCCGGACCGGGGAGAGCGGGAGCGACACCTATCCGTGGGCAAAAAAAGAATTCGCCCCGACACGGAAGCGGTGAGTTGTGCATGGAAGCTCTGGTGGTTGTCTGTCGTCATCGCCGTCACCAATTCCCTACCGACCTACTTTCATCTTTATTTTTTTCCATTTTTGCTTGTTTTCCTGTCCAAGCAACGCTCTATCCATGACGCATTGTCGAAATCATATCTCTCGAATCACAAAAGACTGTGTAGCCGAGTGACGTAAGGAGGGTATGGGCCATTGGTGGGCATTGGGTCTCAGGCGACGAGGTAACGAGCAAATGACATTGCAAACGCAGAAAGGTCAAAGCTTAGCTTATGACGAAGAAGCCATTCTCGAAAGATCGAAAGCACAGCACAATTCTGATCAGCTGGTCTTTCACAGGGCTTCGATCCTGGAATGTCATTGGGGTTCGCGATGCAGGCCTTACGTCTCTATAACGATACAAGGGAGAGAGTACGCATATTACTCATAGATTATACAGCCAGAACCTTGGAAATATGATTTCTAGGCGAAATGGCGGTAACCAATATGGATCCAATGGCAGACGGCATCGAGAAGCTTCTGCGATTCACCTGGCTGGGGCCGTCTCTATGTCATTGCCACTTGGTGATTGGTCGTATACGGCGAGAACAGGGAGGCAAACCAGCGAGCCCCAGAGTATATCAACAGGTATATAGGCTTCAATATGGCTACCCCTGACCACTGCATGTACCTGGTGGTCCGTGAATGCAAACTGGGAAAACCACTTTCAGAATAAAACGGTGGAAAACGCTTGTTTGTCACGGGGCCGACTAGGTAAAGGAGGTTGTAGCCATGATTTTGTTGTACGTGACAAGGAGCTCACGACTCGACTACTTGCCACTGCATAAATACGTACCTAGGTATGAACCGCTGATACACAACAACATGATCCAGAGGAACTATCAAATAACACCACTTAGAAATCTTTGTATAAAATTCATCTAATTCGTCAACTAGGTAGGTAAGCTATAGGTAATAGAAAATAGGGGGCTTAGTCACCTGCAACAGCCCTACCTGCAATGCCAAGATAATCTTTAGAATCGTAGCTACCTACATAGGTTGGTGTATTGGCGGTCTAAGCCTTCTAACCCATTACCACCCAAGCATCACCAACACATCATCGTTAGTAGGTAGGTAGGTAGGTAATTAGCCGGGTTTCCTCCGACTTCGATCCTTGTGCCTGTTCCGCCGGACGAGTTGCGTTGTCAGCCCCCAATCTATGTGGCAGTGCCCGTGGTCGGTCGGTCGGTCTGGTTCGACGACCGGTACGGCAGACCATAAGCTTAGACACCATGCCCCAAGCCTTATCATCTCGTATATGACGAACGCTTCGTAACAAGATATCACTGACCGGCTGAATTTGTGCCGTGGTTTATCGTGACTATTTCTGGGCGCTTTCTGCCAAACTACCTACCTATCTCCGTTCTAGGCAGCGGAAAGTTGTTGGTTAAGGAAGGAGCTCTTAGACCTAGGCTACTAGGTAGGTACCTGTCCAATTTCAAGTGTTCATACCCAGTATACCATTCATTAGCAGCCAAGAGCACCTAACTATACCGGATAGACAATTACTCGTACCTATGTAATACGTATTATGTGAGATATGTAGCTCTTGGTGAGCAGGAGCCGGCACATACATACATACCTAGGTCATCTTGAAGTGGATCTTGTATAGCCTCGCCTCGCCTAACCCCCCCTTAAGCTAGGTACTACTAAGCTTCACCAGCCGCCCGTATAATTTCCTATCCTCGACTAGTCGAGTCGCGGAGCCTGCCGTACTGGGCATCAGAGTTAAAGTCTGCTAACCCAGTGAACTGGGAAGTGTATAAAGGTATCATGCGGCGTCGTCTGTTTGTCTGTCTGTCTATCTATCTGCTTCATCTAGCATCCAAACAACCACCACCGAGATCTATCTACCTACCTACCTATCTCCTCACTCCAACCATAACAACCCCCCCTCTTCAAAAATGCTTCCCCTCCCCCTCCTCCTCACCACCGCCCTCGCAGCCCTCACAACAGCGCTTCCGCAGCCGCAGCCGCAGCCGCAGCAGCAACACCCAGACTCCTACGTCCCTTGCGTGCCGAGCGCCCTGGGCTGCGACGGTAACGTCTCGCAGTACTGCAACAAGGACGGGCAAGGGTGGACGCGGATCGGGACCTGCGGGGACAGGAGGTGTGATGAGGGACACTGTGTTTAGTGTCCCCCCCCCCCCCTTTTTATGTATAAAACTTGATACCCAAGTCCAACAGGCGTTTCTGATATAAGTGATCGATGTCATAATTTCTTCTTTTAACTACAATAGGTAGGTAGAATAAACACAGTTTGTTATGAACCAAAAGGGTTAGCTTTACATACTAGGTATGTACCCTTGATATCGGTTGATTGTATACCCAATATACCTAACCCAAGGAAGTTCCCTACCCAAAGTAGATGGCATGGTTAACTTTGAAATGCTCTAATAGTACTCTATCTAATAAGACGCACCCCAAGTACTTACATACCTACCTCTTACAAATCACGAGAACCAGATCCATAGCTTCACAGCGTCACACAATGCAATCAAAAGAACAAGATATCATGCTAATATGTATATTTCGTTTCGTACGTTGCATACGTTAAAAATTCGCGTAGCCTCGATCGAGCGTAGCATACCGAAGACTAATACTATTTCCTACCCACCCACCAGCTGGTCGCGAATGCTCCGCCTATCCTTCGGAGTACGTAACGCCTCGTAAATGAACGAACGGTCGAGAACGTGAAAAAAAAACAAGAGTATTCGTTGATTGCATGCCTCCTCTCTTGCAAAGAAGAAAAGATTAAAAAAAAACCCACTCCCCAAACCAGCCTGGTTCCTGGTTCCTCGCTCCTCAATATGCAAGTTATGTGTATGTATATATAAGGTGTAAATGGAAAAATAAAACAGCCAGATGACAGGGAAATACAAGCCAAAATCTGAACAACGATAAACATCTCTCATAAAAATCATGAGGTCTCGAGGGCGGTGCAGACGGCACAATATTTGTCGAGGGAGGATATGTGGGAGGAGCCCGTGAGCTTCGTGATTGGCTGTTCGACTGAGTCCGATATGGGGTGCTACTCGCAACTTTGAACCTCGAGGCAATAGTTATCCCATTCATGGAATCATCTGACTGAAAACCCAATTCGGATTGTGAAGGTGTTATGCTCCCACACGTCTCAAAATCTTCAGGTCCTGGAGAAAAAACGTATCCTGATTGGCTCGTCCACGTCCTGCCCTATGAAACCCCTTTGGAAAGACATCAGGTCGTTACTGTATTTCGTAGAATTCTTTACTCAGGTTGGTCTCCCCTTAAACGCCGGGTTCGAGCCCCCCTCCCCAAAAAAAAGAAGATGAAACAAAAAGCTGATGAAAAGCGCTTGAAAAATACACGGATGCGAGCATGGTGTAATGCGATATGCTAAATGCTATCCGGCAGAACAATGATACGCCATGTATCCCAGGCGAATTCGAAGTCGATGATATTACTCAGGCTTCAGCGCGGAGCGGGACTTCACGGAACAATTAGAAGACCTCCTCCCGGAGAGACGAGTGCAATACGTCTGCGTATTTAACCTCACTCACATCGAATTGTTGCGAATACTTCACATCCGGGAAGAACGCACGCGGTGCTTCTTCGTAATCGTCATAGTATGCCGCTCGGGGTTCTGATCGGCGGACAGAGCTATTAGGGGCTGGGTATGATTTCTTGGAGCTCCTTGGCATATCCTCTGGGAAATATGACTCTTGGATTGGGACAGTTCTCCTGTTGGAATCTACTGTGTATCGCTTGGCTTGTATCGTAGGTTCGGGGGATTGCGTTCGGTGCCCTCGACGATGGCGACGTTCGTCTTCCGATGACTCGTCTGAATATACACGAGCATGGCGAGAACGGCTCCGTTCCCGTACATGCTCGGTCTCTGGCATCCACGTAGACGAACGCGCAAGACCGGAGATTGGGCGAGAAAACCCGTCCGTATTCGCCCGGCTGAGAGGAGGTACTCGATGGTGATCCGATTGTATGGGAATGGGAATCGAATGAGACTTGTGGAAGGTGGGAATGACTCGAGAAGGGGTCGGAGATGTGGCCTCTACAATGAGCGGCTCCCGAGACGCGCTAGTCTTCTTGTGCGCGGTCTTCTCTTTTGAAGACCGGGGAGTGTCATGTGACGGACGTCGAGGTCTCCCTGAAGATCTCTTTCCCGCATCATCATCCATTGCATGTTCCCTCTCTTCCGCTACAGGAGGAGGGGTGAAAACCGCATTCGCGGCCGGCGGTGGCGTCGGAACGGCAATAGGAGTAATGTGTCGGACGTTAAACTCTGCATGGTACGTCTGCGCTCGGCCTAGAGCTGGCGGGTTTCCACCTGATCTGCTTAAGTAGCGAATTGCAGACTCCAAAGTCTCTGAATTTTTCCTTTCGCGGTCCGTAGCCGGAGGTCGACTAGTTTCCCGGGGGGGCGGCGGCGCTGCTGCTGCTACTGGTGGCGCATCCTCAAACTTCCGGCTGCTGCTCGACTTCTTTTCGGTCTTGGATGACGAAGAAGTGTAGATGGCTTCTTCCTCGGGGTAACCCTCTACATAGGGAGTCTTGTTGTGACGACGGTGCTTATCGTCTGTATCCTTGCGACGCTCCTTATCACTTCTCTTCTTCTCGTCCTTTCGGTCGTCTTTGCGCCTGTCCTTCTCTTTCTTGGCTGATTCTCTCTCCTTCTCCCGCATGGCCTCCTTTTCGCGCTCGCGCTCGCGATCCTTCACTGCCTCTCTAATCTTCTCCTCCTTATTTCTCGCCTTCTCTCTCTCACGGTTCCATTCCTCGTCTTCTTTTCGTCTCCGACGCTCCTCTTCCTTCCTAGACGGCTTCTCTCTCTCATACTCATAGCTCTGAGTCTTTCTCGCATAGCGAGGCTTTTCGTCGAACCTCTTGGCGTAGATGTCCTCGTCCCAGGAACGCGACGGAGGCGTGTGGCTGTAAACATTGTGAGAACCAGGCGAGGTGGCAAAGGTTGACGGTCGTGGCTCAGCATCGCGAATATCCACGTTGGAGTAGTATTTCTTCTCATGTCTCGTAGGGCGGGGAGACGAAGTCGAAGCAGATGCCATGCGACTTTCCCGCTTCAGTTCTTCAAGTTTGACCTGATCATCGTATTTATTCCTCTCGGTCTCGTTGCTCAGCAACTCGTAAGCCTGTTGGACTTGTTGGAACTCCTTTTGCTTCTCCTCCTTCAGTTGTGCGTCTTGGATCTTATCGGGGTGGCATTTCAGCACAAGCTTCCGGTGAGCTGATCGAATCTCTGACAACTGGGCATCTTTAGACACACCAAGGGCCTTGTAAGGGTCAGGGGGGAGCGGTGACATGATGTTTCCAAGATTAATGTCGTGGATGAAGAATGAATTGAAGAAAAAGAGCGTGTCGCAACAGCTCTTTAGAAGTACGCTTCCTGTGGGGTCTGTTGTTTGGGTTGGTAGGTACCTAGTAGTCGCTGGGACGACCAGAAAAGACGGTGACGAGAACGAGTGGAGACTTATTGCATGAAGACCATGAGACAAGACTGGCAAGCCTGCGGTGAAGGGTGGATCGATCGGAAGAATCCCCGTTTGATACGATATGCGCGTGACACAGCGGGTAGGTAAGATAAAGATGGATGAGTTGAATAAATGATGTAAATTGTAGTAGAAGATTCAAGTGTGTAGGTTCAATGTCAATGTTGTTGGTATGGTACCTAGGTATGTATGAAAATAAGAATAATAAATGATAAAAATAATACACGGAGCCGGGTCCAGAGTGTAAATATGCACTGCCTTGGCTTAAATTGGAAATGAAGGAAGACCGAATTCAATTAAGAACTGGCCGTAACACGATCAAGCTGGGTGAGAGATTAATCCATATGACATATGCAATCTCTTACTCGTGCTAAACGAATCGAAAGATTGGGAGACGAGCTATGATGTTTGTTGATGTTGGGCTGTTATAGAAGTGGCTTGATGAGGTCACGGAATGGGGGGAGGATGGGAATTGGAGAGGAGAAGAAATGGGAAGGGGAAGGGAATGGGGGGGTTAAAGTGTAAGGGTGGGAAAGATGATGATGATATGAAATAGATAAAAGATAGAAGATACTATGTCAGAGCATACATATGTAGGTAATGTATAATGGGTATAATGTATAGAGAGAGAGAGAGATGAAGACTAGATAGAGTGAGACCAGGGGGTGAGAAGAGAGAGAGAGAGAAGGACAGGAGTAATGTATGTAGGTAGTAGCAATGAGGATGAGTGGTGAGGGTAGGAGTGAGTATACAAAAAAAGTGACGAGCTGTTTTTTTTTTGAGGCTTGACGGTTTTGACGGTTGACGGTTGACGGTTGTTCGCACTCTTTTTAGAATAGTAACGGATAGATGGGGGTGGAAGGAGTGTGTACTTCAGTACCTAGTACTTAGTTACAAGTACTATATGTACAACTTGCATAGTACAAGGTACATACATAAAAGTGTACTTAGTACCTAGTACCTAGATCAGTGCAGATGCCAGGATAGGCCTGTACTTGGGTACTTGATGTGATAAAAAAAGGAAAGTTAGCCACCTCTAGGGCTGTTTTTGTGTCTTTCCTGCCACTTTAGCCACTTCTGGTCCCTCTTTGGTCCAAAATCGACAGGGGGATTTGACGATTGACAGTAGGCGATTGGTAGTTAGTAGTTACCACTTAATAGCCAGCTACTACCATAGGTCGAATAGAAGGACGGGTTTTTGGGGGGAATTTGCCTCCGGGAAAGGGATCGTCTCCTGTCCTTTTTTGACAAGCGGCCGGCCGGTTTTCTTTTTAGCGTTTTACTGTTGGCGCGCCAGGCCTTAGGGGGCACCGTTTCTAAAGGGGGGGGGGGATAACAGGTACCTCCACGCTCTAAGGCCGTCGTCAAAACTCAAGTGCTTGCGCCAATGCTTAGTAGGTACTAGTGCGCTATAAGCGAGTGGGGTTTTGGATTCTTTTAGGGTGTTGAATCTGTCGATGCGGTACGGTCGAGGCGGTTACGGGTACAGATTGAGTTGACACCTGAGCTTATGTATGTAGTATGGGCAAGTTGAACCTTGGAAAGTACTCTAGATAGGTACTAGCAAGGTACCTAACAAGGACAGGCCTTGCAAATTAGGGTGTCTCTTCTCCTGCAACTTTTCAAATGTACTGCGCGGCCTTGCGCTTTCAACTGCACTTCAGTGCTGCACTGCACCGCACTAGGTACTACTATGTTATGTACTGCGCTGCAACGCAACCCTAGGGCCTAGGTACGAGGCAGCGGAGGACGAGGGACTTTCTTCAACGTGGCGAATTCGTGCTAAGCCGAGGTACCCGTGCCGCACTAATCAAGTACCTGTATTTGTGTACGTCGCAGGATCTGCAGAGCATTGAAGTCTGAAGTGGTAAATGCCTGTGCAGGTGATACCTCTAATAGCAGTACTATGTATGTATGTACTAGGTACCCTAGGTAATGGATGTATCGTATGTACGAGATGGAACGGGACGGAATAACGGTAAATATAAGAATAAAATATAAGAATATAAAAAGTATCGTGATCGTTTTATGGTTAATCAGTCAGTTGGCCAGTTCAGTTAGTTACAGTACCGTACTATGTATGTCTCTCCTTTTCAATGCTTATCAAGGTGATAAGATGTTCCTTATGGATTCCACCAGGGGAACCACCTTAGGTAGGCACCGGATTACACCGCGTCGGAGATGCCAGAGGCCCAGCACGAGACCGCCGGGGGGGTCGGAAGTCAAGGGATCCGAATACAGAAAACGACCTACTATGTAGGCAGGCAGTCTTAGGTAGGCGGATGTGGATGTCTTAGGTAATACCGAACGGCGATGTGTAAGACTTGATCAAACAAGATGTTATGTTTAGAAAGGGCAGTATAAAGTAGGTATGTAATCCGTGGAGCCAAGTAACGTTGATGTAAGATGTAAGATTGATAGGCGTAATGTAAGGCAAGGTAAGGCAAGGTAAGGCAAGGCAAGTAAGTCAAGGTTATGTCTTGCTTGTACGGGATGACCAGCGTCCAGATGGAAGGAAGACAAATAGAATAATAGAATAATACAAATAGGATCCGTTCACAAACGTGGTTAAAGGTAACGGTCTTGGCCCAAGCTGGTGGGGATATCGTCACAAATCGTGGGTGGATGCAAGTCGACGTGTACTAATACAGACGAAGTCCCAGGTTACCAGGTAGGATTGAGAAAGAAGTGAAGCTGGTGAATATGGTGTATGAATGTAAATTATTGTGATAATTGGAAATAAGTGTATGTATAAGTGTATGTAGGTAGAGATAGGTGCAATAGAATAAGATACGAAGGGAAATATGATGTAGTAGGGTCACTTCAAAAGGGAATTTCCAAGCAAGTATAAGACTGAATCGGCCATCCAGAATCCTCAATGCAACTGTGACCTGCCAATGCGATGGACAATGAATGACGACAAAAAGAATTTAAATCTGAGAAATGACTTATTAGAAAATAAATCGCGCTCTTGAGATGAATAAATGACGACAATAGAATTAATCTTGAAGCATGTAGGTTGGACAATTGATGCCCAGATATGAAAAAATTGAAAATTAAAAAATTAAAAATAACTGAAGTGGTGGCCCCCTTCGTCGATGGCGAAGTGTGTGTGTGTGTGTGTGTGTGTGTAGCTAACGACGACGATGGTGCGGTGCGGTGCGGCGCGGCGCTGTGTGGTGCGGTCGCGGTGCCGATAGATGCGATGCTATCCCTAGGTACTATAGTAGTAGCTTGGGTTGCCTTTTCTGCTCTACGATCGCTACTTAACTTGGCTTCTTCGTGAACCAATGGCCCCGGGCCAGGCCTTGGTGTAAGTCGAAAGCTTGGGTTACTCAATAGCAAGCAGTGACGGATAGTGGCAATAAACGCAAGTGATGGCCGATCCAGCAAACCGGATCAGGCACCCGGTGCGTAAATTCACGATGTGATTTGGGTTTTGGAGTTTTCAGTTTGATATACTGGTAGTTGGGAATGGGACCGCCCTTTTTTGATTCTTTCCCATTCTTACCATAAGTCAGTCGGAACATTTAGATTATTCAGATTGACGGAAAAGCAAGTGGAGAGCGTTTACTACTCCAATGTAGGCACATATTGTACCATATTGTACCTATCAGCTCCAGCAGAACTATCTCACATAGTATGCTATCTAATGTATGTACTACATTATATGTATGATATATGTATGTATGATGCATGTATCAAAAACCTGTGTGGTATGCAGGCTTGTATGGAGAGAGTCTTGGTATCACCCGCGTTCGAAACCAGCGGTGAAGGTTGATATACCCTTTCTTCTCCAACATTCTTCCGCCGTCTCGTCCTCTATGTAGGTAACATCTCCTTGTACGATCATCCAAGTCACTACTAGTAGCTATAGCTGAGTTGAGGACAAGTTACTAGGCCAGGTATAAGATGATCAATTACAAGGCTAGCAAGGTAAATAGGAGCAATTCGCGAATACCAGACAACTTACAACACCAACTAAGTATGCTCAAACTTGCGACAAAGCGGACCGTGATAGACAACATAAACAACTATAGCCATATAGCGCCTACGAAATTATTGTCATCGGCGAAGCAGTCCAACCCTATAGAGCTAGTTGCAGTCTTGCAGCCCGAACTAGACGGGCTCGGAGCATACTATCGTCGGTCTCTGCTCGTGGGGACAAGTCGTTGCCATGACACCCTGAAGGATTCTCGAAAAGTTTAACAAGCAGAATATAGCATGGGGGTTTCTGAGTTTGGATTATCTTTCTTGCCTTTTTGCACAGTGCCTCTCGAGTCCTGCTCCTTGATCCGGGTAATAGGCGCAGCTGTCACCGGTCTCCGTCCGACTGGGCGAACGAAGCCCATGTTGGAGTATTAGGAGTATTATAGTGTGACAAGCTGTCAAACAGGCCAAACAGGACGCTCCTATGGCCCGTTCAATTCTCATTCCATCCGCGTGATTCCTTTTTTTTTCTTTTTCTTTTTCTCGCTGGCATATCTTCATCAATTAAGCCACGACAGTTAAGCACTCTTTCCGTTTTGATATCCCAGGTATAATGCAAATAGGTCTATCACTTCATCATCCGAATGTTCATTCGATCCGTGACCTTTCGCAACGATCTCGAGGCCTCAAGGGGTTAGGATGAAAGCGACTTGGCCGCTATCGTATGGTCATGATGGATACGGCACCTTTCCCCTTTTGTTCTGACCCTGCAGCTAGGTGATACCTAGACAAGTACTCACATCCTCTATGAATTCCCCAACTTGGAAGCCTTTCATCAGTAGCTTGCGTCTATTGGGTTGAATCGACCTATCGTTTCCCCCCCCTAAGTCTGCGTTCGTGATAGGCACAGCAGACCCAATGGGCCCTGCGGCCATCGACCAGTTATTGAGGACCACAGAGGCATGCTAATTTTTTCTCTCAGGTTGCATCAGCCATCACAAAACCTACTATTAAGTTGCTTGTCACACTCGCATCTTAATCGAAAAAGAAAAAAGATCGAAAAATGGAAAGGGTTGGCTATGTTATCTGCATGTGTCTCTCGTCGAAGGAAATTGGGGAACCAATTGAATTCTTGAACATAAAAAGCAGGTACGTAGGAGTGCCGCATGGGAGTAAAAGATGGTGGTGTGCGGCTACACCGTGAGGAAAGCGTGATCACGATCTATGCGTTGCTTACAGCTCGTAGCGTTCCTTTGACGGGCCTACATGAGAGAAAAAAAGGTTGCACGAGGCCTTACCATCTGGCCACGAATAAGAAGGTGGTCTGGTGCAATAGGGTGGTTTGGGAGGTCAGACGGGAGCATTGAAGGGATTGGTTTGTTAAAGAGGGGGAGCCAAGGGAGCTATAGCATAGGTAGGGCGAGCCAGGAAGCTAATAGGTAATAGGAGATCTAAGCTCTGAGCCAATCGTCTGTCAATATAGGTGCCCAGGTGGATATAGATCAGTGTTACGGAACAAACCCACGCTTCGGCCAGAGCCTTGGGCGGGCTCGAGTATGGCTACGGCTATTTACCTACAAGGTAGTTATGGTCGAAGTGGACAATTTTTGGTTGTCCCATTACCAACCACTACCAACACAGAGGCTCGTGGGTCAACGGGATCATTTCCATTCTCATCGATTACTTCGGAGTCTAAGAAGACGTATTTGGCTGGCTTTCTTTTGGCTTCTAGCTTGACTGGTTCGTCGAAACCCCACCAGATGTAGGTCAAGCCAGTCTCGTCGATAAACGTGTGTAAGTGAAAGGTTAGCCGTTTGCTAGACCGGGGTGCTGCTTGTCTGCTTGTCTGATCTACTTGGATCTTCCCCTTATCTTAAAAGAATTCCCCTCGCGTAAGAATCAAGTTCAAAAGGCCGATAGGAGCTTCGTACGGAATCGTACCTAGAGCTATGTACCTCACTCAACCTATGTAAATGGGTATTTTCTTTGGTTACCACGAAGCTATGCTCATGTATATGTATCCATATGCTTATGAATTATGCATCACAGCCAGCAATTGCCCATGCAGGATGCGTCCTGGACTCCTGGCTGGCTGGTATGTACCTAAGTATGATAATACATAATCTCTCCGATTTGTCTTAAGCCGGAATGATGTGCGTGATCATCCTTGTCTGGTCTCCACGATCTCCCCCCCTCGCTTCTTTTCACCTGTCTACTATTTACATAGTACGTATGTAGGAGGCGGGGGCGGGGTCGATGATGAGTTCATCGTCAGATCGTCAAGCCATAATGTATGTATGTAGGTATGTACCAACATATGGCCGAGAGATAAGCTCCAGCGTCTCTTGTTTGCTATTTGACTACTTACCTAACCTAGTAGGTATGTACTATGTATGTAGGAAACCCGCGAACCTCGCTTCAAGCCTTCGCGCCCTCATAAAGTCTGGAGCTCTACATATGGGAGCTAATTAAGGAGCTTCAAGGAATCCCCTTGATGAGCTTTTCGTCATCCCACGGCACCGCCCGCTATCCTGTCTGGGTCATCCCGGGAAATCTCTCTGCGAAGATGAAAACGTGACAAATGTGAACGAACGTGACGAGCATATACCATCCTAATATGAACTAAGAAGGACAGGAAGCGCAGCTATTCGGGAGGTGTGCCTGGCGATTTCCCGTCACAAAGTGCAACATGACGCAGGGTCATCATCCTCTCTTCAAGCGACGCATGGTCGGTGAGGGATAAGCCAAGCAAGTGCAAACTCGCCATTCGCGGGTTTGTCCTTTCTTACACCTACTACAATGAGGTGAGGCTGCTTCAGGATGCTAGTTCCCGAACTTGGGTATGCAGCTAGGCCTTCTTGTTTGACTCCTTCGTCTCATCTTCAACATAGCTGCATAGATGCGTATCGCAATAGGCTGCATAGCTCGGTACATAGGTCTGAAGCTACGTATACAATGTATGTATTATATGACAATATGTACAAGGGCCATGGCTATATGTATCTAGTATTACTACATACTAGGTAGTAATTACAGATGCGCCATCCTCGAAGCTCATTCGAAGCCGTAGCTCCCATTGGAATGGACCCGCATGTCAATAGAAGAAAAAGCGGTGCAATGGGATTCTACACATGATACATATAAATGTATCTACTTATGTAGGAACTTGTCCTAAGAAACTTGGCTGAATAGCAGGTATCTTGCTATCACGCATGAACTCGGAGGTATTGGACAGCTGCAGATGCTAGCTTCCCCTCGATCATCCACTTTCAGCATCGTGATAGGTAGAAATTCATCATGCACGAGAACTCGAATTTTCATTGGCTATGTTATCACGTAACGAAGCGCTTTAGCCTACCAAAAAGGTGCCCCTCTCGGAGAACGAAGCAGCCAAACCAGTCATGCACGCTTCCTTTGCACGAGGGCTAGTGGTTTATAACAAATCCCTCGAGAAAGCTAGATAGGAGAGTACTTGGTCATCCCCCTCAACCCACTGTACATTATATTATGTATAAGTCTGCCAGGACTAACAATCGACTTACATATTCAAATCCCCCTTCACTGGCCTTCCATGAACTTTTCTCCTCTTCATCGTTTCCGCCTGTAAGATCCCCCCCGCATTGGAAACCACCCCTTTTCGCACCTACATATCATAACCAGGCTTTGCTCAAACCCGGCCCTGTCAGGGCCCTTCATACATGAATTAGTATCCACGTAGTCCACCACGTACGTCCGTAGCTAGGAATTCATTGCTGCATAATCGTATTCTAGGGGATAATGGCCAGACAGAAGTGGACTTCTAACGACTGGTCGGCACATCCTCCTGTAAGCCCAGTGTGACCCTAAATATTGAGGTTTAGATTCCCATTGGGATGCAATATACATGCACCTACCTACCTACCCTGCTACCTAGGTACCTACATGAGTACCTATAGCTGCATAATACCGGCTATCGGAGGTGCACTGGAATGGAAAACCTAGTGGTGCCGATATTCCACGATCTTCTCCTCCTGCTTACCCACAAACCTATCCGCTTGCCGCCCTACGGCGCCATGTTACGATGCTTTAAGGGGGAGGATTATCTTCGAGCACCTAATTGGTTCTACTGTCTAATGTTGGCGACTACGTACATACTTCGTAAAGAATAGTTGCGTGCAACTATAACACTCCCTCCAAATTGAGCATCGTATAGGTACTAGACAGTGTGGTTGGATGGGTCGGCTTTCCGTTGTCCCGTTAGAGCCCTTCCTATTTTGTGTTGTCCTGCGGACATATCTGATTTATCAAATATTCCCTTGCTGCGTTCTGTGTATAGGTAATGCAAGGTGCTGGCGTATTGTGTTATCTTGGGTAACGTATGAACTCGACAGACGAAGAAAACTTGCATCTGAAAGGACTATATGTCTGACCTCACTTTCAGCTCGGTGCTCAGCTACACGACCAAGGATGCGTTTCATCATTCCCTCATACCTACACCTGGTCGGGATATTCATAGTAAATCAAAGCGGTGCGTAGAGGTTGGTTATACAAATAGCATCACAAACACAAGTGACTATTCGTGGACCAACCTAGGTGAGCTTCGGCATTCATCGGCTTGTAACTTTGTATGGACATCATCAGGCTGAACCAAACGAGCCCGATCTTGTCTGAGGGCCACGACATTGAGAAACATCCACAAACGAAGATCGGAGACACCTAGACTACCGACATGGTGGTATTGAAATTGGCTTTTTGGGGGGTTTTCTTTTGCGCCTGATACCTGGATTCAAGACACACACGCGCACACACACACCCCCCAACAACTTTGGGGTGAAACATGACAACATCGATATTCTTATCGAAGAATCGATCAAATGAAGCAAAAGGGCTCTTGATCAAAAGAAATGCCGCTTGTCGCAGATGTGCGCGCCTCAGCCCGAAAGTCGTAGAGGGAGCCCTTGCCACTATCATAACTGCGCCTTTCTTCCCGTGATGTAATTTGGTAATATATTATTCATCCCTACTTCGTATAACCTAGGCGATTTACTGTAAGGAAGAAAGAAAAAGGCGCAGGGTTTCCTAGGTAATTGGGCAGAAACAGAACGCGCAGACAGGGACCGGCGCAGCAAATATACCAGTAGACCGGTTCGGTTCGTATCTAGGAGAGTCCAAGGGTTGCGCCATCACAATAAACTAAAGAATAAATCTGTAAACTGCCGATTTGACCTGGGATTTGAAGTCCCCGCCATACGCGAGATTCGTATGTGGAATATGGGGCGAGCGAAGCACAGCCTCAGTGGACGCCCGACAACTCCGGAATGCCTAGATCATTATGAATCATCAACCCACACAGGCAAGTCGATGTCAACCACTATGGGTTTGTGCAACCTTCGTGGCCCTGAATGCGGATAGCTTGTTGCCTGGATGGCACAATTCACAATACACGTCTCCTTGCGACCGAGCCTCTCGGAGAGTGCTACCTGATCACTCCGTGCTGATGTCGGATCCCCGCTAAGACCCCGGATGCCAATGCCCGGTTCCGCACCCTCCGTCACGGACTCCATGGTGGCCCCTGCCGCCGTAGTTGTGGCGGATCCATCGGTCATTCGCACACCTGGACCTGGTGGCGATGATGATGACGATGATGACACGTTACTGCCGTCGTTATTCAAGGGCATTCCACCCTTGGCTGTAAGATCGACCAAGCTGTTCTTTTGATTTCCTACGCCTGGATCATTCCATTGATAAGTGTTTGGCATCTCTTTGTATCGTACGAATTTGTTACGGAGGTCCCAATATACGCGCTCGACGCCTCGCCCTTCGTGAACGTGTCCGCAGATCGCGAGGCGAGGCCGTACCCTCCACATTGCTTGTCGCAAGCCCTCGCACCCTATCGCTACCCTGCCACGGGATTCGTCCCGGTGCGTATGAGCAGGCCCATGGGTGACTAAGACGTCGGTATTGAGGGGTATATCCTTCCATCTATTTTCAGCCACAGCGTCGGAATGGGAGTACTGGAAGGCCCAGTTGCCGCAAGCGGGGACATAAGGTGACCCGAATATGGAGAAGGTGGTCCGAGGACCAGATGGAGACGTAAGTTGGATCGTGCGACTGGAGTGCTGGAGGTATATGAGGGACTTGGACTGTGTGAGTAAGGTCTGGCAGTCGATAGGGTTTTGGGGATTATTATTGTGGAAATAGTTCCCATATTGTTCGTAGAAGTCGGTATCAAGAGTGAGGTCATGGTTCCCAGCAATGACTAACTTGCACTCAAAGTCGGCGCTCTCGAGCCAGGCGATCTGCTTTGACAGCTCACCGAAACTCCCCTGGTTCGTCAAGTCTCCGCAGTGGATCAGCACATCGCCCTTTGGAAGTTTCACCGTACAGTTGTGTGTGTCTGATATGCAGACAAAGCGCGTCCGCCGAGTCTGTTGGATTGTTGAGGGATACACAACTAAGCCACCCATGGCTGTTACTGTTTGATGATGTTATGTAAGTGAGGATATCTGCATAGCTGCTGCGTCATCTGTGGTCTTCTTCTTTTGCTGTGTATGGGAATTGCCGCTTTCTACCCTCTCTACCTACCCTAGCAGCTTAGCAGCCTAACAGCTCTAGACACCCTTCCGTGTAGGTAGAGATGGCATTATCGCCATTCAAAGCAGACATACCAATATCCACCGAGGCAGCGTTGTCAACCTATTGCGTGTAGTGTAAATACATAGTATGTATGTGACAGGGACTGCTAAACCAAGTTTGGATAGTTATTGAAATACGTAGGGTGGTTAACTAAGGTTAGAGTGTCAAGAGTGTCAAGAGTATCAAGAGTATCAAGGGTGTTTACTTCAAGTTCCAAGTTCCAGCGTTCAAAGTTGAAGTTTGCTTGATACATGCAGGTGGTAGTTAATTCAATGTTACGTGTTTGTAGTAACTTTGTCATAGTGTATGAGATAATACCTATTCTTGGTAGGTATGTACTACTAGTAGTACCAGGTGCCCTAGCTGGCTGCTAAATATATCATTTTGATACCTGGTAAGTGTTAAAATAAAATTAAAAGGAAGGGAATTGATGAAAATAAAAATATCAATGTCATTCATTCTCTTGTGTGGTACAAAAAAAAGCATAGCTCGGTCCCGCTGTACGAGAATGAAGGGGTTGTTGGTTGCAGGTTGCATTGGCTAAGTTTCTAGCCTTCTAGAATACAGTTTAGATATGACAAGCTTCAACTGTATCAATTGGCGGTGGAAGATATGGTGAGTACTATGTGAGGACAGTACAGGTTTCTCGGAGTATCGCCTTATTGACCCCGCGCCGGTGGTAACACAGCATCAACATCAATGAAGAGACCAATGAAGAGACCAATGAAGAGATCAAGGACTCTACTAAGACCCGTCAAACTTGGGCTTGGTGTTGCACTCTTATGTTGTATTTCACAATGCCGTTTATTAAATTCAGGGGCAGACTAAGCCATATCTGCTTTAGCGTATCTAATAGGTACATACTAGTATTTCGTGCATATTATCTGATTAAGTACCTACCTGGTATTTATGTATGTAGTATCGACTATCGAGAGGGAACCTGCGATGAACTAAGCATCTGAGGATCTTGTTTAACTAGTTTCTTCTAGAAAATTATCAGCTTGTCAGCTCATGTGGATGTATTATCCACTCGAATATGTATGGAAGAATTCCAAGGTCCAATGTTGATATTAATGGTATAATGGTATAATGGTTGATCAAACATTAAACATTGAAATTTAGTTACATAAATGTGAACACGAAGTTACATAACTACATAGTAGTACTATATATATACATACCTATCCTAGGTAGGTATAAAACTAATTATACGTAGACGATAAAAGTCTATCCCCCGGTAGATACCTAAAATGAAAGTTTATGCATGGGAAAGTGGCAGTCTCGGACCAACCAGCAGCAGCAGAACAATTCAAGGTTCGAAGCTAGGTGCTCTCTTCAATCTTACCAAACAGCCCAAAGTAGAATGGACCAATCCCCTTTCCGCATGCATCTCATCGTCCATCCCGACTTTCCCAGCCCTGGACCACTAAAAGTAGGTACCTATTGTGTAGTGTAGTACATACTACATACTACATACTCATAGTACATAGTAACTAGGCAAAGCTGCAAAAACTGCAAAGTAAACCATTTCAGCCAGTAAAATCGTAAAAAGCAACTTGAACATACCCTGGCAGGCTGAAGAACAAACTGCTGCACTGCACTGCACCTTGTGCACAAGTGGACCACAATTATTTCCTTCTGCTGTACCACGCCACGACGCTCCTTAACCAACTTTCCAATTCAGCCATTGGCCTTTCTTCACCTCATTGCATTGCACTGCCTAGACATCCTCTTTTTTTCTCTTCTTCCTTCTTTCCCTTTCGTGGTCCAGTCTACGAGTCTGCCTCCCTTTAGGAGTTGGCACCGGCACTCCCATGAGACCAACTACTCTGCCCTATTAGTTCCAAACATAGGGCGCGTGAAAAATAATCATCACGTTAGGAAACAAACTTCACCAACGTGTTAAGGTCAAGAGTGCGGATACCGGGAGAGATCATCTTCGTGATAACTCAACAAAAGACCAGGGGGGGAAAGGGAAAGGAAAAGGATAAGGAAAAGAAAGAATCTGTCCAGGTGTCTGTCTTGGTGTCTGTCTCTGGGACAGTAACTATTCCGCCATCATCAGTTTACGAATCCGATATGAACGATCGCCAGGAAATCTTGCCAAGATACGAATTGAATTGACATCAGTTTCCTACCCGAAAACCTATCTCGTCACTCTTTTTCTTCTTCCAGTTTTGCAGCTACAGCTGCCGTCTTCACGACCAATCTTCGTCGAATTCCCTAATCACAAAATTTGACAGCCGCTGGCGATTGCTGCATTTTATCTTGTCATAAGAAACAAGCCTACCACTTTCATCACTGCTTTCATCATCACGACTATCGTGACCTTTTCCGACTTACCCATTCTCCTAATATCCTCCTCCCGCCTCCGCAATCGCGTAACCTAAGATCGAACGATAGTGTTAATCGACACTCGGTATTCTGGCATCCTTTTCCCTAGCCAAGTTACACAACGTCACATTCGATACATCCACTCGCTTCCCTCGACTGATAGCATCTCCTGTTGCACTAGTGCGCTCTTGCCCGTAGTGATCGTTGCTTAACTTGCGACATGGCGGCCATGTCAGCCGTCTCGGGTACCACCACGCTTACTCCCCCAACTAGCTCGCATGGAGACCATTCAGGATGGAAACACCCATCCTCCAGCCATCATGATGTGAGTCTCATAGCATTATGATCCATTTCTTTGGATCTAGCTACTCAATAAGGTCTCCACTGGAGCTTATTACTAGTCTTCTAGTTAGAACTAACATCACACAGCGGTCTATGTCAAATAAATTATCTACAGACCGACATGAGATTAATGGCCATGTAAGAGGACGACCAGGTTCCCAGGATGAGGACGACCAACACTTAATAGGCAGCCACCTATCTAGCAAAGGTGAAACACAATTTTCAGGGTTCAAATACTGCTAAAGGAAGTTAACTGATGACAAAAGCAGATCCTCGCTCAAGCCAGTCCACATCAATATCTGATCACAAGCGCCCCTATGCCGATGTTTCATCCTCAAAACTTGACGACGAGCATTCGAAATGGATCCACAGAGATAAACTAGCCAGGATTGAGAATCAGGAACTCCAGGCCGCCGGTATTGTGCTACCCAAGTCGAGAGCCACGAGCAGATCACGACGTGATCGTAGTCAGGACAAGAATGGACATCGACGAGCCGCGGATGGTTCAGATCAGCAGCACTTCAATACGAGATCTCGAAAGAATTCGGAGCTGAGCCTTGATAGGCCTTATGATATTGAAGTCCCCAGCTGGGACTTGCGTCTTCCCGAGGAGATAGCGGAGGATCCTGGTGAGTATTGGGTAACGAGAGACACAGGAAAATCCCGTATCCCGGTAGCGAAGGTTAGCCCGGCGCCAGTCCCTGTCGACTATCTGGATCGAGACTCACCTGCTGCGCGAAAGCCCAGCTTCTCTTTACCTGACGAAGATAACTCAATTTCGCTGCCAAAACCCCGACCACGCAGTCGTAGTGCCAATATACTCGACACTCCGAAGATACAGCCCAACAAACGCACTGTGACGGAAGGATCGCCTAAGAAGGCGACACCTGGAGCTAGGAAAGGATCTACGGCGGCCAAGTCAGTTGCGCAAAGCCGACCTAAGGCCAAATCTGGCGTAACTTCTCGTAGTGGTTCCAAAACACGGCCAACAACCAGATCAGGGGAGCTATCCCCTGTGTCCAAGTCCGCCCCCGAAGGTGACCCGCCATGGATGATCTCCGCATATAAGCCTGATCCACGACTACCACCAGACCAGCAATTACTTCCTACAGTTGCGAAGAGATTACAACAAGAGAAGTGGGAACAAGAAGGCAAATTCGGGAATATATACGACAAAGAATTTCGCCCTCTCAACGACGATGTATTCACAAGACCTCCCGAGCTAGACAAGCCAAAGGAAAGCGAAGAGGAGAAGCAAGACGAATGGCCTTTACGAACCGAAGCTAAGAGCCCGACTCTAAATCGTGCTGGCCCGAGTTCTTATTCAACAATGCCTAGGATACAAGACAAGTCTGGGGCCAGCCCTCTTCCGAGTCCGGTAACGATGCAACACCAGCAGCAGCAGCAGCAGCAGCAACAACAACAGCAGCAATATCAACATCACCAGCAAGCCCAGGCTGAGCAGAACCCTATAATACCAATCGAGATAGAGCAACCTAAAGAAGAGGAAGAAGAAGAAGAGGCGAAGAAGTCGGGCTGTGGTTGCTGCAGTGTAATGTGATTGGTCGGGCGCGACTCACATCAACCTAATTCCTGGTTCTTTTCTATAATTTGCGAATAATATCGTCGACATGGACGTAGGCAAATGATGAGACTAGACCTGAACGACGTTACGACTCTAGGCACTCGACAAATATCCAGCAATGTTTTAATTAAGGTTTCCAACATATCGTCCTTCAGAACCGCTTTTCTTTTGTTGGCGGATCAGTATCTATCACTTTTAGATTCAGTCTGCATTCCGTTGCCCAGCACACCATTTCTCAAAATGCCACATCCTTTACAAAAGGCTAGACTGGAAGTTACTCTATTTTCAACTGTTTACTATTGCCTTGCCCCCTGCCCCTCCACACAATTACTATCAGCACGGTTACTGGCGTTTGTAGGTTTGGACAGAATGTCCGGAGTAGCAGGATGTACATTGTTTTTTTTTCTACAGGAGGTACAGGTTGCCTTTGCATTGGCACCGCATTTGATTTGACTGCTGTATAATAGGTCCTCTACTTCGTTCTCCGTTAACGGGTTTTGAGTTGCTCTTCCCAGGAGAGTAAAGGGGTCTGACTACTGTGCTTCGGTTTCAAGCGTGGAGGATGTTTCGAGGACTGTGGATAGAAATGGACAGAACTACTTAGCGAAAAGAACCGAGTGTGCATGGGCAATCCATCGGTCACGAGAAGAAGATGGCATGAGTTGAGTTGTCAATCGTCAGCTAGGTGAATTTCAGATACCCTATCCTAGCGGGCAAAAGTTACTTAGGAAACCTGAGCGAATACAAATCTTATGTCAACTTATGACTTTGCCATCTTACAGTTTCGTTGCCTTTCAAGTCCAAGTGTTTATAGAAAAAAAAGTGAACTGAGCTATTTTTTCAGGCGTGGCGTACTTTTTTGGATTGTATATGTATGCCTCGTGATAAAAGAGATGTGTCTATGGAGGATTTTACTAAATTATGGGAAGAGCATGATCTAGATTGTTACATAGTACCTGCCTACTAGGTAGGTAGGAGGTGCCTAATAAATCAAATAACACCTAGGCACCTATATATCAGAAAAAAATGTAGAGCAAAGACCAAAGACCAAAGGGAGTTTGACTTGGTAGATATTCATCGTGTGCCCACTTGCTGCCTGTATTTTATTCACCGTACCTAATACAAACTAGGTACAGCGTGACACACAAAAAGAAAGGAGAAAGATACTCCTCGTAGCATATCGGCCTTGGGTGCCTTTCAGGGGTTCCCTAGAGCCTGGAAATGCAGCGAACTTGCGCCCAACAACCGACGGACCAACAGCCCTGCCTAAACAAATTCTAGGAATTTCTGATAAAGATGACGGGGGAGTTCCCTTGAGGTAATAGTACCAAGGACTTTCGTGTGAGAAAACGGCAGGTAGGTAGGTAGGTAGGTAGGTAGGTAGGGTATCAATGAGGTTTAAGCACAAACAACCTCCTTACAGCCTCTGGGTGTGCCTTAGTTAACCCAGCACCCATGGGGTTTGGGGTCTTTCAGGCCTGGTGATTGGTGATGATGGCCTTCAGTATATGCAGGGTGACAAGGCATCTCATCTCACAGCCTTAGGTTGCTAGGCAGCTTAGCATGTAAAGCTGGGTAGATATATAGGCTGGGTGCGCATATGGTATGGACTTCCTCTCTGTATTACCTACAGCCCACACACACACATCTTGACACAGAAAACAACACAGAAGCAGAAGAGACCACACAGACCTATTATACACACACATCTCTGCCATCATGACTCCCTCAACATGTGGCTTTGGCCCCTATATAGATAAAGCACCGGCTCGTGGATCTTTAGACCCAAGCACGAGCTCGTCCAGCCCTTACTACTCGCGTTTTCTTCAAGAACAATCACGGCTATCTTACCAGACGCAGCCGACGCAAGAGAACTCCTCCCCAGGCAGCAACCACCACTTATTCAATACCGGTCTCGGCGGTCCCAGTAGCGCAGTAGCAGCAGTTCCGAAGCCCGACACCAAACCATCGGATCTTCCCCACGACTTAAGGCCTACCTCCGCCATCGACCCAGCAGCAGACAACTGGGAAATTCTCTCAAAAACAGGGCACGAGATCGACAGTTCCAATACGGAGAAGGAGAGCTGCCATGAAGCCGAAGAGAAGAAGGAAAGGGGCTCTGACATGGCTCTGACTATGACTCCAACGAATATACCACCGCTTCCTGGATTCGGTTCCGAGAGGACGACGATGCCATGGCAGAGTGCGCCTCTACGACTAATTCCTCAGTCCGCGTCGTCGGGGGGCACTCTCTTCAACCCACAGGCTCCTCCTACCACCACGACGCAGCCGCAGATGCAGCCCCCTCAACCTTATAACCATTGGTCAGGCCCCTTTGCTGCAGCAGCACCATACTCGCATTGGCCCGGCGCCACTCCCACTCCCACTGCACCACCACAACCACAACCCGTGCCCGCGCAGCCAGAAGCAAGCAGCAGCAACAGCCAGCGCCCATCAACAGTCCTGCAACAAGCCGCAGCAGAGACAGCAACGCGCCTCGCCTCGCTCGAGAAGCAGCAGCAGCAGCAGCAAGAAAAAGCGCGCGCCCCGCCCACTCTCACGCCCTCCGAGGAAAAGATCCAGCAGATCGAGACAGCGATGCTCACGTCCAACGACCGCGCCGCGCTCGACCTACTGCGAGACCTAGTGGCGCGACACGAAGCGTGGGTTGCGCGGTCGAACAAGCAGCTGTCCGAGTGGGGGGCGCGTGACGAGGAGCGGCTGGCGCGCGGGGAGGCGGCGGTAGCGGAGCTGAAGAAACTCCGGCAGCGCGACCTGCGGCGGCAGAGGAAGGCGGCGCGGAAGCAGGGGGAGCAGCACGCGCGGCTCGAGAGCCAGTGCCGGAAGCTGTGCAAGAGCATCGAGGCGCGGGAGTGGGAGTGGGAGGCGGAGGCGGAGGACCTGGGGGAGCAGATGGCGAAGCTGCGCGTGCGCGGGGGCAAGGTGCGGAAGCAGATCGATGTTCTGAAGGAGAAGGCCGTCGCGAGCGAGGCCAAGATCGGGGTGCTCCGGGGAGCGTTGGCGGTGGTTTTGGATCGGGTGGGTATTGACAGGGCTGGGAACGAAGAGGAGCGGGAGCAAGAGCAGGAGCAGGAGCAGGAGCAGTTTCACGCCGCTGCTGACGAGGAGGAATACGATGCCCCGAGTCTTCCTGACTGGCTCCCGTGCGACTTGCCGGATGAGGACGAGGATGCTTATGACCCTAATGACCCCTATCCCTAGCGATCAATTACCTATCAGTGAGAACAGAAGAGGATACGTGAAAAGGAGGAGGCTGACCAGCGGTGAGTTATGAGTTGTGAATTGGAGGTGGATGAGAAATTGTGAAGGGGGCTCGATTTGAGTTGAGAGTTGAGTTATGTGAACACTCATTCCACTCCGCATTGCTAAAGGGTTTGGCATTAGGTTGACTTGAGGATAGATAACGAGGCCTGAAATTGATCAATCACGGAGGTAGACTTTACTACCTACCTAGGTAGATAGAGATAGAGATATAGAGAAAGTAGACAGTTTATTCGTAGACCCAACTTACTGTGCTTTACACACAAGAATATAGATTGCCCCGATTTCTTGTAAGGGGGCTATCAGTATGAGTGAGTTGCTTGACTAGGTATGTACCGAGGTAGGTATACAATCGATGGTCACCTACACTGTACTTTTCTGCGTGTCTTAACAATAAGTGGTTATTATTTATTTGTATTAGTCGCAGGCTTGCCGACAGCTTGTTGACCATTTTCTCGTGAAAAGGCTGCTGGGCTATCTGTAGGTCTATCCAAAAGCTTCTCTCCCATCTGTCGGTACGCTCGGTCGGCGTAGGCAAGCGCAATGCCATGCTCTCCGGGAACTATATCCACCACCTCGCCCATAACGATGGCATGGTGGTCGAAGTCGCTGTCCACTGGGGGCGTCAGCTTACGATACTCGCACTTGAGCACGTGCATGATGCCCTGGCCTTGTAGCACCGGCAACGTGCCCGATGGAGGCAATTCAATCTTTGTAGTAAAGGTTTCTGCGCTCCTGGAAGCAAGGGATTTTCCCGCGTAGTATTTGGCGTGCTCCCACTCATGTAGCCATTCCTTCTGTCCTAAGACTTCGATGCCCAACTTTTTCAAACCTTCGAGGACCCCGAGATCTGGTTCCCCTTTGCCTATGTCTACGGGTGACCTATTTCCCCGAGTAAATAAGTCGGCGATTCTTGCGCCATGGTCATCGCTAGCGAGGATATGGGCGTTAAATTGACGACATTTGACAAGCGCTTGATATGTTGTGCTTGGTAATGTTACATTGAATGTGACCCTGGGTACAGGATCGATGGATAGAGATGTGAAGGACGAGACTGTCATAGCCCGCGGAACGGGCGGCGGCAGTTGCCTATTTGACGTATCTATAACCTCGCTGATGTCCACCGTGTTCTCAAGGGTCGTAATGACGACTACGGGATGCGGAAGATGACGCATGATGGTGCGCATTGGCTGAGAGAGCGCATGCTGTAACGGCTTCTGAGGCTCAACAGGCCTCTCGTCTGCCGTATAATGATGCGACTTTGGAGTAGAATCTATTGTGATTACAACATTAGATTCTGTATATGTTTATTTATATTTAATTGGTGGTCATCTCACTTTCTGAGCCTTCGTGCTGGCCTTTGACAGTTCCGCGACTACTCCATCTCAGGAAACCGACCCTAGCTCTCTGATATATATTGAGAGGGACATGTCGTGATCTTGCAGATTCCAGCGCATACTGCAGACCACGGAGACTCTTCATTTCAGTCCATGAAGGTCAATTGCTGTATATGTAACCGGAATTGGCCTTTGATCTTTGATTTAGACCTATTGCAAAAAGAAAAAGAAAAGAAAAAAGTGAAGCAATAACTAAAAGTAAAAGTAAAATGACATAACTTATAAGCTTTGCGACGCGATAAGATACATACCCAGCGATAAAGATAACGATAACGATAACAATAATGCCAGCTGCGAACGGCCCGGTGGCCATCGCGACTATCAATCGATCCCCACCGAAAAAGTTCAGAACCCGCATCTTTTGCACACATTCGAAGCTTCAATGCGAAGCGACAACCCCACCGCCGCCGAACCCCTCGCAAAACCACGGAGTTAGCGAACCAACTCCCCACCTCTCCAACCGTCACAGGGGAATAAAACCACACCCACAAAAAAAGAACCGTCGCAATGGCGACCCGACTACCCTATGCGCTCCCCCGGCGTCCAACCGTCACCACCACTCTCACCACCACCTCCTCCTTCCCCTTCCCAGACCTCCAAACAACCAACACCTCGCACACGCCCCTCTCGCACACGCCCTCGCGCCACGCGACGCTGATCAAGCGCCCGCGGCGGCCGTACACCTTCACGCAGCTGGTGCAGCAGACGGACGGGTCGACGTACACGATGCGCACGACGTCGCCGCTCGGCATGTACAAGAGCACCAAGGACACCTTCAACCACGTGCTGTGGCAGCCCTCCAACAGCTCGCTGCGCAACGTCGAGGTCGACGAGGCCGGGCGGCTGGCCGCGTTCCGAGGCCGTTTCGGACGAGGCTGGGATATTGAGAAGCCTGTTGAGGCGGGGTCTGCTGAGGAGGGGGAGGCTGCGGCTGCGGCTACTGCTGATAAGGCTGAGGGTGCAAAGGCAAAGGCGGCAGCGCCAGCAGCGGGAGCACCGGCAGCCGACGCTGCAGACAAGACTGGCGCCAAGGAGAAGGCAAAGGAGGAAGAGAGCAAGCCTGCTGCTCCTCAATCCGACTTTGGACAGGGCCTGAGCGATTTAATCTACAGCTATTCGGCTCAGCAGGAGCCCATCAAGACAAAGAAGGCAGCACCTGCTCCTAAGCCAGGGAAAAAGAAGTAAAAAGGCTTTAGGGCTAGCTTTCAAAGTTGTCGACAGTATTAGGGATGGAGATAAATGATAAAAAGCGTCGAGATCTATGAGTCTACGATCTAAAAGCCGGACTTGCTCCTCTTGAGGGTTACCATACCACTCACCACAACAGCAAGGCAAAATTTGCAATGCTATACTGGACCTCCTGTAAATAGATAAATACTAGGTTGGGACCATGGTACTAAAAATACGAATCGAGGAGGAGGAGGAAGATGGATAGGGGCATTCCTGTCCTTGGCTTCTGTATAACTCTGTATACACCTTATTGCAATCCCAAAATACTGAATTCATGTTCATGTTCCGCATAAAGGATATCAACTCTAGCACCTTGAGCGGCGATTATACAACTCCCTGCTTTAATCCGAATCGTCGTTAATAGTAGCCCTCGCCCGATCCACTGCCGTATTCCCACGACCAGTCGACTTATCATTGCTCTGGTAGACAGGTGGGCGATAGAATACTGTCTCATCATCTTCAGCATCTAGCTGCATTAGGAACGTCTCCCATTTCTCGATCAACTATACGTAGGCAATCAGCACCAAACTCACGTGACCAATATAAGTGTGGGATTGAGAAGTTGTACTTACTTCTTTCTGCGCCTCAACGGCACTCTCCAGGAATGTCTCGACTGAAGACTTGAAGTCTTCCACCTTCTCCCTCTCAAAGCGGTCAAGCTCCGAGCGCATCAATCTGCCCATGTCGTCGAACAACAGTCTGGCCTGATGTACCTTGCGCTCAGCGTCGGCCACCTCAGCACCTACCTGGTTAAGGCGGTCCTGCTGGGACCTCCCCTGCCGAAGCAGCTTGTCCTGGGAAGCCTTGCGCTTCTGCAGTTCCGACTCGGCGCTGTGCCATGAGTAAAAGGCCTTCTGGCGCTGCGAGAACGCTTGCTTAACGCTACCAATTAATCGGATGTATTCGTCGATAGTGATACCAAAAGTCAACACGTCCTGCTGAGCTTGCCTATCATACACGTCTCGAATGGTGAGTTGAAGGTCCGACAAGGCATCGAGAGGTCCGGAAAGCGTGGGGCTAAGCTCCACTGTAGACAGCGCGTGCAACGATGCAGAGAAATCTCCAGCTGCTTCGGCCATAGCCTTGCGTTGATGAACCATTGTGTCCATGGATTTCATCAATGCTTTGAGCTGGTTCTCTAGAGCATCGAGATAGACTCGTCGGTCGTGAAACCACTGCTATTATTAGAAATATCCTCTCGCCAGAACTTCTAAAACTTACATCATCTTGCTCAACAAATTTGCTACCACCTCCCATATTAATACCAAGAGATCCTAATACGCCTTTACTCTCTCCCGGTATAGGCTCTCTTCGCTCTTTGTGCTTGACATCGACATTAAATGAATCGCTTTCTAGAAATAGCTTCAAATCAGGATCGTGTTGTAGCGTTGGATGTCCGGCAATTTTGTTTAACATCTTCTCTAGAGCGGCTCGGCGAGACTCTACAAAATTACTCTCGAAACGGTTGAGAGCCTGTTTCTCGGGAGGAGGAGGAACCACAACACCGGGATTATTCCCATGCATTGTGTTATAAAGCCACAGAAAGTCACGATATCTTCGTTTAACCTCAAACTCAGGTTCCTTATAACCTTTCGACGTTGTCTACTTGCGATTAGCGTGATCTAACGCCGGGTCCGTATGGTGAAGTTCATACCTTGGTTCGGACGGAATAGACGATATGGGAGCTTGTCAAGTCTCCGACCTTATGCGGGTCGCCAACAGTAATATGGAAAATAGGCTTGGCTGCTTGCTCGACACTGACACTAGGCTGGCTCGTACCTCTCGCCGGGCTCGACTGTGCGGCTTGGACGGGCGGAGGTGGTCTTGGGCCGGAGGGTCGGTCGAGCTCATCGTCTTCGATGCGATGAGGATCCGCAGGCCCTGCTCTCCTTTGTGATGTTTGCGGCATGGTTGTTCGAATCACCACCTGCTCCTTCTGAGGTGGAACGGGTGGTTCGTCGGCTTGCGCATCTGCGCCTGGACCTGCATTGGCACCCAAAGGACCCAAAGGCCCTAGAGGGTCATCGACAGCTTCAAGCTTTGTTGGCTGAGCCACAAGGCGGCGTATCGGTCCCCTGGGGCCACGGCCGGTGGGCGATTTGATAGAGGATTGCGACTGTTGCGAAGATTCGGCATCTTGCGGCTTGGGCGAGCTATCTATATGGAGATAATCAATGTAAAGTTAGCGATTGTGTTACAAGTGCTTCCTTTTCTGTAAGACGAAGCCAACGAACCCTGTTGGTCAAAAGTGGGAGCCCTAGAAGCTGACTGAGACGGGACATCTGATAAATCATTAAGCAAATTGCTGCAAAGACGTGAACAGTAGGACCGACATACCACCCCAAGGTGAATCGCCTGCATCTCCTAAATCCATGATGGATACTTCCAAGGTCTGCGACGAGACTGGAATGTGAAAAGATAGTAGCCGTCAAGTAATGAGGATTAGAGAGAGTGAGTTGTACCGTAGTGAGAAGAGCTTGGAGGATTAGAAAGACGATTGGACGATAATAATTTTGGGGTTTCGAGGTTATGGCTAGGTACCTGAGGTACGTACCTTGTAGGACCAAGTTCAAAGTTCAAAGTTCAAAGTTCAAAGTTCCAACCCTGGAGGTAACAAAAGTCGATGTTGGGCAAATCGGCCATTACTGCCGGTGCCGATCCACCTCTATTGGTGGGGCTGGATTTTTAGTTGCTTATATACATATACGGCTGATATGCAGGTATGCGTAGGTCTTTTATATGAATAATTCACATATGTACTTAGTAAGTGTAGGGGATATTCATCAACCTCTCTCCTATACCAATCGCGAACTCCTACAACTAGGCAAATGCTAAGAGGACTACATAGAAATTCCCTTCTTATTAGGCCAAAAACATATTTAGAATTACTCGGGCCTTGAACGTTTTGGACCTGCCAAATTTAAAAAGAAAATGGAAAAGAAAAATGGAAGAGAATTCATAGAATCGAGTCGTATTGGTGATAACTCAATGAACCATGCCTATTGAATACATCGTGGTATCTAACTCCTTAGTACGCCCCCAAATTGCAATGCCTTCCGATTTTTTTGCACCGAATACCCCTCATTGGGTATTATATCCTTAGCTTGCCGAATCATTCTTGAGTCTCATCAGAAGTCTCATCACCCGCGACAGTTCGAAGAAGTCGTCCTAGATGGGTCTCAGCCTCACGCCAGAGATCTGCTTCCATGGCACTCTCTACTTTGTGACTTCGACTATTGAGCCATCCAACATCAAGGCCACCTATCTTACCCTCGCCGTCAGGTTTGATAGGCTTAGGTAGATGGGCTGCTTGCACCTCGCCACCTTCATCTCTGGTGGTCTGCGAATCCTTTGGCTCTAGCTTAATGATCCGCGCTTCCTCAAGACCCCAAATTTGTCGTTTCATGCCCACGTTGATGGTGCGTAAAGTGCGCAAGAAGTCTTCCATTGAAGACTGGAAGATTTGGGCTCGTGCTCGGTCATCTTGGCCGGTCATCGAGCGCTCTTCTTCTGCAATTTGCTTGCCCAGGGTTTTCAAGGCTTCAGCGGTGTAACGAAGGAGAGCAGCGATGTTCTGGTTTCGGATTAGATTTAGGCTGTAGTGTAGGTAGGCATGAATAACATACCTCATCAATGCGAGACAATTGGGCAAAACGTTCAACCCTACTGAAAGAACCGAATTCGGGTTCCTCTTCATGGCCCGGCATGATGGGAATGCTAAGGCAATTGAAGCCGAAGATCAGATTGATACAGAAGTATTGGAGTGTCGTGCCTTTTTGGCTTGAGTTCCAGAGGGGAAACGAGTTTTCGTATGATTTTTTATTGATCCAGCAACGTCGCGGGATCGATAAAATGATGTGCGTTTATTAAGGTGAGAGAGGAAGGTTTGTGTAAGTTGGATATAGAAAGTAGCGTGGAAGAGGTTCAATTTGATGTTGAATACTAGGTATGAGAGTACAGTACCAAATTCATTGTACTATGTACTACTAGGTACGATGTACATGCCTACATGTAAGTTACAGCACTGAGGTACCTACTAGGTAGTATGCATGTGCATATGGGCTTAACTTTTGATGCACATGCACAATATACTAATACCGAATTGTGTATATAAACATCAATCGATTCAATGAAGATTAATGGTCGCCATTCAATGTTGCTGTCACCTGGCAATTGAAGCAAATACATATAACTAATAACGCACGTACATAACTACTCTTTTGAACATTTGAACATTGTCCAGATGAAGTTCAAATGTTTGCTGGCGCCTAAGCTTACTTCCTAATTGGATCTGTGCATTTAAACACCTGGGGAAAGTGTACTGCGCACTAGATAATTGTGGACTCAAGCTAACCGTAAACAGTATATATACGTTGTAAAAGCATTTAGTTTTAACCAACCTTTCAAGGCTAGGTACAATGTTTATTGTAAGCTCCTCCGTCCGTCAATCACGACTTGAGCCTCAACATTTCAACATTTATTAATAGCCTTCTTTCCTTGTCAAGCATGCCAACACCCAATACCACTTCGTCGTAAGTGCCTTGCAATCTCATATTATACATTCGATCACAGTCTTTCTTGAAAGTTACTTGAATACGTCACTGTTTATAAAATCGAAATGTCGGCAACGGCACCACCAAATGCCGGGGGCGCATCTGGAAATAACTTCACACCACAGCCGCAATCATCGACGACACCCATTGCAGCTCCCAATCCTAATCCAAGTACCTCATCGACCTCCGTTTCAAGTAACCAGAATCTGAATCAAATCGTGAGTGGAGTTATACATTTCTTTCCTTGTACCTAACATTATTGTTCTTGCGCCGTCCTTCAATCTTCATGTACCAATTCTTCTCATCGTAATTCATCGCAATATACCTAGGTATTTTGATTGCTTCAAGCTCAACCGTCTACCTACAACCTTGATCTTTTTTGCCTATAAACGTACCTACCTACCAGACCTACCTACCTTCTTCTACACCTTCTACGTCTTCCACTTCCACTCCTTCCATCCTCACAAATTAATCAGTCACTGCCCAGATGGCCAACTCTTTTGATCTTTTTCTTTTCCTTATCATTCATCCCGCCTACCATCAAATCTCACCAAATTATCATGAAACTCTCGCTCGCCTTATTCAATCTCAACTTCGCATGAAATACTACTCCCACCCAAAGTCTCCAAGACTACGCTCATAATATATCATCATGAGTTACCAACCTGCCCACCATCCTGCCTACCACCAAGGCTACCAGGTCCAGCCTCTGGGCTACGACTTGTTGAAAACCGAACTAAATGACGTCGTACGACCTATTGATTTTATACCAACCACTAAGCTACTTGACAGCGCGTGATGCTAACGATATGTTACAGGTCACAGATTATCTGATTAAGAAGGGATACAGACGAACTGAGGAGATTTTTCGCCAGGAAGTCAAAGACGTCGACGAGACTGGAAAACCTAAAGAGCAAAGTGATCCAACAGCACCTAGCAAGTTCTTACCAGCTGGAAAGTATCTAAGCGCTTTCAAGCACTTCTCGAAATGGATTGATAATGGTGTCGACCTCTACAAGGTAAGTGATATTGCTAACCGCTAAACGCGACGACGGAATATATTATCTTACACGTATATAGTTTGAGCTTAACAAAATCTTATGGCCGTTGTTCATCTATTCGTACCTGAGACTTGTTGGCCAAGCTTCCTACGTCCATGCCCAAGAGCTTCTGGAGCAGCTTCGAGGCCGCTTTGAGAAGACTCATCCAGATGAACTCAAGAATCTAGTTCTCATCACACTCTCACAGCATGTTCGAGAGAACGAATTCGCCAAGGCATATCTTGATAACCAATACGTTATCCCCATTAGCAAGTTTTTGTCTGGGCATCTATTTCATTTCCTTGAACGAGAGTTGGATCAGTGTGGAGCTGTGGTTATAGATATCATTCACCAGCACTGCCACGTTGACGCCGTTGACCGCGGTCCCATCGATCCATTTAGCTTCGAGGCCATCTATCGCCGCGCACAACACCTTGATCTGGATGAAGTCGATATTCAAGAAGGCATTCCGGGCATTTCCCATCGCAGTGGACTCGCAAACCGTAACGTTCTTGACAATGCCGCTGCTCTAAAACTAGGTCCACCGCCAATCGAACCTACTCTTCGACTTGATATCACCGAAGAGCTAGGAGAAGAGGATCGACTGCACCCACCTCGAGAGGGCATGCCGTCGTTGGTGGAAGAATTCAACGTGCTGCATCCCATTAAGAAAGAATCAGACGACTCTCCCCAGCAGACGGACATTCCATACCCTCCCTCCAGAGCTAGAGATGTCGTCGTGGAGATGCAAAAAGTGCGAGAGAATCGCGACAGGTTCCGAATTGAAGGCCGTACTGGTGGTGTTGGACCTGGCGTCTCGGTCTGTATGTTTACATTTCACAACCACCTGGGCAGGTAAGTACGATATCAAATAATTTGATATGGATACAAATAATTGACATTTATCTAGCTTTTCCTGCATGGACTTTTCGAGGGATCAACAACTAGTGGCTGTAGGGACGACGGAGTCCTACATTCGAGTCTGGACTCTCAACGGAAACGCATTGCAATCTCGCCTACCAGGCGAGAAAGATCTGAAAGTCAACAACCGCAAGCTTATCGGCCATTCAGCTCCCGTTTTCACTGTCGCCTTTTCCGATTCTATCGCCAACCTAGACCGAAATATTTACGAGGATGCCACAAAGCCAGAGACCCACAGCGAAGTACTTCTCTCCTGTTCAGCTGACGGCCAGGTGCGAATGTGGTCACTTGAGTTCTGGACATGTCTCTGCACATATAAAGGTCACGATGGTCCAGTATTCTGCCTGTCCTGGAGCCCCCATGGTCATTACTTCGCGACGGGTGGTCGAGATAAGACGGTGAGAATTTGGTCGCAAGACCGGGTTTCGGCACCAAGACTCCTCGTCGGTCATGATACGGCAATCTCGGCCTTGACCTGGCATCCTAATGGCGCATACGTGTTTTCGGCGTCTGACGAAACCGACAAGTCGATTCGCATGTGGTCAATGGTGAATGGTGATTGCGTCCGCATATTCACTGGTCACACGGAATACATCTCGGCACTGGAGTGTGCACCAAACGGGAAGATATTTGCATCGGCGGATATTGGTGGTAGCATATATCTGTGGGATATCGAAAAGGGTACACGTATCAAACGCTGCCGTGGCCATGGTCGTGGTGGCATATGGTCCCTTAGTTTCTGCGTTGAGAGTAGCGTACTTGCATCCGGCGGCCAGGACAACACTGTGCGGGTATGGGACGTTGAAATGCCAGCTGAGGGTAGTCGTCCCGTTAATCAACCAGATGGGGATGGAACGATTGTTGCGGCAGGTGCACCAAATGATGGCAAGCAAGCCGGACAAGCGGCGCAACCCACCAGCAGCTCTGTTAGTGGTACAGGAAAGAGGAAGGGTAAGGACGTTACCATTACACCTGACCAGATCAGCGCTTTTCCGACGAAGAAGACGCCTGTGATGAAGGTTCAGTTCACTCGAATGAATCTTGTGATTGCCGGCGGTTGTTATAATCCTGAGACTCAGGATGTCGCCCGCTGAAGAAGACAGCATTCCTCGTTATTAGAAGATTGCATCCAGGCAGGCCTTGCACCAATGAAGGTGTGCAATATTTATATTTTGAAGGTTCGTTGGCCCTGCGACAAACTTTCAGTCATTCTACGAATAAATGGAGGTGACGCTGACAGCAAGAAATGATACAGAAGATACCCTCATGCTGATGAATCAATCAATGCACATGATATGCATATAAGAGGTTTGCGAGGGCGAGGTTGAGGTATTTTGAGGAGGGTTTTGATAGCAACATCAAACAGGGTGGGCTTAGAAGTTCGTGAACGCCTGTGCCTACTACAATATCTTGTAGATAACAGTGCGGTTTCACCGCATCTCCCAAGGCACGCGAATCGCATGCTTTCTACTAGGTTAAGTAATTCAATACCTAATAGAATGAACTTGATTAGGACTGACCCCGTTGTTTGATCCCGGGCCGTGTATCCATTATTCTAAGCAATTCTCTTTGAACTATGCCGAAGCAGTCTATCTCCTCGCTTTCCCTGCGCAGCTCCTGTACCCGTGTTGTGAACTGCTCGTCTTGTAGCACGCGCTCTATACCATCTTTCACTGCCTCATCGGATGGTTTCGCACACTGCAAATCTACGCCAATGCCCGACCACGCGACCCGTCGCGCGTTGTCTGTCTTGTCCATGCCCTCTCCGGCTACGACCATGGGAACTCCGTTGGCGATGCCGTGGTTCACGGCGCCGAACCCTGCATTGTGGACCCACACGTCTGCGTGCGCAAGCACGGCGTCGTAGTTTAGGTAGTCGGCGACGCGCGAATTACCAGGGACCACGAAGTTGTAGGTCGCTAGGTCGGCATCTTTCCACCCGAGGATCGCGACGACGAGGACGGTGTCCAGGTGCTCGGGGCCGGAGAACGCGCGCATGGTGGGGATAAGCAGGTCGTGCGGGTTGATCTCTACGGTACCCTGCGCCACCACCACGACCTTTTTCCGCTCGGAAGGGGGTAAAGAAGAATTGGCGATGAGTTCTGCCCACCACGGGAACGGGGGATGGATAGCTGGGGTTTGAGATTGAGGCTGGGACCTGGGCGTTCCCTGCACCAAGCCCGCGAAATGGAAGCCCCGCGGCCAATCGCTGCGCGGGTACTCGAACCCGGGCACGCCCAGCTGCAGGATCGTCTCGTGGCACGTGTAGTTCGCGCCCGAGAGGAATATTTCGCCCACCCCACTCGGCGCGCCCGCTTTCCGCAACTGGGTGTCTAGCAACGCCGTCAAGGAGCTCGCCTTGCGCGCCCAGCTCCGCTCCCAGAGCCTCGCGTTCCGCGTGCGTCCAGAGGGGGACCCGTCATAGGGGAACGGGTACCCGGCGGGCGGCAGATCGACGCTGCGGATTGCGGGGATGGTGACGGAGACGCAGAGGGTGCCGATGGGTGATGGGATGTCTGGGGGTAAGGGGGCGCGGTGGAATAATGGCAGGATGCCGTAGAAGAAGGCCTCGGCGAGGACCAGGACGCCTCGGGATGGGCCGCGCGAGTGTAGTGTGCGCAGCGCGGAGGTGAAGCAGGTCCATTGGGTGGGGAGTGGGTCGAGACATTGTGCGCGCAGGTCGATGAGGACGCGGTCGCTCCAGTGGAGGGAGGAGTAGTTCTGGTCTGCGGGGTGCGGTGGGTGCGCGTAGTAGGCCCGGTCGTCGAGATCGGCGTCGTCAAGGAGGGGGAGGAAGGTGGCGCCGGTGGCTTCGATGCGGTGACGGTGCGCAGTTGGGCCGAGGAAAAAGATGGTGGTGCTGTCTGTTAATTGAGCGTGTAGGGCGCCGGTTATGCGGAGGAGAGGGGCGAGGTGGCCGGTTAGTGCGTGGCAGACTACTAGGATGAAGGGCCGGGTGGGGTTTGGGTCCGGGTTCGGGGTTGGGATTGGGGTTGGCATCGTGATGATTGATGGCGTAGTAGGTGCCTACACGTACTAGCAGTCTAATAACTACTTACTGAGCCTATATAGGTATATACATGTGATGCTTCCTACCTAGGTAGGCACTTGCCCGAATTTCTGATGATCTACGTAAAAAAGCCTCTCTCCGGGAAGTGAGATCCGGCCGGGTGAATTTAGTTAACCTACATGTATACCTATGAAGTGCACGTGAGATTTAACCTAGTCACATGACCGACTCGTAGGTACCTACCTACTTATTCGTATGAAAGAAAGAAAACTCGCAGAAATTAAAAGAAATATTGCTTGGAGAGGAATTGACTTTGAAGAGGGGAATGATGATGATAGAAAATTGGATACCTAGCTTTACAAGTGATCGTCACGATGCCCTCAAGGCTATTGGCTCTAGGACGAGTAGGCTTGGTTTAGAGATCTTAAAGCAAGTAGGTCCTTGTTCTACATTAGGGACAATGCCTGTTATCGAAACGTATTGTAATTATCTGAGGTTTGCATTGTTGACGTCTTTTGTTGGCACACAATGGATTCTTACCACAAAGATCTTGTTTGTGGTATTTAGCCAACTCAGCCATGAAGCGAATGACTCTCGGTCGATATGGACCATTATCATATTACCTACCGAAGTTGAGTGTCAAAGTATTGAGGCCGCTCATTAGACCACCTTTTATCGTTATCCAGCATCTTGGACTAGTTCAAAGCCACCAGCAAACATGTCAACAACCATGCTGTCAGATGATGAGTTTATCTCACTCTGCTTTGACCTAGACCAAGCTTCTCAACCACCGACCCAAGAGTCCAATGATGGGTCAGTAGACAGTATTGAGGAGCAGATCCCTGGATTCGCACCCATAGAAGGCCCTAATGATAACCACACAGAACAAATAGACTTGAGACAGGACGCTTCACGTGAGAACTTCTCTGGTGGCACCGGATGCTACTTGTGGACGTCGAGCCCGGAAGTTATGCTTTCAGGAAGTGTATCGGCCGAAGAAGTTCGCCAAGCTTTGGGGATAGAACATACATCTACGTCTGGATTGAAAGTTGGTAACCTTGCTCCGGATGCTAACGATAGGAAGGAGATGGATCGTCTCCCGAGCGAGTCTTGTGGGATCAATTGGACGGCGGAATTGTTGGATGTTCTTCGACGTAGGTAGGTAGTCGATGTTGAATATGATAATGGGTAGGTACCTGGTTAGTACTTGATAATATATAAGTTGCTTGTAATAATATCTATATCTTCTTCATGTAGTGCTGCATGCAAGTCCAAGTAATCAGTCAGTCCATTGGGTAACAGGTCGCGTTGTGTGAATAATCAAAACTATGTGCTACGAAACTAACGTAAGTCACCGCATGAGGCTGCCATCTAATGACACAAGAGGGTGTGGAATCTCAACAAGCATCATGGCTGGAAAGCCTTTCACACAATGTGGTATCGTACGACATATGCTGCTAGGAAGGGATGGCTGGGTTACTCATGTGATAAGCATGGCGCACATGGGCTTGACCTCATTGAGGTATCTGAAGTATCATGAAGAATTACCGGCCGAGAATTACAAGAAGCGACACTGGTACTGTTGCTTCGAATTGCTGACCTAGATTCCGCCCCAGACCCAAACCCATACCCAGATCAAGAAAGTGTTCAACTACCTACCCAGTAACCATCGACCATCGAAGGAGTCAGCGGTAACCAATATGTCCCAGGGACAAAGGACTACAACGATGTCAAGTATCAATACGCGACGCCAACTTATGGCAAAGACCGCGATCTCAATCCAGCATTGATCATCCAACCTAAAACGAAGGAAGATATCGTATTAGCAATCAAATACGCGAAAGAGAAGAAGATTGCTGTGGCCATCAAGACAGGCGGCCACCAGTATAGCGGAGCTTCTTCCACCAATGCCCCAAATATCCAACTAGATCCTAGCGAACTCGTTCAGGGGCCCAGATGATCGAGCTATCTTCGAGAAGGACGGGAAGGCTTATGTTCGCACCAGTGTGAGCTGGAGTCTTGGAGAATTCAATGCCTGGATCACGGAACACAAGTTGTTTGTTCCTCACGGGAAATGAATATTGCGAGATACATAGATCATACAGTAGAGCAGAGAAGTGAGAATAAGAACGAGGCAAGTTTATATCAACAAGTCTATATCTCCGAGTCAATTATGTGTCTAGAAATTCTTGGTGGTATCTACCGTACGCCTTTCCTTTCTCCCGTTATGTACCAAGTCTATGCTGTCGTTATGCGTCATCCATGTCCGATTCTATGTCATCCCTAGGTACCTATCTACCTACCCAAGGCGTCTGAGGCAGTCATTCGTCTAAAGCCCATCCGATTCTAAAAAGTTTATACCCGCTCTCATCTCCGCGCCCGACACCACGACGCTTCTCCACGAACTCCTGGCCCAGAATGGTCAGGTACCGGCCCTCGGGGGTCTTCGGCTCAGTCCCCTGAAACCCAGATTCGACGGAATCCACCACCTCTTCGAAGCGACCATTCGGACGGACGGTCATCAGAAGCCAGAACACACCTTCTCGCGCCAGTAACCGCGTTGCGCAGGCACGCAGCCACACCGCATGCTCAGGCGCGTAGATGACATCGGTCGCTACCAGAACATCGGCTGGGGCGTCGAGCGGCGCTGCGAAGACGGGAGCAGACCAGTCGAGCGCGCATGTCTCCACCTTCGCCTGGTTAAGCCGGATGTTGGACCGCAGATTGGCGAGGACCATGGGATGGTAATCAGTTGCGATCAATCGCGCCTCGGCGCCAACATCCAGGTGAGATAAGACCTTAGCTAGCGCGAGACTAGCCAGCCCTGTGCCAGCGCCGAGCTCGATAATGCGCGGCGAGGAGCCGAGCGAAGCTCTCGCGAACCCGAAACGCGCCGGCGACGCGCATAAGAGGTCGGAAAAGACGATGGACGCACCCCAGCTTTGCAGGCCGACATCGGTGTGGTCTTTGGTGGCGTGCGGTCCGTCGTGGAGAAGCACGTTGATGGGAACCTTTTCTTCTTCTTTAGCAGGTAGATGCAACTCGAACGAAAAGCTGCGGGTGATCCCGGTGTCTTCCTCTTCGTCCTCGTCGGCCGCTTTGCTGAAGGATGCAAGCACGTAGGAGGCCTTGTCGACTGCATGCTCGCGCTCCTCGTCGCTCAAAAGGAGAAGCTCGTCTGTGCGGGCGATGAGAGTGGTTAGCCAGCGGATGGCATGGTTGCGCTCAAAGACATCGGCGCGCATGGCAGCTACAGTGCTTTCCGGGTCTACCTCGCTCTCGTCCTCATCCTCGGACACGTAGCCAGAGTCAACCTGCTGCGCTGGCACATCGGGTGGTGACTTTTTGACCTGGAGTTGGGATTTGATAGCCCGTGTTAGGGAAACGGGACAGTAGAGATCATTTAGATTGTCCAGGGACGAGAAGACCTGTTCCTTGTTGAGCGTGGTCAGAGAATGTAGAGGCGGTAGGCTGCTCGTGGGAGACAGCGGATGAACCGCTGGGCTCATTGGCTCCTCGGCGAGACTTGCGGTCCGTCTCGAAGGGGCTGTATAATGAAAATATGAAGCGAAAAAAAAAATAGAAAAAGAACAAGAGAGAACAAGAAATTTAAGATGATTTATTTTAGTTACAAGGAAGAAGAGGAAGCAAAAAAAAAAAAAAAAGAAAAAAAGAAGAAAAAAAAAGAGAGATTATTATCCCAGGGCCTAGAACGTGGTGGATCTTATTAGAGGATCCACTTGCGACACAATTTGTTACTATCGTCAAAATCCTCGGCGGTGTGGGAAGGGCGGAGCCCCTGACTCGTTCGTTCGCCATGTGCTTACTTCAAGTTACTTGGTTGGATTTTGTACCACGCCGCTAGATTTATCGCAATCGTATATTTTGTTGGTAATCTGGACCTCGGGAAGTAAACATGTATCGGTATATGCTTCGATGCTATTGGGCGTAGGTATCATGAAACTCTTCTTCATTTCCAAGTCATTAGAAAACATTTTCCCATATATACTATACTACCTAGGGTATGCAGGTAGGGACCGAAGCCTTCAGTACCTATTTGCCTTAACCCCTATATTTCACTACACTAACAAGCCGACTTTTTATCGTCCTTCATATCGCTCTAGCCCCCCATCACAGTTATGGTGTGGACATATCGAAGCTTCCCCTTTTCAACCCGGAACTCGTGGCTATCTGGGACGGTGGCAAAGTCAATGAAGACGTCGACAGCACCTAAAGTTTCATCGATCACGTAGCGACGGTTCGTCAGTGCGACTCCTACGAATCGACATATTAGTTACATGCAGTGCGCAGTGGACTCAAGATTGTGGACTCCCATAACTTACCATTTGGAACACCGACATCGCACCTGTCGTTAGCCGACCCCGATCCGGTATACGCGCCACCTTCAAGACGTGCGCAGGGGCTGCCCCAAGGAACCTGCACGGATTTGTCGTTAAAAAGGTCGGCATAGGCGTCGGCAGCGGCCTGGATTACTTCGCGAGAGTCGCGCTCTGCCTCGGGGATCGGGTCCCATTTTTCCCGAGAGGCCCAGTAGTAGGTGCCGGTTGCGTTGAACAGCCAGTCGCCCTTGTCGGTGACGAGAGAGCTGATGTTGGCGATCTTGCCATCGACGAAGCGCATCTGCGTGCCTATGACGTATGGGTGTGCTGCGTCCGTCACGACGATCTCCGTGTACGTGGCGCAGGCCGTGGTGTCGTGCAGACTACGGTTGAAGTCGATCTTGAGCGGTTGGGACAGGATACCGGTTGCTCTGTTGGCCGTCTTGAATGCTTCCAGGTAGGCGACCTCGTCGGCCAGGGGAGACACAGTGTCGGGTGTTCCGGCGGTCTGCGCGGCGAGGAGGCTGTCGGTTGCGGCGATGAGGTCCTCGCGGCTGCATTGCGCTGCTCCCTGGGCAGCGAGAAACCCTAGGACGGACAGAGTAAGTTTCCACATCATTGACGTCGTTGAAAGGAATTCGGTCTCGAGTAACGCAGTAAAAGATGAAGATTCATACCTAGAAGTCAGAGTTGGGGGAGGGCGCCTAAATAATTTGTAAAGGGACGAGGGTGCATCTGTCAAAACTGGCAAAAGAGATGATACTGTCGTACTCGAAGATAATAGCCATATGAATGCTGTGTGGGGTCAGTTCGGCAATTCCAACGAGCTGGAAAGAGATCTGGAAGATCATCATCCGTACATCAACTAATATACCTAGGTAGAAATCATACATACCTACCTACCCCCTTATCTAATCCAATCCTTCTTAGCAGACTACAGGAACCAAAACGGCACCGAGATCAAAGTCATTCTTTCTGGAGTTTCCAGTCACTCGGTGAGCCGAGCCGAGCCCGCAGGATGGAAGGGGATGGAGGGCCTGCATTGACCGTGGGATCGAATATGCCTCCATGTCAGCCTACATATGCACCCGCCCAAGCCTCATGCAGGTATAATAATTTCAGCAGTAGGTAACTGAGCATTTACCTAGGTACGCAAGGAACAACGGCGCCAATTGGCAATGCCACTGCCACCAGTTCCCCGCCCACACCACGCAAGGCTCTGCTAGTATTTATGACTTTACTCCACACCTTGCAACATGGAAATAAGACAAACTTGAATGATAATACTCCAAGACCTTCTGTTATGGATCAACAGCTTAGGTGTCTTATGGACTGGCCTATATGTTCTTAGGTATTCTTTCACCACTCAATTCTGCGAGAGTAGGACGACGTGCTACTCACGATCATGTCAGGACTAGAGATTCCAGCATTTGTTATCGGCGCCGCAGGGCTGGCTAGCTTACCTAAAACTATCTGGGAACTTACTGAAGGAATTAAGTCCTACAAGCAATTTGATTCCGACTCACGGCCTTACTTCGCCCTAAGCAACGCTGCCAGAGTTTTATACAAGCAATGGAGCGAGAGTGTTGGATGTGATCAAAACGGACTTAAGGATGACCACCACAAGGCCCTTGATGATCCTGGAGTGCTCAATAGCGTCTATGAAATTATAGAATCCATCCAGGGTATCGTTGGCGATGCAGAAAATAGCCAGCCCAACGTATCATCCCAGCCTACCCTGGCAGGCCCGTCATCCCGAGGCTCCAACGTCCGCCCTAAAAAACGGACGCAACTGGAGAAATTTCAAGGGTCGACATCACGAAAGACCAAGCTCGACTGGGCTTCAGGTGGCAAAGATACAATATCTGAAAAGATCCAACTTGTCGAATCCTTGCTTCGGCGTCTCTATGAACTGGTTCCGCCCCAAGAACTGAACGATACAGGCCATACGCAAGCAAGTCAAGGTAATGTGGTCCCTATACATGTACACTAGTGGCTTCTACTTCTTGCCTTCTCTAATGAAAACATAGAAACATATGAACCTCTGTCTTCTTCCCTCGACAAGATTATGAAAATGTTTGAAGCACTTCAAGAGAAATATAGGAATGGTAGGGATCTAACTCCGCTTACTTTATCTTGAATAACTCTCATACGTTCATACGTTTAGACGAATTCAAAAAAGGGTTATCGTCTTGGCTAGGAACCACATGGACAACCGCCGCGTACGATGATTTTGTGCAAAAACGACTGCAGGGTACCTGCAACTGGATATTGGAACGCCCCGAGTTTCACGATTGGAGGGATACAGACTCAGAGGTGGCCAAAGTGCTGTGGATTTATGGGCACGCTGGATATGGAAAGACGATGTTGTGCACAAGAGTTATCACCGATCTAGAAGCCAACTTCCCACACTTCCCACTCGCATACTACTTTTTTTCATCTCAATCTGAAAGTCGCGCGGACCCTTTCATTGTCGTCAGATCCTGGATCTCTCAAATAATCTTGAAAAAGGAAAGGCATGGAGAAGCAAAACATACTTGTGCGTTCAATCTAGCGCGCGAGCGATGGGAGAACACAGATGGACGGCCCGCCTCGCAGGCCGAGATCATGGAGCTTTTTGCGGCAATCGCCCAGAGTACACCCAACTGTGTTTTCATTGTTGATGGTCTTGACGAGTGTACGGGTACCCGATACTCCCTGGAAGAATTTATGGCATCTCTCAAGCAAGCTGTCTCTAACAGCAAGTCGCGGCTTATTATCTTCAGCCGCAACGAATCAGATATTAGGAACGGCTTGCGTGTAGAAGTAAGCAGCAATGCATGGGACTTGATAGAGTATTGTATAAGCCCCGACGACGTGAAGCCCGACGCTACGCTATTCTCGCATAGCATTGTCAACCGGCAGTTACAAAATAAAGACAAATCCGACCGTGAATATCTCGCAGATCGGATGGCCGATCGGTTCGACTCGATGTTCCTATGCATCAAAATGCTAGAGGAGCAGCTACGAGGCGGGAAGAACGTGAGACAACTACAGAAAGTAGTCGAGCAAGCCCCTACAAATTTAGCTAATCTTTATGATCACAGTTGGGCAAGAATCATGAAACTACCAGATGCCGATAGAATCCGAGCTATGGCAATTATAAGATGGGCCACATTCGCATTACGTCCGATGACAGTTAGGGAGATCACAGGCGCGTTGCTTCTTGCTGACGTGGAATGCGATGACATATCAGAAAGACTTCCTGATGCTATTGACAAGGAATATATCGCAACCGAAATCCTGGGTCTTTGTGCATCTCTTGTTGAGACTCGGGGACCAAACTCGGATTTCGGGTTGCTGACCGTCCACTTGACGCATTTCTCAGTCAGAGAGTATGTCCTTTGCCAGATGCCGGCCCCTGGAGATCAGCTAAGTATAAATGAGCAGTTAAGATCCTCGAACGAGGCAATGCAAAACAACATTTTGGCAATAACATGCCTCCGCTACCTGAACTGTGATGAAGTTTGGGAAAAGTCACATCAAGGAGAAGAGGGCGATGTCATCCAAGCATTCCAACAGTACGCCGCATTTTTATGGCATAACCATGTCAAGCCAGGCACAGCCAACTCGAAGAATGTGATTGAATACGTCAATGCCTTTTTCCATCCATCTTGCAGCAATTGGGAAGAATGGAGAAAGGTAGTCGATGCTGCCCCGGAAGACAACCTGTTAAAATATGAGGGGAGTATTCAATCAGGAAGTCGACTATTCTACGCATCGTTACTAGGTCTCCTAGATACTATTTTATATCTGACCGGAAATGCCAGATTAGATATAGACTATGTGGATGCGTCTAGTCGTACAGCTTTACTTGCGGCTGCCTTCAAAGGGTGGAAGTTGGGATGTATCCGGCTTCTGGAGGAAGGGGCCGATCTAACAGTTCCAGATAAAGATAGGTGGGCGCCACTCCATATGGCCTCAAGTAAAGGCCACCTTGAAATAGTCAGGCTACTGCTCGAGAAAGGGGCCGATCCAATGGTTACAAATAATAAAGGATGGGTGCCATTCCATATGGCCTCAAATTATGGCCACCTTGAAGTAGTCAGGCTACTACTGAAAAAAGGGGCCGATCCAACGGTTGCAGAAAGTGATGGATTGACGCCACTCCATATAGCCTCATCTAATGGCCACCTCGAAATTGCCAGGCTGCTATTTGAGAAAGGGGCCGATCCAACGGTTGCAGATAAAGATGGGTGGACGCCACTCCATATGGCCTCAAATAATAGCCACCTTGAAATTGCCAGGCTACTATTTGAGAAAGGGGCCGATCCAACGGTTGCAGATAAAGATGGGTGGATGCCACTCCATATAGCCTCATATGATGGCCACCTTGAAATTGCCAGGCTACTACTCGAGAAAGGGGCCGATCTAATAGTTGCAGAAATTGATGGATTGACGCCACTCCATATAGCCTCATCTAATGGCCACCTCGAAATTGCCAGGCTACTACTGGAAAAAGGGGCCGATCCAACGGTTACAACTAATAAAGGATCGACGCCACTCCATATAGCCTCATATAATAGCCACCTTGAAATTGCCAGGCTACTACCCGAGAAAGGGGCTGATCCAACGGTTACAGATAAAGATGGGTGGACGCCACTCCATATAGCCTCATCTAATGGCCACCTCGAAATTGCCAAGCTACTACTGGAAAAGGGGGCCGATCCAACGGTTACAACTAATAAAGGATCGACGCCACTCCATATGGCCTCAAATAATAGCCACCTTGAAGTAGTCAAGCTACTGCTCGAGAAAGGGGCCGATCCAACGGTTGCAGAAAAAGATGGGTGGACGCCACTCCATATAGCCTCAGCTAAAGGCCACCTTGAAATAGTCAAGCTACTGCTCGAGAAAGGGGCCGATCTAACGGTTACAAATAATAGAGGATCGATGCCACTCCATATAGCCTCATATGATGGCCACCTTGAAGTAATCAGGCTACTACTTGAGAAAGGGGCCGATCCGATTGTTGCAGATAAGGATGGATATACACCATTAATGGTGGCTTGTGGCCACGGCCAAAGAGATGTTGCAAATTTATTACTTTCATGCGGCAACATAGACCCCACCTATAACGGCAATAGTGGGTTCACAGCATTGTCTTTGGCGGCCCACAGCGGCCAGGAAGCCGTGGTTCGGTTGCTTCTTGGCGATAAAAGGATAGACCCCAACTTGAGAGATGCCCTCGGTTTTACACCATTGATGCGGGCTATGCGGAACTTTCATGAACCAATAGTGAAACTTCTAGTTCAGCGTGGTTGTTTGGTACATGACTCATTTTCCTTCCAAGCGGCCTGGTTTATGACAGATAAGGGTTTCAACGAAGTAATGGCAAGACTGAACTTGGAGAATAACGATAATATCTTTGGGTTGGTGGCGTTATATGGGTCATATGATGTATGATATACTTTTTCAAACCGAGACGGCGGTCGGATACCTGTCATTTATAGTTTCTCAATATATCCAACATATCCCTCACTTCTCGGCGGTCTGCGAAGGAAAACCGTACCCCCGCCTGCTTGGATGCATTGGATATATGTGTGTTGGGAGCTTTCCGTATAAGAGCACCACAACTTGAATCTAGTTTTGTGATGCACTTGGTCAAGAGCTCAGTTCCATCGGAAATAGTGGAAAATTATCGGCCGAAATTTTGGGCGACATATGTGTCAGTTAAGAAAAGGTTGACTAAGCTGGTTAAAAAGAATGGCTTTATTAGGTAGGCACCTATGTACAAGTATCCAGCGACGTGTGGCTTTAAAGGTACTTATCGAAGAACCCTATGAGGGTCTTATAGCCTCTCTCGTACTCTGAGCGGACATCTGGGTTCTCGAGATCACCCCTTGTGGGGTTAGCATGAACTATGCTTCTATGGGGCGGCATAACTGACCTTGCACTCATCCATCCATGGATCTGGGAGCTGAAAATCTCGACGTGTTTCTCTCCATGAACGTTCTCCCCGTATTGCTTGACAACAGTCTTATCTTCTCCAGTAGGGGCTAGAAGTGCCATAGGAATAGTGACACTTTTGGCCTCCTCGGGATCTAAGCGCGCTGGTGAAGACTGGGCAGCTGCGACGAATGGCGACGCGTCCCCTTTCGCTGCGAGCAGAGACACAAGATTTCCACCCCAGCAAAAGCCGACACCCCCCCCATTGCTTGACGCCAGGATAGATCGACTTGAACTTGCCAAGAACCTCGGACACGGAGGGGAGGACCAGGGTGGGTGAGGCTGTGGTCTCCACAAACTGCAGCATGAGTTTGCGGCCTTCTTGGTTGTTCGGGTCGACCCATTCATGCTGAATGGCGCGACCGTTGAACCAATCAACCATGACCACAAAACAGGGCTTGGAGGCGGAATAGGCGAGGATATCGGCGCCCTGGAGGCTCTGCGGCTGGAAGCTGAACACGTCGTAGATGTAGAGTATCCCGCGGTCCGCTGTCTTTGGGCCAGTGACATCTACAGCGTGATGAGTTAAGACACGGATATACTGGTGAAAGGCGTTCGGCGAGAATACGCACAGGTCTTTCTACCGTCGATCTCGGTCCATTCACCCCTTTCGTGATAAGGGCCTACCTTGGCAACGATATTTTCGAAACAGGCTTGACAATGTTGAGCGGTCATTTTGCTGTATCTTGGATCGTGAATCGCTGGATAGGAAGGTGAGGGGGTGGCAGGCCGACTTAGTCGTATGGAGGAAAAGACGAACTAGCCCCGAAGGCAGAAGGGAATAGATTCGTAGGTAATTAATTCACAGGTCTCTCTGCGAAGAGAATCTACTCCTACCCGGAAGGCTTGCCATTTTAAATAAGACTTGTCTGGAGACTGACTACCTGCAAGATAGACATATGGAGCACAAGGGCGCGATGCCCGGAGCCGAAGCGGGTAGGCATCATATCAAAGGACCCCGTAGGCTAGTCCCATCTATCCAAAAACGGGCGAGGTAAAAGATTTGAATGTCGGACATAGGATTGTCATGGTTTATATATGCTCGTTTTCCCTATTATCTTATTCTGGAATATCTCGTTGCTTGGGTGAGTTTGGATCGATATTACCCCTCTAGGCTATGTTGAATCTTCTGGTGATGGATAGGCAGAGGGATGATTCTTAACTCATTTCGGTAGTATCTGAACAGTGAAGACTACTTTAATATAATAAACTGGAAATAGATAACTAACGGATATGGATGATGAAGTTAATGGCGTTAGAGGTATTTTGGGTGAGTAAATACTATGTAGTATGTATGTCCTACCTAATAGGTAGTAGTCAACTGAGGTGTAAGTTATTCACATCAATGATCCAGATGGCAAGTTCAAGTTGTATGTACATGCATAGTAGTAGCAGTGAGGTATGACATCCAGCCACAGAGGAGGTGGGGAAAAACAGCCCCCCCCCCCCCCCCCCCCCCCCCCCCCAAAAAAAAAAAAGCGCTTAGTAATTGGGGCTAAACAAACCTAAAGCTGCTAAGCGCAACCTTTTGAAATTGAAATTTGACAACGAATCCTTTTCTAAGAAAGAAAAAACTTCTTCCTTTTTCCATTGTCATCTCTTCTCCCATGTTAACCGAGCGGCAATATCCAATTAGCCCAACCAACATGCCAACAGGAGTGTTGCCTAGACTTCCACGCGTCGTGCCACCTTGAGGTTCGCGTAGCTGTGTCAGCTTAAAGAAAGTAAAAACGTGTCGTCTTCACCGCATTCTACACTTTCTATTCAATGTTATAGAAACCCAGAAGTCTGAATGACATCTGCCTGGTAATCGCTTCTACACGATCGGACTTTTGGTCTATATTCGTCATACCATTTGCTGTGGTGTTATCTGTATAGAGGTTGTCGCCTTGTTTGAGAGCTGTAATTAAACTATCGCCATCATGTCGGACGTAACTACCATCTACATGAACACGCCTCCCATTGCCAGGTAAGCAACACATCGCATCTCCTAACAAAGAGTCTATCTTCGTTGAGCTAATTACTTTTTTTTTGGATAGGACGATCACCACAGCTGTGTTCTTGTGCTCTGTTGGGGTCTACACTCACATGTTAAACATCGAGCCCTTCGTCTTCAACGTCGCACGACTTCTTAAGTGGCCTCCCGACATCTATCTACTCGTTACGAGTTTCCTAATAACCTGGCCCCAATTGAGCGTACTGTTTGACACATACTTTGTATACACATACTTGAGTCAGCTCGAGAATAACAGCTCTAAATTTCCCAAAAAGGAAGATATGCTGTGGTATCTCATTTTTGTCGCCAGTGTCATAATTGTAGGTTGTCTTTCACTCTTTCCCCTACTCTCCTCTATCCTATCTATACTTCTAAGCACACAAAGCACACAAGCACACAAGCACCTAAACACCTCACCAATCTGCCCGCATAGTGGAATTTGCTCTACAGCTATGACGGTTCCTGAACGTGAGGAAGATTACCCCTGCGCCGCGACTGGCCCGTCATTCGCATACCTCAAAAGGGTCAGCTCGTGTCGTGGGCATGGTGGGATGTCTTAATGGATGACTCGAGCGATGTCTTCGGACTCATTTGCTCGGGTGGTTTTTCAGCGCCCTACATACTTAGCCTTCCTTGGCTGTCTTTGCGAGACCTGTTTATTCCACAATTTAAACTACGATTCGAAGGTTTAAAGCATTGCTAACCAAGACTTCTGTAGCCCTTGAATGGCCTCCTAACCAGTGGGTATTTATTACTAGATGCGATGCTTATCGCATTATGCTACACGGCGACGCAGGATCAGAGAGGCATGAAGGCGCACTTCTATGTTGTCAGCGTTCCTGCACAACTGATGCCTTACTGTTTGCTTCTCACCTACCTTCTTTTCAGCGGCGTTGATCGCATGATGGTTGGGCTTACCGGCCTTATCGCTGCTCACCTACACGACTTTCTGACTCGGATATATCCTGAGTTCGGAAATGGCCCTAACCTCATCCCCACCCCGGGGTTCTTGTCGTGGATCATGAGAACTCCTGGCACCCGAAATACCGTTTACGGCTCGGCGACGGTGCCTCCGGCAGACAAGGGTAGCCGGAGTGGCCCTCTACCTAACTCGTGGAGGGCCAAGGGCCCTGGTCGGCGTCTGGGTTGAGGTCCAGCAGTAGGCGACAGTCAGTGAGACCACTTTAATGAGACATGATGTAAGAATGCATGTGTACAAATATCAAGCCATATCAGTTCCGTTTCTTGAGTTATGGTCAATATTGTGATCGTGTATGATACTTGCATGGCTAATTGTATGCCACCGCAAGTTTCTCTTCGATGTCCAAAGCGCACTTAAATATACAAAAAAAACTTCATGCTACTTGAATACCTATGATACATGAGTACCTAGTTTTCCCAAACCGTAGTCCACCAATACGCCAGCTCGCCCTTCGATGCCAATCGCTGAAAAGGAAGAAAGCACAATTTTGACCCTCACCATTTAATAGTACCTAGTAGGTATGTATGTGACTGATTAATTACATTGTACCTGTACATACATCTCTACCTAGGTGGGTACTAGGTAGGCAGGTAGTGGAGGTAAGTGCCTAGGTACATGCCAGACATCTAATTACCTATACCTCAGACCTGCCCGTGTATATACCCGTCTCGATGTCCGTGAACTGCGTCTCCCTTCGCCGGCGGTCCACGGCGTGCTGCTCGATGATCTGCGGTTCTGGGCGTGAGTGTGCTTGTAATGGTAGTTGCGATGATGATGATGATGATGATGATTGTTGCTGCTGCAGATAATACTCCCGCGGCGTCCTCGCGACCTTGGACCCGTACCCGGCGAACGACTCCTGCTCCCACCGCGAACCGTCGCCGATGCCGTGCCCTGGTCCGGTTCGAGCGGTCGGCGGGCCCATGATCTCGAAGCCGATCGACAGGACCTCGTCGCCGTCGTCGTACTCGTCGCTGTCGCTGTCGTTGGGGTATGAATGCGGCGGTGTCTGTGGAGCGGGGGCGGGAGGCGGAACGATGGTTATCTGGGGCGGCGCGTACTTCATCGGCTTCCGGGCGCGCGACGGCTCTGGGAGCGAGAGCTGTGGTGCGCGTGGTGGGGGTGGGCCTGGTGGTGGAGGGGGCACGGGGCCGGGGAAGGGGGCGGTGGTTCGGGGCTGGGATGGGTTTTTATTATGTGATGCGATATTAGGAGGAGGAATTTTTATCTGTGGTATCGTTCGTGGCTGGGGCGGTGGTTGAATTTGAATTTGAATTTGTGGTTGGGTCTGTTGTTGTGGTGGTAAAGGAGGAAGTGTGCTCTTTCCGACCGTCTTGGTGGCGGGTCCCGGTGCTATCATCGGGAACGTTTTAGGTGCTGCAGTGGCGGCGTTGAGGTAGGAATTCACGGCGAATGTATCAGGCCTGTTAGATTTAACCGGCGGCGGCGGGCTAGGGGTGTCGTTTCGACTAGTGTTCCGGCTCGCCACTCGCGGGAGGTAAGCTGGGTGTGTGGGCAGGGTGCTATGCTGTCCGAAGACAGCTTGGTTCGGATTCTGGCCGCTTTCCATCACCTTTTCCACCTGTTCGTAATATTGGGTATTGTAAGTATACGGCTGTTGCGCTCGTAGTTCCCAATCGGCTGGCAAAGAGTCGTTTCCGCCTCCATAGTACCGAGGATAACCCCCCATGGGCGGAGGAGAGATAGATTTGCTTCCGTCTCGCGAGCCGAGAGTGTCGTTATATTGATACTTCCGCCTTCGATGATGAACCCAGAACAAGCCTGTTCCGCCTAAGAAGAGCAATGTAGCCCCAACAGCTATGCCTACGATTGCACCAGTAGTCATACTCGTGTGAGAGGCGTCGTCGTTGTCAGAGGCAGCTGTCTGATTCTGGGGCGTGGCAGTAATATTCACTTGAAATCGTGTGAACAATGACCCGCTCAAACTGATGAGGTCTCCTGGTTGAGGCTTCTGCTCACATCCAGCCTGCAATCCGGTGAGAACTGTGGAATATTAGTCAGGGGGTTTATCCCACTCAAACATGGGGTAAGTTGCGTACAATTTGACATGAAAAACTGGCTCGAGCTTGAACGAAAGCACTGAATACAATTGTCTAGCTGGGAGCCAGAGAATGCACCGCCATCAGCTGTGCAGTAATCGAGTTGAGTCCCATTGCTGGGGTTTAGATTCCCGGCCTCCAAAGCCGTCTTTAAAGGCGCACAGGCGTAATCGATATTACATGGAGATGAGCTAGATTTGGTGTCATTGTAAAGACACTTATCCACCGAGTATCGTAAGTTGTCTTGAGCTCAAGGTTAGCAAAATAAGGGGCATGTTAGAGACCATGATTTCGGCGTACACAGATACCAGAAGATATCGCTTTCTCCGTTGCTCATCGCATGGCTTTCCTGTAAACACTCTGTACAAGCCTTGAACTTGGTACCACTGGTTGTGTTGGTGTATTCCTGGTCATTGCATACTATATCCGACGGTGTCGTGGATGATATATCTGGATTCTGCGAATCATCTTTAGAGTCGTCTAAGCAGACAGTCGCACACGATGAGCCCGGAGTAACTTGTAATGCTGCTGTCTTTTGTCGAAGCAATAGAAGACACAGCAGTACATGGAGGAAATTCAGGGTCATGTCGTGAATAGGGAGTCGACAAGAATATGATTAGGCCGGCCGAGAGGAGTAGTACCTTCTTGCTATATTGATCATGGCATCGACTAGGCACCCACTAAGAATGATATTGTCTATTTGATATATGGTAATTCTAATAGGGTTATAGCTTTGTGAAGCAAAGTAATATGAACAGAATGGATATGATGTATGAAAATGGGAGCTTCCTTAGATCTGGGGCCCTTGTGGGCTATATCTCAAAGGAATGACTACATGTTGCCCCGTCGAAATGTCGACATGCAGGACAAGCGGCTCCAAGATCCGTGAGATTCTGGAAAACCAACAACACTGTACTCCTAAAGTCCCTCCAACCAACAAACAAACAAACTTCGGCCAATGAGGCACGAGATCAGAAGACGCTCTGGAGACTCTACCGCCATTTTGTTTCACAAGTGGCCAATGAGAATAAACTTGACAACTACAGAGAAGCGCATATGTAGGCTCTCCGATGCGAGGGAGCAAGCGACGAGAATGACCGAACTTAGGAAAAGCTCCAAGATTATGTCCGGGGTAGTTGAAATGACTGGTTCAGAACGAACAGCCGGGAAGCAACGTGAGTGGTCATGCAGACGCCGGCCACACCAGCGGCCTTCTAACCCGCCACACGTAGAAACTTGGACCAATTAAAAGCTCTAGTCACACAGCTGATATTCAATACTTATGTAGTAGAGCAAATTTGAACGAAGGGAGTGCCCGTTCATCGGTGTATCTAGGATTGGAGAAGTCTACCCTGGAGGTACCTATGTAAAAAATGAAAGAAGGAAGTATCGCTTCAGTCCAGGTTTTTAGGTAATTTAATCATGATGTTGGTATACACAGTTGACATAGGGAATAATACTTAGAATAACTTGAAGAAAGGAAAGAAAAGAAAAGAGAGTTCACTGAGATACTAAAGTAAAAATTAATAAATGGGGGTCCTAGCAGCTGCCTAAATAGATCAATGATTGTTGAAAAGCGTTGTCATAGCGGCGCTTATGCAGCCATAACCTCTCTCTCTCTCCTCATACGCCCCGCTGCAAATGAGACCTGTCATCCTGCCCCCCCCCCCCCCCTGGGCCTGGATCGATTCTAATAAAACCACCTCCAAGGCCTTAACAAACCACCACCTCAAACTAGATCACCGACCTAGGTCCCTTTCAGATTACATGGTCATGTAAACCTATGAATGTAGGTACCTACTAGGCATACAACTTCACTACCATTAAATGCGAAATTATTTCACGGTTCACCTCCCAGGCTGGTACTGGTAAAGTTGTTCACCATGTAATGCTTATTTTTGTTGATCCCGGTATGCTTTAGAACATTTGCCCAATCTACGATCGATCTTAGGGTATCCTTGGGACAAGCCTCCCAAAAGCCAGTTCAACTCCAGAATGTGGGCTGCATCTAGGAGCTCCAGTAATTAACCGCGCCCGGGATTGAGCACCAAAGATCTGATGTATGAATATTCGCAGATCGCACTTAGGGAACTTATTCTTCAATCCACTAAGTGACTTAAATGGACCTTGTAATAGATCACTACGTTGGGGGGATGTTCTTGCCATGATTTAGAAGCATCCAGCGTTGAAGGTGGTTAGAGTGTAGCTTGGGAGCGGTACGGATTGTAGTCTGTGTTCGGTCTGCGCTCTCTCCGTGAATATGACTGAACGTTACCGGTGACCCTAATACTTCTCCTAGCCAGTGAAACATACGGGAAAACATATGGAAATATGTTTCCGTTGTTTCCCAGTTGAGAAATACATAAGCATACACATCAATTTCTATGTATGCCTAATAGTATTTCAAGGTTAGGGTTGGGAAACGCCATTAATGTTGCTCAGAAGTTACCTTGAGGTGATCCGACCTAATAGCCCCTGATAAGGAGGAGGGGAGGGCTTTTGCGCCAAGACAAAGCACGTGACATGGCTTTTTGGAGGTGGTTTCTCCACTGTTTTTCTAATCAGAAATCCGATCACACAGCCAAATATTCCAGACAGACATCCAAACATCATCATCTCGCTAATCAGAAAGGAAAAAGAGCATTCTCGCTTCCAATATTAACAAAAGTCCCCACAAGAAACCTGGAAGAAGACAGCCCATAATGAAAACTTTACCAGTCGAAAATCTTGTTTGGTTGGTTTAAAGACCGATAAAGTAGGCATATTCCGTTCATACTAGGTATGCAAGATGAAGTTTGACCCGGGTACGACCGTCGTGCATAGCTTTCAAAGTGGTACAGCACCCTATCAGCATCAGAATTCGGTTAGAATGAGATGAATCATTCATAGGTATCGTATAAAATACTTGAGTTCACGTCGTCGCACTTACAACTGCCTAACTTGAATACAACTTCATCCCTCACAGTAGAACTACTGGTTATTGGAATATTGTGCTTCCGAGACATCAAGGAATTCCTGGGATTCTCCCTCTTGTGCCACCAAATCTTGATAAGCGCCCTTGGCCCTAGCGACAAGTCAAGGGATTCACGAATAGTTCATCCTTTGAGATATTATGCTTTGCCTCCTATGAGCAATAAGCCAAGGGTGCATATCGAGATTCATTGAGCGACTTCTAAATAAAAACTCTCAAAGATACTCGGCTTTCACGTATAATCAGGTACTTATCTTCAAGGTGACCTGGAACATCTGAGGGATCTTGAGATACCTAGTACTCAGCTTAGCCTTTGTATTTGGGATTGCCAACTCCCTATCTCACGTCGTGATTACTTACACTTGACAATATCGGACCACTTCCAGGAAACCCGATTATCTGTTTTGGAGATTAAATGCTAAATAGGTAGCTGGGGAAATCGTGAAGCCCCCCTACACGAGGAGCTGATAAACTCGTATGCGGTGGTTTCCGCGATCGCTTAGCAATGGAGTACTAGGTCGGCGCGTAGAGCCTTAGTGCGGCTGAAAATTGAGAGTCAGCAATATATAACGCGTTCTTGGGAACTTTATATGAAGACTTTACGGCCTCTTTTCTTATCTTTTCAAACACCTTTATCCTCTGATGCTACACCTAACCGATACTGGTTCGCGGATTTCTCACTAATATAAGAATAGGTTCGTACGGGCCACTACTATCTACGTGGTAGATTACGCAAGCATCCTTACACGGGTCTCAGCCGGTTACGCCTGTGGGAAAAAGGCACTAGGCCAGGGGTTCACTGGAAGAACCTTTCATATTGCAGAATATACTAAATAGCCGTTATGTATATACTGACTACAGCGCATAGGCAGAATGAGTACGACAATATTAAGTACGAGGAATGTGATGGGTGATAGAGTAATTCCTTCTTAACCCAACGTTAAGAAGTGGCCGAAACAGTTAACACCTGCCTATACGGCATATCTATTACTCGACTAGGCCCCCATAAATGGCCCTGAATGCTCCTGTTGGCAGGCGACAGACATGCTCTAGGAGTGTCTTACAAGATCCCTGTGGTGAGTCTTTTCTGCAATCAGCCTTCGGGATAGCTTAACGATACAACACTCAAGCAAACAAGCTAACAAACAGGTCTTGCTTCGCAATGTCTTAGAAATAAAGCATCTGGTACTGGTGCTATAGATTCTCAAATCCCCAGCAACCGGTTGCTGCTACTCAATCTCTTACAAAAATAGGCGGGCGCTGCCGTGTAAGCCCCTATTTATGTTGCACATGTTTGCGCCCGTAGATACTCCGGGTGTTTGCTTCGAGACCTGACGAACAACACGTAAACTGCAGTACACAGCTACTAAACGCTAGTATCCATGATGATGGCGACGATTACCTAGTAGTCGGATGGAGAGCTATATAAAAGTCCATCTGCATCGATATCGGCTCTACCTATACCCATTCATCTTCGCAGCATCACCACTAGCGTATCTACTCTGATTTTCTCAGCATGAAGCCATCGTGGTTGGGCTTTCCCCTCGCGCTTTCTGGGCTAGCCACAAGCTCTGTACCTGTATCTGCCCAGTCAACGAAGGAGGAATGGACGGTTTCCGACGCGCGCCGCACGAAATCCAACAGCAATACTCTTTGCGCCTGGAGTTTCACCGTGGACCCCAGCTCCGGGAAACACGCGGACAGTTCCTTCCAGTGCAGCTTCAACGTGACGACATCTTCCGGCGGCGACTGTGGCCTGGTGTCTTTCGCGGAAGATTCCTGTAGCGGGAACGGGTCGTTCGCTGTCGACGGCGGGCATAGCGACTTCGGGTTCGTCGTCATGGTGCTCGTTAACCCGGACCAGAGATCCCAGGCGTACTTCGGGTTCTCCGATGACGCGCTCGACACCGGGTCTGATATCCCCAAGCAGACGAAGTCTGTGATTCCTCAGGGGACTAGGCGTCGTCGGGATGGGGTGGCGGTGCGGCAGCGGCTGGATGGTGATGATATTGATGATGATATCACGCCGTCTTCTACCGCATGGGCGGTGGAAGATCTTTTCCGAGGTAGGTGGACAGGCCATGGAACTTGAGTAGCCGCTTACCTTGGCGCGTCCGATCTCGGGCGAAATATACATATATCAGGCCGCTAACCCGAAGACTATCTATCAGACGTCGATATAGAGAAGCACCTAGTCACGATAGGTTTCCGAATCCTGGACGGCAGTCCGGCGGGCGCCCGCTGCATGCTCGTCTTGACGCCGCCGGAGGGTGTCGACATGCAGACGTGGGAATGGTACAACCGAGAGTGCGAAGGCAGCGGCTACTTCGCTTCGTGGGGCTACATGGCTGTCGGCGACGCAGGTATCATGACCATTGTGAAGTAAGCTTTTACATTTACCTACCTATCTACCTCATCCCCGCATACCTGGCTTCATAATAGGTAGGGGGTGGTCCTATGTGGGTCAGCTAACATATATCCTACTTCGTAGCTCGACTAAGAACGGCCAGGCCTTCTTCGGCTTCTCGAATATCAACTCGACTTCGTACTTGGGTGATGCTGGGCCGAATCCTGTCTCGGCGTGTAATTGCTAGTTTGGACTGGAGCTGGCAGAAGACTTACATTTGTAGGAGAGGATGATTTCAAGGGGGAAGGGGAAGGGACTTAACTTTTAACTAGGTTAGTTAGTTATGTATTACATCTCTACGGATAGCAAATGGGTAACCATCAATCTTAACTTAGTTAAGGGCTTCTAATATATTTTTAATTAAGTCTTTGAGTGTATGTAGGCACATAAGCGCGCGCAGTCCACGATGTCGGGCGCGCGGCTCCTCCCGAGCTGAACGCTTGCCTGACTAATGCAGCTCATTCGCACCAATAATTGACTCCCCCAACCCCACATCCTTCGACTCAGGGGCGGTTTACCCACCCCGTTCAGGGGGGCTTTCCCCGATTCCATAGGTATGGATGGCATCGAAGTTAACATGAAACATGTGTTCCTATTCTAAGAATTGCCGATATTCTTCTAGAGTGCCTAGGTGTCTATGATTTAAAAATAACAGTTTCGTTGTACGATTAGTTAAGCCCATATCCACCATAGGAAGAGTTACCACGTAATTCGATGGCTGTTGCTTTCTTGTTGGTACCTAGTACCTAGGTATCATTTTCGTAATTTATTTTGCTCTAAATATAGGTACGGGGAAGGATTCATGTTTATGTACGACAATCAGGATAAAATATAGGATTCCCATGTCTCCCTTTTTAGGTAAGAGGCATGGTTGACTTAAGGTTGTTGTTTAACTAGGTATACCCCGCGATTTCGTCATTGTAGGATTAGATACAGCACTGAGGGTAATAGTAGGTAGGAAAGCCGATGGTTGACGGTCTGGGATAGAGCTAGCCTTGTAGGTATACACATACACTTTACGTCTCGACTGCAGGCACAGGTGCCAGTCTTAACAGGCGTAGGTAGGCTCAGTCTGTTCGCTTGGTATTTCCATCTGGGCAGGTGTTTGCGTAGGAAGGAGTTGACTGATCCTCTTCTGTTATAAGGCTCCTCAGTCGCACGATTAATGCTGTGTAAATTGTATATGTCTATGATAGGATTCATATAAGAGTATGTTGGAGGAGGCGTAGCAACATTTATTGCCTTTTCATAGGTATGTTAATAGGTGAGGCATGTTCTCCTTTTAGAGTCGTCTCACTCACAGATTCAAATAAGTTATGTACATCTCGTAATCATCATCTCCAGGCTGGCTTGTAATACCCCAGATACCTAGGTACCTACTATGTAGTTATACATACATATATATATATGTATGTAAATCGAATTGAATTTGCAGCCAACACCAGGTGCATGCGCGCAGATAAAAATACCTATCCATGTATTTGGGTTCCGGTAGTCAGGTAACACAAGCTTATACGGTGGGTAGGTACCCAGTACTCTAAATATAAGCTTAAGCCTCGAGGAATATGTAGGTACGTTTATTTTAAGAATAGTATGCATTTGTTATTGAGGCTGAGATCATAGGTGTTAAAATGCTCGTAATTACAATAGCACTATGAGTATTCGGCCATAGAATAAGCGACCTACGTTTGAGGTCTTGATAGCATCGCGGAGCGAAAATGATGGTAAAAGACCGATTCAAGGACATCAGAGCGTTCCGATGCCTGCTTATGTAGGTAGTATCAAGCCCCTGATAAGCATGATTTGAATAGCATCTACATATATACGTAGTAGTAGTAGTGGTAGTATGTACCTATTTAGCTGTTCTTCTGGACATTTCAGCTGTTGTAAATCTTGGTCAGGGCAGTGTTTGCGATCCCAGACTAATTATACCTTGCGTTTCTAACCTAGAATAATTTGGGCTTAGACTGGCATAACTGGCATCTGGGAAAAGGATGTATGTATGCCGCGGCCGCATCGAGCATGGCCATCCGTTTACCTTCCAGACGGGTGTGGTCAGTTCCAACATGCAGCCTAATGGCACTGCATCCATCTGATTGTTGTTGGGTACCCTTTACCCTATATCCTAAAAAAAGACCCATTCAAACTGATATCAGTTGGATACCTCATATTCTGTGGGCAGAATTGTAGGTCCTCGCTCGACGCGGTTAAGCCCGGGTGCGATGATGTGAACTGAGACAACTATACATGTGAATAGGATGATGGACGTATGTAAGACATGTAGAGAGGCTTGAATCGGAAATAAATGGCATCATACCAAGTACTATTGATGTAAGCATTGAGCACCCGTACATACATAATATGCACATCATTGATCATTATTACAAAGGAGAATTCTACGGCGTAGTACACAAAGTTTAACATTGAAGCTTACCATCATATTGGGCTACACCTCTACGGCGTATACTACGAACTTAGGGTAGTAAATCTTCAATGATCTTCCAATGATGTGCCGAAGCCTGTTAGTAACCATTTCCAGAGCGCTAAATAGAATTTTGTGAATGGCCAACAGCACCAGATAAGCAAGGCCCCCCTGCTGGTTTCATCCATGTACCCTGCCCACCCCTTCAAGCCTAGAACTTGTAGTGGCTCGGATGGCTCAACCGATAATGGAATCGCATGAGCCCTGGTGGACTATGGGGGGCAGGTGGGCCCTTTAGGGGCATTTGGGTAGGTACCGGGGGCACTAAAGTGGAACACTCCAGGGCTATTGCTAAAGAATAAAGTACGTACCTATCTGCAAGGTGAACTTCCTCATCACATATCACATCAATACAATACCTACTTCTTATATATCTCCCCGCCATTGTGAATATGATTTCTCTCTGGAATGCCCTCAAATTTCAAGGGGATGCCCCATTGACTTCCTGATCGCCAGCTACCTAGTGGCTTGAAATACCTGTCAACCTTGGAAGTTATATCGGGAATAGTCGGTAGTATTATCCAGTTGGTGTTGTTCTCGGAACGACTATATCGCATTTCCGAACTTTCAAACCGACACCATTAAAATGAGGATAGCGTAAGTGAAGTCGGAGAATGTTTTTTTTCTCTAGATCTCTTGCTTAGGAATGTTCTTAGCTGTTTGCAATTTGCGCCACAACTGGGCGACATCGACAACAACCTAAACCGAGCCGATGCCATCCTGAACAAGGCCAATGCCGAAGGCTTGGACCTTTTGGTCCTGCCCGAGATGGCATTTACCGGTACGTCTGAACAGCGGCACACATTCCCATCACTTGATTTATCGATCGTATAGAAAGTAGTCTTTCAGAGACTGAAGAGCAATGTCCCAGAGGGGGAGAATACCGAAACTGGGTATAAAAGCTGATCAGCCTAGGCTACAACTTCAAGTCGTTGCGCGACATCTCCCCATTCCTCGAGCCAACCGGTGCCGGGATAACCTCTATCTGGGCTAGGACAACAGCACTGAAGCATAATTGCGTCGTGGTATGTCCCTACCCGGAAAAGGTTGATATTTCGAATCGATGGCCGACATCTCCCGAATACTACAATGCCGCAATTATCGTAAACCCTGACGGAGATACGATTGGGCATTATCGAAAGACGCATCTGTATTATACGGACGAAACTTGGGCTCTTGAAGGAGACGGCTTTTTTGGTAACCATCTCCAGGGCCTTGGTAACGTAGCAATGGGTATCTGTAAGTTCACCATCAACTCGCACCATCGTCAACGTATCAGTTTATTAACTAACCGCCATAGGCATGGACGTAAAGTGAGTAGAGTGATCGACTAGGTAGTTGACTTCGCTAAACCATTCTCTAGTCCTTACAGATTCGAAGCTCCATGGCATGCCTTCGAATTTGCATTCCACATCCTAGATTCTAGGGCCAATATAGTCATCGTTAGCATGGCTTGGCTTACCACCGAAGACCTCCAAGTTTGGAGTTCAAATGGGAAAGAGCCTTGTCTAGACACTTTGACGTACTGGGTCACAAGATTAGAGCCACTGATCCGAGCAGAGACCGACGAAGAGATTATCGTCATCTTTTGCAATCGAACCGGAATCGAAGACGATGCAGTTTATGCTGGTACTAGCGCTGTTATTGGGATAAAGCAAGGTGAAGTTTCGGTATATGGTATGCTGGGCCGCGGCAGTAAAGAGCTTCTGGTTGTGGATACAGACGCTCCCCCTAATGCTAAATTGGTCTATCGCCCAGGAGATGGAGACAGTTCCGCCGATACTTCAGTTAGCGAGCCTCAGCTACCCGCCAACGATGAGCGCAGTGTAGGAGGGTCTTCATACTCTTCAGAGATTTCATCAAAACGCTCAGAAAAGCCTGACAGAGCAGCTGACCATAAAACCGATAGCCCAGACCTATCAGCAGCTTCTAATCGTAATAGTGCCAATAGCTATACCACACTCAGTTCTACTACGCTGCCGACTTCTACCGCAACGAGTCTTCCTCGGTCGGAATATACTGAGTCTCCGGTTTCCTCCCCTCGTTATTTATGGAAACGCCCTGTTTCGAGTTCTACTGCATCAACGCAGTCTCCGAAAACGGGCACACCTGACACTTGTGAGCAATTGCGTACGCCCCTTAATACTAGGCAGTCTAATAATTTTTGGTGCTAAATTAATAGATCGTTCCATGCCCTCAGGTGATGATGTCGTTGGGGAAGCTGAAGCCTCTCGGCCAATTGATAGAGTGGTTGATGAGAACGTCGACAATTCCATTTCACGACCTTCCTCAGCGAAGTTCGGCAACGCCAGCCGTCAAAGACACAGTAGTTCGCAGTCTCTCAGCTCAGCAGAGCAGGTAGCGCGGATGTCGCCATCAGGTATAACCGAGAACCAGAATCATGACGATAGAGCAACGCCGAAACCTACAACACCTGGTCTTCCGCACGTAATCCCGCCCCCTGACATGGAAAGGCTGGATGCGGATCTTATGGTCTTTCAAATGGGTTCTGCTGACCGGCCAAAACGAGACAGCCTGGTGTGTCATCCAGATGAAGACGACTTTGTCGTGTTACGTAAAGATGCTTCGGGAAGAAACAGGTTGGGGACATTGGATGGGCGACCCGGTCACTCTAGTGCTCGAAATTCGCCCAATCCCAACAACATGTCTAAGGAAGGTAGCAAAGGAACCCGCTCAAGAAATAAGAGTTTGAGCAAATCAGCAACACACTCCCCCGAGATAAATGATAGAAAGTTTGTTCGGCCGGAAAGCCGTGGGAGGCATAGAAGCAAAAGCACCACAACGCCAGAAGGGTTATTGACAGAAGAGTCATATAGCAACCTCGCTTCTGGTGCTGTCTCTTCACTGGGACTTTATGAAGCACGGAACACGACCTCCGAGACAACTCGGCATACCAGGCACAGGAGCAAAAGTACTGCTTCAAGAACGACGACATCCACAAGAAGTTCGTCGAAGAAGGCTTCACATGACCGGAAGCCGTCTGGTGCGATCTCTTCGCCAAGGCTTGATGAATTGGTGACAGATACGGGCCGCCGTAACAGCAACCAGAGCGACGGCCAATCAAGTACAGCCTCGTCTGCAGCTCGCCGCTTCCGACATGACCCGATGCCGCCGGCAAGCAATCTGACCAGATATAAGAGCCCAGAGCTTCTGGCTGAACATAAAGTCGCCTTACCAGTTAAACTTGCAAAACACCAGCGGGAAAACTCGTACTCAGGGACGATGCCCTCTCCAGAAGCCGTGAAGTCAAATCCGAGCCCACGCGCCTCACCGGAGACAAGATCGACAGCGCCGAAGGTCTTCCGGGAAAGAATCCCACCAACACCGAAGCCTATGGTGCTGCCTCCTGATTATGACAGCGCTACTGCCCATCAAAGCATACCCACACCACCGAAAAAGCAACCCCGTGTACCTACGTCGAAGTTCATAGATAGGAGCATAGATGAAAAGCGAAGGAGTGCAGTTTTTTGAGGATTGGCATGACAACTGCCATTCTAGTCGTTGGGTAAGAAGTTGGAAAAAGAATGGCTCTGTTGATTCTGTATAATATGTTCCTACTATAAATATTGTCATATTTGAAATGATATATTTATATGTTGATATGTTGAATCTCTGACCTTGACCTGTGTTAGTAGAATATGGTACTTGACTGAATCATCATTTTAGTCTTCATCGAAATTGTTGACAACATACCTGACGATATTTAGATAACAGGTATTTTGCAAAGCCTTACATAGGTGTTTCCGTAGACAGGCTTCCGGAAATAAAGGTAAAATAAAGAATTTCTGTTCAAGTGAGGTCTTTCAAATATGTTGGTTGACGTTGCGTGTCAACCAACATATATGCAGTGATGCATTAGCTGGTAACACAATTAGATACCTAGGTACATTGCTTCACTAGTGCCATCTGAAATCGAGATCGAACCAATCAATTCTATTTCTTTACCCCATGTCGCATGCATTAGCTCAGCCTTAACCCGATGCACGGGCCTTTTCATCTGCTAAAAATGGAGCACGCCAAACTAGCAAGCCTGCTCTTCCATCTTTCAACAATTTCTGTGCGATGATTTTCGCTTGCCGCCAACTGAGCCTCTTGTATTCGATAAGGCATAACTAGTGCCAACACGGCTTCGGAATGTTGATTATCGGCTTTCAAGACGGAAATGTAGAAATGCTGTTTATTGCCCGGCGACAATAGCGATTCGCCCAGGGCAGAAAGATTTGAGGGACCTCCAGCACCTCATAATGCCGTTCGACCTGGTACAAAAGGCGTGAAGGGAGACAGCGGCGTCGATTCACGCAGTAGTGAGTGGATAAATCTAGAAAGCGAGATATAATATCCTATAAGTAGTAAGTGTCCCTGTGACTTGGAGATTGTTGAGCTTTCTGCCGGTAATGAGGAGAACGGAGTTGATCTAAAGTGCCGATTCTATGGACGATTAGTTCGCGGATAACGAGTACGACAGTGGGCTAACTATAAACGATGATATCGATGGCTACCTCGCAGGCGATATATTTGTTAAAGTATCAAAGCTTTATGTTAAGTACCAAGGTTGCCTAGGTCTATGTGATCAATATCTTCTACCTACCATGCATAACTCCTCACTGCCTGATATACCTGATATATACAGCATCTAAGCCTAGGCCACACGAAACAGTTCCTACTTTTAGTCCTCGTCTAGGGTTCTTTACTTTGGGTCCGTAGACTTCTTCTCATCGGGAGACCCAGATTCCAGGTCTCCCTTTTTCTTTGCTTTCCTTCCCTCCTTCGCCGTCGCCGGCGCCTCTCTGTTGATGTCCACCACCAGGGTGTTGAGGGTGCTGAAAGGACCCGTCACAAGATGGCCGACGATGAAGAGCATGATGAGGGGGGCGGCTAGGCTGGTCTTGAAGTTCATAACCCACGAGTATGCGATGATAGTCAGGCACGCCCCGTAGATCAGTAGGATGGACACCTGCAGTTGGGCGAACTCAATGGGGAACCTGGGGATATCTTCTTGCCGATTATGGACGATGGGCATGCCGTGGAGGCGCGCAACGCGGTGAAAGTTCTTGTCGAGGATCCGGCCCACGGTCCAGCGCGAAGTCAAACTGCCGAACCCCAGTGGGAGATAGCATAGCCCGATTTGCAACGAGCTAAACCCGTACCTTGCCTCCAGCCGTGTGGACAGAGTGCTCAGGACGGCGAAATAGCCAGCATAGGGAAGAGAGCCGTACCACAGGATCATGCCCGCCTCTTTCTCGCCCGCGATTTTCAGCGCCGCCTGGAGGTTTGGTCGTCTCCGGCCTCGTTTTATCGTCTGCACGTCAGCCTCACTCTGCTTTCCCTTTCTCACTCGCTGCCGAAGGTACGGGAACACCGAGAGCTGCCATCTGGACGGCGGCGGCACCGACCCGTTGCCAACGACGGCCCGACAAGTCTCCGGCAGCGCCACAGCCACGACCACGAAAAACACGGCCGCGAAGATGACGAGGAACCAGAAGATGGAGCGCCACCCGAGGTACTGGTCTAGGAGGCCGCCGGGGATGGGGCCGAGCGCGGGGCCGAGCGTCACGCCCATCGACGCGTAGCCGATGTATTTTCCCCGCTGCGCGCGCGTCGGCACGTCGGCGACGACGGCGCTGCCGAGGGCGATGGTCCCGCTGCTGCCGGAACTCTGGAGGTAGCGCAGGACCCTGAGCGCGGCGTAGTTATTCTGCAGGGCCAGCCCGATGTTGGCGCCGATGTAGACGGCGAAGTAGATGATGTACGCAGGGCACCGGCCGTTTCGGTCAGAGAAGTTGCCGATGAAGGAGGGCGCGAGGCCTTGGAATATCTGCCGGTTGCGGTGAGCGCGGGTTCTTGCTCCTTTAGGTATCGCTTCTAATAAGGGAAGTTTTTTTTTCTGGAGGAATGGGTGCTTTGAACTTACCAAGTATGCCGTAATGGTCAAAGTGATCAACGACACTGATACGTCAAGGTCTTCCGCCAGGGAGTTCAGGGCCGGGAAGTAGATGCTGCTGGAGATGGGGGAAATTATGGCAGCGAATGAAGCTGTGAGGATGACGGAGACCTTGGCTCGCTCGCTGAGCATGCTGTATAGAGGCTCTAGTGGACCGTCCTCTAGAGGAGTACCTTCTACTATCGTATCATGCTCTTCTGAAGCGTCTCTCGGGGTGATTTCGCTATCGACTTGAATTGATTGTGAGGTCCGGCTAGGTGTTCGGTTAGTTGAAATCCCAGTGGGATTGCCTGTATTTTTACGATGAGGATCCTTCGCTATACCCTCTGCCGCATCTATGTTATCAAGCCTAGCTAGACTTAGAGCATCCGCACATGTTTCTGTAGGTAGCCGAATATCACCTCTCCCTAATTCCGATGTCGAGTTTCTCGGTGATTGCATGGCTATGACTTCACTCGGTCCTGAAGTAAAGAAATATCCATCTTGAAATACTCCGGAGACTGGGGATTGATATATACCTGGTTCATAGGCCATGTCTTCGAGTGTAGCTGAGAACGTCCAATTGGCGATTAGGGGGTGGCATGCCAGACCCGACGCGCTTAAAGATTGGCCCCCTAAGCTCGGAACCGAACCGCTTGAACGCCTGAACAAACACACCTGCACACACTGGAAAGGCATGTATTGAAGGTAAAGAGTATCCGACATAAATTCTGACTAATCTCGTAAAGTCGGACTATGGAGGCTGGAATCATGTTGCATATCAACATATGTCGTCGTAGAGAGCGATAGAAAGCAATATATCTCAAAATTTGTCGCATCGTCTCAACCAAACAATTGATCACGACAACGGCTACAGGACATGATGAGTTAAAAGACAACATAATAAAGTATAATACTGTACCTAGATAGGGGCTGTCTTTTATACTGGTTTGAGGCAATGGCACAGCATATTACAGCGCAAGAGAGTTGATTGCCTACAGGCGAGTGTAGGATCGATCCGAACATAGAGAGTGGTGTGAGCCCCTATTTGGCGTCTTTAAATACGTCTCCGGCGAGCTACTCTGGCAACGTATGTACCGAAAATGTTGATTCAATCTACCAGAGGCAACATATAATTGTTCTTGGAAGGCTCAAATAAACATTGAAGAGTCAGGGCTGTGTTAGTATGCATGGAAACTCGAAGGTCCTGCTTTTTATCATAGCAACACAGTGACCTTTGTAGGTACATACCTACCACCCTTCAGCTAATAATCGATATTTTCCAAGACAGTCCAGTCCCTACAGTGATTGAGGGTATGATGTCGAATTCTGCACTCGTGTACCCTTGTCTTATGGCACGCAATTGTTTTGATTTCGACCTGCTCACATTTCTATAACTTAGCAAAAGCTTTTCTGTTTTCTTTTCCCATTCCTCCATCCTACAACACAAAGCAGCCAACATCTTCATATTTACACACTTTTGTCTCCGACAACCAAAATCCACCATGGAGTATGAGATGACTGAGGCCCAGCTGGGTCAATTGTATAGTGTTCCTCCGCTCTTTACTATAGGGAATATTTTCCAGCTAACTTCTTTCCAGGGTGCTCTATTCTGCCGAGTTCAGTGACTTTAATATAAGGTGTGGCAACAGGTTCTGGGCCGTCCACAGAGCCATCCTGCGATGCAAGTCTGGCTTCTTTTCGCAGATGCCAATGTTAGAACTGAACATCCATGTAAGTGGACACTGATTACTTACCGATGTTAGGCGTGGAAATAGCTATCTAAGCTGAGCTAACCGGAACCCAAAGGACTATACCGACTACAAACACAGCGCTGAAACAGTTGATTGGCTCATCACCTGGATGTATACTGGTCGTAAGTGTAGCTACTTTTTCAAACTTCGACTCTCTGGAGGGAAGTTTTCTGATTAATCTAACTATGCCACAGGACTCGAGAGTATGGCCTTCGACCACCCCAACAAGCGGTGGGAGGCATGTCCGATGCTCTACCAGGCTGCGCGTTTCTACGGTATGGCTGATCTGGCTGACTATGTCCTGGAGTTTCAGCGAGAGATCATGAAGGCCACAGCCTTGAAGATCCAGGTGATTTACTACGAACGATGCATGGCCGACTATGGCACGAGGAACCAGTTCCTCGACAACGTGGAGGAGGGCATGGATCTGCACGACCTGATGCTCGGGATCCATCTGGCCTGCGAATCCGATGAGTTTAGCCCTCTCCAGGAGGCCTGGGTCGACTTTTGCCAAGCCACCATGTTCTGGATCCTTTCGGTCGAGCGCTTTGATGGATTCCTCCGGCAGACGGTTCCCGCGTTTCGAGATCGCGTACTTGATAAGATGGATCCGAGAGACGGTCCGGATTACACCCCCGAACGCTGCAAGGACTGTCGCGAGAACCCGTTCCTTCGCGATGAGGGTCACTGGGTTCAGGCGTGGGATATGGGCTTCGGTATCGAAGGACGATGTGACCAGTGTGGTCCTGAACTTCCACTGTTCAAATGATGCCTTCGTTAGAAGACTTGGCTTGGCCTTGGCTTCGGTTTATCATGAAGGCGTGGAGAACAGGTTGAGGAAATGCTAGGTAGTACATGGCATTGCACAGCGTATCTGCTGATTGCAAAGAGAAGGATGCTAATGATGATTAATATGGGATGAGGTACGGAGCATGAAATGGAACTCGGAAAAGTTAATCCCTAGATCAACAGATCTCGGGTTTACCATCAGTATTCCGTAGGTAGGCTAGCTGCAGTCTTGATACCCCTATTTGATGCAATTCCGCAAGTTATGCAAGTTATGCATTTGTACATAGCTACCTAGGTACATAGTGTGCATGTCAAGGTTCGATGCAGATTTAAATCTAGATCGACGGCTGCTGCCGGCTGTATTCCAGATCTCCCACGTGACAGCCCACATCGGCAGATGAATAAAATGCGAATTTGACTCATAGCTACGATGGTACATACTCCAATACTCCATTACCTGCATATATATTAGGTATAAGTAAATTTGACCCGCCTTCTTCACTCTCTCACCCTATTACAAGAGCTTCTATCGTGAGCATATTAGACGTTCTTGGGGTTGGAGAACCGTCTAATCGCTCCCATGGCTCTTCAAATGTCAAGCATTCGTATTTCAAGTCATCTGAAAACCCAATTGACTACCAAGTTTTCTGGTGTCAGGTTCTACTCGGCGCCGGTCAGTGGAAGCATCCCGGCCTCGAAGAGAAAATATGTCCCAACTAGTGGCACCTACCCCAAAGGGTTCAAGGTATCGGGAACAATAGTTGGTGTCAAGCCCAAGAATACTACCAAGCCGGATCTTGCATTCATCACCTCAGATACGCCATGCGCTGCAGCTGCCGTCTTTACCAAGAACAAGTTCCAGGCTGCCCCAGTGACATTCAGTCGTGCACTGCTCCAAAAGCAGAACAACTCGGGACTTCGAGGTGTCATTATCAACTCGGGATGCGCCAACGCTGTGACTGGAAAGGGTGGCCTCGAGGATGCCGAGGCCATGGCCGCGGAGGCAGATAAGATCCAAAGTGCCACCAATGCTACTATTGTCATGAGCACAGGGGTAATTGGGCAAAGGTGAATGACATATCATTGTGATATCATTTGCCAGCCTGATTGTCCATACTAACCAGGCTCACAGGCTGCCCATTCGGAAAATCTTGGACGGGATTCCCCAGGCCCAACAAGCACTTGGTGATACTCATAAACACTGGCTCACATGTGCCACGGCAATCTGTACGACGGACACATTCCCCAAGTTGATTTCAAAGACGTTTCATCTGCCATCCTCGTCGTCAATTGAGTATCGTATAGCTGGAACGACGAAAGGTGCCGGTATGATCCATCCAAATATGGCCACACTTTTGGGCGTCATTGCTACTGATGCGCCTATCTCACCTGCTGTAATTTCACCCCTCCTTAAACACGCTGCGGATCGGTCCTTCAACAGCATCACCATCGACGGAGACACCTCTACGAATGACACGGTCGCATTATTAGCAAATGGAGCAGCGGGCGGCCAGGAAATCGTTTCGCAAGACTCGGCTGACTTCAAAGCGTTCCAAGACGTTGTCACTGACTTCGCAACCGATCTGGCTAAGCTTATTGTTCGGGATGGCGAAGGGGCTACCAAATTTGTCACCATTCGAGTAACAGAGTCCTCAAGTGAGGACGGCGCCCGCAAGATAGCCAGTACCATTGCTCGGTCGCCTCTCGTCAAGACGGCACTCTACGGAAAGGACGCCAACTGGGGCCGGATCCTCTGCGCCACTGGATACTCGCTGATCAGCGAACCCGGACACCCCGTGAATGAGGTAGCGGAGATTGTGCCGGAAAAGACCAATGTGTCTTTTGTCCCCACGGATGGTAGCCCAGAGCTGAAGCTGTTGGTGAACGGCGAGCCCGAGACAGTGGACGAAATACGCGCAGCACAGATCTTGGAACACGAGGATCTGGAAATCCTCGTAAGGCTGGGAACTGGCAAGAAGGAAGCTACTTACTGGACCTGCGACTACAGCCACGAGTATATGTAAGTGCTAGTCACAATTGCCTCTTGAAGGCTTGTATACTAACATTATTGACCAGTACGATCAACGGTGATTACCGGACTTAATTGACGGAAAACTGCCTTTGTGGGAGTCTCGTATCTGGCTAGATACCTTCTAGAGGGGAGGGACTACCATGATAGCGTTAGGTTTAGCTGGATGCTATCTACGAATTTCAAGGCGAGCATGGAGGCTCATATTCTGTCAGATCTCTAGTAGTTCTCGAGGTACATTATGCTTGTTGATTGGTATGTAATTTAATGATTATGTGATGAAAGGGGTAAAAAGCAACTGGAATGATAAAAGGTTACAATGCTTTGCGAATATTCCGCGGTGGGATTCACTAAATATACGGTAGATGAATAAATGTGACTATACGCAATACAGCTACCCCACTAAGCACCATTTAATATATATACTAGGGTACCTATGTATTTATCAAGAGTCACTACATTAGACCCACTTAACGTACCAGCTCCAACGCGTCTTCTCGTCCAAACACGCGTAAATTGATTTTTTTTATTTTGTTAACAAAACCCTTAGTTATTCATATAACCATTCATATAACCATTCACTCTCTGCTTAGGTGTCTAGTTTACTACAATCCCAAAACCCACACCTACACCTATACGGCGATCTAACCATGGCAGCAGCCAAGGCAGAAGTAAAAGGTGAATCTTCAACCTCGGCGGCCAAAAAGGCCCTGACCGGTGCTTCGAACGGTAATACAACATACGAGTTACCATGGTGCGTCGCCTTTTTTCCCTTTTTTTCCCTACTTCAACCGAATAAAAAAGTATTCTTGATTGGGTCAACATTAACATCTTTTAAACAGGGTGGAAAAATACAGACCCGTATTCCTCGACGATGTAGTCGGAAACACCGAGACGATTGAACGGCTAAAGATTATCGCACGAGATGGAAACATGCCCCACGTTATCATATCTGGCATGCCGGGTATAGGAAAGACGACGAGCGTTCTTTGCCTAGCCCGACAACTACTTGGAGACGCCTATAAGGAGGCGGTCCTTGAGCTGAATGCCAGTGACGAGCGAGGTTAGTGCTATCTACACACAGCCGCGAAACCTACACCGCGGCACAGGAAGACAACGATGGATATATACTGACGGGAAATTATATTCTGGTAGGTATTGACGTGGTACGGAACCGAATCAAGGGCTTTGCCCAGAAGAAAGTAACGCTGCCCGCCGGCCGGCACAAGATCGTAATCCTCGACGAGGCAGACAGCATGACGTCGGGCGCGCAGCAGGCGCTCCGCCGGACGATGGAGATCTACTCCAACACGACGCGGTTCGCCTTCGCGTGCAACCAGTCGAACAAGATCATCGAGCCGCTGCAGTCGCGGTGCGCCATCCTGCGGTACGGCCGGCTCAACGACGCGCAGGTCGTGAAGCGGCTGCTGCAGATCATCGAGGCGGAGAAAGTCCAGTACAGCGACGACGGGCTCGCGGCGCTCGTCTTCAGCGCCGAGGGCGACATGCGCCAGGCCATCAACAACCTGCAGAGCACCTTCGCCGGCTTCGGCTTCGTCAGCGGCGACAACGTGTTCAAGGTCGTCGACAGCCCGCACCCGATCAAGGTGCAGGCGATGCTCAAGGCGTGCTACGAGGGGAACGTCGACAGCGCGCTCGACACGCTGCGCGAGCTCTGGGACCTCGGGTACTCGAGCCACGATATCATCAGTACCATGTTTAAAGTTACCAAGACGATTCCTGGGTTGGCGGAGCACGCGAAGCTCGACTTCATCCGCGAGATCGGCTTCACGCACATGAAGGTGCTGGAGGGGGTGCAGACGCTGCTGCAGCTCAGCGGGTGTGTGGCGCGCTTGTGCAAGATTAATATGGATCCTAAATTGTTTGAGACGAAGAGTACAAAATAGAATCCTAATGTAATGGGTTAGAGATAAGAAGAAGTGCTTAGGCGGGGAAAATATGTGTGATGAAAAGGGGGAGGGGTGGTTGGCGAACTGGGCTTCACATTTTTTGCATGGCATTGTAACTGGCGTTTAGGTACGAGGTAATTTGACGAGCTTATACATCTGCCTTGTTACCAGAGGTATGGTAACTTAAGGGGAAAATGATAACAATGAAGTAGCAGAATAACTGGGTTATCCCCCCAGATATTACTATCGTCTCTACGTACATAAGAAACAGATCAGATACCTACACATATTGACATGACATGGCTTTAATTATTTAATCCCCCCCACCCCCTTTTTAAAAGATAAGGTATCCCCAGAAGACTTCATTTCTTCTGTTGCTGTTGCGGTGATGGCGACGACGATGACTTGTCCCCTCCCTCCCCCTCTATCTCCAACAGTTCCTTCTCGTAGTCCGCCCAGACGGCGCGGTCCCGTCTTATGCGGCGCTGCATGCGCACGTGCTGCTCGTACTGCCGCATCCGGTAGTCGGCTTCGATCATGCTTCCCACGATCATGCCGGACATTTGTAGGTATCTGTGGTTGGTTTAAGTCTTGGTTCTTTTTATTGTTCGACTTTTTTTTTTTCAAAAAGAAAATGTTGAAAAAGGGGGGGGGGACGAAATAGTCAGGTCTGGGTTATCGTCCCTTGCTTCCTTGAAATCCGAATAAGTACCTAGGTAGATACTTTCTCGTTCTATCCACTACATGGTAGTCCATGACAGCACATATACTTGAGAGAAAAGTCTAGGTAGGTACTACGTGAGACGGAGTTCACTCACACTTTAAACTGGAGAGTGAGTCCGCGATATAACGGCGAGCAGAGATATCCGACGCCGCCGAGCACAGCGGAAGCGGCACCCCATTTCACGGCGCCGACGGCGGCGCCCTGGGCCGCCTCCCACTGGGCCTCCTTGGCGTCTTCGCTTTCTAGGGCGTTGTGGGAGCGCATTGTTGTCGCGGGGGCATTGCGCACAATCAGCGTTCTCCAATCTTGGTTATGTTTAACCGGACATAGGCGGGGTCGAGGTACAAGGTGGGTATTATATAGGTAGGTATATAACTATAAGTGATCTCGGTTGTTTTCCTGTTGCAATTTGGGTCGTCTCCAACAAAATGATTTAATTCGGGCCAAAGATAAGGGGAGGTGTGTAAGTGGCTACCTAGTAATTAGGAGATCGATACTAGGTAGTAGCTGGCTTGAAGTTCACGTGAAATTGAATTTCATCGGATACATCGGTACTAGTTATTGTATCGAATTGCTAAAGGTGAAGTTTGTTTAGTGGAGCTCGGGGTAGCTATTTAACTCGGGGTCCCTAGAATCGGCGTTTTCTTAGCGTCATCGTTCCTCCCGGATCTAGCACGATCGGGGGACGTCATTCCTACCTATACCTAGGTACCTGGCTGTAAGCTATCAGCTACCTACCGGGTCTACCCTAGGTACAATACAGTAGGTATACAAACATAGTATATAGGCTATAAATCGATTATCACCTTCATTATATAGTTGCTTGCTTAATTCTTAACTTTCTCCAGTTCACGTCATAATTCGTTCTTCGATCTCCCCAGTTCATAATCCTTTTGATGTGTCGTTGATTTTTTATTTACATAGTATCTACTAGTCAGTGGTTTTATAAACATGTGTTGATCGACCTATGTAGCTCGATCTCGGAACTGAGCTTAGAAACTTAAATGTTAAGTGATGATGACTCTCGTCGATGAAGTCCGTAGGATGCCATTGGGCTCGAGATGGTTATAGGTAATTACAGTATCTCTAAAAGAAAAGAAAACTTGCAAATCATTCACGACAGACTGCTTGGTTCCAATCTTCCTATTCCTCGTTGCTAAGTCCAAGTCCGAGCCTGGAGAAGAAATGTTCAAATCGCGGGCGTCGCCGACAAGAATCTGGCAGTCTATTTCTCCTCGACGTCATAATTTCCACTCCAGCAACACATTGACTCCATTATCATCATCCGTGGCAATACCCGTATCTCCTCGATCTCAGCTCATAACCCCATCCAGTCAAATCGTAAACTCCCGATACTTCACCGTGAAATCCACAACAGCAACACAACACCGTTCGTCGCAGTATACCATGTCCCAACAAGAAGAAGCCAAAGAAGCCGAAGCCGACGCGCTACCAAAAACGCGCTCCGAATTCGAGACCGGCGCCGAGTCCGGCGCCGTGTGCTCCGGCCTCGAGCACTGGAAGTCCGAGGCCCCGTACCAAACCACCACCTCCTCCTTCGCCAAGAAATGGACCGCGCACTGCCACTGCGGGCGGATCAGGTGCTGGCTGTCGCGCGACGCGCCTCTCGCCGTGAAGTTCTGCCACTGCATCGACTGCCAGGCGCTGCACGGGGCGCCGTTCCAATGGGCGGCGGTGTTCGAGAAGACGGACCTGCGCTTCGAGCGCGGCGCCGAGGGCCTCGCGTTCTACCACACGCCCGACCGGTCCACGGTCCACCGGCTGCCGTGCAAGGTCAGCTGCGCCTACTGCCACTCGCCGATCATGGACGAGGGCAGGAAGATGGTGTTGATCTTCCCCGGGATCATTGAGTTTGGCGATGCGGAGGATAAGAAGGTGTTCGACCCGCAGTAAGTACCTGCCTTGCCTACGGGGTAGAAAAGTTATGTGAGTGTGTGGTCTAACCAGAATCTTGTTACCCGTTCGCAGATGCCACATCTTCTACAGCCAGCGCGTCGTGGACATACACGACGGGAAGCCCAAATGGTCTAAATTGGATGGGAAGAGCGAGCTGATAAAGGAGTTGGGAAGGGAGGATGAAAAAGACAATACGGTCGTTGGTGCACCTAGAAACGAGAATACAAACAATTGAATTATTGCAAGGGTATCTCATGCATGCATTATTATATGGTGAACCATGTACCTGTCCGGTCCCCTTGTCTATCCGGTATGCCTACCTACGCTTTGTGATGATGATGAATTTTTTATATGCACGCCCCCTTTTATGACATGAGATCCTCTAATATGCCCTCGAGCTCTTCCTTTTGGAAGGGTACGCTCAGTAGTTCAGTACCCATAACATCTTTCCGGCTTGTGATCATTTGATGATCATGGAATCTAGAGAAAGTGTCAGTTCATCCGATATAACCGAATATGTAAAGAAAATATAAAACTTACTCCTTCAGCAACGTTCGGAAAGCCATCTCCGAACTGCAGATGAATTCCTCCACCGCTTTGTTATACAACATCCGGTACTCAACTCCGGGGTTTTCCTCGTCCGAAGCGCCTCCGTTTTCGTCCATCGCCGCTAGCACTTCGCCCACAAGCAGACGGAACAAATTCTTAGCGTTCTCTGGCAAACTGCGAAGTACGTACGTCACACCCTCTTTGCCACCGAGCCGTCTGGCCTTGCGTCCCAACAGCTCGTGCACGTCATCCACGACTTCGAGTTCGGCTGTGAAGGGGGCGAACGTCGTGCAATCGTGAAAAACGAAGTTGAAGGATGACCGCAAACTGCTATCCCAAAGCAGAGAGAAGTCCGGGGTGTCGGCCGAGCAGACGAGTCGGATGTTCGGATGTGCTGCCAATTGGGCGAGAACGGCTTGTATTCCGCCCTTTCGCAAGGGCACGGCGTCAATAGAATTCATAATTACTGTGACGGTAACCTCGTGAGATGACAACAGCGCCTTCACACTATCCAGCATAGCTACGGGGTTACCAGCTGGCATCTTGTGAGAAGGGTTGACCGCACTCGCGATGGTGCTGAGGACCTCCCTTAGAGAGCTAGTTCGTACATATCCGTTGATGACGACAATCTTATTAGCAGTATGATCCGAATATTTGTCGTATAAGTATTTGGCAAATTTGTGAAGCAATGCTCGTTTTGACCCGTATCCATACAGACACACGCTAAAATCCTGTGAGACCTCAAATGTCCACTGTGGAAACGACGCCACATGTATCGACTGGAGGAACTCAATATCTTCGTCATGTGGGTCTTGGTATTCACGAAGTGTCGAGAAGTATTCTTCGTGAGTCAGAAGCTTCAAGGAGATAAGGGTGTTACCCGATGTTTTCGAAGTTCCAGGTCGGTTCTGCGCGAAGTATAGCTCGTGTGGAGGGAGGTCTCGCGGCGGCGTTGGTGACTTCTTCCTGTTCTGTTTGGTCGCCTGGTTCAACCTTGGCCGGCCACGCGCACGTTTTCCAGATGGGGTTGCAGCTTCATCGGGTATAGTTTCCCCTTCTTCCTCTCCATCGTCCTCTTCGTCTTCACTTGACTCGTAGATCTCCCTAGCAATATCTTCATCCACCTCTTCATCGCTCCCATCTCCACCTACGACCTTTTCAATCAGTGCTCTAGCACTCTTCTTTCTTGCGGAACGGTCATTCCTTTTCCATCTCGGGGTCTGCGCAGTGGCACTGGCCGTTGTCTTGGATGGTGTAGCCGTGCCAAGTCCATTTGTTCTGCGAGCCTTTGGAGTTGCGATATTACCATTCTTCGGTATTGTCGCGGCTGGCGGTTGTTTTATCTTGTTCGGTATCGCCTTCACGACAGGACGGGCCTTGGCCTCGTCCTCGTCCTCGTCTGATGGGAAATCATACTCGGAATGGTGACTGTGTGCACCGTTGTTGAACCGTTGTTCAGCCGTCGTTCGAGTGTTGCGTCGTTTAGGTGGACTGTTTTCGACCTGCTCGTCGGAATCGTTCCGGGTTCGCTTTCGCAGGGATTTTATAGCTGCAGCCCCCGACCTCTTAGCCCGTACCATATTTAATCAGCTAATGAAATCAATGAATAGCATTTTTTCAGGATTTCAGAAGCCAAAGGAGAGTCCAATTCGTTGTGTGGATATGTAGTCGCATGTGTATGTACCTAGTACCTAAGTACTTAAAAACTAAAAAAGACGACGCGACTTGTCGCGTTACCTAGTAATGTTGTACAATTACCTAATAACTAGTAGTTACAGACTTACAGTTTCAACCGCTGTGGGCCCTTCTATTTAGCACTAGAGTCCGTGCTAAATCGCTATAAGGTGGGGCTTAGCATGCCCTGGGCTTGAGCTGTAGCTACCGCTTGAGTAATTTTAACCTCATGAGGCTTCAAGGCCATGCATCCATACCTAGCACCTGCCTAGTACATCATGTTCTATGTATAATACGTAGTGATATCTTCAGATTCTTCTTCTTTCTTTTTACTGTAGTCTTCATCATGAATCTCAATTTTTCTGGAACTGTCAGTTTCTTCAAACTTCTTGTCAAACCTTCATTATGTCTGCCCCACGCCACTATCTCTACCTTTCATGACCTGCCAATCCCACTTGAAAAGGCTTTCGAGGTTCAAGACCGAAAAGCAGATATCAGAGCTGTCGTACTTGATAAAGATGACTGTTTCGCTTACCCAAACACAAACGAAATATATCCTGCGTATACGGTAGGTAAACTGATTAACATGAATGCGCGTGGCTTATGATATATCCGTTTATTTAAAATTTGCATTTTTAGACTACAACAGTCAACTGATTCGACATTAGGAGCGGTTTCGACAACTTCAAAAAGCATATCCAGGTCGCCGTCTTTTGATTGTGTCTAACACTGCTGGGGCGACGACATATGATCGCGATGGCCGCCTAGCAAAGGAGCTTGAGGTCACAACCAACGTTGATGTGCTCGCTCATCGGGTCAAGAAACCAGGTTGCGGGGATGAGATTATGGCGCATTTTAGGGCCCATCCGGAGGCTGGAGTAACTCATCCGAGCCAGATTGCCATCATTGGGGATCGTTTAATGACCGATATGATGTTGGCGAACATGATGGGAAGTTGGGGTATATGGGTTAAGGATGGCGTTAAGCCACTGAGGGAAAAGAGTATCGTACGTCATATCAAACTCTTATATCCCCTCTATTTGCTAAACCGACGCAGTTTTCAAAATTCGAGCAACGACTTGGACCATTCTTGATGGCACGCGGCTGGAGAGCTATTGACCCCAAAAGTCCTTTTGAATGAAGCAATAGGTGATGTTCCTGGTAATCATCACAGATAGCAGGGGGGGCTTGATAAATTACCAAGTTGTAGGAGCGACTGATTACTTACAACACATGAAGAAATGCCTCACTTAATGGAGCTGGCGCTAAGTACCTATATTCGACCCACAAGATGAAAAATCGTACTGACCAAGTTGCCGTTCATTATAACTAGCCCCGGCCTGACTCCTTTAAGCCTCGATAAAGGAAGGATGAATAGGAATCAATACTTCGACATCTATAATATTGTTGCTCTCATTATCCTGGAGATCCACATTGTGTCAGAATGAGCCCATTCACATCGTCATGACATATGACAAACAAATATCTCGATAGCTCTCCCGAGAAGCAGCCTTTTTCCTCATGCGTAGATGTTGTTGTTTTTGGGTTAGAAAATAAGATGCTTGATATCAGTGTGTCTTATATTTGGCTGCTCTATGCCAAACATTACATAAGTAGGTATGCTTTCAGAACATGATGCTGATAAGCTTTACTTGGCTATAACTCTCTATCACAAGATACCAGGCAGTGTACGCAGATAGATGATGGGGAGAGATATGTAATCAAGTAAATACCTGGATTTTCAATGAACTTCAATAAGGGCTCTCATCTAAGAGGATTACAATGTCTGAACTTTCAAAGACGGCGACGGTAATACTTGAACCATATTACATACCAATCAAGAGATAAGAGAATAGAGACCTGCCGACACTTGCCCCAAAAGACACAATATAAAGAAGAAACTTAGTTGCTAACATTTTTTATTTCCATAGGTATCTGCTCAGAATTTCCCTAGGTCGCGATGAGAACTTCAATGCTACTAGGTACCTACATAAGTACTATGTACGGAGTACCTAAGGTTAGAACCTCATGCCGAGGCACATACACTTTAATGTTCAACATTCAATGTTGACCTTGACAAATGTTGCAAACTAGTACATGTCATATGTACTGTATGTAATGTTTCCAGTTCCTGGTACACAGTATTCGCTCGTGACTGCTATCCCAAGTCACCTTTAGCGTACCTTCCCAACAGTTCATGTCAAAGATTTTGTAGACATGACCCACACAAGCCAACGGAAATAGGAGAGGAAGGTACGCCATTACTTCCTGACATTACATTCCTCATCAACAATTTTCACGTACGAGGAAGGTTTAGTCCTAGTACATAGTAGCTTCCTGCCGCTAATATGAATTAACTATCGGTACTGTATCGTGATCCTCATAACCATCACGATACTAATAAGTCCCAAGTTTTGGAACTGAACATTTTCACGTAAGTAGCTAGCCCTTCTTTCTTATTTAGCCATTACCCTTTATGGATGATGAACATATTAACTTGGGAAGTGTTTAACAAAAGTTGCTTGCTTTTAGCTTATCAAGAATATAGAAAGTGGCCATGTGAATATGTACTCGTTGAAAAGATGGGATGAATATACGAATAGGAGCACCCATGCTGGACCAATATGGCAAGACTCAACAATATTGATCCACCCTAATACCATACTAACATCCAGAGTAACTGAATCATGACCATCTAATTTGTATTTCGGTTCTATGACTAACTTGGTCACTGTCTGAGTATGTGGTCTATAGGAAGTGCGCGATGGTTATCATATTGAAGGGATCATGTATAAATACTCTACAAACCGAAGATTCTATCCTTCCATTCTTTCCATCTTTATCCACACGCGGCTTCTCTCATTTCCATCTCCCGCACTTGTCTGCCTCAGTCCCTTTATTCGACACTTACACTTCATCCCTAGGCTTTGAGCCTCTAGCAGCTTCACTGTACAATCATTGTTAGAGCAATCATCAATTCATTCCACATAACTTGTATCAACTAAGTTTGACACAATGGTGGGAAGAATATGGATTGACGTTGAAGAACGTTACTTCTGGCGCACTGCCGTTGCCCAGTCTTCGAAGCGGGCTGGTATAGATCGATCCAACGGGGAGAAAACATGGGATCACCTTGCGACCGATATGCAACGGGACATGACGAAAAGAGGCATTCATCGTCGCGAGTATACTGGAACTATGCTGTGTAAGCTATTAACTACGCACCTACCTGATAACTAACTCGAGTCACTAACGAGATCCTGCACAGTCGAGCACTACTTCCAGAACATCGAGGGCCAACGACAATCCCCCAATGCAGGCCGCTACGTCCATGAGTACCTAGACAAAATTGGTACCTACCTACCTCACATTTCCATTTTGTCTCATCGGAAGTGCACTAACATCCTACCATCAGGACCGAACCGTGCAATTGCCAACCAAAATGCTCCGCACTCTCGCCGTAGAACGAAAAAAGGGAAGAAGCGTGCTGCTCGGGCCATTTCCCCTACTCTTGCCACCCCAACAAGCCCCCAAGATGCCGCCGAAGATTCACAGATAGAAGATCTACGTGAGGCCCCTTCTTCGGCTCTTAACCCTCGCCATGGAATGTCCCTGCGTCCTCTCCTCCCGGCCCTGCCGTCTACACAGAACCAACCCCGCATGTCACCGGCGAGTCCTCCCGCCAATGGCCCCTTTCGACCTGCCCCCGAAGATGCCGACGAGAACGATACATGGGGTTATCAGATGGGCAAGCGTTATGCTTCGGGTAACTTATCTGCCCCAGCTTCCTCCCAATCTCGTGTGGTCCTTGCCGATAGATCCACAAGCATGCACTCGGCTGAAGAGTCCACTTGGCGCTACCAAGAGCGCAGCGCTTACGCTCCGCAGCATTTCCCTGCGTCTACCATGACGCCCATGCGACCCCCGAGGCAGCATTATGGTACCATGGGCGTCACGATCACTAATGACGAATACAGTGGGTACTACCAGTCGCACCTCCCGGCCACCCCAAACATGCCTCGCGCGTCAAGATATTGGGGTTATGAAGCCCCTCGTTCCATTCCCTCTCATGGAATGGAAACAGCGCCCCAATTCTACACCCCCGCGCCAGATTACAGCTGGCAGTACCAGGTGGCACATGGTCTTCCGGAGATAGCCCCAGAAGAGCGGCCCCGGATGCTTCAGACGCCACAGATGCCCGTCATGGGCCAAGAATATGGCCAGGGTTTGGCCCAGGACCTTCATCTTCCTCACCCAGGATACGACTACGGGTATGAAGCAGAGAGACCGGATACTCCCGTATCAAACCCCTCGTCATCTGCACTGGCCGAGGCAGCCCGCTCGAGGCAACCTAGCAGCGACAGTACGATTGACGAAGAAGAAGAGACCTTGTTCGTACAGGATGATGGAGGCGAGGAGTACGAGGAGGAGAACATGGGCGATGAGGTCAGCGGCGCATCTATGCGAGCAGAGGACGGTAACACGGGATGTGACGCGATACGTACGTGATCGCGCATAGGATGGAGTATGGTGATGGAGTTGTGTAGTGCGGTCCTGTGTAGGATTTCGCATGGGATGGGGTGTTATGGTTTGCGATTCTTTTACCTGCTAACTATTTCCTTTAAGATTTTCCTTGCTCTAGTTTTCGATGCAGACGCCACCTTAGGCGTCTTGGGTAGGTAGATAAATAATCCCACCCGCATCATTTTCCTTGAAAACTTGGAAGTCTCCATGGATGTAGTGTTGTGTTGTCACAACGTGCTTATTTGCCCCTAACGGAAATAGATCCAATTGGCTTTAATACGGTAAATGCGTCGTATACAAACCACAAGAACTTTTCTTGGAGCAACTAACTCTCCTACTTTGACTTTGTACAAACAGTGTTCATAATACATAGAGAGAAAAACTCTGTACATCAGGATCAGAGTCACACAAATCTCTTGCCCACACAAAGATGGCCATTCGACTTGAAATACCAGTCTTTGGAGCTGCTGCCGCTTCCCAGGCAATCGAACTGGGAGCGTCGCGCATTGAGCTGAACGCCGCGGGCTCCTATCCAGACGGGGGACTAACGCCGTCACTTGAGGATCTACGGAGCGTGGCGCATGTCAATGTCCCCGTGCGCATCATGATCCGGCCCCGAGGCCCCTTACCTGGACTGCAGACGCGAGACTTCATCTACTCCGATGAGGAAGTTGCGCAGATGGAGGCTGCCATCTTGACATTCAAAGAGACGGGCTTACTCAACCAACGTCGTGGCGATGGCTTTGTGTTTGGGATCTTAAAGGAGGAGGAGCCCACGCCCGACAGCAGCAGCGAGGCTGGCACTTCCACTCGGAGATGCAGGGTGGACAAGGAACGATGCGCTCGTCTTATCGACGCGTCCTACCCTTTCAAGACGGTCTTCCACCGAGCCTTTGACGAGGTAGTCAGTTGCGACGGTGACGATGAGCTTCAGTCCTGGGAAGCAGGTTTCAATGATATCGCGAGAGTCAGTTTTGACGGGGTGCTCACGTCTGGCGGGCTCGGACGCGCTGCCCAGAACGTGGGTATGCTGGAGCGGATTATCGCAAAGGCGAAAGTGCGCGGCCTGGAAATTATCGTGGGGGGTGGTGTTAGGAGGCAGAACGTTGGCGATCTTGTCCAGCGGCTCGGATTGAGAGACCGGAGCAGATCGCTGCATGTGGTTGTCCATTCGGCCTGTCTTGCAAGTGCAGAGTCGGAGGCTATTGATGCGGAAGAAGTCGCTGCGATAGTTTCGCAGTTGATATGAAAAATACAGTATCTACAGTATAAACATCGACAACTTCATACTATGTACCTCTCTAGGTCGATTGTGATAAGTAACATGAACTCCTCGAGCTGCCTAATTCGTCTAAGTGCATATGCGAACAGTTCATGTCCACGGCCTAGAACATAAGCAGTGTCGTCACCAGCAGATACCACTATCTAGCCCTGGACGTCTAGGACCCTACCATAGTAGGTATTTAGCTATCTCCTCGCCTGAGTTGGATGTTGCATTCCATTCATCTAACTACATGATTCAACCCACATCTACGCTGCCAATGATTCTATGACAATGTATGAAAAGGAAACCCTTTTACCGCATTCGCAAACGACGGGCTTGCATGTCCGCCCAAGGCCACTCTGGTTAACATTCGCTCATGTCGCAGCATTTTGTTTACTTGCGAAGATCTCGTTTGATGCATTCATTTCGCCCTCTTTTACGAGCCACGATGGGGCGGAGCTTCTCTCAAAATGCCCCCAAGTTGAGCCTTTATTTCCAAGCCAGGATACTCCTGAGCTCTCAAAAATGGATGCATACATCGCATCACCCAAGTTTGTAAACGAAACAGCGGCCCGCATGGCTGGTGCAATCCAGATTCCATCGCAGTCATATGATGACTTGGGGCCCGTGGGAGAGGACAAGCGATGGGACGTCATGTTTGATCTTGCGGAGTACCTTGAGAAAACATTCCCGCTTACTCACACGACACTGAAACTGGAGAAAATCAACACGCATGGCCTTCTATATACTTGGCAGGGGTCCAATGAAGACCTCAAGCCTACTGTCTTCATGGCCCACCAAGATGTAGTTCCGGTCGCTGAATCGACTGTGGACCAATGGACGCACCCGCCTTTTAGCGGCTTCTTCGACGGAAAATACATTTGGGGCCGCGGATCTGCTGACTGCAAAAACAACCTCGTAGGCATTCTGGAGGCCGTCGAGTTGCTCATAGATGCAGGATTCCAGCCAAAAAGAACGTTGATTCTATCTTTTGGGTTTGATGAAGAGACGTCCGGGAAAGAAGGGGCGCAGCACCTTGCAAATGCATTGATTAGCCGTTATGGAAAGAACGGAGGTGCAGTGATCGTGGACGAAGGGGCTGGCTATTCTACTATTTGGGGTACCCCGTTTGCCCTCCCTGCGGTCGCTGAAAAGGGGTACATCGACGTCGAAATAATAGTTCGCATGCCGGGTGGTCATTCTTCAATTCCCCCAGTCCATAATGGTATTGGCGTAATTGCTGAACTCGCCATGTTGATTGAAGCGAATCGTTATGAGCCGCACTTACACACAGAGAACCCATTTCTTGGACTTCTCCAATGCGGTGCTGCGCACAGCCCGGAGTTCCCATCCAAGTTAAAGAAGTTGCTTCCATCGCACAATGGAGCGGTTTGCAGCAAGAAGGATAAGCTAGCTTTGGAAGCTGCAAAGGAGGGCGACATGGTGAAATACCTCTTCACGACGTCTGCTTCACCTGATGTGATCGGCGGCGGCGTCAAAAACAACGCGCTTCCCGAGCGCACTAGATTGCTGGTCAATCACCGAGTCAATGTCGGCGACCATACTTCTGATGTCCAGGAAAGGTTGAAGAAGTTGGCCCAACAGGTTGCAGACAAGCACAACCTGACGGTTAATGCATTTGGCGACGTGGTAGAGACACCGCGATCCATTACACTCAACACCAACAAGGATGTCCTCGAACCAGCCCCGGTAACACCCACATCCGTTAACGGGGTCACTCCTTACTCGGTGCTATCCGGAACAACTCGTGCACTCTACGGTGAAAAGCTTCTTATGGCGCCGGGGCTTAGCACGGGAAATACTGACACGCGATTCTACTGGGACTTGACTCCACACATCTTTCGATTCGAGCCTGGTTGGGATCCAGAAAATGAGGGGTTCAGTGGCATACACACTGTTGACGAGAAGATAGGGGTCTTTGCGCATATCAAAGGCATCCAGTGGTACAGCCTTTTCATTAGGAACATGGATGAAACAGAATTGGCATGAAAAGCTTGGTCAGATTGAAGTTGAAATATTACAGAAGTATACTACCTACAATAAATATTTCTACATACACGCGGAATTTCTTTTTGGCATATCCTGGTTCGTACAAGTTTACCCAGGCGAGTTAATAAACTCCAGATACCTCTCTTTAAACAATCTCATTCATGCTAGTGTGGTCCATCTTTGTCGTCATTTTGTCAGTTTCCGGATCCGAGACGTCAGAGAAATGCACCTTCACATTTTGAATCATCCAGACGTCTCCGTCCCCGTTCTCCACACCGTTAAACTGTACATACCCAGGCCCTACACGCACGTCCTCAGTCGAGTTGGCGATGAACGACGTTTCGTCCTTCGTATCAGGGGCTACGATGATCCCTTGTTCAAAAAAGATGGCATCAATGTTAGGATCCTTGTATGTGCGGAGAGTATTTATAGCCACTACTTCCAAGTAGCAAAATCGGAAACATTTGAAGCAGGAAGTATCGTCGCCGGAAAAATCGCTTCCACAGGATACACACTTGTGAGAAACGCAGGCCGGGCAGGATAGATTATATCGGGATTCCTTGTCGAACTCTGGGGGTTTTGGAACGTCTTCGATGAAGCGATGGCCACAGGGGAAGAATATGGCCAACGCATCCATAGCTATCGCTCTTATGGGGGATTCAGTTTCGGTCGTCATGATAATGGTTGATGATCTGCTTGCTATACAGATCTTGAGGCAACGAACGAGGCGCAGAAGAATAGTAATCGGTTTACATCTCTGCTCTTGAATACGAGCTATTTTTGATAACAACAATGTTTTATAGAACAGCAGCAAAGGTTTACATACCTGCTTGTGTACCTTTCCCTTGAAAGCGGCTCACAGTCGGATCAATGTCCTTACCAAAAGTTTTAATACCAGGATTATCTATACTACCCCCTTTGCCAACAACCCCTTTGTTAATTCTTGGCACAACAAGAAAAAAAACCTGCACAATAAGAATGAGAAGGAAAACAACTTAGCATCCGTTCTCTGATATTAGTTGAAACATATTGGTACATTAATACAAACTAGATACTATAAGTATAAATTATCACCGCCGAGCGCTGTTGTTAAATAATAAACAAGTGTAGTTCGGTACTACACAACTCACCTGCCCATGTACTTACTTACTAGGTACCTACCCAAGATGTATAAACAAGCAGCCGAGAATACTTCTACGTACTACAGGTACCTACATTGCCCAATCCACCAACCAATCTACCTAACAAACCTTTAAATAATGGGAGCGCGGGTAAATCAACGACGCGGCGCCGCCCAATACCTCTGCCTTACCGCATCCGTCATATTGTTCTCCTTCACAGCATGGATGACCTCCGCCTCGGGGCGCATATCGAGCTCGAGCAGCAAGTCGTAGAAGTCGAACCAGCTCGGCATGTCCTCGGCTATCATGCAGTCAGTCAGCAGCTTCCTGTAGCGGTCGCTTTGGACGCTGCCGTTGCTCGCGAACTCGCACAGGCGCACGGCGATGCGCGCGCGGCTGACCACCTCCGCCGGGTCGACGGTCCCCGCCGCCTGCCGGAACTCGATCGTCCGCTTGCCGCCGTCCCGCAGGAAGTGGTGGAACGAGTACGCCGACCGCCCCGAGCTGACGGTCGTCAGCTTGCCCAGCGCCCACCGGTTGTCCGTCTGCAGGAGCTCCGCGACCGCCTCCTGCATCGGCGCCGGCCGGAAGTCGTACCGGTCCGGGTACACGCCGTAGTTGCGCGCCGCCGACGGCAGGATGTTCTCCAGCGCCTCGGGGAGCGGCGTGTACGTCTTGGTCGAGGGCCGCGGCGGGAGGCCCCCCCGGTACGGCCGCGTCGAGCTGCTGGACACCGCTTGCTGGCTGCGCGCAAAGCCGTCGCGGATGCGTTGGGCGAGCTCGGTCCGCGGCCGCGAGCTGCCCGCGAGCGAGACGTCCGAGATCTCGAGCTCCGAGTGGGGCCGCATCTCGAGGTCGGCGATGCGCACGCCGAGCGACACGTTCGAGTACATGCGGATGCTGGGGCAGAACGAGTTCAGCAGCCGGTCGGGGTCGTGGGACGCGGCGAGGAGCGGGTCGGCGGCGTAAAGCAAGGCTGCGATACGCCGCGCAGAGTGCATCGGGAACCAGCTGTGCCCGTAGCCGACGTGGATGTGCAGCCCGGTGTAGTTGCCGATGTTCGTCGTCCAGATGGTGTCGTGCAGGAGCTCGCAGACCCTCCGGACCTCGGCGAAGCCCTGCTCGGTGGCCCAGAGCGCGGGCGAGCAGACCTCGAGCCCGTCCCAGCCGGAGTCGATGCCGCTGTCTAGCTCGTCGGGGGTACTCAGCGAAGGGTCCCCTTTCACGGTCCACTCCCTGTACGTCTGTAGGTGCGACCATTCGTCGTCGTGGACGAAGTCTACTCTTCCGTTGAGATCTGCCGATGCCACGGCGGCCGAGGGGAAGCCTTGGAGCGTCTCTCGGATCCGCGCGTTTAGGGCCCAGAGCAGATCGTCAAACCTGCCGCTCGGCACTCTTAGTGGCGCACCCTTACTCGTGTTGAACCCAGGGGGGACGTCGAGGGAGTCGGCTTCGACGTCGGGCGTGATCCATGCTACGTATAGTTCCAGCTCGACACCGAAGCTGAGGGCTCGCGGTGTGTTGTTTCTAGAGCCCATTTTTGAACTAGATGCTTGGAGTGATTGTTTGCAAGTGAGTTTAGTTACAGATGATGAGTGCTTGTATCCAAAGTGTTGTGTAATTGTGGATGACAAGCTGTCTTTTTTCTTATTCTTTTTCTGCTATGAATATGATACACGCCGATTCCTACGGGGCTTCTTATAGTCCTCATTTTCAGTAGAGACGTTCCCAAACACCACGAAGATATTGGTATAGAGTATAGGGTGATAAAACGGTCGACTTGTTTATGGGGTCCTATATGTATGTGTGGAAACTGCCACCTTGTTACGGAACTGCCACTATCGTTTATTTCTTGGAAGATACTTAACACACGAGATATTGTACCTGTAGCGAAGAGCTTGCACATGATACATATCCTTCAATTATGACTTATGGTCAAAAGACTACACCCTAACGGCATAGTGAAGCTATTCAGGCTTCCTTGATTAAAGGGGTGGATCACGTGATACCCCCGAGGCTATACATGAGCATATGCAAAATATTTGCACAACTCTAGCGATTTTGCCCTCTAATCTTGAGAAACCAGTATGTTTGACTGATTTTAATTTTGGATCTCCTAGTTTCTAAATACACTTGCCATATAATGTTTGGTAGGCATACGCATTATTACTTGGAGATCGTAGCTACTCCTATTTTTGATGAATTCATACAAGCCCAATTTTGGGTAAGTGTGTGACATTTAATCAGTAGTTACAGGAAAGTCTCGAGGTCACATTTTTGAGTACCAAGATAATTGTATATATTAGCGCAAGCTACATTTTAATTATTCGTCAATGTGTTCGTAGATTCAGACGTTATTCTTCACGGAAATACCCCTATTTACTGAAGCTGACTAAGAATGATAAGGGTAGATCCAAGGAGCTTGGGCCACCCCCGCATCATGATGCTATATCAGTGGGTCACTTTAATCACTAAAGCTAAGCTACTTAAAGCTAGTTAGCAGTTTAGTACGCGTTGCTAGACTTCCAAGGTTCCATACCTAGTACAACTACAATATCCCTCCAGGGCTTCCACTTCAACTTTCTTCACCTTACCACGCTATGCTAATTAACTACATTCCAAGGTTTGTGTAGCTATGTGCACCTGAGGCAGTCGCTCGTCGATGATGTCTAAACGCAACGATTCCGACGCTCCCTACACGCCTGGGCTTCTCACATGAACATCATCAATACGAAGTACTAAAAAGCAAAAGCAAATTACCTTGAAATATCAACATTAACCTAACCTACCTACCGAACAGTAGTAATCTGTTCGTGAATCTCCATGTCGCTTGAGAAGTTATAGATCTTCTCCACCTATGCATCGTCGCCATTCGTCATCCGTCATTCGTTATTCGTTATTCGTCACTGCGTTCCATCTATTTCTGCAGCCCTATCAGCAGCTATACCTAGCTACCGTACCTACCTTACCTGCCTTCAGGGCTACCTAGTAATCTCCGATCTCTACAAGTAAACTGGCAACAAATCTGCGAGCTACCAGCCAATCATGGCTGTCTCAAACCCAGTCGCCTTTAGGCCATTCGCAGTAACGTTCTGGACCACGCTTACCTACTTTGCTCTTGTCATTCCGTTACTCGTTATTCACGAAACGGTCCCATCCCCTCCGAATAATCCGACTCTATATTCCGGTCTTAACCTCACCAAGTCTTGGCTTGACCTAACTGTTTTGTCGCGTGATTACCACCCCTTCAATAGTCAAAAGAACGATGACATCCATGACTGGTTGTTGCTGGAATTGGAAAACATCAAAGGACGCAATGGGGCCAATGACTCGAGTATGGTCGTGTTCGCCGATAATATTTCTAATATCACCACTGCCAATACCATCTTCGAATCGCCAACTCCTGTCGGCACTTACTTCGAAGGCACGAACGTTATAGTATACATTCGAGGGAAGGATGACCCTCGTGGTCCATGGTGGGAGGATGGCACTATGTATTCGGACAAGATCATTGGCAAAGGGGGCGTGTTAATGAATGCTCACTACGACTCGTAGGTCTTGCCATATATACGTTGCACACGTAGATATAGATACCTTGCTGACAGCAGTGGTGTAGCGTCGCGTCTGGGTATGGCGCCACAGATGATGGCATGGGCTGTGTGACTCTCATGGCTTTGGTCGATTACTTTTCTCGCCCGGAAAACCGACCTCAACGAGGCATCGTTGCCTTATTCAACAACAACGAGGAAGACGGTTTATGGGGTGCCCAAGCATTTGCTAAAAGTCCTCTGCTTCCTTTCTGTCACACTTTCCTAAACCTTGAAGGTGCCGGTGCGGGAGGCCGCGCTCTTCTGTTTCGATCAACTGACGCTGAAGTTACCAATGCCTACAAAGGCACCTCCGATCCGTTTGGAACCGTGATCTCATCTGACGCCTTCAGTCTTGGGGCTATACGAAGTAACACTGACTACATAGTCTTTAATGGGGTCTTCGGTTTGAGAGGTTTGGATGTTGCCTTTTATAAGCCCCGCGCCCGGTACCATACCAATCAAGATGACGCCGCACACGCATCGAAGGCTAGCCTCTGGCATATGCTAAGCAACTCCCTCCACACAATGCAGAGTCTTTCTGGAGATACTGGCTATACCTTCATTGGAAATCGTGGAGATGGAGATCGGAAGAAAGTGTGGAATGGTAGCGGGAACGACGCTGTCTGGTTTGACATATTTGGCAAGGCTTTTGCAGTTTTTGAACTACGGACCATGTTTGCGTGGTCTTTGACCTTGCTGATCGCTGCACCACTAATACTCTTTGGCCTAACCTACGTCCTAGTACGGAACGATAAGTACTATTTCTTCTCATCAAGGCGGTCCGCTTATGAAGGTTCCGACTTAGACCCCGTGATGCTAGGTGGACAGAAGGGGCTATTCAGGTTCCCCTTTGCCCTGATCGTCGCGGGGGGGTCAGTCATTGGTTCTGCATACTTGGTCACCAAGGTTAACCCGCTAGTCATATACAGCAGCGAATACACCGTGTAAGTACCTAGGTTAGTGTGTTGTTTACAAACATAAAACTAATCCTGAGCTTTAGGTGGGCGATGATGATATCGCTATTTTACTTCAGTTTTTGGACCCTTATGGCTGGGGCAAACTTTGCCCGGCCTAGTGCCTTGCATCGAGGTTACTCCATATTCTGGCTGTTCATCATTACGTGGGCTACCCTGGTGGCAGATACCGTCTTTGAAGACCGCTTTAGAATTGCGGCTGGATACCTATTTGTATTCCTCCATGGTGCTGTGTTTCTTGCCTCTTTCATTAGCCTATCCGAACTATTTGCTCTCCCCACGAAGGCGTCGTTTGCGCAGCGAGTACACGACGACCATGAAATCAGAGATCATCTTAATACTATTGCTCCGCACGCCGAAGATCTAATCTCACCAAGCCAGGACGAGCTCAATCCAGATGATGCCGATAATGAGGAGGCGGAATCCCACTCCGTGGCAACCGAAACAACACCCCTAGTTGGTGGCTCTGGAGAAAATCGACAAACTACGTTCGCTACTACATATCGCCGTTCCATATCAGCATTCATCAACAAGGCGAGATTAGCAGAGAGCAGCAAAAGTCAGCCATATGAGTACGAACAGCTGTGGTCCGTGAATCTTCCAAGCTCAGTTTGGATCCTTCAATTCCTCGTCCTAGGACCATTCCTTATTACTCTGACCGCTCAGAATGGTTTGGCACTGGTCTCTTCTGTTTCACAGACAGGTGCCGATGGGTCAAGTGTCCTAGTACCATATCTGATCACAGCATTCTTTAGCATCTTTTTATTATTGCCAATCACTCCGTTCATGCACAGGATACCCCATCATATCCCGATGGCGATGCTAACAGTGTTCGTTGGCACGGCGATTTACAACCTGGTCGCATTCCCATTCTCCGAAGATAGCAGATACAAAATCTATTTTCAACAAACAATAGACCTCGACACCGGGTTAAACAAAGTCAACTATGTTGGTATACAAGAATATGTGGAGCAGACTATTGCCGAATTGCCATCTGCTATGGGCAAAGAGCTCGAGTGTACCTCTAAGGGAAGCCTGCGTAGCGGTTTAACCACTTGCTCTTATGACGGCTCCGACGTGCCGCCTAATGTGGTTCAGACACACCCCGATGGGATCCCGCCGCAGAATGGGTTCAGCGACTGGTTAAATTACAACATTACTCAAGGACAAGATGAAACCAAGGCCAGATTCGAGATCAATGTTAAAAATAGCAGATCATGCGCAATAACCTTCAAGAGGCCCATTACTTCGTTTACAGTACATAATAATCAGCCAGACGAACGGTTCGGTGCGATGCCGGAAGAGGGCCTCACCAAGATCAAGCTTTATCGCCGAGACTGGAAGACGCCATGGAAAGTGGATGTTGAGTGGAAACCAAATACGGATGCAGATGCAACTACTGGAATTGATGGTCACATTCTGTGTAGCTGGGACGACGTCAATACTGCCGGGATAATTCCTGCCTACGATGAAGGGATAAAATTCGCTCCCAGATGGGTAGCCTTATCAAAATTGACGTCGGGGCTTTGCGAAGGAAGCAAAGCGTTCAGGGCGTGATAGGGGACGGATCCAACCGTCTATCATCTACAGCTTGATACACGCCATTGTCTTCCCACGGAGTCTCTAGATTATGGAAGCCCCAATGAAACTCAATAAATGCATATGTTTTTGCATTGTCGGAATACGGATGTCTTGTAAGGTCGGCGTTAGCTAGTCTCTGGCATTATTAATAAGGTTACAGTTAGGTATAGGTAATGTTACATCACTTCCTCCCTACCTATGATATAGTATCGTCTTTGAAGATACCTTTGATATACCTATCAATATCTCATAGAACCCCTGAATGAATGCGTCCAGGTAATGGTGTGCGATACTTATCTCTACTCTCGAACCCTCTAGACCGTCCAAAGAAGGGGTTCGGCACATATTTAACTCGAGGATTGTTTATCCGGCCAAACTCCGATGTACTACGGGTCTCTTTTCCCTCGATTTCTGAAATGGTCGTCCTGATGGTATTTATTAGTGGAATCTGGATCGTTCCGGTTAGGTGGTCACCAAATTTGAGTCCTCTCGTGTGTTTCCCAGAATCGCAGCCAGAACCCAATAGCGACCTGGTATCTTGCTGATCGTTATCGCGACGTAGTATTTTTTGTGAAAAGGAAATGGACCTAGATCTTCAGATGGTCAGGATAACATTCCACGTCCCAATGAAAATCGGAAGCCAGCCACAACGATTTTTATCCTATATTACCCAGGTTGCATTTTGCCTATTTATGAGCAAACTTTCATGTCTGATTGACGTGACGCTCCAATTCACGTCCGGAAGACTCCAGTAATTATGTCGAAAATATGAACGTTAATATATCCCCCGGTCCTCGGGGAATTGTTACCATCCATAACCGTGGCCTGAGTTCCTCGATGAGGTCCTGATCGGCAGACATTCAATGAAACGTCCTGCAGCCTTCCACAGGTCCATCAAACTTGATGAAGAAGGTATTACGGAGTCTATGTGGGTGTCATAGGATATACTTCCTGCAACTTTCCTTATTAGTCTATTCCCGTTTCTGTGCCTTACATTGATTGCTGCTTTGCTTTAGAGTGCAGGCAAGCATGTCTCGCTTCCAAGTGGCGGGCGCCGGCTTATACTGTAGATCCTCTTAGATCCTGCCTCGTTGAAACCTGTCATCAATCCGTCTTCTCGGTCACGGTTGTCACACCATCAGACCCAACTTTAGAAGTTTTTTACAAGCTCGCTTGGCATATCTATCACTGACGTTTCCCCGTTGCAAACCCTTTATATCTGCTGTCCTTTCCAAGACTTGTTGGCGCTAAGTTGGTCATTACTCGCGAAGTGTTGCTCTATCACGACTAGTAGTCTGATCGACAACTCCGTCCTAAATCAATCCTAAAGGGGTTGACTATATCAACCACCTAAGCGAACCCCCCCTAATCATTTAATTTAACATACAAAATTTACCAACTCAAGAAAAGAAAATAAATATGATGGATAACTTCACCTTACGAACCGTCGTAATGTCGGCCATCCTGTCCGCCGCTCTAGGTCTGGCATACCCAGCCGCCGAGACCCCGAGCCCGACCATAGCAGCAAGACCCTGCACCACGGGCTCGCCCGTCGTCACGGCAGGATACACCATCAAGTATGCTCCGGCGGTCCCAACCGGAAGATTCGATGACGGGTATCAGCCGGAGCAAGCGTGGTCGAAGGACCACGTCGTTGGCACCTACGTGAGTGTTTTCTTATCTATCCCTTTTAATTCTCTCTCTTACACGAACCAAAGAGGAGTAAAGAAAGGGTAGAAAGAAAGTATGGAAACGGATGCTAAAAGCTAATTGACAGACCTTTGGCGTGCCAGAGCCGGTGGAGTCCGGCTTCGCCTACGCGCAGTTCAAGTGCCAGTACTACTGCAACGGGGGCCCCGACGCCGGAAGCTTCTTCGTCAACTACGCGGGGGCCGGCCAGGGCTCGCTTTGCTCGTGCTTTGATGATTTGTAAGTCGACTTGGTACCCTGTTTACCTGACTATCCACCTTTTCCATATTTCACCTCTGGTGCTACGATGGGGATTACTTTTTCGAACTAACGATATCTACGTGTAGGCTGGAGCCGGAGAGCTTTGTCTCCAATAACCAGACTATGGTTGGAGCGTGGAACCACATCTGCTAAACTAGGTATCTATATGTCACGAGGGTGGTTTTCTTAGGATGGGTTTCCAAAAGTTTTCATGTTCTTGATGTTTTGGGCTAGGTATTCAGGGCATCACGAGTTCAAGGAAATAATTGGCACGTATTGGTGCCATGTTAGCTACGCAAGTCGGAGCTTTTAGGCAATAAAGTTTCCTGCTTTGGAGTTGTATATAGGTAGTTTTTATCTGGTCTAATGGTGATTCTCTTCACATGCTTACTATGCTGTTGCCATTGCATCGATCGGGTTGGTGTTGGTGTGAGACATGTTTTCAGCTCATTACGCCACTCATCATCTCCCTCAAACACTTTCAAGGATTCCTTATATCAGCTTAGAATGGGTAGGCTTTGAGACATCACTTGGGAGCTGTGGAAAATACTTGTAAGAATTAATCGTACTGTAGAAATACTCAAGTGTTTCAGGGGCCAATCCTAATCAGCTTAGGTTAGGCTTATGCTCAATACGTAAATAGGGGAACACGGGTTATATTCCCTAACTAGGTATGCACCAGACGTAGTAACTTCTCTCATACCAACAAACTCCTGCTAGGTCATTCTATTCCTTACTAACACCTCGATATTCTCCCCCCCCCCCCCCCCCCCCCTAAAAAAAAAACCTCCCACCCCCTTTTCCCATCCCTACTTCCCCTTCCCCTTCTCCTCTTCCTCCCCCCCTTTTGCCTCCCCCCCTTCTCCATCCCCTTTTCCATCCCTCTCCACATCCATCTTCCTCGCCTTCAGCGAAGGCGGCGTCCGCCCCAACGGCTGCAGATCCTCGTCCTCGTCCTCGCCACGGCCACCCCGCCGCGACTGTCCGAACAGCGCGCTCGCGCGACGGTGCGTGCTGCTGCCGCTGCCCGTCACCGGCGAGAGCTCCTCGCGCGGGCGCACGCGGGTGTTGCGCTGTCGCTGTCCCTGCGCTGCCGAGTCTTTTTGCTGCTGCTGGTGCGGCGGGGTCGAGGGTGGTGGTGGTGGTGGTGGTGGTGGGTTCGAGGAGAGAGGCCGCTTCTCTGATACGGGTAAGGTATCGGGGTGGGTGTGGGGGTTTGAGGAGGGGGAGAGCTTGGAGGGCTCGGCGGGCTCGGCGGGTGATGTGGAGGAGGGCGGCTCTGGTGGAGCGGTAGGCATGGAGAAATGGTCGTGTGGCGTGTCTGGATGCTGTAAGCAGCAGGTGGGGGTTGAGGAGGGAGAGAGCTTGGAGGGCGGGGTGGAGGGGGTGCCGGGGGGTGGGTTTGCGGTCATGGTTGTGGCTTTTTGGTGAGGTTGGACCGGACCCGGGGCCGGGGCGGGGGTTTGGTGGTATTTTGCGCCGGGCCGGAAAGTCGTGGCTTCGGCGCTTAGAACGCTGTGGGGTTCTGGGGTCGGGGTTTGGCGGCTAGAGCTGGCTGCTTTGGCGTCCTGGGGACACGGTGTTGGCGATAATCGGTTGGCAGGCATTTCCCCGCCGGTAGGAGCACCTGAGGAAGGTGAGTCAGGGGCTGAGTCTTGACCTGGCTCGGTCTGTGTGCGAGGTGAGCTTTGGGGGTCTCTTCTGTGGGAAGATGAGTCTAAGGTGGTGTTACGGAATAGGGGGCTCGGTCTTCCTATTCTAAGGATACCTGGCTAGAATGGAGGGTTATTATAACTTTCAGGGAGAAGGAAAATAAGCTAGATTTAAAGATATCTCTCTCTAAATTGGGGATCTTTGTTTTGCTACCTTCTCTCCCTAGGTGTTAGGTTTGCCTCGTTGCCTTGGAGGGTACGTTTGTTTGATTCCTTAATAGCTACCTAAGGTAGGTCAACCGGTTTGTAGCATCTATTTTGAGTACCTAGGTAGGTACCTACGGTAGTCTTGACAAAAGCTGTAAGTTAGGTGTTAGGCATCTAGGTAGATGAGACAAACTTGCCTATTACAGGCAGCAGATATCGGTCTTAGGCAATCAACACATAAGACGGATATTGACCTGTTGTGTTTGGTCGCAAAGGCCGGTCCTAGTTCAACCTGAGTGCCATTCCTTTCTCGTCAAGACTCAAGGTAAGGCATACCTAACCATGACTTACACTTTACTTATGCTTGAGTCCCTACTTACCTAGTTAGTATTCACATACTCAGCCTGGGAGATAAATACTCAGCAGCTTATACTTGTATCACGTATCACGTATCATGTAGAACTTAGGTTAGCATAGTTCAATCTAACTTGATATTATACCAACCTAAGCAAGTCTCTATACACATACAAAATGTCCCTGAAACCGCAATCCTCTTGAAACTCCAAATTATACCAACCAGGTGGTATATCGAATAAGCAAACATTCTTAGAAACTTCTTAACCTAAGCGACTTTCTTATGGCAATACCCTCCATTCTTATTCTCCATCATAGGCAATTTAACCCCGCTTAACCAGGGGCTGGTTCTTATACTTCATGCCCTCCCAATGGTTCGCTGTCCGGTTGCAGATAAAGATAGGCTGGGCATAGATCTCAGTCGGGACCCGATTTGTGAAGATATTCCCGTTTTCGTCTTGCAGGTAAAGCTGAAGGTTCAGGGCCTGTGATTCTCCCCAACGATGCAATACAGTAATCAGTATATCTGCCTGCCATGGGCCATCTTCAGGTTTAACGCCCTGTGCTTCTTCATCGTCTAATATCAAGTTGAATGCCCCTCGGTTATATAGTTGCCGATATACGCGCAACAGATCGTTAGGTGTGGGGTGGTCTATTCCAGGTAGCTGGTGCAACAAGCTGTCAACAATGGCAGTCACGCCGCAGTGGCTGATGATTGCGCGATTCCGCACTACGTCGAAGCCGTTTGGAAAGGTATCATCAAATAACTGTTGCCCACTAGGGGCATTATCTCCCGGTGGAATTAGCGGAGCCGTGCCCTCGACTAGGCCGCTGCCTGGAGCTACCCAGTGTGGTTGTGCTGGTGGAATATTAGGCAAATTTACATTGCTGTTATCATCCCCTGACCTGCTACCTTCGAGACTCCCGTTATTGTCGTCAGTGGTAGTAAGTCCGCTGAAACCACTTCCTATATTGTCGTTGCTGGTACCCAAACCGCCATTACCAATCCCGTTACTCCTGTTGTTGTCATCGGTGGTAGTAAGTCCGCTGAAACCACTTCCTGTATTGTCGTCCGTAGTAGTAAATCCACTGAAATAACTTCCTGTATTGTCGTCAGTAGTAGTAAGTCCGCTGAAACCACTTCCTATATTGTCGTTGCTGGTACCCAAACCGCCATTACCAGTCCCGTTACTCCCGTTGTTGTCATCAGTAGTAGTAAGTCCGCTGAAACCACTTCCTGTATTGTCGTCAGTAGTAGTAAATCCGTTGAAATAACTTCCTGTATTGTCGTTGCTGGTACCCAAACCGCCATTACCAGTCCCGTTACTCCCGTTATTGTCGTCAGTAGTAGTAAGTCCTCTAAAACCACTTCCTATATTGCCGTTGCTAGTACCCAAGCCGCCATTACCAATCCCGTTACTCCCGTTGTTGTCATCGGTGGTAGTAAGTCCGCTAAAACCACGCCTGCTATTGTTGTTGTTACTTATATTTCTGCCACTGCCACCGCCACTGCCATTATCATCATCATCATCATTATTGTTACTGTCGTTGTTGTTGTTGTTGTTGTTGTTGTTGTTGTCTAGCATTCGGAATTGATATGGTTCATAAAACCATTTCTTTGATAAACCCCGGTCAGCGATTTTCACCCCCCTCTAGTACAGGCGTTGAGGGCTTTCAAGTGTGTCATGAGTAACCAATTCTTGCTCAAGCTCAAAAAGGAACGATGATCTCAAAAAAAGTAGCTTTTGAGGGAATGAGGGGGGGCGTCACTCACATGGACCCATGCCATTACCGTCTCATCAGACTCACGCATCAACGATCGTCCCAACCTGACTTTATGCTCAGCAACTTTGAGAAGCTCGGATAGGGTTGGCCGGTCGTCTGGAGCATGATACAGGCAATCGTAAATTGTGTCTCGAAGATCTTTATCGACCCATTCGAAATTGTCCTGCAATGGGAAGTTCCATGTGCAATAAGATACACTTGATAGCTCAGGCTCCAATCGCCTAATTTCCGCGTTCACAGCTTCGCGACTGGTCATGTTCTCCGGAATCTGGTTATATATATCATCAGGTATCTCGGGGTATGGTGGGCATATCGGTTCGAATTTGGTAATAAGAGACCACATCGTCTTCGAAAAAAAGAATGTCAGTTGAATGATTGCAGAAGAGACGATGAACATCCTCACCATTGCAATACCCCAAACATTCGTGTGTGGTCCATAATTACCAGCAACTGGAGCTTCTGCCAACTCAGGACCGTCTGCGTCGCCAGGTGCTATATTTTTCATCGTGTCAGACGTCTCATCCTTATTTTACCTTCGTCGACGCAGATAGACTTGAGTAAGAATATCACTGCCTCATATCAGAGAATTAAACGAAAAAAAACATACTCGCATTCCAGTCTGCCCCAAATTGCTCCTATGAAATTTTATCAATAATCTAAACCATGATAGTCATAATCACATCACTCACCGGAGCCATGTACTTCCATTTCCCGCACATTCTTCGGCAGAGATAGTAATGACTTAATAAGTACAGCAGGGTCAGTTATAAGATCTAGGTCGGGAAGGGCTTGGTTGAGACTTACTTGCGTTTCTGACTATTGAGACGGATGAGAGGGTTACTCATGGAATGAATCATATCAAGAAGCCAGGCAAGATCACTTACAGTTTCACTCTGTCCCCCACTCCAAAATCTGCTAGCTAAGAAATATCATTCAGCAAAAGAAGGAAAGAGAAGAATGTCTACATAGGTAGATATTAACTTACTTTAAGCCGTGGAACTAAGATATGCTCGTGTCGTATCCTATCCTTAATGTTTTTTAGAAATCTTTCCGGAGGGGCCTTAATCACCTTTATGGGTGGTGCAGGGTTCGGTGAGTTCTCTTCTTCTAGTTTGTCTCTTCGAGCTTCCTGAAATTCGTGCCACTTGAGGTGTTCTGCGGTGTTTAATTCAAGGCCGCCTATAAGGACTGAGGAGGAAGTTTTTGTAAGTACCTAGCCTACCTAAGAATTATATGTATACATAGTTGGCATAAACCCAGGCAATGAAACTTACCGTTTTGGGGGTCAATATCAAAGTGGACAAAATTTCGCCGTTTGTAGACTCGGTTTCCCTTAGGGATAGATTCGTTTAAATCGTGAACTTCGTCCAACATTATTTCGTAATCTCCTGGGCCATATATGGGTATGTCGATTTCCCTCGTAGCTCTTCTCATCCTTCGGTCTATGGCAGATTCTTCAGTAACGATGTCTTCTGGAAGCGGTATGCGTCGATGGGGATGAAACTTCCTCGGCGGGTATTCCATCGCAATACAAGCTCGGACGACTAGGTATGAGGCATGTCCTCAACTTGGTCAGCTTCTGAGCAGCATTTTACAATTGACTCTGAAGGGCACGACTTACGGCATAGCCAGAACGACCACAACACTCGATTAGGAACCCGCCCGCCCTCATTATCATTCTGGGTGCGCCGATATAGTAGGTCGTCCGTTAGCTTTTCAATGAGGTCGCTCAAACTTCCATGTTCCATATATTCAAGAGCGATCCAGCGCTCTTCGTTGTCCTCCAGGCTGTTATGTTGGTCTATCGCGATGTTACGCTCTCTTGTCTTTCTCAAGAGTTCCATCATCTGTTCTTGGGTCATTCGCGATCGATTTCTTCGCAGATGACGTTCCGAAATATCCTTGCCCAACTCTCTAAGCTCCGCCCGACTCAAGCTTTCGTTTCCACTTGAGTGCTCGGTAGCGGACGAGTCGTCACGACGATGACGTTTTCGGTACCTACCCACATCCGGTCTGAGCTTTCGTATGCAATGTGCAGATTGTCTGACTTCCTGTGACATGTACAATATTAGTTATTACTGTGCCATCCCGACCACATGCTACCTATGATATATCCTCGAAATACATGTACCATACTAGGTTGGCACCTGGGTAGGCATCGAGGTTAAACAACTCACATCCAAATTTATACACTCTCTGGTTATAGAATCAGAATTCGGGTTCAGATCATATTTGATAACTACGTCCCGCCCGGCTGCGTCTCTGTAGTGAACGGCTAGGCCAAATGTTCCACTGCCTAAAACCCTTTGCATCTGCCAAAGAGGTTCTTGTTTTTCTATTTGTTGTTGGCTGAACCAATCTCTGAATTGCATGAAACGCAGTCGGGCTCTATGAAGCCGCCGGTGCCGTGGTGTGTCTAATGGTATTGATGTTTGGCCATCCACACGTGCGGTGGTTCTAGCCTTCCTATACTCGTCTACTCTCGGTGCCTCAGGACTGAAAATAATTTGCGCATTGTCAAGGTCTGGGACAGGCAAGTTCTCCCATATGTTTCTGTGTTGATCCGAGTTGATATCCGAAGGGGTAAGTATTGTCCCGGTTTCTCTATACCTATTGAATCGGTAGTTCGTGCTCTGCAAATAAGTGAAGAAATTTGCTGCCATTGTGTCATTTCTCGAGGTGTAACGGATTGAATTTTAGAGAATGAAACATTCAGAATGTATTTTTATGTTGTCATGTTACATATACCATTTTGTATGAGCCTCTTTTGTATCAGGTATCAGAAATCAAGTATCAGGGGGAGAACCAAAGTTACGGTTCTATTTAGTCGTTCCCGGCGCGTCATCGTTGAAGCATTGAAAGAATCGAGACGATACTAACAAAGGCATATTTCAGACAAAGAAACTACCGTAGCGTCTCTTTAATCGATTAATATAAGTGCATTTTCCCCCCTTACGCATGCTTTGCTATCAATGCTTTTGAGCCGCGATACAATATTAGTTGAGAATGGTAACATGGGTGCCTAGATACCTACCTAGGTAAGCATCTTCAATGTTATGACAATCCTGTCCTAATTCGCTTGAGTTCAAAATTACCTAGGTACCTGGGTAGGTATCTATGTTGATACCTACATGTAGGTAGGTACCTAATACACTATGTACCATTACATAGGAATAGAGTGTTCCATAGGTCGAAATCATCCGACTCCCCCTCATCACTTCATCACATACCTAGGTTAGTATGTACGTCGAATATATGTTCGCTACCTAACCAAATCCCAAATACCGAGCCCAGAGCCTGATCAGTCAAGATGAATAAAAGGGCAACTATTCAAGTCGAATAGGAAACTAAGCATCAAATACCTATATAAAATCAAGACTCGCTTTACTATACCTACTTATTTATCAACAACCTAAAAAATATTGTATATTTGTCTATAGATACCTAGGTACGCGGTAACGATGGGTGGTGCGTCCACAAAGTTAGCTGCTTGCCATGTCTCGCCAGTCTTCTTACGGGCACAGGACACGACGGAAAAAGCAATCTCATTCATAAAAGAAGCTGCAAAGAACAACGCCAAACTCGTGGTCTTTCCCGAATCATTCATCCCCGCTTTCCCTATCTGGAGCGCCTTGAAGGCTCCGACCGAGAAAGAGCACCATTTCTTCTTCCACAATATGGTGAGCGAATCTGTCTATATCGACGGCGAAGAAATCAATGCGATCCGTGCAATAGCCAAGAAGCTCAACGTCATCGTGAGCATTGGGGTTTCCGAGAAAGTTCGCTATAGTAACGCCACGCTCTTCAACTCGAACATCCTCATTGGCGACGACGGCGAAATACTGGTCCATCATCGCAAGCTAATGCCCACCTTCTACGAGAAGCTTACCTGGGCTCCCGGGGATGGGCACGGGCTTCAGGTGGTCGAAACCCGCGTCGGAAAAATCGGGGTCCTGATCTGCGGCGAGAACACCAATCCGCTGGCCCGGTATTCCCTGGCAGCCCAGGGGGAGCAAATCCATATCTCGACGTGGCCGGCAATATGGCCGACGCGATTGACAAAAGTCCAGGATGACTCAAAAGTCCAGGATAAGTCGCCCGTCAAGGAGCCACCGGATCGTTCTAACTTTCTTGACAACATTTTCGGATCAAACTACGACAATGTTGCGGCTAACCGGACGCGCGCCGCGGCTCACTGCTTCGAAGCTAAGTGCTTCGGCATCATGTGCGCCGGACACCTAAGTGCCGATGTTATGGAGTGGTTGGCAGAATTAAGAACGCCTGAAATCAACTCTGAAACTCTGAAACTTTGGCCGAGGGGTGCGACGATGTTTCTGGACACGACGGGGGCTTTGCTTCCCGGCTTTACGATCAACCGCGAGACTTCGGCTAAGAAGAAATGTGATTTTCTGCAGGAGGAGGAGGGCATATTGTATGCGGAGATTGACTTGAGCGACTGTGTGGAAGGGAAACAGTATCACGATATCGCCGGCGGCTATCAGAGGTTCGATGTGTTTGAGCTGAAGGTCGATCGCAGACGAAGGGAGCCGGCGTCCTTTACAGATGAGTAGGTCAGAGTACCTGGTCGAAGTAGTTTAAACGGACAAAGTCTTGATTTTATGGTTTTATATGGTATCAAGTTAGGAATTTTGAAGGCCTATAAGCTTCAGTAGCCACAGCATGAGGAAGTACAGTATAATTCAACTAAATAAAACAACGTTCCGCAGCCTCTAGTTCAGCAAATACGTAACTACTCATTTTTGCCTAGAACCAATCAAGAGTTAATGAGATGATCGACCTCCTGCGCTCGTATACCCCTAAGGATATCCAATCCGTAGATATAATCTCGAATAATTGGTTGGGGAGATATAATCTATGGATAGGGGTGAGCATAAGGGGGTCACGTGGATACCCTGAGCCAACACATGCGATAAGACTTAGCTTTCAAGGTTACACTAAATCATATAAATAGTACTACTACATAGTAGTTCCTAGCTTCTTAAGAACCGTAGTAATCAAGTGCATGAAATGAGACAGATGATTCTCTGTTTAAGTTACCGGAAATGATGTATGACTTCAAAGGCTCGTTAGATTTCCGGGTTAATAGGAGATCTTTGTCCCAACTATGTGTTGGTTATTGGCCTGGGAGATTTAACTGGGACTTAGCAGGTCCACTGTGGAAGCCATGCCGCAAGCGTTGGAAATGCCGAAATCAAGTGGTAGACTCCGGATACAGAGATGATAAATAAATTATTTATCCAGGTACCTGAGTAGGCTAGGACGTGCTCTTTGTTAAGAAAAAGTCAGTTAACCTAGTAGGTTGTATGATTTAACATTGAAGGGATCAAGTGAACTTTTAAAACTTTTCAGTTGTATGAGTGTACAATACTATTAGTAGTAGTGACCTAGGTTAGGTATGTATTGGTGTACTAGTAGTACTTTAACAGCCCAGCAGTAACATGCGCTATGTTACATTGAAGAAGGGAAAATGTTACACGGCAAGTCTGACAGCGGTTTCGTTTCATATTGTGCGCGTCTTCAAACCACTACCACCTGCTAGTATCTCTATTTGATGGGGCCTGTTATAGTGGTAAATCAGCTGCGGATGGTTTCAAGGGGGCGGGGCCAGGGGTTAGCAAGGGGGGTTTGCATGGGGACAAGGGGCGGCCCCACTGACCAAAGGGTCCATATTCACATATTCACTTGAACATGAGGATGTACATGAACCCAAGTGCCCCCCTGTTGATCACCTCAAACTCCCCCCATTTTGGGCCGACGACTATACCTCATTCGGACAGGCACTTGGGCTCAACTGCTTTTTTAGGCACTTGGGTTCAACTTTTTATCTCTTAAGGTTTATTTTTTCAAAAACGAAAAATTCATAATTAATTATTAATTAATTATAAACATAACTTTAAAAAATAATTATAATTATTATTAAGTTTAATATTTTATATATTTTAATTTTAAATTAATTAACTATTAATTAATTTTTAATCGATTATTAATCAATTCTTAATCAATTCTTATTTAATTATTAATTAATTAAAAATCAATTGCTATCGGAGGCTTATCCGCACCCTAGTACATAGCGCTGGTCCGGGCTCTCCAGCTAGCCTCTAACATACTATCCTTAATAACTTTTCTTTCAATGGATGCATCTTGATGCAACCGGTATCATTAGAACCGCCTCAATTAGCACTTCCAAATGATATATGTTTCAAAGAAATGCGACGGGTGGTTGCGAAGTTATTCGGGGTTGAATGAAGTAAGCACTTTTAACGCTAGCCGAGGGCCATCACGTGATCAAGGTACCGATTACAGATGTATTTTTTTTCAGGTGCTTCTTAATCTTTAAATTCAAATAACTTCAGATTCAGATATCGCATTAATCTGAAACATATATTGTTTGGAAGCTCTAATTGAGGCGATTCCAATGATATAGGATGCACTAAAGCGGCAGCTTGGGCTGATTGAAGGTTTGAAGCTTGGGCTTTTTGCAGCCCGTTTTCTTTGTACCTGGGTGCAAAGGCAAAACTCAAAAAAATAAGACTCGAAAGTTCAAATAATCAGGTGGGCCCCTGTAAAGCATGTGGCCAATTACAGCCCGCTAAATTCCGGATTTTCGTGTGACCGAGCCCCATTCTGCGTGGGCTTTATAGCGGGACACTAGGCCTAAAATGGGGGGAGTTTGAGGTGATCTACAGGGGGGCACTTGGGTTCATCTACCTCCTGCTTGAACATAGTTAACTACATACATATGTACTTCGTACTACAACTGTACATAATCTACAAGTTACAGTAAATGGAGGGTGGAACGATGTTAGTGCAAGATGATATGCCATGATATGCCATGATGTGCTGTGATGTGCTGTGATGTGTTGCCAGGTATAAGATGCGACAACTGCCAGAAATAGCTTAAGGAATACCCTTCTTACTTCTTGATCTACGATCTTCCCGTCAATCATTCTGTTCATCATTTTTTCTTCTTCTTCTTCCTCGATCAGCCGGCCTGCTTCGATTCTTGGGTAATTCGTTTTCTCTTGAGGCCTTCTTTTCTCTATTACTTCACTTTCACTGCTTTTATCATCTACTCCCTTCTCTTTCAGTTCTGTGAACAGCCATGTTTTCCATCAGACAGATCCTCACGGCGTCTGCCGTGCTAGCAGTCGCCCATGGGCAAGGAGTAATCTTGAAGGCACAGGGAAACAAGAACTCGCCAGCAAGTCTTGGTCTGCAAGGTTCGTCACATTGGAAAAGAAATAATAATCCCATACTGTATGTATGTAGAATGAGTGTGCCAACAAAAATATTCTAGTGAATCCCGATGATGCCTCCGATGCCAACTTCATCTCGCAAACCGAAATCGTGACGAATGTCGTGAACCAGTGTGGAAGAACGCTGCAAGCCGGCAACATCGACGTAGGCGCCACCACCGAGGATGCCCTAGCAGCAGACCAAGTCACGCAGGTGACCAAGGGCAGTTCCGTCAAGGTTACCGTCCGACAGGTCAACGAAACTGGCGCTGGTCCCTATACTTGCGATATGGATTTCACCGGCAACACGGCTGGTGCCACAGGCCAGGTCAACGTGACCACGACTGAGAGCGCTGCTGACAGGAACGGCGACATCACCCTCAAGGTTGCCATGCCTAAGGATATGGCATGCATCGGATGTAAGTTCCACCAGTTACCTACAAAAAAAAAGGAAACAAAACCCCCTTAGTTACCTAGCCACTAACCCGAGCGCTTCTAGCATCAACCGGCGACGTCTGCACCGTGCGATGCCGCAACGCAGCCGGATTCGGCGGCTGCTTCGCCGTGCAGCAGACTGACACGACGCCCGCCGAGAACACGCCTGGGAACATCGAGGCCTTCCAGTCGCTCGACAACATCCAGACGCAGATCCAGCAGAACATCGCCGACCTCCCCGCCGCAGTCCAGGCTCTCGCAGAGTCCGGGAAGAGCGACGCTGAGATCGGCACCGCTGTGGTCGAAGGCATCCAGGCCGCGGATCCTACGACGGACGGACTCGCGCAAGAGCAGGCTAACGCCGGCAACAACAACAACAATAACAACAACGCTGGCAACAACAACAACGCCGGCAACAACAGTGGCAATACTGGAAACACGGGTAACACTGGCAATACCGGTAACACAAACAACGGCAACAACAACAACAACAACAACAACGCTGGAAACGCCAACACAGGCAACGGCCGCGGGCGAGGAGGAGGCCGAGGAGGCCGAAACCGATTCGCCAACAGGAGGCGAAGCATGCGCGCCCAGAGATAAAACGAATGAAAACATGGACATGAAACCTGGTGTTGCTCTCGGCTTGGTGGTGTTGTTGCACTTACCTGCTCCACTATTTACTACTCACATAGTTCTCGAAAGCCAGGAGAGGTAATGGAGGAAACGATTCCCAACTTGTAAATATATATACCTAGCTATCCACCTTTAAGAAGTCAGGTATCAGTATATTCATCTATAGACTTTTGATACAGCTCCGGGGTGAGCTCATTAAATTCTTGGCCGATGTGTCTCTTGGCATTTCTACCGTGAAGAAACGTTGAGATGAAAAATGGTAGGAGCTGTAGGGTCGAATGCGCAATAATGACCTAGTCACGTAGTCTGCAGGTACCTAGTAGTTAAAGTAACGGTATATTATTTGGGGATTGAAAGGCAAGAAGTTTTGCTCGACATCTCACGGAAGGGTAAGGGACGATGACATTACATTTAGGTAACTCATCAAATTTTATTTCTCCTTAGGAATCAAATCAAGGGGCTGCCTTAGCAGCTTCAGCAGCTTCCTTCTCTGCGGCTTTAGCAGCCTTCTTCGCAGCTATTTGTTTCTCCTTTTCTAACTTCTTAAGCTGATTCTTCGTGAGCTTGCCATCTCCGCCCTCGCCTTCGGGGTTTGCTGATGCATTTTCTACCACAGGGACGGTTCTTTGAACCTTAGGGTTTCCTCCCCATTTCAGTGGTCGCGTTGACATGAACAACTTGACCGTCTCTTCAGTCGCCTTGGCTCTTCGTTCTTGGAATGCGGCAACGTATTCCTGGAGGTGCTTGATGCATATCGCTTTAAGCTACAAAGGATGTCAGTGATGTGAGCTTCGCCAAGAGAATAATTCACGTACCTCTCCAGTCAGTAGCTTGCCTTCTCTGTAATCCTGGCCAATTTTTGCCAATTCCTATACAACTGTCAACATATGCATACAATTTAATGGACTAGAAGGATGAAATACCTCGTCGTCCTCCATGAAGAACTGGAGATACTGGTATGAGACATCCACATCAGGGTTTCCACCCTTCGCCCGTTGCTCTTCTGCGCTGACCTGGCCACCAGAAAAGGCGTATTTGTTGACCTTGTCTTTAATCTGCTTAGGGGTATCCTTCATGAAAATAGCAGACGAATCAATGCTTGCAGACATCTTGGAGCCAGGGCCTTGTAGCGCGTCGAGGAAGCGGGAATGAATCAAAGAGGGTTTGGCGTATCGGAGCTTAGCAGCACAATCCCGAGTCAGCCGGAAGTAGGGATCTTGGTCGATGGCACAGGGAATTAAACATGGAATAGCAGCTGTGCGCTTTTCATCTTCACCAAAGATGTGTGGGAAGGTGGTTGCGAATGCTGTAGCACCCTGTATGCTGGTGAAGTGAATCTTGCCAATATTCGAGCTATACTCGTGTTAGCTGGGGGTGGTCACGTGCCACATGGCAGTATATACGCCCTTCGTAATAGGAAAGTAAGGGCTTACCTATCATCGAACCCGAAGGTAGCCTTTGCTGTGTTGTAAGTAACGAGCTTCGCAAATCGTGTGACGTTTTTGTAGAAAGCTCCACCCATGAATTCGTAGTCAGAGAAGATAAATGTCTTGTTAGGGTCAAATCCAATGGCGATTATATCCTGGCAATTGGTTCGTGAATAGCCTATGACTTCCTCGACAGTTCTCTTGTCTGAGAAAAGAAACTTTTCATCTTTTCAGGATCTTTGGTTAGCGAATGCCTTCTTAAATTGAATAAGTTCGAAAACACGAACCATCTGTGAGCATGATGACTAGAGGTACATCGAAGACATCTTGCAACCATCTAGGGAAAACGGAGTTAGCCTCATTATCTCATAAAATAGGCCTGATTTAGGCTGTATTCCTTCTACTTACTTGCAAAAGTCGAAGATTTGGGTATGTCCAATGTGCATACTGTCGCTACTGGGGCCACGACCGGTATATAAGAAGAAAGGCTCGCCCTAAGAAAATTGATTAGATATCATAGAAATCGGGCAATTAGTGATACCTCAAGCCATGACATACTTTCTCATATCGATCTAATATTAGACCAAGATCTCGCTCGCTGAAGACGATCTGTCGGCGCAAGAATCGGTGCGGCTTGTGACCGGTAACGCGCTCAAATCTTTCCAGGATCTCATTGTCGATGAGCTTGGTGCCAAACTCCTCCACAAGCTTTTTATAGTCGATAGCCTTGAGCTTTCCATCCTCACCAACCTCACCGGAAACGTTCCAGGGATCGACACTTTGCTTCGTCGGCGCAGAAGCTGGGTCCGCGACAGGCGCAACTGCGTTCGGGGCCTCAGGTTCTGAGGCCATGTTTGGCAGTAGTAAATTAGTTGATTGAAAGTGTCGTGAATATTTCAAAGACGTTTTAGATTTTCCCTTGTTTAAAAGCGTATAGGATATATAATGGCCTTGATATCCATATACTCATATACAACAATCAAAGGAAAGTTAAGGGTTATTGAGATCGATTGCGCCGTCGTGATTTAGGTGACTCAATTCAATTATGGAGGGGCACTGTCCGTAACTTTTTGGAGGGGCAGAACTAAATTGAGTGAACTGCAGGGGTCAGGAATTCTTGCCAAGTAAAAGGTGGATGCACAGTAGAAACCTTGAAGTGCATGTCCATTTTTATATACCTAAGTACATCTCCGTACTACTTAACTACCTTAGTAAGACCGTGGTCGCTAAGCGGAAGCGGATGATTGATTTCCCAGCTTAAGCTCTGGCGCCGCGGTTCTAACTACTAAACTTTGAATAATATAAACCTTACTCATCAACTTGCAACAATTCGAAAACGCGACCGCATTTCGATTGTCACCCCAATTCCGCCTCTTCCCTCCCCAAAAATTAAAAACAAACAACAAACGAGACCGAGAGCCCAAAATGACGTCGACAATCGGAATTCCTATCAAGCTTCTGAACGAGGCGCAAGGCCATATCGTTACTCTCGAGATCACCTCAGGCCAAACCTATCGCGGCAAGCTACTTGAAGGTAAAGCTTCATCCTATCTTCTATCTGTGCTCTTACTAATGGGGCGTGTTTACAGCCGAGGATAATATGAATGTGCAACTTAGGGATATTACTGTCACGGCCCGCGATGGACGAGTAAGCCACTTGGATCAGGTCTATATCCGCGGCAGTCATGTGCGATTCTTCATCGTCCCAGACATGTTGAAGTACGTTTCCATTTCATTTACCATTCCTGCTCGTTGACTAGCGTCAAACACTAACATATCATTTACTACAGGAATGCACCTATGTTCCGTAGTCGCAACGCCAGAGGTCGCGGTGTCGGTCTAGCCCGAGGACGAGCGACGGTCAGCAGGGCGCGGGCGAGCGGGCGTGGAGGACGATGAACGGGGTCGGATTAGGAAACGTGTTGCCGTTTCGATATCAATCGGCGTTAGCAGGGGAAATTTCTGGCTGCCGGCTTTCTTGACCAGTTCTCGAGAACTGCTGCTTGTTCAATCATAAAGCTTGGCATTACTATTCCGAGGGAAAGGTCAGAGGATATCGCGAGGTTATTCTCTAAGGGTTCATCGTGGTCCACCATCAAGTAGGCAGCCTGCCTTTTTTCTTCTTCGTTTCTAAGCCTGTGCTGAACACTACACACAGCAAGTGTCACCATCTCCTGGGATTCTCTATCGATAGATTGAGTCGATCAAATACAATACCAGGAGACGATAATCAGTCAGGTAGCTAATGTCAACACTCGACGAATAAAAAGTGGAAAGAATGATTACATGGTGGCATTGTTTCGATTTAGTGAAGCACAGCGTGGTACACAACTGAACTTGGTGTCGGTGAATAATATCAGGCGGTAGGCTCCGCCAATATCGCCTAATGCACGCATAACATATCGACTTCTATAAGTTCATAGGTTCATTATGCAGTGGTACCTCGAAATGAGAGGTCATTATTGATGTTTACTATCTCTACTATCGGTGACGTTTTCAAAGCGAGCATAAATTACGAGTTTGTCGAACTAATCCCATGCACATCTCTCATAACTGCCCCCAGATAATACAAATTGACTTTTTAGATGGACTCAAGGAGAAAGAGATAATACCCACACCATGCTGTGGCTGATTCAGCCACTTGCTCGCATGAGAAGCTTGCGACCTGACTATGCCACTATCTCTGCTTAGGGAAACTCACATAGGCATACAAGAGCTTTGACCGAGTCCATTCAGAGGCTGCCTACAACCATAGTATCTACGTAGAGACCATCACATCACTGCTGTTCTCGTCACAAGTCATATCATGTCCCCAAAATGTATTTATAATTTCGGTTTATTTATTCATTCCAGAGTACTAAAACCCCAAGTTCAGTCCTAGGCTATCCCGATATCTAGAACGATCCCCGGTGATCATAGAGCACCTAGTAGTCCATGCTAGGGTGACGACGGCTGTTGTCCCTGTGGATTTGATTCACAAATCAGCATTCCATTTCACACTTTACCCAACCCTCTCTGTTAAGGGTAGGTGTGATAACGAGTTTGGAAGTTACTTACGGGTCATACTGGTCCTGGTCACCGTACTGGTTGTCGTACAACTCCTCGGCCTGCTGCTTGGCGTGGCGCTTGGCCTTCTCGCGGTCCACGAAGTCCAGCCCCTTGGTCTCGATCAACTTGTCGACCTCGGCGCCCGCAATGCCAGCTAGGAGCTCCTTGGCGAAGCCGTGGTTCACTTGCTTGCCTATACATCACATAAATGTGAGTTTCCTTCTTTTTGGGGAATTTTGTGTGGTCTTGGGCGGTGTAAAGGAAGGGAGATATGGATGCAGGACGACTGGCTGATAGACATACCTTCTTTGCGCTGGCGGTCCTCGAATAGCTTCATGGCTTCGAAAGCGGCACCGCCGCCTACGAGCTCGTGGGAGATCTTCGACTGGTGAGGCTCACCCTCGTAGATCTCATCACGCTGATTCTTGGCGTCGCCTAGCTATTGCATTAGTATGTCATACTCATGATTAGACGACACACTCTGATGAACCTACCGAATCCGAACATGTTTGCTGGTTTGTAATAGTGATTTGGTAATAGGTTGCTTTGTAGATGAGTATTCGTCGTTGAGGCTTTGGAGTTGTACAAGAAGATGGAGTGAGGAGAAGAGAAGAAAGAGTCGTAGTCAGCCTAGATATATATACACATGCCAACACCCATACCTAGTATGTATCAAGATCATTGACATCAATTGACATCTGCAAGAGCCAGTCATAACAAGCTTCTGCCCTCAGCTAGCTACATACCTTTCCTAGGGTAGCTACCAAGGTAGCCCATGACATGACATTGATAGGTGGGTACGAGGCGGGCATGTTGAAACCTGAACCGGCTCAACCGGCACACCCCATTCGGGCCTAGACACGTAATATGCAGGATGGAAAAACAAATGAAGTAACATACCTTAATCAACCTCTCGTGTTTCCTTCTCCATGACCGAAGATGGGGGCTATGCCGGTATAAGCAGGAAAGGTGGAGCAGGAAACTTGATTTACAGGCTATTCCCGCCGTCTGCGCCTTGGAGGGATCTTCCCAGGTCAAACAAGAGGCCTGGAGAACATATCCTACTAACCCCAATCCTCTCCATCTAGAAGCACATCGACAAGTCGTAGTTATGTGACGGGTGCCGCTTTCCAACCTGTTGGTTGGCAAGGCTCGAGCGGTGAAACCCCTGGCCCTGGCTATTGGGGAAATCATGATACAGCATAACCTTGAGGTCGAGGTCAATCCATAATAGTGCTCAGGCTAGACAACACACACGCCTCACATCATCTAGGTTCTTTAGCCAATGTTTAAGACAGCGACAGAAAACTAGTTCAAGGGCCCTCTTCCAATAGGATCACCATATAAACTAGCCTCTCTTGGGTAAGCAATACGTAAGGGTATCAACTTTCGACGTTCAATAATTTACCTGCCATTGATTTTCAGGGTACTACTAGACGTTCCTATAGGCAAGTTAATAACTTGTCTTAACTTATCTAATAGCCTAATTAGTACCTAAGGTATGTAAGGCAAGCTTCGTCATCTAAATGCCGTTGACATCATGGGTAAAGGGTATATTTTAATATGATAATAGATATAGAAACATGATGGAACAGGGAAGAGACGCACATGCAATGTAAATTCAAGTTAGTCGGGACCAATATGCGCAATATGCAATCCCTAAACAAGAGTGCCAAGGTCTAGTGCCAAGCCGGGTATCGGCTTGGCAAATGCTTGTTCTTAACGCCTATGTACTTTGTACCATGTGCATCAAGTCTGATCATTAAGTTGGACGTGGGGAAGCTGACTACTATTTGTCTGCTTGTTCATTGGTTCCCATTCTGAGATCATCCAGCACTAATGTATGTGCCGTTATTGTATCCTAGCTATTTATCATGCATCATGGATTACAACATGTGAATGCTTAGTCTTAGTCCATAAGCCCCTAGGCCCCCCCACCCCCTAACCCCTTAAGTTGTACTTCCACCAAACTTGGCTTGATACTCGCTGTGCGCCTTTTTCTGTCTATCCCAATCCTTCTTCAACTTCTTCAACTGGCTCTTAGGTACTTCACTACCATCTTTCATCTTTGTCGGCATTCCTTCTACATCCCATTCACTATATCTATCATCGCCTTTAAACAGATCCTCTGGCGCTAATTTCGCCTTCTCCCACTTCTCTTCTTCGGCCTTCTCCCTAGCCCGTCGTGCCTCTTCCTTTGCGCGCGCCTTTTCTGCGTCCTTGGCCGCCTTCTCTTCTCTGGCCGCCACCAATTCGGATGCGGGAATGAACTTGATCAGCGATGGTTGATCTGGCCGGTCGTCTAAATAGACACCTAGGTCGGTAAGATCAAAGTCTCGTATACGATCGCTAATGGTGAGGATCGCCTTCTTCGTTTCTGGTGATGCGGTTGGTGCTAACCGCCGAAGCTCATCACGCAGTTTCGATACTGTACGTAGATATGGTAATGCCAATTGCTCGGGGTCTCTAACTCCCGAGCTAACTAATACGTCAAACTCGGGATCTGGCGAATGGGAGAGAAGCTCTTCAAGAGTGTTGGAAGACGGAATCTCAAGATGCTGTACATCCAAACGGATGGCCTTGTGCACCGCTTTATAAGGTTGTACAGCAGCTGAGGGATCAAGATTGGCTGCAGCAGCGGCAGACACCCAACCGAGACCCTCGTAAGGGGGTGTTGCACTGCCATCCAGCCCAAGGATTCCAACTATCTTTGTGATCCACCTTCCAATGGCTTCGATCGCGACAAGATCCATGTCGAATTTATGAGTGCCTATATGCACATTCGTTTTCCGAATAACTTCAGCAATCGCTTGCATGACTTGAGGAGTTTGAAAGGAGTTAGTGAATGCCGCCTCAACATCCTTTTTGGCTTGTTCTAAATCGGCCCATAAGCCTTCTTTGGGTTTATCTTGAATTGTAAGCTTCTCTAGGTCGTTACTCGCAACCGCGATTGTACCGTTAGCTTCGACTAGAAGCGATTTTGCATTTGTAAAGAAATTCTGGCATAGTCAGCATTTGCAGCGTAGTACAAGAGATAAGAAGATGCCTTACGTTGACCGCATTTTCCCAGCTATCGGCTTGAGCTCGCATGTCTGGTGATATTTCAACACCGTCATTCCATTTACCAAGTAAGAATACTATGCGCATCGACCGAGCCGTGTAGGTAGAAGCCAAAGCATCTTTGATGGTCTGGAAGTTCTTGAGAGATTTGGACATTTTCGACCCGGAAATTGACAAATGACCCATATGTAGGAAGTAATTGACCCAGGTATGCTCGCAGTTGGGTGTGCAGAAATAAGCCTCGCTCTGAGCTAGTTCATTGTCGTGATGCGGGAACGCAAGATCAATGCCACCGCTGTGAAGATCCATGCGTGAGCCTAGAACATCAGATGCCATGACCGAACATTCAATATGCCAGCCTGGCCGCCCATTTCCCCATTTGCTTGGCCAATATGGTTCGCCCGGCTTCGACTTCTTCCACAAGGCAAAATCGCCAGCTCCTCTCTTTCCCCCAAGACTCTTGGAGAGCGAGCCCTCTCCTTCTTCCTGCAGAGCTTTGTCGTTACGGCTTTCAGGTCGAAGTCTCGCATACGTGTTGCCTGCTTTCTCGAATGCCCCAATATCAAAATAAACTGATCCCTCGGCTTCATAAGCGAACCCCTTTTCAACGACCTTTTCCACAAACTTGGCGATTTGTGGCACATATTCGGTCACTCTGGTAACCACATCAGGTCGAAGTACATTTAGAGCATCCATGTCGTTGGTGAACTCGCCCTCCATAAATCGAGTTAGGTCTGTGAAGATCGACTGGTCGCTGGTGTCGATAGCTTCCTTATATAAGGAATCGAGATATGGTAGCAAGATTTCGTCGGCACCCTTGAAAACTTGGTTTCCATTGATAGCAATAACTGCAGAGGTCATGTTGCTTATATGCATCTTCAATTTGGCCTCAGCATCACCTGGCTTGCCCTCTCCCGTCAAAGCCTCCCCCGCCAGCACGTGTCCGTAGGCTGCATCTCGACGTGGAATATAATTGTTCACATCTAGCTCGTCTTCTCCCTGGAGGAGTTCTGGGAGATTGCTTTTCGCATAGGCTCGAAATGCAGCCTTTCCTAATTCCAAAGCTTCGGCGTCGGTATATTTCTTTTGTTTCTCGAGGTCAAGTAATCGCTGTCGTCGGGCTTTGATAATAATCTTTCCAGGTTTGTTAGTTATTAGAGAAGTATCGCTATTATCAAATAAATAGAGCGCGCACCTTGTCGTCAACGTCTGTGAAGTTCATGACAAATTTGACCTTGAAGCCAAAGTAGTGCATCAAGATGCGACGAATTATGTCGGTAGACACATAATTGCGGGCATGACCTAAATGGCTCTGATCGTAGACAGTCGGTCCACAAGCATACCAAGAGATCTTTCCCTTCTCAATGGGAGTAAAAGGAACTGGGGCTCCTGGCTGAAGGGAGTTATGAACTTTGATAGAGTCCATGGCGGCAGCCATGACGGGGTATGTCGCAAAGCTTCTGTACTTGAAGGAACGGGTTGGACGAATGTGAATAATAGATCGCCTAGCTATGTTAAAGAAGAGGAATTTCATCAAGGATTTGCAAGAAAAGACATGAATGAGAGTTGTGGTTAAAAGGGGGAAGAGGAAAAGTGTGTTACATTGCTCAAGTGCTATTGTTGAGTCAAAATATTAGTAAAGACAATGCATTGGCAATTTGGCAATACAATTTGGAACTTGGAAGACTTTAGCTTCACTAGTTAACTATAGCACATCGGATTTCTAGGGTCCGTTACCCCTCTGCCTGGCAGTGTGCCTCTGCTTCTGCCCCTCCTTCCTTTTAAGACTTTGGCGCTGTCTCCGCCCCGCCGTCTTGTGTTCTTAGTGGGTAGTAGCGCCCTGAATATTTTCAGCCTTGCCCAGGAAGGTACATACTTTGTATGTTACTAAGAATTCTATTAAGGTTGTTTTTTTTTTCTTTTTTTCTTTTTTCTTTTCTCTTTTTTTTGTCCTTTCCAATATGCCTACCTCCTAATAATAGGTTAGTATGCTAAAATACACACTTAATTCTTCCATATGATATTCGAACAATAGCAATTGCATTGAAACAAGCGGGTATCATGTCGAACGTCTCGCCCTTCTTTTATCATGGGCCTCGAACGACCCCCGACACGCTTGCTATCGCACACCTATCCCGCGAAAACCTTCAACCCATCTATCTGAAAGAGTCCACAGGCGTTATTGACGGTTATACTGAGGGCGCAGTGATGAACACGCGGTTTGGATCGTTTCCGCATTCCACTTTGCTCGATAAGCCTTGGGGTTCTCAAATACGTGCCTCCATCGTGGACACCGGCTCTAGGGGCAGAAAGCGAAAGATAGACAGCGGTGCAGACGGCGATGGACCTGAAAACGACACAGAAAGTACTGCCCCGGTGAAAGCCAAGTCAAAAGACCTCAAGACTGCACCGAACGGTTTCATTCACATACTTCCGCCCACGCCCGAACTATGGACCACAAGTTTACCACATCGAACACAAGTAGTGTATACCCCCGACTACAGTTACATCCTTCACCGCATTCGCGCTCGACCTGGCATGAAAATAATAGAGGCTGGTGCTGGGAGTGGAAGCTTTACACATGCTTCGGCAAGGGCAGTTTACAGTGGATATCCTAAAGACGCCAAAGACTCGAGAGGGAGGGTGTTCAGCTTCGAATTTAACGAGGACCGCTATCATAAGATGCGACAGGAGATACAAGACCATCGTTTGGACGGAATTGTTCAAATTACCCACCGAGATGTTTACAACGACGGCTTCCTTGTCGATGGTGAGAGTCCTGAGGCAGATTGTGTTTTCCTCGACTTGCCGGCGCCATGGAAGGCCCTGCCTCATCTAGCAAGAAGTAGGCCAACACCATCTCAGGTCTCGATTAGTGGACTTGATAGTCTCAACAACACCGAAACTGAATGGAAATCCCCTTTGCGTGCAGACCGGACTGTCTATCTCTGTACGTTCTCTCCATGCATTGAACAGGTCACCAAGACCATCGAGGTGATGCGTCACCTAGGCTGGATGGAAATTGAGATGGTTGAAGTTGCCCACAGGAGACTTGTGGTTATGCGAGAACGAATCGGCTTGCATATACCAGCAGGGGAGCGAGGTGCAAATCAAACAGCAGCTAATGTTGAAGAGGCTGTCACGAGGTTAAAAACGATCGAGAGCAAATTTGAAAAGACTCGCTACCATGGTCTGAACCCTGACGTTGTCATGAATGATATTGACGATGACGATGAGGTTATGGCGGATAAGGAGGAAAATCCGGTCAATGGCAACGGTGAGACGATTGGGGATGCATATTCAGAGAAACACTGGATGGCGGGAAGATTGATCCATCGGACTGAACCTGAGATCAAGACCCATACCTCATATCTCGTCTTCGCTGTGCTGCCACAGGAATGGACAGAGGCGCAGGAGCTCGCTGCTTACAAGCAATGGCCATGCGGTGCGGAAAATAAAGTCATTGGTAGCTTGGGCAAGGAGGCAAGGAGGCAGCAGAAGCGAGAGTTGCTACAAAGCAAGAAACGGAAGAAGGAGGCTAGCAGCAAACCTGAAGGTGATCAGAACACATCGCCTAAGAAAGTAAGGCCTGACAGCTTATGATACCCGACCTTTGTGGTCACGAATTTTAAATTACCATTGCGAATTTTGGCCACCCCAAATCTGTCTAATGTTTACCTACTTAGGTAGGTATTCCGTCAACAGACCTGTACAAGATACATACCTATGTGCTAAAAACGAACACTCATATGTAGACTAAGCCTGATTCTGTGTTCGCATCTTTAATGACTCGCGTCATTATCATTTGAAACAACCAAATCAAGTTGGACTAGCTTGGCAGTTGATGCTTTTTTGAATTCTTTGTAGGAGAGTGGCCGTTTCACTTAAGCATCCTGATCGACGACATGGACTCGTTTTGTGCTTGTAAGAAAGACAGTTGTTGGTACGAGGTAACTTAAGTAAGTAAGAGTAAGTATCTACTACCCTAACCCTAAGTTATTATAATCCGACATTAGAGACAATAATATTGATAGTTGATATATCAAATATGCATAGTATCGTCGGAAACACATACCACATGTGTGTGCCACTGTGATGTGATGGTGCTAATTATATATCTGTACCTAATAGGTCCTAACTAGTACGTACACAAATGATGTTCAACATTGAATGTTTGAACTTTGGGGGCCTTTCAGTAAGCCACGTGCATAAATACCTAGCACATGTGGGGAATCCCTTAACACGGCAGTAACCTTCTAGGTTAACCTACTGTATGGTACCCCAAGACACTTGGCCTTTTTAAGTTCTAGAAAACATCATGCCCTACATAGTAACCACCCTACTACCTATATACACCTAGCTCATATACACGTCGAAACAGGATTCAACATAGCGATGAGTGGTAAGAAAGACAGACAGGCATTGAGGTAAGGCTAGCCGAGTGGATTACCACATCTACGACGTTGATCAGAGCACGGCGGCAATACCCAACAACCCAGATGAAGATCAGGGAGATCGGGGAGATCAAAACCAGAACTAAAACCTGAATGCGTATCATACTATCAAAAAGAAGCAAAAAAGAAGCAGCATAGAAATAAGAATTAACCTGATATCAGCTCGAGTTTTAGACCAATGGCACGAATTACCTTTAGGTAATGATTTGTTTGACGAGGCTAACACCGTTTCATCAACTTTCTCCATGAATTGAAGAGCCGCGCGGCGCGTGGGCCGTGACCCTTGCAACCGTCGAATACTATCCCAAAAGAAGAGATCGAGCCGCGTTCTTGGTATACAAAATACCACTTCCAGCAGTTCATGCCGAAGAGCTCCATCTAACAACATACTTCAAACTTTGAGTATTCTGGCCTAGATACTAGGTAGCACTAGGTATCAACTAACCTAACCTAGAAGCTTTGAATCAAGTAGCGACTCGGCGACGACACTTCTTATTTTACATGCATATGTACTGGCAATTGCCTCATATCACTACCATACCTACTCAATGTGCCAGTTAGCGCTGAAAAGGTAGATATGTACTCATCCATGTGAATACTAGAATATTCACTGAACTTTTGTGCTTTTTATTTGTGTCGCAATAGTTACCTACCTAGGTAAATATAAGAGTTTTATGTAGGATACATATGAGCTGACAATTCCTAACAGATGCTCAGACAAAACCATGGCAAAGCTTTGATAGGGAGCCTCGGTTGAGCTTTCTCAGTTCTTGTCTAATAATAATACCTATTTCTCCTACCTAGCGAAGCTTATGATATTCTTCAAATTGCGGATTGCCAAGATTTCGCGCCCCCAAGAAAGCTACGTCGAGCTTGGCACGTTTCGCTCCTTGGGCGATATGATGATATCTTATTAGACGATGGGTAGAGCACCTTGGTTTATTGGTACACCTAGACGGAGATGAGCCCCGTCTAGGTACCTAGCATATCAACTCCTATTGTGATGCCTACCTCCCTACCGGGTCTCATCAGAATATTATCAGCCTCCTTACGACCCAGACTAGGTACCTAGTAGTCAGCGTCTCCACCAAGTTCAAAGCTTTGGTCTTGTAAAGACATGAATATTTGATCAAATCCCATCTAGACGTACATATTTCTTGCCTCATGCATTCTCATTTTGCACGATAGCATCAGCGAAATTTCTTGAGCTTGCCCTGGCGGTATCTTTACTTCTGCCCTGGCGGCTTTATATCCCTACAATTATTCTTGAAATTTGAGCGACCTGCGATACCTCCTATTTTCCTAATACCTCATACTAAGACTAATCATGTCCGAACACTCTTGCCCAGTCTCTGGCTCCGTCAGGGGCAAATGTCCAGTCGGTCACGCTCGTTCAAGCAGAAGCAGTAGTCGAGCCGGCCCACGAGGTTGTGCCTTCTCAGGCTATGGCCAACCGGGAGATATTCACGCAGCATTTGACGTACGTTGGGTATAACCAAGAAGCCACAATAGAAACTAAGAAAATATAGATTCCACGAGGTGTTGATGCTGAAGAATGGCTCCGGATGAGGTACGAAAGCACTTAAATGCCTACCTACCAACACTTAACACTCCAGCTAACCCTGTCACAGAGAGCGCAAATCAATAAATCAGTTGCTTTATACCAACATCCCATCGGTTAAAGAAATTGACGCAGTAAAGACTCAAGCGGAATTAGATGCGTTCAATGTACATGAGCAGGACCTATTAGCAGTCGCATTAGGGGCGCCTGCAAGACAAGTCATGCTGAGAGCAGAAGAGATTGGCTCGAAGACAGGCTGGATCGACGGATATCTAAGTGCAGAGCATGGTTTCTGCCCTGTAGATTACGAAGAAGCCGCTGGGGCCTTAGCAAAAACACCAGGTCGCATATGGGCGGATCTTTGCGAGCGGATGCCTGGCTGTGTTGCTAGAGGACGTGTCCAAGAGTCTATCGCCGCAATAACTCTTGTAGAAGGCACCAAAGAGGTGATTCCGGATCAAGCACTATGGGCGGCTCTCGTAGCACTGGGGAGTAAGTATACCCATATCTCACAAAATGAACTTAACAGTTCAAGGAGAATCTGTCCCAGATCTGCTTCCCACTAACCTCGAATAATATAGTGTTGTGCTCCATTTATCGGTTCGAGATCAAAAACGACGGCAGTAACGGTATCACTTCGACACGAAATGAGAAGAAGAGGCCAAACGTCCCAATGGGAGATGATCTCGGCGAAGAGTTAGTTGGCATCCCGCTATGCATAGCGTTGCCGTATTACCAGGTTTCTCGTCGCATGGGCCGAACGCTGCCTCATCTCACCTTTCCTGATCAGTCATCCTACAACATCAAGATCCGAGATCCTACATCCAACTATCCTTACCTAGCACGATTCGATAACATAGATCTCCGGTGGCCTATATTCGGCGAGAAAGCTGAGGTTGCTTTTCTCAAGGGCTGTGCCGAAACATCAGGTAGGTAATCCTTTGTTTTAGACTAAAAGGCCCCTTTTAATACTAACTCTTACAGCATCTTTCCAGCATGGGCCTGATGCAATTGCTGCTTGCCAGGAACATGTCATGAACAAAAACGTCGAAGGACTTCTTCGCGAAATGATTCGGCTGAAGGAGATCTTGGAGCGTATGCCCAACGCCTTCCATTCCATCAATGTAAACCCGAATTCGGGTGAAAACTATGTTCCCGTCCACCAGTGGGTTCGTTGGGCCAAGTTCTCTGCGCCCCTATCCAAGAGATGTCCAGCTTCTTCGGGTTTGCAATTTCCACCATACCTCGTCATGGACGCCTTCTTGGGTCGTAAAAAGTAAGTACATTTTTTATCAAGTCATTTATTTGAAAGTAGTCAGTTAGCTTTAAGTCTACTGCGAGGCACAATTCACCCGATAGAGAGACTAATACTTGATAGGTACACTTCATTCCTTGGTGCAGAGGGTGTACATTTAAGGGCCTGGCTCCCTTCTAATCTGCGAGCCTTCATTGCTGCGATCGAGTATCATTACCGCATTCCAGAATTCGTTCAACAATCAGGCGACCCACGGTTGATGGGAGTTTTGGATGGTATAATTGAAGCGTACACGGGAGAACGAGGCTTCATGGGCACTCACCGATACAAAGTCTTTGGGATCCTTGAGATCGCGGCTAAAATAGGACGAACAGAAACAAACGGCCTGTCCGGTGCTACTGATGCTTCCCGTCCATGGGAAGAATCCCACAAGCAATTCTCCGATGCCATGAAAGAGCGTCTTGAGCCTTATCGTAAGTCATAGGTACCCAATAAAACTGAGCTAGAAAGGCTTCGCGATCACGACTATAGTAGAAGCTAACTTATCGTGAACGTAGGTGGAAATCTATCGATTGAACCTCATCAGATGAGAGGCACCTTCGAGGAATGTCGTTACGTTACCAGAATCCTGAACCGATCCCATGTCGATTCTGACCCAACGCGGGCTATTGCTCTTGTAACGTTGGATATTCAAGATACGGGAATAACTTTCATGCCCGGTGATCGTCTAGCGGTCATGCCGCTCAATAGCTGGGAGGAATGTGCAAAGGTTGCCGCCGCATTGGGCTTGGAAGCACATATCGATAATCCCGTTGATGTTACTGGTACTTGGTCTCGTTTCGAGCAGCATATTACGTCTGTAAGACGAGCAACCCCAAAGAAGTTGACGGTGATCGACATCCTTCGTCGTGGCCACCTAGCACCTATCACCAAAGACCTCGCTCTAAAGGTCCACGGTATGCTTGCTGCCTCGTCAAATACCGTCCTTCAAGTTCTAGCAACGGACGAATGGCCCGTTAGAGGCTCACTTGGGGATATGTTGCAAGCTGCGCTGATGGATACCCCCACTCACATATGGGACAAGGCCTTCAGTTTAGACAACCTTTCATGGCTAGCCGAACTTATCTCCGTCGAGGTGCCTCGTACCTATTCGATAGCTAGCTATACTGATGAGCTTCTTCCGAGCACCGTGGACTTGGCTATTTCACGCGCCGAGTACAAGGTATGCTCGACATTTTCTAAGCAAGAGGACATCAGCCGTGCTGGTGTTGCTAGTGGGTTCTTTAACCCCTCTCCACCATCAGATGATATGGTCTCCGACGACGAGATCCTAGTTGGCGTATCGCGACCCATGGCCTTCCAATTGCCCCTAGATAGTATGGCTCCCTGCGCGTTCTTTGCTGGCGGTAGTGGCATTGCCCCATTCCGAAGTTTCTGGCAATATCGGTTGAACACCAACGGCTTATCAGGGGGCAAGAACTATTTATACCTGGGTGTCCAGTCACGCGAGAAGTTCTGCTTCGAGGACGAATTGAGAGAGTATGTGAATGCGGACTTTATGGATGTCCATGTAGCTTTCTCAAGGGATTCTCGCGGTCTTGTCTACGACCCACACTCACGCGACTTAGTTGAAAGACACATTCCGCCTCGGTATATCGATACTCTGATTGTCGAGCAAGGTGCTAATATATCCGACCTTGTCATGTCGAAGAAACAGGGTGGTCTAGGCGGGTACCTTTACGTCTGTGGTTCCGTTGCCGTATTCGACTCCGTCATGAATGGAATCCGCAAAGCACTTTACACTCACTGTACGGCAACTATGGAGAACGTCGACCTCATTGTCAACAAGGCGTTTGCGGAACGTCGGTTCATGCTCGACGTCTTCATGACGCCTAAGCCACTTCCCTGTAATTTACCAACGATTCCTCTGTCGCAGCTCGCCCAGCACACCGGTCATAGACCGGGATCTCGGATGTGGATCGGTGTGCACGGAAGTGTCTACGATGTAACTGATTTCACTCCCATGCATCCCGGAGGCACTCAGATCATCAAATCCAACGCTGGCGTCGACTGTTCCAAGTCCTTTGATAACCTGGCTCACACTAACAATCCCGAAGTGGCCAGTCTTTTGACCAAGTATTTCGTTGGTCATCTCACACCGAAACCCGAATATCAAGGAGGCGAGGAGGAAATATCTTCTCTGTACGACATTTGGTCGGCGTACCTTCGCACTACGGTTGAGACACTTGTAGCACATCAAATCGAAATGGACGAACTTCAAGGAGCCTCGCTAACAGCTCCCTCAAATTACAGCCCGGATGGTAATATAAATATCTGGCGACGTGAAGATCTACCAAGTACTATAGCCATTCGTGCGTTCTATGCCTATCAGAGCAGACTACTTCAAGGGGGGTTTACCGCCTTGTTCGGAGCGAAGCTACAGGAACTCGTGCTCAAGTTATCATTCAGCATTGCCAGTTCGGGTGGTGGTATGGCGAACATTCAACTACCAGACGTTCTAGGGGCAGTAGCCCGTGCAAACTCGAGCTCAGACGCTATGACATGTATGAACGAAGTAGCCCTCGTCGGCCAGTTCGTCTGTGGGGCTGAAGGCGACTTACGTTTTCAAGAGCGCGGCGTTTTCGCCTACGCAGCCAAGAGTGTAGAGTTGGATATCGAACTGCTTGAAGATCTACGCCAAGAAATTGGTACCGGCATGGACGCATTTGACAGCATTACCAACTCATTCAATACGCCTGATAAGATGCAGGATCCGGACTTGGATGCAAACCGCCTTACCGCCCTCTCGACTTTCCTCCTCCAGATCCTCGAGCGCGTCTCACGGCGCTTAGGAATCTTTTACGCCCAACTAGCCCAGTGTTCGGTCTACCGGCCCGAACTCGAGCGTAACCCCGCGAGAACACGGTGGGCTCTTGTGCGACGCTGTATCCGAGACGGGAGCTTATTCGTGATGGCACATAAAGCGGCCGTCGACGTTGTCGCAGCAGGACAGCAATCTTCATACTACATGTCCCGCTCCAACCCTAACCAGAACATCGATTTCGACAACATCATGACCCAAGTGCGAGCCACCCTCGGTCTAGCAGCGCAAGCTGAAACGCAGATAAATGTTCCGCAGCACCCAATCACTCTGAACGCCGTGCATCAAGCCAGGGGCAGGAGCTCTGGCAACGCCAGCGCAGTCGCAACGCGGGATAACGTCGGTGCTCTCCGGGCCATGAACACCTTCGTAGAGAAAAACAACAAGGCGATCCGGCGGCTCAGCAAGATGCCCCCGATGCCTATGAGCTTCGAGGAGCTGCAAAAGGCGGGTCTCGCAATGGGGCGGGCAGGACTCCACTCACCTCCAGCAGATCCACACGACGCGCTGGCAGCTTTGAACCTCGGCTACGGAGCGCGACTCCCAACGCCCCCATCAAGTCGCGGTTCAAGCCGCTCTCGATCCCGCACCCGCCAGTCCTCAAGTGGGATGTCAGCCTCCGCCGAGATGCTCCTCAGCAAGCTGAGCCAGTCGCGCACGCGGCAGGGCTCGATACACAGTCGCCACACATCTTCCGCAACATCACAGCATCAACATCAACCGCAGCAGCACCATAACGCATCAAATGCATACTACCCCGTCATAGGCGGCCACCCCATGTCCACCACCGCTGGCCACCACCCGAAGAGCAGCGTCCACGCCGCCATGAGCTCCATGATGGGACACCTGAACACGCGGCCGCACCCACCGAACAGCAGCGTCGCTTCCGGCATGCCCCCCACGGTCGAGCGCGTGAGGTCGCTGTCGAGGTCTAGCAGCGTGACGTCACATCACGGCCATCGGCATGGACATGGGCATGTATCGGCGCAGTCGACGAATTCGCTGCGCGCGTTCAAACTCAGGGGGTTAGTTGAGGCAGAAGAGAGGTTTGCGCCGCCGAGTTAGAGGGAGGGTTTTGGGTATGTTTTTTGTTGGAGGGATGCATTGTATGCTGGGTAGGGCTGTCGAGATAGATGGATAGGGAAAAGGGGGGTTTGTTTTAGTCGGCTACATATTATGCAGGTACATAAAATAAGAAGGTTCTCTACCTACACCACTGATAAATAAATGGTCACATAAAGATACTAGGTATACCTGTACGCATGGCATTGACAAATAACTTTTATTTTCCTAGAAAGGTCTTTCAAACTCGACCTTATTTCAGAAACCTGTGGTGAATACTACCTATTAACTCATGACAATGGACAGACCACAGCAACTCAACCCTCCCTACCGTACCTACCCCCACCTCCTTTACCCCCTTACCACCACACCTCTCAATTCCTCAACCCACTCGCACCCCCCTCCACCTCCCCAAAAACCCTCAGCGCCTCCTCATTCTGCCCCTCTACGTCAAACTCATTCGTGAACCTCGCCATCTCCGCAAAGAACTCCCTCATTCTCTCCGGATCCTCGTGCATCATCTTCCTCCCCTCCCCTTCCCCTTCCCCATCCTCTTCCGCAAAAGCATACACCCTCCCAAACCGCCGCGCAACCTCGACAACCCGCTGGCTGCGCGGCCGCCTCGCCGCGTCGTACGCTATCAGCGCGCTCCCGATCTGCGCTGCTGACGCGACGCCCCGCGCGAAGAGATGGTAGAGCACGGCGGCGTCCTCGAGGGCCTGCGCGGCGCCGTTGCCGGCGAAGGGGAGGGAGGCGTGGGCGGCGTCGCCGAGGATTGCGATGCGTGGGGGGGGGGTGGAGGGGTGGAGGGGGATGTAGGAGGGGGCGTGGTCGTGGTCGGCGGCGGACCAGGAGGCGCTGGGGTCGAGGGCGACGAGAGAGACGATGCGTTGGGCGTCGGGGGTGTAGTCTGCGTAGAGGGAGGGGTCGAGCGGCGGGGGGGTGGTTTGAGAGGAGGGGGAGAGAGCGGCGGCGGCAGAAGAGGGGCCCCGGCGGACGGCGACGCCGGCGCTTAGACGCGTGTTTCGGCTGAGCGGGATACAGTTGATGTGGCCGCGGGGGCCGAGGAGGATGGGCACGCTGGTCGTCCACTTGGCGTCGATGTGCTTGCGGGCCTCCTCGGCCGAGACCAGGGTGCGGTAGATCTGCCAGCCGTCGTGGTTCTTGGGGGTCGCGGCGGGGTGGTCTGCGCCGAGGATGTGGCGCCGCGTTGGGCTGTGGATGCCGTCTGCGCCTAAGAGGCAGTCTGCCACTGCATTGGTCCCGTCTGCGAAGACTAGAGTGACTTTGTGGTCATGATCGTCGTTGTGGGAGGGTGGTGGCTTTTCGTGGATACCAACGAGCTTCTTGCCAAAGCTGATACATGCCGCCGGGACGAGCTCGAGAAAGCCGGCTAGCAGATCCGCTCGGCTAACCGTCTTCCTCCCCTTCGCCCTACCAAGTTCGGCCACGAGTTGCCCTGAGTGCGGGCCCTGCGCCAAGATCACCTGAGTCACCATTTCCTCGTTCTCCTCGCCCATGGACAGCGCCTTGTCGAAGTACGCCTGTCGAAGTTCTGGGCCGATCAGGGCCATCGCCTTGATGGCATTTAGATGAAGCGCCAGGCCCGCGCCAATATCTTTGTACTCCGGAACGGACTCGTATACGTGGACGTCGATGTGTGAGAGCTTAGCCAGGCCTGCTGCAAGGGCAAGCCCGGCGATCCCACCCCCTACGATCGCGACTTTGATGCGTTGTTCGGCCATTGCCAATGACACGAACGGAATATTGGAAAAGAATAGGGGCAGTTCATCACGATCATGGCTATTGGCATCTATAATATACTACCCAGTTTTGACTTTTGGATTATCCCGTAGCACGCGCAATCACAAACGTAATAAGTGCTCGAATTTCAACGTCCAGGCATAGTGTTAACTTCCGGGTTCTGGATGTCCGAAAGCATATTTCTCAGACCTCAAGTTGGCTACTTAGCTGCGAGGTAGCTAGGTAAAACCGCAACAACAGGTGTATTGTATAATAGGGGTATAAAAAGGAAACGTATTTCAGCATTTACCTTTACTTGATAGATAGGGGCCAACTATGTAGGTACCCAGACCTTGTTCCATGGCTAGATACGCAGATATATTTCCCGAATTATTATTTCTGCTCTTTTCATTTGTGTGTGTGTGTGTGTGTGGATGTGTCTTAGAACTTTGAACTTGACGAGCTCTCAATATGGTAGGCAATGCATGCCTACCTAAGTACCTACTAGTTAATCCAGTACGGGATCGGATTCATCGCGCTAAGAGGTACCCCCTTTTCACGTGTAATCAAGTATACCTCTTGTCCTTTTTTAGGGAAATACCAGAAACGGAAAGGACAAAAAGGGGGAAAGGGGAACGAGGGGGGGGGGGCGAGAACGTAAGCATGAGCGCATTTGAACATTGATTGCCTCATCTCGATTCGAATGTGTTACACAGATGAACCTGATGACTACTACCTATTGGGTGAGCACCTAGTTAAGAGTCTCCCTAGGTATGTACAAGGGCATATCGAGGGAAATATCTTTCCAACGTGACTTACCCATAGTCCAATGGCAAAAACGAACGTAGGCATAATCTAACCTAGTGTGTTAATGCCAAAGTCGACCTTTGCATTTCCTAGTTTCTCTAGACTGGCTAATTGGTAAGGGGTTTCAGTCACCAACTTGAGGCCGTCTTTCTTCGGTTCTAAAAAGGGGCACTAGGTTATGGAGGGTACATAGGAGGTAAGCAAGTAAGGAATCTTATCAGATCAATAGATAGTTTACTCGGCTGGCTGCAACCAACTGACTTTCGTTTGGGATACCAAAAGCAATAACACGTGGCGTGAGTGGTCTCAAGCATAGCCGAAACTTGTTGGGATGGATTGAATTTTTTTTCTAGGCGAAACAAATAAACAAAAAAAAAAACAAAAAAACAAAAGATCCCAACCTCGTCTTCGCGGGCGAATAATAAGTCGGTGAAATCGGGAATTTAGGGGGGTGGTACGATATATGGAACGTTTCGAAAGGAGGAAAGCTGATGTCGTCTCACTGGGCAAAAGGGTGACGGTTAATCGGTAATTGGAAATATGTACAGTACATGTTTAATGTTGAGCCTCAATGCAAATCAATGCGAATGTGCCCTAGGTGCCTAGAGTAGTAAGGTTCTAGAGTTGTAACGGAATATTTTTCATTTCCCGGGGAATTGGATAATTGATTGATCATGGAAACATTTTAAGATTTTAGTTACCTAAATAACTAAATACCTGGTATTTTACTAACCAGGCTAACCTAGCGTAGACTGCGTAGTCGCCGTAGCGTGCTTTTGAACTTCAAATTCTCCGCTTCTTTTTTATCTGATCCTTTTTCCTCCCGAGACATCCTACCCTAGGTACACTATGTAACCTTAGTCATTAAAAGTGGACAAATGATGTGAGGATCCGATATCGGCATGATCAAAGTTCCTTCTCTCACTGATCAAATTGATCAAATTGATCAAATTAACAGATTGATAAAGCTTTGTACTCCGTGTGGTCGGACCAACTTTACTGATTGATAAGATTATTGAGATTATTGCCCGACGATCCTTAATTCCTCGATCCCCCATTCCTGCCAGAACCCGTCGTGCAACCCAAAACCAATTATATTCAAACATCAACTCACCGTGTTCCATACTGTCTCTTGTACTGTAATTCTAGAACCAGGTGGTTTATGTACCTATTCACAGCCAGATACTAGCCTGCAGGTAAGTGTTGGAGACTTGGAGTATTGGAGTATTGGAGAGGAGAGACTTGACTAACAACCTACATGACGGTCATGACCATTTACATCATTTTCATCGCTCGTAATAACTTTGTGTTACCAATTGTGTAAGAGGCCTCGGCCACACCGCCATTAATATCGTCTGTCTTTGATCATCCGTACGACTGTAGGGTTTGTCAGTTCGGCTTTGTTATAGACATACATCAGCCCAGCTTATTCATCGCCAAACAAACTTTCGCGATCATCGTGGAATTGTTCCCCGAGATTATGTGATGCAGAACGGAGTAGAGCGTTAAACTACCGCATAGTAGTGGGAATTGCATACATGTATTAACATGATTATAAGACTAGGCCTATCTAGGTATATGTAGTTATTATTATCACTAGTGCTTGCAATGCTCAGGACGATAAACGAGCGAAGGTTAAACTTAGTGCATAATAGAAGCTTCACAGCCTTCTTACTACGCAGGCCCAGGCATTAACTTCCCCTTAAGCCCCAGGCCGTGGTTACGCAGTTACGCGGTTACGCTTAGTATTTATAACTACGATTGCCAGGAACTGGGGAAGAAAGCCTACCTAGGTAGGCCGGATGATGTTTCCTTACTATTTAGGTATAAACGCCGTATTCGCATTAATGGTATTTCCACTGTTTCGACAAGAAAAGACCCCGGTTTTGTGGAGGAGGATATCCCGGGGCAATGGGCCACGGCAGATGCAGACTAATCGAGCCAATGCCACGCGTCTGGATGGGTTTCGGTGATGAATTATGTGCAATTGTTGACGAACCAACCAGACAAATGGATGTATAAGCATTTGCCGCGATGTCATCGTCACCTTCGTTCGCGCCATCGTTTATCACGACACCTAAGGCATGTCAACCCAACAAAGGGGGGGAAGGGTTTGGAGGGGCCCACCGATGAATGAGAGATATATGCCTAATTTTGTTTCAAGGTATAAATAGGAATAGGAAATTGATGTCTAATTAAGACAGAAAAAAGAGATAGAAAAAAGTCTAGGCATAACATAACCTTATCAAGGATGATAGGCGGACATCAAAATGACAACTGACAGTGACATGCATTAGAAAATGGGGTCGGCGAAGATCGGGGTGATATTCATCCTATTATCGCTTTCGACACTACATATGTAGTTATGTCTAGGTACTAGGTAGATAATAACCTGAATAGCAGATGATGTTATGTCAAGTTTCAACGGTATCGTTTAGTTTTCACAAAAAGTGTGTACATGGTATAATCTTCAGTTTCCCGCGGCTTAATTTCGATAATGGAAGATTCAAGTACTATGATTAGTGCTTGGCGACACCGTTGAACCGAGAAAGCCTACGACGAACCACGCAATCGGCAAGTGCCATAGCCCGGAATGTAGCCCCACATCTAAGCAAGATGCAAGCCCATCGGACCACTGATAGCCCTGAAAGTATTGTACAATTAGTACAATAGGTAGGTAAGTACCTTACAAGGTTAGTTCCATTGCCCCTTTAGCCCCTGCCATCATCGTTCAAACTCAACAAACCCGAGGAATATTGAAATATTACAGATCAACGCGCACTCTTTTCTATAAAAAATTCCTTAGTAACTAACATACTTTACCTGTCCCTCTACTTCCAAACCCGACTTTTTCACTCCTCGGTGACACGATATCATCGTGCACATTCTTTTTCTAGTTATTCACTTAACTTTATTACCTTAGGGTTGTAAATTTGACAAGCTACATACAGTATTATAAGTTATTATAAGTTCTAAAACAACCTTGATGTTCATTTTCCATTCTTTGTAGCACATCATCCACTTATTCGCATTCGAATCCGTCACCACACACATAGTCTCTCTTCTACACGGCACCCCACACTTTTCAAACATCCTTTTCCAACTACTTACATCGAACTTTCCCTGGAAACCTCTAAGAAAGATAGGTGGACACGGTACGAATATCTATTAACTCGACACGTGAAGGAGAAGAGGAAAAAAAAGTCGTCTACTCCAAATCCTAAACCCTCCCCTCTCCCCCCACTGATTGATTGATTCACTGGCGCAACTGTGGAACTTTTCAACAATCAATCGAAGTCGCCACTATCGGATCTTAGCTTTATAATATCACACATCCGACGCGAGTCCTACAAAGAAATTACCTTCATATCTACCTAGGATACCTCACCAGTCAACCTCGGTAACTATGTCTACTAGCATTGAGCAGCTGATTCACTCGGCGCCCGACTATGCATATGCGCCTGAGGAAGAAACTCGCACTCCTTCTGTCGCTCCATCTTTAACCTATTCCGATGATTCCGATGATCAAGAGGAGCCTCAACCTCCCCCGCGCAGGCGACGCGCTTCCACAAGATTGATCGCCAAAAGTCCCGCCGATGTGCAACGAATCACTGGTGAATCTACTCAGCAGTTACTAAACCGATGTTGCGGTGGTGGCTGTTGTATGAACCTGTCCAAGAAGAATGAAGGAGTTGAATATGAACATATTCCATTTCCGGACAATGAGGCTTTCCGTTCTTTAGGATTGAAGATTGATGGAATACCCACGACCTTGACCAATGTTCCAGATCTTCCTGAACAAACCGCCTTTCTTCAATCAATCCGACAAGGCTTCAGTAGCCAACCTCTAGTTGATTCCACAATCTCTGTTGGAAACCAAGGCGCCTCGGCTGCAATTGAAACCAGTTTTCAGAATCTAACCCTCGAAGATCTTGATACCTCAATTCAGCCTCCGTCATACGTGACTCCCCATCCTCCCCATCATGTCTTTCCTGCCAAGCTTGTCAACACTCGCGAGTTAACCAAGCCCGGCGCTGAGAAGCGTACGTATCACTTCGACCTAGACATCACTAACTATCCCGATGAGGAAGGTGTCGATTTCAAGGTTGGAGGAGCAATTGGCATCTCAGCCCCCAATGATACCGCCGCAGTGGATCTGGTGTTTGACTTACTTTTGGTTCCCCGGTATCTGCGTGATAAGTCCGTTCTGTTGCGCACCACGCGTGGTCGCTGGCCCACCGTATGGGGCAAAGACCGAGCTCGGGAACTTGTTACTACCCGAAGAGCCCTGCTCACTTGGTGTTCCGATATTCAATCATACCCACCTACTAAACCTCTATTGCGAATTCTTGCCGAGTACGCGCTAGACCCCAATGAGAAGAAGATTCTCATGTTCCTCTGCTCCAGCGAAGGGCAGGGTGTCTTTTGCGACTTCCGTACTGGACCCTATATTAGTCTCGCGCAGATTTTGAGCGCCTTCCCATCAGCCAAGCCGCCTCTAGACTTGTTATTGACAGTGCTTCAACAGCTTATGCCACGATTTTACTCCCTTTCTAATGACCCCCACAAGTCATATGAGGAATGCGACAAAAAACAGCACCGCATTATTGAGATAGCCGTCACCGTTCAAGAAGTGGCTGACTGGCAGGCGGGCAGCCGAACTGGCGTGGGCTCGGGTTTCTTTGAGCGCCAGGCTCGTAAATTCTTAGAAGCCCAACGTACAGGAGGGAAAGCACCTGAGATACATATCCCCATTTTCAAGGGCCTCATGGCCAACCCACTCGCCAAAGAATTTGTGTCTGATGGTCCGATGCTCCTTATTGGGGCAGGCGTCGGCATCGCACCATTCCGCGGCTTCGTCCAGCACCGTCTCAAGAACGCAAATTGTGCCAACAAGGTCTGGGTCCTCCAGGGCGTTCGGGACTCGCTTGTTGATGAGCTTTATGGCGGAGAGTGGGGTGTGCATGAGGACAAAGTGAAGAAGGTGATTGAGAGTCGTCGCGGTGAGAGCCGTTATGTCCAAGACGAAGTGCTCCATCAAGCAGAGCTGGTGTGGTCCATCATCAACTCAGTCGATGGCCGCGTCTTTGTCTGTGGTAGCTCCAAGGGTATGGGAGAGGGCGTCGAAGAGGCGCTTATCAAAGTGGCCAGACAAAAGGGCAACCTAGAGTACGAAGAGGCAAAGAAGTTCTGGGGGTTGAAGAAAGACGTCGGGCAGTATATCACTGAGACGTGGTAGTGGGGTATGCATGGGGGGCGGTCGGAGGAAGTCGGAGATACGAGCTCTTCGCAAGTGCAAGGCCGTACCGTCCTTCGACTAAGCCCTTCCAGGAATAGGAGCCTACCTACACATTTCTGATTTGATTGATGTTCATAGCATCCGGTGTTTTAGAAGAAGAAAAAGGCATGGGGGCCGGGCGTTCGCGCAAGGTGGATATGGACTTAGGCAGCGAGGCCCGATTCGCAATGATAGCGGCATTTTCATTTATTCGAGCTGGCATTGCGAGAACTTACACTTACGGACATCGGAGAACTCGGGGATAGATCTCGTAGGAGGGAGGGCTTCGGAGCAGTGCGAATGAGTTTTGCGATGCTCTTCTTTCCTTGCCCGACGGGCAGGATTGTACATACATAGCCACACCAAGTTACACCAAGTATATAGATATGGTTGACGATGGTGTTGTGTAAATCAAACGATATACCTTTGAAGTCTTTAAATATTCAAGGCATATGATTCTACCTGATGTGGTATATATATAATATGTGATCTACAAAGGGACCTTGAATGAAGGCGTTTTTAAGTGTGTGCCTGACCTATTCTTTTTAAAGCCTGGTGAAACCAGGGGTGTTGTACTGGAGTGTGGCCAGCTCGGCACACGATAGGCTGAGGGCAGAGCAGAATTGCCCGATTCGGAAAGTCTGTATGACTCGAGGCGCGTACCGATGTATGTAAGCTCCAATTTCTTTTTCAGCCCGACGTGTATGTAGTGTATCTCGGATTTAAGTATTCCTATTCCTACGTAGATTGTAGATCAGCTAGTACTACAAGCTACATAATGTAGTACTTGTTATTGGTGTATATGGTAGGTAGGTAGGTAGGTAGGTAAGCAAATTATGGGCTTTGGTTTCTTCCGACATCTCGGAGAACACCTCGGAGGACGTTTCAGAGGATTCGGTAGACGCAGATCAGATCCCAGATACGATAGCTCATGATAGTGATTACTAGAAGACCGAGATGGGATGATGGCTGAGTACATAGTATCGAATCAATCGATTTAGGGGAATAGAATGCAGAAGGGTTATCCAATCACTTACACGGTAAGGACAGTAGTCACAACGTTGAACTACATATACGTAACCTACCTAAATGCGATGAGCAAATTGGGGTCTGAGTTGATGATCTGTTATCCGCAAATCTCAGAGGCTTGCAGATGCAGCAAGATGCAGATTGTTTTTTTTCAAGCTGACGAGATGAATCTTTTTTCCGAAGGAGAACTTTTCACCGACGACAAGAATCGTTTCCCCGATACATACCTACGTACATGTAGGTACATCTGTAATAGGCAGTGAGCAGGTAGATGCTAATACCAGACACCCCATCAGCGAAACACCGAGATTGAATAGATTGCCTTTATATTGGGTAGCATGCTGCTAAGCGCCTGTGACAAGTTTTTCTCGTCGCAGAACTGGCGTCAAGCGGTTGCCGAAGGCGCAAAGGCGGCTAATAAGACGACATTTATATGAATGGCGGGGTAAAAGCGAGAAGGGGTAAAAAACAGGGCCGCGGAACATAGCTATGTAACTATGTGTATGTACGTCGTCTATTCTTGATTTGTATCACTTTATTGAAAAATGAGCCTCAAGCCTCGCCTAATTATGTATATCCATATGTATGTAAGAAAATAGAAATGGGTTGTTAATTAGAAGCCAAGACAGAGAGTAAGATACGAAGTAATTGGTGGGGGGAGGGGCATATTCAATGTTGTGGTGTAGTCGTGAAAAGGGTTCAAACATTGAAACTCACCTACATCAATGTACATGTAGGTACTTAGTAGGTACTAGAGACTCTAGAGTCTAGGACTCTAGGCAGAGTTACCAGGTACATACATATTTTGGATTTCAAATTGTTTGCAAATCAAGTGGTAAAGGATTATCAAAGGATTGTGTAAGCAAGAAATAAGTAGCTCGCATAATAGTGTATCTGGTTTTAGTGATGTCGCCATTCGGCCCTCCCCGTTTTTTGGAGCCACTCAACTCTTCAATGTTCTCCTTTCCTTCCTTAGCTGACCCGGCTGACCCGCTTATAAAGCGTCTACCGAAACTCGCTTGGTATGTACATCACATACTAAATAGATAGCCAAGGTACTTACCGAGGTAGGTTATGTAAGTAGGCGGGTACGTAAGTAGGGCTACGTGCATTGTTAGATCATTGAGATTCGTTTCACCCCGTGCATATTATGTACCTAGACCAGTAGTATACTACTATGTAACAACTATGTATACATTTGTTAGTCGATACTCACCTTAGCCTATACTAGAACATATCGCCGAGATTCTACATGTATCAATTAGCTTCCATGCATATACACAGCACACATACATCGTAGTAAAGATGCTGTAAAATATGAAACAGTACCACCTGGGCAACATGAAAGAGAATAGATGGCTATGTAGACACTACCTACATAGTAGTAGCTAATTAACCATGCGGACTAGTCAAGCTTCCAGGTCCCGAACTTTCATCCGTTCTTGCGATGGGATTCACTCACGTCAGCGGGGGCGTTTGATACACAAATGCATGCCGCACTACACTAAGAAGGTGCTAGGTAAGTAAGTATGTAGGGAGGTACATCATGTACCATATGTAAGGTATGGTATGTATGTGCATAACATATAGGCGAGGTTACTTCTAGACTCTTCCTTCCTTCTTTGTTTGGGTGTGTTTGGGTTAGTGTGTGTTGCAAGTTCCAATTCCCAAGTCCCAAGTCACAAGTCCCAAGTCCCAATTCTTAATCTTGGAAGTCACCTTCCTTGTTTTCTATTCGCTATTCGCACTTGCCGTTGACCAACTATCGCATAATAAATAAACTAAGATGCGCCCGCAAATTCTCACTTCTGCCGCCTTTTCTCTTTCTCGATTCTCAAGTACATCTGCCACCTCTAACCTAGCCTTTAAATCTCTCGCTGCTGCAACCTGCCCTTCATATAAATTATTATTCACCCCTAGTGTTTGCCAACCCGCCTACGTCTCCTCACCAGCTCAGAAACGCTTCCAGTCCAACATGGCTACCAACGCTAACGCTTTCCTCGAGCTGGTCAAGAACCGCCGCACTTACTATGCCCTCAACAAGGAGTTGACTGTCTCCAAGGAGCGTATCCAGGAGATCGTAAAGGAGGCCATCCTACACACCCCCTCCTCTTTCAACTCTCAGTCCAACCGAATCCTGGTTCTCTTCGGAGCCGAGCATGACAAGCTCTGGGGATTCGCTACCGACATTCTCAAGGCCATCGTACCTGCCGATGCGTGGGAGCACACTGCTCAGCGAATGAACATGTTCAAGGGTGCTGCCGGAACCGTATGTCTTTCGCCATTTATGCTGCCTGTCAGAAACTGTGAGGTGGGATGCTAACAAGAATAAAATAAACAGATCCTATTCTTCCACGACCAAAACGTTGTCAACGAGTACCAGGAGAAGTTTGCTATTTACGCCGACAAGTTCCCCACCTGGGCAGCTCAGTCCGACGCCATGATCCAGTACGTCCTATGGACTGCGCTTACGGCCGAGGGTCTCGGTGCCAACCTACAGCACTACAACCCCCTCGTCGATGAGAAGGTTGCCGCCGAGTGGAACATCCCCTCCAGCTGGAAGCTCAACGCCCAGCTTGTCTTCGGTGGCCGCGCCGGCGAAGCTGGCCCCAAGGACCAGAAGCCCATTGAGGAGCGCCTCAAGGTTGCCGGTGCCTAAATTCGATACCCCATCTGGCGTCCTCTGCTCTAGCTTGGCCAGCCAAAAAATATATGGTTAGAACTTCGGATATGTCGTGGGCTGGTAGTAGGAGGGATCAACCCCAACTTCTTTTAAAGCCGAAGGAGGAACCTAAATAGATGAGATCGACCGATGTTCTAGATTTACAGACAGTCAAGGCGACTTGTTGGATAGGCGGTTTCGTCGTTCGATTCTGCGTTGCTCCCTGCGTTCCCTTAGACTACATACCTCGGAAGCGGTGACATCTACATCTTAGACTTATCAAATAAACTAGTAAAACTTGACAATACTCGAAGAGTTTGAGAAGACTGGGAATTGTTTATGAGCCAGTGATTTGCAGTTTAGTAAAAATATCCAAGAGATGGGGACTTGGAGTCTTGGACATGTAGATGTGACGTTTAGGTACACATGCACGTGTATAACACCAATGGGCGTAAAGATGATACGTACCTAGGTACCTCATAGTCATCTCAGGTGAAGCTGATGTTGAAATTAGGTTTCTAGGCATAAAGACTAATTATCTTAAAATAAGATAAAGTTAGAAATGCCCCTGGAATTGATAAGGGGCATTTGAGCCTCATCCAACATGACCAAGAAGTAATAGAGGTACTTACTTATAGAGCAGGTAGATTATTCTAAGAAAAATGAGTTTATATGTTTATAAGACTTGAACAATATGAATGAGATGTGTTAAGAAGTTTGAAATGGTCATTCAGTCGTCAACGTGAGCAGTGATGCCCTGGGTGTACAAGGCCCCCTTTTCGTTACCTACCTAGTAATCACATACCTGGGACACATACCTAGAAGTGCCTCGTTATTCAGGGTCGAAAATCTGCACTCCCCGACTCACGATGGCCTTAAACCCACAGCATACTCGTAATCGACTAACTTAGGTACCTCCCTAACCTTACACATCTGCCTCAGGACACAAGAGCATGCCCATTCTCGAAAGAGAGAGAAATGGAGGTGCCTACATAATTCCAACTGCTTTCCTTAGGTCATGTTGTTTATTCTCAGACCACAACAACAACAACAACAACAACAACAACAACACCGCCTGAAAAACTTCACTTCACTTATCATTGATTTTCTTATTAGAAAGTCAGAGAAACGGATCACGGCCTTTCGAAAGTGATCTCTCTCGAGGCTCGATTTCATCACCTTGATATTGAAGCACTTTCCTTTTTCTCTTTTTCCTCCATAATACCCACTGGTGATATTGAGTTCACCGTCCAATTTATCGTTGGTACCCATCCTTCAAGATGGCGCCTCCACGGCATGAATGGGAGCACCAGGGGGGGCACCATGGCCGAGACCAGCAGCAATACGAAGAACAACGACTGCAGCAGCAAGAGCAACAGCAAGCTCCCTCCGGCGCGGCTAACACCAACATGCCACCTCCCCCTCCTCCTCCTGATGTTCCTCTCTACTACCCTCACCCATACTACGGAATGCCCATGCCGATACACATGCCTCACATTGACCCCTACTATCTATACTATCCGCAATTCCCAGCCCCTATCGCCCAGGCGACGCCGTCCAACTTCCAGGGTCAAGATGTCGTCCCGCCACAAGTCCCTTACGAGGCCCCTGGCATGATGTTTCCAGTACTACCGCAGCAACAGCTCCCCTATGGAGGAGCCCCAATGCCGCCCGAGCTGCCACCGCTCTCACAGATGCCACGCCACGCCACGTACGAGGAGGCGAATCAAGCGAAGCCTCCAACCATACCACCACGGTCCTCGTCACGCACAAACACCAGCACCGCGCCCCCACCCCCCAACCCGCCCTCCCAAGACCAAGACCAAGACCAACAAGCCCGCCGCGAATGCCACCACGAGCACCGCGCCATCCCAACCAACTACTTCCCGCACGCCTCCAGCACCTCCAACATCGCGCCCTGGTACCTGCACCCACGCTCACGCTCGCGCCTCGCCCAGCGCCCCGCAGCCCCCCTTCTACCAGCCGGCAAACCGTACACGTTCCGCGCGCACGACCCGCCGCCCGACGAGGACGAGTCCGCGCGGCACCCGTACCAGCAGCGCCTGTGCGCGAACCTGCTGTCGACGCTGAGGATGGCGATCGCGCACCAATCGCCGCTCGTGCGGCTACCTTCCTCCTCCTCCTCCTCCCCCTCCCTCTCTTCCGTTTCAGGGGGCGCGGGAGCGGGCGCGGGAAAGAGAAGAAGAGGCAAAGGAGGGAGGGGGGGGGGAAAAAAAAGAGCACGGCGGCCGGAAGAAGCGCGCGAGGTCTACCGCGTCCGGTGCCCGCGCGCGCCCTACCACGTCGCCTTCCACGCTCTGCGGCTCCTGCCCGGCGCCGAGCTCGACCCGCGCGACGCCCCGCTGTGGGACGAGATGCAGCTGGTGGCGCGGCTGGGCGTGCGCAGCGGCCTGCGGGTGTTGCCGTCCGGGCGGTTCGCGGTGGGGTTTCTGAGGGTGGCGGAGAGGTGGGAGGGGTGGGGTGGGGGGGACGGCGATACCAATAACAATAACAATAACAATAACAACAACAGAGATGGTAATGAAGGTGAAGGTGAAGGTGATGATGATGATGATGATGATGATGAAGGGGGGATTATAATGCGGCCGGAGAACGCGGTGTCAGACGAAGAGTACTGGGGCCTAGAGGATCTGCGAGAAGGGGTGAAGGGGGAGGACACGGTGTTTGATGAGGCGGGCTGGGAGCTGGAGTATGACACCGATGCGGATATGTATAATGAGTATGTGGAGTTTGAGGAGTATTGCCGGGCGCGGGAGAGGGAGATTGAGGAGGAAGAGGAAAAGTGGTGGGGTAACAGGAAGGAGAAGGAGGAGGAGGAGGAGGAGGAGGAGGAGGAGGATAATGATAATGACAGCCAGGCGACGGTTAGGCTCGCGAGGCCTACGAAGTCTGTGGTGAAGAGTGAGAAGAGTGACGAAGAGGATACAGATGAGGATGACGCCACCATACGCGCGATTCCGCCAGTCCACCCTGGCTACACACAGCCCATCGCCTCCAACGGAACAAGCAAGGGCAAAGGGAAAGAAGTTGAAAAATACTGGGACGGCGAGACGAACCCGCTGAGAGCTTACACCCCCCACCCTGATAGGTTGTTGGGGCTGATGTCGATGGCGCTTGACACGATTGCGCCTATCTACAAGGGCGAGGATGAGGATGAGGAAGAGGATGAGGAAGAGGATGAGGAAGAGGATGAGGATGAGGATGAGAGCGAGAGTGAATACGAAGGGGAAACAACCGGAAATGGAAATGGGAAGAAAACCAAAAAGGCAAAGGGAAAGAGAAAGACGAGAAGGGTCAAGGTGAAGGGGAGGTGGAAGATTCGGAGGGTGAAGGTGAAGATGAATCTGAATCTGAAGGGAAAAGGCAAGGGGAAAGAGAAGGGGGAGTGGCAGGAAGAAGCTAAAGGAGACGAAGGTACTAGTAGCCCGTCTACAAGTGTAGACGTTGAGTGGTGGTAGTACGGTTATGGTTCAGGGACGAGAGTTGGCGGGATAAGGAAAAAAGGAGAGAACAAGTCACTGAAGGTGAGAAGATGCATAATGGTTGTCGTCATATTGGAAGGATCTGTCATCGTTCGTGGCAGCATTGCGATGATTTCAAAAGAAGACGAAATGCTCGGCGCATCAGCAAGTGGAAAACCATCGGCGGCTATCTGAGCAATAAGCAACGTCTGCTTTTATTGCCAATGAACAAGCCATTGGTTAACACCCCGGAAACGAAATCCCCTTCCAAAGACATCCAACTAATCGCTCCTTGTTCTTCTCCCCTTATTGTCCTTTTTCATATCTTTTTTTTTCTTTTCGATAGGGGATTCCCCCTTTTCAGCTTAGCTAATTATCTTGGTTGTTGAGCTTTGGGTATCAAGGTGGTTTAATAACATGGGCATCACCACCCTCCCTCTACCAACAGAAGATCAAAGCAGGAAAGAAAACGGAAAGGGTGAAAAGCCACGATCAAATTAATGTATAATACTTAATTCGCAAAAGGGGATACCCCTAGGAGTAGTTAGCATCTACTAAAGAAGAATTGATTGTTTCTCACTTACAAACTGCGTGCCCTCTCGCCTCATTTTATACAATAGGTACCTACCTAGCAACTGACACTTCAGCTAGGATCAATACGAAAGGTAATAAATAGTAAGGAGTGTGTACGATATCGTAGCAAGAGAGGTCACATCCATCTACACCACTATCACCACCCCATATTCATAATAGCTTCATTCGTCTAGCATAACATTCGGTATCTGATAGTGAGTATCTTACCATCCGCTATCTATATATACCCCGTATACGCTCTTTTAACTCGGTCTTTTAATACTCAGGACACGGGCACACGCCTGTGTGTTAGACGCCACAGCTTGCCTCCAGCCTTCCAATTCTATCGTCGCTTTATAACGCGCTTGTGAGCCCGTTATTTTGATTTTACGATTATTCCTTCTGATTGAATTTATCTACTAACTGACTCATCTCCAGTGCTCGGGTCCAAGTTGCCGCGTAACGCGATGTAACACGACCCCAATCCAAGGTACTCAAAAAGGGTAAAATCGGCGAGGATCCAATATGTCCTTTCCATGAGTAGTGCATAGAGCTCTTCAAGTGATCAAGCCGCAGCCATATTCACTCTTGGCAGAGGCCCATCTTCGTCAGTTTTAAGCTTGTTGCCCATTGTTCACCTCTTTGCTCTAGGGGGTATGACATTCCCTCCGTCAACAATAATTTGTTGGTCGATATGACCTGCTGTATCGCCATATTCCATTCGTTTGTATGTCGTGATTCGGGCCTCATTCATGTCGATGTCAAAGAGCCGAACCCGACGGACGTATTCACCATAGCCTCCATAACCTCCAAACCCGGCACCACCGCCGTAGCACATCCACAGCTCAGGGTTGTTGGTGTTCTCGTCGGCAGAAAGCATACAATACTCATTGGCATGATCACTAGAAAATGAGGTTAGTTTTCTTAGGCAAAGAAGATAGGTTTCGGGGGGTACACACTGTCCGCAGCTAACCATAACGACACCTTGTTCAACCAAAGCATCGCGAAATCCAGAGTTAAATTTAGGTGCAGTGACACCTTCCCTCCATGCGCCTACGTATTGGGAATCCTTCTCCCTATATTCGGGAAGGGGGATGTGGATGAAGGCCAGATCCATATGGATGTGCGTGTATTCCTTGTGCTTCTTCTTCAAACCCTCCGCAGTCTGCCGAAACCAGTCGATCTGGTTCTTCTTGATCCAATCATACCCACTCCATTGTCGCTCGTCTGGAGAATACGCATGTGAGTCGAGTAAGTATACCGTGAGCGCAGAGTGTTTCGAACTTCCTTGTGCGAGGACCTCGATATAATAGTTGCCAACACCGTCGATATCATCTGGTCCAGCTACCGACAGAGAATACGGTAATTGTTCAATAATTTCCATCTGACCTGCTCTCGACAACGTTTTTTCATCGTCATGGTTACCGAATATAGACACGTAGGGTATCTTGTGTTTAATAAGGAGATGCGCGTATTTGAAGATAGCTGATTTAGCATCGGGTGCGGTGTCTCCATTCACCTGGTCGCCGCTGAGAACGACTAGATCGGGTTTCTCCTCGTCTAATAACTTTGATACGAAGTCGAGCGTTCGTAGATCTGCCAGACAAGCCCCTCCTTCGTATTCGTCGGGAACGGCGTCCCGACAGTGACCCACGCCCGTGCTCAGGTGCAGATCTGCCAGCTGCATTATCTTAAACTTTCCATTGTTATTTATCCGGGGCTGGGGTTTTATAGGCTCCACGTCGCCCCCCTGCCGAACTGTGATGTGGGCACTAGGTATGTCCGGACCAGTCTCAAGTAGTAATGGTGTATTCTGAAGCTCCCATCCGTCTCGAGCTTCGACGGCATCGTCACCAAAGAGGACGTCAACAGCCGTGACAGCTTTCTTAGAATCACTCGCGGTTGGCTTAGACGATCGCAAGACCCATAACCCAGCCTGACGGGACTCCCATCTCTCATCGGCCTGGCCCTTGGCACTATTTGAAGGATCCAGTCGACCAACGGTAAGTCCTACGACGACCTTGTCGTCAGCTGTAAGCTCCTCCTCCTTCTTCCTTTGGACATGGACATAAGCACTAGAGACCCAGGATTTATCGAGGTAGAGGTTCTTTTCGACGCGATGCCAGAGGTCAGGGTCGAGCTTGCAGGATGAAAACAGATTCACTTTGGAGCATTGGGTAATTGTAACATCGGTCACGACAAGTCCATGATGGTGTTGGGGCATATACTCGTGTACAGCATTGGGAAGGAGGCGGAAATTTCGATCGAGGAAGAATATGATGAGGAATGCGAAAAGCGCAGCAGCAGCAAGCTGGGTTATAGTGCGCACCTAGTAAGAACGAAGTAAGAGATAGATTAGCTCTGAGACTTTGAGACAGGATCCTGCTAATAAGGTAAGCAGATAGGCGACTTACTATCCGTCGTGTCATGATGTTTGAGATGAAATGAGCGGGCTAGACGTCGCAGTTGGCCCAGCTTCAAATAAATATACTATATTAACACAGCACGGATTGTAGTGATATAGTTAGTAATGATGGGCACTGAAGGCCAATCATCTTTAGCCATGCGCATTTAATAAAAGTTGGTTATAGCTTTAGTTTTTGCAAACATTGAACCTGTCAGTTTCTTGTTTGAATACCTAGAAGTAGGTACATAGATGTTTTGTCTTAAGAGAACATTGATCAGTGAATCAAGAATACAAAAAGAAACTTGGAACTTGGAACTTGGAACTTCAAACTTGAACTTGCAGAATACAAGAAACGGTTCAGATAATACCTGGTCCAAGCGCTTCCCGACAATCTGGGGAAGTGCAATATGTCTATTCCTTTTTAGGACTAGCTTAAGCAGAGTAAGCAGGCATTCATTTAAGTACCTACTACTAGTTAATACTACTAGGTTACACTACTAGTACTGGGTAGTTACCTAGATTGTACATATTCCAGAACTCAACACCACACTTACAATGATACCTCGTACATCAACTACATATATCTGTTGATGTAGTAATCTGTAAACTCGCATGCATTTTTACACACACACACATAGTTACCATACAATACAATTAAATTAATGTCTTCAAAGTCAGCCTATAGGCTCTACACTAGTCTATCATAATCGTCTATCGTGACCCGTATGGACTGACCATTACCATCGTAACCCGTAACAAAAACTTATTAACTTCCCCTTATTCTCTCATCCCCTACTTCAAGTCCCAATGATGCCCCTTCCTAAACCCCAAAGCCCAAAGCTCAGACTCCCTACAGATCTATATGACTTCTCACCCTTCTCGCTGTATATCAGCGTCAAGCACCAAGTACTCCTCAGCCATATCCCATAGCTGTGTTATTCGATTCTCCGCTGCCCTCTTGTTCCAGAGAACCATACGAGTCTCCTCGTCACTTCCTCCAGCATCACCCTCCTCAAACTGCAATCCATTGCTACAGCTGATCACTGCCTGTCTTCTTAGACTTTTGCGTATTCGTTCCCGCAGATCATCTTGGTTCTCCGTGTGTTCCGACGAGGATGTCATGAATACCATCCCATCCGATGTGTCACTCTGCCCGCCACCATATCGGCTTGGCCCATCGACCTGTTCGTCCCCGGCAGAGACGAGTCCGGTGTCTTGCGTGACGGCATCCCGAAGCCCTCGGACCCGTGCCGTAAACTGCTCAAAAGCTGCCACTCGTCTCTCAGCTGCCTCCGCTCTCTCACGCCAAGTCTTGCATTCCCGTCGAGCTTCCCTGAGTTGTTCACAGAGTCTTCCCACATCCATCTTCTCACGTGCTTCCAGCTGTCGTCTCAACCTCGCGTTTTCTTCCCCTTTCACATCAAGTCGCTTTTGCAAGAGCCGAATCTGAGTATGGAGCATCGAATTACCACTCCCAATCCGAGGGCTCTCAAAGGTCGAACCCCTTTCATCGCTCTCGTCGTTTGATGCCTGAGGAGTCCCCGAAGGCCGTCGAGGAAACACAATATGTTGTGCAACCGGTGGCTCCTCAGGCTGGGGGCCCATGGTTCCTAAACTTGGTAGCCCGGCAAGCTCTCGATCGCGTCCGGGGATTTGCTTGGTTGATGGACTCGCCGGCACTTTTCTGGGCGAAGTAAAACCGTGACCCGTGGGACGCAAAGAAACCTGTGGGAATTTTGTCGGCGTGTGTTCAGGGGTCACCCGAGCAGGGGTTGGGCTAAGATTGCTACGATGGGCCGAGAAAGTAGGCTCTTTATTACGTGTTGGTGTCTCAACCGGTTTAGAGTCGTCGTATATCCTTCTTGGTGTGCTAAAGGCGGGGGATCCGTTGGTTCTAGTAGATTTTGTAGGCGAATTGCTCCCGTAGTAAGGCGAAAGAAGACCACTAGGTGCATTGGAGTCATGCCTTGTCTTCCTGGTCAAAACTGTCGCTGGGCTAACTGGAAAATCTTTACTGGCATGATCGAATAGTGCAGCCATAGCCTTGACAGCACCGTTGACCGGTCTCGAACCTGAACGCTGTGAACTTGGCCTACTTCCCCAGTAAAATTCACTTTTGGTCGGAGATGGCGTTTTGGACGTCTGGGGAGATCTCTCAAAGAAACTCGTCTTCTCGGGCGAAAGCCTTGCTGGCTTCTGCAGGTCTCCATGTCTCTTGGTCGCGAGCTGACGTTTCCATTCCGGAGTAGTGGGCTTCCTGTCTCTCCGGCCTACCGACTCTTCGCTCTGTCGAGAGGAGTCGTAGCCTGGGCTACGCCTCAATCGTCTTTCCTTAATAGCCTTCGCTAATGCCTCCGTGCTGGCCCTGCTAGCTTGACTCAGGACCTTCCATTTATCAGCGGGGCTCACGTCGTGCCCTTGAATGTCAAGATGATCACCCAGCCGGCTGTTGGAATACTCTCTAATTGAAAGGGGGGATCTTGTTGGCGTTTTTGGCTCCCGTGATAAATGTTTACTAGGCGACATATCGGACCAAGGCAAATATGCGTCGTTATTCTCAGCCATCGGAACCGACGATCTTACACTGTGGAATGTTACTTCACTTTCGGACCTATCGTTGACTTGTGAGAGATTCTCGTGTTTATGCGCCCGGAATGAATCATCGCCATTGTCGGCTAGTAACCTACTTGGGCTCGGTCTCTTACTTACATATCCGAGACTCCGCCTGGGTGGTGTTTGTGCCGTGGATGATGTTACTTGGTGAGACTGGTCTGGGCATGTTGATCGACGGTCAACCGATGGACTTTCTTCGACTGTCGGTGAAAGCCACTTGGCTGATGATCCAAGGGGAGTTTTGCGCGAAACGCTAGAACCTGAAGGCCGCGATCGTCGCCGGTTAATGGCCGACGGTTCAATTTGATTACTAGTGGGACCTTGAGGTTGCTGGAGGACAGTTGCTGCTCATAGCATTAACACCCAAATTTTTGTGGATGAGGAAAGAACATAACTTACTCGGTGTTGCAGTTAGGCTCCGTGCCATTGGAGAAGCGCTCCTATCATGGTAGCATGGTCCGGTATCATCCCAATCCGGTGGTTTTCTTAGTGGGAATAGGTCTGAAGCTGTTGAAATCAATTTTGCCTTGTGATTTCCACGGCCGGCGGTATTTTCATGTCTTTTAATCTTTAAGGTGCCCAAACTTCGCATTTGTCGAACCACTTCTCTCCAATGTATTATCACCATCTCTGCAATGCCGTTGGCAATATGTGTTTTGTCTACACTGAAAGGCGAGCATGAATCATTAGCACGAGTTTTGGAGCTCCTTTGCTTCCCTCTTTGCCTATTCCTGCGCTTCTCCTTTTGCTTCTCCTTCTGCTTCTCTTTTCGAGACTTCGGAGGTGACATTGGAAGCAATACTAGTCCAGCTCCTGGGTCCGCCACTTTCATTCGATAAGAATGAATTAAATCATTGACTAAGAGAGGGCCAAATATTATGCTTAATGCGTTATATCCCATCAAGTCGGCTGTTGGAAGCGGTCTTCCATCTTCGTCTTCTCGAGGAGCATTTTCTGCGGCTCGGCCAATAAAACATAAGAGCCCAAATACTGCACAGATGAGCTCTCTTTGGTATTGGGAATTCACGGTCCCAATAGCAAGTGCAATCAGACGTGCCCGAAGTTTAGTTTCTCTGGTCGTGGTGAGTTCAGGATCCGCACGAAGCTGACTGTGAATTGCAACCAAAGCATCGAACAATGACAATGAGCCAAGGATCCCCCCAGGTAACCCTGATAGAAATCTTTTGAAGGCACATGCAATATCATGGGCACTGCAGTTGATATGACTGGGTAGATTCGGACATCTAGTTGTGGTAGAGATGTCATTTCCATCTTTATCAGCACAGTAATAATCGTAGAGCGCATCCACAACTCGAACCGATCCAGATATGCGAAATATACCTCGTGTATCAGCTATAGAAGATGAAGGTTAGTTCTGGCCCACGGAATTAATTTTGATATTTTGGTATCCTAACCTTGCTGTACCAGAGCCTGTGCTAATGCGCGGAAGCACGTGGGCAATACTAAGGAGCAGGGGGCGTATTCGGCCGGGAGGTAAAAGAGGCTCTTCCCACAAAGACGGACTAGACCTGTGAGGTCCTCATCCTTGAATCCATCCCTCTTTGTATGATGCACGAGATTCAAGGCCACATCGCTGATACTTCGCCGACGCCGAAGGTGTTGCTCATCAGACTTGACTATTACAGTTTGGGTCGATCTCCCGGACGATGTTCGTCGGACTGTTTTGGAGAACCAACTTCCCTTTCGGCCTTGCGTAGAATCCGTTGGAGGGAAGTCGCCTGGCACGAACTGTCGGATACCGTACTAGAGTCTCATGGTTAGTAAGTTTGTCGCATATGGAGTTGAAGAAGTATGTTACCCTCTTTGCAAGACGGTTGTACTCCCCGACAAACTCTTGTCTGTCTTCGACCTCATCGCCCCCTGAAAGCAAACCGATGTCACCACTGGAAGAAGTCCAAGTGTTACTTCTGCGGGTCACGGGTACATCTAAGGTGCCTAATGAACGAGACGTAGCTGGTACCGCTTGAGTGGTCTGTGGTCTAACAAAAGTCGAAGGGGAGAGCGGACGTCTTCGCTTATAAGATATTGGTTGGGAGGACTGGGACAAGCTTGCGGTTGCAGGCTCTTTACCTTTGGTAGGAGTTGGAGCTGTATCATAATGGTAAGACTGCATCTAAACGACTGGGTAAGAGACTACTTGAATTTGAGTGTCTAACTAGGTATAGAACATAATACAAGTAGTGGATAAGAGATTATAAACTTGAAAGCTCGTTAATAGAAGAGTGAATAGGTAGAGAAAACATTGAGTATGAGATTGGTCAAGATATAAAGTAAGTTCATGTTACAGGTAGGTAGGTATGTATGTATGTATGTAGTCTTAGAGATATTGATACTACAAGGTGCCTGCTACTATAGAGGAACATACTAGCATTAAAGAGGTCAACTGATGTGCGTTGCAAATTAGTATATGTTTAGTATATGTAGGTATTTATAGTATATCCTGACCGCATCACTCCTTCCATAATACTACTATGTATCATGTACGATGGGAAGTCTGAAGAAGTCACTAGACTCACTACAGGCACCTAGTAGATATAATGGTAGCTACCATGTCAGAGACAACACGTTAGAGGAGGAAAGCACTTCTATACCTACATACTATAATACCTGGTACATGTCTAATCTGTTAACACTGGAAATATATTGCGCCTCCGAGAAACAAGTGTTATGGTTACCACGGGTAGATCCTGACCATTTTGTCTCCCACCTAGCCCGCCATCTAGACCATGCAATTCCTTTCCTCCCCCTTAAACCAGGTAGGTACTCCATCATATCAGCGCGCGAGGACTGAGAAAGTATGAAAACCCGTGTCGGCTTAGAGACTGATCCGTATGCAATCTCCCCATTCTTGAGAACGCCAGACTCCTCTACAATGCCCATCCATCATTACCTCCTTTAAATCCATAACCTCATTGCTCCCATTTCCAAGGTCTCATGTATCATCATCAAGAAGAAGGAAAATCGTCGTCCGAGCTTTCACTGGCTTTTCATGGCGGAGGAAAGTATTCACCTTCGTCGGGAGTGACGCCAGTGAATAGGACGTACCTGAGGATGTCGGAGAGGGATATCATGCCCTTCAATTGCCAATTGTCATCGATGACTACTAGCCTGTGTACTCGAGATTGTCGTAGCGTGGTAAAGATGGAATCAAGCCTGTCGTCCTCCTGACAAGTATAGATGCCTTGGAAGTCGTCTGGCCTCCTCGACAATGCTTCCCCCACGGTTGACTCCAACTCTTCGTACACACCCCCTTTGATACACGGTATAACGTCTACGGCCTCAAACACGTTGAGCACGACGTTGTTCCTATCAACAATCGGGACGGCGGAAATGTTGTGAACCACCATCAAGTTGATTACCTCGAGTACCGAGTCTGTCATCTTAGCGGTTGCGAGGTCCTTATAAGTCCCTAACCCTATCTCTCGTACGGTCTGCTTAAGAAGCATTGTGTGTTGCTCAGTGTTGACGGCGATAAACTTGAGGATGCGATACTGTGTGATGACGCTCACAACTGTTTCTCTCTCGGTTTCGTGATCAATGTCGACCAGCGGAATACGACGAGCGCGACTTTTGAGCATGCGACTACAGGCTTCGTACAGGGGTCTCGTAGGGTGGACCGACACAGTTTCTAACGGAAGGACGCCAATTGCCCTTTCGATGTCTGTCGTATGATTAAATTATCAGTTACCGAGGCCCAATCCACGCCTTCCAGCACATTCACATCTGGGATATGACATACCGCGAAGACTGCTCAACCTAAACTTATCTACATTATCAATGTGTTCGGGAAACTGGCAGTAGTATTGTATTAAATTGATATAGTCGGTCGCAGTGAGAAGCCCCGCGAATCTGGCTTGCTGCGAATCCCAGAGAGGTGCCGAGACAATTCCTAATAGATTGTATGTTAAAAACGGCTCGAGGTCTGGCGGGGAAAGGATATGATGATAATGGCAAATATAGGTACAATACCATTCTGGATCAGGATGTCAAGACTCTTCCTGATCAAGAGATCATTGTCCAGCACGATAAGTCGGAATGAGAGCGGAAGCACATCGTAGCTAGTTCTAACTCGGAGAAAATTGCGCAGACCTTTCTGTAGGCACGAAGAGACAGATCAGCAAGTGGTTGAGGTCTAAAAATACCTAAGGGGGGAAGCCCGGATGGCAGGCAGAAGGGTAAGACAAAGAAGGATCGCCAGGGAATGATGATATTAGAATGCAGATGCTGATAGCTTACCAGGCCTTGCAGCTGCTCTTCGTCAATAGGACTCATTGGCGGCGTGGGCGCAGGGACTGTGCGTGTCCGAAGTTTGGGTCTGAGATACGAGGATGGCTGCACAAAAGGAAGCTCGTGACCTGGTCGAAGTAGCGGTGGTATGAACGAGTGCAAATCCGACGATATGGCGGGGGCGGTAGCGGCGACAGCGGCACCGGCACCGACAGCAGCTGGCGCGTGTTGTGGCACCTCGTCTAGCGGCGGATTACTACTAGGTTCGTAGCTCGAAGGGTCATCCATCTTTCTTTCTTCCCCCTTTTTTTTTGTCTTGGGGTTTCCTTGGGGGAGCTCTGATAATTAAGGATTATTGGTGGAACACCCGTCTCCCCGGAGGCGTATAATTGAATAAGTAGGTATAGGTATGTAGCTACCTATTGCAGTAGGCGTGCCTGGCGTGGACGATGAAAGGTTTCGGTGTACGAGACCCTTTTTTTCTTCTTTTTTTCTTCTCTCTCTCTTTTTTTTTAAAAAAAAAGAGAAAAACCCACCTATTCCAGTTAGGTACTAGAGAGGAATGTAGGGAGAGGGGAGGGGTGTGTGGAGAGTAAAATGCAAAATAAAGATAAAATTAAGAATAAGAATAAGTAAAAGTAAAAAAGAAGTTATTGAGTAGAGTTGGTGATTATTGTAGAAAGTAATGATCTAAAGTTGGAAGTAGCAAGGAAGTTGCTAGCTAAGATGAAAGATGAAGACATCGGCTTTGGTTTTCATACATGCAACCCAACTACTATGTATGTACTGGGTAGATTATGTACCCCTTAGCACACACTAGAGCAGATTGATCTTTTGCTAAGTTTAAAGTAATAGGCTGTAGTAGTTAACAAAGAAAGATAAGGATGAAGATGGTGAGGTTGATAATACTAATGAGGTCAGACCAGATGAATAAATAGCCTCACAGTCTTTTTGCGTCGACAGCCTACTGGGCAATTCGTGCTGACAGTGATGCATACGTACATACATATAGGTGTCTAGCAGCGCTATATGTACCTGGTAGAGTAGGTATACAACGCTGAATGTAAGCAACTCGGGAGATCTGACAGGGCGAATAGGTACAATTATGTACCTAGCACCTACCTAAGTTAGTAACTACCTACATGTACCTAATCAGACATTAACGATGCAGTGTCTGGTTCAATGCTGTACTGTAACTATATGCAATACATGCATATTGAGGTCCATGTTTGTAGCGTGGGGGTGTGTATGTCTCTCAGTGGGTTTTAAGGGCTTCACTGTGCTTGTTGTTGATAGGTCCTGACCGTCCTGATGGATCAACCTCCATCCCTGGATGAATAGGCGGTTACATGTGCCTTGAATGCTGGAAATCTTTAACAAGAAAGAAGATGGAATAGCATGTGGGCATTTTACCCACTCACATACCAAGCATCCATCTTCTGATACCTAGGTTAGTACAGTATTAATGTCCTTGCAAGGACTGTACATTGTCATGATGTAGGTATATATAATAAAAGACATCTGGAAAAGGAAGCTCGAGGATAAAGCAACCCAATAACTATATTACCCTAGGTATGTACTACTAGTAGTATAGGTGCTGACATTGCACAAACATAAGCATCTTCAGGGCTATGTATGCAAAGTTCAAGTCGTTTAGGCAGTCAAACCCCTCGAGACCTAATGAACGCAGGTGCCTACCCCCCAGCCATTGCAGTGACGTAGGTACGTTGGCCGTGCTCATACTACTACATACCTACAGAGACATAGATTGGACTTACCACTCGTGAACATTTGCAGTATCGTAGCAAATGCATAAACCTAACAAAATACATAAGCTCGTGTCATGCCAAGATTATTCATCCTATACTACATAGTAGATATCTACCTACCTACCTACTGTACATAGGCGGAGAAGATTTGATGCATCCATCATGTATACTAAATCTAAAGCGGAGAGAGAAAGAGGATAAAAAGAACAATCAAATGATATGTCATATCGTATTAAAGAATTGATGTGACGCAAAGGATACATAAGGGTGCTATTGGAAACATTCGGCCATTGCTCAATCAAAGGGTTGGAAAAGTCAACAGCCACTGCTACTTAACGTATTAGACCTGGAACCGGACCAAACTTAGATGTAGACCACCTTAATTTTTTAGTTACTTAGGATACCTAAAACCTCCCAAAACCTCCCCAAAACAACACTAAACAACAACAATACCAAATCACTTAAAAAAATTCATAACGCCACAAATCCTACCTTAAACTAAACGAAACTTTACGAACGCATTTATCATATCGAAATATACAAATATAAAAATTTAAAAAAAAATCCGACGCCGATTCATCGAGATACGACTCTTATACTGTTTAATTACATAAAACCTACTATATATACGTACATATTATCAAATTCCAAACCGCACAACCAATGCATCTTATTCTTAATATAATATTTATATTTATATTGAAATAATATATCATATTATTAAATTATATCAAATTTAGTAAAGGTTTAGCGGCGTAATAATTATTTAAAGTGATTTGATATTGCTGTTGTTTTAAGGTGGTCCGGATCTGAGTCTGGTCTAGTTCTAGGTCTAATATGTTACTTCGTATACGATTTCTAGCTCGACTTGGAGTCAGTTTCAAGCGCAAAACCCACCATCGGTTAATCATAAAATAACAACATATAATACATATGTTTTGTCTCTCCCAAGGCTGTTTGGTGTGGCATAGGTAGGTAGCTAATAATGAAGGCGAAGTTGTCGTCATCTAAACATGCCACCGATAGAAAGGAGTGGGTGGTGCTTAGGGTCTCAAATGGATGACTATGTAAATTCTAGGTCAGGCGATTTGTTCAAGGATTTATTATCTCTTGACTCGGGTAGGATCTCATGACTCAATTTTGAAGGAACTGTTCTTATTAGGAACTGGGTAATCATTAAGGATGGCCTCCCACCCATCAGCAAGGTCAAGAGATGATTTGTTGACTTGAATTGGGAATAGCCTCAGCGAATAACGAATGTTCCAGCAGCGTGACAAACTTTGGCTATTCTCGGTTACTATCTGACGGAAAGCCACATAATAGGTGGATGGAACGTCATATTTTCGAGACAAGACCTGCAGGTGTTTTCTTCACAAGCTACTTGAAGCTAGATCGCCGCCATGGCATTTGCAAAGGAAGCCAAGCGAAGTTTGTGGCTGGCACTGGCTGCTGCAATGTACAATAGCTATCCTAAAGAGGTAAACAGCACGATAATCGGGGTCTTCTTGTTATGTATGTTGTGGCTAAAATAAAGATGCTAAAAAGCGCCTACATAGTTAATTGTAAGCAGGCACCAACTGACGTATGGTAATCATGATAAAAGGTCAATGTTGTCTTTAGACCCAGTGCTCTTCACACGCCTTTGACATCCATTAATGACATGAGCTCTTCATTCATTATGCATGTACATAGTACATAATCTATGTAGGCAGCTGAAGGCATGTAACATTTGATGAGAAAGGAGCAAACTGAGATAAGCTCTTAATGCTATGTGCATTGTGAATGTGCATGTAGATATTCTACCTAGTTCCTAGCACATTACCTAGTATGTAGGGGTTAGTTAGTGGTACCCACAGAAACTTCAATGTTGCGAAAGTTCAGACATCCCGGGTCCTTCTTGTCGTATGTATGTAAGAAAGAAAACGAGATAAATGATTGGCACACTGCGCCATTCCTTCTCTCTACAAGGCAATTACGTTACTTTTTTTAAAGTACAAAACCGTTAAAACACAACTGCTAGACTACCTAGTACTAGGTTAGTACGCCGTATTATGTATGTACCTTAGGTACTAAGCGATTATACCTCTGTCTCCACTTCTCCTCTCCACCTATAAACACCATAGGCCAGTGAAGTCACTGCTTCAGCACCTGCTCCAGCAAGTAACAGCAACAAGACGCGGCAATAGCGCAGTAACTGCTATCAACTTTAGTTACGACGGGGGCAGCAAGAGCAGGGTTGTCGGTACTTATCTCACTCATCCCAAACCCTCGCATTACCTCGCATACTCTCCAACTCCAAGCCTTCTGTTGCAACTTTCAACCTCGAAATCTCGTAAACAAGCTTGGAGCCCTGGAACTCCCAAATGCATTAAGGTTCAACACCAACAACCTGCCTCTCTTCCATTTCCCTTCCACCTCACTCTCATACTCTCTCTCTCTCTCTCTCTCTCTCTCTCTCTCTCTCTCTCTCTCTCTCTCTCTCTCTCTCTCTCTCTCTCTCTCTCTCTCTCTCTAGCTGTCTTCCATAATACCCTTCGGCCTGGTCACGATCGATCTTTATCTCATCGTATCGTCCCGTCCCGTCGATGCATGCACACCGGTACAATTACCGCCGCATCGACCTACACGTAATAGCCTGCCTACCCTAGTCTCTCACGAGGATATATCATAGGACCACTACCTCGGGATCCCAGTCTCATTTCGGCCTAATCCCAGTTTTGATTTTGTTTGTTAACATTCTCAAACAAATTGAGACGAGGAGCACCGGGTCACCATCATCATCTTTTTTCATTTACTTTCCGTATCCGACAACAACCAGAACCATCATCGATCACGGTTTTCATCTCTACCCATAGCCATGGGGGCCTGCCAGTCATGCTGCGGAGGTACTGCCTCACTATTTTCCTAACTATCAAAAGCTCTACATCTGCTAAGACCGACACAGGCAAATCTCGCGATGGACTCTACGAGCCAGTATTGGCTGACAGCGAAAGAGAAGCTGTCGCCGATCTCTTGCAATACCTCGAGAATGTTCGTTTATCATTACCCATCAGTTCTTTTTATATCTTGAAGCTGATCGTTCCCTAGCGCGGCGAGACCGACTTTTTCTCTGGCGAACCCCTTCGAGCCCTGAGCACCCTCGTCTTTTCCGAGAATATCGACTTACAACGAAGTGCGAGTTTAACATTTGCTGAAATCACGGAACGAGGTACGTTTTATCGTCAAGATGCGGATAAGGACTACGTGAGATTATACGATGGTCGACCGATATCACCTTCGAATGCCGATACAGCCATCTTCAATATCTAGATTCCAACTGACTTTCTCCCCGCAGATGTTCGCGAGGTCGACCGCGATACTCTGGAGCCTATTCTCTTCCTGCTCCAAAGCCACGATGTCGAAGTTCAAAGAGCAGCCAGCGCGGCGCTTGGAAACCTGGCTGTTAATAGTAAGTGTAGCTGAACACTTCTACGTGGCTATGTATCTCACCAATTCATATAGCCGAGAACAAAGTCTTGATCGTCCAATTGGGTGGTCTGCCCCCACTCATACGTCAGATGCTTTCCCAGAACGTTGAAGTCCAGTGCAATGCCGTAGGATGCATCACGAACCTGGCCACTCACGAAGACAACAAGGCAAAGATCGCACGATCTGGAGCATTAGGTCCACTCACAAAGTTGGCCAAGTCAAGGGACATGAGGGTTCAGCGAAACGCAACTGGTGCTCTTCTCAACATGACGCATTCAGGTAGGCTACTCGCCATTTATGTCTGGGGAGTTTCCTAACAGTCTCGTGTAGATGAAAATCGACAACAGCTTGTGAACGCAGGCGCCATCCCCGTACTCGTACAACTCCTATCGTCTCCCGATGTCGATGTTCAATATTATTGCACGACAGCACTCAGCAACATTGCCGTCGACGCTAACAACAGGCGGAAGTTAGCTGCGTCCGAGACCAAACTCGTCCAGTCGTTAGTCAACTTGATGGATTCCTCCTCACCTAAAGTGCAATGCCAGGCGGCATTAGCGCTTCGAAATCTAGCCTCGGACGAAAAATACCAACTGGACATTGTCCGAGCGCAGGGTTTGAATGCATTGTTGCGCCTGCTCCAGTCCTCTTATCTCCCTCTCATACTATCCGCCGTTGCTTGCATACGCAATATATCGATTCACCCGTTGAACGAATCGCCCATTATCGAAGCTGGCTTCTTAAAGCCCTTAGTTGATCTCCTAGGCTCTACCGACAACGAGGAGATTCAGTGCCACGCCATATCGACCCTCAGAAATCTCGCTGCTAGCTCTGATCGCAACAAAGCTCTGGTGCTCGAGGCCGGTGCGGTACAGAAGTGCAAGCAACTCGTTTTGGATGTTCCAGTTACCGTTCAGTCGGAGATGACGGCTGCCATCGCCGTCCTTGCTTTATCCGATGATCTCAAGACGCACTTGTTAAATCTTGGCGTGTTTGATGTCCTAATCCCTCTTACGCATTCAGCAAGCATCGAGGTCCAAGGAAATAGCGCTGCTGCTCTTGGCAACCTCTCTTCCAAAGGTAAGTTTGGATACCTGGAAGTTCCTTTTTCGGTTACAATTCTAACGATTATTGTAGTTGGCGATTATTCTATCTTCATCCAAGACTGGACCGAACCAAACGGTGGTATTCACGGCTACTTGAGTAGGTTCTTGGCTAGCGGAGACGCTACATTCCAGCACATTGCCATTTGGACGCTTCTTCAGTTATTGGAGTCTGAGGACAAGACTCTGATATCACTTATTGGAAAGTCGGATACGATTGTGGAGATGATTAAGCAAATCGCAAATCGACAAGTCGAGTCAGATAACGAATTCGAAGAAGATGACGAGGGTGAGGTGATTAATCTTGCGCAGCGCTGCCTGGAGCTTCTCGGTCAGAGCATGTCCAAGGCGCACATAGAGGGCTAATGCGATTACGGATTCGATGACGGTCTATTGAGCTAAGCTTCCTTTTCTAAACATCAGTTTTGTCGGACTTTTCTCCGGCGGGCATTCACGCAGTCATGGTTGGTTCCGGTGTTCGAGGCGTATTCTATATAAGCAGGCATCTTTATTTCGTCGACGGTCAGGCTGCTTCGATATTTTATAGGGAATGCATATCCTCATTTGGGGCGGCTCAAGTTGCGGGCGGGCGTATTGCAGGTCGCATTTCTTGTCCTGGACTTGTTCCTTGGGCAAGAGAAACCAGACCGTTGAATTTCATTTGTACAGAACGGCATTGCCGTTTGAAGGAAAGGAACGACTACTTGATAATTCGCTCGCCAAGTCGTGGTGGTGGTGGTGGTCGTGGTCGTCCATGCAAGTCTCTTGTACGAGGCTTGTATGGAACTGTTAAAATTCTTGTAATTAAATTGCCCCTCGCCGAAAATGATATCCAACAAAGTCATCCTTCCAATACGCCTGTATGCAATGCAGTCATAATACAAGTACAATACACATGTGATGTTTTGTTTTAACGCTTTTTTAATAGGTTTCTCCATGCTAAGGGGGAGAAGAGATATGTCAGGTATCTGAGGGCGAGTGAAGACCGCTTTCGACTCTGGTAAACCAATTAAATGGCGACCAGCCATTTATACACACCTTAGCCACCACTTTACCCTTGATGAGGCCCATGGGTAAGGGACCGAAGTCGCGGCTATCCCTGGACCAAGGGAGATTATCTCCAACTATATAGCAATGGCCCTTTGGTACCTAGGGTCCAGTCAGTAATGTGTTTGGTCTTAGCTGCTGACGAAACATGCATGGATATCGTAGCGTAGAGTAGATTACCTGTATCATACTGGTGCTGCTGGCGCCGGGAGAGTTCAGGAGGACGTAGTCGCCGGGAAGACCAAGAACGCGCTTGATGCCCTCCTCGCCGGGCTCGACGGGGATGGAGTAGACGATGCAGTCGCCGACCTGGATGCCGCGACCCCGTCTGCAGGCGCGGCTCGTCACAAACCACTCGTCCATGGTGAGGAAGGTGGGCAGCATCGAGGGCCCCCAGCCGTACCCCCCGCTGTACCCGTAGGTGACAGCTAGGTGGCCCAGGGCGAGCGCTTTGCAGGTGTAGAGGAGCACGCGGAAGGGGTGGCCTAGGATGCTGGGTGGTGGTGGCATGGCGGGTGGGGTGTATGGGGTGTATGGGATGTGATGGGATTTTCCTTCTTGGTTTGGCTTCTATTATTTTCTCTTATTATAGATTGTGTTGTTGACTTGTAGGTCATATGGTCCCGACTATAACGGCTTTGAGCTTACATGCTGCACACAGATACCTAGGTGGTTAATCGATAATGAAACGATACTACCTTCCTACACAGTAGTCATATGAGGTAGGTTAGATATAGGTTAGATATCTTGGGTTCACTAAAACAAGCTCCGAAGTCTTGGCATGGCACTTGTCGAACCCTTGCGAAAGAAAGGTGTAATATGATTGGCTCTCAATCCCTGCAACTTATGCCGCCAAATTTCTTCCAACCGAATCGTATTTTTCGTTAACTATTCTTTTTTTTTTTTTTTTTTTTTTTTTTTTTTTTTTTTACTTTCAATGAAACTTCAAGTTTTCGCAGCACACAACACCCCCACCATACTTAAAGATCCGACATCAATCCAATCGAGAGAGAAAAATGCTTTCGTAACTGTATGCAGCACATATCTCAACTCAATCTTCTAAAGGAGGAATATAGACAGTGAAGAAGAACAAGAAGAACAAGAAGAAGAAGGAGGAGGGGAAACCCAAAAATGTCTATGAACATGGCTCACTCACGCTGTTTCGCCAACACCTCGCCCGCTCGCGCTCTCCATCGAGTTCTCATTTCAGATTCTATCTACGGCAGCCGCAGCGCCCCTAACAGCAACAATGCCCAAGCGAATTCATATTACCTCTTCCCTCCGCGGCTCTTCTCCTCGCTCTCCCCCAGCCGACGCCTTCTCCTCAATAGACATGCCATTATATCAGCACCGACATTATCAGCATCCTCCCATATCCGTGGGGCCGCTGCCTTCAGCACCACCCCATCCTTAGGCATGCAGCGCATCCAAGCCCTCAAGCACCGTGTCATCAACCATAAGATCATGTATGAGTGGGTGCGCATAGCCTCTGCGCCGCCGGAGAGCACGCTTTCAGAGCCACGGCTTCGAGACGACGTCCTTGCTGAGCTAAACCTAGATACGCACACGCTACTGATGGTTGCATCCCCACCGCTGCCCAAGGTCGCCGAGGAGGAGATAGGAGAGGATGACCCTAACTGGTCCCCGCCCGCCGCCATCTGCCGCATCATCGACAACGAGGCGGCTATGCGGATGGAGGCCGAGATCCGCGAGCACCGCCGGCGCCGGGAGATCAACACCAAGGAGCTCGAGTTCTCGTGGAGCATCTCGACCAACGACATGGCGCACAAGCTGCGCCGCATGCGCGAGTTCCTCGACCGCGGCTTCCACGTCGAGGTCATGCTGGCGAAGAAGCGCAAGGGCCGCCAGGCGACGCAGGAGGAGGCCGAGGCGGTGCTCGCGAGCGTGCGCGAGGCCGCCAGCGAGGTCGAGGGTGCCAAGGAGACGCGCAAGATGGACGGCGACGTCGGCGGCATCGCCCGCCTGTACTTCGAGGGCATCAGCCTCAAGACGAGGAAAAAGCAGCTGGAGGACGAGAAGGAGCGGCTGAAGGCCGAGGCGGCCAAGATGTTCATGGACAAGTTCAAGCAGGCGCAGAAGAAACTGAATGAGTGAGTACTTGACTTGTGTGGTATTCTTCATAGTTCAATAATACCCCAGTACCTACGACTGACTCAACTGGCATAAAAGAAATTAGAAAACGCGATCAAGAATCAAGAAGATGATTGATGCTGTATGTATCTATCTATCTATGTATATTACGAGAAAAGCCTCTAGGTTATAGAGATGCGTTGAAAAGACTTGCTCTCGAAGCAGGTACAGTAGGTATATTGATTGACCAAATATATCCCCTGATATATACATACCTAACCTAGGTTGGTATATTACATGTGGTGGCTGTCCGGAACGCCCAGATAAGTTCCCTAGGTACCTATCTATTATAGATGTACATGTATTTGAACCTCATATGATGCCTCTGCCTACCTAGTAGGTACCTACCTACCTTACCTAGGTATCTAACCTAGTACATACATACATACATACAAACATAGGTTAGATGTTTCACAGAAGCTCCGCAGGATATTGATGTTGTTCTCATTTCGTCGTTCATTATTGATATCAGTGACGTCTATCTTATCTTATACATCTCTTATTTCTCTTATTTCTTCTGTTATTGTTGTTGTTGTTCATGTTTGCTTTTCACGTCTCATGCAGAAGAAAAACCACGGCGCCCACGACACTAAACGCGACGGCCGTCGTCACGAAGCCCGCCGCCACTTTTTCGCCTATCGAGATCTCGCGCAGCGGCTTCGGCATGTACTCGGCCATCTGGCGGCCCGCGTCCGGGTTGCCGACCGAGGTGCCGCCCGTGTCCGCCGTCAGCGGCGCGGCCGTCTCTTTTTTGATCAGCGAGTACTGCAGCGCGGACAGCGCGCTCATCTGCTCGCCGACGCCGACGAGGCCGTCGAACTTGTCCTTCTCCGTCCACTTGAACCCGCACGCCGTGCCGGCGACCCCCTTGAACTCGTTGGCGGCGGGGGACCCCGAGCACTGCTGGGCGGCGGCGGCGGCGCTGGACTTGATGAGGGGCATGGCGGTGTCGAAGGTAAAAGGGGCCAGCTGCGCGGTCGAGGCCATCCACCGCAGCAGGTAGCCCTTGAAGGACTGCTGGTCGAAGTCGCAGAAGTTGAAGGACTCGCAGGGCCGCTCGACGACGATGCCGTCGTCGAAGAAGAAGGATATCGTCCGGTTCAGGAGGCCCGCGGTGCGCTGCTCCCAGTTCGACTGCCCTTCGGTGAAGTTGTACATGGCGGCGGCGCCTTGTAGAAAAATGCCGGCGTTGTAGGTCCACTGCGCCTGGTTGATGTCCTTGCAGTCCTGCTCGACGCCGGCGCCGTCGAAGATGTTGAAGTCGGCGTCGATGTACTTTACTTCGGTCATCCAGTCCCACACCTTCTCGGCCCAGTCGGCGTACGTCTGGTTGCCCGTGTAGCGGGCGAGGCGGGAGGCGATGTTGAAGAAGCAGCCGTTGGAGATGGAGTTCTTGTAGTTGAAGCCGTTGTTGAAGGTGAAGATCTGCCACCGCAGGCCGCCGCCGCACGTCTCCGTGTCCCACCGGTCCACGTACTCGTTGAAGACGGCCTGCACGAGCGCCAGCCACTGCGGCTGGTCCGCCGGCGGGTTCGGGAAGTTGTTCTCGGCCGCGGACATGGCGGCCATGGCCCAGAACCCTTGGTCGTCGTTCCCCAAGGTGCTGGTCTGGTTCTGCGGCATGTAGTCGCTGTCTTCGCCGGCTTGGTGCAGCATCCCTTGCGTCGTCACGGCGTTGTACGTCGAGTCCCCCGTGTGAAACCAATAGTCGATAAGTGTGCCGAACATGGAGCCCGCCTCCCACCCTGGTAACTGGCGTAAGTAAAAAAAAAAAGAAAGAAAGGATTTATGTATGTGCTAGTGCAAGTGAATGGATCACGTACAGAAATATGGATCAGGCAAGTTGCCCGGAACATCACCCGTGTTGTTACCTGTGTAATATTTCAACAAACCGAAGGCCACGGTGCTCGCCGCATCTTTTATCGAGTCTATTTAGACACTGTTAGTTAGGCACGTATATCGAAACACTCTTATGGACAGGTAGGTATATCGCATACCATCGCTGTTGAAGTCGACTTGTATGGCGCCCGTTGCGCCTGCCAGCAAGCTCAAGAGACCTGCTGTTTGTAGTGACGGCCACATTATGATATATAAAAAAATAAAATAAAAATAAAAGAATGGAATGCAAAGAACGTGAAGATTTAAAGCACCAAGGACTAGCCTGGGAAGAGAAGAAGAAGAGAACTGCTTGCTTAAGATAACCGCATGTCCTTCGAGGTTATAACAAACAGAGCGTCGCCGTGCTTGAAGATATGTCTAAGTGATACCCGTCTGGTGGCTTAACTACGCACTCTTCAACTCAATTTGCTTTCACGGTCGTAAAATGAATTAGACGTCAAATAAAATATAAAAAAATAAATAATAATAGAAGAATAAACTCGACCAGGAGCGAGAGTTGCTAGCAAGAGAAAGATAGACAGAAGTCGCCCGGCGAAAAACGAAACAGAAACAAGAACGAAAAAAATGAATGAAATGAAGCTTCGATCTAGAAGCAATTGGGCGAAAAGAGAAGTGAAGGTTGAAGATGTGAAGTGAAAGAAAGAAACAAGACTGCACAAACCAAAACTCCCTTACCCAAAAAAGCTCAGATAGGCAAGTATAGTAAAGGTCCTGTATGGATTGGATGTACCTACATGTCGATCCAGAAGCCCTGACCGTCCCAAAAAAAAGTGGCCATCTCCAGCGTACTATTACTACTATGGATGTATGAGGAAGCGGATTCAGGCACATGGCTGCCACTGCAATTGTCGAGCAATGTAGTAACTCGGGAACCCATCACGTCAATCACCTATAAGAATTTCCCGAATTATTCAAGGTTGGCCAGGTTGGCCCCCTGTTTAGCAAAAGCTTTTTTACTGCTGCTGCAGGTACATACACATACAAAAGAAGTTCCAAGTTCCATGTCTTGAAGCGTGGAGGGCTGTGCTATATGAATCGGCACAGCTGAAACAGCTCAAGTACGATCTGCGCGGAACCCTCGTCTCAAGAGATATAGGGCAAGGGTCGGGAGGGGGGGGGGGGGGGGATCAGAGCAAGACAGTAGCTGCAGGGGGGGAGGATTTTCTGGGTACCTTGTTAATATTGTAAATCTTATTCAAAAGTTGATGTTCAATTAAGAACATTTGAAAAGCTCAATTTTAGGTACAGACCTACGGACTGGGGAATAGTAGTGGGGAACACTTACATAAGAAACCTGGCTCGCTCCTAACATTGAAGTTGTAATAGGGAGCCTCCATACATAGTACTTTTTAGCACCTAACTATTTAACGAATAGGAGTTGGCGAATGGCGAGACAGTCGTAGTCGGGCATCTTCATTTCAACAACTGCACACATGCATGTGTGTGTATAAAGATTTGTGTCACGAAAATGGATAGTGGATGCGTAGACTTTGCTCTTTCTCAACGTCTTATTATGACTTGAAATCTATTCGGCAGTAAAAGTAAAGACAGGACTTTTTGGTGTCTGGTATCGAAATCCCCCATTTCCCCCTTTTCCCCTTTTTCTCATCAAGCACATAACTGCAATTTTCTTGAGCGTCATAGAACATAGAACGTTCAACTTGGTATCCCTCCTAAAATCCTTGCTGCTTTTCAGTTTCCTATAAGACACATTGATATTAGACCTTCACTCATCCTCAACACGTTTAAGCTTTCCGCTTTTTGGACGGGGGCTGGGCACCATTGGTTGCAGGCTGATCATCGTCGCCCATCTCCTCATCCTCGTCTTCGTCCTCGAAGTCCATATCGCTAACGTCGACCTCTTGGGCTTGACCTTGCCATCTGTTAGCATTGTGTACCTTTGATTGCCAGTATAGTGTATTCAATGAAACTTACTGAAATACTTAATCGCATTGGGCCAGAGATCATCGGTAAGAGCCAATGCGACTTCTTCACCGTCGGGGAAGATCTCGAGAGCTAACGGGTCCTCATCCACGTCTTCTTCGTCCTCATCCTCGTCATCTTCGTCGTTCAAGTCGGGCGCATTGCCTGCAGCTCGTTCGGCGCGCTTCTTCTCCTCTTCGAGTGCGAGACGGTTCTCTTCGGCAGAGACGTTCAGTCCTCGGTATCCGAACAGACCGAAAAATGAGACACCACCAAGGCCAGTAGCATCGATCTTCTCCTTTAGCGCCTTCTCGTCGGGTGTGTAGTCCTTCTCCTTCTTTATCTTGGTGCTGTCGGTGTTGGCCTGCTTCTTGTCTTGCTCCCAGACCTTGATGACGAGGTCGAGCATTCCTTGGGTGAGATCCTTCTCTGCCGACTTCCACTTGATAGCGACCGGCTCACTAACTAGGCCGGCCTCGCCATCCTTGGAAAGGCGGTACCAGAACTTCTTCTCCAGGACCTTGTTCTCGAACCACTCATTGTCAGAGAACTCCATCTTGAGGGCCACGCTGCGAGGGTCTCCCTTGCCGCCATTCTCAATCTCGAAGTGAGAAACCGAGAAGTCAGTCAATGAGGATAGGAGTACAGCAGAGTCACCAGGCTGGATGTATTGGTCTAGATCAGGCGGGGCCTGCTCGAAGACCAATGCCCAGAAGTTGGGGATCTTGGGGACCAGCTTTGCTCGCTTCTCATACAACGGCGCACTGAGAGCGACTTGTTGACGGACTAATAAATGTGATTGGTTAGTAAGTATGTAATACGTTTGATATATACTGTGGTTCAGAACTCATCATGGAGGGGTATCATGGAGGGGTAGATTGAGGATGATGACCCAGGCTTGACAAGATCTGAAGTCCGTTTGCACATACTTATTTCTGTCTCAACATCTTCGAAATCTCTCTCGAGGTCCATAAGCTCCTCGAAAGTGGCAATAGCCACATCAGCTTCGTCCGGCATGGCTGTGATATTGAGGTTGGTTGAGTGAAGTAGGTGTTTTTTTAATTTATTAAAAAAAAAAAATGATGGAATGGTAAGAACTTGGGATGTCTCAAGCAACAAGAAAAAAAACCTTGAGCACAAAATATATAAAAAGAAACACAAGGCAAATCACACTAAGGTAAGAAGCCTCAGGTGTGAAAAAATGTGATCGCAAAAAAAAAATTCTTGTCGATCAACTAGGTGCAAATCATTGGTTAGCAGAGCTCGGAAAGGGCAACTGCCCAGGCTACAGGTCCCAGCTAGAGCCAACAGTTGATCTCTCTGCAGCATCTTGGCAGGGGTCTTGTAACCGTACATTACGGGGAAGGAGGGGTTGCTTTGTGCGACTGTTCAGTATTTTAGGCCGTTTAGCCGTACAATATGGATACATCATAATACATTTAACGGTTTTACTGTGCAAATAAACCGTATTTGCTAAAGATTTTACGTTCTCACAAGCACAATAAAGTGCCCGAGTGCTAGCGTACGGTGCGTACTTAAGGCTCAGGTATCCGCTAAAAACTTTAGATAAAGTGGGCTATTTTAAGCACCGGCAGGGATTAGTTCGCCATTCAAGTTAGCAACCTTAACAAAGGCGGTCATGTTCAGCAGAAAAATAATTGTCTTTCAGACCTTAATTCCTTATCAGATTTCAAGAACTTGCATGTGCGTCAGTAACAAGGTACAATCAAGCCAAGGTAACAGTGGGTTGAACGGTTTGCCATCGCCATACATACTTACACCCTAAATACATACATACATCTTCCCAACATGAACGGCTTACCAGGAGCCGGAGCCGGAGCCGGCGGGCCACAGCAATATGATGCAGCAAACGATCCCAATATCAAAAGAGTCCGTCTACCTACCCCCCCAATCCCCCGCCGCGAGCTTGTGTCGCAAGGACCACCGTTTGCTAACACATATGAATTAGTTAAACGCCATAATGGAGTCCTGCTTCGGGAAAGCCGCCATCTCGGGCGTCATGGGCTTCGGCATGGGTGGTTTGTTTGGCATGTTCATGGCTTCCGTACGGACCATCCCCTACCCCTCTCCAAAGCATAACCCTACTACAAACCTTTGGAAAAACTAACACACAAGAACAGATGGCCTACGACACCCCCTTCCACACGCCCGGCGCCCCCGGCGCCGCCCCGCAGCCCATCGCCTCGCTGCCCATGCGCCAGCAGCTCAAGATCGGCTTCAAGGACATGGGCGCGCGCTCCTACAGCACCGCCAAGAACTTCGGCATGGTCGGTCTCATGTTCGCCGGCATCGAGTGCGGCATCGAGGGCTACCGCGCCCGCAACGACCTCTTCAACGGCGCCGCCGCCGGGTGCCTCACCGGCGGCATCCTCGCGCGCAGCGGCGGCCCCACCGCGGTTGCGGGAGGCTGCGCGGCGTTCGCGGCGTTTAGTACCGCGATTGATGTCTGGATGCGGCAGCCGAAGGAGGAGGATTAGTGCGGTAGTGAGGGGAGAGGAATGGATAAAAGGAGCAATAAAGGGAAAAAGGAAAAGCCCCCCCTTTTAGAGAAAGGGGAGGCGGGGCGAGGACGAGGAATACAAGGGGCTGTATGATTACGAAAAGCAAGCAAGCAAGCCTAGACACCTGATTTCCTACCGGCTCTTCACGGTTCTATTACGAGGCGTTGCGGCGGGCGGCAGTCGGTCGGTCGGTTGTTTGTTTGGATAGCATTTCAAGGCGTTTAGGTACATAATGGCTCCCAAGGATATCATATCCATTGATCCATATAAAAAGGGGCAGGGGTGGGAGGGAGGCATCAACATTCTCCACTTACCTAGGTAGATATAGAAGACATCGTCGTGAATTGTACATATACATGTATACACACACATACACTCATCCAGCTAATTAATGCTACAAGTCGAGAGATGAGCGACAATAGGGGGCTAGCCATCTTCACATATACCAAGTGCCGATACATACTTTAATAAATAGAGACTTAGGTAGGTGTTCGGCCTGAAACCTGAAGCCTGATACCTGAGACTCGTTGCGTTGTGTGACTGCATACCTAGTAGCACTAGACCTTTATCCAGTATCAGATATACTGTTATAAACTTGAGATATTCAATGAGACATCAATCATCCACCTTTTGGCGCAGCGGTAGTAGGTTCTGGCAATGAGTTTCGGCGTCCTCATTGATGACTCTTATCTAGGTACCTACTGGGAAACATCAAATTTAGAACCAATATAGGTCAGCCAACAACACATGCAGTGAAGACATCAATCATATCATGATAGAACCATGTATTCCACGTTCTACTCAAGTAGGGGGGGGGGGAGTCTACCTGTCCCCATACACATTCGTTGTAGGTACTCATCAACTAGCATTAACTTGAAGTCCTGTGCCTACTGCCCATTCATTAAAACCTATAAGCATTACATCCATTCATACCTAATAAACTCCAATCCCTTTATTCCGTAGCCCCCTTTTTCTACAATCATCGTTCGTTATTCCCTTCGACCCTTTGCAGGCCTGACCTAATACTTTAATCCGCGACGATTACCCCGTGAGCCAAAGCAACACACAATACATTAATAAGCAGTGGTATCAATATGTACTGTACACATAAATGTATGTATGTAGGTATGTTCTGCACGCATTACGCCCACCAGCTCCAAATGGTACCGGCCATTAAGTTGCGTAAGTATAACATAGGTACCCTAGGTACCATATGCAACTACCTGTGTAGGTAGTGGTAGGCAAGGTTACCTAGGAAGCCTTGTACACCTCAAAGGCTCCGAATTCCCAGAACGCGTTGGTGAAAGCGTCGGGGTTGTTTGCGACGTAGTCAGTGCAATTGCTGGGGCCTGTGAATATACAAGTTAGCGACCCAATACAAGCGTACTTGGATAAGGGGGGAAAGGGGGGAAAGGGGAGAAGGCGAATACACTTTCTGTTCTGTGCTGAAAGGAAAGAATGTAGTCGAAGAACAGGAGAATACTCACAGCCGCTATCAGCATACACACCACCAGCGTACTGACCACATAGATCAATGTTAACAATGATGCTCTGGTTCCTGAAATGTGAACTGATGTCACAGTTGGTATTAGGGAAATCCGCCGAAGCTGTGCCCCAAGTACTAGGATCGGGGCTGCGGGCCGAGATATCACTGGGGATGCTGCTGCGGCCAAACTGCCAGACACGGATGCCTTCGTCCCGCCACTCGAGGGCCATGACACCGCCCTGGGCGTCATTGTACGCGGTGCCGTAGGTATCGGCAGCGGTCTTGACGCCACAACCGGCATTGTCGTTGGTGACGTTGTAACAGTTAGTATTGAGGTTGGTCCCACTCATGATGCGCTTGACGTTCATCTGGCAGTTGTCGGTGGTGTGGAGGGTCATTTGGTTGCCGTCGGAGGCCTGGTTGACAGCTTCCATGACATCAATCTCGCCATTAGTCGGCCAGTTGTTCGAGTCGACAAGCCATAGTGCCGGCCACGTGCCGCATCCGTACGGCGTGTGCTTCACATCAAATATGAACAACCCGTTATCGTACTGTGTCTTGGACTCTACCCGGACCGAGAATCGGCCTGTCGAAGCATCCGGCACCGAGCTGGGGCCTACGCTGGTGTCTACTCGTAGAACTGCCGAGTCACTGCTGGCGTATGTGAGGTTCTGAAGGATGATTAGTTAGGCTTTTGACGAGTAAGGTAAGTTATTAGATCACAAACCAATTGCGTGGCCCGCGCCTGGGGGACGTAATGAACGAAGCCTTCTGCAGGGTCATATCCTTCAAAGTAGTTGAAGTTATCGAAGAATGTTGTTCCGGTGTCTAATATGATTGTCAGTCCATCATGATTACACTCCAACATCTAAGCAACCAAAGTGACCTACATTCGTCTGCTAAGGAGTAATTAAGTGCTGTGTAGTCTGGGTATCTGTTTGCCTTGACGACTTCGACTGGGACGACAATGACAATGACAAGAATAATGATGAAGATGGTGACGGCGATGGCCCAAGTTCTCTTCCGCCAGTATCTCGGGTTCCACCACGGCGCACTTGGTTGTTGGGTCATGTTTCTTCGTGGCGGCGGCGGTATTTGCCGTTCCGACGAGTAATAATCTGGTGGGGATCCGGAAAGCAGTTCAACTTGGCCGTTGGAATCTCTGACTTGGAAAGGTGTAAGTTCTGTCCTGTTCGTCCTGTTCGTCCTGGTCGTCCTGGAACCAGGAGCTTGGTAATTCGAGTTCTCCCAACCCATGGTTATTAATACGGTTCAGATGTGGAAGGCCCGTGAAATAGACTGTTGTACGTGTCTGTGTGCCGAGGCCGTTGGATGCAATACGAGAAGGAGGTACGACTGCGCCGCAGTGTTGCTTGCTGATATGTAGGTACACGGTAGGTACTAGCCTAACCTAAACTAAACAGTTTCCTAAACAGTTTTCAAGCGAAAGTTGATGTAGAGAGTGGTCCTGGAATAAGGCGAGTTCGAGGTGGAAGTTTGTTTGAGCAGGATGGGGAGATGGGAACTGCAAGGCTTTCTATATCATGTTATGGGCTGGGCTGGACTGGACGGGACTCTTAGAGCTTGTCTCGTATGGAAGATGGTTGGTTGGCTAGTCGGATGGGTGGGAGACAAGACAGGGTAGCATTTCTTGATGTGGCATGGAAAAGTGTGTAAGTTGATGAACAGTTGATTGGTACCTACCTACCTACCTACATTGATAGCAGGTACATTCAGACCGTTGACTGTTGGAGCCTGTCCCCCTACATACACCAATATATACTTCATACTAATGTAGGTACATATGCGTATGAAAACCCTAAAATGTTATCGGTATGTACCTGAAGTCCAGTATGCACCTACCTACATAAGCAGAGATAGTATCGGATAGATACCCTAGGTAGGTAATCTACATACTTGAACCTTGAAATCAACATCACCTTTTCTTTTTAAAAATGGGTTAAAAATGGGAAGACAGCGCAAAAGGCTGACGCGTTTGGAGTTACAGGCGCCGTTAGAGGCACCGTTAGAGAACCTGACAGTGCCGAATCATGCCGATCCACCTCCATACTAGGTAGGTACATACTGTAGTAGATAGAACATCATTCCATCACATTGATATTGATATGTGATCGAGAGAGATGAGTACATAATGTACTTAGGCTTAAGTTAGTACATAACTATGAGCTGTACAGTTGTCGAGTTAAGAGCTTCATAGTATCCAATATTCATATCTGATAGTTCTACAAAGTCCTCCTTAAACATCGAACCCTTACACAACACATCTTTTCAAGCTTTCTCAAGCTTCACAAAGCTACACTAACACTTATAACTATTAACTCGAGCTAAACAAGGGAAACATCGGCCCATCGTCCGTTTTCTTTTTCTATTTCTATGCGAACAAGGCAAAGGTACCCGAGTTTTTGTTATGGGTCCTTGCAGCGATACCGTCGGTGCACTGCCCACTTGATGACGTGCTGTAGCATCACAGCACTACCCTAGCGGTACCTAGCACTTGTACCTACGAAAAAGGCTCTACACAATCCAGATACGGACTGAGGTGCCATGTCCCGGTCACCCTAAAGACCCAATGGAATGGCGCGCCAAGAAAAAGCAGCCATGTTCTAGAACGCCCTGCCCTCGCCTTATATGTATGTATTCGTACATATCTAACTTAGGTTAGGTTATCCGTAGTAGACTTTGAATGCTCCGACTTGATTCAATAAAATTCGATCTGAAGAGGAATGATAGATAACAAATAGGATTGCACGAAGAGGAAGAGTAAGTGCAACAAAGGTGGATTAGCTCAACTTCATATGAACCGGGATTGGTTCTTGCAATGATGTTAAATAAGGGTACGTGTAGTTCATGAGAATGCTAATTCACTACATATATAGCGCTGGTGCCGTCGTTGGCCCGCAAGAACTCCCGTGAAATGCCCGCCCTCTAACGGGCTATTATAGTGACACAAATTTTTCGGCGTTGATAAAGCCTTTTAGCATCCACCTGCGAGCAGGTAGGTACGTAGGTATGTACATAGGCTGGGTGGGTAAGTACAATGAAGAGCATCGAATATTGAATATCGATCTATCCAAGCCATTATAGCTCTTCAATCGTCATCTTCATCTACTCGAGCACGTTTCGGCTCTCGAGACTCGCCATCTTGCAATCCATATCCTCTCTTCGATGAAGAGCTTTGATCTACCTCAGCCATAAACTTATCCATCTGGAACGGATCGTTTCCAGCTGTGTCCTTCTCGAACTGGACCGGCCCTTCTCGTGCCTATTTCCCAATCAAATTAGCAAAAGTCAACCGTATCAATATGGCAGTACTAACCTCAGCATCCCCAGCACCCTTAAACGTCCCCTTGCCTAATACCTCGCCAAATCGACTCGTCTTCTGAATCTTGGCCATTTCTCGGTCTCCAGCGCCTTCATCCTCGTACTCGTCCATGTTTTGGCTTGGACGATAAATGCTGCTAATGGCGTCTTGGGCAGCAAACAGTGGTTTGTCATAGGGGTTATCTTCGTTGATCCCACTGTCAAACCCACTCGACTGGTTGAAAAGACGTGAGTCGTACATAGACTCTGCCTTCTGAGTGGGTTTCGCCAGACCAAGTGCAATCTTCTCCGAGATATCGCGATTCTGTTCTCGTGCCATGACCTGCACTCGTCTTTCTGCGCCCATGCGAGACTGGCGAAGTTTGCGCTCTTCCTCCCGTCGTTTTTCTTGCCGGGCCTTTTCTCTTTCCCGAACGTCCGACTCGTCACTGTCCGAGCCAGAATCTGAATAGCTGTAACTCCGCGATCGTGATCTCGACCGTGAATCGCGCGAGCCCCTAGAATCACGCCGTCTTGAAGCAGCGCCGCGCTCTTCTCGAGCCTTTTGCGCAAGCATACGTAAATTTTCTTCCTTCTGTGCCTTCTCCTTTTCTGCAAGTCTTTGCTGCATGAGCGCTCGTTGACGAACTTCCTCACGGGCATGTCGATCGGCCATAAAGAGCGCTTCCGAGAATTGTGCGAACTTGTCATTGATTGCGATATCTTGTAGATTTCGTCCATCAGCGGCTAATCGTTTGTCGAGGGGAACTGTGAAACCCTTGGGATTCTTCCAATTCGAAACGGGGGGAGGGATCTTCCACATCTCTTGGTCTTCGGCGGTCAACTTTCGTGGTGGTGAGTGCATAATAGGCGGAGGGGGACTTGGAGGTCCTCTGGGAATCTTCTTGTGTTTGAATTTTGGTGGTTCCACTATCGTATAGGTTAGTAAAGACAAACACAATCTGTAAACATAAGAAACAAAATGGAATGTACGCACTGGGATCTCTTTGCCTTTCCACAATCTTCATGATACGGTCCTGCTTCTTGGAGTTGTCTCCCATCTGATTTGCTGGCGTATACCGTACGAATGTGGGATCCTTTCGTTGACCTATGTTGACATTCTTGGGCTTCTGTGCAGCTACAGCACCGCTCACGAGGGAAGCTAGAGCATTTTTCGTTCGTTCTGTCGTTTCTGCCACTTCCTGTTCACTTGGTCTTTCCAAGTTGATCTCGCCAGCATCTGCGCGTTGTCGAAGAGGAATAAGATCCTTGAATGATGAATGAACTATCCTTCCCTCGCTGTGCCCCTGTTTTGCAATGGCATCGTATTTGACCTTGCCAGCTGCGTCGACCTGGATCGCTAATGCATTACTCGTACCCGACTCTTTTCCCATTGACAAAGGATACTGCGCAACAGGAATTTCTGGGAAAGCACCACCATCGCCAAAATCTTCTTGGGCCCTTGGTCGCCATCCTTTTCGTTGACCGTATGGTGGTGGGCCTGTTCTTCGTAAAACAATTTGCGATTCATCTATTTGGTCGGCTCCAACGATTCGAGGGCCACGCTGCTGAGCATGTGTCGGAATGTCTTCATCTTCACCAGTGTATTTTGGCTTCGGCAATGCAGCTGCGAGCGATGCTGCCATGGCGAGATACAGATGAGGTTGTGTGTTGTGGGAGGTTTATTAAGAGTTACAAACAAATTAGAACTCGCGTTTTGAAGATGGCGAAGATGGGAAACACGGTAGGAAGATTGAAATCTGCAGTCTTGCTGAGCTTGAAAGTGGATACCATCCATGATCTGTGGCGCTGTGCAGCTGGGACAACATTGAACTAATATGTGTGGCTGGGAGGGGCTGCAAGCCACAACTTGCTTTCTAGCTTGAACTTTAAACTTTCAATGTTGAAGTTGAAGCCTCCAGAGTTCAACCTTGGAAAAGTATTATATGGCACATCAATAATTGAAGTCAAGCGTTGTCCGGTTGCGGACTTGTCAATTCAAGGCATTGAAAAAAAAAATGAAGAAAAGTCCTAAAGCCTGTTAGCAACAATCAATAGTTATTTACTTTCTGGAATTTAAATCTACTATTTACTTGACCGACCTGGGCACAAAATACTATGTATTTAGTGAGGTGAACGGAATTGTTCATCAACTTAAAAGTGTTGATGCTTCTTATACATATCTCTAGAAGAGCATCCTTGAGTACCTAGTAGTAGTTACTTGCTACTATGTAAGAACCGCAAGTTTCTCATATAGATATCTGGAGGTTATAAAAGTGGGATATGGCACATTATAGGAGTAAGAATATTTCAAAACTTCACCCTATATAAGTTATAGGAGCTCGTGATCGATCAACTTCGTAACACCCCCCTTTTTGACCCCTATGATACATTACGCATACGTGTGGTGTAAATACCAACCGGTCTTCCAATATACGCCGCAAAACCAGTCCTAGCCTTGATCCTTCATAATCTTCATTTACACATAACCCTTCCTTGCGCCCTGAGATGAAGTTAGCGCAAGTCATATTTGCCTACAAGTGAGTCACATACCTGGAAGAAGAACCGGACGACGAAGACTTGCAGGCCGCCCATGCAGATCACCATGCAGATTTGGACTAAGCTGAAGTTAACGATTCGCGACTCGGTACTTCGGACGGTACTGAAGTTTCGGTTTTCTCGCGTGCGGAAGTACTTTTGGTTTCGCGAAATCGTGGACAGTTGGCTAGACACCTTGTATATAGATTCCTCAAGGGCTGAAGTTTGTTCGGGAGTTGACCCTTGCTTAGACGGCAGCTGAGCTCGCACTTCATCCTCGACCTAAGGGGCACTGGTTAGAATATGCTTGATATTTACGGACCAAGGATGTACACACAGCAATCTCAAAGTCGACAAATTTTTCCGAATAGGTGCTCATGTCATTGTCGAAACAGAACTTATATTCGCCGACATCGTTGGCTGTGAAGACGAAATCACCTTGACGCTCCTTCTCTCCATCCAGAATGACCTTGCCTCCGGGACCGGTAACTTCGTAATTAATATCGAAAGATCCTCCAGATTGGACCTAGAGCGGAATCTAGTTAGTCGAGTGGGCAGAAAAAGAGAACACAAGCACAGAAACATACAGCAAAGTAAAATGCGATCTTTGCACCTTTCTTCTCAGGCGCAGCGAAGAAGCAAGCCTTTTCGTTGGCGTTGATCTTGTAGGTTAGAGCAGTTGCGGAGACTAGAGAGACAAAATAGGCAAAAAGCCCAACAGACAAGAGTGTTGGCATCATCTTGTGTTGTTGTGCACGATTGTAGCCGTAATCAAGCTCGTTGAGGTTGATGATTTAAGGACAGCTTTTAGTCGCGAAGGAACAACATGCCTAAATGAGCATACCACGCCTTTGCTTTAGTTACAGGGTTACAAGCCTGTTCCGTTCAATGGCCTAGGGGGTCGGGTTTTTAGGCGGTCCGACCATTAGTTAAGGTTATGTATTTAAGTACCTTCCGACCTACGCGCAACATTGCACTTACTGCGTCGTACAGAACCCTAGAACCTTGGATCCCTCTAATCCATAACTTTTCATTGGCTAGGAACGAGGCCGAGTCCTATGAAGTAGTATACTATGAACTAGGGTACCTAGTACCTAAGTGATCCTTGCTACAAACTTGTACCTTCAATAAATTGGATGCGCTCAAATAAATGAAGCGCGACTCAGCTTCGAGGTCATAGCTACGGGTAGGTAGAAAAGCAGGAGCCAGGGAGCTTCAGCCACAGACGTGACAGAACAGATGCAACATTTTATCTCTGTCGTCACATTGACCCATTCCCATCATTGATTACATTGCACTTGAAATAATTGCGACGACCGGCTTGCGACGTAAACTCTACTTTTTACTTTTACATCTTTTACATGCACAACCTAGATGGACATTTCGTAACATCTGATCGTGACGCCATCATAGGCCTTTAGTTTCCTGTTTATCTTTTCCATATTCAAACTCTTTACAATTCATCCTATCATTCATATATGTGTTTCGATCTATAGTCATCTTACCATTTCCAAACTGCCTGTTCCACGTTCAAGTGAGATTCATTATTCTTAACCCCCCCCTCCTTTGCCTCCAGCTTAAAGCGCTCTGGTGATCAGTAATGGGGGTGTTTACTACGAGAACGACCGCGGTCGCGTCCGCTGGTATTCGAATAGGCACTCTCGTCTTTCTTCGATGGGTAAGACCTCCTTCCCCTATTCGTTGATGCTTGACATACTAATACTTTTTAGGTTGCGGTACCCGTAAGTTGCTACGAACAAACGATAAAGACAATCTCCCGCTCGAGATAGCTGACTGTTTTAGCCTCTCCTTACGGCAATATATACCCTATTCGCATTATACGTCCCGAGTTTCATCGCGAGTTATATGACTGCGCCCAAATATGCGGTCGTTGACGAAGTCGATGTAATCCTGAAAGAAGACATAGTAAACAGAGATGAACTTGCTAATGGAGAGACGGACGAAGCTGTTGTTGTTAGACAAGTTGAGGTCGACGAGACGGCGACAATAGTGCAGAAGCCGTTGAACCCAATTAGTACCTTGCTGAAAGGGACCCCAAATCCAAGCAGCCTTCTCCTAACGGCTATCAACTTCCTCATCAATGCCGCATGCGTTGCGATGGTCACTGATATGGTATATTCGCCTACGTGGTATCATCCTAGTCACGATCTTTCGTTCGCTCGCGTTGGCTACGTCTCGGATACTGAAGCGAAATTGCTTATCCGAGAACCCGACCAGTCCAAGATGCCCATTACCGTTCAAGTTCATATCAAAGATGCCCAACCGCCGTTCGATAATCCTTTGTGGCAGACTGCTGGTGGTGTCAAGTGGACCACCAACGAGACTGACTATACTGCCGTCGTGACTATTCCCCTGAGCCATTCCAAGCAACGCGTATACGAGTGGACCACCTCCAACAACCATTCTGGCGAATTTACTGCTGCCCCTAAACCCGGCGTTATGCCAGAACTTTTCGATGGAAAATTCACTTTCTTATCCACTTCGTGCATTGTCCCTCGTCTTCCATACAATCCTTTGGATCATCCGTTGGCTTTCCCGGGCATGAAGCACTTGGCTAAAGTTCTACCAAACCTCGGTGCGCAGTTTATGCTATTCCTCGGCGATTTTATCTATGTCGATGTGCCCAAGCGCTTTGGCGACTCGGTTGAAAACTATCGCCAGAAGTATCGACAGGTATACGCCTCCCCAGACTGGCCAACCGTAGGCCAGAATCTCAGCTGGATTCACGTGTTGGACGACCACGAGATCTCCAATGACTGGGACAAGAACTTGACAGGCGTATACCAAACAGCTGTCGATCCGTGGCATCATTACCAGACCGCTGCAAACCCACCAGCCGCTAAGAAGGCTGGAGGCCACGGAATCACGACTCGCACTGGAGCTACATACTTCTCTTTCACTCAAGGCCCCGCTAGCTTTTTCATGCTTGATACCAGGTCTTATCGCTCTAAGAACGCAGAGCCATATGACAGTGCGAACAAGACGATGCTCGGAGATACGCAGCTTGAAGACTTCCTGGAATGGTTGCGCCGTCCGGAGCCGAAGGGAGTTCATTGGAAGGTTGTTGCTAGCTCTGTCCCATTCACCAAGAATTGGCAAGTCAATACAAAGGATACCTGGGGAGGATTCCTCGTCGAACGCCGTAAGATCCTTGAGGCCATGTGGGATGCGAGCAACGTTGGGGTGGGCGTGGTGATTTTGTCCGGCGATCGTCACGAATTTGGCGCAACTGCGTTCCCACCTCCAAAGGATGACAAGTGGCCGGAGAGCGCGACTGTTCATGAATTCTCAGCAAGCCCTCTAAACCAGTTCTACTCCCCTATCGGCACCTATACGCAGACAGACGACGAAGATGTTGAGCTCAAGTAAGTTACCTTGTAATCTACTTGTCCCACTGAACTAATACTAATACCTACCTTTCTAGATATATAAATGTGGGCAACTCAAAGTTTGGAGTGATCACAATTGAAAAGTTGGCAGATGGGGAGCAGAGTAGTCTTAAGTACACGGTCTACATTGACGGTGTAGAAAAATGGGACACCTTAATTTTGTCACCGATCACCGAACAGCCCGCAAAGGCTGTCGGGGGTGGTTCTCTATGGGACAGACTTCGGGGCCTATAATCGCTGTGTAGTGCATGTACAGGTAGGTATGGGTGTTGCTAGATACGAAAATAGCTCTACAGCTACGGATATGCTCACTTTCTGAGCGGGTTAGCTGCTAGGTAGATAGAATAATTCAAGACTTTTTCTAATACTCGAAAGATCAAGAGGGGGCAACGTCGGGTTTCTATTTTTCTTCCTCTTCTATTTTCTATTATGGTATGCACGTGGTATTATTATACTATCCCTCCCATCACATGCACTAGTACATGCAGTTCCATACTTCACTCGGCCGGCCACTGCTGTCGCTACTGACTAGATCCACTCGTATCGATTGTAGAGACCGTTCCCTGGCTACCGAACCCCTTACTGCTCCCACGGGGCGGCACTTCGCGCAGCATCCCGCACGTGATGCGGCGCGTTCGTGGGCGCGGGCGTGGTCTTACACCCCGCATTTTCGCCGTCGCTGTCGTGATGTCTCGCTGTTTCTGTGGTTGCGGCGGTGAGAGAGGGATTGTTGGCGGCTTGGTAAGGGACGTAGGGGGTGGGATGATGCATGCAAGTTGTGGTGGTGGTGGTGTCTTCATCGCGGGAGGCACAGGAACAGGCGCGGGAGGAGGAGAACCGTGAGGAATTTCGTTGTTGGCGGCTTGGAGTACGGATTCGGTCCGTGGCGATACGGCCCCGTTTAGCTTGAACTTAAGGATGATGGGGCGGCGGGGCTGTGGTTGCTGTAGTCGTTGAGGGGGGGGTTGGGGGGTAGGTTTGTTATTCGCTGCTTTTTCTTGCGCTGCGGCGTGGGGGCGGCGGCGAGGTATTCGCGGTGAAGTTCCGGTGAGCTTCTTCTTTTTCTTCTTCTGCTTCGGTGGGCTATGTTTGTTGTCGGTCAGATGGTCTGGTTTTATCGCGGTCGGCTCTTGTGACCGCCCAGGGCGCGATGAGGACATGCCGTTTGTGGTGTTGGTGACTTCCAAGTCTCCGGCCTTGGGAGAAGAGCTGCTGTGTGGCTGGACTGGCTTCACTGTAGGGGGTTTGGGACACAGAACCCGAAGTCGTGGGTTCTCCGTGCGATGATGATACTGCTGTTCCTCGATCCTGGCGACGTTCATCTCGCAGTCCAGACTGCTGCGGTCGTTGTCGAAGATGTAGAGCCCGCCTGTGGGATATGCGGGAGGGAGGGCCTCGGCAAGCGCCTGCCTATTGATGTCTTCCGGGATATGCACGAAATGGGCCTGAGTGTCGGCTCTCTTTCTCCCTAGATTTAGGGGCGATGGCATGGCCCCTGGCGAAAGCATGGGAGACCCGTTGTTGGGCCTATATGCTTGATATCCAGTATTGGGCCTTTGGGATTGGCTGCCCACGGGGTTTCTAGGCCCCGCTGGCGAGTTGACGTTCGAGCCTGGCTGGTTGGCACGCCGCTGCGGTGGGAGTGTGTTATGAATTGATGACGGATTTCGACGCAACGAGCTATCTGCTCCTCCATGCCGTCCCTGATACGATATATTCTAAGAACAGAGAATCAGCATCTGACAGTCTGGCGTACAAAATAGTTAATATATCTCTCAGGATCTACGGGTACCTACATCGACATTTGAAGTCTGCTGGCTGGCTCGGATGCGCCCATCACCTGCGAAAGAACCAGGAGAGCGACCTGCGCTACTCTCTATGTTCTCCTTGAACGCTGAAATTTCATGATGGAGAGGGCTGCGTTCGAACCGAATGTGCTTTGGGTTATGCCCTGCCGGCCCGTTTGCATTTACCTGTCTATGGTTTTGATCAGTCGCCCTTTCAGATGGACGTATAGAAGGTCTCCCTCGATGACCCTCCTGACTATGTCTGCTTGGCGGATGTTGGATTACCGGGGTGTCTAATTCAACGGGCTCCTTCACTCGAGTTAGAGGATTGGCTTCAGTCCTATTCTAATGGCCATTAACCATGTTTTTGATAACATGCTTCCTTACCTGGACATGGTTGACATTCGCGTGGATTCCCGATGTTTTCTTATCATGGGGTCCCTGGTCTGTGATATCTGGACTATTCGACTTTGGCGGGTGACGTTTCTTAAAGCGAAGATAGTAAACCCCTGCGAGAAAGAAACTGAGCAATATAAACAGCAAAGAGCATATCGCAACAGTCGCTTGGAAGGGTAGTGGCTGGTGATTGTTGAAGGTCAAGGCAAAGATAGAACCAATGGAAAAGACAACAAGAAACACCGCGCAAGAAGGAACGATCATTGTAGTGATACCTCGCACATGACTGATTTTGCGGGCACCAGATTCTTCATCGTGGCCCTTTTCCGGGTCGCTCTTAGGCATATCTCTATTGTCGAAATCTGTGGCCATTGTGATAAGTGTAGAGAGTCGGAGAAAGTATTTTACGGACTGTCAGTCTTGACTCCTCGTATTATAGGAACTGTATCCATGGCAGATGGATTTCGAATCTCAATGCGTGTTCCATAAGTAGGTCTGAAGCTGGGAGTTGCTTCGATAGCTGGAGACAAAGGCCATCACTGAAAGAGCTGGTAGGGCAGTAATGTTGTGAATTATTGGAATTTGTCTTTAAGTTGCTGCTACTTGCTCAATAACTACCCATATTGGCTGTACCCTCAAGGACTCTCCTATATGAGCCTCTCGCGTGTGAATTTTACGTAGGTATCAGGCATGCTGAAGTTGATCACAAGCTTGATATTAAAGTATGATTATCTATCTAGATGGGATAGGAGGATGTTGCCTTTTACCCAAAGCCACAATGTTTCTTAGGAAATAAAGACATATGCATGAGAATTAAAGCATCGAGCATTCTGTACCTACAAAGGAGTAACCAGATCGAAGAGAGTAGAGTGGTCTATAATATTATATGGGCATTATGTCTAATTGGCATATAGGCTGCACACATGAGACATACATTATTAGCAAAAAGTCAATGCATAACCGCATATTCTATTGTTCTAGAGTAGGTTGAGAGTAGTGCAAGCGGTTATTGTGTGGGATCTTACCCCTATCTTGAAAAAGGGGGGGACTTTAGGTGTGGCGCAGTCGAGTGAATACCAACTTCTGAGCCACTGTAAAATAGTTCATGAAGTTAGCGGGCTACATACCTAACCTAGGTACATATTTGGGCTAATTTGGGGGTAGGGTGGGAGAGTCTATGGGCGTGGGACCATATTAGGTAAAACCTCCAGCATTTCAACTTGTAGCCATCTTACGATTACTCTAACTTAAAGCCGCAACCGTGTATGCTGTTCCTTTACTTAGGTACTTGTTACTGCACACCCATCCCAGCTCTAAAAATGAGTTTTAAGTTCAAGTTGAATGTGATAAACCATAGCCGATCCGTCGCCAGGTTCGTAACCGGCAGTTGTGTCTGGCTAGAGATGACTAACGAATGCTAACAATTGTGGTAGACGGATTGCTGGAACTCGCTATAGCCGACAATGCCCATGTCAGTTCCAACTGAGGCCCTTGGCAACAGCTTCTGAGAAACCTCTGGTGTCAAGTTCACCAGGCTATCTTAAGTTCTCGTATAAAAATACTGCTAGCAATGTCAAGCGATCTATGCTGTAAGTAGCTGGCTTTACCTTGCTACGAATACCGATCATTAAATCGTCAAAAATAATAACATGAAGGAAGGCCCAATATCTGGTTACGGTACGCGACCCTTCTGAACAACCAGCACATCTTGTGTAGCTTACTTTCATAGAGATAATTGCCGGTGTAGCAGTTGTGTCCACCAAGATACCATGCAGAGAAATTTCAATACTTTTGATGTTTGTGCTTCCTTTTCGACCACAAAGTATTTGAACACTCATTCGGTGCTAGATACCCCAAGACGTTCAGCCATCACGGGTTGAAACAAATGAGAAAGGTGTCAAGATACAATGTAAGATTTCACGATATAGTAGAGTCCCGATATGCATTGTACTCATTGTGTATTTTAGGGTCGGGGGATTCTCACGAAAGCTTTTACCCATGGGACTTCCTCAAATTCTACCTAGAGTCAGATAAAAGAGCTCCAGAGTCTCTTGAGTATGTGCATTCACCCTATCGTACTAGGCGTCAACTCAACCGAATCTAACTCGTCACAGGCTAGATTATTTCGGTGCACAGGGGCCACGAAACCCTCAAGATTGGCCGCCATCGTTGAAACACGGGGACTTCTTAGCAAACGAGACTGAGACGGTTGGCCGCTTGACGGATTTTATCGTAAGTGTTTCCCTTCCACTTCGTCGGGAATATGTCCTCATAAGCGTAACTAGAGACGGAATGGTTTCGCGTTTGTTACCGATGTACCAATCGACTCTGCAGAGGCAACCGAGAAGGTCCTGGAAAAGATTGCCTTCATTAGGCAAACACACTATGGCGGTTTCTATGATTTCATCCCAGATCTGGCTCTTGCCGATACCGCCTATACGAACCTAGCATTGGGTGCTCATACGGATACAACTTACTTCACAGACCCTGCTGGTCTACAAGCGTTCCATCTGCTTTCTCACACGGGCCCTGACTCCGACAACAACCCAGAGTCAAACCTAGGAGGACAATCTCTACTGGTTGATGGGTTCCACGCAGCGAACGTCCTCAAAGAAGAGGATCCAAAGGCATTTGAAGTGCTCACCAAGATCAAGCTTCCATGGCATGCTAGCGGCAACAAGGGAATCACCATTTCACCCGACAAACTGTATCCAGTTCTCGAACTGGACGAGACAACAGGTAGGATGCACCGCGTTAGGTGGAATAATGATGATCGTGGAGTCGTTCCTTTCGATAGCGAGTACTCTCCAGAAGAATGGTATCAAGCCGCAAGAAAATGGAATAACATCTTGAGGCGGGAATCCATCGAGTATTGGTTCCAGCTTAAGCCAGGAAACCTCTTAAGTAAGTTGGCGCAACCTTGCTTAGAACATCTACTTATACTTTGGATTTTAGTATTTGACAATTGGCGCGTGCTGCATGGAAGAAGCGAGTTTACTGGTGTGAGAAGGATATGTGGTGGATATAGTAAGGCCTGACTTTCCTTATCTACCTACCTACCTACTATCCTTGATTTTCTCTCGTGGCTGTATAGCATGCTGTACTAACGAACCTCCCCTCAAGTTAATCGGGACGACTTTGTTTCGAGATGGAGAAACACCAATTATCCACGAGACGAGATCCTAAAGCGAGTTATAGGGTAACGTAACGCTATATCTTGGCCGCTACCGGCGCCTCATCGGATAAGAATACCCCTTGGACGACTTGAGCGTCATTTTGAGCGCCATTTGAGTGCTTGGAACCGCGCGGGGGACATCGGTGCGTTCATGCGAAGGTCAGGCAGGGTTTTGTGGAATTCACCGCACTTGGCAATCCACAGAACACTACCTACATGTAGTATGTATTCACATGTTCCAAGGTTTGCAACAATAACACCTCTACCTATGTAGGTAGATAGTCTATTTTCACCAACTTGATGTCTTTGATATAGACAGACTTTCCGTCTCCCAAGGTGTCACCATAGATGCACTCACACGGAGGCTTCAATGTTGCATCTGGCGAAATGCAACGTTCTTCTAGACTTTAGATAGCCGCTAAATAAGAGCTGCAGTAGTTGAGATGATTTCAGCGAACCACCCTCCACAAAATCGCTTTATAGCGGCTAGTTCTCCGCAGTGTCTCTGCAGTGTCTCTGCAGATTCTAGGAAGAACCTTCTCCTGCAGCTGAACGTCACCTTCGGTCCGGCCCCGTACATCGGCACTATTCGGTAAGGCCCAATACAACACGTGCAGTATACGGGATACCACGTTTTTTATATATAGTTTATAGGACTGCCCCCTTCATTCCACCCGGTCTTGGCTGGCATTTGACTTTCTTTCGTCTTCTCTCTTGGACATAAAATACCTATATACTTAGACACCAGGTAGGTAAGTAATAAGGAAATCAAACTCTACAAGCTTACCAGCTGCCTAATCCAACATATCTATTCTTCTTTACCCCAGGATTATCTTAATTTTTATACAAGACTTTTATATCAAACGATCAAGATGGCTATGAAATCTGGTACTTTTTTGCATGACGCTACACAACCCCCTAAATCGGACCGGATACTGCCGTTGTTCTCCCTCAAGGGCAGGACAGCAATCGTTTCTGGAGCCGGAGCTGGAATTGGTCTTGCGATTGCACAAGGATTTGGTACGAACATCTGAAGCGTTATCCTTCCCCCCGAACTCTCTTCTAGCATATGTGCTAGTATTGTTGATGTCTTTTGCCCATAATACTAACAGGCAGCTAGTAAGTGGACAATCACTTGTCATCACCACCTGTCTACACCGGTTCCCTTTGAAGAGGGGCTGCGCAGTACACCTCTGAGACATAGACCCTACTATGGAGGCAGCTCTCTCATTTCATTAGATTACGAGTGATTTTAACATGTACTAGGCCGAAGCGGGTGCCAATGTCGCGATCTGGTATAACTCTAACAAGAAGGCACTTGAGGAAGCTGCCCAGATCGAGAAAGACTATGGTGTCAAGTGTGAGTAATCCACATCGGTTCTTGCGTACTTGTACAGACCCTTAACCGGTCTCTCCAAAACAGGCAAAGCCTACCAGGTCAACGTGACCACCTGGGAAACAGTGCAGACGGCCGTCGACGAGATCGTGAAGGAATTCAACGGGCGCCTGGACATCTTCGTCGCGAACTCCGGCATCCCGTGGGCGTACAAGTCCTTCCTCGACACCCCGACCGACGAGCTGCACAAGCTGCTCAAGATCAACCTCGACGGCACCTTGTACTGCGCCAAGGCCGCGGGCCTGCACTGGAGACGCCAGAAGCAGGAGGGGACGACGGTCGATGGGAAACCGCTTGAGAATTATAGTTATGGCAGTTTTATCGCGACCTCGAGCATGAGCGGCCATATCGCGAATATCCCGCAGCAGCAAATGGTGTATAATGCGTCCAAGGCTGCGATCACCCATGCGTGTAAGTACATACATCCATATATGGCCGGTTTTATGTACTAGGTAAGACAAGACTTCAAGGGGATCGATGCTGATATGTCAAATACTCTACCTGTAGGCAAATCGTTGGCGGTCGAGTGGGTTGGGTTCGCCCGTTCCAACTCCGTTTCACCGGGCTATATCAAGACCGGATACATTCCGGAGGACGCCAAGAATGTCTTCAAGGACAAGATCCCGATGGGGTATGTTACCTAAACTCGCTATCCCTTCCTTTTTTTATTAAGGTTCATTCTCTAATCAAACTCTGGCTGTAGACGTGAGGGCGAAACTGGAGAGTTGAAGGGCGTCTATCTGTACTTGGCGTCTGATGCGGCTTCGTACACGACTGGCACCGACATCATTGTTGATGGTGGCTACTGTGTGCCGTAGATGGAGTTTCGGGGGGCGGGAAGCGTGAATTTGGAGCGGGTTGCTTTCACTATGCTGTGCTAGCATGAGCGGATATTCAGATGACGTGCCTAGCGCTAGACTGGCTGGAGAGATTTCCTCTTCGTTGCCTACCTAATATGATAGAAAGGAAAAGAGTCAAGATTATTCCATTTGCTATAGATACCTACCCATGTCGAAGGGGTTTCTTATTTCTTCGTCCTTTCCCTCCTTGGGTTGATATTGGATGATTTTATAGAGATAGAGATAGACATAAAGCATTCCTAGCTCGTAATCCATAGCTTATAGCTCAAAGCTCACAGTTCATACCTAGCCTATGGTTTGTACGTATTTCGTAATTCATCACACTGTCTTAACCAAACTAGAACATATGTGTTTGAAGTTGAGGTGTCTTGTATCAGCTGTATATAATGACTGCTTATGGCGGATATGCTAAGATATTTTTTTACTGGTCGTGTAACGAAAATATCGAGGGCACGCGACAGTAACATTTGGAGCTTGAATGGTACCTGAAAAGGCCTGACGATTACGTAGCTGGCGTATGGTTGGTGATGATACGATGACGGGCTGGTTACCTACATGCCAACTAGGCAGATACTAAATGTATAGTTATGTAGGACCCGAGGTAAACGCCTAACCTACAGATGTAATATTTTGGATTGCCTGTCACAGTACCTACCTAGGTATATGTAGTAGATTGATATTGAATGCAGTGCACCTGTTCAGGTTCAAATGTACCCCTATTTCATTCAAGTTCAATGTTGTTTAGGGGGGCTAGGTACCTAAAGTCATTAAAATTGAAGCCGAGGGCTGAACAATTATGTATGTATGTACATAGCATGTACATGGTTCTTATCAGTTTATCTCGTACCTTATCTTCCCCACCAAGTATCACGTAGTGCAATAATACCTACATGTACATAGTTACATACTAGGTAATGTAGTTTCTTTTCTTCTTATGTACATAGCAGCAAGTAACCTTAGGTAACACACACCTTTGCTATGTAGTTTGGTTTTCGGTGCCTTGCCTATCCATTTTGCCTACCTTCGGCCGCCTAACTCACTCAATTCCATTACCAGTACACAGTAACTACCACTACACACTCCCCCAGTTTCAGCTCTTTTTTATATTATTAACTACATACACATACCTACATCCATAGGGTACTAGGTTAGGTAGTTAGTAATTATAGTTTTCTACACCACCATCACCAATCTCCCGTCACCATCCCACCTTCATCTTTAACCATTAGTTATACCTTGTTGTTCAGTTGCGCAACTGACCTCCAACATCCTGCTTATCTTTGAACTTGATTATTGTTTAATTCTCAGATCGAGCATTTCTTCTTATTACAGAGCTGCAATCATAAGGATATTGAAGACAGAGTCGCATTAGCTATCCGCCATTCGCCATCCATTCACCATCCACCATCCACCGACTCCCCCCTCCCCCCATTCAACATGGACGCTGAAGAAGGTCAAGCGCCTGCTCCCTCGAATGTGCCCGACCCGCGCAATGTTCAGGTCGACAATGCCATTCGCGCTATCAAGGAGAAGAAGCCTCTTCCGGAAATTGACTTCAGCATCCATACTATGGAAGATGGTTCTCAAGTTAGCACTATGGAGCGGGTCTGCAAAGGTAGGCTGAGTTGTCTTGATCTCCCAGTGCTATCTCTTTTATCTTGAGTGTTGAGTATTGTCTATTGTCTATTGTCTATCAAGTCTACTGCCCCTCGACTCAAGACAGAAAGACAAAAGCTATTCAAAATGATGGATCAACATCAAGCAGCTGGATTTGGACTGACTGGTCATCATAGACGTTCAGGCGCCCGCCACTTTCAAACCCACCGACGAGCAATTCTTCGAGGACGACACACATACCAAACCCGACATCACTTTCCTGAAGCAGCACTTTTACCGCGAGGGGCGATTGACCGATGAACAGGCCTTATGGATTATCAAGACTGGAACCGAGCTTCTACGTAATGAGCCTAACCTTCTGGAGATGGATGCCCCCATAACCGTCTGTGGTGATGTTCACGGCCAGTACTACGATCTCATGAAACTCTTTGAAGTCGGTGGCGACCCCTCCGAGACTAGATACCTCTTCCTTGGTGATTACGTCGACCGAGGCTATTTCAGCATCGAATGTGTTCTATACCTGTGGTCATTGAAGATACACTATCCCAAGACGCTCTGGCTTCTGCGCGGTAACCATGAGTGTCGTCACTTGACCGATTATTTCACCTTCAAGCTTGAATGCAAGCACAAGTACTCGGAGGCTATATATGACGCCTGCATGGATTCCTTCTGCTCCCTCCCGCTTGCAGCTGTCATGAACAAGCAGTTCCTCTGTATTCATGGAGGTCTTAGCCCCGAGCTACACACTCTAGATGACTTGAAAAACGTACGTCCTTGTTTGAACATCATTATTCATCTGATTTTGGGCATATTTTATACAGGTAACTATTAAATACAATGGGTTGCTAACCGACATTAGATTGACCGCTTCCGAGAACCACCAACCCAAGGCTTGATGTGCGACATTCTATGGGCCGATCCGCTGGAGGACTTCGGCCAGGAGAAGTCGAGCGAGTATTTCATGCATAACCATGTGCGCGGTTGCTCGTATTTCTTCTCTTACCCGGCTGCTTGTGCCTTCTTAGAGAAGAACAACCTTCTATCGATCATCCGAGCGCATGAGGCGCAAGATGCCGGTTATCGAATGTACCGTAAGACCAGAACCACCGGTTTCCCGAGCGTCATGACCATTTTCTCTGCACCCAACTATCTGGATGTCTACAACAACAAAGCCGCAGTATTGAAGTATGAGAACAACGTTATGAACATTCGGCAATTCAATTGCACGCCCCATCCTTATTGGTTACCTAACTTTATGGATGTTTTCACGTGGTCCCTGCCATTCGTAGGTGAAAAGATCACCGACATGCTGATCGCCATTCTGCATACCTGCTCCGAAGAAGAGCTCAAGGAAGAGACGCCCATGTCCTCCTCACCCGGTCCGCAATCTCCCCCACTTGGAGGACCTTTCTCCGATCCGGATTCCATCGAGTATAAGCGACGAGCCATCAAGAACAAGATTCTGGCCATTGGCCGACTGTCCCGCGTGTTCCAGGTTCTCCGAGAGGAGTCTGAGAGCGTTACGGAGCTCAAGACTGTATCCGGTGGACGACTGCCTGCAGGGACCCTTATGCTTGGTGCAGAAGGTATCAAGAATGCTATCAATACCTTTGAGGATGCGAGGAAGGTTGATCTGCAGAATGAGAGACTGCCACCCAGTCACGACGAAGTTGTTAGACATCAGGAAGAAGAACGACAGCAGGCCTTGGAGCGTGCCTCTCGAGAGGCTGACAATGATAAGAAGTTGCAGACCTTGTCTAGAAGGCTAAGCACGTGAGTATATCCATGAGAATATCCATGAACATTTTCATTCTTGTAGTCATACACTAACAGCTGAACAGTGATCGCAAGCGATGATGCTCCGCGAGTGCAAGGGACCCTGGTCGTTAAAAAGAGAAAATGGCCATCGATCCGAGGCCTGCCTAGGACGATTTTGCTAATGGGTGGTCTTGGCCTAACAAATTAGTACATGCTATCAGCCTAGAAGGTAGCATGTTGGCAATGGTTTAAGTGATAGGGTGGTGGTCTTTGACTGGATCGTCATTCAAAAGACAAGATATCGAATCGCAGAAAGGATCGAAAGAGTGAGCCGAGCAGACAGTAGTCACAGATGGTATGGTTGGTTCAGAACCAAGATAAAGGTCACAGCCATGATAGTGGAGTCACAGGTCTAAACATGGTGTAAGGCGAGTTGGCGATGACCAAACTATACAAGAGACACACCATATGATTGAGCTGGCCCTTGACCATCTCGGCTGTCACTGGTGTAATTCGTGCTATCTGGGTAGATAGGTACCTACCTAGATAGTTTATTCATTTCCGCGCCAGATCGTCGCTGGACAAGTCCGACACCCATAATTATTGCGTAGCATGAATGTGAATGTGAAATGTTACAGTATAGGTGCCTACGTCGATGCCTTGGCAGTGAAGCATGATGGATGAAAACTACGAAGTGCTGTAATTGTAAATGTATGAATTGGATTGCTAACCACAAAGCGGACTTCATTCTGCTAACTAACTCAAAATATAGCCAGTACATTCGGCGGACTTGCCACACCCCCAGGGACATTACACGGCTCGCTGGAGACGAAAAAACTCCAACGCTTCTGCTCCCGACAGTGAGCAGCCAGCCTCTCGAGGTCGAACAGCTCGCCGATCGGACACCCCCACCCCGCAAGCAGAACCTCGTGCAACACGATGGGGCGGCCCCCCTCCCCCTCCCCCTCCCCCTCAGCCTTCTGCGTATCCGGCGGCCACGCCTCAAAAGAGGGCTGGTCCCCGGCGACGGCCGAGAAGTTGCTCCACAGCCAGCGGAGCAGCTCGGGCGAGGGCTCGACGCCGGCGAAAGGCGGAGGGGAGAGGGCTTGGTGGGCTAGGATCTCGGAGGGGGATTTGGAGGCGAGCTGGGAGGTGAAGCCGGTGCGCAGGAAGAGGATGTCGCCGAAGCGGGGCACGGTGCCCTGGGAGGCGAGGCAGGCGAGGAGGGAGGAGAGGGGGATGGGGGTTTTGGTGAAGGGGTCGTGGGGGGTGGTGGATGGGGAGGAGGGGGAGGGGGGTTGGGAGAGCAGCCAGCTGTGGTAGTCGATTAGGATGCCGCGGCCGACGATGCCTTGCTCGGCCCAGGCTGGTGGTTGTTAGTAGGTAGGTAGGTAGGTAGGGGGCAGGAAAAGGGAGGGGAGGGGAGGGGAGGGGGAAGAGAGAACCATACCATGTATCCCATTAACCGTGCTCTTCAGCCTTCCATCCTCACCAACGCCATGTATATCCTCCATCGTAACGCCGTTATAGAACCTCTTCTCGCGCTGATAGCCATAGTGGCGCAGCCCATCCCACTGCGTCGAGACCTGCGTGTTGAAGCTCCACACGTCGTCGTTCACGACGCGCGGGTCCTTGCGGATGAGCTGCTGCTCGAAGACGCGGCGCGCGAAGAAGGCATTCTGCGCCTGCGCGTTCAGCGGCCAGTTCAGCGAGATCCGACGCCCCGTCTGGATCTCGCTCGCGGCGGCGGCGGCGACCCGCGAGTCGGTCAGCCGGTTCAGGGTCCCGAGCTCGTCGTGGGCGCCGTACAGGCCCCAGGCCGAGTAGTACGGGTCTGTCTTTTGTAAGGGAAGGTCCTCGAAGGCGGGGATGCCGTTGGCGTTGAGCTTGAAGCCGGGGGCGGGCGGAGCCATTGGTGTGAGTGTGTAGGTAGGTAGGTATGTTATATAGGATGGTAATGTATTTCCTGGGTTATGTTGGTATTTGGTTTGTGATATTGGTTAATGGGTGTGTAGGTGTATGGATAGTAGGAGGCACGCGTTACTTTTGGAAGAGAGATGGCACAATGAGCATCATGTTTCTTTGTCGAAGTAATGGCTACTAAGTTAGTGTAGAGAGTCTCATTAGTGGAACAGCCACCTGCGTAGGGCTCCGGGAGAGTCTCGATAACATAATCCCGATGGCCCCTCCCCGCATTCACTCTTTGTTCCGCCATTGATATTCTGGTTAATGTCGAACATTGTGCGAGCGTCTTGAAGCTGGTAAGGTCATTATACCGGAATAGGGAGCCGGATGGATTACGAATGGCTCGCGCTCGGGTTAATGCATAGCGAATTACCTGTGACGTCGAGAGGAACGGATCATATCAGTGTTACGGTAATCCTTAGCTCTGTGAGTGGTGTTGGAGTGTTGGTTACGATGTGCAGTCTTCGGATGGCTGATTTAATTAAGGGAGAGGCGAGGCCGGTGGCTGGTACATTCCAGTTCTACACTCGCATGATAATTTCATCTACGGCCCCGTCATACCAAGCTCTTTCTTCTTCAGAAATAACCCTTCGCTCCGGAAACCGACGGATCGCATGCAATACTCTTGGAGATCGATCATATCCTAGATAGGGACATACCTAGGTCATGGGACAACGATACCGAATTTTTCATACGGGAAATTCTCGAGAGTAGCGAGCTGCTCACCCCAACCATCATCGACCTCCCCACGTTGCTCATCGTTCCCAATAGAAAACAACGGCGTCCTTCCAGCAAGCACCTCCTTCTCCTTACCCTCGTACTCAGCAGCCAACCCAGGATGCGGAACCCATACCACTCTCATCCCGGCCCGCCTGCCTGCCTCGACACCTAGCACACTGTCCTCAAAGACGAGACACTCATTTGGCTGGACCTTGGGGACATCCTCGGGCAGCGATGCGTTGATGGAGTTGAGTGCAACTAGATAGATGTCCGGTGCCGGCTTACCCCTGCCATGCTGGACGCGGGGATCGTCCCCCACGACCCGGTGCTCCTCCGGGATAAGCTCCAGCACCTGCTTCGTCGCGGGCTGCGAGGTCTTGATGTCGTAGTTGCGCTGCTCGCTGCTCGTTGCCAGTGCAATCTGCACCGGCCAACCCCGGGTAGTCTTGGCGCGCTTGAGATCCTGGAGCAGCTTCTCGACGCCGGGGAGGGGCTTGCACTCCGGGAAGTAGATGCGGTGCTGCTCGGCCTGCTCCTCCTTGAACTGCTCCCGCGATATCGGCAGCTGCGCCCAGTTGTGGAATATGTCGCCGTTGGACGCGCCGGGAATGCCCATGAGCTTAGATTTGACGGACCATGGTAGGTTTGGCCTGCCGTACCTTTTTAGGACGATGTCGGCGCACAGGGTGTATAAGTCCTCGGTGTTGATGAGGAGGCCGTCCATGTCAAATAAGCACGCCCGGATCGGAGGGAAATCCGGGGCGGTAGGGCCATTCCGCTCTGTAGGTGCCATGTTTGAGGATTCCACGATGAGAATATTAAGCTAACCTAGGTTATTACTTGTTACTTGAATTTCGAGCTAGAATGTCTTTAACCTAAGTGAATAGGTTTAGTTGAGAACTAGGTGCTGTCTTGAGGAATAAGTTCTTAAGGCTTAGTTGATCTTGACTAAGACCAAGGTTAGTAGTAACTTATTTAGTACCTAATATTTAGGTGCATACATTGCCATACAATGGCACTTGGTACTAAATAGGTACCTTGTTAGTGGCCTTGTTTAGCCCGTCGGACGCCGTAGGAAACCGTATCGTGACGGGTTGGTCTTTAGGGTCAAGTTAGACAAGCGCCACCGAGGGGAATGAGCACTTCCTAGGAAATGAAGTTGCCACTAAGTAAATATCTAGCATGAAAGACACTTATTGGATAATAGACTCTCAAGACGTCAAGGAAATAAAGTACAAAGTCTGACGCCTTTTTGCTATTGGATGAGCTACAGCTTTTGGATAAGAAAATAGAGAAACCCCACCATAATAGTTGGCCCGGTCCAGGGGAGCTGGTGAGTAAGGTGAATGAATATAAAGCCTTTGTGTTATTTCCAATAATACTTCATATTTGAACAAATCCATTCAATTCATCCAAAGTTCAGCACAAGCCTCCTTACATTATGTCTGGGCTCACAAAACTCGAACTTCGGACCGCTCTTGGTCCCGTCTACCGAGATGTACTCCCGAACCCACCAAGAGACTGCACCGCCGATGAGGTTCCCGTCATCGATCTGGCTTCCATGTTTTCTGACGAGCTTTCCGACCGGAAACAAGTTGCTGCTAAAATCAGATCAGCCGCGACCAACAATGGATTCTTCTACATTAAGAACCATGGTATCTCAGATGGGACAATCGCTCAGTGCAAGCGACAGGTGATAAATTTCATGAGGCAGCCCTTGGAGAAGAAAGAGTTGGTGTGTTCTAGGACGCATAGCAAATATTACAATGGGTATCTCGGGAACCGCAAAGCCCAGATTTCTCGTACTGAGACCGCCGATGTTCGAGAGTCCTTCTCGTTCCGTTATTCCCCGGAACTCGATCCGGATCATCCGGTGGACATTTCCGAGGTGCCCGAGGAAGTGAGAGCATGGATACGTGCAGAGGATTTTGTGGTGAGCATATTCCCATCTTTGAACCTGTCATGCCCTTCTAGTTAAATCGGCTATCGTGAGCTTATGAACAATGCTTGGCATCTTTGAAATCTATCTATCAGTGATGGCGCCTTGAATGCCACCTAGGCTATGAGCTAACCTATATATTACAGTGGGAAGGCACAGCCCATCTGCCAAACTTCAAAGAGGACTGTCTTGCGTATTGGAGTAGTTGCCTGACACTGGCTAGGAGACTGGTCAAGATGTTTGCTCTCTCACTGGGCTTAGAAGAGAACTACTGGGACGATAAGGTCACCTATCCAGGAGCCGACGGCGTTTTCAACTACTATCCGCCGAGGACCGTAGATGAAGTCGAAAATAAGTTTGTGGGTTTAGGGAGTCATACGGATTTGCAGTTGTTCACACTCCTGTGGCAAGACACAGTTGGCGGGCTGCAAATACTGACCAAAGAAGGACAGTGGTTGAAGGTGAGTTGAGGCTGGTACGGAGAACGAACCGAGGTTGACATCTTATAAAGGCACCTCCGATTGAAGGGACTCTTGTGGTAAACATTGGCGATTTCATGATGCGACTTTGCAACGACATCTACAAATCCAATGTCCACAGGGTGACGAACGAATCTACCGTTGAACGCGTCTCTATGCCCTTCTTCTTTGGTATGTCAATGTCCCCAAAAGTCTGGCCATATTGCTAATTTACTGACGGAATAGGTCTCAATTTCAACTGCGTTGAGGGTGTTGTTCCCTCTTGTACTTCGGAATCGACTCCGGCCAAATATGAACCTATATCTTGCGGCGATTGTAAGTTTCCATAATCATCTCAGGGATCCCGTAGTTAATAAGTATTCAGGGTGTCAAATGAGATTCAAAATAGAGCGGGAAGAATTCATCAAGAATGAGGAGGCGAAGAAAATAGCAGCCCCAAGTGCTACCGTCGTTGCTGGATAAAACGCAAAATGTGTCTGAGTGTGGGTTTCTCGCTGGTATCGTTCTGGTTTACATTCTGATTCGGCCAACTGCTTTTTATCAAGCCAAGTTACAAGGCCTTTTGAATGAGTTCAATGACATCGAAGAATGAATCGCGGTCAGGCTTGAGGGTTTTGAGACCAAGTCCCACGACAAGAGTGCGACTCTCATCTGAGTCTCGCCTGGCAATGTGACTGGCAATCTGGACAGCGTATAGTTGGGCCAAAGATTCACGCTCTTCTCCACCACCACCAAGTAATGTCTTTGGCGTCAAATGAGACAGAGGTAGCAGATTATTGTTTGCTAGAGCCATGTTTACTGTAGCAGGTGAAGGCGCTGAGAGTGGTATTTGTATCTATATATTATTAGTCAGTCTTTCTTTTGTTCAAGACTCTTTAACTTGGTAATAATATGAAGAGTTACCCATTGTGATAGTCTGCCTTCTTGGGATAGGGTAACAAGAATCTTGTCTGAGAAATATAGAACAGAAGCTTCTGTAGGGATATCGTCAATAGGCCCAATGGTAGATTTGGACTGAGCCGGAAATGGCTGTTCTACTACTTGTGAAGAGACATCCATATCTGAAAGTTGGAATACCCAAATCACGGTTTGTTGTGTGAGAAGAGATATTGAAAGATGAAAAAGTGTAATAGGTAAGCTGGAGCTGTGTGAACATTGAAGCTATGTGTGTAACTATCGGGTGGCTACCTGGGACCTGGGTACCTTGGCTCCCCTACAACAAACGGCGCTACTACCCCGCGCTAAACCGTGTTTAATCACTAAAATCAATTCTGCCAGGCGGTCAAAATTTCCATATCCTTCATATTCTCATATTCTATTATCGTATTCTTAGGAATACAACTAATATAAAACCTTCACTAACCATCCTCGCCAACCTTAAAAATGCCAAAATTTGTGCCGCGGCAGAGGAAACACAAAGTTATTGCGCGCCAGAAGGCTCAGCAAAATGAAATCTCAGGTGGTGATAATGAACCTGTACAAACCGACAGTAACGCCCTGGAAATTCTGCCGGACGCTCAAAAAGCTGCCCGTGAAGCCAAGAGGGCTCAACTAAGAGAAGAGTTGAAGGGCCAAGTCAAAGTGACTGGCAAAAAGGCCAAACGTCTTGAAAAGTATATTGATACAAAACTCAAGAAGGATGAAAATCGAATCCTCTTAGCTGGATTGGCTAAGAACAAGATCGATACTAGCTTGTTCTCAAGTACTCGGACACTTGGCCAGGGCAAAGAGACGAAACGCCAGGCATTCAGCCGCGCCTTGAGGGAAAGGCAAGCTGGTGTTGGCCATGAGGATGAGGACCTTCTTTTTGAGAGGAGAAGAGATGCTCCGTTGAGCGATGAATCCGACGACGGGGAGGAGGAATCTTCAAAGACTACCGGTTTTAATCGATTAGGTGGCCAAGCATCGCAGAATGTTGTGTCGGTAACCAACGGACATGGTGCGAATATTTCCAAGGCTGCGCCACCAGAAACATTACCAGAAAAGTTACCAACGACAGTGGGATCCGGATTGAAACGACCTTTAGACTTGGACGACGAAGGGCGACCAGTCATACAAAAGAGACAGAAGCGCGGTGGTGTAAAGTCCAAGATATCAATGAAGCAACAATTGGCACAGGCTGAAACCACCCCCAACGATTCGGACGAATCTTTGGACGGAGATGATGCTAGCGATGAGGACGAGTGGAACGGTGTTAGCTCAGATGAAGCTGCCCACCAGTCAGGTGATTCCCAAGATAACTCTGAAGAGGGGTCGTCAGATGCAGAATCCAGTAGCGATGATGACGATTCATCTGAAGAGGAACTTGATGATTCAACGAAAAAGGAGAGATCTTCGGCTTTCAAAGCGTGGGCCCACGAGCAACGCAACTCAGCTCTTGGCTATGAACCTACCAACCATAATAATGCCGTTCTTAATATTACAGTCCCTGAAAATTTCAAACCACGTCCACTGGAGCAAGATCCATTGCCAATGGAATTATTACCAACAAAGGATACTGGAAGGAAAGCTTTCGGTGTATCGGTTCAGAGGACACCTGAAATCCAAGAGGCGCGGCTCAAGCTTCCAGTTGTAGCTGAGGAACAGAAGATCATGGAAGCTGTTCATAACAATAATGCGGTGGTAATATGTGGCTCGACGGGATCTGGTAAAACGACGCAAGTACCACAATTCTTATTCGAAGCCGGATACGGCTCTCCTGGATCTCCAACGCCGGGTATGATCGGAGTGACACAACCAAGGAAGGTCGCTGCGGTGAGTATGTCGAAACGTGTTGGACAAGAGCTAGGCGATAAGTCAAATTCCGTGGCGTACCAAATCCGATTTGAAGGCAACGTCGATGAGAAAACTGCCATCAAATTTATGACAGATGGCGTGCTTCTCCGAGAAGTTGCCAATGACATTTCGCTCCGCAAATACTCCGCCATCATAATTGATGAGGCTCACGAGAGGAGTGTCAATACAGATATTCTCATTGGTATGCTCAGTCGAGTCGTCAAATTACGAGAGGAAATGTCGGCGGAAGACCCCAAATTAGGTCCTTTAAAGCTAATCATCATGTCCGCTACGTTACGAGTGGACGACTTCATACGCAACAAAACACTTTTCCCGATACCACCGCCTGTTCTTAACGTTGAGGGTCGCCAGCATCCGGTGACTATGCATTTTTCTAGACAGACTCGCCATGACTACGTGGACGAAGCTTTTAAGAAGATCATGAGAGGACATCGCAAACTACCCCCAGGCAGCTTCCTTGTTTTCTTAACCGGACACGATGAAATTCAGAGGTTGAGTAAGAAGCTTAAACTAGCTACCGGCGCTTTAAATCCAATCACCTACCCCAAGGTTCGAATATCTGCCAACGATGCGCCCTTAGAAGTCGAGGATATCGACTTTGGGGAGACCAACGAACTGGGCCATGATGACGATGGCTTACCATTTATGGATGAGGAAGAGGATGAATCAGACGATGATGCCGAGTTTGACATTCCGGAAGAAGGTAGTCCTACAGGGCCCCTAAAAATGCACGTGTTGCCGTTGTATTCACTACTACCAACGAGAGAGCAGATGAGGGTGTTTGATGACCCACCAGAGGGCTCACGGGCGATTATACTTGCAACGAACGTTGCTGAGACCAGTTTGACTATACCCGGCATTCGCTACGTATTTGATTGTGGCCGATCAAAGGAACGAAAATACAACAAGGAAACTGGAGTCCAAAGCTACGAGATCGGGTGGATTAGCAAAGCCAGTTCAAATCAGCGAGCTGGACGTGCTGGTCGAACCGGTCCGGGCCATTGCTACCGATTATACTCCTCTGCTGTATATGAACGGGATTTCCCCGAATTCGCTGAACCCGAGTTATCGAGAATGCCCATCGAAGGCGTTGTGCTTCAACTTAAGGCCATGCGATTACAACACGTAGTCAACTTCCCCTTCCCTACCCCTCCGGAACGACAGAGTCTCGCAAAGGCGGAGAAGCTACTTCAGTATCTTTCAGCAATCACCACTTCCGGTCAAGCCACTCAGATCGGATCAACAATGGCCAAGTTTCCATTGCCACCTCGCTTTGCGCGGATTCTTCTGGTTGGGCATCTGCACGAGTGCTTGCCATATACAGTTGCGCTTGTGGCAGGACTATCGGTGGCAGAGGTGTTTATTCCAGAGAGCCAAGCGATACCCGCTTTGTCTACCGATACCGAGCGGGAATTCCGCACCAATGAGGATGTGATGGCAGAGAATCGGCAAACCAAAGTGCGGCACAAGTACAACGAAGTGCACCGAAACTTCCGCTCGTTGGACGATGCATCCGATGCCATCAAGCTTCTCCAGGTTGTCGGAGAGTTCGCGCACGACCCGACGGAGCAGTGGTGCGAGAACCACTTCGTCCGGTCCAAGGCTCTTTCCGAAGCGCAGAAGCTCCGTCGGCAGATCACCAGTCTCCTCCAGAAAGACATCCCCGCATTCGCGAACCTGACCTTCAAGGAGAAGCTCGACCGACCAACCCCCAAGCAAGTGACGGCACTCAAGCAGATGGTAGCCGCCGGCTTCATCGACCAGGTCGCCATCCGCGCGGACCTAAGCGGCGCCCCTCCAGAATTATACCGGAAGCCCCGCCGCGCCATCGACGTACCGTACGTGCCGCTGCAGCCCATCGAATCCCAGGACCGCCACCGCGACCCCAACGACGGCCTCGTATACATCCACCCCTCTTCCGCGCTCGCCCACCGCAGCCCGCAGGAGTGCCCCGAGTACATCGTATACTCGAACCTGCAGCGCGCCGCCGCCCCCCCATCATCCCTGGACACGACCGCCGTCGTAAAGATTCCCAAGACCAGAATGCTCGCCCTGACCGACGTCACCGGCGCACAGCTCGCTGCCTTGGCCAAGGGGACACCGCTCCTCACGTACGGAAAACCGATCAAGGAGGTCAAGCTCTCCGAGACCGCCGGAGGAGCTGCTGCCGCGAGGAGAGAGTGCTGGGTCGTACCGTACTTGAGAGCCGAGGGCACGGGGGGCCAGGGCTGGCCGTTGCCGGTGACGAAGATCGTACAGAAGAGAGTTGCTGGGAAAGGGTGGGTTGCGGAGTAAAGGGGGATGGGGACGGGGACGTAAGGAGGGCTAGAGAGGTGCTGCTATTGGATGCTTGCCAAGTAACTATAGGAAATGTTGTTCTTCTTTTAGATATACCTGACTGTTACCTATGGGCGAGCCCGTTTTGGTTTGGCGTATTGGTTGCTACCTAGGTTAAGGTATTTTGTTTAGGAGAATAAAAAAGTTTACATGCCTTACACCAAGATATATTTGATGAACCACTTTTAATATCTTCAATTATAATCGTGCTTCATAGGTACTCATCTAGGCTACGAAGGTGCCTACCCGAATGGAAGAAAGACGTGATAAACCGTGACTTGGAATAGCATTTACTTAGTCTCTACCTAGAGATAATTGTATCATCACATTAAACACGGCAGTCTAGACAAGCAGCCAAACAGACAAACGCATCAACGAACAAAAACAGCAATTTCCTTTATACGTACCAAACTGCCGTATCCGCTTGCATTACTTGCGCCATTAGCAATGTATCTAGGCTAGGTATGTACCTATCTACCTGTGAAAAAAAAAGGTACAAAAATCTAGTAAGGTAGCCATTCTAAGCCAATTGCATCCGCTGGGCGTCCTCTCATGTTCTTGTCGTGCTCTTGTCGTGTCGTGTCCTATTACTATATTATACAGTGGTCGTCGCTCCCTTCTATGAATGCAATGCAAATGTAAAAGCAGAACAATAGCTGCATTACGCTATCCAGCTCTGTTCAAAACATGCCCATGGTGGTGCTTCGTCTCTACAGTCTAGGTTCGGAAATATCTATAGACAAGGCTGGCAGACTTCGTAAGGTGAACCCCAGAGTGAACTTTTGTCCTCCAGGACTCACAAGACAGGGAGCCACGTACTCTCTAACACGTATGTATGATTTCCTTAGTATTTACTTAAGTGGGAAGTTTCGTAGCGCCTTAATGCTCTTGGTAAGGGGGCGGCGCGCCTGATGGCCCAGCAGCTGCCTGGGACATTGACTGGTCTGCCGGTAATGCTGGCAATGATGTCGACGGAACTGCCATGAACTGTGTCGCCTTCATCATCATCTTGGGGAAGTATTGCTGAATGAATGATTCACTGTAGTTTATTAGCTTCCAACTCTATAAAAACAGCCAACAAGCAGTAAGAACCTACGTATAATAACTGTGCTCAGAGTTATGGGGGTGAACGAGGTTGTGAGCCAATTCATGAGCGAGCACAACCCACCACCAGACAGCTGCCGAAGCTCTACCTTCTCCGGAGAGATGTTCCGCATGGAGTTGGATGAAGAACCGCAGATTACAGAAGATACTACCATTACGGTTAAATGCGATTGTGCCGCCGTCCTCATCGTAGAATATGTGCAGTGCCGTTCGATTGATCGAATATATGCTACCTACTTCCGTGAGGAGCGATGCAAATGTATTTATAGGGCCATGGTTCATCTGAAGAAACTGGCCTGGATCAAAATTCGGGATTGCGTTTGACACAAACACGCGCATACTATTTGAGGCCTCAGCCACGAGGTTGAGATCCTTTCCTATAGTATCATCACAATACGTGGCCTGCTCCTTGACTTCTCGAGTGGTTGGTGGAGAGAAGAGCTGCGAGGAATCGTGTGCTCGTGTTGACTTAACGGCATTGAGAAGATTCTGTTGAATGACGGCCGGATTTGTAACCTTGCCATTCTGACCATGCTTGGAGCCCGATGACTCGGCTGGTGGGAGCTTAACTGGATCGGGGTTGGAGCCCATAAATTTGTTCAAGTTGTCCTCTGCCTCGCTGGATGTATCAAATCCAAACCGCCTCGAGAGGTTTGAGAAAAGCCCTTTACTTTTTCTACCTTGTGTAGGTGTTGGGGCCAAGGCTGACGAATCATCGTCCTCGGGAGAGTCAAACCCGCCAGGCATACGCGGTAGTGACGTTGTGTTTTGTTCCCTCGCGGCGGCAGGTGTCACGGCTGTCTGGTTGTGTCTTCTGAATTCATCCTCCCGTTCTCTGATCCTAGCTTGCTCAGCCTCCAAGGCCTTACGTCTCTCTTCGTCAGCAATTCTAGCCTCGGCGGCTTTAGCTCTGAGGATACGGTCAACATTGTATCCACGAGCCCTTAAATCGAGCAAGTCGAGCTTCAGAAAAGGTTCAAAGAAGAAATAAGCCTGCTGATTTGGCCGATTCAGGAGAGGTTGACACACTGCTTGCCCGACCTGATACATATCGGGACGAGCAGACTCGGATGCGACGTAAAGAACCCAACCATTTGAGCTTTTCCTACTCGCAGCTGACCTTTTTTCTGTATGTGATCGGCTCTGGCCACGGAGCGATCGACGAAGTGAGATGGTTCTTACAACCTCCACAGTCAGATTCTTCTCAAGCCATTTCGCATCATGCTTGATGGCATCGCGTGTATATTTCGAATATTCGTGGATGAAGAGCTTTGACCGCTCGAGAACATGCTTCCGAAGCCAAACTGCACCATCCTGCTTTTCGTTTTGCGGCCCGATCTTAAGATCATCCTCTACGATGGTAGAAAGAGTTTGGGAGCCAAGGGCTATGTAGAAAGATTCCAAGACATCTTCTTCAGGCGCACATATCAGGTGATCTTTAAACAAACGGTAGCTGATGTAATCATCTAGAATGACAATGGTTGTCGGAGTAGCAAGCTGATAGTGCCTGATTGGTGGTGCTTCGTCTTCGGTGTCCGATACCTTCTCTTTGGCACCGCTGATTTCCTTAAAAGCCAGTAAAAATGGCGAAGACTTCATCTTTCTCCACAGCTCCTTGTCTCTTTTAAGAGTGGCCATGTCTTCAGCTAAGAATCTCAACAGGTTCAGGTACTTTTCCGAGCTCTGAAGAACGCTCAATAGCCTAGCCGGTTCACCAGCTGCTAACTGAGCGATTTCTAGTTTGGTCGGTTCGGTTTTCGAACCGCAAGCGGAAAGAAAAGCATTTGCGGAGTTGCCAAAGTCAACAAAGTCAAAAATCTCCTCATACATCGTCGAGCTACCTAGGTAACAATTGCGAGGGCTTAGGTGGAGAAAATTACTATCTTTCTCGTTTGCGCTGGATGTTTGGGAAAGCGACTGTCGTCTCTTGCGTGCGACTGGTACGATATAAGCATCACGAAGTTTAGTAATCGTGTTATTCCCCAGTTCGTTGATGCGGGTTGCGAAGTACCCGAATAGAGATACGGCTTCTTGAGGATTCTGGGGAGGCTTGCTGATGAGTTGCTCGACACATTCAGCAATGGGAGGATCTGCGGCTACGCCAAATTTCTAGTCTATGATTAGTATTCATATTTGACGGTTTAGCTTAACAGATTTTGCTGAAATCCACTTACAGAGGCATGAACATGCAATTCCTTCTTCAAGATGCTAAATCCCAAAGTGGCGGCGGCCTCGTTGGTAAAGCATTGATATGGGGCTACCAGCTGCTTAGGGTTCCCTTGCAGAGGGAGAAATGCCTTGGGCGTTGCCCCAATGTTAAAAGCTGAGTAACCGTTGCTATGATGGTAAGTAATAAAATAGTGCATAGCATTTGCCCTCGTTGCTTGATCTGGGGAAGCCATCATATCAACAAGCTCAGGGGCTGATGGGTATGGGCGTAAGCCCAAATCAGCCAAGAATCTCCCCTCCGGTGATCCCAGTCGTAAGTTACCACCCGGCCATTGAATGATCTTCAATTTAAGTGGTCGAAGCGGACCTCTGGGCTCATAGAGCTCCGAGACTTTATACAGCTGTGAGCTTGGTTTAGCTGACTCTAAACCGGGCTGTCCCGCTTCTGCTGGGCATATACGGGAGTCCTTGAGCTTTTTCAGGTCATCCTTCGGAATATCATTTCGTACTGACGCTAGATATTTAATGAGCTCAACATGACTCCATTTTGCCTCCCCAGAGCTAGTCTCGGCTGAACGATTGAGTAAACGTGTAAAGATGGTGTCCAAATCTACAGTCTTTCTAACGCCCATGGCAGTGAGAAATTTTTCCTTGAGGGCGGAACATCCCTCAATAGTTGGAAGATCATCAAACAATTTTACACTCTGGAAAAACGATTCGGCTGGCTTCCGCATGCCTAGCTTGGTTGGCATAACGGTATGGTTCTGAAGTAGCGCTGCGACAGTCCCTTTTGAGCTCTGGCTGAGGTTGTCCCACCCCCTTGATAAAACTGTCAGGATACGGATCGAAAAGTCGGGAGACTTGGTTAGATTTTGCTCATCGGGTCCCCTCGCGCGGGTGTCGACCAAAAATCGAACCCAGGGAACAATTTCAAGGGATTCCCAGCCTAGGGCTTGCAACTCATTCTCGGCACAATTTTTAGTGAGATCGTAGGGTATAGTTGTGGGTGGAATTGGCAAACCAGCCGGTATTTTGCTTGGGCTCAAGTAATTCTTGATGCTCCCTAGGGCAATGATACCACCTTGGTCGGTATTATCTTCACTGAGAAGACCCACCGCGACATCAAGCAGCCCGTCTTTGCTCGTTGGATCAAGTTCCCCTTGTAGAGCTTTCTTACTGGCCCATTGTACAAAACTGATGAGCTGGGCCTTGTTGAGCGGCTTTCCGGACAATTCTAATCGAACGTCATCCACGGTTATTGGGGATAGCAGGTCAAAATCAGCTAGTTTCTGCACAAATCCTGTAGTCCCAAGCTCAGGAGGAATGACTGGAATCCCGTCAACGAATTTGGCAAGCTCCTCAGAGCCAAGGCGGACTTTGTTAGTTGGCAGTACGCCTCGGCTGCTGTAAATTTCTACATAGGGCTTCTTGTATGATGTCCAGAAGGCTTCTTCGATTATCTGAGAAACATGGCCGCTGGGCGTGGAATCTCCAAAAGTGAAAGCCTTCAAGATGTGCAAAGCCTCGGGCATGTATTTAGCTACCTCCTTTGACGTGACACTGTTGCTTGATGTTTCTGCCGCTCGTTGCAACTTATCTTGCAATTCTGCCATCTCATTTGAAAAGGCTAGTCGGGTCATGATACCAGCTGCCCGTAACATTTCAATGTTCCATGTTCTCACCCATCTCGCGTTCAAGTCGATCGCCTCTCGCTCTACGGTGGGAATGACCGATGGTGCTGATATATGAATCCCCGCACCCGTAGTCTGTGTGGTAGGGAATCCGATGAAGATTCGCCCGCCCTTCTTGCTTGGGAGTACTGATGCAAAGACATTAGTAGCCTTGGACACGGCTTTGGAGCTTGTGGCACTCTCCGAGGCCTGCGTCTCGTCATACGAGGATGTCAATACCGATAATTTAGCTATTTTTGGCGGTGGTTTTTTAGTAGCCCTCTCTAGCTCCGCGGAGAAGTTGGAAGAAACAGACGTCCTTATAGCTGCTGTAGTTACTCTAAGGAATATGTTTGACGTCGAAACCACCGTGATGTCTTCCGATATGGTTTCTTGGGCTGCCCTCTCTTCCCTTACTACTTTGCTATTCTTCGATGTGGATGCGCTTGCAGTAAGCCTGTTAAAGAAACTGCGCAAAGATGGTATCTCCGAATTACCGAATCCATACGCTTCGCTTTTGGCTGCCGCAGCTACTTCCGGTTTCCATCCAATAGCGCTCATGAAAGAAGCATCAATCTGTGCGCTCGCGCGTTCGACACTCTGTACTTTCATGAGACGTTCCTTGGTGGTGGTTTCCACATCCCTCGACAGAGGAACATCGGCACTGGGACTGGTTTTCTTTTGTAGATGGAGAATCTTATAATCGTCGATCCAGAACTCGATGTGTTGAAGGGCTACAAATGTCAAACTAGTTGCTAAGAACTGGCTGACAGATAGTAGGTTCGGTAAGGTGGTGGTTGTGTTTCGATAATCCAGAACAAAGGCGGTGTCAGGGCTTTGCTGATCTTCGGGGAGCTGTAGTTTTCTGGTGAAGAGAGCGTTTCCTTTCCAGTAGAAAGCTATAGCCTCGTTGCCGGAGCTGACAAAAGGCTCTTCGCAGTCGGCGAAAACGCTGTAGAAGCCAACACCGAAAGCACCGATTTTGGTCTCGTCAGGGTTTCCCTCGGCAATTCTCTTCAGCCTTCCCCAGTCCGTCTTTGTGAATGGCTGGCCATTGTTCTGCACGACAAGTCGACGAAGGGTGTGGTTTGTGATGATATGTTTCAGGATTTCGGAGCGGTCTGTGGTGGTGGGTAAAGGTACTTGGGTCGAGGGAAGTGTTTCCCACTTGATCTTGACGGTGGTAGCCTGGGCGTCGGCGGCATTCTGGATGAGCTCGCGCAATGTTGTCCATTCTCCCGAATATCTTGCTAAAACCTTATCTATCAGGGCTCGAGTATCTACCGTTACTGCTTCCTCATCTTCGCCGTTGCTCAGGGCCGCAGCCCGAAGCCTTCCATAATCCATTGTCTGTTAGGTGGGTATGTAGTGCACACAGGTATCTAGCCTCTTAGTACAACATGACACTGAAATAACAAAGTGACACTTTAGCAAAAGGAAGATAGAAGTACAGATGTACGGATGTACGGATAGGCAGGTATCTATATGATTGCCAATCAAGGAACCTTGGAAGAATCGATTACCCTGTAGAAGACTCGACAAAATGAGTAGCAAACAGAAAAGCAAAAGCGCGGTGGCGATTGATTGTAAGACGATACAGCGTCAATGAGCATCAACTTTGCAGTGAGAATTTGACAAACTCAGGGTCGCTCAGGTAATTTCTAGAAATCAAAGAAATCAATAACTACCACGAGCGGGAATATTGAATGAAGATTGCCTAAGCGGTATGACGAGTTATCTATGAACGAATGGGCTGATTGAAAGAAAGACACGCGTAGGACTTTGTGGACCTCAACTGTTTTGATCTTTTATCTTCCTCTTTTTCTTTTTTAGTGACAAAGACAAGAAGGCAGTAGATGGCAATGGCAATGGCAACGGCAACAAACAACCTTGAATTCAAGTTGTAGTCGTACACACCAGTGACATATGCATGTGCAGGTAGTGCCAGGTACATAACTACAGGTATGTAGGTACATAGCACCTACCCAGACTTCGAGGAACAACTCGGAGCTGATTCGCCTTTCCGCTAAGAACTACAGCGTACTAGGTAGTACATTATGTACTCCATGACAATGCACGTTTCACCCCGGATTCAGATTGATCAATACGAGTGCATGTACCTAATACCAGACAGATTGTGTACCTCAAGACTGGCGCTAATCGTCAAATCGCTAAACCCCACTAACTCCGCGCTTAGCTACAGTGTATCAATCCTCGGACCTCCAACGAGGGAGGTCAGCGCATTGAACCAAGTGACCTGTACGGTAGTTACTCCGTACCTATCGATATCATTGATCTTGCCCAGTTGCACAGGGGTTGAAGTCCTAGAACATTGATTCGCCTACATAATGTGTCATCTGAGTCCAGATGTCTAACACCCTATTATTTCACAGCGTAAGATAAGTATGACTGCCCCGTGTTCACGAATGGGTTGGATACATCCATAGATCTAATTATTGGTATGTACCTAACCATGCTGTATGAAGTAACCTTTAGAACTGCCATTGGTTACCTAATCCGCGCCAGACCACTAGCAATTCTAGGATTGCATCAAGCGCACAATATGCATCTCAAGTTGTAGTTTTACGCCTATCATTCCTTTGATATCCGTGGGGACTTCTGCTTCGCCGTCGTTGTTCATCTCTCGATCTATGTTCATAAGCGTTCTTGCCATCTCTTCTACGTTCTGATTTCTCGGGAGTACGGGAACGGCTTCGTTCTCTTCGTTGCGTCCGTCCGTGCCTACGATCATCCCCCGCAGGACTATAGCTTCTTCGTCTTCGATGGCCATGTCTGTCACCTCTATCATCCCTATCGTCTCTCACTCTGTGCTTGTGGTGTGCATCGCTTCTCCTTTGTAATCGATCCCGTTGTTTTTGCGCGTCGCGATCAACGCTCCTGCTCCTGCTCCTAGTTCTTCCATGATGTCTTGTTTTGCTTTTTATTGACTTATGAACATAATCTGTCGATCGGCTTTCGTCCTTGGCGATAGTTGTAGAATCGCCACCTCCTGTCGCACCCCGACCGCCGCTTACACCGACAGCGTTCGCGCCGGTAGCGTTCGCATCAATAGCCTTTCGGGAAGTAATAGGTAGCCCTAGCGCACGGGCAAGTGCGTCTTCCTCTGCCTCCTTTATTTGCCTGATCTCCTCTTTCCTCTCTCTCGCTGCCTTCTCTTGTTCCGTTTCGGTAGCAGATGCTGCTGTATCGTCGGCTTTTGCATACCAGGTGAGATCTCGACCTTTTGCCCATCGGCCAACAGGGGCTTTCAGACTGTGTCCTAGATAATTCTCTCGATGGGTCGAGCTGGCGACATCGTCCCAATTGAAATTGACCCCACCGCGTGACCCCGTCTTGCGGACGCTCGAGACGAGATCCATTATGGATTGTAAATTGCGAAACTGACTATTCGGTTTGAATTGGATGTGCGGCTGTATTACTCGAAACGAAGCGCTGTCTTTTTAGAGAAAAATCGAAGGCGATGTTGTAGGAATGAGATAGACTGATGAGGTACCTAGGTTAGGTAGATAGTTGACAACTTGAACTCGAGGTTGAGATCAAGTTTGGATTGAGATCGAGTTGTATTTGTATGTAGTTAAAGGAATGCTTTAATATTTAAGGCTGGCCATTCTACTGTATAAATGAATAGTGCACTATGCCCAGGTGGCAAGCAAAGCTAGCGTGGGATAGACCCGTAAAGATTACTGGGTAGGTACGCTAACACTGCAAGCGACTAGGCCGTTAATCCTTGTATTTTCCCATCGATAAGAGCTTCTTCCCCCACATGGGCAGCTTCAATGTTTAACATAAGCCCTTGAACTTTAACTACCTAACTAACTAACCTAACCTAACCTACATGTAGTAGCCTGCACGTCCTTTCTTTCAAGTTATCATTTCAGGTTCAAGGTTCCCTCTTCAAATCTTCTTCTCAGCTACAACTTTTAAATGTCTACAACACCTACGACGCTTCACTTCAAAGTCATTCGTCTCTAATCAACGACCAATTTGAGCAGCGAAAATGGCAACCGCAAATGACCCTTTGGATGAGATCCAATGGCGCCACAAACCCTTGCTACAATCAATGGGTGGACTACATTCAAATACGGTGCTTTTCTACTTCGCAGAATCACCCTTCTTCGATCGCACCTCGAACAACTCGTTCGTCTACAACCAAGCTAGATTCAATGAGAACATGTTGTACCTAATCATGAACCGTGAGAATTTCGAGGGTCGCCTACGAGAGATGTCCGGCTTGGAATACATCGTCGCTCAAGAGCCCGCGGAGATGGGTCCTGGTATGGGCACCGGTGTCTGGGTCATCCACAAGCAGACGCGTCGCAAGCGAGACCCTGAGGATGAGATTACCGTTCATGCGGCATACTATATTGTTGGGGAGAATATATACATGGCACCTACGCTAGCTGATATTTTGAGTCACAATATGGTAGGCAACTAAACTTCTCGTTTTGCTGGCCTACGAGACTCCCAAGACTGACCGGTCGATGTAGATTTTCATTGCCTCATCACTACGCAAGTGCTTCTCCATTGCAGACGATGCGCGAACTTGGTCGCCCGCTCTCGGTCACGGCTACAAAATTACACCAAGTACCAATAACGCCAAAATTCAAGGGCTAGAATCGAAGGGTACAACACCAATGCCCGAAGTCCCAGGAAGCAAATCCAGTCCCGAACAGAAGAAGTCCATTCGGTCTGCCCCCGACTCCAGCTTGGCAGAACACTCGTTCTTTATCCATATGCAGTATGGCGGCGAGTACATGGACGAGAATCCTATCACCGGCAAGCCCGGCGAATTCCACCTCAGCTCAACTGGACGGAAAGAAAAATTACAGCCGCCAAGCCTACCAAATCTCAACACAACTTTTAAAACCTCTACAGCCACTGAACCAGATAAGAAGGATACAAAGGGCGACAAGACGCCGAAGACCCCCACGGGACAGTCAAAACTTAAGCGGAAGAGAAGCAAGGCGGGTACGACGCCCACTGCTGCATAGACAGAGAACTAAAGCAATGAATGGATGATAAAATGTAAGATGTCCCGTAAGGTAGAGGCGGTTTTCCTTTACAGTGATAGGCGTTAAGGAACTGGAAAATCACGGATTGATACCCAGAATGCCTTAACCTTTTTGTACTTGGAGGTACGTAGGTAGGCAGGTTTGCTACAAAATAGGGGATACAAAGAGGCAGCCAGATACGCAGCCAGATACTAATTCCAATCATACCAACACCTCATATGATTTGGCAGCAGACCTGATTTCAAGGAATATGATACACTAATCACGTAGGTACCCATTATTCTTTGGATTCTACTGATTCATAGGCGGCTGGATGATAGATACCTATAGATGAAGTGCATACATAGGTGCCTACCTCACACGTCTCTTTAACCTCTTTGATGTACGATAATTCCATTCGTGTAATAAGCAGGATTCGTCCTAAACTCGCTTTAATCCTCTTTTCAAAAGCGGGCTTTCCTGAACCTTGACCCAATCGTGTAGCATGAGGGAGTTCATCTCGCTCAGCCGGACCTCTTCTCCGCCTCTCACCCTCATATCACTCTCGTACTCATTGATTAGTTCAGCTTGCGACCGACCTTCTGGGCTACTCAGCAATTCGGTGATCTTGAAAGCATCGGTAATTGCATGGTTTAGTCCTTGTCCACGATCTATCCCGGGTACAATATTTATTAGATATATGCATACCAGGGAAGGTAGGTAAGTAGGGAGGTATGTGCCAAACTTGGATACAAACTTACGATATGTCATGGGGTGTGCCGCGTCACCTATCAACGTAACCAGGCCACCATGGTTATCCCACGCGTGCTCAGGCAAGCTAGGGTCCCAATTCCCGTTCTGGACATGGTAGGCCGCGGTGTGGTCGTCGGGGAGCGCGTCGAGGCAGCTGCGCAGCGGATCTACAAACCCGGCGCCCTTCTCCTTGATCTGGCGTATGCGGCCGGCGATGTCCATCCCAGCCTCCTTGTCCTGCTCCTCGACGCTGTACGGCCACGAGACGTAGAACATGAACTGCCACCGCTCCGGCGCGTCCTTGTCCTTGGCGTCTAGTATCGCGAACAACCCCGCCTTGTCGTCGGGGTGCAGGATGACGTTGACGATCGGGTGTCCGCTGTTGCGCAGCCGCAGCGCCTCCTCCCGCGGGAACGACATCGTCACGAACGTCGCCACGAGCGGCAGCCGCTTGAGCTGCGTGCGCTCCTCCCCGACCAGCAGGCTGCGCACCGTGCTATGGCTGCCGTCCGCCCCGACGATTAGCCTCCCCATCTCCTGCGTGCCGTCGGCAAAGTACGCCGTAGCGCTGCGGCCATCCTCCGCGTACGCGACGCGCGCGAGCGTCTTGTTGAACTGCACGTCGAGCACGCCCTCGACCAGCAGCGCGCGCAGCCGCGACCGCAGCAGGCGGTGCATGTCGGGGATCACGACCTCGCCGATGCGCTCGCCCGTCGCGCCGTTCAGGATCGGCCCGCTCTCGACCTCCTTAAGCGGCAGGTACGGGTCCACGAGCACGCTGTTGATCCGGCTGTACTTCTCGGCCCCCATCTGCGCCGCCAGCATCGGCATCGACCAGTGCCCGTTTATGCCCCAGTCGCGCCCGTGGCGCGGCGCGATCGAGGCGTCTTTCTCGAAGATCTTGTACGGGATGCCTTTCTGGTGGTTGGGAAGTTTTAGCTGGCACGGTGGGATAAGATATAAAGGGGTAGATAGGGACAAGGAGGGCTTACTAGGTGGAGGCCATGAGCTAGGGTTAGGCCGCTGGAGCCTAGTTCATATTGAGATAAGCAATGGGTGTTTTTCTTATATACCTAGGTAGGTCGAACTATTTTATACTAAAAATTGAAAAGGGGGGAAAGGGGGGAAAGGGTTCTCTTACCAGATCCGATGATGAGAACAGGTAGTGATTTATCGTTTTCCGCCATTTTTATTCTTTTTATGCTGACTTGAGACTTGAATGAAACAATAAGAAGCTATCGTGCTCGCTCCAAATGAGAGTCTTTTTTATTCTTTTTATCTATCCAAGCTGTGGGTTGAAGGAATTGGACGATGAGTAACTAATGCGGAGGTGAGTAATCCCCGTCTGTATACAGACATGTATGAGGTACTACAGGCAATCTATTTTCGTTCCGGTCTCCTCAAAGCTGGGGTCTGTGTGGGAATTCCTCATACATAATATGTTGGTTGATAGGCATGTCGAACGTGAAGACCTCATTTCCCCTCTCCCATTCTACGTGCCATACATCCGATATATCGTATGTCACATTTACGCCGTTCAGCTCAGTCGGTGTATCCAAATAAAATGTCCTCCCGCTTTGGGTATTTTGGTTGCCGATGAGTCATGAGAAGGTCGTGCTTCCGGTTTTGCTACTGCCTATACCCGCTCGGTGGACTCTCCTATCGGGTCCGAGTTCATTCGGCTTTCCGGAGATCACCACTTTCAAGACGAGCCAGCAGTGTTGTTCCAATATTCTCGCCGTATGACACGACCCCTGTACGTACAGATACCGACTACATAAGCTGTTTAACATTTCTTTAGGGATCAGCCCATGCTGACGACAGACTATCGTGCTCCACAGTGATATACCGTACGCTCTATCTGACATCTGTTAATCAAGCTTTTATTCAAGCTTTTATCCGAAGGGAGCTATGTAATTGGCTATCATGCGGGAGGGTTGATGACGCCTGTATACATACCTGCGCTGCTGTCTGATAGAACCCCCCTGCCGACGCCTGCTAGGGTCTTGACTGTGATGAATGATGCTTCATTTGCAGGGCGAATCTCGTTCATGCTAACAAGACGTATCTCAAGCCCTTGGCCTAGGATGCAGAGGCATGCGCCAATGGTGATCCATACTTTAGCTCGTCTCTAATAGTGCATCAAAAGCAACGGCTAGTGAGGCTATTTGAAGGGCCACCCGGAGCGAGTTACTGTGAGGATTCTTATGTTAGGCTAAACTATGCAAGCAATGACTAAGTACCCAGTGGCACACTTACTCAATCCTTGTTGCGTGGCCGGCGGAGAAATGCGCTGCTACCTGAAGATAACTCGGGAAGGAGGCCGAAAACAAGGAGTAGAGGGATTGCGGCTATGGGGCGGACGATCGCCCACATCCCGTATCCCCACCTCCGAGTTGACATGGTTAGAAACGCAGCAGCGATCGTTCCAAGGTAGAGAGTAGGGATACTGCTGATACTGTCCAGAGCGAAAGCCACAGACCACGGTTCCTAAGACTAGTGAGATCTGATATGAAGATTTGCTGTGTGATACCAAACCCAACGATACCAACCCTAGGTATAAGAAACTAGAATCATTAGTAAGTACCCAAATCCTTCCAACTCTGGAAACTTACGAGATACGACTCTACGTTCTGTCATGCAGCATATAGGATCAGAGATATCGGTAAAAGGCCGATGGAGAAGGCGAAGAATTCGACACGGCCAATAATCTTGGCACACGTAGTGACTCCTAAGTCAGCAATCATCCTTTTAGAGCATATGTAGGAAAAGATGAGTAACTCACATCTGATAACTTCGCTACGATAGGATAAGAAGCAAGCTTGCGATAGACCCCTCAACCCGAGAGGCGCTGAGGAGCGAGTGGCCCTTGAAGGAGCTCGTTGCGTATGCGCTATACGTTGGGTTAGAGTAGTTGTTGAAGGCAATATTAAGGGCGTGATGTATAACCTACCATGGAATTAGTTTTCAAGCTCAAATCAATTTAATCTGGGTCAGTATCTGCCACAGGAGGTACAAAACCCCAAGAAGGCCGAGATGATCCGTTTTCGAGGCGCACTTTTTTTCAGCTGATCGAACTAAACTACACCGGCAGACTTCTCAAAACCGTTGTTTTCGCCTCTGCCGTGTACTATTTCTTCCTGTACGCTTGTCATCTTGGCTTGGGTGAGTGGTGGGCTTCGACAGCCCCCGAGAGTTACATAGAGGCTCACAGCACACCTGACACTCGGCTAGCAGGCACACAATAGGGGCAGGATTTATTCATTTTTTACGTATCATCTTCTCCCCCTGATGTCCTTCCCATTATACACGTCATATTCTGAACAGCGACTAACCTAGGCTAGGCTTCTCCCAACTACCAATGCGTGTTCACCTTGAAGTAAAATCTCACAGCACGAATAAGGAAGCCTACACCAACCCATTTTCAATCAGCTATCTTGCCCATCTAATCTAATCAGATCCGCCTAGTGGCAAGGACTACGGGCTTGGCGATCTCCCTTAGTGGAGCTCACTAGGTTGGTTAAGCTCTAGCCCCTTTCCGCTCTCAGGATGAGGTGCGAAATTAGTCCGCTTTCCTCCCATCTGCTTCCGATTCCTGGGACCGAGTTAACTTGTTGCTATCATGAAAGACCTATATATTATAACTTATTGCACGAAATATGGCAGGGAGTACCGTGGTATTATGCATCGCTTTTCCATATAGGGGCAATGTAAGCGAAGATCTGCTTTGCACGTCTAGATTCGGCCTGTCCTAGATCTAGATAATGACCGATTTCGGATGACCTCAATCTGGATCTACTCGAACAAGTTGCCTCGGGTTAGATGTTAATCTAGACTTGCGTGACACGCGCGGTTCCAGCAGAGTTATGATATCTCGACGAGGAAATTTACAAGGTAACGTGCTAGTCGTATTGAAGCTCATAATACGTGGTAAGAACCTAGAATGATAACCATAAGTCAAATCGATAATAAGTGCAATGGGAGTATATTTAAATGAGTAAAAACCAAGAAACACCTCAAGTCTGAAATGGCCAATCCTCGAAAAAGGTAACGAGTCCTCTATTTAGTGAGCATGACACCACTGTACCATGATCTTCACCTTCGTACGCATGAGATGAGATGTTCCTAAAGTCACCAGTGACCACGAGCCGACAATACATATCACGTACATTGTCCACCATGCGCAACTCCCCATGTATCCGTCTCCTTCTTTCATACATATCACTGGACTCTCCACGGCGCCGAGGTGGATTCTGTTCTTGGCCACCCACAAACAGCATGAGGGACGGTCCTCGTAAGCTGTCATCGCTCGTACTCATCCGTCTGAATGAAGCTTCTTCTTTTAATATGAACTCCTCATTCCACCATATACTAGGACTACTAGCTATGAAGCAGTCGAAAGCATTCGGATGTGTAAAGAGCGCATGGAGACAGAATAGTCCGCCAAATGAATGACCGTAGAGCGCCTCCCTACCAACGGCCACGCCACGTCTGTCCAGCAACCGTTGGCAGACAAAGGGCCTGACACGGTCATTGATAAAGTCTAAGAATTGGTTGGCTCCCCCTTCGATCTCCGTGTTGTTCGGCGCCGGTGGTGTGAAGTCCCAGGCCCTCCTAGCATTGAAGAGATGGTCTGAATGTGGTGGGATCGGGTAGCCGATGGCCACGACAACACCGGCTGGGAAGGAAGACAGCCCTAGTGAGAGTCTCCTTTGCAGTGCTTCAAGCGCGGTGAGGAAAACTGAGTTCCCATCTAGCAAGTAGCTAAGTTATTTTTTGTTAGATATAGGTAAATTTGTATATTATTCTCGGTAGTGAAATATATAACTTACATAACAGGCACTCCGTTATCGCCGGAAGAGCATGTGCTCTCGGGCCAGTCACGGGGGAATCCAATTTGTATGAGGTATTCCTGCCCGTATTTGTTCTTGAGAGACCACTCTTCAGCAGAGCCAAGATTAATGGCGTTGGCCCAGGTTAGCATCGTTCTATATATAGGTCTGTTGCTTGACGTGATAAGTTATCATGAAGAAATAGAGGGAAAAAAAATGAATTTCACCAGGTCCGGGTAAATTAGTCTGCAGGTATAGCCCACGTGTATTCCGGCTGCTCTTGGCAATGGAAGGCTAACAACCTTGAAACATAGCTCCTGGTATGTAAGTCCCTTGACCCACCAGAGGAGAATAGAGTCTAGTGGAGAAGGCAAGACTATACAGGATCGTCAGGTACAAATTTATTACTACATAGGAATAGCTGTCTCTACATATTCAACTATGAAAGCTGTTTTACAGTAAGCAGCCTTAAAGGGGAGTAATTCCCATATACCTAAGTTTGTACAAAGTAGAAACCCAAATTCCAAATACCTAAGAAAAGATAAGGCAACAGTTAACTAGCTATTTTACGTCAAGTGGCTCATATTGAGATGGTGTTGTACGAGGTTTTCTTTTTGTCGTCCTTGTCATATGCCGTTACAGTTTGACTCGCTTCATTAACACAAGTTAGCAACTATTATTTTCTCTTATAATTATCGTCCTCCCTTGTCTAAAGCAGTTACGTACCTTCAATAGCTTTAACGCCCGGATCATGTCGAATCTTATCTTCGAGAATCTTTCGGTCAGGCAGAGTGATGCCGTAGGTGTTTATGAGTTTGAAATATTTGAAGTGATCCTCGGTCTCCTTGGAAAGGTCGACCCCGATAGTCTTGAAGTGCTCCTCCAGGGTGTGGTTTTGCTTGAGCATGACTAACCATCGATTTCCCACTGCCCCGTCAACCGGCTCACGTATCGGGGCTAACCACTCGGGCTGACTGGGGGCGGGAAGTGCAAATACTGCCCCGGCGAGCAACACCAACGACGTAAGGAACTTCATCTTTTCGATTTTCTAATGGGATGGAAATATAGTACGAGTGTTATTTAGTGCAATTTGAGAGTCAAAAGAAAAGCATTCAACTATTTGAAATCTATAAGTGTTAGACGGTGCAGTATCATCATTTATAAGTGCTGGCCAAGAGCCTGTGCCATAAATATTGAGGCTTTCTTAAGGATCACGGATGCTATAAAATGTCTTATAACACTAGGCCTACCACAGCTTGAAAATCAGAATATCAATCCTGTTGGAAGTAGAAAAGGTACTTTCCTTCCTTTCTTTAGTATAGACTGTACATCATTAACCTTATTCATCTAAGCTTGTCTTTACCGTTGAGGCGTTTGTGCGGCACGGCGTGGCGCATCTACAGGTTCCATATACCCGGTACTAGATTTAGAAATCTGACTAGGATAAGGTCGATCGATTCGGTGACGTGTGAAGAAGTTCATAATAAGGATCCCTGAAGGGTTGAGAATGTCATGAGGCTGTAGACCTAAGGCATATAGAATCACGTGACACCCCCTGGGGTCTACAAACTCTTAAGGACTGAAGTGTCGCTTGACGAAACTACGTTGGATTTTATATAGAGTCTTCATAGGGGGGCTAAGATGCTGTTGATGAGCTTCACTTTGAATGGAACAGAAATAAACTGGAGTACGTCCAATAGTGCTATACTTGGTACAGGTTGGGGAAAGTTCACAGATTCACTGCTAGTCAGGGAAGAGTAGAGTTCTCTAAGGTTGTAGTAGGACTAAAGTATTAAATATGATAAGTCCCCACTAGTAATTAACTACGTCGGTAAGTAGATAGTTAATGAAATTTCTTGCAATAATAGGGGGCGTCACGTACAGCCGTGAAAAAGGTTGCAATACTCAACATTTTCAAAGATTTCACGACGCTCGCTCTTGAAAGCCTCTCTGGTCATAATTTACTGTTTCGCTCTATAGCTCCTTGAAGAGGTATCTATTAGTTAGTGAGGTACAGATTGAATAAAGTAATATCAGGGGCTTCGGTAGAATAAGTACCAGTTCCCTCTGTGCATAAGAGAGCAAGCCTCGCCCCCCTTACGTTTATAGATATGCATTACCCTAGTTCCTGAACCCCCATATACCCCTATATACTATTTACATTCATCTTCTATAAGATGATGTGAGCCGGCACTTGCTCAGCATAGACAGGCATCCAGGTAGTTACTGAGTGCCTACCGAGTACCCAATCTCCAGTAACTAGCTCACGGCCCTGACAGGGATAGACTATGATTCTATCATAAATCTAGAGGCTATTCCATCCCCCCCAATCGCAACTTCGAATATGTATGATAAACAGGACATGCATAGCCTTCTCAGTCGAGGATGAAGGCCTCCCGGCGATAATTTGTAAGTAGGTGGAAAATTAATTAGGTAGTATCAGGTCAATAAAATGCATTGTAGCGTCGGGCCAGCCGAGGCTCTTTTCCAGCTCCAGCATCATATAGTATTTCATGAGGCTTAGTTCCCAATGGGGCCAATTCGGTCCCGATACTGCAATGCTGCATTTTATCCCCCCTCGTGTATTTGCTCGGTGTGATATTGTCTACGACTCTACACATCGTAACTAATTCGCCTAAGGGGCTTCTTCTTACCGACGGTGAAGACTACCAATCATAACCTCCTCTCAAATCACTTACAGAAGCAGCACGATAAGCCAGTATATTAGGTAGGTAGCACACAAGATCACGATCACATGCAAAATCAGATACCGTCTATTTCAGCATAGCCTGCGTCTATTTTGAATTATAAGAACTTGCCTCTCCTGCTGAATGGCGATATACTTTAGACATCATTGAAATTTCTTCAGTTGCAACGAACGTGCAATACGGCGAATGGCAATTGTGGAAGTAAGGTTGACAGCGAACCAATGAAAGAATAATCTCGTACCAGTGGTGTGGTTGTGGCTTGGTCGACTCATTCTCCGGTCCAGGTATGACAGGTAAGGTACACAGGTAACCTTGAATAGGTTTACAAGTACCTATAATGCAATGTACAATATGCATGAACGTGACTGAGTTCCCAATTCCATATACCCCCATTGGACGAGGCCCGGCTAGGTAGCAAGTCAAAGCTAAGTATTCGGGCCGCGGGACTGCATCCGCTGACCAAAGCCACTCCAAGGGATCGTGCCTATCGTGTCATCTTCTACTAATACACAGTACGGGTAATACCAAACCAGGCTATCCCACCTGTCTCGCACGTGGGAATAATCGATCTGGGGGGGTTGGTGGGTGGGTCGCAGGCGCCTCTTCGTCTCAAGTTCCTACATAGTGTAAATGCACACACGCATACTACACGCATACCATACGCATACCACACGCATCGTACATATGTGGTGCATGCCGACTAGGTAACCAATGTATCGATGTATCTATATTATTACATGTACAATACATGTACCTACCTAGCTAACCTAGATCGATACATCTAGATGCACCCTCGCACAAAGAAACCCGTTTCGAAGTGGCTTGAGGCTCTACCTACCTAAGTACGTTGCTCTTCGATCTGTGGCGTCTCGTGAAGTTCAAAATTAGTAAGGCGGAGTTTGTTGGGGGCGGCTTGGTAGCTCTGCTATAGGCTGTTGCCAGCGTTCTTCAAGCTGCCCCAAAGCACTCGAGTTATCCAAGTAACGTAACAATCAGCTTTCTGCATACATACCGCCATATCACAACACGCTCCATTCCTGTAGCCTAAACGTCTTTGCATACCCGTTTACGAAGAAACAGTAAAATAATGATAATAAAAAAAGAAGAGAAAAAAACAAAATTCAGCGGCAAGCCTCTTTTCTCTCGCTTCTTATTATTTGCACTGCCTGATTACTCACGTGCTAGTGGCAATTGGATTTGAATAATTGGACAATCTATCCAGGTGAGATGTCTATCGTACGCCCATCGGTGGTTTTTCTATCATCGAGACTGAGGCTGACTTCCTCGGTATTCAGGTGTACGAATAGGTAAATTTCCAATCGACTAACTAAGGGGCACGTATATGTGAGTCAGTACGAAACACTGGGTATTGTGCAACCCCCATTAGATTCCTTACTTAGTTGTCATAAGGCCTGTACGTAAGATTCTAGTTGCGTCTGCTATGTTTCGAAACATCAATACGGCGTAGGGCGTTATATTAGGCGGTTCTTTATGGCTCATCGAACCTCAGCCTGGGTTAAATTAGTGTCAATTCAAGACATTGAGCACGTGTAGGTAGTTTCCGAGAGGGAAAAAAAGGTTGAATCTAGGAATGAGTCGAGGCTTGTCCATCAGCCGTAAATCCCCCGTGTTCTTCTTCATCTTCTGATTGCCGATTATCATGTATGGGGTAACTCCGCCCCCGTGTTCCATGCCTCGGTATCTAATGAGTGAATGCGTAATTTTAGTCTTATATACCTGTACTACTACAAGCTGAATCACTTCAGATAGATACCTACCTATTAGGTTAGGCAAGTAGCTCTCAAACAACTTTCACATGAAAATCTATGTCAACATCAGTACGGCGTAGAGACATCAAACTATGCGGGAAATTAAGGCTAAATTGCTGTTTAGAAAGCTACCTATCTTTTGAGAGCAGTTGTCGGTATTCGTCTAATAAAATCTCTCGTGGCGATGTAACATGCGGCTTTCCAAACTTGAACTTTATGGTTGCTACCGAGGTATTCGTGCTGAGATATGATTTCATCGCCCAATTAGCTAGATTGGCTATTTCTGTCTTGAAGTTACCTAGGTGGCATCCAAGATTAGTTCGTGGCCTACCTAAGCAATATCCTATCCGTCCGTTGTAGTCGATATGCCTTATGCCCCTATTAATCTCACAGTCTAACCTAGGGAAATTGCATGAGCGAAGATAACTATGATGAAGTCTGCCACATTGTGGCTAGACTGTAATACCGTATACGGAGGGGGTGAAACCTCTAAACTGACATCTACTGTACTACCTCAACTACTTGATTACCGGCTAGAAACATGTCAATATAGGTAATCAACTCATGAGTAGGTGATACATATAGTTGCTTGTGACGCTGTAATTTACTTCGATGCTTCCTTCTTACACCAAGGCCCTACTCTAACTAGTACTTAGGGTTAGCCTAATGATCAAGCGATGTTACTGGGAAGGAATTCACATGATAATCCCATAAACATTGTTATGTCGAGTAACGGTAATGTTACTCTAATTGTTGCCTTATTTTGCCATAATTTCACCACGCCATCTTACTCCGGGGCCCGATGAGACAAAAAGGAGAGAGGATTGACTGATCTAGATAGTAGGCTAGCTAACCCCTATGTTGGTTCTGTCTGGATGGAGTGCATATTTTGATTCCTCTTGGCCTTGTTGGGGCGTTTTGCCGACAATAATTTCACCAAGCCCTAACAAAATATCTATTTTGACAATGAAAAGTTCGCGTGTCATCAAATTGCAGCCTTTTTATGTATATTGAGCTCCTATATATGGATGTGAGTGAAAATTTGCTAATTACCCCTGAATGCTTGCTGAATCTTCTATTCTTATTACTATTATAGGAGAAAGTTGCGACATACGCTAAACTTGGGTGATATGATGAGGATTCGCAGACGCACATACTCAAGCACGAATTAGTTGTTCGACTATACGTTGTATGCCTGTAGCATCCTATGGAAGTAGCCTGGCCATGAACGGTTTCGAAAAAAATTGCATACGAGACATACATTGCATTGCATTGCATCTCCTTCGCTGAAAGGCGTCGTCCTACCTAAAAACATAGTTCCTGCAGAAATATAGATATATTCGTCATTTCAGTGCCGAAAACTGACAAATCGGCTTCCGTATCTTTCTACTCACATGTAATACCAATGTAGGTACGCAAGATACTAGGTAACCTGCTTACAATGGTTTCACAGACCTCCCGCAATGCCACGTGGACCTCATGGCTCCCCCCCTGGAATTTGATTTTTTGGTTGTAGGACATTCCGTCTCTGATTGGGGTCTGCAAATCAATCGTCCTATTATGATGGATTTCTTGGAACTTTGGAGGGGTGGCTTGTAAGTATACTGCCCCTCTATTGTATTTGTACTCCGACAAGATGTTATGGCGATGTTCTTCTAACGTTACCCACGGAGCTCGGCTGTGGACAGTAACACCTGAATCGGAATGCAACGGCCAAAAGTGGAAAGCCTTGAGACTATTCAGGACCCTTGGACCCTTGGCAATCTAAATTGGCAAAAAAGGTGATACCTATCCGATCATTTGGTACTTCAGATGACGTACGAGAACCGTTACCGAAGGCTGGCATCTTTAGATGGTGGTATTTGAGACTCGGTAAGCCTGGAACCCCACTCCCGTTCGAGGGTTCGTAAGGACGCAGCCTTATATATACCAACCTGCATTGTAGATATGTATGGAGGATTTGCGGGTTTCTTTGGGGAGCGGAGCAACGGGGCTGAATTTAATTGTCGTCCGGTCTGTGGAACTTACACAGCCCAATCGTTTGATGTGATTAGATTTCCGAGTTCTGGAGGCATCTAGCGATTTCGTGGGGGTGACATACTATCACTGCCATCACTACTGCATTTCACATGGCTGCCTGGCTACCTCGAGCAATGTCTCCTAATTAGATTGATGAACCACAGTTGATAGATGTTACCTAGGGTTAGCCTTTACTAGTTACCCATAGATCTTGGACGACCTGAAAAGGGGGATCAAAGACGCGGGGTGGCTGGCTAGTTTCATGCATTACCTACCTAGGTATACTATAGAATTTTTATATCCTTCTTTTATTGCTAGGGCATTGAAACTGAGGAATCTCAAAGGCTCGGACACCGAGACTGTGAACCTCATCAGCTTTCACAGAGCTTGGCGTAACCAACTGGAAAGTGAAGATACCCCACTATTGTCCCTGTAATGATTGCTATATCGAGCTGGTTTCTGCGGCGGTAGGGTCCGGATGGTCAATCAACCTTGTAGCCTATTATATGCTTATTATACGTATTGTATAATACAATATATAGTAGGTTAAGACTACTATGTATATATGCACCCCTTGTAGCTGACGAGGTAGATATGTATGTATGTAGTTGTGTTAAACGTCTTGGTGGCGGGTGGCGATAAGATGAAACAACCCTATCTTTGGGGGCGGAATGAGACTCGATTATTTTATAGAAGATGAATATCATCAGTGCAGTATTTATCACGGAGTTATCAAGAGTGAACAAGTTTGGGTATGATAATGAGTACTCATGATAATTACCTACGTACCAGGTAAGTACCTAATGTTAGTTACCTAGTTAAATTCGATGTGTCCGTGGACTTGCGGGTAGTCCGAATAGATATGAGTCAGTCGAATTGGTGAGAAGAAAGAATAATTGACTGTATACCCCATTCGTGGGCATTGATGCTCATTTTTCACCTTTCCGGGTAGGTAGGTAAGTTTAGTAGGTATGTAGTAATAGCAACGCCGACAAAATCCGGAGTATAGAGAGCTATGGACGGATGGACGGTGGTCGCCGAAAATGATAGAATGCTTGGCTATGAGACATAGTGCATCATGACTGCTTCTGATTATACTCAAACTCATATGGCGAGGCGAAGCACCTACCGTCACGCGCTTATAGATGGCCTCTCACATAAGGCAATGGGGACAAGAAACCTATGAAGATTATTATTACTAGTAGTACAACGATGAAGAGTCAGAAGTTAGGAGTCAGGGTAGTAACAGTACAGTTCTCGCTTACCAACTAACTGCAAGACGTGATTATCCATTAACAAAAAAGTGTATAGTATAATAGTTTTTGGAATTATTTTCTTCGTCTCGGGGCAGTGCTTTGTAATGAAAATAAACTTGAACAAGTTCTGCTTTGCTGCTTTGCCGCTTTGTAGACACCCGTAAATTATAATCGGAGTACTATTAATAGGTGAAGGGGCCTAATTATGCCACTATAAGTAAGCACTAAGACGCATGCGACCCCCACTAACAGCAACTTCATTCGTCACCTGGGTAGTTAGTCCACAGATACTCAGGTAATACTACGACCACAGTGCAGCATGTATGTAGGTAATGATGTATGTTACTTTGTATAACTGCCTACATACCTACATGTAGTACATACTACATACTACATACTAGGTAGTACTGATGTACATGTAGTAATACTAACTTGAACCTCGATTGACGTCAATTATACCAATAATAAATACTTACCTCGTGGCAACCATGCTACCTACCTACCACCCCAGCATCTATAGTGGTATGTAGACAAATGCAGAGATATCATTAGGTATTCAGGCGAATGCCGCACATATTCAGCTGCAGTCTTCAGCTAGTTATACCCTAAAATACTGTTTGATGCTATGCATGCTAGATCTTAATTGCGATGACCTGCACAGAATGAGATCATCAATTGATGTGACTCTGCCCCCAAAGCCCCGAATGGTACCTGCATACAACTCCGAACCGGCTGCTCGGGGCACTGTAGGCGTTGTACCACCGGAGATGATACTTCGATGGCAGCATCCCAAGAGACCTCTGCAAAAGACTTCGGACTCGCCACGATAAGGGACTGGCTCCATCATCTGAAGATCATCTGAAGAAATGAACTTAGTCGAGTCGATGGCCCATGATAAATGTCGTCTCAAAATAACTACCCAGGTAGGTAAAATAGGCATCTAAGAATATTGTCAAGGCATGGGCAGATCGATGAACCAGAGAATGAAAACAGTGGACGGCTAAAAACAAAAAAAGGGGACAAAACAACTAGTATCTGGTCGGTGTTGACGAAGTAATTAACCCTTGTACTTTTCCTATCCGAGCATGGTAAGCTACATACATGCAGATGCAACACAACATTGAAGCCCTACCATAAGAAGAAGAAAAGCAGTCCCGTTTTATCAAGTAGAAAAAAATAGCCAGAAAAGGGCCGTTGGTAATACGCAACTACTAAATCTTGCACATACAGTAATACCAGCAACAGGTTTAGGAATGGCTTTGAAGATTACCCGCCTACAGAATACTGAGAACCTTGGAATATCACTATCTAGGTTAGGGCCGTTGGTTAGGCATGTAAAGCTTCAATGTTCGCCAGTGTGTATTCGTTACTACTACACAATGTGTACTGTGTATGTGTAGGTACTAAATGTAGGACACTGGTCTATTTGCGATTTGATTGGCAATAAATCCTAGAAACCCGAGACCAATCAGCTCAAGAACCCAGAATTGTCAAAAGCCTATTGGTGAATGTAAGATAGAAACATCGTCTAGGTACCCATGTCTTGCCAGGTACCCATGTGTGATTCACAATCATGCTGGTCTCAACCATCTCACGATTCTTACCCTCTTCTTCAGCCTTACGGCTCGCTAAATGATCCAGCTAAAAATTCTAAAGTGTCCCACTGCTACCTAGCGTATGTACGCTACGGCTAAAATAGATCCTTGGAAGCTTCCAATGTTCTTTCTTCGTTCCATGCACACCATTTTTATTTCATGCCTGCATCAATCTTACGACCCTGTTACCAACCATATGGTAGATACTACGCCCTTCCCCCCCCTCTCCTTGCTCCTCTCCCGTTTTTAAGCACCATGTAGCCATATTAAGAAATAAAAATTTCATGTCAACCCAAAAACGGACCAGCGGTTTCAGATATTTTTTTTTTCAAATGGCCCCAATGCAGTTTAGTTCGACTAGGTGTACCCGGAACTTTTGGTTTATGGGCAGGGTTAAAAAACGTGGTATACAGGTACTTAGGTAGTATGGTTATTTTTACATATACCCCCCCAATGTGGGTTCGGTAGGCATCCTCGAGTTACCACCATCGAGGCTGAAGTTGGATAGGTAGGTACACACTTGGGTACCTTATTGCCCAGCACCATAATGTTATCGCCGGCAGTCAGTCATAGCCAACAGACCCCAGTAGGCCGACTAGACCAAGGAACTCCCCGCGGACCACCTCCATGTAGCTCACCTTAAACGGGCTATGTTGTGTATAGGATCTAGAGAGGCATCTTGGATATATAAGAGCTCCTTCCATCTCTCCTGACTTAGGCATCATTCATTCCTCATCATCCAACACACAAACAGCTCCAACACCTTTAATAACAACTCCTACTCTTGTAACAACATCATCTCTATTAGACTTCAAGCGATATTCTACTATATTATACCCTTTCCTTGCTCAGCATCCTTTTCCAGATCTTCAACAACCATAACCATAACTATAACAACCACATCAACTACATCAACCACATTCAAAATGGGTGCCCAATCCTTCACCACCGTCCCCGCCATCGCCAGCTTTGGCCGAAGCGGCTACAACAAAGACGGTGACGACGATGACAAGCGCAACTTTGGTCGCAGCGGCTACAACAAGGACGGCGATGACGACGACAAGAAGAACTTCGGCCGAAGTGGATATAACAAGGACGGCGACGACGAGGATAGCCGAATCGTCAACTTTGGCCGAAGTGGCTACAACTAAAGGGTCAAGCCATCCATTGTGGGGCCCCGGCCTCTTGTATCAACTACCTTGCTTTTCACGCGAGAATACCACCACCACCACCGGCTAAGCAGTCCAGGGGACTGCTCCAACAAAAACAAGATGGCCATGTACTGCTATGCCCTACTCGATTTTCCTTTGTTGCATCAGACCGGCGTTTGGGACATACTTCGACATCATTTACACTTAGACCCCTGTATTTTTAGGAACTGTACGATACCACAGGAGACCACACTACACTGGTCTCCATAGAGTTTGAACAGCGCGCAAGCGCAGACTTGTACGAGTATAACGCGATAGGATCAGGAATTTGGGATAGACGTTTGACGACTGGAAAAGCAAAAGGAAGCATTTACAGGTTATTATTTTCATTGCATTAGAACGGCGATTTGGGAAAGGGTTTCGACGATTTGGGCACATTTGTATTTGGATATCTTTTAATTTCAATCCTTATTTACCTACACAGAATCTGGAACTGAGTCAATTGCTTGTGTCGAACGTGAAGGGGGGGGCGATCGAGACTTACTTTTCGAAAATCACACCTAGGATCTCCTCCACATCGCCAACCTCCCCGCGCCCAGTAATCCGACCCAGGTAATTCGCAGCGTATCGGAGATGCTCGGCGGCCATGGTAATATCAGCATCATCTTTCTGTAACTCGTCATCCAGACCGTTACCCCCCTCCAGATCGGGAGACCCCACGCTCTCAAGGTAAGCTTCGAGATGCCCTCTACATTTTACTAGAAGCTGTCTCTGACGTTCGGTAACCCCGTGGAGCTCTTGCATGGCGGCAGGCAGCGAGGTCATGTTCGTAAACGAAAACACCAATCGTTCGATGACTCCCCTGAGGCCCCCTGGATCCACCTGGTCAGAACTTAGATCTTGCGCCTCTTTACAAGAAATGAGTACCGGTCGAGCGGTCTGGAGCCCTTCAATCTGACTCAGCACATCTTCAGTGAATCTCTGAATGAGGGTGCGCAGCTCGTCCCCAGAAACTGCATCTCGTTTATTGACAACTACAATGCGCTCCTTGCAATTAGCTGCCAGTCGCAGAGTTTCCAAATCATAGCATATCTGAGGTTGGCCAAGGACACCGGTTTCTATGGAGGTGAGTACGACGATGACGTCGGATTGAGTGGCTTTGACCCTCGCTCGACGGATTCCCTCTTCCTCTATAGCCCCAAGTTTGGACTCGGGCCGAGCAGAACCCGTAAAATCCTTCTCCGGCGCAGCTCTAAACCCGGCCGTATCTGCAAAGGTGCAGAGATACCCACGGATATCGAGATTTGCTTCAATGATATCTCGAGTAGTCCCAGACTCCCCAGAAACGATCGACGCCTCCCTGCCGACTACCTGGTTCATGAACGAGCTCTTGCCAACATTCGGTGGCCCCACAAGCGCAATTTTTATTCCATTTCGAAGAAGTTCGCTTCGCTCGCTCGCCCTTTCATGGATGTGTATGCCCTGGAGGATCTCTCTCACCTCCTTGGTTATATTGCTAACAAAAGAAGTAGGCGACTCGTCGAAATGCTGGTCTTCTGAAAAGTCGATGAGAGCTTCCATCTCAGCACGAGCTCGCAAGAGCTTCTGGCGCCAGTCATCGTAAGTGCGACCCAAAGAGCCACTGCTACCACGAACCGCAGCACGGCGCTGCTGCTCTGTTTCGGCCGAGAGGGTCTCACTCAATGCCTCAACTTGAGCCAAGTCAAGTCGATTATTGAAAAAAGCGCGCTTGGTGAATTCTCCCGGTTCCGCATAGCGGATGGGACCCTCTCCGAGACATTGAGGGATGGCTGAAAGAACAGCCTTCACAGTTGCACTCCCGCCATGCACATGCAGCTCTAATACATCATCACCGGTAACGGTCCTCGGTCCTGGAAAGAAGAGGACTAACGCTTCTGCATCAAGCACTTCCGATCCACTTGACTTTGGATGATATAATGACCTAATGGTAGCATACCGTGGCTTTAACGAGGGCTTGCTCGGACAGAGTGCATGGTAAATCTTTAAAAAGCTCCATCAGCCATAGTCGTCCATTGGATGCAAGGAAATCCTACAGATCTGCACGAGGGACCAGAAACACGTATCACCGCAATGCCAGCTTTGCCCTCAGCCGTTGACAGCGCGTAGACTGTATCGTCTGGTTTTGGAGGAACACGGCGATGAACCAGATCCTGATGGCAGCCTAGATTACGAGGATGAGATTTTAAAAAAGCCACGGAAGATGTAAGTGATTGGCGAGTCAGATGAAAATGTCTGAATTGTACACTATTTTGGGGCCACTTCGAATAGGCGAACACACGCCTTGTGGCGGCAGCGCGATGCATGGATATCACTCCTTCCAGAACCCCACCAAGGAGTTTGGATTATATGGGAGAAACCATAGAAAGCGGCTTTGTTGATATTGACAGATTTGGTTTGATGGCGTTTTCTTGAAATTACCCCAAAGCGGATTCCAGGTTATTTCGAACTGTGGCACTAAAAGCTAAGGCTTTAAGGTTGATATTTACCAATATCACATGAATCGTGAATAGTTCAAGTTCCCAAACCTGAAGAAAAAAAAATAAGGAAGGAAAGCTAATAGCGGATTACTAACGGTGGGTACCACGTTGATAAGAAATGAATTTCATCTCATGTGATTGGCTAGACGCAATGACGGCTAACTGATTTAACTGACCGCCTTTGGATGTCCCACTCACTTTAGACCCACTTGTGCGACGGCAGAACTTTTTTTCTCAAAAAGTTTCCCAAAACACTATTATTTTGTTCATCGCTTCAAGTAGATTGCACCGAATATTCCTATTCCACGTCCTTCCTCCATAACCTTCACAACCCGATCCAATCTGATATTCGATCAAGATGTCGGACGAGATCATCTGGCAGGTTATTGACAAGCAATTTTGTAGTTTTAAACTGAAGTGAGTCCACTCCTCAATATATTACATACTTGACTATGAAATACTAGGTACTGACCTGCTTTTAGAACTACCAAAGAGAAGAACTTCTGTCGAAATGAGTATGGCCATTGAACATATTAAGTGAGGAGTATTATTCTAACCAGGCTCTAGATACAACGTGACGGGCCTTTGCAACAGACAGTCATGTCCGCTCGCCAACTCTCGTTATGCCACGGTTCGAGCCCATCCTACGAAGGGCACTTTGTATCTCTATATGAAAACCATTGTCAGTGTTTTCTATACTTTGCCAATTTACTTTGCTTTGCTAATTTTATGTAGGAGCGTGCGCACACACCCGCCAAGCTTTGGCAGAGAATCAAGCTGTCGCAGAACTATGCGGCCGCCCTAAAACAAATCGATGACCAACTCATCTATTGGCCCAAGTTCCTAGTCCACAAGGCGAAACAACGAGTTACGAGGCTCACACAGGTCGCTATTAGGATGAGAAGGCTCGCAAAGGAAGACGCACGCCTCGGCGAAAAGATGGTGCCTAAGTTAGCACCTAAGATCAGGCGACGAGAAGAGACCCGCGAGCGCAAAGCAGAAGCTGCTGCTAAGTTGGAACGTACCATCGAACGCGAGCTGATGCAGCGACTACGCGAGGGAGCTTACGGTGACCAACCTCTTAATGTTAGCGAAACTATCTGGAAGAAGGTGCTCAATGCAATGGAGCGCGAGGGTGACGGTATGCGAGATAAGGACCTCGATAATGGCATAGAAGAAGATGAGGACGAGGATGAGGAAGAGATGGAAGGTGAGGTCGAATATGAGGATGAGGAGGAAGATGGAGCCGTCGAGTATGTAAGCGATTTCGAGGAGAGTGAGGATGACCTGGAAGATATTGAGGATTGGTTGGGAAGTGATGAGTCCGATAAAGAAGAGGAATTGGACAGTGACGAGAGCGAGGAGGATTCAAGCAAGAAGGCGGTCGGTGAAAAGAGAAAGAGAGCTCGGGTTGTTCGCATGAAACCGAAAAAGACAGTTCGCCGTGGAAGAGAGATCGAACATGAGCACGAGTTCGAACGTCCGAGGGGGGAGCTTGCCTTCTAGAAGACGAAGGCAATGAATTGGTTGGAACAGAATACTAGTATTTCCTGATATTGCCAAGAAAAACTATTGATACCCTTTTCACTACGTATTTGGAGGGGATACATGAGCATTGATATTGACAAATCACGGCCCATGGAAGGGATATAAGAATGTACTACTATGTAGGTACAGTTCTATGTAACGGCATCTGGGTGTCTTTTGTGCTAAGTTGCTAGCGCAATGAAACACTATCTAAAAGAGAAAGGCGACGATTGGCGTTCTAATTATTGGGGGGTTCATGAATTAATACTATTTGCCAATTCAGTCTCGTCTGAATTTTACCATCATTGGTGTTTTCAAGTTGAATGTCTAAATGTGTAAGTCATCTATTAACCTACATCAATATGGGACCTACTTATGTAACCTGGTACAAGTTCCCATGTTGGTGTTTAGGGGAATTCTGGTGGGGTTTACCCCTACTACCCCTACCTTATGCCCCTACTCCTAATACCTAACACTGACTAGTAGGTACTAGCTTAGTTGCCCTTTTATCCGTCCGTTTCTGGCTCTGATGTCAGTTAACCTTGGAAATCTGCTAGTCAATCAATTAATCAATTGAACCGAAACCCAGCCTTTTTTGAAACGTCAACTGCAACTCCCTTTTCTTTATCTATAACTGGGCACGTTACAACTATCACCTTTGGAACTTGTTGGAACTTGTAGCATAAAAAGTCCACCAATTCTTTTAAAATTCTTTTAATCTTAGGTCTACTTTACCTTTTGACCATTTTCTCTTCTTGTTCCTACTAAAGCTCCGCTAAAACTCCACTACGCGCCTGCGTGTTTACGTATCATCTTGTCACGAATTGCGCCCACAAATTCTACCCATTCTTAATACAAACGCGCCGAACCTAGACTACCCAGCCGACAACTAGGTTCTCAAAGGTATCCCTTTGGGACCACACGATAACATGTCGGGTTGGTATAGCAATCTCGTCGGTGCGACGACTTCCAAAATCTCCAACCTCCAACGATCTTTCCTCAGCAGCGAAGCCGATGGCGACACCGAAGACGACACCCACGTCTGCAGAGTCCTGCGATCATATTACATCGAGAAAGGCCAATCATTTCCAGCCTGGCTCCCACCTGATCCCAAAGCCCCCCCACCAGTCGCCGTCGTCCATTCGCAGCCAGCACAGGTTGGTTCAAGATACGGTGGCCTTGCTCAACAATCTCAGGGTGGCCTAAGCTCGCTATGGGACAACAACCCCGTGTCGCAACCCCAAGATGCGCAAAGTTTACGACGAGGCAGAGGCGCGCCACCTCCAATGCGAAATAGCGACCCGAGAAACAGCCCATTCCGCAATTCGGACCCCATGGCTGGTCATGGACGAGAAGAGGTAGCGGCGAGACCACTGCCTAGTCAACGACTTGGAAGCTATCAGACCGCGAACGCTTATAGAGGAGATGCCGGTACAGCACCACCCACCGCCTCATCTGGTGGATCAGCACAGGAACGATTGAAGCAGCGATTCTTTGGTGGCTCTAGAACGACTAGCCCTGCTGGAAATGGACCTTTCAACCCTCCACCCCAGAGTAATTCGAGAGGAAATAATTCTATCAGCAGTGGATCAGGATCTGGAGACTATGAAGCGAGATTCGCGCCTGGTGGTATGTACGACGCCGGCCCCCGTGGAGGAGGAAATGACAGACTTGGACGACGGCCAGGAGGCCTACCCAGTGGACCCCGGATGAGATGAAGGACTTGCCTTACTTACAAGACGATTACCTAGGTACTTTTCGATAAATACTGGAAGGATTTGGCTACCAACACCCTCCGGGCCATGGAAAGTGGATACATGGCGGCCGCTCAGTGAAGCTATACTGGGGGCTGCTAAGTTGCAGGTATTGAGGCGTAGTCTCAAGCATCTTTATGATGTTGTATCCCACTCCATAAGGCTATGTCCCCTTTCCCGGTCCTACGTACAACCCCTATTCTCCACATTTGCCCGGCATACGAAGAACCAAGGAACAAGCACCTAACTAATACTACTAACTCACCATCACTGAGCCAGGATGGATCCATAAACCGCGGTTACCATTGGCTACGAAAGTTGGGGGGGGGTTGTGAATGCAGTGGAACTTGATGAGACCGGTTGGATTAGAACAGTGCTCACGACGGTTGAGTCTTGTGTATACTCCTCTTCACGACGCAATAAACACATAATAATACTGTTGCCTGAATTATATATTGCGCATTCAATGTATACGTAGGCCACCTCGAATTTGTGCAATGCGCTAACGTACTTCCTTGAAGCGCTGGGAAACATGCATGTCTACATAATGTAGGTATACAAGAACAGGTGTTACGAAGCATACGTACACTGGATGGTACATAAGTACACTCATATGTAATTATATGTACAATACTTGAAGACCCCTGGAATGTCCAATGTTCAACATTGAACTTGGAATGCTGTAACCTAAGACATTCATGTACATATACTAAATTCGGACTTAACAGGTAATGTCACGAGTTTGATTCGTCGCACAACGAACATTGAACTTGGTAGCCTGCCGCATGATGCAGAATGTACTAATGCAGCAAGGTCTGGATGTAAAGAACTAAACGTTAGCTTCCTTTTAGCAGTAGTTCTACCTAGTAGGTACCTAGTTATATGTACTCCAGTGGTATGTATTGTACCTGCCAGGTCCTGCCTACTACCTAGTAGGTACTAGGTAGGGTACCTAGTACGGCGTAGTGAGAAAAACAGTGGATAGATGGGTGGCGGGGCACCTGTTGTCATGAGGTATTCCAGACGACCCCCAAGCTTTAACCGTCGCTCACATGTTCATTCCCAAATTTAGAATTTACGATTATCAAAAAGATCGCCAACAAGAAAAAATAAGAAAATAAGAAAGAGTTTTGCTATTCGTACCACCTCTTTTTGCTATCGGAGCTTATCCGTACACCCAATACATCGGCTTAGCGCCGCGCACTGTTTTTTGAAGGCGGTGAAGAATAAAACCGGCAGAACTTTCTTTGATCCATATTATTTCAACTACATACATTATTCCAAATCTCCTATTCAATTATTCTCACTCCACACCTAATTTCCAACCATCCTCTTGATGCTATTGTATAGGTACATATTCCCATCAAAATGGATATCACCAACGAGCCCCCTCCCGCGAAACCTACCCCTGCGCCGCTATCAAATCCACCTTCAACGCACCGGCTTATGGCAGGGCCACCGTACGAAACATACGAGGAACTGGAAGCCGATATACGAGCCTTTGCCAGGGCAGCCGGCTTTGCAGTGATTAAGAAGCGTTCAAACAACTACCGCAACGGGAAGCCGACCACTATAACCCTCGCATGTTCTAAAGATACGATTCGACCGTCTGAAGGCAACAATATCCGCAAATCTACCACCGGTAAAGTCGGATGTATCTGGGAATGTCAAGCTATTTCTCGACAAACCAGTAACTGGCTCTGGGAGTTTAGGCTCCGTGATGGCCACGACCACCATATCAATCATGAGGCTATCCAAGACCCGTCCGCTTCTGCTCTTTTACGTAGCCTTACTCCCGAAATGAAAGGAATAATAGAGAGTATGTCTCTAAACCCGGGAATACGACCACGCGATATTGCTGCTACCCTCCACAAGCAGGTCCCGGGCGCGTGTTTCACAGACAAAGATATTCACAATTATCGTCAACAACTACGTCAAAAAAAGTTGGATGGTTATACTCCTACGCAGGCGTTGATCCGCTCCTTTGAGCAAGAAAACATCCTACATTTTGTGTATAGAGATCCAGAGGAAGAGAATCGCATCACCGGCTGTCTCTGGTTTGAGCCATGGTGTATTGAGATGTGGCGGAAATATCCTGGTGTGATATCCTTTGATGCCACCTACAAAACCAACAAATTTAAGCTGCCGCTCTTCACGGGTACGGTGGTCACCCCTACCAAAACAGTTGCGAATATCGTATACGGTTATATCAACAACGAGACATTCGAGGGCTTTTCCCAAGTCATAGGCGATATCGAGCGCGCCCGTATACAGCTAGGAATAGACTCGCCAGGTGTAATCATTACTAATTACGATGATGCCGAGCGAGGTGCTATCCGGCTGCACATGCCCTCCAGCAAGCTACAGCTATGTGTTTTCCATATTAACAAGAATATCGTCCTGAACGTTAAGAAGCAATGGAAAAGAAGATCAGACAAGGAGTCCATACCGCCTACGGCAATTAACGATGAGGACCTTCTAGAAGAGGACCTTCTAGAAGAGGACCTTCTAGAAGATGATGACGTTCAACACCTTAATGCCCCTGCGAAAAGCCTCAAAGAAGTTCCTGACCTAGTACCGGATGAGATACCTAACACCCGTACTGGCTTGTTTGAGCTCTGGAAACATATGGTATACGCGCGAACCGAAGATAAGTTTCACGCCACGTGGGAGCGCCTAAAGAAGCAGTTCAACGATCAACAAGGTATCATTACGTACATCAACAGGGAGTATATGGCGACTAAACAGGAGTGGGCGGCTTGTTACACATCTGCCAATAAGAACTATGGTCAGAGAACTACATCACCTACCGAGACAACTCATCGGGACCTGAAGACTTATCTCGTACATGGCCGCGGCGACCTCCTAAAAGTACGGTCGGCGATTCAAGAAATGATTATCAAGCAACAGCGTAAGGCTAGCACTGCAGAGAGTTTGCAAGTAGAACGCTTGCGACGTCAGTATATAGGGGCCCGTTGGTTAGGAGACCTACCTCGTAAGGTCTCTTATGTTTGCGTTGATCTCCTTTCTAGGCAACATCGGAAAGCACTAGGCGCATTAACTACGAAATCAACTTTAGGACCCTGTACCGACCTGATTACGGAGCAGTACGGTATCCCATGCGCCCACGATCTTATCCCTAAGCTAGAGGCCGGTGAGGCTATTGGGCAAGAAGAGATCGATAAATATTGGTGGTTAGGGCGCGATTTAGCGGACGAACACCCTTACCTTCGTATACAAGATCCTAACGTTATTACAAACACACGGGGAAGGCCCCGTAATCATGGCCCATTCGGTGAGGACCCCCCTACACTAACACAGCAAACATGGAGTATACAGGCATCGCAACAGAAACAATTAGGCCGCTCCCGGGATACTCACCCGACAAGCAGTAGTGTGCGCCGCCAGCTGTCGCAGTGGGAGCACGGCGAAAGTCTCCAGCAGCTTGATACCGCCGATACAGCTCCGTCAGCTACACCAGCACCAGCTAAACGGGGACGCGGCCGACCTCCTGGCTCGAAGAATAAGCCGAAACCTACCAATCCAGAACCTACCATTCCGGCTAAACGGACTTTTAGTGCTTTTAGTGAGGGAAGAAGAGACGGCCGTCCAGTGCGACGTACAATTAATGGGTTGCGGAACGTGGTAGAAGAAGAGGAGGAGGAGGAATTTGATTGAGTGGACGGTAGTTAGTATATATTGCGAATAGCTTCAATAATCACCTTGTACTCAAGTACCTAAAGCCCTTCTGAATTAAATGATTGTTGATTGGGTGCATCAGCTAAAATGTGGGGTAGATTTCTTAGCGTGGCGCTAGTTTTTTTAGCGCGGAGCTAATTCCTTCACCGCCTTCAAAAAACAGTGCGCGGCGCTAAGCCGATGTATTGGGTGTACGGATAAGCTCCGATAGCAAAAAGAGGTGGTACGAATAGCAAAACTCATAAGAAAACCGAGAATAACAGAAAAAAAAAAGGAAAAGAAACCCTATCATCCCAAACTCCGGCCCCATAATTCCGAACTGCCAACATAATACCACGATCCTCAACTCGTCCGTTTTCGAACATCCAGCTTATCCGGACTGGATACGATCACACCCCGCCATGACATCAGGTCCCGCACAAGATCGAGCCAGTTCGCCTACTGGCAGTTTCTACGCTATGAGCGACGATGAAGAGGGCGAGTATAATACTATTACTCATACGGAATCGGGCCGTGGCGTCAAGTTGTTATATTCCAAGAGCAAAGTCTATATTCATCCCACACCATCAGCAAAGGATAACATTCCTGGCTTCATAGCGCTCTTGCAACAGAAAGGCCCCCACAATGATCGACCGGCTTCTTCGTCTTCCGCGAACTCGACCTCACTCGCATCATCTGATCTTTTACTTGCTTGGCTACCTGAATCTGCCCTCGGCGAGGCTGCCAGTATCTATGTCAAAGTCGATCTCACCGAAGGCGACTCCCCGCCAAAACAGAGCTATCTCGTGCCGCTCCCCCCTACTGTAACTACCCATGAAGGGTCGATTGGCCATTACGCTTTCGCAATACCAGTCAGCGCCATTTATTCGCTTCTGGTCCGTCCTCCGAGTCTGGGGTGGTGGTTCGGCTCTCTTGTTATTAATACGAGAGCCGGGGACTGCTTCCCAGCCCTATTTTTTCATGATAGCGAATGCCAATCGACTATCCTACAGAAGAAGAAAAGAGCAAGGGAAAGCTTCGATCCATTTGACAAAAATGGGCAGATGTTCTGGGGAGGCGACGAAGTCCTCCGTTGGTTGAGGCGCTATATCCATATTGAAAGGAGTGGAGCTGAGCCGAACATCTACCTAGTAGAGCCCAGCAAGGAAGATAGTGAGGCCTTCAGTGGGAAGCTGACCTCTAGCACACCTTCACAAATTGGTCGACAGGATAGTTCACAGGGGCTTTCCATGCGCCGCGCTGCCAGATCTTCAGCGGCAGGCTCCAGCAGCCATAATGACGCTGGCATGGATCCCGTCATGAAGTTCGTGAAGGAGACTGGGTGGAACCTCCTGGAGAAGTTTAGTAAAGTCACGACGCTCACACGCAGAACCGCACAGGATATAATGGACAACCCGAGAATCCCACCTCAGGTTCGTAGGCTGATGCGAAACCCCGAAGTTCAGACGCTACAAGACGAATTCGATAGCGCTAGGGTCTACCTTGCCAGATGGGCAATGGGCATAGCGGAGCAGAGTGAAAGGGACCGAAGCCGGAGAATATGGACCGCTCGAGATGTTATGGAACTGGAAGATACCGATGTTGGGGAGTTTGAGTTGTTAGAAGCAAGCTCCCTGTCCCTGCATGAGAGACGGAAGCCAGTGACACTGAAAGAGTGGAATGATTATTTCGATCAACGAACAGGGCGCCTTGCGATTACGGTCGATGAAGTCAAGGAGCGCATCTTCCACGGTGGCCTCGATCCCGAGGATGGAGTCCGTAAGGAAGCCTGGCTATTCTTGCTGGGCGTGTACGACTGGTACAGCACTACGGAGGAACGGAGAGCGCAAGCCGCATATCTTAGGGACGAGTACGTAAAATTGAAGGCTGCCTGGTGGGAGAGGCTTGTCGACCTCGGTGGTGAGGGAGACGAAGGTGAATGGTGGCGAGAGCAGAGATGCAGAATTGGTAAGTCTACTACGCCTTCACTTATAGGAATATTGACTAACCCTTGAACATAGAAAAGGATGTACATCGAACTGACCGCACAGTCCCAATATTTGCTGGGGAAGACCTTCCACATCCTGACCCTGACTCGCCTTTTGCTGAATCCGGCACCAATGTCCATATGGAGCAGATGAAAGACATGCTGCTCACCTACAACGAGTACAACAGAGATCTAGGTTACGTCCAGGGCATGTCTGACTTACTGGCACCTATATATGCCGTTATGCAAGACGACGCAATTGCTTTTTGGGCTTTCCAACATTTTATGGATCGGATGGAGCGAAACTTCCTGCGAGACCAGTCTGGCATGCGAAATCAACTTCTTACCTTAGATCAGCTGGTTCAGTTCATGGACCCGAAGTTATATGCTCATCTTCAATCCGCCGACAGCACTAACTTCTTCTTTTTCTTTCGCATGCTATTGGTTTGGTATAAGCGTGAGTTCAAGTGGATGGACGTCTTGCACCTATGGGAAGTGCTTTGGACGGACTATCTGACCAGCAGCTTCCATCTATTCGTCGCCTTGGCCATTTTAGAGAAGCACCGGGATGTGATAATGGCGCATCTACAGCATTTTGACGAAGTTCTTAAATACGGTACGTCTTGTTAAATTGCCCCTTTAACTTGCTCTAGTCTCTAACCAACTACCAGTCAATGAACTCTCCAACACGATAGACTTAGAGTCGACGTTAATCCGAGCAGAAGCCTTGTTCCGCCGCTTCAACCGGTTGATTGAGGCTATTGACAAGAAGCAAAACTTCCCGGCTCCAAGGGCTCGCAGCAGCTCACACTCTCCTGAATCTTCTTCTAGTTCTGGTTTCAAGCCATTGGAAGCGCCGCACCAAACAAGAGGCAGCAGCAGTAACGGAAAGGCGCCGGAGGAGCAGAAGAAAACGATTACCCCTGAGCTGCGGAAGCTACTCAGCAGAACCGTAGAAGTATTGCCCAAAAAGGCCGCGCATTCAAAGAAGGACGGCGTCGCTGCTGAAACTGCTTAGGAAGTAGTTTACTAGGTCGTTGATGATGGCGATGTGGCCAGGTAGGGTTGGGCTGGAACTAGGGATCGGGGTGTACTTTTAGCTTTAGGAAAACATCAGATGTGATATACGTCGTTATGGGATTAGTAGGTCTCGGAGGCTTTGTGGTGTTCAGGGGGCTTTGAAGGTATACATAGGTAGTATCAAAGGGTCAGACACAACTACTTCAACAGATTTTCTCTCTCCTTCTTGTTAGGCTTGAGACCATGCTTGCTTGCTTGCTTGCTTGCTATGTCCGTCAAGATTTTCACACACGTAATAATAGGTAGTGTAATGAAGATTCTCCTCAATTAGACATAATGGGATGATACCTGGAGAGAAAAATAAATCCGATGAAACCCGGGAAAAGATGATGGGCCTTATGCTAAACCAGACCAAGCCTTTGTTTGTTCCTTCACTCCTGTTGATGAATCTCGCGTAGGCATAGCATTAGTACGCTCGCACATATAATAACAATTACACAAGGGGGGTTCTCCTTCCCTTCCCTCCCCTCCCCCTTTCTCTATCCTTCGTACCTAGTTTCTTGCGCTGTCTCTTACATGTCGCACCCGATCACATCGTCGCTGTGATGCATTGGTTGTGTATGTGTGTGTTTGTGCCCTTTTTCGGATTGGTGTTTTTTTGTTGTTCTTTCGTAGTTTAAGTATGGTCGGTTCAAATGGACTAGACGGTGAAAAAGAATGGACTCGCTTAGAACTCCGACTCTTCCTGGAAGAACATGCCGAAACTGATGATAGTCCCGTAGATCAGCAGGCCTCCGATGATGGACATGACCATGGCGGGTATGTTGATGAGATGCGAGTGTGCGAGGACGGCGGGAAGGGCTATAGAAAGTGAGGAGAGTTAGTTGTTGGCTTCAATGATTGCGTTCCTCCCCGACATGACGTGTGTACAAGAAACTTTCCGAATCCACGTCAAAACTAGTGGATACGCCGTGCAGGACAAACCAAGCAGTAAATAGGAGGCGTTAAGGAGGGAAGTAGACTGTAGGGGCAGAGCGCCTTACCAATTCCCATAACGACCATGAATCCGGTGCAGAAGCGGCCAAGGTCCAGGACGCCGTTGCCGGAGCTCTCGACGAAGTCATCAGGGTTGGCGGCGCGGGCAGCGATCCAGTTGGGTATGGGCGCCAACACGTAGGTGGCGACGACAAGCAACGGGTAGTACACCTTGTACAGCGCGCACGAGAGGATGACGAGGAGGAAGCCGATCGCGAGCACGAAGGACAGCGCGATGATGGTTTTTATCCCTGCGGCTGGCATCGTGGGCAAATATGGGGCGGATTTGTTCTCTGGTCTGGATTACTTTCGTTCCGTTCCGTTCCGGCTTTTCGGGCGTGCGGTCGAAGACGATTGATTGTACAACTTTCGGGGGTTGAGGCAAGAAGATTATGTATCGGATGGGGGGATTTGAAGGGCTGAGTAGGTATCTAATAAATATAGTAGATATCTTCAGATAATGGGGAAAAGTAATAGAAAGAGAATGAACAGAGAATAGAAGAAGAAAAGATTCGCCGTGGAAAGTCGATTGATTGCGAATCGTTGGAGACTGGGGATTTGGGATTGGGGATTGGAGATTGGTGATGATGATGTTTAAGTTGTCGTCAGACTCAGCCTTGGCTTGGTCGGATTGCCTGTGCCAGGTCCCTGTAGCTTGAGCCACAGGTGCTTTGAAATCTGTGGCTGGTGAGCACTCTACGGTCTCTACCATGTACAAAGTACTAGGTTAGGTAACTACAAGCTAGAAGTGGGCCCATGTACTACTGGTACATAGTACATTCAAATAATGAGCTAATCCAAAAAGAGAGGAGCGACGAAGCTCTTGAGCTGCCTTGTCGGTTTGCTATCCAAAACATCGCTGTAATTTAGAGATTCAGAGAAGCTTCAGCCCACCCAGCCTTGTCTTTCCGACTACCTAGTACCTACATAGTACCAATTCAACCTACGAACTACCTTTACAACTTGACCTTGCTACAACCACATCCACATCCACATTTACAACTACCACGGTTACCGATATTTGAATTCTAAAAAGTGGCATAATGTTCAGAAACAACTACGACAATGATTCCGTCACATTGTACGTGCTGTCTATCCACCCACCTTTATCAGTCGTCCCCAACTGACCAATATTCAGCTCTCCGCAAGGGAGAATATTTCAGGTAGAATATGCCGCCGAGGCCGTGAAGCAAGGTTCAGTTGTAGTGGGTTTAACGAGCAAGACACATGCAGTTCTAGTCGCAATCAAGGTACGAATAATTACCTTACAACAACTATACAACATAAAAGCGAACGATCAAGGCTAACATATTTCTTCTCTATAGCGAAATGCGGAGGAACTATCATCATATCAGAAGAAGCTATTCGCCGTAGACGAGCACGTCGGCCTCGCCATCGCCGGCCTAACATCCGACGCCCGCGTCCTGTCCAACTTCATGAAGCAGCAGTGCCTCTCGCAGCGCCTGACGTACGACCGCGCCATGCCCGTCGGCACCCTCGTCTCCCTCATCGGCGACAAGGCCCAGACCAACACCCAGCACTACGGCAAGCGGCCCTACGGCGTCGGCCTGCTGGTAGCCGGCGTGGACGAGGCGGGGCCCCACCTCTTCGAGTTCCAGCCCAGCGGCCTGACCCAGGAGATGCAGGCCTGCGCCATCGGCGCCCGCTCGCAGATGGCGCGCACCTACCTCGAGAAGAACCTGGACAAGTTCGCCGACTGCGGCCGCGAAGAGCTCATCCGCCACGGCCTCAAGGCCCTCAAGGAGACGCTGGTCCAGGACCGCGAGCTGACGGTCGAGAACACAAGCGTGGGCGTCGTCGGCCTCAAGGAGCCGGGAAAGAAGGCGCTGGAGTTCTTCAAGGTGCACGATGGTGCCGAGGTCAAGGACTGGATCAACAGCGTGGCGGACGATAGCGAGGCGAGTGGAGAGGCGGCGGAGGGTGATACTATGCAGGTCGATGAGTAGGCAACCCAGGTCAGGTCAGGTCTGTGATGATGAAAGTAAAAAACCAATAACCTCCTTGCATTTTGACCCGGGGCGTAGGGAGCCCGGGCAGGTGCTCGTGTCGCGGCACCATCTAAACTAGATGTATCAATAGACGACGAACAACAAATCATGAAAACAAGTCGAGGTTTATGGTTATGGTGTGGCATGTCCAAAAAAAAAATTTGCATTCAAGCAAGTAATATGCGTGATGATGATGATTTTCTTCATTTCATTTCTTTACCTCTTGTCTTCACATCTCACATCCCACATCTTATATCTCGTCTTCCTCGTCGTCGAAATCGTCTTCCCGCCCCATCTCGTACAATATCCTCCCTCCCTCGCCAGCCCCTATCTCCGTCTGCGCGTCGTAATACGGAAGCACTATGCCCTCCCGATCCCGGCGCTGCTTCTCCGTCAGCCCTAGGTTAAACGTAGTCTGCATCCCATCGTCGCCCCCGCCGTCTTTAGCACCGCCGACGGGTCCTCCTTCTCCATGTCCGTTTGCCTCGTCAGGGGCAGGGGTGCGGAACGCGGGGTGCTCGGATAGCAAGTAGATACGCGACGTTGTGGCGTGGTGTATTGTGGTGGTGGTCGTTGTTGGCGGTGGGGTAGAGAAAACAAAGGTCTCGGCTACGGAGCGGCCGCTGCGTCGCCGCATCTCCATCTCGAGCACGAGACCTCCGTCGTCGCTGCCGGTTGCGGATCGGTGGCCCGCCTTGTTCGTGAGCCCGATCAATACGCCCTCCCGCCCTTCCGAAAGCCCCCATTCGGGCTCTTGGAGGCTGCGGTCGCGCGCGCGACGCCGCAATATGGCTTGGTTGAGGTTGCTGACGCGCAGGATGGCGGTGGCGAGGTGGGTGAGGGTAGTTAGGGGGTGGGGCTCGTATTCATTGTGGTACGCAGGAGAAGGGCGGGGTAGGGAGAGGGGTATGTCTGTGTGGTACACGCCGACGAGAGAGACGGCGGGGGTGGTGATGAGGCTGGAGAGGAATAGGGCTAGGTTGGAGGAGATGGAGGGGCTGGAGGCGAGGGGATTGATGGCTTCGAAGACGACGAGCACCTTCTGTCCGGGTCCAGCGGTGGTGGTGGTGGTGGTGGGAGGATAGTGCGAGGTTATCTCCGCACGCAGCGCCTCGGCTGATTTGCCCCACGCTTTGATGAAGACGTCTGCGTCCAGGGGCTTTTTGAGCGTGCTGGAGGATATGTAGAGGACTTTGCTTTTATGGGCCTGTGTGGTGGTTAGTATAGATAGGTACAAACAAATAGTTCTCAATGCAAATATTCATGGATCTCTCTCTCGCAAATGCACGAACCTTGGCTCGGCCTAGAAACTCATGGATTATTGGCCTGGCGCTCTGCTCGAGGGTGTCGAGGACCAGGGTTAAGGGGCTCGCGCTGTCCCGTAGATTGAGCAATTTCTGCAGGAGCAGCAGCGCATGCGATCTTGCATGCGACTTGGCCGATGACGGCATCTTGGAGTTGTGTTTGAAGGTAAATAGTTTTTCCTTTTATTTTCTTTTCAATGCCCTTATTGGATATGTACTAACCTGCCTGGTAAGTACGTTTCTGGGGTAATATGAACGAAGGTTGTCCAAGGGCTAGATCAAATAATGGTTGATTTGAAGTTTGGTAGTTAGGTAGTTAGGTATGTTGACTTGACTCGGCCAAAACCCTGCGATAAATAGGATGCGGTAAGGTTACCGCTAAGTACTAGCCTTGAGCCCTGGAAAATCGCCCTGGAGAGCAAGGATTTCCCCGCAGCAGCCCTAATTGAGGAGCTTAATAGGCGGCTCCACTAAGATCGGCTAGGGGCAGATCTACCAAACAAACGCAAAATATCCATCACTCCTTATTAATCACCCTCCCCCTCCCCCCCCCCCTTTTTAAACCTACATATGTAGATCCATGCGTACGAGATAATTTCATCTTCTGTTGCCCAAAGTGTTTACGTAAGACCCCTCGGACTTTTGGTATACTAGCACATGACCTTGTTTACATCACAAACCGATACAACGATCAGTTTGAGTTTATGAAACTAATGTGAAAGGGTCAAGCATCATCAAAGCTGACAACCGTCTGTTGCTTCTACCGTTATAAGGCATACAAGTACTTGTCATGACTTCTCCTCGCAAAATTCACGAGCCCTTCATCCCTACTAGGTAGTATGTGGCATTGGCTCAATATTTTCACGGTCCCTGTATCCGGGACAATGGCCCTGTGCGGTAGCAACAGGAGGACCAAGGCCAGGTGTATAAATAAATGCCAGAAACCCATATTCAAACCTGCCCGTTTGCCTCCTTATCTTTCTACACTCAGTCCAGTCACCAATTCTTGCTTCTTTTCCAATTTTCTCTCACAGGTGCCATGACTAGATCCGCCGTATTAGCCCTGTTGGGCAGCCTTATCCTCGAACTTGGGGCTGCCCTTCCCACTGATCATATGGAGCAAACTCTCCACTTTGCCCGCCAAGCTGGCCTCGCTATTACGGAGAACTTCCACCCATTGACGAGAGTTCAGCGGAGCCATCGCCTGACGGGTGGTCCTGACGATTACCCGATCAGTTCAGGGGGTGTTGCTAACCTTAGAGCGGTAGCCCAGCAGATGCAATATGTCACGCAAGTAGGAATCGAAGAAGAGCGTTATTATATGGTCGTAGATACCGGTGGTGCTGATACATGGATTGTCTCGGAGGAGTTCCAGTGTGTGGATCCCAACTCTGGTCAGGAGATTGCTCAGGAACGGTGTATGTTCGGTCCTTTATATAATAGAGACTTCCCCGACGGAGAGATCTGTCAGAATTTGAACTCAACATATAACGACGGAGAATATATAAATGGGCCGATGGGATTCGCAGAGTACGTACTTCCCCGTCGTTTGATTTTTATCACCTCAAATTAACTGGCTTTAAGCATTACCATCACCGACGTCACTATTCCGAAGCAGCAATTTTCGATCGTAAACCTGGCTGCCTGGAATGGTGATGGGGTGTCGAGTGGCCTCCTTGGGCTCGGCTTTCGAGCAGCAACCACCGCCTATACGGGGGAAAACCCCCGAAATGACAGTGCCGACAACTTGGTACATTACTCCCCTATTATGGAAACTTTGCGCACCAGCAAGGTGGCAGATCCAATATTTAGTATCGCCATGTCTCGCGAGGAGAGCCGATCATTCATTGCTTTCGGCGGTGTGCCACCGGTCAGGACGGGAGAATATACAACTGTGCCGATCCTAATGGTATGGATTTCCATTGAATTCTGCGTTTGCTTTAAACAGTAGCTCACAGAAAAAAAACAGGAAACGTCACCCAGGACTGGTATAACGGCCTATTACGTCTACTCTATCGAAGTTGACGCGATCTCCTGGAACAGTGGCACAATCTACCACACGGAGACTAATCTACCGCACATGTTCGTCGAGTCAGGCACAGCAGTTAATGTATTCCCAGTCAACGTGGCAGCAGGCATCAACATGGCCTACCAGCCCAGTGGACAGCTTCAAGATAATATATGGTACGTGCCCTGCGATGCTATTCCGCCCACCCTCGATATCGTCATCGGCGGAAAGGCCTTCCGTACCACTCCTAGCAGCATGATATTGCCTGAAACCGCGACGGAGGGGTCAAACCTTTGCCTTTCGGGCATACAAGTCGGGGAGCCTAATGGATATCTGCTCGGTATTCCCTTCCTACAAGAGATCCTCGCCGTTTTCGACGTCTCGGAGAAGTTGGAGTTGAGCCTCGCTCAACGTTTTGACTAGAGTTGGTTAGGTACTGTCTAGTAGACTGGTAAAAGACTGATAAGCCAGGATACTCGATAACGTATGGATTATTGTGGTATTTTGTTTGTATGCATACTATGTATTAGTAGCACTCAAAGTTAACTAGTACCTTTGACTTGCTAGTGGAAATAACAACTTGAATTTGAATCAACTTCAATAGTTGTTTAATGGTTTCATATAATGACTCTTGTGAGCTATTTAGAAACCTTAGGTTGGCTGGGTAGGTACTAGATATTTAAGAAAGGGGGCCCCCCTTGTCCAGGTAGCCAGGAAACCAAGTAATATCTACCTAAATCTTATAAATGCATGCTCTTCCCCTGAGAGTAGATTTGGATGACTTATGCTTTATGGAGTGGGTTTGTTCAAATACTTCCTTCCTCGGGAATCGAGATATCCAACGCATTGACCAAAATCTGACTCGATTGGAAGGAACTCAGTGCCTACCTACCTAGTACTTAGGGTAGTTGCTACCCATAATACCTAATACATCATTGATACTATACACATAGTACATATTGCAAGTACATACTGTATAACTTGCAATACCGTATGAATTACCAGATTATGCCAGCACAATTCTGGAATAAATATTTTCGACTGAACTACAAATCACGAGAGTTTCTGACTGATATGTGCCATACAACTTGAGCGTATCACGGTGCCATAGACAGCTTACGTAGAAAATGGATCTGAATAGGCAGAGGATTGAGATCCAGTAGCCTCCATAGTATGAGAGTGAAAAGAACATCCCCTTACTTATATATGTACATGATAGTGTTGGAAAAGATATCATGGTTTCCACGGTAAGTAACTTGCCAGGTGAATGGTGTCGATAGCTACCTAGTATACTGGCAGAAACATCAGATGATATAAGATAGAAACAGCCAATGATATTATAATCTAGGTATTTTGAGAGCATCAACTTTGTCTGGGAAATAATACAAATGTTATCAACTGGCTAGGCTACTCGGTTGTTACCGTGTGTGCGTGACTTAGTGCCTCAATACGAAGGTGATATTCAGGCATCAACTACGACGAGTATCAGGGTCAACGATATCTTGCACGCCAAACCATACTGTGCTCCCACATGAAAATTTATTTCTTCCGTCTAGGATTTAAACTGCTCGAAGTTCTTTGCGTCAACAAAGTTACAACTTGAGTCCACAATCTTGTTGGCTTTTGTTTTTCCCCTACTTGACAAGCAATCTTTTCTACGACCGCACATAAGTCAATCACCTATTCATCTTAATCCTTCCTTTCCTTCTTCACTTCAATTAAAACGTTCGCAATAGGAATTCGCCATGGATTCTCCGGAGGATCTCTGGTTCGAAAATCACTGGCAGATCATACATCTTGAGGATGGTGATATCCAAGTCGTGCCAGTCATGCGTCCGGAAGATGAAGTTGCAAGAATCGAATTCGATTCGATCGTCGAAGATACTCTTACGGCCGTGATTGACAAGGCAGTCCTCTTTGCGATGACTGGAAAGACCTACGTTGATCCCTTCCCCCGTGCCGAAGCTGAGGCTGATCTGCTCATGCAGATGAAAGCACTGAATAGTGAGTTCCGATTTTCCTATTTAGTATCTATTAGCTACTAGTAGGCACGTATGGTGTACTGTTCATGACTAACAACGGATGAAACAGTGAGCGTTGGAGGCCGTGACCCTGTTGCTCACCAGGAGGCTACTCACCAACAGCTTGGAGTTCCCAAGCAGTCATTGACTATCCCCTTCGGTAGCCATTACCCAAGTCAACAACGTCCCGATACTTCTCAGGCTGCTTTCCACAAGCCCGACATGGAAGAACCTGGCCGAACAAATGCTGATGACGAATTGATGGATCTTGGAGTTGACCTGGCAAGCCTTCCTGCTGACGTGGCAATGCTATTCATTGATAACCCTGGTTCGAAGAAGAAATGGCGAAGCATCGTGGGAAGGAGAGGGAGTATCCACTCATCTCGATAAGTGAATAAGGGTTAGGAAAGAGGAAGGTGGAATAGGGTACTACCTAGAGGGAATAGGGTGTTAGGTAGCCCATGAGGCATCATCTTAGGAATGGTACAGAAAGTGGCAAGAAGAATTGGACTTTGACCTTCGTAGATGAATAAATGACCTGATTATCACAAGAAATTGCGCGTTTCAGGGCTGTACTGTCTTAGGATTGTCCCAAGTTTCCATCGTAAATGCCTACATGCTATTACTGCCTACCTACTGGAAGGCAGTAGTGAAAGAGGAGTTCGTACCTAGTATGTATTAGTTACTACGCGTCTCTAGGGAGTTACTGTCTATAAACTAGGTCCTGGGTACCTAAAAGTAGACAGTAATTGGAGGCCGGTTGCAACTGTAGCCCTAAAGGGGACCCCATCTAGTAAGGGCAGTACCAGGCGGCAAGAGGGTACTTTCCCAGGTAACTACCTGACCCTTAGGGGGGTCGAGTGGGTATAGGTGACGTCTGTAGGTCCTTATAGTACCTCTGGGGTACCTCTCCGCCTATGCGTAGTAGGCGCCTATGTCTCGGTACTTGGTAGGTAACTTCTAGGCTACTAGGGGGGCAGCAGTGGATATGGCAGGTTCATTAGTGACTATTAGGACACTACCTACCGCGAGCAGGTACCTCTAGGCGTTAAAGACGTCTTTCACCCGAGTCCTGTCTCCTCATCTCTCTTCCTTCACCTGTCTTCACACACAAACCTCATTTTTCACCCACCATTCCAACCTACTCTGAGCGGGCCTCTACTACTCTCTGAGGCCCGCCCAGATCCTCTAACACCACCTACTCAATCCAAATCACCTTCACTTCACTCCATATGGCTTTCATACTCTTCAGGTTATCCCAATCTATCTTCTTCATCCCTCTCTACCATAGGTCATGACACTGCACACTGCAGACTGAACTAGTCAGTAGAGTGACTATGTACGGTTCTCTCCAGACGAGTCATTGGAAGCCAGGCGAGATTTTCTTACGGACATATGTATGGTAAGGAACTTGCAACTAACAATGCCGACTCACCGGTACTCCAGTCGCCATCGAGGGCCTGGCTGGGTCTTTCTACGTCTAACCATGTATCATCAGGCAGTTCGCTCCAAGTTGTCATTTCCACAGCAGGTACCTATCACTACCTACACCATTAATATCTAGCCCTCTTAACAGCATCCATCTGATGAGTAATCCTCAATGACACGCATATCGTCTATTTTACATTGTCAACTGATAACGCCGCTCGAAGATCTTTGTGAATACTCTCATTCCCATCATGCGAGCATGATGCCTGACGACAAAGACATCAAACGGGATATTCACACTCAAGATTTGGGAATCGCCTATGATCAATTCTGGGATTGAGGACAAGTGCCTCATGTCCCGATTCGCCCTTTCTTGACGGATAACATCTTCTGGCAAGTTTGACCTTTTCTAATGGCAGCTTATTAACGTTTTGTCTCCAACAGACCCCATCCCATTACATGCTGTTGCAGGTGTCTGAGGCCATGGACCTAAGGCACATGGCTCCACTGGGCCTGTCAGCCATATATTGGCACTCCGCCAGTGTAGTCTGGAATAAACCAAGCTTTCTTCCATCTTTCTTCCATCCGTTTGGCTGCAGTTTGCCCTGCAACACATGCCAATCACACACTAACAATACCTAGGCCAGCCTGTATGTTTCAAGGCGAAAGGTAGCCAGACCAGTCAACAATTTCTGCCTTTCGGGAACGAAGAAACAATCAAAGCTATTCAGTAAGTGGATCATCTCGAGCATCTGCTTTTCCCCTTCCCCCCTTTCCCGTTTCCCTTCTTTTTGAGATCCTCATACCCAACCCTCCCTACCAAGGGCAGATCAGAAGCCATTGCTTTAGAGAAGTCTTGAATAACCAGTTACCAGACCAGCTTGATGCTACAGTCCTCCAAGGCCCAATAACTGTGATTGTTCATCAGAAGAACCCACGAGCAACCTGCTATGTGGACATGAATGATATACTACCGAAAATTACCTCGCCTGGATCGAGTGATTACCACATACAAGTTTGATAAAGACTCGGTCCTCGTCGATCAATATTCGGATGTGAACGTCGTAAGTTCAGTGCTGGCCAATGAGATCAAGCTTCGACGACGACCTTTGACTACTTTAGGGTTGAAAGGTGTGATTCTTTTAGATTCCCCAGGCAAGACAAACCCCATTTCAGAATATGTTGTGCTTAATGCAATGGTGGAAGGGATTCCAAGATCCGTCTGGGCTGTTATTCACCCTCACGGTGCACACGATGACGCGGTGCTGTTGTTGCCGCTGCCTTGGCTGTGGGATGTGATGGTCAATTTCAACATACCACTACGACTATGACGAACGCACTCGTCCCATCCCTGGACAATCATGGTCCTTGTCAAACCACATGCCAAACCACGCCAGGCTGCCTTGACCGCACGATTGATTCGGCCCCCATCAAGGGGCTTACACCTTGTGACCTCCTAGGTATATCAAGATTATGGCCTGCCAGAAACACCAAATTCAGATACCTAGGTACAAGGTAGTCAACATCACCCGGGGCGTCATACCCTTGGGCCCTTTTAACCCTTATAGGAACATTAAATACTTTTCTACTAATGGTTTTGTTACTGATGCCTCCGTCGCGATCTTCTTCTTCCCTGCCAACTCAATCAAATCTCAGTCCAACACCACTATGGACGACAACCAACATCCTTTCTTTCGTTGTATCACTCGATCCTTAACCAAGAACAACACACACACAGAGTTTTGAAAGGATCAGGCCAAGGAGAAGGATAGATGGTGATGAGTTCCATCTTAAACAACGTAACGTATCGGTGACTGGACCTGTCTCGTCCACTTCAGCCTCTACTTGGGCGAGCTAGCCGAAGAGGGACATCGCCTTATCAACGTCGAGTCTCGAAGTCATTGTCGATATTTGATAGTCCTCGATTATCTACTGATAATGGCAACTGCAGTGCAGGTTGGTGATTACGGAGTATTGAGACAAGCCATCTCCCAAACCCCAATCCTTTTCTACGGTGGAAAAGCAAGCAACTATGGCCCATGGATGCTATGTTTCGCCATGCTCCTCCACCCGGACTATACGAGTCTCGCAGATTAGGACCTTAGCATATCACCCTCACCTCTGCCAATTCGATGCGCGCGTATACAAAGTCGTCTCCGTTGACCTCACCCAAGATCATATGATGGCTCACGGAGATAACCATAAAACTAGCCCCGAAGCATATCAAGAACAACACCTTTGTCGCGCGGGGATCTCTATCACCTCCCTGGAGACTACGGAGGCTACATATTCATGTAGCTGTCTTTGTTCTAGCTAGGCCTCTAAGTTTCCACAGGACGTTAGAGCTGGCTTCACTTAGATGTCTCTCTTGTCAATATCCGCGGTGTGACAACAAGGGGCAAAGTGATTATCTACCTAAGTAGGTAGCAAACTAATCGAGAAGCGAGAGATCCTACTTCCGAAGCTTGCACCCCATGAAGCTTCATTTGACTTGGTTCGCCCCGAATATATTTCTCCATTATTGCGCTCCTGAACTGATTATCTCATTCGGTTCATGATAGACGCTATCAAGCAACAACGATATCGGAGATCCAAGCCCGATTCTGATAGCGGTAATCCCATACAAACTATGGCCGACGAAGATGCCATCTCATATTTTCTTACTTTCTCGCGGATGCCAACGTATCTTCGACATGGCTGCACTCGTGGGCGTCGAGAACCACGACAAAACACAGGCCCACACGCCATCGTCGATCTTAGCTTATCACCTTATGTTCTCTGAGCACATGAGATCTCCAATGCCACCTCTGCGGGTATATGAACCGCGTCAGTGTGTGGCGCGTGGAGAACTTCAATGCGATGAAGTATCAACACATGGGCCAAGAGTTCGGCAAGTTGACTGACGGAGGAGGGGTTATCCGAAGGCACCAGCTTGGCGCAAGCGTACAGAGAGAGAAGCAGATGTACCAGCATTCCTCGTGAAACTTACGCAGCACTGTGAGCATGCGCCCCTGCATTTACTTGGTTTTTCGTAGGAGGACAATCCACTCTCTCTTCTCCATCTTCTTCCTGTGCGGTTGTGATCAATCACCCTATGAAGGCAGGGGAGGATATGGCCGAAGGCGAGAAGCTTAGAGCCAAGGAATGGACGTGGCCTCTCTAGCCTTCGGTCGTATTCTCGGCCGCGCCATAACAGGGTGATCAAAACCGGGAATGAAAGAAATAAATATTACAGACGAGGTGAGCGAAGGCGAGAGACTCCATGAAGAAGAATGGAACCACGCCCTTGCCGAGGTCAAGGATGACCACAATCGGGCTCCTCAATCTTTTCCCGCGCGTCTTCGAGCTCTCTCTGTTTTGCACGTTGGAGCAGAGCGCGCAAAACTGAGAGAGCTCGAGGACGCGGGTAAGAAGATCGAGGAGCCCCCTCGAATGTCATACTCAAGAGATCATCGACCACAATACGTGTATGTGTAGGTAACCATAGAGTCGCTACACGTCGGCGTTCTCCTTTACATTATCAAGATCTTCGTAGATCAAGGCAGCGAAGAGGATGATGAGTTAGGTGGCTTCGTTCATCGACTTCGGATTTTGGCAGTTGGCTTTTCCTCGAGAGACGGTAGGCTAGGATGATCAATTATGCGAAGTTCAATGCAGCCAAACCCAAGTCGCCCAGTCTTCCGGTCACGATATGTGAACCCCTACCTCTTTCGATTTCTTTCGATGCCGAAAGGCTTCATCTCTGGCCTAACCGACCTCTCTTCTCCCCCCGACCTTTTCTCATCATGACTTTTACTCATATTGCGCTTCAACGTCGAAATAAATGAAGAGGATGAGAATGAGAATGAGAACGAGAACGGCACTAGTGATAGCGTGGAGGAGGATAGGCAAGCTGCCATCCGGGAGGCCTTAAAGACATTATCAACGGATGCACCTAGGTACAAGCTGGTTATGGTTGATTGTAAGGATCAGGTGTGCTCCGCATATAAGATTGTCCTGGGTGACAAGGAGGCTTGGTGGGGAGTCTGTTCGGAACTGTCGCTTCCATTCCCTCCCTCCCTCTACGACGTCTCGCAATACCCCAACCCTCCGTCTTTCGACTTTTTTTTTTCGATCTCTTCCACACCCCTCTTCAAATTCTCGTCGCCGACTTGGTTGGGCCATTCCTAAGCTCTGGTAATGGGAACCGCTATCTGCACTATTTGGTGGACATCTTCGTCATTGTGGCTAGGGATTTCCAGTAAAATATTGTGGCAAGGAGAGCATCACTCATGATCAGAAGCTTCGAGGAATGGATCAACTCAATGTCTAAAGGGACGTGCTATCCGCAGCACCCATTGATTGGTCTTGGCCGTGGATACATCGAATAGCTCGCGCAATAGGAGCGCGGGTAATGGCGAAGTAAACGCGAAGACTCCAGCCAATGGCGGAGAAGACGAAGATCTCTCTGCAGAGAGAGGGGGGGGGGATAACCAAGTGAGCAAATTGTACGACTATTGATGGTATGAAGTGTCTACCCGTGGAGGGCTGTTTTCATGTAGCAAATTGCGAACTAGGAACTGGAAACTGGAATAATTGAGAATAGGTACCTATCTATCTTCTTCATTCTGTTGGTCATGCGGAGAAGACCGCTACATGCTGGATTGGGGGGAAATGGTACACACACAGGTAGTCTCGTTCGTTGTAAGTCCAAACGTCTCAGGGTCAGCTTTCTCATAGTCACAATGTTATCTGGCATAATCTATAATTCAAACTGAAGACAACCTACGATATGTGACGTGAACAATATTATCGAACCTGTCCCTTCTTAACAAGCTCCGAGATTAATATCACTCAACCAGTCTTCGAAATCAAGAGTATGTGATTGATAATGGACTCATGTAGTCTATGCCTTGATAGTGTCGTATTGTCTTGCCCTCCAAATATACATCCTTGGACGATACTAGCAACATCATATACGAAGCTAAACTATCGTCCTGGACTCAACGGACGGTTGAATCCGCCAACACGGTTCATGTACTGGCGATATTCGGTCTTCTTCTCCTTCCTTATCCCGCCCGCATTATTTCCTGGCACACGGGTGTTCTTCGTGGTGCCGAAGCCGCCAAAGCCCATCATGGCCTGCATAGCACTCAGCCCGTCATCCTCCTCCACGACGACTTCCCCATCCTCATCGCCATCCTCATCCATGGGATCTCCTTGGGAGGAATTTGGTGTCGCAGTCCTCTTTCTCCTACTCCTAGACTCTTCATCAGGCGAGCCTCTCGAGTCGAAAACTTTGCTCCCGGCACTGCTCTTGCCTAATCGGCGATGTGCGTCGTCTTCGTCATGCTTCGCGCCAACTTTGAATTGCAGGGATGCGCCATGCTCTGCCTTGGCGCCGCCAGGCCTTGGTCTCGTGGGCAGAGGGGGGTTGTTCTGGGATGGGCGATCGAACCTTGAGGCTGGGCTGCGGGCTGGCGACACGGAGCGTCGAGGGCTTCGTTCTTTGGCGGGGGCTGCTGCTTTATTAGCTTCTATCCTTCCTTCTTGTCTAACTCTGTGACTAGGGATAGATAGTCTCTCCTCACCTTTGGGGGGAACTTGGCTTCTGCTATCTGCATGCCGACCTCTATCCTCGCGCTTGTCTTCTTTGCCGCGACGTGCGTCTTTTCCTCTTTCATCACCGCCCCTAGAATCCTGTGGCCTGTCTCTGGGGCGGTCGCGGTCTCGATCCCGTTCCCGATCTCGATCCCGTTCCCAATCTCGATCTCGGTCTCGGGGCTTGTCTTTGCGGTCACGATGGGGTTCGCGGCGGTCGCCCCTTGGTGAACGCGATCTAGAGCGCCGGGGCTCTCGTTCGCGACGACCTTCTTCTCTAGCTCGATCCCTGTCGCGTCGATCGGGCTCGTCTCGTAATTGTCTGGTATCTCTGTCTCTGTCTCTGTCTCTGTCTCTGTCTCTATCCGTACTTGGGCCCGGGGCTGCACCTGGGCCTGGGCCTGGGCGATGCCGACGTCGACGAGGTTTGTCGGCCATGTTTAATTCGTGTCGCGTAGTTGAATGATGAGACTAGGTACCTAGGTAGGTTAAATTGACGTTGGATGAGCTAAAAGAAAAGAGACACTAACTAGGTACCTAGGTAGGTTAAATTGACGTTGGATGAGCTAAAAGAAAAGAGACACTAACTAGGTACCTAGGTAACTAACTAAGTACATAACTGCACAGTGAAACTACCTAGGTATCCACTAATTTTAGGTACCGTTAGCTAGGTATTAGGCTCTAGGCGGGGCTAGCGTAGGGGCTGCCCTGGAACCAAGGGTGAGGACCCTGACGTCAATGGCCAATCGAAGACATGGGAGCTTAAGCTTCTCCAAATTTCCAAAACTGTGTTCACTTTCACTTTTTTTCTTTTTTGAAGCTTCATAAGTTGTAACTCTACATATGTACCTTTCTATGACTACTGGAAACTAGAATTAGTCGCGTCCCGACTATTATTATTACCTTATCTCTTGCATAACTCATAACCATACACAAGGGAAGGCCCGCTGATTCAATGCTGTTATGGCATTCATGCGCCAATTGACAGCAAGTCTGTCAATACTGTCCACCTTTGTCTTCCCATTCGCTACTTGCCAAGCTCAAGATGAAGCTGTCCTCAACGCTGAAATTGGCCGCTTAAACAACCAGAGCCTCTTATGGGGTCCTTATCGGCCAAACCTCTATTTCGGTGTTCGGCCCAGGATACCTCAGAGCTTGACCACCGGCCTCTTGTGGGCAAAGGTTGACAACTACGTCGATGTCCAGAATAGTAAGTCCTATCGAAGTACCCCTTATCTAATATACATATATACCTACTTATGTAATAGGTGAGGTAAATAAGAAATGAACTTCATTAACTCAATTCCCTTGCCTGTTTCTAGGTTTCCGCTACACTTGTGAGCAAAATGACGGAATGGCCGGTTATGGATGGGATGAGTATGATACTCGGACTGGTGGCATTCAGCATATTCATGATGCTGGGAACAAGATTGATATCACTGCCGAATTCGTCAAAATTCCTGGAGGTGGTCATGGTGGCAGCTGGGCTGCCCGTATCAAAGGCGAGCCTCGGCCTGATGCACCTCCCGCTCTCAAGACAACCGTTCTGTTCTACGTCGCTTCTGAAGCCATTGGTGAAGTAGTTGATGTTGCCAGTACTGGTGATTCGAATGGATTCGATGGGGATGTGGCCTTTGTCGGCAAATCCAAAGCTCTTGGGGACTATAAGCTAGTCGTGACTAAGGGCACCGGTGAACGCCCCAGCAGCGACCATCCTATCTCATCACAAAGAGATCTCGACAAAACGATTGTGCAATCATTCAACATGCCTACTGAACACTTGTGGCAGGCTAAGCAATTACTATTCCAGCAACTTAAACTCGGCGTTGACGAGATCATTAAGGAATATGGAGCTGATAATGCGCCACCTCCTTGGCAAGTTTACCAACTTACAAACAAGCCCGGCCAAGGAAACTTTCACTTTGTTCAAAAGGTTTTCGAGGGACCATTTGAGCTTGACATTCTCTTCTCAAGTGGTTCGGCTAGTGATGATACCACGAGCGAAGATTTGACTCGGGAGATCAAGGCCACTACCGAATCCTTCAACGACCGGTTCACTGACGTCTTTGAACCTCAAGCTCCATTTCACACCGATAAATATCGCAAGTTCGGGCAAAGCATGCTTTCTAACCTCGCCGGAGGTATTGGCTACTTTTACGGACAACATGTCGTGGATCGATCGTATGCCCCTGAATACGACGAGGAGAACGAAGGATTCTGGGAGGAAACTGCCGAGGCCCGCGCCCGCAGACAAGAGAAGCTCGAGGGACCATACGAGCTGTTCTCTAGTATTCCGTCTAGGCCTTTCTTCCCACGTGGATTCCTATGGGATGAGGGTTTCCACCTTCTTCCTATCGCAGACTGGGACATTGATCTTACTCTTGAAATTGTCAAGAGTTGGTACAATCTTATGGATGAAGACGGTTGGATTGCTCGTGAGCAGATTCTTGGCGAAGAAGCCCGAAGCAAGGTGCCGCCGGAATTTCAGGTTCAATACCCACATTACGCCAATCCCCCGACGCTGTACTTGGTACTCGAGGCTTTCACGGAGAGGCTGCAAAAGACAAATGGTAGTCAGCACGTTGGTAAAGAGCAGCTGTCTCAAGGCGTTGTTCTTGAAAGTGCCCACGTTGATAATCCATCTTTGGGTATCGAGTACCTCCGTACCTTGTATCCTCTTCTACGACGACAGTTCTTATGGTTCAAGAAGACGCAATTCGGAGACATCAAGTCGTATGACCGGGAAGCATATTCGACAAAGGAGGCTTACCGCTGGCGCGGACGATCTGTCCAACACATCCTGACGAGCGGCCTGGATGATTACCCTCGTCCCCAGCCTCCTCATCCTGGTGAGCTCCATGTGGATCTTATGTCTTGGATGGGTATGTTGGCTAGGTCTTTGGCGAAGATTGCGGACTTTGTCGGCCTGCCTGAGGACGTCCAAGAATACAACAAAGTGCTTGACGGTATCTCACATAATCTCGTGGATCTTCACTGGTCTGAATCTGAGGGCTGCTTCTGTGATGCCACGATCGATGCCTTCGAGGAGCATACTCTAGTCTGCCATAAGGGCTATGTATCCATATTCCCGTTCTTATTGGGCCTCCTACAGTCTGATGATCCCAAGCTCGAAAAACTCCTTGATCTATTAGGGGACGAAGAGGAGTTGTTCAGCCCCCATGGTATCCGAAGCCTGAGCAAGAAGTCCGAGTTCTACGGTACCGATGAGAATTACTGGAGGAGCCCCGTATGGATCAACATGAACTACCTCGCTATTGTGTCACTCCGAGTAAGTCTCTGCTTTCTTTCTCTCTCCCCTGTACCCCTAGCTATAGATTTGCTAACAGAGAACTACAGAACTATGCCATTCAGTCAGGCCCCTATTCCCACAAGGCCAAGGATCTATACGTGAAGCTGCGCAAGAACATAGTTGAAACCGTATACCAGAGCTGGGAGGAGACAGGCTTCGCCTGGGAGCAGTACAACCCAGAAACCGGCAGCGGCCAGCGAACGCAGCACTTCACCGGCTGGACAAGTTTAGTCGTCAAGATCATGGCGTTGGATGATTTAAGCTGGTGGACTGGCCGCCATGTGCGGGATGAATTGTGATGAGGTAATTTCTCTGGCTGGGTATTTCTAAATACTTAACTTAGGTATCTGGGGCTTTTTTTTTGGGGGGGGGGGGGAGGGTCAGAATAGGTCGGATTGAATGACTTTACGACGTGCTGAAAGATTAAAGAAACAATATAGGCGCCTACTTGATTAATAGTAGGTAGAGGTAGAATACCGAACCAAAACAAACCAAAAACAATGATGAAAATCATGGCTAGGTAGATTTGGAATTGAACCAATAAATGATAAGATGAAAGAAGAAACGGTTTCTGTTTTTTATTTTTTAATCCTTTTAAACTCTTGATGTTGTTATGCTATGCTATGCTACCTACCTATGCATCCAGCGGGTGATATCATGATGAATGAGCCCCCCTAGGTATTTTGGTATCCTTCGCCCCCCTTATCCCATCCTATCCTATCCAGTCCCATCCATGTCTATGTAGGTACCGTTGAAGTATGCCTCATATAGCACTGAGGCATTACCCTAACCACCAGCTATCCGATTCGTACATCTCAGGCTGTAGATAACCACCTGCAGGTATGTATGTATCTACGTAATGCCTTGATCCCATGTCAATATCTATCGTCCTTATCCTCGTATGCCTAAGCCCCTATCACCCACCACTACCGCCACCACTACCGCCACCACCACCGCCACTACCATCACCATCATCATCAAAAACCCCCAACGGGCCCTTGAGCTTCGTAAACATCTCCTCGCGCTCGCCCTCGGGCGTACTCAGCGCCGTGACGGCCCCCCCGGCGCCAATATGCCAGACCTCGAGTTTCTGGCCGTCGACGCCAGCACCCGTAGTAGTGACAGTCTCATCGTCCCAGCGAAACAGACTCCGGATCGTGACGCTCCAGTCGCCGCGCCCGGCCGCATCGACGTACCCGACGACGCCGGAGTATAGGCTACGCTGGCGGGCGTGCGTGCCCTCGATCCCGAGCAAGAGCTCGCAGCTGCGCTTCTTGGGGGCGCCGGTCATGCTTCCGGGGGGCAGGGTGGCGGCTAGGATGTCGAAGCCTGTTACTTCTGGGCTTTCCCTATCTATCATGTTTTCTGGATGTTTGCGGGGTAGCCGGCCCTCAACGACGCTGATCATCTGGAACACGCTCGCGTACTCCTCGACGATGTTCAGCTTGGGTACGTGGACGCGCCCGGGCCCGCAGACGCCGTGGAGATCGTGGCGGACGAGGTCGACGATCATCAGGTTCTCGGCTTCTTCCTTGGGGACGTGGAGGATGGCTTCGGCGTCGGTGAGTGTGGCGACCGCGGCGGACTTGCGCACCGTCCCCTTCATTGGCCGCATCGAGCAGAACAATCCCCCTTCCTCCGCCGTGGTTGTGTCGAACCCGAACTCGAGGAACCGCTCCGGCGAGCTGCTGAGGAGCGTAGCACCACCGAGGCGCAAGTATGAGCCAAAAGGGGCGGGCTGGCGCGAGCGCAGGCTACGGTATAGTTGCCAGGAAGTCAGGGGCGGCTTACCTAGTTCTAAGGGCGCGAGGCACGGTGTATTAGCGGGGCTTTGGGGGCGGATGATATGGGTTTGGTCTGTGAGGCAGAGCTCGTACGAGTCGCCGGCCGCGATGTAGTCTTGGCATGTACGGACTTTGGCCTCGTACTCGGCGGCATCCGGAACCTGAATCTGTGTCCGGGCCGAGCTGGATTTGGGCGTAGATGGAGGCGTTAACTGGCTTAGCTGTGCGCGCTTGTTGAAGTTGGCGCGTAGCCCGTCGGACCAGATTGCTGATGCGGAAAGTTGAGACGCTATGGAACTTGTCCAGGCTTTTGCCTCGGGCTCTGATGGCGATAGGGTTTGGATGCGGAGAATGCCTTTCGTGTGATCTATCACGATGCTTTTGGTTACCCAGGCGAAACAGAGGTCTGGTCTGTCGTGTCCTTTCTCCTTAGTGAATTTGACATCAATGCCTTCGAGGCCGAGCTCGTACGTCGTATAGCCCATGAAGCCGCCGATAAAAGGGGCGGAGTGCTCATCTGCTGCCATCTTGCGCTGAGACCAGAAGTCGGCTACTACCTGCCACACGGTCTGACCTGGAGCGAGAGGGATCTTCTCGACAACTTCTCGTGGAGAAAACCGCCCCTGAGAACAGCGGGCAGTTACATATCCGTCTCCTGTTCTATATTCTAATTTCAGCGCCTCATCCACATCTAAAGCGATGATGCTATATCGCCCCCGCACGTCAGCGCCGATTCTATTCGCTTTTGCACTCGCGGAGTCCAGAATGATGAAATCCTTTTTGTCACCCTGTAGTATCTCGACAATGTCGGGGGTTTCGATGTGAATCGGTAGACTTATAGTATTTGAATAGTAAGCAGTATCGATCCCAAAAGATGCCAATTCACTGTCAGTGGTACTCCATGCATGGCGATCTTTCGAGTTGCCATTCGATGGAGTCGTAGCCTCCAGAGCCTTATGTGCGCAGGAGTGTGGTAATGCTGTGATAGCATCGAGCGAAACAGATTCAGGGTTTGTTATACGACCGTTCGTAGAATTCCATCGGATGGCTTCTTCAAACCAGTTTTTAATAACCTGGTGGCCTGTTGAGTCCGTGCAGATGGATTCCGGGTGGTATTGTAGCCCCCAGAACGGCCTCGTCCTGTGCTTTACTCCCATGAGAATCCGATCAATATGATCGCCACGGTCTTCGTATACCCAAGCCAGGGGGGCGAGATCTGGCAGATGAGAGGGCGAAGTCCATTTTGACGTGGCCCAGTTAACTGCAGTTATAGTCTCCTGACCTATATCCGCATGCAGACTGTGGTAGAGCGTAGCTTTAAATGGCAGGACGCCGTTAAAGATATTCCCGTCCTGTAAACTGGGCTGGTGCATTTCATGATCGATATCTCGAATCATGCCGTGTAAGCCCGTCGTGAGCTTTTTCACAATCCCACCACAGCTGACCACCAGACTTTGGAAGCCTAGACATATTCCGAGCACGGGCACCAAGTGTGCCGTTTCAAGCTCCCATATATACTTCATGAGCCCGACATCCTGGGGCGAATCCGGGGATCCGGGACCGGGACCACAGACCACGGCATCGTAATGACGCAGGAGGCTGGTCCACTTTTCGGCAAACCCTGACTTTTTGGGATTGAGCTCGGGCGGATCAATAGGTAGGATTTCAACTTGAGCATCCAAAGTCGTTTCCAGAAGAGAGACTATGTTGTTGCTGAAAGAATCATATGCGTCGATGAAGAGGATTCTGGGGGGACTCATATTGACGTCTGCGACAAAGTGCCAACACTGAGTTGATGGTACATGATGAGTCCCTGAATTCTTTTTCTTCGTCTGCTAAGTCTTAATGTGTAAGTTTAATAGACACCTTTTCTTAGGTAGGCAGACATCTTACATTTGGTGTATAGCGGTATTTATCTCATTCGTCAAAGGAAGGATAAGCCTGATTTGAAAAGTTTTTTTTTTGCTCACAAAAGGGAGAGAGATGTGAGGTGATAGAGAGTCCTAAAAAGGGCATATTTTAGGTGCTGCTAGTGCATTTGGGACCGGAGTAGTTATGTAGGACCATTGTAGGTGTCTAACAAATAACGCTTATGTGCTTAAAAATAGGGGCAAGGAGCACGGACATGGACCGAAAGTAACCGGCGTGAACCGGGTTTGCCGTTGTAAATACTACTAGTGGTACATCCTAGATATATACAAATATATAACATGGAATTCATTTTCGATACATGTTATTTGCCGTTCAAACACTCAATGGATTGCAGTTCGAATTTGGTCCGTCTAGATGATGGTTGAGTTTATAACAGTTAGCAATCCAAGTGAATCGTCATATGAATACATGTTTCGGATTGCGCACGATGATAATGCTGCTATCTTGAAAAATGCATGTCTGCTCTTGTATTCCGATTATCTATACACCAGGTACCAGTAAGTGATGCCTTGAAGAAGTAGATAATCTCTACTACATATATGCATGTATGATTGATGTCTCCTTCATTCGTTACCCCAGTCTAAACCATACCGCGCGTCTGAGACCTTGTACTCCCGCAGTGCCTTGAGTGCACTCTCGGCATCTGGGGCTGTGACGAGGATGTTAGCGTTGCCCTCTTTTACGAAACCTTCATCGACGGATGTCTTGATCCACTGCGTCAAGCCGTCGTAGAACCCGTTGATGTTCAACAGGCAAACACCTTTGTCATGGATTCCTAGCTGGTTCCATGTGGCTGTCTCGAGCAGCTCTTCCATCGTGCCGTAGCCACCCGGGAGTGCGATGAAACCGCTCCCAGGCCCACCTTGGATAACTTCGCGCACCATCTGTTGTTTTCGCGTATGCATGTCTTTGACAACTGTCGTGCGGCCGTACACTTGCTCCTCGGGGACATGGTAGCCGTTTTCGTCCTTGGCTACGGTGTATGTTGCGTCGCGTTCCCATTTGACCAGCGCCTCGGGTATGATACCGTGAACAGCATCAGGGCCTGATATTGACACTATAGTCTTAGCCACCTCTCCCATCAACCCTACGGTGCCGCCTCCGTATACTAGATGTAAAAGATTAGTTAGATATAGGCGGGTGTATGTGTTATGTATTTGGATGTGTATATGTTCAAGGGGCCGGGAGTTGACTTAGTTGGATTGAGCTGAATAGATAATAAATACATATTATCTATACCATATGCAGTAACGTACCTAGGTCGATATTGTTTTCCGCCATAAGCTTCCCCAATTCGTGGGCTGCTTGCATATATGTCGGGTTGGTACCCGGCGAAGAGCCGCAGTAGACGCAGATCTTGGCTCGAGGAGTCGTCGAATTGGAGTTCGGGACGGATGCCATTGTGTGATCCTTGAGTGGTAAATTTGAAATGAAAGAAAAAGTGCTTCAAGATACCGAATCTAATCTACCTACTAAGTAGGTAGGTAGCTAACTAGGCAGGTAAGGAATGTGATGTTATTCGGGGTTTGAAGTATGTAGCTAGCTAGCTAGTTACTTAGTAGTCGTACCTAGTAGTCGTGCCTAGTGGTCGGTGAAAAAGCCACAGTTGGGCATAAAGCAAAATGGACAGGCGACCAAGTCTAAGAATCTAGAAGCAACAGGGGGGACTAGATTAGAGGAAGCGAGAAGTTAAATAATTATTAGCTCCGGAGGACGGAGGACGGTGGAAGGAATGTGAATGTATTGAGTCAAGGAAAAAAATTCCAGACATTCAGAACTTCGAAAACAGAAGTGAGTAAGAAGTGAGACTTGGTATGTGAATATGTGGCGGGAAGCAGCATTAGCAGTCTAAGTCAGGTCAACAGTATTGAATGGACATTATCCATTCAATACTATGTACACTGTACAGTTATAGGCAGGTATGTAGGTACCTAAGGTAGAAACCAAAACTTGCCAATGACGTCGCTTACCCGAGAATTTCATGACATTGCCATGCTGTATTATACGCCGTATGTACATACAGCTGTCGAGTCTACATGCTAGGTGTATGTACATAGTTAGATATCAGGCAGATCTGCATAGGTCTGCAACTTAGCGGGACCAATTGTAGAACAAGGCCGTTGTTGAGAAAAATGTCTTGGGTATTCGTAACACTTTAAAGCATCGTCTTGAGTCATTGTAGCAAATGTAGCAAATGTAGCAAATGTAGCTGACAATTTAATTGATGCAAGTTGTAAGTTGCAACATTCAATGTTGATCAATGATGAAGGTACAGTACCGTTGACCTACCCAACCTTAGGTAATGCACACATCTCCAGCTATGATTCGCCAATCTTCCCGCCCTCGGAGGGACCTTATGTAAAAGCCAACAGAAAGCTGCATGTGGCTAGAACTCAAAGGACCGGGGTTTCGGTAACTATCTCCCAGAGGCTCCCACGCTACTAACCACATGCATGTAACTACTAGGTATTGTAGTATTGTATGCTTTTAGTCGTAGGTACCCTGAAATCTGAATTGTCAATTCACCAGCTAGGCACTTACCTAACCTAGTACTTACATGTACCTAACATACATACGTATACCGTACAACAATGTCGTAAAAATCTCTGTTGCCGCAATCATCGCAACAACATCCCAAAACTCTGGTCTAATCAAGATCAAGACCAATCTCCCTTTTGACAGAACCCTCATAGTATATTACTTTGAGTCAGTATTACGGGATTGTCTGGCATTATTGTCACCTAGAGATGCCTGAAGCGGATGTTGCCCCCGCGGGGGATGCTCGTGAAGAGCAAGGTGGACTTGTAAGTCAACACGTCGCAATCCTAATCACGGTCCAAATATCACAAATTCCCATGAAAACTGATCACTGGCTGACGTTGTTTCATTTCGGCGAGTACAGCAAGCGACAATCTACAAGATCGTTCAGGGCGTTGTCATATGGTATGGTATGCAGTTCTTGATGAAACAACTTACTGGTGGTAATAAGCCGCAAGCTGCTACCAGTAGAGACCCTTCAGGGGCCGTTGTACAAGTTCCCGCCAACACCGCCGATATTCCTGCCTACCAGCTTCGCCCACAAACTCTCAACGAGGGTGCTGTCTGGAACCCCATCCCCCAGCGACTGGCCCCCATCTGGCCCTCTGACAGCTCCCTCGATATCGTTGTTACACTATCGCCCACCTTCGTCCCCACCAAGATCTCTACCGTCTCGGAGGAGTATGTAGCACTCAATGAAAAAGGCTTCAAGCTTAGCAACTCGAGCGAGAACCGCGTTGTCGAGACTGTATTTCGCGTGCCGGGTTCTGTTCAGAAGAATGGGACACTCTGGGGACACTTCTACATTGGACTTTCGGGTGCCAATCTGGACCCTAAGGAGCCAGGCTTTGACCCGGCCACGGCTTTCCACTTCGCATATCCTCTAACGCAATATATCCCAAAGAAGAAGGAATCAAAAACTCGCAATCTGTTGGAGGATAAGGTTGAAGTGGAAGAGGTAGAGCCCGAAGTCCCGAGTACAGGACCGATCATCGCAAACTATTATCATCCCAATACTAGTTTGTCTTTCGTCCCTGATACCGGTATCTTCAACTTCCCTCAAACTCACCCGGCCGTTCGACAGTTCATTCACGTAGAGGTAAGACCCAATTCTATCGTTTACACTGCATAATAGATGGCCACGTGCTAATGCAATGTAGTCCACTGGTGCTCGCGATGGTTCTGGTCAGAACTCTTGGTACTGTATGATTAATAGCTCTTTTCAACCCCTTTTCGCCTTGCGTGTACACATAGACTAACCAGCCATTTGCTCTAGACCCGGTCTTGTTTATCAACACGTTTTGGCAAATGAAGAGTCACATGATGCTTCTTAATGAAACGGTTGAGACTCTCCCGCTGCGCCTTGATCTAGGCAACATGAAAAACTGGAAGTTCAACATCATTTCTTCGGTTGATTTCAACTCCAAGCAACAAGCAATTCAAGCCGCCTACGGCGGTCCCATCGCAGGCGGGGGTGATGGTAGTGAGATGGAAATCATCAAGGAAATGTTCTTAGACACGAACCCTTACCTTCTGGGTGTGACATTCGTGGTGAGTATTGCGCATCTTTTGCTGGAAATGCTGGCCTTTGGTTCCGATATTGCCCATTATCGCAAGAAGAAGGACAATGTTGGTATTTCAGTGCGCTCGATCCTGGCCAGCGTTTTCATGCAAGCGGTTATCCTCCTTTACCTCATCGACAACTCTCAAAACACGAGTTGGATGATTCTTGGCTCCCAGGGCGTTGGTATCCTTATCGAGTTTTGGAAGATTACCACGATCGTCAACGTCAGAGTGCGACCGGCTCCACCCGGGTCTCTCATTCCGTATCGAATTGCGTTTGAAGACAAGTACAAGCTCAGCGAGACGGAGGAAAAGACCAAGGAATATGATGAGATCGCATTCAAGTACATGTACATGGCGGGTGTCCCTCTCATTATTGGCTATGCCATTTGGTCTTTGGTTTATGAGTCACACAAGTCGTGGTACTCGTACATTCTCGCGACTCTGGTTGGTTCGGTATACGCGTATGGGTTCCTGATGATGGTGCCTTCGCTTTATATCAACTACCGTCTCAAGAGCGTTGCTCACATGCCAGGAAAAGCCATGGTGTACAAGTTCTTGAATACGTTCATCGACGACCTTTTCGCCTTCACCATCAAGATGCCGTTCTTGTATCGAATGGCTACGTTCCGAGACGACATCATCTTTTTCATTTACCTGTATCAGCGTTGGGCGTACAGAATTGACTACACCCGAGTCAACGAGTATGGTCAAGGCGGTGATGATGAGACGGAAGAAATCAAGACAGAAGACTCCAAGTCGATACCGAAGGTTGATGCTACTACGACAAAGAAGATTGGCGGTGCTGCAAAGTCCAGTGGCGCCGACACGGGGGCGGCAAAGAAGAGGAAGTAGTACGAAGACTTAGGTATATAGTAGATGAGCATGATGGGTTCCTGCCTACTTGTATAGCTGGTAGGTATTATAGGTATCTGCCTAGTCAGACTCTAGATATATAGACTCTAAGGTAATCAGTAGTTGAGTTAGGTATAATAATACGAGGTTGCTTGAGCAGCCCTGACGTTCAGTCCCATGGGAGATTTATATAACCTAGTCTGTCCCCTATCTGATCTGGACCCCAAGGAGGTGTCCTATTGGCAGAAACTACTAAAATTGTAATGTCGCCAGTCATTGGATAATTTACTGTTTAACTAATTACTACCTAAGTAGTTACATGTATGTACAATTTGTACAACAAACCTTCAGCTGAGGATCCCCTTTAAATATTGTGGTCTTGGCAGAGGGATATTGTCTTCCACTTCAAATTCAAAGTTGGAATAATTTATTTGCGACATTCATTGTTAGTAATCCACTTCAACTTTATATTACGTACTCAATATTTAAACTAGTAACCACCTAGGTTAGCTGCTACGTTAGTATCCACGATAGTATCCATGATATCATGCAAATTGATGCAATATCATGCAAATACTAACATCAAAGATTGAATATCATGCATGAGCTAAGCTAAACTGAGCTTAACTAGTTATATTTATTTAAATGTACATAGTAGCTTCTTTTGACAACGGGGTGTTGTACCTAGGTATCTTATCGGATGCCACAAAACATACCTAGTACATTGTCCCCTGTCAACTTTGATAATCGGTACATATGACACTTGCGCCGATATTGCAACGCATTTAACATTCTATTCATAGAACATTTTTATACCAGGTAGATGTCCAGTAACTGACCTAACCTAGACCCTTACGAGAACTTAACGTGAAGACCAAAAAAAGGGGGAGGGATGATAGAACGTTAAACTACTTTTTAAGGGTTCATATCCATCCTCTCTTTTTCCATTCTCTTATCAGAGGACGGACGACATAGAATTTACGGGTATATCTAACCTAGCGCTTCGTACATACAGTACCTTTCTGTATTACAGGTGGCATCACAGCAGCAGCAGCTTTCACGGACCTAAGGTAGTCCCCGCCTATCTCAGGGGGAGGGACAAGAATCAGAATAAGAAGGAAAAGAAAAGAAAAACTGGAAGGGAAAAGAAGAAGAGGCAAAAGGAGATGAGCCACGAGACCGTTGGCTCGCTCCTGGCCGTCATCGCGAATTCACTCAACGATGGCCTGCGCATCCTGATGTTCGCCGACAAGCGGACATGGGGGCCCGACGAGTTCGAGCAACTGCGCTTGCTAGAGGAAGCCCTTGACGAGGCCAAGAAGGACTTTCAAGAGCTACCTGATCTTGTCAACGGCCGAACTTACTATGAGAATGATCGTATCAGTATGTCCTTACCTTTTTTCCCTTTCCCTACACACTACCATCATAAGAAGTACGGAATGAATGAATGGAAACGCATACCCTTGGAAAGAGAGAGGTTGACCTAATAAGCCTAATCATTTTCTTTGCGAACCGAACAGACGAGTCCCTCGAAGACCTCCGGATCCTCTGCACCCGCTTCGAGCTGCACGCCCAGACCTTCAAGGACTGGGTGCGCGGCGGCGGCGGGCCCATCGACCCTGCCTGGGCGCACGAGACGACCGAGCTGCGCCGCGAACTGCACCGCGCCCAGTGCCGCGCCGCCCGCCGCATCCACAGCGCCCAGCAGATCGACGCCGCCGTCACGGCCACCGGCGCGCGCTGCCTTGGCGCCCTGCAGGTGTACCGCGTGCAGCGGCAGCGCCACGCCGCGATCGAGGACGAGAGATTGGCGTGTGCGCAGACGGGAAGGTTCGAGCGGTTCGACGACAACAGCATCGCCTTCGTCTGCGATTTCTGCGACGGCTTCCTCGTCTGGGAGGACCTGCGCGCCATGCCGACCACGCGAGCCGTGCAGCAGCGCCCCGCACCACCACCTTCACCGTCACCATCACGACAACCACCAACCCCATTCTCCTCCTCCTCATCCTCCAACACCACCACCACCACCAGCCCTCCCACACCACGAACCCCCTCCACCGCCTCGACACCAAACATACCCCGCGACACGAACAACTACAACATGGACGACGCCACCGTCCCCGTAAACCCGAACTGGCAAGCCCGCGGCATATCCCTGACGAGCGCCGCCGCCGCCGAAGCCAAGACCGTCGTCTTCGCGCCCGTCGCCATCGCGAACCACGCCGCCCCCGCCCCCGGCGACTGGCGCGCCCGCATCGTCTGCCCCTACTGCGACGAGGACGCGTACTACGAGGTCCAGGGCGAGGACGACATGGAGCGCGTGCGGTACGTGCCGCTGCACGACGACGACGCCGCCGTCACGGGGTTCGAGAGCGTCGCGGATTTCCAGGAGCACTTGGAGTGGAGCCATGCGCCGTCGATTGTGTCGGGGGCGGGCGGGTGCGCGCTTATGTGATGGGATGCGGTGTGGCCTGGTGTTTAAAGATTGGGATTGGGGATAAGTAAGGAGGAGGAGAGGTAGGGAAGGGAGGATAAAGAAATGTGAAGGGGAGGTTTTTGGTTTCGAGGAATCAGGGTTCCGGGAACTCTTACATACATCATGCAAATTTTGTGGCCATGGCGTTCCAAAGGTTTTAGAAGGGAAGAAGGGTAGGGGATAAGGGATGGGAGGTTGAAGACTTGCTTTTCGACTTCGATTTTTTTGTCCTTGACCTTGATTTTGGGTTTTTGGTTGGTTGCTTTGTTTTGCTTGATTTGAAACTCATTCATTGGGATGGAGCGTAATGCCACATGGAACGGATGGATGGATGGATGGATGGATGGATAGATATATTGAAGATTTCAAAGCCATCGGTCAGGAGATGAAAAAAAAAGAAGCAAAGAGAGCGAGCATAGGAGTTTATGGCGTGTGTGCTCTGTCTTGTCATAGAAGAAGAGGAAGATGAAATAGAAGATGATCGACTACTAATAAGCCCCCCTTTTTATTTGTAAAGGGAGTTTAAGTAATACCAGTCAGTCAATACGAACGTAGGTAGGTGCCTAAGAAGCAGATAACAACAACATTGAACACAGCCACGATGTAAGTATTACTAAGAGCGGAGTGAGGTCGATCTTTGGGTTATGTAGGTAGATAGGCTATCTAGATATGTAGTGTGTAAAGTAAGGTAAGGGGGGCCGACTACTGTTATCGTGAGGCTCAGGCTCGTATCTGTATTTGAGTGTTTGATGTTCATGTTTTATTAAATCACACTACACCATACTCCCGAGTCCCGTTTGCGATCTGCCTACCTACCTACACAGGTAGAAATACTTTTCTGCGTTCTGCCGCTGATACCTATTAAGTGGTAGGTATATAGATAGTCGGTATGTACATCTTAATTAATCTCTTTCTCCCTCCTCCTCCTTCTCTCACATGGCCAAGCAAAACCTGCTTCTTCTTCTTCTTCTTCTTCATATGTAAAGGGGTCGCGGCATAGGGATACAGGTAGATAGGTAGATAGGTATGTAGGTACCCAAGGCACCTAACCTAGGTAGGTATTAATCAAAAGAACCGGAACCAGATAAATAGCAAGACGATCAGGACAAAGACGCCGATGGGGGCGTACTGCTTGATGAGCAGGTCCCAGTTGATCTTGACGGCAGCCTTGCGATACTTGCGGCTGTCGTCGCGGAGGCGGGAGCTCATCTCGCCCATGCGCTCGAGGCTGTCGCCGCGGTAGAGGAGGTCCTCGATGTTTTTTGTCATGACCTTGGTGACGTCGCGCAGCTCGTCGTTGAGGCGGTCGAGGTTCTGGGTGGCGCGGGCGTCGGCGTACAGGGCCTTGGTGCGCGTAATAAAGGTGTCGAACTCCATGAAGGCGTACGGCCGCAGCGTCGGCGAGTGCAGCTGCTGCGGGGGATGCGACTGCGCGAACTCGGCCGAGAGGTCCGACAGGTACGTGAACGCTAGCTTGCGGGGGTACGAGCGCTCGCAGATGCAGATGTAGACTATGTCGTTTGCGATCGTGTAGCTGTTTGATGGGGCCTGGTTAGCGAGCTAGATTTCTATATATACCTAGGTAGGTATCTAGGCAGGTAGGTGGGTATAGGGATGGCGCATACTGTATCGTGTAGTTCCCGCTCTCGATGCTGGCTTGTTGTTCGGCATTGCGGTTTAGTCTTCGTAGTACGAGTTTGATTTGTGACTTTACTTCGGCGAGGGAGGACTCTGTCTACCGGGTGGTGAATTGGTCAGTATGGGAGGGTCGAGGGGATGTCTGGTATGGTGGATTAAGCGGCAACATACTTGTTCGTCGTCGACAGATGCGCATAGCATCAAGCCTAGGTATTATCAGCCCTGGATTCCAAACTCAGGTATCAGGTATACTACGCACCATCGCCCAACCTGGCTATCTGTGTCGATCTAATCATCTTTTCGATTCAATATTTTCCTTTCCAATTATTCCGACTATACTGTATCAAGTTGGTAGGTGCTGTCGCACGCTATGTATGTAGCACATAGATCGAGGTCGCGATAGTATCTACTATGTAGTAGTGTACGTGTCTACAAGGCATGTACTTGTTTGTACCAACCCTTGAAGCTCGTGGATATTATCGTACATATAAATACTATTAAGCAGCTAGGTAGGTAGGTAGGTAAGGTTGTCGAATGAACTATGCCGGCCTCGCTGGATTATTTATTTCGGTATTCGAATTCAGTGTAATCAATGGTAAGTGGTTATTGGAGGAATGATGTTATATTGTCCCGGTTGTTACTCTTGTAATTACTTGTAATTACTTGTTTAATGGTTCAATGTTGTCCGTTGTCGAGTTGAAAGAACATTGAATGTATTAGATTATGTATCTACTATGTAGTAATGCAGTAATGCAACGTCAGGGAATTAGTGTAGGTAGTAGGTACACAAGCACATGCTTGTAGCAAGGATTAGGTAAAACTAGATGATCTGTCCAATGAAGATTAAGTTAACGAAGCTCTAGTAGAAGTACAGCATTGAAGTACCTCCCACAATCCACCTATCGGCTAATTCCGACATGTCGATATTTCCCCTTTAGGGCACTGTACAGTAACTACTAGGTACTTAGGTACTATATTTGATGCCTCTTCACTTACACACCACTCACCACACACCACACACCACACACCTGCCTCTACCGCAGCCTTGACTTGACCTCTATAATGCTGTATATAACATACACATACATTGCCTTGAAGCTTATATCAAAGAAAACAAACACTTTCCAAGACAAGACAAGTAATTAACTGGTAGCAGCTTGAAACATCCCAGGTTGTCATCTTATCTAATGACACTTCCTTTATCAATCCCCTCCTTAAGTTCACCGTTGCTCGATCCTCAACGTGCTCATGTCACGATGAGCTAGGTCAACCGAATGTACTGTATAAGATACTACCATTCGGTGTCCAGTGGGTAGTCGATTCAGTCAATTCAGTCAATTCAGTCGATTCAGTCGATTCCTCGTCTCACATACATCTCGTAAGTTCCCTGTATTTACAAACACAAATGTTGCTCTTCTTCTTCTTCTTCTCCTCCTCCTACTCCTCCTCCTCCTCCTCCTCTCTTTCTACCTACACCTTCACTTCCATTCCCACCCTCACTTTTCACTTCCCGCTTCGCCAGCACCAATCATGGCTCCACGAAAGCGCAAGCTCACTGCTGAGGCTTCAACGAAGCCCGGCAAGGCCAAGAAACCGAAAGTTCACCTTTCCAAGAAGAATGCTGACCCTCATAAGTCTTCCTCTTCTCAAGCCTTAGCTAACCGTGGCAAAAAGTCCGCGAAAGCTACAGACGCCAAGGGCAAGGACAAGGACTACGATCCTTATGAAATGAGCTCTGATCACACTGATAAAGACGACGTCGTCAAAATAATCATGGAGAAGTGGAAATCCCGTACCCGTCGTGCTCCGGTTGTCAAGAATGAGGAAGACGTCAAGATGGAAGATGCGGAGAGCGACAACCAGGTTGAGGATGAAGTGGTCGTTACCGATGAGAAGCCTGCTGTTAAGAAGCGCAAGGCCGTCGCCAACGAGTCTGCTGCTACTGCTGCTGGCTCTCGAAAGGGTAAATCAAAGTACGACGACCCGATTGAGATGCTCACGAACCCGCGAGCCCCTCTGGCCAATGTCAATCTTCGAGTAAGTACCTACCAAGTCGCTAATCTCTCATCTTCCTGCCTTCTTTTTCACCTTATACTTAAACTCACACTTACAACCCCCCGTTTATAAACTCAACTTACTAACATCATCCCCCATCTAGGACCTCCTCCTCCGCCCCGAGGCCTGGGACGTCCTCAACGCCGAGGAGAAGAAGTCCATCCTTGCCAAGTTCCCGGATGAGACGGAGATCATAGATGCCGGAACCGAAGACGCCCGCCCGGACTTCCAGGCTCTTCGCAACAACGACAATTTCCGCGCTGACGCCGCGCGCTACAGCGCAAACCTCGCCAAGGGCTGGCACGACCCCGAGTGGATCCGCCAGGCCCGTGTCGCCCACACCATGCGCCAGGCCGGCGAGTACCATGACTACCTCGCTGAACGCTTCGAGGAGGATTGGGGCGTTCCGTTGATGGTGCCGGACAAGAAGGAGAACGGCAACGAGAAGGAAACGGAGAACGAGAACGAGGCCGAGGCTGGTGATGATGAGGATCAAGAGATGGCCGTTGACGATGATGATGATGATGATGCTGGTGCTTCTGGTGTTTAATCATGGTGTTTGTGTATGTCTAACAGACTAAGCAAACACATAAAAACCCCAAGGGCAAGCAGCAGCAGTCGGAATGAGTAATGATGATGAATGGACGCTTAACTTCCAAGCATTCTCAATGTTCAACGATGATGATTAATATTGCATGGCTGGCACGATGGAATTACTGTGTATCGGATCGAACGTACTCGATGCTTTAACTTGAAAGCACAGTCGTATACTACATACACTACGGGTACCTACGAGCAGTATTCTAGGCAAATGAGAACAACGCAGTCATGGAATGAAATGAAATGAAATCAATTCACTAACCCTCGTGGTCTCTTCTTCCGTATTATAACTACCTGGCTATCTACGCCCGTAATCCTTCGTCGACGCTGTTTTGGTAAAAGCCCTAGGCTACCTAGGTACGATAAGTATGGTCAGTATGGTAAGTATACTGATGAAGCGACACGCGTGTATCGAACCTATTATGAATATTCCATTTCATTCAATTTCATTCGAGTTCTTGCTTTTCATTCAGATGCTTCTACCTAGGTAGGTAAAGTAGGTAGGCAAGTAGGTAGGCAAGTAGGTAGCCATCGATCGTTAAGTTTCAATATAATACTAAGTAGGTAGATATTGTAGGTATTGTACCTACAAGTCGTCGTATTTTGTACGTCTTTTCTATTTCCCTCAGCATTGCTAGCTGGCCTCTCCTTTTCACCGATTATAGCACACCTTCTCTCGCTCTTACGCGTGCCCATACACACACGCACACATTCTCTCACTCACACATGCCGAGGCAGGCAGGCAGGCAGGCAGGTACCTACACAGATCCATCTCTCTCTACCCGACCTAAACCACACCAGCCCAACTGGCCAACTCATCTCCTCTTGCCTACCCTCAATCCCGATCGCGAACACGAACAAGACACGGCCGTCTACAGTGCCATATGCGCCTCTGTTTCGCACCAAGCACCGCATCCATCATGATCTCCGTCTCCGACCTCTCCCTTCGCGGGGGTGGTTGAGGAGCAGAAGAATCCTCCGCCCTGACATTCAGAGGCGGGGTCCAGAGCTGGGTCTCCTCGACGCTGGCGCCGATCTCGAACTCGCCGCGGCACAGCGGCGTGAAACCGATGACGACCTCCGTTTTGGACTTGGGCCCGACCAGGGGGAGCGTCTGTTGCATGGTCCCGTTCCAGGCGAACTTGCGCGTAAAGTCGAGGGCGATGTTGAGCGGGCGGTGGCACAACGCCGGCATTACACGGAGACTCGGGTATATAGGCTCATCCATCCGGTTCGTGACAGTGACCTTGATTTGGGCAAACTCGTCCACAAAGATCGCGTTATCCTGCTCTTTCTTCGTTTCCTGTGGGGGGGTTTCTGCTTCTGTTTTTGGCAAGTCCTCGACGGCTATGTCGATGCCGACTTCGTCGATCTTAATCGCTTCGATCATACGGGGTGCGAGACGTATGCCTCGTAACTCAACAGTACCTTCTCTAGCTGGGCCTGACACAGTCTTCCAGGAACCCGAGAGTCTTTCTAGAATTTTCTCTCGGTACCAAAAGGCTTCCCGGTTGGCTCGTTCTATGTCGGGTGTGATTTTACTGCTGCTGACCACAAATTGGCGTTGTCGCGAAGGGTTGAGTGCTGGAATGGATGCATGGGGATCATCTATGTAGACCCTCCGAACTGGGAAAATGATGCGATTCGTATTGCCTGGAAGAATGTGTTCTTGGATCACGATGCCGTTGTCCGATTTGAGACAAACCTGCATATCGCTTGGCCAAGCATTTCGAAGATCCAACAATAACAAACAATGCTCTTCGTCAGATAGTGAAGCGGTCTCTTCAGCTGCCGGCTCCTCTGCGCCTAAACGAGTCCAGATGGGACCAGGCACTTCCCCTTGAATAGGCAAGAAGTCCATCCTAGCAAGTTCCACGCTAGCATTGACGGTGATAGTTAGATCGAGACATACTTGACGAGTATGGAACTGCTCGATGATTTCTGCTGGTGGTACGCCAAGATGTGCGTAGTCAACTTGGATTGTCCCGGTGGTGAGGCCAGGCTTTCCGAGAATCTCGAACTCAAAGGTTGCCGTGCCGCCCGGAGCGATATACCTCTTGGAATCATCAATCTTGCGTAACCTCATGGCTTGTTTTTTCGCAATAATAAGCTCGTATTCGTAGAGCTCTGCGGGCGTGGCATCTCTACTCGTTAAAGCGGTTTGTAGAGGACCTTGGGTGGAATCCTGAAAGGAGAAAAGCAGCAAGTCTGCCGGCGTAGATGTGGAGAGATTTTGTAAAGTTACAGAAAATACCTGCCGCTCACCCTCTAAAATCATCACTGAGGATTGGAAGAGGCTCGTAGATTTGATGACAACAACAGGTTGAGCGGGAATAACGCTTAATCCAATGCTGTCAGGTTTCAAAAGGGGCCCGGGAAAAGGTAGCTTTTTGTTTTTCTCCAATGCCATCAGTCCGATCCCTTTGATCTTGGTTTCTGTGTCGGGAGCCCATGGCTGGGGAAAGATGGGAAATCTCCTCTCGCGGCATCCGCGTACTTTCACGATAGCCCCCGTAATCCTTAGGTGGCCGGCAGCTTTAGGTGTTCCGGAAAGTTTCAAGATTTGTGTTCGATACGGTCCTATTATTGTGCTCGCTACCGAGGATTCAAATTCGGCCCCTTCTGCATCCATCCTAATGCTTTCGATGTCCACATCGACTTCATATGGGTTTTGAAGGGTTATCCTGAAAGACGCCACTTCGCCGGAAACAAGTGTCCTTTCCACTTCTACCGTATCTGCTCTTATGAACGGGTTATAGATGAAGGGGTTCACATCTTGTGAGGAGCGCGCGGCTGTCACACCTGGTAAGACGTTCTTAGAATGTGGTACGGGTGTCCTCGTTGGTGGCAAGGCATCCAGCGTAATCTCCCGGACAAGGAATTCATCCCAGTATTCCGCAGTCAAATTTCCCAACCCTAATCTTTCTGACAATCCAGCCGTCTTTGTGATGTTAGTCACTAGCCTAACTTGCTCGTCCTTCGAGATTATAGGGGCTGCATCTTCCCGACGCGGCCCTGGTGCAACTCCGCTTCCGGCAGTGCGCAGCAGGTCGCTGGAGAATTTTAGTACTCCATTGAAATCTGGTAAAGCCTCAGAAAAGTTTATACAAGCTCGAAGAATGTTGAGCTTGATATTATTAATCCCGAACTGTCTAGCGGAGGATTGACTCTCAATTCTCAGAATGACGCTTCCATCTGTGTCACTCGCCAGAGACGTGACGTGAGAAGGCCTACGAACGACATCATCGAATTCGATCACTCCGTAGGTTTTGCATAGCAGCCCGAGAAATGCGTCGATTCCATGTTCTATATCTCCTTCACCAAGCTCAAGAGCTCCTGCTCCTTTGCCATGACTATGAGCAGCATTCAAGGCTACTAGGCCGGCTGCTGGATGGATGCCAACCTCGGCAGCTCCCCGTGTTCTCGCTTCAACTAGCCCTCCGATCAACACGGATACCAATTCTCGTACAACCAAAGCTTTCTTCCGTTGAAACCCTAATAACCCCAGAATAGATGCAATACCGCCAAGAATAATTGCACGATCTACAGTGGTGAGCAGTTCGGGGGCGGAAGACGGGAAAGCCTTAAACAACATAGTTGCAATTTGTGAACGGGGTGGTGTAATCGTGAGACGAGGTGATGTGGTGAGAGTTGTTATAGGCAATTTGCCGAGAACTATGCTGTCTAATGCTCGTTTGTCTAGCCTGCCCTCGCATAAGTGAAGGGCCGTGAGCAAACTGGAGAATCGGACTGTAGCCTCAGATAGTGGCAAGGGAGGAAGTTGTTCCCCAGATATCCTTGAATATAGTCCTATTATTCTCTCCAACAAGTCGGGCAAGGTGTTCTGGAAGTTCCGCAGGTGTTTTGGTTGTTGAGCATCTCCCTCCTCGGAATCCGGTCCTTTGGATATGCTGCTAATGGACTTGTCGTTGGCTGGCAAGCATATCGTAGGGACTGCAAACTCTACGCCAACCCAGCCCAGTAAGAGTAGACAGATGGTGATGAGTTCTAGTGCTTTGCCATGCCATAAGTGGTCGTTCATCGACTTGGCGACGGTTGCACCTTCAACGAGCTCCTTTAATGCGTCAGTCCACCGACCAGCCTGAAGGTATAAAGACGCTACAACTATTGTCGATCGTCCTCGACCTTTATTCCTCCATCTGTCGCTAAACCCACCAGACCCAAAGCCTTGCATGAAGACCCTGTCTTCTTTGACCACTTTCGTACCCCCAGCAGAGCCAGGCCGATTTGATGTCTGTGGTTCTGGGTTTGTTGCTTCGCTGCTGCTTCCATCTCCATTTGACAAATCTTCCAATGTAGTGGGTGGGTTGGATAAACCACTACGAACAGGAGTTGAAGGGCGCGGCGAGGGGGTTGAGCTATTTGATCCAAAGGGAAGTGATTTGAAAGGTGCTGGCATCGACATTCTAGCCTGGTTCCTATCGGCGGCACCACTGGCAGATGCCGACCTCGTAACAGTAGGTGTAGCATATTGTGAATTTCGTCGCACTGTCGGTTTCGTCTCGTCCAGCAGGCCTGGTTTTGTGGGAGCTTGACCGGGGGAGTCTATAACAGTCATACCCTCAAAGGACTTGGCAAGAGTTGTCATCTCCGCTAGTAACAGAGAAGATATATCACACATTATGGTTTTTATTGTAGTCCTCTTAGAATTTTCCAGCGGTGGTACCGTTTTAATACCTTCGGGGACGGGAATTGTATTATCAGCATGTGGCGCATAATCGAAAACCAGGACTTGATGCGCGAGGATTTTGGGGTATGTATCTCTCAGATCTTCAAGTTCTTGGTAGAGAGTCCTGATGTTCCTCTCGACCATAGTAGGCGCATAACCGTTGGCTGACTGTCTTTTGTTAAACGCCACGCTTTCGAGCTCCTGTCCGTCGGCGATAGCAATAAGAACAAGAGGATCACGGAATAGCTCGAAGGGGGTTAGAGAGAGGTGTGACGGAGGTGGTACGTAGGTAATTAGATCGTAGAATATAGCACCGTCTGGAAAGGCGAGGGGAGAAAACATATCTGAAGGGGGGAGGTAATAGTCAGTCTAGTGCATCGAGCTCGCGCAAGACAAGGGAAGCTTACTCCGATTCGGTCGCCCATCGGCGCTGATGTCGCGAAGATGAACAACATGCTCCTCATTCAGTCTCTGAACGAAAGAGGAGAATCTGTCTCGCTTGATCTGGCCGACGGGCAAAACCAGTCCCCTTACCCTCGCCGGAGCGATGGGTATTGTAGAGTCCAAGCTCATCCTATCATCTGTCTCGACCCTAGAGTAACATGGCAGAGCAACCGCATACCTATCTCCCTACGCAGGTATTAAACAGAGAAGGCAGATACCAAGGAGAAAATAGTTCGTTTAGGTCTTTCGCAAGAGTTTTGTATGCGTCGCAAACGTCGTTCGATATTGTGTTGCGTTCGAGTGCTTGGATGTTCGACTTTGCACAGGCAAGTGACCAGAGTCAATACCAAACAGCCAAGGTACTCGTAGATTTTCAATTCAGATGCTCGAGCTTGAAGTATGCGCCGGATATGCGAATACCATATTCAGAAGTGATATTCGTTCCAAGATGAAAAAAAAAGGAACTTAGGAATGACGATGCGAAGCCCAAAGTTCCAAGCTCCTGAGCCTCGTGCGCCTCTCTAGGGTCACAGACCAATCAGAGTCGGGAGTGATAAACAGGGATCATCCGAAAAGAGTAAGTTTAGTCCGGGGTTTATTGAACATGGATGTAGGTAACTATGTAGCATGTACCTAACCTGCGTCCTTTATGTACTCAGGTACATGCATGTGTTGTACTTCAAGTCTTCAACGCTCAACATGTTAAGTTTACTACCTAGTAGACCGAAGTTTAAATACAAACACACAGTGACACACACTGCACTCAATGGCAAACGACAATGGCTACCTGGTTAGGTACATATACGATATCAGGTCGTTCCTATTTAAATAATTGGATATTTATACTATCCAGATGCTGTAACATCTTCAGCTCCTTCAGCTTTTCCTTCAGCTTTCCCTTCAGCCTTGACTTTACCTTGCGTAGCCTCGTTCTTCAGCTCCGACTCAAAAATGTCCACAGCTACACTTGCTTCCACAAAGTCTTCTAATTCTTCTGTCACTGTTTTTAATTTCTCTTTTACGGCCTCGGCCCCCTCAAATCCAACAATGTGCCGGGCCGGCGGGTTTTCATGTCCGCCAATAGCAGTAAGTGCATGAACTGTCTCACTCACCAACCGATCTATTGCGGATGGAGGGAGCTTCGGGTATCTCTGGATGATCTCCGTCTCCGAGGGCTCCAGGGCTGTCTCCGGGTTCAGATTGAGCACGTTTGTGAGCATGTCTCTAACGCTCGGTGCCGGATTATTCTCACTGTCGTAGTACGGTAGTGACGGCGCAAAGACAATTTTGTTAGTCAAGGATTGAGTCTCCTTATGGGGCTGCACTACCGTTACTTTGATATTAAAGGGCGCAACCTCGTAAGCTAGTGAATCACAGTACCCCTCAAGCGCCCATGTTGCCGCTGTATATATAGGCATTGCAGGTGTGCCTATGTGCCCGCCTAGACTCGTGAGAATCATTATATGTCCGGTGTGTTGTGCGCGAAAGGTCGGAAGCGAAGCTTTGATGAAGTTCACCTGTGAAAAGAAGATAGTCTCAAATTGATCGCGCACTAAGTTTTGCGTTGCCGGCGTCGTAGAAAGCTCCTCCACAGTTCCCACGATAGCTGTTAGGAGATCAACAATTTGCCCCACGCAAGTGTATAACACGTATAGCACATATAACACATGAAAGAAGATGAAATTGCATACCTTCAGATGTGCAGCACAATAGAATATCTATGCGACCAAAGACATGCTTTGCCTCCGCCACTGCAGCACTGCATTGACCCATAACGCGACCATCACAGCGTATGCTCCGAATGCGGTCCTTCCACCCCTCCCGATCTTTGCGGTTGCTCTTACACTCGTTAACGAGTTCACGAAACTCGGCGCTGCGATCCTCATGCTCGATTTCGTTGGGTGGCAGGCAAGCCACGACATAGTCACCGTGGGTAAGCAGCTGCCTTATTAATCGAACAATCAGAGGGGTCAATGACGAAGTTATGAACCATGTTCGCGGGGAATTGTGTGTTGCTACAACACGATTCATTAGTTACAGCAACAACAGCAACGCGAACAAATTTAGGGGGTATAATAAAAGTAATGAAGCGATGCGACGTGGGAATATAGAACAAAGCTAAAATAAATTCTTGATAAGAAGAAAAAGAGTTTAGGTAAGGAACAAGGTATTGCGTAGGTAAGGAGGGTAGGTAGGTAGGTAGGTAGGTAGGTAGGGGCTTGCTTAGCTTGACGGATGCACGCACGGAAAGATGCTGCAGGAACGGTATGCGAATGTCGTGCTGGCCCTGACGACTCAACCACCTTCCTCTCTGACATTTCCACCTTTTTCCTTTTTCCACCTCTCTTATAGGTCTACTTCTTCACCTTCTCGTTTTCGCTCAACGAAGACAAAGAAGAGACAAAAATAAGGATTGTTGCAAATCGCGAATATATCAATAGTTAAACACTGATCTTATCACAACTCAATTCAGAATACCAAAAACGCAATCGATCGAAGTGAGAAAAGATGACAACCGAGAGTTGATGACTCTTTGTCGACAGAGCCCCCTTTCCCATCAACATGACACAAGTGAAATGAGACAAAACACTTCACGTTTAACAATAGTAGAAGAAGAAGAAGAAGAGGTAAGTTTATACCTAAAGCAGTCAGTCGTGCCTAGTATTATGCTGTCGTATTTAAATACTACATATATATACTTAGATAGGAAGACAGATCACGTATGTATATGTAGGTCATCATCATACACATACTACCTACCTAACCTACTCAATAACCAACCTACATTTGTACATACTGATCAGACTACCTCGCCTTCAAGGTCGAGTCCCGCGCCTCATCCGGCAGTTGGTAGATCCCGACACGGCACGAGCAAAAAGAACTAGGGAATATCATTGACCCCGCTGCATACCTAGGGAGGTATGTAGTCATATTACAGGTGTCAATATGCACAGTTGTCTACATAAGTCGGAAGTATATGCTAGGTAGGTAGTAGGTAGTAGGTAGTAGGTAGTAGGTAGCCCTGGAGGTATGAAGAATTAAGTCAATGCAAGGTGAACTGACAAGCAGCCTACTATGGACAAATTCGGTTGGTTACCAGACTTAAGAAGCTAATGTCAAGCATCACCTACCTAATCTATGCCCAGTCATGACTGAGTAATAATAAAGATGGATTGGCCTGTCGGGTGCTAACCTTCCACGATTGGTGTTCTCGGGGCGTTCGTCGCGGCCGAGGTAGTATTGCCAGCTACCTACTGTAACCTACATAGTACCCAGGTAGTGTCTGACACTGTCTGTAGTTCGGCAGCCATCTCGGACATCACAACCGCCATGCAATACCTACTGTGTAGTATGTGACACCTTACCTAATAGTACCATATTGCTACCATGGACCGTTTTTTATACATAGTAGTACCCTCTTTTATTTAGGTTAGCCAAATCTGGGGAAACCTTGGCTAATATTGCTTACAATCCTACCGACCCTTAGTATGTAGAGTTTCGCGAGATATCCATGGATATAGTTACAGTACATGAGGTAGGCTATATATGTAGGTAGTAGGTGTTCATTGCTTACATACATATGTATGAGGGTCACATCCATAAGACTACCTAGGTACCTAGTAAGATTCAAACTACCTGACAAAACCGATGATGTTTATTTTCCCAACATTGAACGTTGAAGGTCATCAAGTATAGCAAGCATACGATTGGTGTTATTCATAGCCTTTAGTGTATGGATTAATATAGTGCGTTGGAGAAAGGACGGCGGTTGAGATTTAAATACTTTTTTAGTCCCGTCCGACGTCGGGGAAAGACCTTACAATTCCAAGCTATTGTCAGCTGATATCAGTTGCCAACTACTATGTAACTACGAAGTACTAACAATATTTACCTTGGGTAGCCTAGCCTGTAGCCTGGGCCCTGGGTAGGTACTATGTAACCTAGGTAGATACATCATCCATGGATCATTAGCATGGTATGCCACTGGAATTGACTCTACTGCTTTTCTTCTTTTTTCTTCTTTTTTTCCCTCACGTGCATCTCATCTCATACTAATACTAGTACTAGCCTACCTGGGATAGGTAGCCAGATGACTCAGCCTTATACATATAAATCCTACTGAGAAAACTTGACTCTATTCCGATACTTTCTCTACTCACAGGATTTTTTCCCCGTCATTATTTTCAAACATCTTTACCCTTTCAAATCTCATACAATGCCCTCCAGGGCTGACATCACATACTTTGGTGCCGGGCCAGCACTGCTTCCCACGCCCGTTCTTGCGCATGCCGCCGAAGCTCTTTTGAATTACAAGGATACAGGCTTAGGCATTGCTGAACACTCACATCGCTCTCAATATGCTGCCGACATCATCAACCAAGCAAAGGCTGATCTAGCCACTTATCTCGATATCCCTGATGACTATGAGGTGCTCTTCATGCAGGGTGGTGGAAGTGGCGAATTCTCCGCTACTGTCTATAACCTTGTGGGCGCTTGGGTGGCCAGAAAAAAGGTCGAGATTCTGAAGCAGATGGGCGCCCAAAGCGAGGAAGGAGCCGATTCGGAAGAACTCGTATCAAGGCTCAAAAAGGCCGTTGATACCGACTTAAAGCTAGACTACCTAGTAACAGGCGGCTGGTCTCTAAAGGCTTACCAAGAAGCTGGCCGTTTGCTAGGCCCTGAATACACCAACCTGGCTGTTGATTCTCGAACTGTAAACGATGGGAAATTCGGCAAGATACCGGATGAGAGTGCCTGGAAACTGTCCAAGGAGGCCGCCATGGTATACTACTGTGACAACGAGACTGTAGATGGTGTTGAGTTCCCCGAATTCCCCAAGTCTTTAGGTCCCGATTCGAACGGCGTAGCCCCTATCGTCGTTGCGGATATGTCGTCAAATATCCTGTCGAGGCGAATCCCGGTTGAGACATTCTCAGTCATCTTTTTCGGTGCACAAAAAAACCTTGGTTCGACCGGAGTAACCGTAGTCATCATTAAGAAGAATTTACTGCCTCCTGCATGCCCACAGCCTTCCCCGGCCCTCCTGAGGAAACTTGGTCTTCCGGTTCCGCCTGTTATCTTCTCATATGAGACCATTGCCAAGAATAACAGCTTATACAACACACTCAGCATCTTCGAGTATTTTACCAACCCCTTTTATGAGATTTATCTGTTTCTGGTACTAATATGCATCGTAGTGTCTTCATCGCCGGTCAAGTACTAAAACAGCTACTCACCACGTTTCCTGATAAGGTCGACGGCCAGCAAGCAGTCGCCAATCAGAAAGCGGAAGCCATCTACTCCGCTCTGGAGGCATACCCCAACATCTACAAGATTGTGCCGGACAAATCCGTACGCTCCAGGATGAACATTTGCTTCCGGGTAACTGCAGTGAGTACCCATGCACCCTTCCACGCCATTTCACCTTATTGTGTCTCCCCTGAAGCTCTACTAACTCTAATGATAGGGTGGTGACACGGCAGGCGCCGAAGCAAAGTTCCTGCAGGGCGCAACGGCCCAGGGGCTGACTGGGTTGAAAGGCCACCGAAGCGTCGGAGGTATCCGTGCCAGCAACTACAACTCGATTCCGCTCGCTGGGGCCCTGAAGCTCGTAGATTTCATAGAGAAATTTGCGCAAATGGCCCCTGACATCGTTTTGGCAGCCAAATGAAACATCGGCGGGTCGTGAAACAGCGGGTATGTGCCTCTCGTATGTACGCACGTACGAATACATCGCCGCCCGTTCTACTAAAGCCATTTTCTGGTAGGTATAACAACAAGTATCACAATGGGGTGGGTGGTTGGGTAGGACGGAGTGGAACGAAAAGGGTCTGAGCCCGATTTCATCATGGGCTTAGAAGGTTTGTTTGGAATTAGGTGTTTCACGCATCACACATCCCTCGGATAAGTAAAAAAAGAAAAGGGGATATATAGATACATGGGGCTAAAAGCACCATTCAACATCATGATAGGAGTTTTATCGCGTTGATTAAAAATTCCATGGTACATAGATAAAATACTTACCTACACTCATGCCTACATAGGTAGTTAGGTACCGTCATAACTAGAACTAAATAACATTTCACATCACCTCTCTGGGTTAAGCATTTCTTCCAAACTCTCGAATTAAAAGGAAGAAAAGGAGGAGAAAGGTATGGCCAATTCTTAAGATAACACAGCTCAAGCCTCCATCTCAGCCTTCAACCACGCCGGGATCTGCGGCGGCTTCTCCCACCCATCAAGGTACGTTTCCTTCGCCACGCCCTCGCCCGACGGCTTCGCATAGATAGCCGAGACGTACCACACCGTCGTATCCTTCTCAACCGTATGCTGCAGCGTCGGGATCACCGTCCTGCTCTCGATCAGATTCGAGTTCGGGTCCGCATTGACCAAGTTCGCCGCTCGCTCCACAGCCCCCTTTCCGCCTCCGTGCTCGAGCGCCTTGATCCCAACAGCCCCCTTGCTCACGGCAAACGCCCCCGCCTTGCCCGTCGACCACCCCTCGGCGGTGCTCAGGTCGTAGTTCCCGATGATCTTGGGGTGCGTGCCCTCGTGGGTCGAGGCGTCGTACGGGTCGAGGTAGCGCCCGTCGGCCGCGCGCGCGTTGCAGATGGCGAAGGCGCCGTCGGCGGTCATGACCTCGCGGCCCGCGGCGACGCGGTGCGCGCGCAGATGCCAGTTCGGCGTTGCCGGGTCCGGGGGAACGAGGGTCGTGCGCACGGTTACGTCGGGGTAGGGGGACCAGATGGAGACGAGGACCGGCGTTTTGCTGTTGCTGTTGCTGTCGACGCGGTGCTCTAGCCCTGCGTATGAAGATATTCGTCGTGTTTTCCAGTACTCGCCGCCGTCGTCGGAGAACCCGAGCTGTGAGGCGAGCGCGTATTGCTCGAGCGTGAAGAGACCCGGGGGCACGGAGTACGCGTACGCGCTGCTGTAGGCGAAGGAGCCGTATTTGGCGTGCGTTCCTTTCATGGGGTAGCTGCAGGCTTGGCCGGAGGAGAGGAGCATGCAGTGGTTGCCGAGGTAGCTGTGAAAAGGGGGGAAAGAGAGTAGAATTAGCGAGGGTTTTGAAGAGAAGGGGTAGGGGTGCGTGTTCTGGGAAGATTTATTACCTTGTGATATGTCCAGGTTGTGGCAACTCCTTGATCTTCGGGATGGCATCGCCTGGGAGTTCTTCTTCAGATGTCCAGAATGGATGGTCTGCAGGCACGGCTAGGCAGATGAAAGCTAGACAAGCCCAGTACTTTGACATCTATTAGTTTGCGAGGGATATATATGGAGGTAGGTTCATGGAGGTCACTTACCGGGCTACCGGGACTGTTGTAATTCTCCGCCATCTGTTCAACGTTAGTTTTATCCCAGTTGTAAGCAGCTTGAGGGTATGTGATGTTCTACTTACATACATATTTGGGTACGAGTACCCAATAGTCAGTGTTCCACTTGGACTCCAGATATCTGGCTGCGTCTGCCACCACCTCAAATGCCGTAGGACCACGCCCTTGACCATTCCCCACGTAAGGGGCTCAGGGAGCTCAACTCCAGCATAAGCGAGGGCACCCCAGAAAGACACCATCGCAAACCTGTAGCCTACGCTGCGGCCGAACGGGATGGACCGACCTAGATAACCAATATTAGATCTCTATGAGTAAGCTAGATCGTAAAGAATTCTTGCCTTCGTTGTCGTAGTAGTGGATCAAGTCAAGCGCAACCATCTGAGCACGTTTCTTGAACTCGGCGGCTCGCTCTGGCTCATCCTCGCCAGCTAGCTTTGCGTAGAGAAGCTGTAGGAACTGGATAGCGAAACTCGAGGAGTAATAGTCCATTTCTGTCACATTTTAGCATCATCTACTTAGATTTGTTCTGTAGATAGAATTGAGTCTTACGGTGGATTCCCTCAGGGCCATCATTTGACCAACCAGCACCGCGGTAGAAGGTGTCTAGATGTTCGATATCGCGGTCCAGTCTCTCCTGAGAGAACTTTCCTCCATTCTTTTTAAGTCCGAGGTTGGCAAACACGCGGAACCAGAGCCAGTTGGTATTGGGCATGCTGGCCTACCATTAGTTTTACATATCCAGAAGTGTGCTCAAATGACTTTACTTCTTCTCGTTGATCGAATTACCCAACCAGTTTTCCACATTTTCTCTCTCTTTCCCATTTAACGAGTTCCAGATACCAGGGGCGACGGCTAACGCATAACCTAAAGAGATATGAGCAGGAGCCTTCGTTTTACATTTTTAGAGCAATACCGTACCAAGAGGACACATTTCCACCATCCTCTGGTCGTTGTCCCGCGGATATCCCCAGTATTCGGGATTTTCGGGGTCAGTGCCGGACTTGATCCCCTGAATCCACCATTCCGCTCCGTGGTATTCTCCACCCCCGGCTAACAGGCAAGCCAGACCCCAAAGGGGTCGGCATATTCCTTCTACTTCAGAGGCCGTTTGATCGAATCTGACGGCAGTTGCACCGGGGCATTTCACTCTCGCTTTCAAGGGGGAGAAGAATGGCTCAAGGGGATCGAGAAGAGTCTTTAGAAGCTCCTGAACAGAAGCACGGTCCGAGATCTTTACCTTGGAAAAGGGGTGGGTGCCATTGTAGCCAAGGACGAGGCCAGTCTTGGGCTCCATCGTGAACAACACCAAAAAGAGGATTTACGATCAAACCACCGATCTCGAAATGGAATAATGGAGTTTGGGGAGTGGCCGAATTATAATAGAAGAAAAGTGAAAGTTACCTACTTGTCGTGTTCTTTGGGTCTACTTTTGTCAACCTACCTACGTGGGGTTTAGTCTTGTTAATCTAGTAGCGAACGCTGCTGGTGAAGATGAGGGGTTCCTCTTGGGGTCGTGGGGTGATAGAGCTCTCGCGGCTAATATCAGAGATGAACTCCTCTCCAGATCTCCACTAATTGCCATGGTCTGAAGATACCCTAAGTAGGTGTGTAGATTTTGTTTCATATAAAAGGGTGAGAAGGAAGCTATAGGTCCAAGATTTTTCCGACTCGGCTTAGATGAAAGCGACGCGTAGTGTAGGTAGGTAGTAATGAAATCAGCTTAGGCAATACCAAAGACCTATGACTATACCCACCTAGGTAGGTATATATGCATACCTACATGTAGGTAGCTTCAGCTATATAGACATCGTTACAGTGTACATGCCAGAGCACATCGTGTATCTTCAAAAGATGACCAAAAGACAAAGGATGCTAGAAGATGCGGAGATGAATTGGGGAAGATGCGGGATGTGGGATTCGGGGTATCTACAGCGATTACTAGTGGCAGATCAGCCAACCCCGTCAGCACTAACCAAGGTCCCTAGCTACCACCGATTTAGGTAGGGGAGTCTGAGCGTCTAGGCGTATCAACCGTCACGAGAGCTGTTCTGTAACCGTTATTTCCAGTCCCAACCCCCAACAAAGGATATTGCATATGGAGTGACGTTAGATAATACGTATAGTTAACTGAAGGTGTAAGGATTCGGTGTACATAGTATCTAATCTAGACCGACTTTAATACCGACCTACCTAATCTCTAATACTAATCTCACCTACCTAGTACATACCGGTAGTAGGTAGTATCGCGAGAAGCCGAGGAAGCTTGCTTCAGACTGAGAACCTGTAAAGATGACGACTTCTTCTATTCCAAGAAAGCTCTGGGAACATCCCAATCCCGAAAAGACGCAATTGTACGAGTTCATGCAACGATTGAACAAGAAGTACAGTTCCAATCTGAAGGTGGGCGCATGGAACATTACATACCACACAGCTATATCATATCCACTAACAGGTCCCCAAGACCTTCCAAGATGTATACCAGTTTTCTGTCAATAAACGCTCCGAGTTCTATGCCGAGGTCTTTGAGTATTCCAACTTCATACATACTGGCTCCTACACCCAGGTAGTAGACGAGACAAAGCCAATTGATAGCATTCCGCGCTGGTTCGAAGGAATACACCTCAATTGGACCGAAAACCTCTTGTGGTCTCGTGGCCCCGATGACCCTATAGATCACCATGGCAAGGTGGGAAAGGAAGATACCAAGATTGCCTTGACCGAAGTTCGGGAGGGCGTGACTGAGATCAGGCATGTCACATGGGTGACACTTCGAAGACTTGCTGCCCTCTATGCTTCTGCCATGCATCAGCACGGCGTGAAACGAGGAGATCGGATATTTCTCGTCGCTGCGAATAGTGTCGAGACCATGGCCGTCTTCCTGGCTGCAGGCTGGCTAGGTGCTCTATTTAGCAGCAGTTCGACCGACATGGGCGTCCAGGGAATCTTGCAGAGGGCAATACAGGTCAATCCCAAGGTACCTACCGATTCGAATTATTGCTTTTTTTCCTAGTTCATGTTGCCAAGCTAATAACTCCCTTCAGTACATCTTCATGGACGATGCAGCGCTATACAACGGTAAACGAGTAGATCTGCGCCAGAAAATGACTGATATCATCTCTGGGATGAAAGACTGCACCGAATTCTCTGGCATGGTTTCGATCCGGCGCTTCCATGATGCCTTGGATATAGGAGGCATTCCCAAGACTCAGACTTTGAACCAGTTCATCGAGAAGGGTGACGCAGCTTTTCCACCACCCATCGTTCGGATCGCCTTTCACGACCCTTTCCTAGTCTGCTATTCTTCTGGCACCACTGGTATTCCGAAAGCTATAGTGCATTCGGTCGGTGGCGCCCTTATGAGCTATTCAAAAGAGTCTCGCCTTCACGAAAACGCCAACGCCGACACCGTTTCGCTGCAGTACACAACTACTGGCTGGATCATGTATCTTGTGTGCGTTGGTCAGCTACTGCTTGGCTCAAGGGTTGTATTATACGATGGGTCGCCGTTCCAACCGGATCTACAGACCTTTATCAAGTTAGTTGCTGATCAGAAAGTCACGAAACTGGGAATCAGCCCCCGATGGCTTTATGAGGTTGCGAGGGCCGGCATCTCACCTAGAGAGTTAGTCGATTTGTCAAATCTAAAAGTGGTGTCGAGCACTGGTATGGTGCTTCCAGAACAGCTATTCGAGTGGTTTTATGACAAGGGATTCCCATCTCATGTCCAGCTGTACAACATATCGGGTGGAACTGATATTGTGAGTCTATACCATCCATTCTCTCAAACATGGGTGAATACTGACTTTTGTCCTAGGCTGGCTGCTTTGGAATTGGTAATCCCCTCACTCCGGTATACGTAGGTGGAACGCAAGGGCCTTCACTTGGAGTCAAAATAGAAATGTATGATTCGCAACTACCGCCGGGTCCCGGGAAACCGGTGCCAGATGGAACGCCTGGTGAGCTTGTCGCCACGGCTAGTTTTCCAAACGTGCCGGTATTCCTCTGGGGCGACAAGACGCCGGCGGGAGTGCCCGGATCCAAATTCCACTCTGCCTACTTCGCTAGGTACGAACACGTCTGGGCGCATGGCGACTTTTGTGTGATCCATCCTGTCACCAGGAATATCAACTTCCTAGGGAGGGCTGATGGGGTTTTGAATCCTAGTGGGGTCCGGTTCGGTTCTGCGGAGATCTACTCAGTTCTAGAAAGGAACTTTGCGGATCAAGTTGCGGATTCGATTTGTGTCGGGCAGAGGCGTCCTCAAGATACGGACGAAAGTGTGATGCTGTTCTTGCTGATGCGGCCAGGCCACAAATTCAACAAGAAACTTGTCAATGAAGTCAAGGAGGCAATCAGGCGCGAGCTAACCAAGAGACATGTGCCGAAATACGTGTTCGAAACTCCCGAGATACCCGTAAGTGGGAAATTACGTGTTACGATGATGGTGTTCTTGGGCTAACTTGATCATAGACAACAGTCAACCTCAAGAAAGTTGAACTGCCGGTGAAGCAGATTGTCTCGGGCCAAATCATCAAGCCAAGTGGCACGTTGCTCAATCCTAAGAGTTTGGACTATTATTACCAGTTTGCAAAGGTTGAGGACCTGATTGGGCCCAAAGAAAAGCTGTGAAATAGGTTGGAACTGTTTAGTACGGACCGATTCTACTGGATTATGATTTGGCCTTCACGCGTGCATGTCTTAGAACCCCTATGCAGTCTTCCTCGGACGATTCTAAGATAGGGGTATGTCAAGATAACGGAATTCCCGTGCCGCTTACACATAATGTATCATTTATGGACATTTAGGGATATTTTGATCAACGAAAGTATTTAGGTAGCTATCGATATTCAACATAAACGCAAAAGGGTGATCGATCCGTTGTCATTTCTATTCCTCAGGGGTTCTTTGGTGTGTTTGGTGTGTTTGATGTGATGAACAACATGATAGTTAGGGAAGATGTAGTACTAAAGATTCAAGGAGCATTACAAAGTTCCAGTTGCATACTACATATGTACTTGTACCTACTGGGTAGGTACCTACTACTACATAGGTAGGTAACATCATTGATCATTGATATTGCGAACGTAATATTAAGGTTTAGCCGCACATTATTGGACTTGCCCTTTACCTAGGGTAGGTATGCTGCTTACCTGAACTGAAGAAGGTACGATCACATTCGAAGCAACAGAAATTAAAGATCCATCTATCTCGGAATAATATAAATATCCTTCGACTAGAAGGTTCGTTCTACTACACGTACTAGTAGGTATAAATGCATGACCTGCCGATGTCTAAATACACACAGGTGCACATGTCTGGTATAGTATATACATACCTCGGATACATACTATGTAGTCCGGAAACGGCCGGAGTCAAAGAAACAAACTACTTACCTAATAGTAGGTAAGAAGATGAATTTAATGAAATGAAATAAAAGGAGAACTAAAGGATCTTCCCGATTGTAAATTTTCTTCTCGCATTATCGTCATCTGCTCTATAAAGCTGCATAAGCTCAATGACCTTATTAGGAATATATACCAGGTCCTGTAGCTTAATACGTGTAACCTAGTTGATTAGCACGTCTCGTGAGTTTACTGGCACCAGCGGTGCATGTGGGGCGGACTTTAGCAGGGAGGGTCTAGTTACCTATCGTTATCGGGGCCAATTCCCCTCGGTGCTTCCCAAGTTGGTAGTTTAAGATGCAGATGAATTTGATCATGTAATGTCCACGGGTAGTGTAATAATGTATGTGATCAGGTACATTTCTCAGCTTTCTTATCTTATTCAGTGTTATTCTAGCTTATCAGGGAGATCATGATATGTAGTAGACATCTGGAGGTTTGATGATTGAAGATGGCTGTATTATACGTATTATGCATGTAAGGAATGAGCGTTGGAGCTGGAGGTCTTGACGAAAGGCGTCACCTTAACGAGCACTAGTAATCACTGATTCACTGTGCACTACAACGTACATGTGTAGTTACCTTCTCCCGTATCTTATCAATTACAGTTGATACGACGTACAGCTACATGTAGGTAACTATGCGCCAGTCCGCATTCCATTTCCACACCTGGGCTAGGGCACCTTAGCATTCATTTATTCATTTATCCATCCTAGACATCCTAGGTACCTAGTAGGCACCTAGGTTTGCATGGATTGCCACATATCTACAGGTACTACCTGCATACCTAAACCTTTCACATCCATAACTACCTGCCTATACAACAATACCACTACATACATGTAGGTATAACTACTACTAGGTACAATAATAGTAGCATGTACGTATGTATGTACTTGCCTACATATTACATATTACTACATATTACCTACATGCCTACAGTATGTACTTAATTCGAAATACTACTTGCATCAAACGTTAAACTTCCATTACACATTACAGACAACTACATCTTCTTTATCAACTTGACTCCATCAAGTTTCGCATTGTTTACCTCGATTTCACCATATTAGACCGACTTAAATTTAGTCCTTTCCATTCAAGCTCTATAGGGCTTTCAAGCGTCTCAAGCGTCTCAAGTACCTCAAGCACAAACCATACATACCCGCCACACGTCATATGTGTGCTTCGACGCAGATATAATCAATCACTTGACGTACTCGACGTTGGCATCCGAATACCTTCCCTGCCTGCGTGGCCTTTCGTAGCAACTAGCAACTAGCAACTTAACAACTTAACAACTTAGCAACTTGACCTTTTAACTCTTAGATGTTAGGTTCGCAGTCCACCTGACATGAGGTCAGCTATTGAGACCGATCGTCTATCTCAGAAGCTGTCATTCAACTTCAAGCTTATTCACAACGTCACTTTCGGACTCGTTACCACATTCCCTCTTCAGTCGACTACCAGGCCCAGATTCAGATCCATAATCCACCCCGCGCCAACCTCGACATCTACCTTGACAAGGTATTCCACATCTATCTCCAGCATCACTACGGTGGATAACCTGTATAATCCATCTCTTTGTAAGACTGCGGGTGTTTCCAGCCCGCAGTAACGAGTAGCAATTCGAAGTGGCAGACTCAACCCCCCAGCAACCTTCATCCACCCCATCCGCCTCCGACCACCCACCCACACCGCAACAGCCCCGATCTTCTTTCAGCACAATCATCTCAGCCCCCACCACAACCACAGGCCCCGCCGGCTCAACCCTCCTACCACTCCCCTCCAGTACTCGAGAACGATCACCTGCTGTATCATCACTACAGCGCCAAATTCTAGGAAGGCGGCAACGAGGTTTCGACGACGATAACAACGTCGCCGGCTCACAGTCGGAGCTCTCGGAAGCTCCCGCTTCCCATAATTCTTATACGATTCCCACAGAAAGTCCTAGGAGGAAGCGTAGGTGCGCTGAAAGTACCATGTTGGCGGACTCGGATAGGTCGATGGGAGCTAATGGCACTTCGAGGCCTTACGCCAATGGAAAGGCTAACCAGCGATCCTCGGCGTCAAGCACCGCCAATGGCACTCACAAAGCCCCCGGGGTAATTAACGGCTCTTCCAAAACACGACCACCGGGTAACTACTTTGGGCACAATCGCGAAGAAGTCACAAGAATCCTTATACAAGCCCTATCGGATATGGGCTATCATTCTGCGGCGCAGAGTGTGAGTCAGGAGAGCGGTTTTGAGCTTGAAAGCCCCATGGTTGCTGCTTTCCGTAATGCCATACTCGAAGGAAATTGGGAAGAGGCAGAGCGATTACTTTCTGGAGCATCAGTGGCTAGCGAACGAGCTGGGGAGAACGGCAATGGATTGATTTTAGGAAATGGAGCGGATAGACATATGATGCGATTCTGGATACGACAGCAGAAGTTTCTAGAGCTTCTTGAAGAAAAGAACACTGGCCAAGCCCTAATGGTACTTAGAAATGAGCTCACACCGTTATATCAGGACACACACAAGCTTCATTTTTTATCAAGCCTGTTGATGTGCCAAAAGACGGAAGACTTGAAGAAGAAGGCGGAGTGGGATGGCGCATATGGAGAGTCCCGGCATATTCTCTTATCCCAATTATCAAGTGAGTCTACAAAAATACAAAATACAAAATACCGCAAACGCTCGTCCTCCATGATGATCTGTCCCACTAATATTTTCTTCACAGAATGCATATCACCAGCTGTCATGCTTCCAGAACACCGGCTTGCTATACTCTTGCATCAAGTTAAATCGAATCAAATAGGAGGGTGCCTCTGGCACTGCAGTGCCACACCCCCATCTCTCTACTCAGACCATGTCTGTGACAGACGGCGGTTTCCGACAGAAAATGTAATCGAATTAGATGAGCATGACGATCAGGTCTGGCAGGTTATGTTCTCTCACGACGGGACAAAACTGGCTAGTTGTGGCCAAGGAAAGCAGGTCATCATTTGGGATGTGCCGTCTTTTGAGCCGATTCATTTTCTCAAAGATCATGAAGACGGGGTTGGCAATATTGCCTGGAGCTGGGATGATTCTATGCTAGTAACATGCTGCCAGGATCGGTATGCGAGGCTATGGGATACTAACGTAAGTTGGCAAATTGGCTATGTTTCTAAAACCCACAACTAACATGTATAGACTGGTGCTTGTCTTCAAAAACTTGAACGGTCCCAAGAGCCAGTTACCAGTTGTGTATGGGCCGCAGATAGCCAGACTTTTGTTACTGGTGCGCTCGATAAAAGTCATGGTCTAGTTCAATGGAATATTCGAGGAGAAAAGATATACGACTGGAACTGCTCCCACAGAGTTGAAGACCTGGCTGTCTCGCCTGATGGGCATTGGCTGGTGGCAGCTGACGGCGGAACTAACATTCACGTTTACAATTTTGTTACTCGCGAACTGGCTTATCAAATGGACTTGCAGGTTAGGTTAACATCCATCAGTATCAGTCAAAACTCCAGGCATTTGCTTGTAAACCATAATAACGGCATTGCACAACTTATCGACCTGGTTCTTCGCGAGCCAGTTCAAAGCTATACCGGCTTCACCATCGAGAAATTCATGATCCGAAGCTCTTTCGGGGGGGCCGATGAAAGCTTTGTAATAAGCGGAAGCGAAGGTATGTAAATTCCCCACATGAGATATTTGTCTTGTAACTGACAGGATCATCAGATGGTTCAATCAATATCTGGCACAAAGCTAGTGCACAATTGGTAGAGAAGCTGAACGGGCATATTCCTGGATGCAATTCTGTGTCGTGGAACCCGGCAGATCCATGTCTGTTTGCTTCCTGCGGAGACGACGGCAAGATCAAAATGTGCGTACCCTCCTTATGAATATCCTCTTATGAATTATGTTTTTATATGGAATCTTGGAACGCTTATAACTAACTATGGGTTGTACTACAGATGGTCCAACAATGACTGGCGCCGCACCCATCACCAGGGAAACCGGAATGCGAATGGCTCTTAGCAGAAATTCGCTAGTGTCTACATATGTAGTCCAGCGCTTTGATTTCCTACTTACAGTACTTGCATGGACCTGGCGTATTTGGATGACGGTACCATGGCGTTTCTCACATCTATGCTAGTGTGGCCAACTACATAAGAGCACACTGGGAATGATGCGCCATGCGCGCGATATTGCCCTGACGGTGGGTATGGTCATTCAATGTATTAATGGCACATAATAAGTTTCGCTCTACTAAGACACTTGGGAAAGGGGGATACTTCTGCGTCGTTTCAACAGTCGATCGGATAGACTTGAGAGAGCTGGCAAGGGCATTTGTATATTCAAGGGGTTTATGTAAAGGTATCCCTTCTCTCATCAGACCCAGCCGAGGCTATTAGCATAGACGTTTCTGTGAGGCAATTGCGCGTGGTCCTCGAGGTCACAACCTCGACGCCACAAGGAAATTATTCAGATAGTTGCCTAGGTACCTACATAGACAATGCTTCAATGTTTGTGACTGTGAAATATAGAACTAGTATTGTTCTTTAGTATAAGTACCTGTTGGTTATGCGTCGGTCGTCGTCATCTATGCCCAACTGCTGACGCATGCTTATCCAGGCAGCCATATATAGAAGAAAAAAGAAGAGAAATAAACCAAAAAAAAAGGTGCCCCCTTGAGGTAACTATTGAAGACATTCGCGAAATTGATAATTGAGATGTGGCTATGTTAGTATACTGTACTATGTTATGTCCTTAGGCTTAACTTGAATCTTCAATGTTCAAGTTCCCAGTTTCAGGGGCTAAAGAGCATGAGCGCATAAGCCACTTGATCTCAGTTCCTATTGAAGTTGCATAAGAGGTATCCACAACTGCTTTTGCCAGGTAGTCACATGTCACATATGGCCCGATAAGGGATAGTATATGCTTATTATCTGCTATCAATGCCGTAGTGCCTAGTACTAGGTGCTAATTAGGTACTAACCTAACATTTATTATTGATACGTAAGGTACCTACGTACTGTAGGGCAGCAGGCCAGTAGCAGTCAAGTGCCACCTGCGTTGCGCCTGGCGATTCAATGTTTGATCAATGTTCCTTGAACCAGATTTCCATCTTATCCTCTCAAGATTCCATTTTCATACCCTCCACTTCTTACAAAATACAATCACTACATGAACTGTGTTCATTTGTGATTTAATACAACTGCTACTTACTGTTAATTTGTACCATCCCTTCTTAACCTTGGCCTCGAAGTTAGAAAGAGGATCTAAAAACCCCCGTTGTTTGTGTGGAGGCCCGGTTTTGAGACTAAGCTCTTCGCCTTCAACTCGAGACTACTACTATACCTCCTTAGGTGCATAGTAGAAACGTAGCCTTATTCTACGACTCCCTCGTTAGTGAAGTTTGGTTTGTACACATATTCCGACGTCGAAAATCAGATTAGACCTGGACTGCCCAACATGGCCGATACTCTAGTAACCCCGGGAGGTATCTCGGATCCTGCCCTCATCAAGTATGTGTGTTCTGGCGGCATCTTTGCCTGTGCGCGCAAACGTTTCGCTAACCTCAAACCTATAGACTTGTCAACAGGCTTCAAGACGTCTTCTCCACGGTCGGCGTCAACAATCCTATCGATCTGCCCCAAATTGTTGTTGTTGGAAGTCAGTCTAGTGGAAAGAGTTCCGTCTTAGAGAACATCGTCGGGAGAGACTTGTGCGTCACCGCTCATCCCCTTTCATACCATACGGGTCCCATACCTATGAAACAAGCCAACTAATTGTTACCAAACAGCTTACCTCGAGGATCCGGTATCGTGACGAGGCGACCTCTCGTTCTTCAGTTAATCAATCGACCCGCGACTTCACACGCGAACGGAGTTAATGACGATGTCGCTAATTCTTCGGACAAGGCAGCTAACCCAGACGAGTGGGGCGAGTTTTTGCATATCCCTGGACAGAAGTTCTACGATTTTAACAGAATCCGGGACGAAATCAGCCGGGAGACGGAGGCAAAGGTTGGTCGCAATGCTGGCATTTCGCCTGCCCCGATCAACCTAAGAGTTTATTCTCCCAACGTCCTCACCCTAACGCTCGTCGATTTGCCGGGTCTGACGAAGGTTCCAGTGGGAGATCAGCCAAGAGATATCGAGCGGCAAATCAAAGACATGGTCCTCAAGTATATCCAGAAGTCAAACGCGATCATTCTGGCTGTCACATCTGCCAACATCGATTTGGCTAACTCGGATGGTCTGAAGCTCGCCAGAGAAGTAGACCCGGAAGGACAGAGAACGATCGGAGTTTTGACAAAGGTGGATCTCATGGACGAAGGCACCGATGTCGTTGATATTCTTGCTGGCCGCATTATTCCACTTCGGCTAGGCTATGTCCCTGTTGTCAACAGAGGGCAACGAGATATCGACAACAAGAAGCCTATTTCCTCCGCTCTTGAAGCAGAGAAGAACTATTTCGAAAACCACAAGGCCTACCAGAATAAGAGCACGTATTGCGGTACTCCGTATCTAGCAAGGAAGTTGAACCTGATTCTGATGATGCACATCAAGCAGACTCTGCCAGATATTAAGGGCAGAATTACTAGTTCTCTCCAAAAATATTCTGCTGAGTTGGATTCTTTAGGACCGTCAATGCTAGGAAACAGCGGGAACATTGTTCTGAACATTATTACCGAGTTTACTAACCAGTGGCGAACCGTCTTGGAAGGCAATAACGGCGAGCTGTCCAGCACCGAGCTTTCTGGTGGTGCCCGAATCAGTTTTGTGTTCCACGAGCTGTACTCCAATGGTGTGAAGGCGGTTGATCCTTTTGATGTTGTCAAGGATGTCGATATCAGAACGATACTGTACAACTCATCTGGTTCCTCGCCAGCACTCTTCGTTGGAACGACCGCATTCGAAGTCATCGTCAAGCAGCAGATAAAGCGGCTTGAAGAGCCTAGTCTGAAATGTGCCTCACTCGTTTATGACGAGCTGGTGCGCATTCTGACACAGCTTCTTTCTAAGGCATTATACCGAAGATACCCATCGCTCAAGGAGAAGTTCCATGGCGTGGTTATCGGGTTCTTCAAGAAGGCCATGGAGCCTACCAACAAACTTGTTAGGGATCTTGTTTCCATGGAATCTTGCTATATCAACACCGCCCACCCCGACTTCCTCAATGGACACCGAGCCATGGCCATTGTAAACGAGCGGTATAATGGGGCGAAGCCTGTACAAGTTGACCCCAAAACTGGAAAGCCTCTACCAGCTACGGCTACTACTCCGGCTCGTGCTGCTAGTCCCTCGATAGAAAACTTGGACAACAACTCGGGCTTTTTCGGAAGTTTCTTTGCCGCCAAGAACAAGAAGAAGGCTGCCGCCATGGAGGCTCCTCCTCCGACACTCAAGGCTTCCGGGACTTTGTCGGAGAGGGAAAACATTGAAGTTGAGGTTATTAGTGAGTAACGAAGACTTGTCCTTGCGACGACCCCATTACTAATAAAATATTATAGAGCTCTTAATCGCTTCCTATTTCAACATTGTTAAAAGAACAATGATTGACATGGTCCCCAAAGCCATCATGCTCAACCTCGTCACGTGAGTGCTTGATATAACAGAATAGACATGGATTCGAGTTTGCTAATCGAGTGACAGGTTTACAAAAGATGAAATGCAACGAGAACTCCTGGAGAACATGTACCGTAACGAGTCTTACGACGAACTACTAAAGGAGAGTGACTACACTGTCCGCAGACGGAAGGAATGCCAGCAGATGGTCGAATCGCTTAGTAAGGCCAGCGAGATCGTCAGCCAAGTGCAGTAAGGTGTGGAGGGGCTATCTCTATAGGCCTCAAGAGTCATCAAATGTTGGTCGGATGAGCAAAATAAGCAGAATGACTAATGCGGGACGATACGGAAGGGGCATACTCCACCAGTGTTGAAGTGTGCGCGGTTTATTTGTTGGTAGTCGGATTTTGGGTCTGTTGAGTACTTCTTCTCTCCCCCTTCCCCTTTTTTGCCATTTTCTAGAGGGAATCCTTCTTTATATCACATCGTCATACCCCAAGCCCTTCCCCCCTTTAGACATGTCGTTCGGTAGATGAGAGTAGCAGTAGCATTTTATGAAGTGCGGAATGAGTTTAATGTACTTAAAATGAGAAAATGCCTGATGAGGACCAATTCTTCTCAAGACTGGGCGCTTACCGAGGTACTTTTTAATGGGTTCAAAGCTATCCCTGGATCTAACTTATTTGCTTATGTGATGAATCATGCTGAATACCTATGGTAGATAGGCTCGACCCGAGACCTTGGTTCCTTCGTAGCGGGCCGAGCGGAAGATAAGCATCGGTAAACCTATCTAGGTACCAGCCTAATCTAAGCAGCTGTGCTGTAGAAACAGCCTTGTTGATATTATATGTAGGCATGGTATATGTACGTGATATCTGACGGGTTCCTTTTATGGTAGAGAGAGACGGAAAGGGGGTGAAGAAGCTGATGTGATGGGACGTGATATGACATAAAAAAAGGGGGGGGACAGTCGCCTAGGTAGGTAAGGAAGAAAGGAAGAAGAAGGAAAAAGGGGGGCATCCAATGTTCCGCAATGCATCGATACCTATGTACAGGTATCTAGGGTGTATGCACGTATTAAGACGCCACATAAGACCACCCCCGGAGGCGGCACCGAACGTGTCTGTCTATCTACACGTACTGGGTACGATACACTTTTTGAGCAGATAAACATGGCATCTGTGTACTTTATTTCTGATTCGGCTAAGTACCTTGATGCCCGCTTCCGAATTTCGGGGGGGGGAGAGAGGTGAGTCAAGGTGTAAGAAGGCTGGCCGGTTTTCTTTTGGGGGGCTGCATTATTCTTACTTTCATATATTGTTGTTTTGTTTTGTTTTGTTTTGATGATTGGTTATTTGACTCATACGCCTGTCTGTGTAGTTATCTACTTACAAACCAAAACGCGGACGAAAAATAAAAATAAAAAAAAGAATTGAACTTGGAAAATCCCTCCCCCCTGGCGCGCTGCCTACCTAGGTAAGTACTAGGTAAGCTACTGCACAGGGAAGGGTTAGAAAAAGGGATCTGGCGGTCAAGCGGCCTTTTTTTTTTTCTCTTTTACCTAACTACCTACCTACCTACCTCCCGTCCCCTCCCCATTAAGTACTAGGTTAGGGAAGGTTATGTATGTAGGTCAGGCAAGTATCCATCGTATGTACGTAGGGTAAGGATACATACATGCCCATACATATACCTAGCGATGAGACACGAGATAGATAATTAGATAGGATAGGATAAAAGAAATCCGGGGGTGGTTTTGTTTTTCTTTCTTCCCTTTCCCCCTTGATGTGCTCAATGCGTAAATGACGAGTCACCGACATACATACATACCTAACACATAATATCCATCCATCCATCCATCCATAGTAGGTTCACATACACACACGCCATACTTACCTACATACACGACAACCCTGCGGGGAGGAAAGTAGGTCTGGTCTGTAGAGAGGCGGTGACACAACGAGAAATATAGGATATGTACTGTAGGTATCTAACCTAGTGGGTTTCGAAATAAGAGAATAATAATAATAATAAATAATAACAACAATAAGAGGAAGAAGAGAAAGAAGTGGGAGATTAATAAATGAATAAAATTAAATAATAGTTATTCTTGTTAGCCATGCCATAGACGAACTTATCTTCCTTCCTTCCCCCCTTTCGTTCTTTCTCATCCTTTGCGGTCCGCCATGATCAACCACATCAAGTCTAATACCGACCTTCACTTTTGTCAGGAGGCGACGCCGACGCGGCTTTCGTGAGCTTCTCTGATCTGACCCATATACCTACCCTACAAGCAAGGAGAAGAATATCTTCCAGCTTCACCAGCTTTCTATCATTCTTATATCACCGCTTCTCATTCCTTCCCTTCACTTCTAGCCGCATTCTAGACGCATTCTAGACGCATTCTAGAAACAAACGTTCCGACGATAATATGGAAAACCAGTCCAGAAGCGACCCTCCGTCTCCACCGCCTCCGCCACCGCCAAGTCCCAGCAGATCATCTTGTTGATCAAATCGGCTTCTGGAAGATTCCAAACAGCATCATTACGTCTGATCTGAGAGAAGAAAGTCTCGGCTCCTCTAAAAAGTGAGAGGAGATCATTTGTCCCTTTCTACGAGAACCTTTCTGAACTCATAATCGTTGTTATGAAGTCAGATTTATGCTAGAATGGGGTCAATGGACCTCTCGAAAAGGCTCGGCCGAGAGTCAGAAGGAAAAAAGTTTCTAGAGCATGTTATGTGGTCGTGGGAAGTAGACATGTGTGAAGAGCGAGCTTCCTCGTATCAGCTTGGCGTCAGCTGATGGGGCTCCCAACGTTGCGGTCAAGGGGTTAGAAGGTGGAAAACGGCGTCTAAAAGTGTGTGCTTGCTTGGGTCGATATTAGAGGGTTGATTTGCCAGTTTCGTTTGCCACGTTCTCGTTAGACCTTTTCCTTTTGGTTATAATTTAGATTTGTCTTTTACCATCACCACGCCCCCATCTTTAACATCAAAGTCCTTGCCTTTGGTCCAGTTGTACCAGCTGCTCAGAGCACCTTCGCCTCCTTGGCCTGGGGCGAGAGCGTGGCCAATATAGCCGCCCCCGGGAATACCAGGGCCCTGTCCGTGGATACTTGGATCAGCGCCCTTCTGATTGACCGCCAGACATGGTGTCTCACGTAACGCGACCACTGGGCGTTGATCGCCTTCGCGGCCGGCATTTGTTTCTAGCTCTGGATATCCCAGGACGGGTGTGCAACAAGCATCCGTTCCATCAAAGATTGCCTCCCACTCTGAGCGTGTCTTTGACTTGAATATCGCCTCGAACTGCCGTCTCATTTCTGGCCAGGTTTCTCGGTCGTAACGCCGCTTCTCCCAATTCTGGCCACCCAAGCCCAGTCCAGCGATCAAAGCAGCGTAGAATTGTGGTTCTAACGCGCCCACTGCCATGTAGCCTCCATCTTTCGTTTCATATGTATCGTAATAAGGACTACCGCCGTCCAACAAATTCTCACCGCGCGGATGATCCCCGTATGGTGTCTTCAGATTTTGTCGCAAAGAAGTCGCAAGATAACTAGTTCCGTCCACCATATTCGCCTCTACAACTTGCCCCTTTCCTGTTCTTTCCCTGGTGATGATAGCGAGCAAGATGCCCTGGACTAATATGGCGCCACCAGCGGCGAAATCAATGAAGTTCATGGGTGGGTGTGGCTTCTCACCACTCCGGCCTAGTAGAGAGAGCATCCCGGAGACTCCAATGTAGTTGATGTCGTGACCGGCCATGGCGGCGTATTTCCCATCTCGGCGGAAGCCCGTCATGCGCCCGTATATCAGACGAGGGTTCAAAGTACACAGAACCTCCGGACCGAGGCCGAGCTTTTCTAATACGCCTGGGCGGAATGGGTCAATGATTACATCGGCTGTCTTGGCTAGTTCCTTGATAAGTCCAACGCCATTCGATGATTTTAGGTCCACGGCGATGGAGGATTTATGCCTTGCGAGCAAATCTGGTGTTGGATCTTGAGTCCCAGTTACACGATCAATACGAAGGACCTTGGCGCCGGCATCTGCCAGGAATAACCCCGCAAAAGGCCCTGATTGCTGTTAGTAAGGTGGTCGTGGGCGTTTTGGTAACGTACATCGTACCGGGTGCGAGACCAGCAAATTCAAGGACTTGGAGCCCCTGAAGTGGCAGCGTTCCTACCATGTTTTATAGTTGGATTTTTAGTTAGATTTTATAGGTAGCTTTTACAGGTAAATAGTTTCTATATTCCCGAGACGAAGTACTAGAGATGTCATAACATGTCTCAGAGCGTGCCACTGAGTGGGTGTGATTGGGTGTAAGTGGATGTAAGTTGATGTTGGAGATGTTGCCAATACATATACGCCACATGTAGTTCAATGTTGGGGACGGCGTGGAGAACCGAGGCTGCTTTGAGCCACAGTGCGATATGTGGTAGTCTTTAGCACTGTCCCGAATATCCTCTTTAAGTCTTGCCCGAAGCTTTCTTCTTGTTCGTATTTTCAGACACAAGGCCAGCTTTGACGAATGCATCTCTCGCAGTTTGGTTTATTAGGGCAAACCGGCGAGGGCCCAGTTTATGTCCACCGTACCATCGGGTAACAATCACCATGACATTCCAGAGGTCCATCAGTTGCATTAGATGTAGCAAACGACCCCCAGCAGCAGTCTCGCCGTCATCGTCACAGTCTTGAAACGTAGTGTTGTTCGGCCCCTTTATGCGCCACGCTGTGATGTTGTGCGTGGCCGTTCGAACCTTCTTGTCAGTGGACAGTAGATGTTGAACAAACGCCTCGGCTTCTTCCGTTGACGAGACAGGGGCACATCGGGCAACAAATGTTGATTTCAACTCAATAAAAAGATCTGATAGCACCCATGGAGGCTCTGGTATGTTAGAGGCATGAGCTTCTGCTGCGGATCTATTACGAGGTACAACATCCGTAGCCTCTTCTTCTTCTTCAGGGACAGCGTCATGGGGGTCGGTATCTTCTGTGGCTGAAGACTCCAGAAGCCGAGTTAACTCCTCTATGGTATCGAAAAGGCAGACAGCTCCTGGTTCGTAAACGCTGCTCAAGGCCTCACAGAAAAAAGATAATTCTCGCGCCGCATCACCTCGCTTTCCATGCTCACCAGTACTATTAGTACCAAGAACGACAGGAGGCACTGCGGGATAGGTGGGAGGGAACTCGATACGGAGGGATGCTGATTCGCTCGGGGGTTTTAGTATATAAATATTTTCGTCGTTTGAGGGTACCAAACAGCCATCGCCATATATCGAGTTGATTGCTTCAACCTCATCCCGAAGCTCTTCAGACATCTTGTATCTTTTTCTCCTTTAGGCGCAATATAGTATTAGGTTAGTACTTCGTATATGTATACTCTGTATTAATATCCGTAGATGATATTATAAAAGATATATATATGTGTACGACATAAGCATTTGACATTGGAAGACTTCAAGGTTCTTCTATACCTAGGTAGGGTACCTGAGCACTCAATAGGTACTAGGTATTAAATCACATTGAGTTCTGGCATTACATGGAATGAAGGTGATGATAATGTAAGTCAGGTATTCTCCTAAATATTTTACTAAGGCAGTATGCAAGGAACGATTCTTTTATTTCGGCATATAGTACTAAGGCTGTTAAGTAGGTGCACATAAGGCGCGTGCTGATCACTTGCAGATACATACCTACATGCACTAGCCTCTAGGTAGTAGGTACTGTCTACATAAATACCGTTGACCTAGGCTAGCTAAGGCACCTACTTAGTATTTTTTCAACCTGAATCCACTTGGTTCTAGCGTTTCTACTAAACTTTCTAGTGGTTCATAATTCACATGAGAAGGAGGAGTCGAGAACCCCATCCCCCATTGCCCCTCCATTTTCTTCTTTTTTGTCCTACGACGTAAGCTCCGAACTCCGACTAGCATCTTTTCTCAGTATCAGCACAAGATTGCAATGCCGAATTCACTGAAGACGACATCTACATAGTAATCTCGATTTAGAAACCTTGAGCGCCGCAACTACCATACTATTCACTTACCAGCTTACCTACTCATAGTGGCTCAACGCTTTTTTGGAAGCTTAACCCATTGCTTCTTCAACCCCATTTCCTTATTCTCCGCTCTTACTCTCATAACCAAATTCTTCTTGTTGAAATTATATCCCATCAGTCATCCTCCATAACCTTCCCTCACCTTCCAATTCGCCTCTGAGTACTCCGAGTATGGCATCAGCCGTAGAGCAGGCTACGGCCTACAAGAACGATGGCAACAAAGCCTTCGCCGCTCACAACTGGCTCGGCGCTATAGACCTCTATTCCAAGGCCATTGACTTAAACGACAAGGAGCCCACCTATTTCACCAACAGAGCACAAGTTTGTATTCCCCAGCTCTGCTCGGAGTTCGTTCCAAAGTGCTCGCGTGACTAACCTTGAGTCAAATCCTATGGTAGGCGCATATTAAATCCGAAGCTTATGGCTATGCCATTGCCGATGCTACCAAAGCGATAGAACTGAATCCAAAATTCGTCAAGGTATGCCGCAGTTGGGTCTCAACGTACATCCTTCCAGAAGTACTAAACAGTCGCAATTCAGGCTTACTTCCGTCGTGCCGTTGCCTACGCCGCCATACTTAAGCCAAAGGATGCCGTCAAGGACTTCAAGAAATGTGTCGAGCTCGACCCGAATAACAAGGACGCAAAGCTCAGACTCGCCGAATGTCAAAAGATTATTAGACAACTAAATTTCTATGCTGCCATCGAAGTCGGTGATGAGCCTTCTGCCGCTGAAGGCCTCGATGTTGATTCCATTGCTATCGAGCCAGACTACGACGGTGTACAGCTCAAGGACCAGATGACCCAGGAATTCATCGATGACATGATCGAGAGGTTCAAGACCGGTAAAAAGATCCACAAGAAATATGTCTACCAAATCGTCATCGCCGTCAAGAAGATCGTTTATGACGAGTCCACAATGGTGGAGATAAAAATTCCCGAAGACATCAAGTTCACAGTTTGCGGCGACACGCATGGTTAGTCTAAAAAAAGTTGCGCATGCCAAGTCAGAGCTAACCGTATCACAGGTCAGTATTTCGACCTGATGGAGCTCTTCAGGTTAAACGGTCGTCCGTCAGAGAAGCACTGGTACCTGTTCAACGGCGACTTCGTAGATCGAGGTTCATGGTCGACAGAAATCGCCCTGCTTTTGTACGCATATAAATGGCTACGCCCCAACGGCATGTTCCTCAACAGGGGCAACCACGAAACAGACGACATGAATAAGGTGTATGGATTCGAAGGCGAGTGCAAGGCCAAATATAACGAACGGTATGTCTTCATTGTGATTCCCAAACTGCCGCCCTGATTCTAACATGGGTATAGTGTCTTTAAGCTATTCTCCGAAAGCTTTTCTGCATTACCCTTAGCAACGCTCATTGGAGACAAGTACCTTGTCCTACACGGTGGTCTATTTTCGGATGACAACGTGACTCTAGATGATATTCGAAAGGTGGACAGGCATACCCAGAGACAACCGGGCCAATCCGGATTGATGATGGAAATGCTGTGGACAGACCCTCAAAAGGCGCCTGGCCGAGGTCCCAGCAAGAGAGGCGTGGGTATGCAGTTTGGACCGGACGTGACGAAGAGGTTCTGCGAAAAGAATGGTCTGGACGCGATCATCCGAAGCCACGAAGTGCGTATGGATGGTTATGAGGAGGAGCATGATGGCAGGTGTATCACAGGTAAGTTTGTTTCTGCTAGTCATCAGGTTCAATATCCCCTTTGGCTAACCAATCATCAACTGAACAGTCTTCTCCGCACCGAAGTACTGCGACCAGACCGAGAATAGGGGCGCCTACATCAACATTAGCCCCAGCTACAAGCTCGACTTCCACCAATTTGACGCCGTTCCTCATCCACCAATTCGGCCAATGGTACGTTTTCCCATCCCTGTTGTAAATGCAAATGACTATTGGTCTAATTCAATTTTCTCTAGGCATACGTAAATAACTCGCTCATGTCGTCGATGTAAATGTGAAGCGCTTCTCATGGTTGCATGTGCTGATGTTGCATGATGTGATGGCATAAGACGGCATAAGATGGCATTTTCGCATATATGGCATTAGGTATATCATTGGGGGAAGCATTGGCGTTGTAGGATATTGGAGAGGGAAGGGAGGGGGGAATATATACCAATACTGGCGGTACCAATGATAATGACTTCTTCCTGGCGTTTTTCTTCCCACCTAGCAGTCTCGAGATGCAATAATAGTGATTAAGTATTTGTTTGTTTACTGTTTAATATTGACCTTCAGGCAGACCATAGCTTGTCTTCGCTATCCCTGCCTACTAGGGACCCAAGCCAGTCAGAGCATCCTTTAATTCGAAGTGAAGAATGAATACGGTCCTGGAAAGATCCTTGCCAAGCTGTGATGGCGGCAGAAAATGCAGGCAGGTCGTCTCGAGGCAATCTCAACCAGCAACACTTCCCTTCTACTTTGAGGATGTCGATAGGAATGCCCACACCAGTAGTACCTAGGAATTGCTTGAGGGCAGATGTGCAGTAGGAGCGTACTTGTAGGGCATCCAGATCGCCAGGGTTGGCTGTGTCACTGAAAAGCTCTAGATGTGCATAGGAATATCTTGGAGATTTGATGGTAGCTGTGACTAGCTCATGTGACTTTTTCACCTTTGTTGTGGTTGCTGTGGTGACTGTGGTTGTAGTTGTAGTTGTAGTTGCTGCTGTTGCATCATTGGTATTCGACATGGATGTATCCGCATTTTCTGTCATTTTGGGGAGTTTGTTTTTTAAGGTTGTGAGGCTCAGTGCAAATAGTATGGATGGTATGAATGTGGTTGAGGAAGTGAATGGTTGGGTTGTGGGAAGGTGTTTGATGATCATGCACAGTGATAATATAACTACATAACTAACTAGCACTAAACTGCTAATGGAAGCATTCAAGGTTTGGACATTGTACTGTGTACCTAGGTACATATATTATGCTCTTATGCAGACTGCACTGTGTATTTAGGCTAGAGTGGGGGCTAGGCACTACCCCGCTAAACCGTTTAAATAAATCATATTTAAAACTTATGTTCTTATCCGAGCTTCTTACAACAGTGTTTTCTTCCACATTCAACTAACCGAGCTCAAGATGGGACGAAAGCATATTGCCAAGGCCGTGCCAAAACGGAAGAGATCTGCGCCCGAGGAAGCAGCAGCGCAGGAAGCTTCTTATAATTATTTCCTGCAGCACCAAGATTCTTCATCCTCTCCTTCTTCCAACAAAGAGGGCAAAGAGCAACGTGAGCCATACCTTGGTACTGCTACAGCACGCACGACTTCTAAGCCAGACAACATCTGTGAACTTCTTGAGGCACCTTTAACTGCAATTGAACATCTTGAAGCTGAGCAAGCTGAACAAGCCAAATCTTCGCAATTGTAAGTCCTGCCTCTCCCATCATTCCATCTATTCCATCTATTCCATCCTCTACTTCTCTACCTCCTCCATCTTCTATCTTTTCATCTCTCTACCCTTTAATTTTCCCGTCTTTCCCATCTTACACTTCCAGCAGCGCAAAGCGCGTCGCATCGCGTCAATTAAAAACCACCACATCGTCGCTGCTTACAGCACATATTCATACACTAATCACTAATTACCACAATCCAGGGCTACTCGACTAGCTTTATTCGACAATACACCAACCGACGGCAATATGGAGTCTAACGAAGCCTTCCCTGCTTATGCGCCCATCCCCCCAAACCAGATGCGCTACAGTCGCGCCTGCATGGTTTGTGCGATTATCCAGACGCAAGCGGTACGTCTTGATTATTTATTTTGCTTCAAAATACTACGCACCTAAACGAACCTACCGACCTTACCACGAACCTTACTTCACTATCCAGTCAAATCAAGTGTTCAGTTTTCTAATTAAGATGAACAGCGCTTCCGTTCCCACGGTTGCCCCAACTGTCCCTTCTTGGGCCTTAAAGGATCTCCTGAACAGATCGAGTCATGCACTTCCAGCGTTTTTGAGGGAACTCTGGCCGTCTTTCAACCCAAGAAATCCTGGGTTGCTAAATGGCACCGCCTGGATAACAACTGTGTCGGGGTTTATGCGATGAAGGTAAACGGTTCGTTGCCTGAAGACATTAAACAGAACATGGAAGACGACGGCCACATCTACATCCCGTAAGTTGTCTCCTATCGTTTCTGCTCCTTTCTCGATGGCTTTTCTGTTTTCCAATTCGTGCTTATGCTAACAAAATTTGCTCCTCAAATAGGCGAGATGGTAGCGCAACTGAGCTCGAATAGATTTCGATGAACAAGAGCGCTGCCGATCTGGCGCAGGCTACTGGCCGTGGATTGTGGCCCCGTTCCGCTTCAACCTCCAACCCGACCCCCCGTCCAGCCTCTGATCCTACTCGACGACAAGCTTCTGGTCCCGCTTCAGGCCGAGTTACTGGCCCTGTTGTTCCTGTTGTCCCTGGCTCTGCTTCCGGTCCTGCCCCTGGTCTAGGTAGCAATGCCACCCAGGCACAGGTCACTGTTCAGAACGGAAGCCATACCTCTGAGCAAGAGAGTCCTGAGGATGACGATTCGGAGCACAACGCACCCCCCGCCAAGAAAAGAAAGACCAATGCTAAGAAGAACAAGGGCAATGGCAAAAAGAAGGGAAAGAAGGGAAAGAAGGGAAAGAAACACTGAAAGGGTAGGAAATAACATCTCACTTGGCGCATTGCATCGGCGAAGGCGGCGTTTAATGATTGAGAAATTCGGAGATGTTCTGATACCCTTGGAAGGTTAATTTTCTTTTGATGCCTCGTTACCATATGTGGAGGAAAACTTGCAAAGGCATTTGAACACTACTGGCCAGAGATTTTGATCAGTTGGTCATAATACATATTGCCATGGCATATTTCTTCGGGGGATATTTGGTCTTGTACTTTTCCTTGCTCATAGTAATACATCACCAAAATACATGCTGGGTGACAATGCGACTTGAAGTTACTTGGTACTATTACTACTCCCTAATTCCGCTAACCCATCATCATCATCATCATCATCATCATCCATAACCCATGAACTTTTCCCTAGTACTCCATTCGTAATTGAGAAACATCTTTTTTTCAGAGCCAAGATAAATCACATGTATATCTAACTAGTAGGCAGCTACACACCTAGGTAGGTAGATAAGCTAATCAAGTCCTAGAAATACCCCAACCGCATCATCCGCTCCTCCTCGGGCTCCTCCATGTACGTCCCCACCACGCTCGCCTTCCGGCGCTCCTGGTCCTCGACCGAGATGTCGTCCAGCTTCGTGTAGCAGTCGATGATCTCGTCGATCAGGTCGTGCATCACCGTCGTCTGCCGCCGCGAGGCGTGACGAGGAGGAGGAGGAGCGGGCTCCGAGGCGGATGTCGTTGTTGTGGTTGAGGGTGATGGGGGCGGGGGTGGGCCGGTCTTGGTGGTGCTGTGACGGCTTTTTCTCTTCGCGGAGGACTTCTTGTGGTGGGGGTGGGGGTGCGGGCTGTGAGGGGTCGGGTTCTCCTTGATGCTGTCGTGGTGCTTGTGGTGGTGGCTACGGCTGTGGTTTTGGCTCCGTCGGTGGGCGGCGGTGCTGTGTCGGTGGTTCTGGGTGCTGCTGTTGCGGTGGATGTCGCCTGGTGAGTATGGTTGTGGTGAGAATGACGTGGGAGAAGCAGCGGAGGTTGAGGGAGTGGCGGCATGCGCGATCACGTCCTTGCCCGTCCACTTATTCTTCTTCTTGTTGTTGTCCTCCGTCCTCAGGGGTTGGGAGTGCGGCGACGGCGTGCGCGAGCCGGAGGAGTAGGAGCGCCGGGAGCGGCAGGCGAACATGGAGGCGTCGGACCCCGATGATGATAGTGAGTCAGATTCCCAGGAGCTGTGGCTGCTCCGCGGCCGCCGCGTGTGCGGCGAGTAGCTGTCCCCGTCCTCGCGGCGCGGAGGGGGGCCCGTGATGATCAGAGTGTCCTGGAGCGGGGAGACCCAGTGCGCTTTTCGGAAGCTGACTTCTTCTCCTTCTTGGGTTGGGTCGGAGGGGGGGTTGGTGGTGGTGGTGGTGTTGTTTTCTTCGATGGGGTTTGTTTGTATTTGTGGCGTAGGTGTAATGTCCTCGTTATGGGTGTTGTTGTTATTGTTGCTATTGTCATTGCTGCTAATATGAGTGCGAGAATTGTCGTGGGGACTGTAATCGGTGCTGATTTTGCGTGGCGGGCTGGACCTTCTGCTACTGCTCCTGCTATCACCGCCACCAACATAACCACTGCGATTGTTGCGGATGTCCGTACGGTTCGGTGGTGGTGATACTAGAGGTGATCGCTTCTCCATACGCTCCAGACGCTTCCCCCGCGGCGCAGGCTCCAGCTTGAAATCGTCCATGCTGTACCCGCTATCGACACGTCGCGGGACCCGGGATCCTGAGCGATTAGGGCGCTCAGGGGCCTTCGTATTGGAAGTCTCCTTGTTGTTGCCGTTGTCGTTACTATAACTGTGATTTTTGATGCTCACCAGCGTTCGGAGAGCGTTGACATCATCCTCCTTCGGAGACTGCGGCCGCGTGATGTCGTGCGTGCCGAAGAAGGCGCTCTCGCGCGGGTACAGCGCATCATGGCAGCTCGCGCAGATATTGTCCGTCCGCTCCTTGGTCGTGGTCAGGACGGTATTACACCCAGGCCACGGGCACGTGCGTATTGCTGCCTCCGACGTTGACGTCGTCTCGTGTTCGGTCGAAGAGTATGTGGATAGTGTCGGTGATGAGTTGAGGATGAGTCCGGGCCTCACGGCGCCTGGGTCACCATAGCTGGGTGTCCTGGACTTCCGCGACACGTCCTTGGGATTAACGGAAATTCCCCTCCGCTCATGTCGTACGCGCCACGAGTGGCGTCTCTCGACTTTCGCTTGATGATCGGACTCTGAAATCTTTCTTGGAAGATTGGACGGCCCCTCACGTTCCTCCTCCTTCTCGGCTGCTGCGGCCGCCGCTATCGCTGTTGCACGTCGGACAATAGGGCCCCGGTCAATTGAGCCACTGTCCACCGATCCATGATTGACGGAGCCATGAGTAACGGAACCACGGCCGGCGGGGCCATGATCAGCAGACTCCTTGTGATAGACTTGTATCGTCACGGCCTTAGGAGAGGGAGGCGTGCTTGGATGTCGAGCCCTTGCGTGATCCTGCCATTGCACGGCTTTCCCCTTTTCCTGGGTGATATTGTCACGTGGCAACCACTCAGGCGCAGCTAGAGGTAGAGATGGCGTGGGTAGGCTATCTCGCGTACCCTTGGGGCTTTGTACCGAATAGCTGAAGTTGCGCACCGGCGCTGTGTTTAACATAGATGCCGGTAAAGGTGTCACTTCCGCAGGGGGGCCCGTCCGCGGTGGTGCTGTCTTATCTAAGTCCCGCCCATTATGCCCCGTATATTGCTCTCGGTTCTTATCCTGCATCCGCAGAAGCTCGGCAGCGTACGCAGAGTCCGGCAGCGGTTCCTTCGACCTCTTGTCTACGAGCGGTCGGTCTGGTCGGTGCGTCACTTGATAGTTGGCTTGCCAGTCCCCCTGTTGTGACAGCTGCACTGGTGGCAGCGATGCCACCTTCTTTTCGTCATTACGCCTGCTACTTCGGAAGCTGTCTAGAACTCTCAACACGACGCCCCCACTGTTACTACTATGGTGTTTGCGAGTCTTCGATCTGGCCCGGCGGATCGACCCTAAGTGTCGGTGGGGTTTTTCTTCGTGAGGCATCAGCTATAAGTTACCAGTAGGTAGGTTTTGCCTTAAGTCTTCGTGAATATTCGCCGTCCTTTTTTTTTTCTCAGGTTAACTGCCTTTCATTATCTGACGAATAGATACTTATATATTCAGGGGCCTAGAATGGCAAAATAGTAAACCAATAAAAATAAATTCGCTTCGCTAGTATAGAATAATTAATGTGCTCATATAAATTAAATCATGTCGTCAGTAAAGAGTGACGGTAGGTATAGTGGAAAGTCAAAATAGTTGTTCTATGGCTCAGCAGAGGCGGGCACGCATCGCGTGGACGCAGGCATCGAGTCATAATAAACCACAAGTTTTTGTTAGTCAAGCAAAGTAGAAAGTCAAGGGAATTCGATGTTTCTTTGTCGCCACGTCAGGGATACAATTGTTCTTTTTCGTTATGGGCTACATTGTCTTCCCGTTGTGATTGTTGTATGTGTGCTTATAGGCTACAAGGACACAAAGAAAGCCAAGTCTTTTGTTTCTCATCCTCATGAATTAATGCATTGTGAGTCAATTGAAAGGATTCGCTGTCTGAAATTGCGTTTGTTTTGGACGAGCAGTGGTAGATTGCTGTCACGTCGTTTAGTTCTTCCCTACACCTATGACCAGAGTCATCTAGTTGTGTGATCCAGTGAATTTCATCTTATCTTGGATCTCAAGGAACTCCAATATTGAAAGCACGTAGATAAGATGAAAACTCATGAGCCACCGAGTCACAGTTCCCTATGTTTTGTCAGCGTTAGCTAACAAGTACATTTGCGAATAGCTTGAAGTCAAGATGCTCTATCCATGGATATCAAGCAAAGCCCTAGGGGTGTCACCCTGACCCCTCCCCTCTGATATATTCATAGACGATTCTTTGCTGACATTTTCAATACGTCATCGAATAAAGGTAATGATAGTTAATGACACACTCGTTGTTAAGCTGGCTTGGGTCGACTATGATCAAAAGCCAAAGATGAAAGCAGCAAGTTCCTAGTCGATTCCTAGGTATCTAGTAAACTCTGAAAGGTGGAAAGATCACTGAAAGCAGTGGCCAGAACCAGCACTGATTCATAACCTGGATGACAAACCCAGGCACAATCTTTTGGGATTATTCGCAAGAGAAAAATCAAGTCATACCGATTATTAATGGTAGAAATGTGCATTGTATACACGATTGCCATCTATAAGCTAGCTGTCACCGTCATGTTGTTGCTCAAAACCAGAAGGACGGGTGGAAGCTCATGACAAAGCACCTCGATATCGGTCAGGTACCTTAATCCGGCCTCCTCGCTTTTGCAAGTACCCTCCTCAGGAATCGGGAGAGTTGTTAAAATTATAGCTGTCTCGTTACTATGTTGTCGCATCAGCTCGTTGATGATTAGGTGTTGGGCACGGCTCGGTAAGTCGTTGAATGAGAGAGGAATGCTTTGTGTTGAGTATAAAGAGCGTATCTCCTCGTCTGCCCGAGGGCCAGGACTATAGGACTCGAGCAGCTCGGGTACGTTAAACTGTGTGTTTAGTGATTCATTGTTACGAGATATTGAATTTCTTCGTGACTTTAGCAACGGCTCCGATGCACTAGCCTCGGGTTCAGCGAACGTGAGTCGGGGCCCAAACTCATCCTCGTTCTCCACCTTGGTCTCCGGAACTGGACGACTGGAATAGCGCCCGACGGATACGTTCCGTGAAAATGGCGGGCGTCGAGGCAGAGCTGTTGCCGGCTCTTCTTCCGTAGAGAAAGTCATCCTTGGTCCTGTGCCCTCCTCGACGACCATTGTGGTTTCGGGTGTTGGTTTACTGGTGAACCTGCCTGTTGACGAGTGTCGCGAAAATGTTGGCCTAGACGGTGCTTTGGTCGTGGTGGGTGTAGAATCGCCCGATTCTGAAGCAACACTCAAAAGACCAGTAGAGCTTTGCGCTCGTTGAATAGGGGGGGCTGGCGTTATAGCTGGTCTTGTCACCGGGGCTATCGTGCCATACCCTGATGAATTGGTTGTAGCCGTATTCCCTGATTTCTGGGTTCTTTTACGTTTTGTATCCCCTAGTAGTTCTTCCCTACGCATGATATCTCCATAGCTTTTTCTCCGGCTGACAAAACTCATGGCACTATCCCTCCGCGAGGTTGCCAAGTCTTCCATTTCGCCATCACTTGCCGTGCTGAGACTATCATTGAAGTCAGCATCCATAGATTCTCCATCTTCGTCGCTATAATCAGTAGAGTCCTCATCCTCTTGACGATTGAAAGCAGAAGAGCTCAGTTGATGAGTATGGATCCCGAAGTTAAGGCCTAACTTCGCAATAGTAGAAACTGTCGGCTGCTTAGATTTGTCAAGTAAGTCATTGACATCTAAGCCTCTTGGCAAGCTATGATGACCATCGGATTTCGACATGGAGCTCCCTCTACGTCTGGTAGGATTGAGCATCTCCTCTAAAGAGGCGAGCTCTTGTGATCGAGACATTTCGTGAGCTTCGGTCCTCAAATTTTGAAGCTCTTGCCACCAATCGTCGTCCTTCAGCAATTCATGTATAATAAGCCCAGATTCGGAATTCATTCCACGGCCGTTGACGATAGTCTCGTAGCCCTGAAGTTGACCAGACGCAAGCCAAAACACTTGAATGGTAGCATCGATCCGCAACTTTTCTAATAAAGCTTTCAATCTTGCCTCTTCCTCCACAATCTCGCTTTCATATTCAACGAATACTAAAACGCGTAATTGAAATGCCTTTTTCCATGCCGGGACACTCCGTAAAATGTAGCCAAGTTGTAGAATCAACGTATCTTTAAACTGGTATCAGCATATTATCATTTTTCATCTTCACATAAAACTTACATGTATCAAAATTAGTTGTCAGCACGCTTTGAGCACCGTTTGTAATTTCGGCTGACATCTGAATCGGCCACAAATCAATATACTTTTTTATATTCCCTCCGTCATTTCGCGGAGTTTCTAGCGCCTGAAACCCTTTGCCAACTGCAACATTAAGACGGTGGCGCAGTGTGAGGTCCTCAAGAATTGTGAGATAGTCTATAACAGACATGGTACCCTCCGTACGGATTGAGTCTGTTGGAAGAAATCCGTCTAGTAGGCGAGCCGACGTGTCTCCTCGTCGACGGGTTGGGGTTTTCCCGTCAACTCTCGTCGAAATTCTTGGCGTTGTGGGTGTAGATGTCACTTTAGGTATTTGCGCAAGTGGCCTAGATTTCCGCAACTCGTCCATATCATAAAACCCCAGAACCGCTATATTGGGTCGCATACCGCCCAAGCCAGCCGACAAAATCAAATTTCGTACCCCCCATACAATTGTTGGCGACATCGTCAGCTGAACGAATGCCTTGATCCTCGAATATTCCGAGATATATCTGGTCCAAGCTGACTGCTGTAACTTCGCCTCGTGTACCCCCGTATTGAAGTCATCTGTTACAATGACATGCCCTAATATGTAAAGGGATCCTTTCTTCAGAGAATTACAAAACTGGATAAGCCGCGTATGGTGGCGAGGGTCATTAACTAAGAGGATGATTTGAGGTCTCCAGAACTTGATATGTTCAGGCTTGAGTCGTAGGAGGTACTTTCGTACCTGATGATAAATCAGATTCTGAGAAACATCACCCCAATGCTTCGGTGGGCTCATATAATGTATGATCAGGAAGAGGAATATTAGCACACAGATGGCTGCCGCAGCGTAAGTACCGTCTATGAAAAACATGGCAGCTGCAGAAAGGGCACTTCCTACAAATGCTGTATGCCAGCTAAAAAAGGTGAATGCGGGACGGAAGTTCGGGGCTGATCCTATCTTGAGTAAGAAGCAAGCTAAGTTCATGACAAAAAAGGTCATCTGCATCACGCTTTAGCTTTCGTACAAGGAGATCGTGAATATTCTTACCTGGTAGCCCATGGATATGAAAGTTGCAATCTGGTTTAAGTCTGCAAACAGTGCAACCTGTGCAATTATATAGGTGATAAGTATGGCCAGTATAGGGTCATCACGTCTGTTTCCTTTTCCGAATATGGATAGACCTGGAAGGAGTTTATCTCGTCCGAGAGCCTGAAGAAGTTTAGAGCTACCCAAGATTCCCATTAGAGCCGAAAAGAACGTTGTTGCACATTCTCCAGCAAGGATTAGTGGTGACCATATACTGGTCGTAGATATAATGTTGGTGTCTCTGAGAAAAGAAGGGTGAGTGATGCTAGAGGCTATCGACAAAATGACGACTACGTAGAGGAAGAAGGTCCACGCCATGGCCCACAACGTGCCTTTGGGAATAGCTTTACTTGGGTTCCGCAGGTCCCCTGACATTGATGCCCCAGCAAAGATGCCAGAAGTGGCACTGAAGAGAATTCCAAACAGCTCCCTGAATGTCTCAACGCCCTGATATGTAGAGCCACCAGTATGTGGGAACAGGTTGGAACGCATCGTGTCCATGCTTAAGCCGGTGAACTCGACCCCAATTATATCATTTTTGAATGGACTCATTACAACGGCTGAAACGGGAATGCTAAGAACGGCTAGAGTGAGGATGACAAGGAGACCACGGCTGGCTAAGGCGAAGATGGCCTGTCCAGCGAGGCTTAGAGCAGTGCAGATAACGAGGGCACAAGTCTGCATGGCATAGCCTTTCCAGTAGCCTTGTGGCAACAGAAGCCCAAGGTTTAATTTTAGGCAGTCTATAAGACCGACGACGTTGAGTGCGGTGTTTACTACTTGAGCAAGGTAGAAAAGCACGCCGATAGAACCGCCGAATTCAGGACCGAGAGACCTTGAAATTAGATAATAAGCACCACCACCTTTAACCTCTCCGTTGGACGCTATGGCAGACAAAGATAGTGTAGTAATCAAATCGATGACATAGGCTACAACGAGTAAACCTATAGAAATATTCGTACGTGAGGTCGGCAATGAGTTTTATTATGGAAGTAGAACCTACCGAGCATTCCCAGCAGACCGATTCGACCTAGTATAGAACCAAAACGAAGGAACATAAGAATACTGATGATATTCAGAACAACAGGTATAAAAACACCAGCGACAACACCTAGTTTGACTTTCTTTGCCGATGGTGCCGACTCGGCAGCCGTTTTATCTCCTCGAGATTCTGGAGGCATCTTGTCTTATGTTTGCTGTACTTATAACCTAGGTGTTGATACTGAGGGTGAAGACATTAGCCTTCAGCGCATTGTAGACATTGTAGACATTGTAGACATTGTAGACATTGTAGACATTGTAGACATTGTAGACATTGTTGATGAGAGAAGCGCATTGTCTTCTCTTCCTAGGCTTCGACCCCGCCTGAGGACCGAGCCTGGGGATGAGATGGGATCTTCAAGACCCGCGGCAGGCAATAAGATGCAACAACAAGCATCAAAGGATTAGCTAGACTCGTTATAGGCTAGTCTTAACCCCCACAAGGGCGTATTGGAATCTTGAAGCCAATTCTGCCCAATGACGTCGAGTAGCTGATCCCCAAATACTATGTAGAGAATAATACATCATAGTGGATTACTGTTCTTCTTTTTTCTGCGTTTAGAAGCGGATACTAAAGCGTATGGGGTCAAACTTGGAGTCGCAAGTTGATAGGGGAAAGAAAGAGTAGAAACTTGGAAGATGTATTTAACTAAAGAAAACTAGTGTGATGTTGTAAGTTGAAGCGCCTTTTTTTTTTCTTCTTTTTTTTCCTTTTGGGTTTTAAATTCTCAACAAGATTCAAGTTTCAAACGCTTTCGAAGATTGAAAAGTTGTGCAGGGTTCTAGGATTTTATGCTCTTATACAAGTTAACTGAGTAAGCGAATACTGTATAGTCGCATGACACAGTACTGTAAAGACTCTACTAAAAGGGATACTGTCTAATATCCATCGTAGGTAATTAGCCCGGCGATAATCGGAGAGATCCTAATTGGTTGATATGATAAAACTATAAACCGTTCTTATCCCGTGGGAGGGTCTTGAGGGTCCTGGGTGTCCACGGTTCCTTCCTAAATGATGCAGCTGACCGACTTGGACCAATTCTTCAGGGTCTGACTGATAAAGACACCCACCTGCATCATCACGAGCCTTCGCCTACATAATCACAATTCCTTCTCCCGTCTTTTACCATCTTGACTCCAACAACTCTGTACCATATAACTATTTCTTGGAACATCTTTTTGGTATGTATCAAACAAAATACCTATGATCTTGAAAAAGAGCTTCTAACCTACCTACCTATGTAGTGTTCTATGTATCTCATCCATCCATCCATCTACCTACTACCTACTTCCTATTACCAATTACCTAACGAGCCCTTCAATTGACTTATGCGTTGTAATTAGCTTCGAATAGCTTAGGTTTCATCGATTACGCAAGCCTTTCCCACGCCTAACCCTGACGCGTCGTAGTATTTCAATGATTGGCTTTTCCCATAGACCACAGATCTAAAAACACCATGTCGAATCCCGACCAGGAGAGAAGCATCACACCCCAGCCGGGTGGCCCCTTGGGTGTACCGATATCGTCCTCTCCGGGTTCCTTCCGAGGCCGTACGTACAGCACCTCCGTACCTCGTGCCGATGTCACTGCTCGTTTAGCTTCCCCTGTGCCGTCCCAAGCCTTTGGGACGCCCCCAACGCAAAGATCCCAGCCGGCGAATCGGGATAACGGAGAAAGCGCCGAAAGCTCAGGTCCTTTAGCAGGTGCCGCCGGCCAAAGCTCTATGGGTCCCGGTGTGTCCGCTCTTGCTGCAGCTCTTTCGAATTCGATAGGAACGTCGCCCCCGAGATTTGGCACTCCACCGGTACGATCTTCGTCGCCTGTAGGAACAACCTCCGGACTTCAGCCTTCTATGACCCCAACGAATTACGGCTCCTTCGAGGCAAGGTCGAGACATTTGCAGAATGGTGGTTCGGGGGCTTACGAAGACCCTGAAATAGTCAAGCGACATCTGGTTCAACCTACAGATGCTATTGATTCTGCCGCAGGTTCAAGTAATGGCGACAGGTCAAAGGGTAAGCAGGTTGGCGAGCCTGCAGGTCTAGGGCAAGACGACGAAGATTTTTCAAGTCTTCGCTTACAGGGAGGAGACATCACGCGCCAAATCTATAGATGGACAGAAGATGCAGAAGGCCGTGGCCGTCAACAACGTAGCAAGAGCTTTAGCCACGCAAGGGACGAACCTGAGAGCGACGTTCTTGATATAAACTCGATCAAGATTCCCGGAGGGTTTAGACGAAACTACTTACGAAGAGCCGCTCATAGCCCTATGAATGATGACGGACTGGAAGCTGGAGGGGGGATCCCAAGGGGCAGACGAGATCCCCAACTATTCACAACCAGCTTCCTAGAGTTTTTGTCTATCTATGGCCATTTCGCGGGTGAAGAGCTCGAAGAAGATGACGAAGTCTTGCGACCGGGCGAGTATTTCTCTTCTGGGGAAAGTGATGATTACTATGATAGCGAGGATGAAAGAGAACCAATGGAAGACAGTGCTTTGCTGACACCGTCTAAACGTAAGAGGAGACGGAAGACCCGAGGTGGCAGTGGCAAGAACACACCCTTCAACGCGGCTCTACTTCTCCTGAAATCCTTTGTGGGTACTGGGGTCTTGTTCCTACCTCGTGCTTATTTCAACGGTGGTATGCTTTTCAGCAATTTGGTGCTACTTTTCGTCGCAGCACTAAGCTATTACTGCTTCGTACTTCTGGTCACCACACGACTAAAGGTCGAAGGATCCTTTGGTGATATCGGTGGAATTTTATACGGCGACTGGATGAGGAAATTGATCTTGTTCTCGATCGTCATCAGCCAAATCGGGTTTGTCGCTGCGTACATTGTCTTCACGTCGGAGAATCTACAAGCTTTCATCCTCGCTGTCTCTAACTGCAACACGTATATCAAGATCACCTGGTTGATCTTGATGCAGATGGTTATCTTCCTGCCATTTTCGCTCTTCCGAGATATCGGCAAACTGGGATTCACAGCTTTAATAGCAGACGCTTTTATTGTTATTGGGCTGGCTTATTTGTTCTACTACGATGTTCTTACTCTAAGCACCAACGGACTTGCAGATATCATCCAGTTCAACCAGAAAGATTGGACGCTCTTCATCGGCACAGCTATCTTCACCTTTGAAGGAATTGGGCTCATCATCCCTATCCAAGAGTCTATGAAGCAGCCATCCAAGTTTCCCAAGGTCATGTTCTACGTTATGATAATCATTTCAGTCCTTTTCATCACCATGGGTGCCGTGTCCTATGCTGCATACGGATCGAAGACTGAGACTGTTGTCCTTCTCAACTTACCTCAGGATAACAAACTTGTGAATGGGGTCCAGTTTCTATACTCGGTCGCTATTCTCCTATCCACACCTCTACAGATCTTCCCGGCTATTCGAATCACCGAGAATGTCCTGTTCACGCGAAGTGGCAAATACAACCCCTATATCAAGTGGCAGAAGAATTTGTTCCGCTTCTTCGTTGTCTTTGTCTGTGCACTCATCGCATGGGGAGGTGCGGACAACCTGGATAAATTCGTTGCTCTTGTCGGAAACTTTGCCTGTATTCCTCTGGTGTACATATACCCTGTAAGTTTCCCTTCCGCGCCGTATAGGGTATCACCCAATTATACTAATACATTCATAGCCGCTACTACACTACAAGGGCGTGGCAAAAAGTAGAGTCCGTAAGGTTACCGACCTCATCCTCTGCGTCTTCGGATTCGTGGCTATGGCATATACCACTAGTTTGACGGTAATTAGCTGGGCGAGCGCTCCATCGGGTCCAAGCTTGCCGAAATATTGTGATACTCATAAGCTGTAAATTATTAATGCAGCAGTAAGGAGGGTTACTCATTAGAAGAAATGTATAGTACTTGCATCAGCGGCATCGGGAGATGTGCTCGAATTAGAAATTTGCTTATCCGCATGAGAGAGGAAGATAGAGTTTGTATGGTATATTTCGACACTGAACACTAGGGATGGCACCGGGGCTTTTTGGATGATACTATTCAGAGGTTGAGTAAACCTAGTACTATGTATGTACCTTATGTGTATCAATATACCTAGGTTAGTACAAAGGTTAGCACGTACATATAGTTACAGCTGTGTATGCTGAATTCACACACACATGCATGTTGTACTATGTGATGACACATCAGTAACCGTATTCATCGTGCTTTGTATGCCTTGTCTTCAATGTTGTTGTGAAATGTGTAATCCGTAGGAATGAAAGGATAATATTGAAAGTATGCTGTCCTTTAAAGTTCAATGTTCCTTTTAGCGTAACTACATGTATGTACAGTACTACTGTACTACTAACTAGTAGTTAGTATCTGGCATCTCTCTATTTCTATTGGCCCGTGCAGCATATTCCATAATTTATTTTACCGGTGTTTAGCCAATTGGCTCAGGCGACTTCTCTTTGATGTTGCCACTACAAATATGTACTGTGTACAACTTTGTAGGGCGGTCTTAGTACTTAGCATTGTTCATCCATTGTTCACCCGCGATCTGAATCGTGACTATCTTACCATCTTGAATATTTCAAAAGCTCGCAATATCTTGGGCGAGCCTTGCTTTACGCATTAGAACACGCCGTGAAATTTTAATTTTCTTTTTGAGAAACTCGCGTCTCGACATACCAGGTGTCACACTCTTCACCGTCGCCTTTTGCTCACCCTTGCTACTATTTCTATCCATTTGGATAACTACGGAAAGCTAATTACAAGATGAACGCGCCCGATCGGTTAGTTATATTTCTTTTCATTTTTCGGCTTTTGTTATCCCCTATGTAGTCCTGAGTACTCTTTGGTATACTCCCTTTTGCTGCTCTAGGATGTGGGAAGTCGCAATGGCAGAATGGCAGAATATACCCATCAGAGTTCAGAGGGAAGGTGCAACCATCCCGTCGTCAACCGCCTCGCGTGGACAAGGGTAGATGGTGGTGGTTTGCCCAATGAAACCCATCGATCTCGAACATCATCGTCTTCATTTCAAATATCGAAATATCGACGAGAAGGCCCCTCGAGCAAGGCTCTTCAGGCACAACACCTAGGCTTGAACCAAAATCTTTACAATCCATTAACTTCTACTCTCAAAACAATACACCCTCTTTTATTTCTACACCAAGATCTCTTTATCCTCATCTTCATTTACCCAACACCCCGAAGCCATCTATTTCACCTTAAGTTTCCCAGTCTACAAATCCTCAAGATGGATGCTGTAAACTACGCTGAGTCCGAATTGCTTCACTCGTTGATGCCTGGTTCCAAGTTAACGAGTTCTTAGTTTCGAGCTGTTCCTCCTTAATGAGGCCAATGGTGAAAAGAAAATCACCGAGAAGGCATTCGTCGGTATGTAAATCGTTCAACAGTCCTAAGCATATTTGGTACTAGCGAATATTAGGCATGCCGAATACTTCAGACTTCACCATCCTTAAAGAGGACCACACCGTTGGGAACCTGCTTGCTGAGCACTTCAAACAGCACCCCCATGTCATGATGGCTGGATACAAAGGTAAGATGATGCCCAGTAATATACTAGAGGAATGTAAACCTAAACCGCCTTATAGTTGCCCACCCTAACGTCCCAGAGGTCTTGATTCGCCTTCAGACCGATGGCACCATCACTCCACGCGAGGTTTTTGTCGACGTGTGCAAGCAGCTCATTGCGTCCCTTGCACAGCTCGCGCAGAACTTCACCCGTGAGTATGAGCTTCGTCGCATGGCTACGGCGGGGGACAATGATAACCCAAGCGGCAATGCCAATGGAAAGCCTTAAAGGGTTCTATCACGACAGCACGGAATTCTCTTAATGGACTGGAGAACTAGGATTGGGGGATACCCGGCGTTAACGGCTTTGACTCGCATTCTAGACAATTTGTAAATTCATGGCATAATTTGCCAACCGATGAACTGGACCTTTTAAGATGCTTAATTTGACTTATAGACCATTCTGTGAATATGTTTATTACTCGGCCTAGCTCATTGCTGCGGGTTAGCAGCATGGCATTGGTGAAAGAAACCCTCCATTATCAGATATGGATATCCCCCTGGAGCCTTATTTCTATGTGGCTACAGGCCCTTCTCCTCCCGGTATTAACTACATAAGATGGTGAGTTCCGCTGGATCATGTATTAGTGGTGGAGGACATGGACATACCATGCAAATGTTGTTGCCGTTTAAAAGGATCTTGGAGAGCTTGGTATGGTTTCCTGAGTAGTCGCTGTGCCCTTGTTAGATATCGTCTGAATGTGTATGCATTGTTATGCTGGGGATGAGTATGCCATACAATTCTGTCACGTCCTCTAGGACCATGTCTGCCAATAGCATTAGTCTACGCCAAGCGATAGAGGTATATGGTTTATATCTCTACGAATACTTACTGACGTAATCGTCGAATCCTAGTAGCGTTCCGCTGAATTCTATAGTTGCATAGTTAGTTAGTTATAGCTGTTCGTCACTGGGCTGATGGGCTCTGAGTGTATTTTTGAAGTTTGAAGTTTGAAGTTTGAAGCGCAAGGAGAGGGGCCCTTACCCTTGTCACCCTTCATGATGACCCATATTCTTGAGCCGACGCACTTGTCGATGAGTTCTGTGATATAAAAATGAGCCAAGACAGTCCAACTGGTTTTGATATTCATATATGATAACGTGCATAGATACCTAAGGGTAGTAGTTGGGACGCCATCTTGGGCGAGATAATGGAGATTGTCTTTGCGAGGTTTCTTGTTAATGGAATGGATGCTTTGAGAATACGGTGCTGAAGCTTTATGGATATATATATGTAGGTACCTAAGGTCTGTATCTGTAGTTGGCCCGGCATGTGGTTTTAGTTGATGAATTAGGTAATCAATCATGCAGAATGGATGACTAAGAAGTAACTAGACAGTGTCCACAATCAATTTGACAAACACTGCATAGTTATTCCATACATAACATTCCATACATAACAATAGTTAAACTATTCAATGTTGGCTAATCGTTGGTTAATTGAATCCCCTAAATATTACACCAACAGTCCAACAGTCCAACAGTCCAATAACTTACCGGGCTGCCTCACAACAATACCTACATAACTGCTTACTTGCCTACCAAACCCAAACAGAGCATTGAAGTTCCCACCATTCCTTCAACTTACTAGTTTTGCCTATAACTATATGTAGTCATTTTTTATTTTCTCGCAACGCGTCTGCCTAATAAGTAAAGATTCAAGATTTCGCACTAGTTACAAGGTCATGATGGGGCATCGCTGTCATATAATCCCCTAATCACCAATGACGTCCCTTGGAACTTCAGAGGTTGCCGCCAATGCTCTGAGATCCTCAAACGCCTTGCGCGCATCGCTCGTTTTGCGGTTAGTCCCATACCCTTGAACTCCAAGAAACTCGAAGAGTATTTATTAGCAGAAAGCATTTCTGCTACCTACAAGACAAACGACAAGAAATATATTAACAATTAATCATATATTCACAGCCGTTGGGCAGTACGGAGTGCTATAATGACCACTACACCACCAAAGTACCAACTCTGGCATCCTACTCGGGGAATCTCCTTCTCGCCAGTTGCGCGCTCGCCAAATCTCACTCCACAAAATGATCAGATTTTGAACGATCCTGCCGTGGCAAGGAACAAGGCTTATGCGGCTACCTCTTCAATAGACGACCTTGATCTATCTGCCTTGCCCAAATACAAACGTGCATCATATCCAACTCCAAACCATGCTGCGCTCGCCACGAATAAAACCACACCTATTACATCCAACCCTCCCGAGATAGCGGATCAAGATGAATCCACCCTTCCCCTACACAAGAGGAAGGCGCTATTCGACACGGCCACTTCTGATCACCCCCCTGCAGTTGCTTCCTCGTTCAAGATGGTGGATGACTTGTTCTACGCCGCCAAGAAGGCACCAGCTGGATCGGCTAAGTCATATTGGTCTTATACCCACTACCGAGGGAAAGGGCAGGACGGGACGGAGCAGAAAGTCAAGGTACACTATTGTCGAAGCAAGTTCACCATGGAAAAAGTATGCCGAGATTATTTCGTTGGCGAACCAGTGCTCGGGTTCGACCTAGAATGGGAGGTCGACTCATACAAGTGGCAAGGAGTCAAGAGAAATGTCTCATTGATCCAATTAGCGAGCCCCAGTCGGATCGGTCTTTTCCACGTTGCGCTCTTTAACGAGAAAGACGAAATGGTTGGACCTTTGTTCAAGAGTATAATGGAAGACCCAAACGTCACTAAAGTCGGCGTTGCTATCAAAGGTGATACAACTAGACTACGAAACTATCTAAAAATTGACTCGAAAGGGTTGATAGAGCTCAGTCACTTATATAAGCTCGTTACATACTCCGCCAATGAACAGTACAGCGAGATCAATAAGAGGCTCGTACCTTTAGCCACTCTAGTAGAGCATTACTTACATCTGCCCCTTTATAAGGGGCAGTCCGTCCGAGGAAGCGCTTGGTCGAAGGCCTTGGATATGGACCAAGTCGTTTGTAGGTTGAAGTCACGTTCGCTTTCATTCTTTAGCTCACCGTATTATAGACTCGGCATCAGATGCGTATGCTGGATTGCAGCTTTATGCCACCCTCGAACACCACAGGAAGCAACTTGATCCTTGCCCGCCCTCTCCACACCATGCGGAGAAGAACTTGCCTATCCGACTGGCTGACGGAGTAGAAATCGCTACAAACGAGGACCCCTCCGTCGATGCTATGGAGGTGACGCTCCTAGAATCTAACCCATATCCCATCAAAAAGCGGACGGCGTCTTCATCACCGGCGCGTCCCAAGGACTCGCGAGTCGAAATTGCAGAGGACAAGGTAGCTTGCTATCGGGCCACCCACCCCGATGCAAGTGCCACCTTTCTCCGTGCGTATTATATGTGGCATGATCAAGGCCTCGATCCGAAAATGATAGCGCAGCTCTTGCGAAGCCCGCCACTCCAGACAAAAACAGTAATCAGTTACATCAGCACGGCGATCAAGCGATATAAGCTCCCCGCTGATCCCGAGAGGATGCGCGAGGAGATACTGGAAGACGGGCCCCGCTCGAAGTGGCCCGAAGCAGTGGCTACTGCGGTCATGGCTCAAAGTTGAGCATCAAACCCGGCTGACGCTTTCACGCTCTTGTTGTGAGTCGTTCGTATCTGAGAATGATATAGGGCATACTAGGTATATAGGTACGCGAGGTACCTATTTATATATGGCCTGAGGATAAATCATTCTCCGGAACACGACCTGTTGGTGGGGTCTTGTCCTGTTGGCTCTTTTTCGGTTGCATAAGCAGGCATCCTATTAGGTACACATATGTACTGTAGACATTTCTGCCTCACGCTTCTCTACGATACCCTGTTTTACGGTCTACCCCCGATACCTACCTACCTACCTACCTACCCACCTACCTACTTAAGTCTAACTTTGACACTGGAGAAGCGCTCTTAGATATAAGAATCTTCATGGTTTCAGGAGTTTAGGCTGGGTACCTGGATAGATGGTTAATTGGTTGGTTGGTTGGTAAATGCTTACATAGCTACCTCCCCTGTCATATGCTTACCTAGATAGTATCGTCTAACTAGAGGTATACAATAAAATCCAACTCTTTGAAATAATTCACTTTACCTACAAATGGATATTGCTGGAAAGCCGTCTGCGTCGTTTGTGATTTGATTCATAGCCAAGCATGTTGATCTATGCCGTTGCTGAGTTGTATGTAGCCTTACTCTTCTTGCACAAACATAGTATGTAGGTAGGTACCTAGCATGTGTGTGTGTTAACAGCCATGGATATATATCACTACCTAGGTTAGAGTATACCTACCTCCTAGGTTAGGTATCTACCTAAATACACGGGCAGGCAAAGAGAATTCATTCATCCCGTAGCACGTTAAGCATGCATGCACTGTAGTTCCAGTATGAAGATAGAGGAGGGTGTCAAAAGGGGGTATTAGTTCTGTGTTATTTTCTCTATACCTAACCGCTACCTACCTACATACCCAACATGGAATGGAGTAAATTCCTCCTTCCTTCCTTCTTTCCTTCTTTCCTAGCCATTATACTACTCCGCCGCTGCGAGCAAGTCCCTCCCCCGGTTAATCTGCACGACCTTATCCTCGCCACCGCTAACAATACCCCAGTGGGCATCCCAAGCGACGCCGAAGAGCTTTGCGCCGCGGCCGGGAACGTCGCTAGCGCCGCCAGTTTTTTGGATAGAAGACTCGCGCTGGATGGTATGGACGCTCTCGCAGACGGAGCCGCCGCCCTCGGCGCGGGTTGCGGGGCGGACGCTGCGCAGGTCCCAGATGCGGCAGGTGCCGTCGTAGGAGGCGGAGACGAGGGAGTGGTCGTTGTCGGGACAGGGGGCGAGGCCGCTGACGATGTTGCGGTGGCCGCGCAGGGTCATGACGGAGGTCAAGGCGGCGCTGGCGCGCGGGTCCACGAGCGTGACGTGTCGTGCTGAGTTGCCGGCCGCGAGGAGCAGGGAGTTGCCGTTGCGGCGGAGGGCGCAGAGGGAGAAGAGGGGGTGCGAGGTGGTGATCACGTTCTCGACCTTGGAGGTGGTCAGGTCGAGCGTGCGGATCGTGTGGTCGAGGGAGGAGGTGTAGGCGATTGTGGAGTCGGCGGGGTCGAAGACCGCGGCGCTGGCGGGGAGGTTGTGGGGTCTCGTTAGGGAGAGGGGACCGCGCTGAGATACTGATGATGAGAGCTTGGCTTTTTTGGATGAGGGTTGGTCTGCCTCAGGAGCCTGGACAGCGGGGGCAGATGACTTGGAGGTGGTCCATAGGCCAACGTTTCCGTCAACTGAGGTGCTGAGGATTCGTCCGGTGGGCCCATGGACGTCGAGGGTATTGACGGCGGTCTTGTGACCACACAGCTGTAGAGTCTGTTTGAAAGTGCCCGAGAGATGATCATTGGCCTCGGCGTACTTCCATATGCGGATCGTCGCATCCTGGCCGCTAGATGCGATTTGGGATGAGGAAAGGAATTTGGCAGCCTTGATACTGTTCGCATGCCCGTGGAGTCCGGTCGGTGATGAAGTCGCGATAGCATTGCCTGAACCGTCCCATATCCGAAGTATGCCGTCATCGGAGGCAGAGAGAATTCTCTCTTGGCCAGTGGTGAAGTGGTCACCAGACCAGATGCCAGCCCGTGATGAGGCAGACAGCACATCGATGTCCCTGACCCAATCGTCGTGCTCAAAGCTTGCTTGGTAAACAGGAGGTATTAAGCTGCGGACGTATTGGAGAGTAATGGTAGATTCGGAAGAGAGGCCATTGGCCTTAAGATAGTCTTCTAGTGAGGTGCGCAGAAAGCTACCGTTGACGAGGAAGTCGAAGGGGATTGGGGATGTTGTATCAAGCATAGACTCGGAATTGAGGACTCGTGATAAGCCATAACGCTTAATATCTAGAACCTTTGTAAGTATTATATACTATTTTCAATACGAAGTGCCAAGACAAACCTGCTGGGACAAGCAATTGCGTTCGACCTTCTGGCAATTGGAGATCCGGAGATGTCGTCGTGAAGTTAACTCGGATCTGATGTGGCTCGGCCGTGCCCGGCTGGCCCATTGATGTATCCATCTTTACTGCGCAAGCCAGAAGAGGTTTGTGAACTAGGGTTTGTAATTTTCAACAATTTTCTGGTTGTATTAGAACTTGTCTGTAGTGTGAGACAGGCGCAGGACGTAATGTGCTATTCTTCAGGTATGTATCACAAAATCTTGGAGTTTATGGATTTCTTTTTTTTTAATCGATAACAAAATAGTTGGTTAGTTAAATCGATAAGATTTCAGTTAGGTCATGCAAGGTTAGCATCTGCCTTACCTTACCCACCCCGCGATGCAGGTGATTATGCCATTATGGTATTGTACCTGTAAGTAGTATTTCCGTACTTAACAGTAGAACGTTATTAACGTTAAAGCCACGCACTAACAAACATTAACGCAGCCACATTCAATTTACGCCAAAACGCGTCGCCCTCTCGTGAAAACGCGTCTTTGGCCTTTCCTTTTCTTTTCTTTCGCCCAAGATAACTCATCTTTTTCAATTTAGTCAAGGATGTCAATGGCTGGCTTCCACAATGGCTACACTAGACGATATTCCCGGTAACATGCTCCGGAAGCCTTCGTAAGCACCTATATTCATATATACTTAAGCACCTAGGCATATTAACCATGCTAACTATTGATAGGGGCAACCCGGAAGATGCACTTGAGAGGGCACCTTCAGACTACAAGCCACTACACTCATTTCATCTAGATAGGGATAAGTCATATCAGCAACAGTTTGCTGACATGTACTTCTTGAGGCTCACCAAGATCAAACCTGCCATCGAGGAATTAGCATCTGCTGCCTGGGAAGGCTGCGTTCTTGGCGAAGAGACGGTCAGTAAGGCCGAGCGGGTGCTAGATATTCGACAGGGCGAACTATGCTGGGTTGTTGGCACCGTATATATGGACATGTCACTTAAGCCTAATATTCTTGAGGATGTTTCTAAGGATGTAAGTCATGCATACCCATATACCCTACTCATTCTTTACCCTAGCCTAATTCTTACTTTTTTTTTAGCGATGGTTATCAGCCCCAATCTCGAATAAGAAGTATTACGCAGAGGATGGCTCAGACGCTGTGACACTAGAGGATGAATCCGGCCGCATACGACTAGTAGGAGACATACTGAACTCTGTAATCCTTGTCACCGGTTGCATTATCGCTGTTATGGGCACCGAGAATGCGAATGGCGAACTGGAAGTTATCGATCTGAAATTCCCAGACTTGCCTCCGCAGCCGGATCGTTGGGCTATGTCCAAGACTTCGGCTAAGAGCGGCAGTGCCAAGGGGGGCAAAGGGAAAGTAAAGGACGAGAACGAGAACAAGGACGAGAAAGAGGACGAGGAGATGACTGATTTACAGTCGAAAGGCCGCGGAGGCAAAATAGCTATTGTGTCTGGTCTAGGGTTTTCTGGTAGCGATGCATCCCACGCCATTGAGCTCAACCTCTTACTCGAGTACCTACTGGGAGAGTCTCTAGACCCTGCAGCTCAGCAGGAGCTATCCCAAATCAGCCGATTGATCATTGCTGGAAATTCGATATCACTTGAGGAGAGAAGGGCTACAGACGATGAGATGACAGAGAAGAAGGCACACAAGAAATACGGATACGACAGTAGCGCGTACAACGCCCTGCCGTCCCAGCTCCTAGACGAATTCCTCTCGACTTTACTGCCTACAATGCCAGTCACTCTACTCCCCGGCGCGCAAGACCCTGCCAATACCAGCTATCCTCAGCAACCGATACACCCAGCCATGTTTCCGAATTCGAGGCCCTATACAGCCCAGCCAGCCTCTTCAGAAATCGGCTGGTTTGACACAGTAACGAACCCATGGGAAGCGGAGGTGGAAGGCTGGAGAGTTCTAGGGACGGGTGGTCAGAACGTGGACGACATATTCAAGTACGTTGGCAGCGACGATCGCCTAGGCATGATGGAAGCCATGTGCCGATGGCGCTGTTGCGCCCCAACAGCCCCCGACACCTTGTGTAAGTCAATTCTGTCCCCGTTTTCTACTCTCTCTCTAGTATATCTCCAGTGCTAATTAATTTTGCTTAACAGGGAGTTACCCATTCCAAGACGACGACCCATTCGTCATGCAAACGTGCCCACACCTGTATTTTGTCGGTTGTCAGCCCGAGTTCGGCACCAAAGTGATCCAAGGGCCGGAAGGACAAGTCGTGCGACTGATCGCCATCCCGTCCTTTTCGGCTACGCAAGAGATCATATTAGTTGATACGGACACCCTCGACGTCACGAAAGTAAAGATTGCCGCCGTTTAGAAAGATGTTATAATTGGCATCAGAGCATAGATGGTTTAGTCGTCGTAGCATAGCACAGGAGTTGAAACTTGGCAAATGAAAATGGAGCCGATGACATTCATATATAGGTATAAATATGATTATTTAAGGTCAAAATGGGAAGCCTATATCCATATGAAGATCAAATGGCATAGAGAATAGAGGATACCACTAACCTAGGCATGAGTAGGTATTAAAATAGTAGATAGTACCTAGGTTAGTGTAGTAGGTATTAATAGGTACATGGATCTACACTAGGACCCCGGTCTTTCGATAAGATAAGAATGGCCCGCTACTTTTTTTTCTTCGACTTTTGTCGCGAGTAGCTTCCCGCGATCGTGGAAACCAATTAGAGAATGGATTCTTGACAGTTTAAGAACTTTAAATCTTCAACTTATTTAATTTATATACCAGAACCCCCGAATTATTCCCTCAAATTGGCCACAAACTTGCTACACTTCTTATTTTCTTGGCACAATGGCTAAGGAAAGAGCAGACAACCCTCGCAAGGAGAAGAGCGAGAAGGCAGAGAAGAAGGTGTCCAAGGACAAGGTGAAGAAATCCAAGGACAAGAAGAGAAAGTCAAAGCACCAATCTTCTTCTGAGGCTTCTGATAATGAGTCAATTGATGTTGAAGATGCCCCTGAAGTAGTAGAGGAGTCTGTAAGTATATATATTCCTTGGACCCTAGAAGCGAACCGGACGGCGCAGCTTGAGGATTTGGTTTAACAAATAAATTACAGTCAGAGACCAAGCCCGAAATGTCCAAGAAGGACAAGAAGAAGGACAAAAAGGAAAAGAAGGAAAATAAAGCAAAGAAGGCAGCAGAGACCGAATCCAACGGAGCATCCGACCACGAGGACAATGGAGTTGCTCTCTTCACGATCGACACAAACCCTACCAAGGTTATTCCCAAGACTCGCGAGGAAGAAGATGCAACAGAGGACGACCCCAAAATCACGGTGCCACCCAGCGGCCTCAACAGACAAGCCCGCCGACGAATCGATTTAATAGAACGACAACGCGAGAAGATCCAGAAAGAACTGGGTGTGCCTGTAGGATCTCTGGAGAAGGCGGATGAGGTACAAGCTATCCTGGACAAGTGGACCAAGGACTTCGACGACAAGGCGGCGATTCGCACGGAGAAGAAGCGCAAGCGCCACGAGAAGGACGCGGCTCGACTCCGAAACAAGAGGGGCAAGGTCCTCACCGGACGCCGACTCAAGGAGCGCACGAAGTTTGTCAATAAGTTAGAGAAAGAGAAGGCTAGGAAGCAGCAGGCTGGTATCTCTGCCAATACCGAAGCATGATCAAGCCACTACTACTATCTCCTTCTCTCTCAATCAAGATAAGAGTTCTCAGGCGTTGCAAGGCGTGGATATACCAAAAAATTTGCTTGCTTTCTTGGGTTTGCATCCATCACAATTCAAGAGTATGAAATCATATAGATGCAAACAGGGTCGCATTAGGTACATACCTATGCTGTATCACGAAGACAATTCGCTCACTCAGCGGAACGAATGGTATGGCACTTGTTACGAATAGTTAGCATTTGACCACAATGAATAATAAAACTTCATAAGGAACCGTGAAACAGTTCATGATCAAAGTAGAGATTGATATATCGTAGCATTTTGCCACCCTCATGTACAAGTGCCTCTCCACCCCAAAACCGATGAAGATTCTAACGCCGGTACCACAAGCACCCCATGGATACCTGTATGCAGATTCCGTAACCTACCCTTACCCGGGCTATCTACAGTTCATTTTTACCTCTTTTCCCTTACAGTCCACTCAAGGAATGGGAAGTATACCTACCCAATCAAGGCTTTTTCGTGTTTTCCGGTTTGCCATCTTTTTCATCCTCCTCCTCCTCCTCCTTCTTCTGTCCTCCTCCAATCCCCGTCACCTCAGCGATCTGATCGACGATCAACCCCCAGTACCCGCCGCCGCCCTCGCTCAGCGCCGCCTTCTCCCTCCTGTCGCGCTCCTCCTTCCACTTCTCGCCGCTGTCGCCCATCCACACCTTCTCCAGGATCCCTCTCTCGCGCTTCTTCTTCTCCTCCGCCTCCGCCTCCGCCTCTGCCTCCTTCTTCTTCTGCTCTGTGCCAGCAGACTCCCGCAGCGATATCCTGGCGCGCTCGGCGCGCAGCCGGGCCTGCGTCTCCCGCGCCTTTTCGGGCAGAGCGCTGCCGGGGCTGAAGTCCCCGACGCTCCGGAAGATGCGCCCGAAGGTGGAGGTCCCGCTGTAGTCGTACACGAGCTGGTTTGTGCCCCAGAGGGCGACGCCGCCGAGGATGCCGAAGCGCATGTCGAGACGGCGCGGGGGCAGGGCGATGGCGAGGAGGGCGATGGGGGTCACGCCGAGGGCGATCCAGTGCGCGAAGGGGTTGTGGTGCCGGGAGAAGGGGAGGCCTGGCTGCTGTGGTTGCGGTTGTTGGGGGTTGTTGTTAGGTTGAGATGGAGGCGTCGGCATTGGGGTGTTGTTGGAAGACGCCATTTTGAAAAGGAGAAGGGGGGGGGAAGAGATGATTGGTTGTTTGTTTCGATCGATCAGCTTTGAGACTCGTGGAGATACGCGGGGTTCGGACGCGGTGTGAGCTTCTGGGCGAGTGGAAGCGAAAGATTAATCGGATCCAGTATGTTCGATAATATCAAAAGATTCTCAAATCGGTCAATTGGAACGCCTCTGCCGTCCTTGCATTTGTAACCAGGTGGTACAACGGTTATTGATTTCCTCTTTCGGCTCTTCGTCGTTTACGGGCTTGTCGTGCGTGTACCTGTGCTTGTTTGTAGCACAGATGCGATGACGAAGCGAAAAGAAAAAGAAAAAAAAAGACGTTAATGGACTTTTGACAAAAAGCTTAAGCTCTGGTTTTTTTTTTCTCTTGTCTGGTCCTTATCTACAGGGGTTAGGGTGATAGATCTGGAGGGGAAAGTTCCCACTTTACAAGCATTTGATTGGATATTAACGATAATTATGGGCTAATCACGAATCGAAGATGAGATAGATATGGTGGGGCAGAGTACAGTAGGTTAGATGTCTGGATACAAGTATGTACTATGTATTACTATGTTAAGGATTACATAAAGAAGACATGACAATGAAGGATATCATTTGTGTATTTGAGTGCTATTATTCGCTGTCCAATTTGATATCCAAAAGAAGTTGTATGAAGCGGTCGTGTGCCTGGCATGACGAAAGAAGGTGCCTAGGTTAGTTAGGCTAACTGAGCTAACTATATAACCGTCATTAGCAAACCACTATCGCAAGGCAGATTTTCCGAAATGGCGGGACAAGCAATGATTTGAGATATGCATAACCCAGGTAGCCTTAGCATCCGACATCATATCAATCATAATGATGATGCATCGTCATCAATAAAATAATCCCCGGGTTCTTGGATAACACTATAGAGTGGATCCCGCCGCCTTTAGTGTGGGGAGGGGTGATCATTGTTCATAGGTAGTAACTAAATCTTCGGTTAAATCTTCGGTCATGTCCGGAGAAGCTCTTCTTTGTTTTTTGCTGCGCCTTGCAAAAAGCCCCACCATCTGCCGGTTCGGTGACCCACATGTGCCACATCTTTCACCTTTTTTTGACCGTTTACACTCCCGCAAGCCGCGGCAGGCAAGGGCGCAAAAAGTCGGTCACCACTTTACCACACGCCAAGGGGGGAGAGATGATAAAAAGAAACATGCACTTATCACAAAGTACAACTGCACCGAGGCTTTTAGCGTAACTACTTAACTACATAGGTCAAGATAGCTGGAGGCTGAGTCTTACATGCAATGTACTTACCTAACCTTAGTAGCATCAATTTGAGACGGCACCTTGAAACACACTTTGGTATGTAGGCGTTGAATGATTATGATATGATATCTATGGATTCGTTTGTTTCAACAAGGGTTCGCTTTTGTCCTGGCTGAATACTGCTGCGTATGTTGAGCAATAAGCAGCAATGCCTAGGCCCTATCTATCTACCTAGGTAGGTATCCTATGTCCAACTTCAATGTTGTGTGAGACATTCTTTTATGTTGATGCGGAATTACATCTAAAGCCGTAAAGAATGTTTAGATAATGTATGTAGGTAGGTATTTACATAACTTTGTAGTACCGAGTACCAGTGTGGTGGAAACAAGCAGGTTCATACCGCCTTAATAGCCTATCAATGCACATATCTGACTCAGCTGGAAGTACTATGTAATCTCCACTACATATATTCAACGTTGACAGTACTATGTAATAGTATGTAAGTAAGTACATGTATGTGTTAGAGTTTAAGTACCTACATTCATAAGTCCCTCCGCATCTTTAGACACAAACTGGGAAAGCCTTCGGAATAGATGCATGCGGGGTGTTGTGTAACCATTTAAAGGGCCGAAAAACAAAAGAGAAATATTTTCTCAGTGTCGTCAGCATGTACACAACAGAAGATAACGAAACTAATAGTTTGAGGGATTCTTGTGACTGATGTTGGCCTTGGTCCACCTGCGATTCGTTGTACGTAGGCCGTTCGGGGATGCAACAGCTAGGTTAAAGAGAATTATGAATTATGAATCGTCTAGATCATCTACATATGTAGCCCTAAGTAGAATTAAATTTTGTAACCTTAGAACTATACTTAGTTAGGTATGCTTCAGTATGCAGTACCTACATGTAGTCGCAGTCGCACACAGCATATGTACTACCAGTACTATGCGACAAACCAGTGAATACGTGGGGGGTTCCGCCGATCGGCTGGGTATACAAGGTATCGAGGGATACAATCGGTGTATTCACGTCGAGCCCGACGAGACACGTGCCCACCGTTTAGAAAATGAAATGTAGATGTATCAAATCGCAATTGTTATAACATAATCCGTTAAGAGATCTGCCATGTATGCCGATAGCAAAGCAAAGGATTGCCACGAGGCGATCCGGCGTATGATCGAATACTAAGTTCTCTTCTGTGTCACCATCAATGAAACAATCAAAATATCATCTACCTACCTAGGGATGTAAAGATATGTATGGCTTTAGTCGTTGAACAAGTCACATCTACCTGTGATTCCAGAGTATGAATCAGAGACCTCGACTTGCTACTTACCTATCGTAGCTTAATCGGCTGTTATTATTCTCGCTGCATAATACTCATGATGCTAACAGTCGTGGAGAGCGCTTCTGAGCGTATCAAATATCTTAAGTACTGACAAGGCCGCGCGAGACGAAAAAATCGGCTACCAACCAGTTGCGACGAAAAGGTGGGTGGCAACCTAAAGATCAGACGAAATATCGTAGCGCGCATGCGGCGGCCTCCCACCAAACTGATATGTAGATGCAGTACTATGACGGAGCAGGGGTTTTAGGCGAATTAAAGAGATCCGGATGTCTGATAGCGTTGCACCATAGGGCTGAAAGAGTACGCCGATATTTACCCTAGATACTCCGTGTTAGTGCAGCAGATGAGAGGTGATGTTGTTCTTACCCTGCATGCGTAAACCTTGGCGAAGACGGATTGGCGGAGTAAAATAACGATTGGTCTCGATATATCAAGTATGTATGCAGTCAGATGGACCGCTAAGGGCAACGTAGCTTGGTTCATAGGGCTGAGTCGGTGGGTACTAGCTAGTAAAATATGTGCACTAGACATGATACTAGGATACGTTGGAATCACTGCTACTTCCAGGGCAGGTAAGTGTTCGGTAGAGAACGGGCCGGTTCCGCGAGTCGACAAATCCCAAGTGTCTGATGAGGTGGTCACAATAATGGAGGGGACGAGCCTGCGATGAGGTATGTAGTAATGGCATTGCAACCATGCATGTCTCCTGGCGCGGAAAACCCCCAGCTCTTAACATCGTCACGATGTACTGCGTAGAATATGGGGTAGTCGGCGCCTAATTCGTTTTGAGGCGGTCTAGATTTTTGCTTGATGGAGGGTGGTGGGTGATATGACGATGACGATGACAATGAAGATGGAAATGAAAATGAGCTGATGATTATTATAGCTGTTAAGGTTATAAGAGAATTGCTATAATGATAGCAAGATTCGTAGATATCAGAAGATGCTACCTACCAATCAGTGCGCGAAGGCTTCTAAATACCGGATAGACAAGGCTACTATGTAAGTACAATACAATGTAGGCAAGATGAAGAAGCATTGGAGAGGTGGTAGATTTGGTAGGATTTCCGATCTTGAATTATCTGCATTGGAAGGTTAATAAGGTTCCGTATCCACCTAGTTACTACATAGTAGACATCCATCCATCCATCTTTCCCGAACCTTGCCTGAGTAGTACTACCATGTAGCAGGTACCTAGTACCTACATAGTACTAGGTACATGTAGTACCTATTGGTAGGGGTGTTAAGTACCTACGTACTAGGTGCCTGTCTTCAAGGTTGGGTGCCTACCAAAGGCTTCAGGCTAGCTGGAGGATTAGGGAAAGGGCCCCTGGTCAGCCAGCAGCCATTGGCCTAAAAGTAAAGTGCCAAGGCACATAACTAGTAGTTAATTCACAAAATTCAAAGTTCATCGGAATATTGTCCGTCAATTGTTCATTGTTCATTTTCCTTCTCCTTCTACTTCAGTTTTATACAGTTTATGCCATCACATAATTACACACAAGTCTCGGGACGTACAGTACAAGCATCATTGCTAATTACCCCAGTATCCAATTGGCACCTAATTGATGATTCAACCCTTCAATGTTCCAGCATGGACAGTCGAAGTAAAGCGGATAGAGGGATTCCTCTGTGCCATCATAGGAACAATGGCATCTCCAGCATGGCGCTCCCAAGGGAGATCGGGGAAACTAATCAACATAACGCCAATGTGCCTTACAGGCTGCAACCCTGTAGGTTACCAAGTCTCAACATTGAATGCATACCTACATATGGATACCGACTTACCGGTAGTATACTACTATGGTGTGTAGTTCAACCAAGGGAGCCTACATGTACATACGCAAGTTCGTACAACATTTAAATACCCAAGGCTGTTTTCTTCCCTTTCCCTTACTCTTCTTTGAGATTGACTGATATACGCAATTCAGTATGTACCTATTTACATCATAGTTGGAGTTATGAGTATGTAATGAGGGTAGGTATGTACTACTAGTAGTAAGTATCACAGACAGCCTTGGAGGTACATTGAATTTCAAATGTTATACATACATGTAGTACAGTGTACATACTTGCCCAGTGGGCTTCAATGTTCTTGTCATTCAATGTTGATGTTCAAATTGATGTCTTGTGATAGGTACCTACATACAATACACACATGTACATCATATGTGAAAGCCATTGGTTCCCTACCTTGGACCAGGCAAGTAGGGAAAGGGTATATACAGAGACTGTGCCGCAATCTAAGCCCCCAAATTCCAAACCATTCCCGATCATCTTACATACATGATCCCCAGTATAACCCCTGCCTTCCCGGCCTGCACTACTATGTCTATGGAATAAAATACCTTCAACACACCCATCCACCTCCCTCTCAACTGTACAGTACTACTAGTAGTACATAGTACATACAAGACGATCGCCTCAAAACAAGCCAGCCTTGCCTAACTTTTGCTTCTCCTCTTATCTCTTTTACTTTCTTCATACATAAGTATCTAGGTTAACTAATACCCTTCTTATTATCCCCATAACCAGACAAAGAAGGCTTGAAATACCCTTTCCCAAAGAAGGCCGATCTAATCTGATTTACTGCTCACTTATTGCTTATTAGCAGCTATCCAAATTAACTAAGATACATACTTACCTATCTAATATCTTCAAATTATATCTACTCGGCCTATTCGATCTATTCATATCTCCGACATATTCGCCATTCTTGCTTTTTACTGGACACACGACAGATCAGGGCTTTTCTAGCCTCAGCCACTACCAGTTTGCCTGTTACCAAGTCAACACGAAAACATCTACGAGGGGGCGCTTCTCGTTCTCTCTGACAGCTAGTGTTGGATTCCGATTTGGCTCACTTGCCATAGCTGTACGATGAAAACAGCCGTACCCGAACCTCCTCTAACGTGACTCAAGTCCTAAAAACTAGGTATGATGGGTAGAATCGATGTCGTACGGCCTGGGCCAGCAGCCATATCACCGCCAAGTAGTACATCCCAGCAACGCCAAAGGAGATTCCGTACCAGCAAGCCAAAAGTAAAAACGGGCTGCAACAATTGCAAGTATGTGCTTTCACCTAATGTCATCCATACACGCATTTTAGGTTCAGGTTCTTGGCTGTGGCATGTGCACGATACTAAGTAACTACTTTGACTCTAGACAACGACGTATAAAGTGCGACGAGCTACGACCATCATGTACTCAGTGTCGTCGGTCTAGGAAAGACTGCGGGGGCTACCCGCCCCCTCCGCGAGCCAAAATCTTCGAGGAGATAAGAATCGCGCCTAAGCCAGGAGCCGGTCATGTCATCTCTACCTTGCCTGATATTGCTATCAGGACAACCCCATCGCAAGCACCACAAACACCTAACCATTCGGCACCATCCTCGGCACTCTCACGGCTAGGGTCTCAAAGTGCATCTGAAAGGGATTATACACCGCCACAGACACCGAGAAACAATTCATTGGAACTCTATCGACCTTCCACGATTTCCTTTGACTCGACCGAGGGTCAGTATTTTCAACTCTTCAGGGAGCGTACAGCCGGGGAGCTATCTGGATTCTTCGACTCCTCTTTCTGGACCCGCAGTGTTTTACAAGAATTCCATTCAGAGGAACCGATTCGACATTCCGTCGTCGCTTTAGGGGCTCTGTACAAGACGCTGGAGAATATATCAGAATCGCCACCGGGCTCACCAACAGGTATCATTAATCAAACTAGCAACGTACGTCGGCATTGGGCGATTGCCGTCCATCATTACGCTTTAGCAATGAAATTCATGAGAGCTTCGACTTCTCAAGATCATGCATCTCAAAGAACAAGCCTTATGGCAACAGTGTTGCTGGCTTGCTTTGACTCCTTCGTTGGTGACCACAAGCAGGCGATTTCGCAGATACAGAACGGTCTCAAACTCTTAGAAATGTTGCGTGCTCAACGTAGAAATTCATTTGTCTCCAAACCCGAAGAGCCGGTCGAGCAGGATCTCGTTCAAATGTTCACCCGCCTTGCTATTCAAGCGAAATCTTACGATATGGCCTTTCATTTTCCTCGGCCGTTTGTTATACGCCTCACTCCTGAAGGCAATGCGTACCCTATGTCTCCAACTTCTGACGGCGGATCGCCAGTACTAACAGAGCAGTCGCCAATCCCAGAGATTTTTCCGTCTCTCATCGAAGCGAGGCAGGCATGGGACACATTATGCGAGTCCACGATGCGATTTACCGAAACCATGTTTTCAGTTACAACAGCAAGGAGCCCTATGGGTGTACTCCCCAATTCGTTGAGGCAATATAGTAAAGGCTTCGGCGAAAAGCTCTCGGCCTGGTCTAGGGCCTTCGAGCCTATACTTGTGTCTCGTTCCGCTCCCGCAAAGAGCAGCCAAGAGAAAACCGCGATTGCGGTTCTGAAGATGAATCAGGTGATGGGCGAAATTTTATTTTCTATGACGTATAGCGACACCGAGCTTCAATTTGATACATATATTTCTCATTTCAAGGAGATCACCAGTTTAGCTATGGAGGTAATCGGAGACGAAGAGCGGAGGGCCGCCGCAAAACGATGTCCGAATCCGCAGTGGTGCCACCACAATGCCGATCATCTAGACGGCTTCGATGGACAATATACAGCCCGACACATCAAACCTAGCTTTAGCGCGGACCTGGGAATTGTTCCTCCTCTCTTTGTCGTCGCCACGAAATGTCGTGATCAAGCGACTCGACACCAAGCTATTCAATTACTACGGACTAGTTCGCGAAGAGAAGGCATGTGGGACAGTGAACTTTCAGCCCGAATAGGCATGTGGGTTGCGGAAATAGAGGAGGAAGATGGCGTCGATCTCGCGCGTCCGACAACGAGCTCAACCGAAAGAACCGACAGGAGCAGGGCTTCAGTGAGCCCCAGCACCATATCACGTGGGTCTTTTGACTTTGCCGATGACCTTCCCCTCGGCCCGGGTGGAAATGCTCGTTGGGACGGTAGGAGAGAGAGCGCAACTGTTTCGTCATATGCTAAGAGAATTGTACCAGAAGAAAGGCGTGTTATGGTCCGATCCGTTGAGTTTGACCTTCGTAAACGGACTGCGTCACTATCATGTGGCACTAGGGGGCTTATTCCTGGAATGAAGGATCCGCGAACGCGCACCACCAGAATTGTATGGTGATGTCGGCTTCGCGATTTTAACAATTGGGATGATTTAATACATCAACGAAAAGTTGGTTTTACTGACTAGGTACCTACTTTAACCCTGGAGGGATTTCACTTCTACTCGACACTTTCTGAGTTATTGGCCGGGCCATTCTTTCAACCTGTAGAACTAAGTACGAGAAGGAAAAGGTGTGCGATGATTAATGATGGGAATACAGAGCAACACAAGAAACAAAAAAAAAAAGAGTCAATGCCTCTCAAGTACCTATAGCCTTGCTTTCACACGAAGACTTGGAAACAGTCTGCTTAGGGGGTTTTATTGTTGGATGATGTGGGCTCTTATATGATACCACGAAGAATGAGCAGATTCTTTGGATTTTCAGTGCCTGAAGAGTTTGGAATTATCCAACGCGCCTTTGAGATGTATTGACTAAGTACCTACAACATCCAATCTACAGGTTCTCTACCTACCTACCTACCTACCCAGTTTTTATTACTAGGTTTTATCCTACGCATTGTGCAGGGTGTTTGTTGTATGAATCTCCAGTGTCGTATCTACTCCTATGAGAGTATTGCTATCAGTTGGTGCCACCATTATATTTCCCTACCCCCTTTCAATGTTTGCAAAGAGGGGAACGGGATTTACCGTGTGATTTCCTCACGATTAATACTATGTGGTGACTCCCTGGACTCCAGAGCCCAGATGCTTTCAGAGTCAGACTCCCTTTCTTGCCTCATGTAGGTAGACATGTACTTGTATTACATATGTCATACCTACATACGTATGCAAATACATGTCTACTTATGTAGTAAGTACGTACATACCTAGTAGGTATATACTACATAGACATGTAAATATGTTAAGTGCAATGTAGTGAATATAAGTAACTACGAGTTCTTTGTTTGCTTGGATTGGAGAGCTGATGTCGATTAGTCATCGCATGACTATGTTCCCGGGCGCCTTATAAGTTATGCGCCATATGCGCCTTGTCCTTCTTGTGTTTGTACTTTGTAGTACTTTATCGTGGTGAGGCACAGCCGTAAAATACGACACAAATATGCGTAATCATCGCCATCCAGCCTTCGGACATAAGATACCTCTCGCTACGAACAACTAAATCCGCAAGTTCTTACCGTCAGGCTACAAACTCGACCTTAACATCAACATCGAGACAGTAAATCATATTCAGACTCTTGGGCATAGATAATTACGAAAGAGAGAAAGCGAGAGAAAGAGAAAAGGAAAGTGGAAGAGAGTCAGAGCCAAAAAGCGAGGGAGAGCGAGACAGAGAGAGAGTCTCAGTGAAGAAAGAAAAGAAAACATGCAACAGAGTACCAGTCCTAGTAGCAGTTCCGACGGCAGCCCCAATGGCGGCACGGGAAGCGGTGAGCATTCGTCGTTGTCGGCGGGGCTGACGGGTTCGGCGGGAGTGAACGGACACCACAAGCGGACACGAGTGCTGCTTAGCTGCGCTCCATGCCGAAACTCCAAGGTGAAATGCGATCGCGCAACCCCGTGCGGCCAGTGCCTTCGCAAGGGCAAACCCGAAGGATGCCTCTATGCGCCCCGGCCGGAGAAACAGAAGCCACCGAGAAGCATGGCTGCGCGCTTGAAGAGGCTTGAGGGGAGTATGTATAACCACCTCTATCTATTTGTCTTTCTGTGTATCTATTTACCTACCTATCTACCTCTACTGCTTACCTTTTCAACCCTCCTTTTTTGATTATTTCCGGTCTATTTTCTTTTCGCTTTTCATTGCCAGTCTACCTAGGTATATCTAGGGTAGGCCATCTACATCTACCTACGATGTGGTAGTAGGCCATCTAGATGCACAAATGCCTAATGCTTCTCTAAAATACCAATGTTACCTATCTACTTCATACCATCATAGAAAAGTAATGTCACTAAAAGGCAGTAGTGGTTCGCGAGATGATCGACACCGATGTCCCTGCGCAGACAGAACCGACAGAGGATCGCACGGCACCAGAGCCCAGGGCTAGGGGTGTCGTCGTCCAAGGACATAAAGCTACAAGTTATGTCGGAGGCACACATTTCATGGCTATCTTAGAGGATGTATGTTTCTCTCATCATCTATGAGTTTCTTGTCCCGCTTTCTACCTAGCTGTAGGCCATCCACTGAACTTGAGCAAATAGCTCGAAGACCTCAAACACTTCTTCGATGACCCAGAGGAGGATGAGGACGATTCATACGACCCGTATGAGAACATCGGAGCGACTGAGGTGCTCATGCAGTCGCGGGGAGTGCCCAAGAATAAGGACCACTTACTATCTATTCTGCCCGAAAAGGCCGTTATCGACCGTCTCATGAATCGCTATTTCAACTCAAATAGCCCCTCTCAACGTGAGTCTCCCATAAACCCACCCCCCTGCTTCCAGCCTATCTCAGTTCTATCTATGATTGTTGCTTATACTTGACTCAGACATCATTCATGTCCCTACGTTTTTGAGAGAATACAACGACTTCTGTAAGGATCCTCATAGTGCATCTCTACATTGGATAGCGTTGCTCTACATGATACTAGCGCTTGGGGTGTTCTTCTCTCTATTTAGCGCGCCACACGAGCTTGAAAGCGATTCCCCCATGTCGGGCATGGACAGGTTCAAGCAATACAGGGGCGCTGCCGGGTGGGCTCTCATATGGGGGAAGTATTCCCAGCCAGGCCCTTACACAATCCAGGCGTTCCTACTATACGCCGAAGGCGACTTCATGAGCAACCGGGAGAACCGGACCAACTGCTACCTACTCCTTTCCGTGGTGATCCGGCTCATGCTAAAGGCGGGCTTCCACAGGGACCCCAGCAAGCTGCCGAACATCTCGCCCTACGACGGGGAGATGCGGCGGCGCATGTGGGGCCTCGCCATACAGCTCGATCTGCTGGTCGGGTTCAACCTGGGCCTGCCCTGCATGATCCACGGCGTCGAGAGCGACACGGACTTCCCGACGCACCTCATCGACACCGACTTCGACCAGGACACCAAGGAGCTGCCGCCGGCGCGGCCCATGTCCGACTACACGCCGCTGACGTACCCGATCAACAAGGCCAAGATCACGCGGATCTTCTCCAAGGTCGTGCGGCAGGCGCACGCCATCACGGCGCCGGCGTACGCGGACGTCATGCGGATCGACGCGGAGCTCGAGGAGGCGTGGCGGGGGGTGCCGGTGTTCATGAAGATGAAGCCGATGGAGGAGTCGGTGATGGACCCGCCGATCAAGGTGATCCAGCGCTTCGGGCTCGCGTCCATGTACCAGAAGAGCCGCTGCATCCTGCACCGGCGGTACATCGTCGAGGTCGTGCCCAGAGCGGAGCACGACTACTCGCGCCGCGCGTGCCTCGACGCCGCGCTCGCGATGCTCGAGTACCAGAGCATCATGCACGACGCCTGCAAGCCGAACGGCATCCTGAGCCAGGGCGGCTGGTTCGTGTCGGCGCTGGTCGCCGTCAACGACTTCCTGCTCGCCGACCTCGTCGTCGCGCAGGTGCTCCAGGACGACAAGTGCTGGGACGAGGGCGGCTGGACCGCCCGCAGCATGCCGACGCTCGGCCGCGACAAGCTCCTGCAGGTGCTGAGAAGGTCGAACTACATCTGGTACGACATGGCGACCACGGTGTCCGAGTTCAAGAAGGCGGGGGATATTGTGGGCACGATGCTCCGCAGGGTCGAGGCGCAGTCCGGCGTGTTCGAGAACGGGGACTCGGAGATCTCGGGCGCGGGGACGACGAGTGGCAGCGGCGGGGAGATATCGTCCGTGGGGAATCTGTCGCTCAGCGGCAGCGGCTTGTCAACGGCGTCGAGCGACATAGCGGATATCTCGGCGGACATGATCAGCAGAACTACAGGGCCGAGCCCGATGATGACGGTGGGCGGTACTGCGGGCCACATTGGGGTGGAATCCCCTTGGGCGATTCCGAACGCCTACGACTGGGTAATTGCCTCTCTCTCTCTCTCTCTCTCTCTCTCTCTCTCTAACACTTATTTGAAAATATCGATTTTGCTAACACGAAGAAATCTTCTACGCAACACAGAACTACCTTGATCCCATGGCGCGCGACCCCGACCCGATCCAGCCCACGGCGCAGATGGTTCACGAGGCGTGGCTGGACGGGAAGGCCATCAATGATTTTTCCGGCTTCGCGGCCCCGAATGCGTGGAACTTTGGTCCGTTCTGAGTTTTGGCCTGCCTACCTATCTACCTACTAGCCTAAGAGTCATCTGGAATTACAATCAAATCAAGTCGTATTGCGATGTGAAGCATTTGGTGATTCAAGAACGGCCCAGCTCTAGTTACGGGAAGGTCTTGGAATATCTGCCTAGGTACCTACATAACTTAATCTAGCCTCACCTATCCCAGAGTCTGGGCATTCTTGTGGTATATTCCCTTACCGGCATGGTAGGGTTCCAACTTCCAAGATTGGTACTGGTATAGGTATAGGCACAGGGGCATGAACAGGAGCATGAACAGGCCTTTTTTCTGTTCTTCTTCCCTAAATTGAGGGATTATTCCTAAGCTGCAGAACGAGAACGAGACACCAGAAACCAGAACTCCGAGAGCTGCCTACATAATGTATGTAGGACCATTGTTGTAGGTACAGTACCTACGTATGGGTGTATTCGCGGGGTAAAGGTAGGGGGTCAGGAAAAGGAATAGGAATCGTTTAACCCTGCATAATTCCCTTCTTGGCTAGTTCCATAGGAGAACTATGTTACTATGGTATATATACGCACGTTTTTGTTTGTTTAGCTATAGCTGTATTGGTTGGCTGTCTGGTTAGCACGCCCCGCGGAGTCGTTCTGTTCAGTAGGTATGTAGGTGTAAAGGTGTAGGTTGGCCGAGCCTCCAGGATGAAGTTTCGCTTCGCTTGGCCTGATCTTGTACGTAATAGCACGCACGCAACAGAGAATGCGAATTATGAATTTTCCTCTCTTCTTTTCTTCCTGGTCCATAAACAGGGGGCAAAGGGGAGACACGTTCTCGATTTCACATCAATGCGACCGACCCCATCTAACGTCGCTTCTACTATAGTTTTTTCTTCTTCTTTTCTATTAACGACTATGTAAAATATACCTAATGCCAAGATCATTTTGTTTGCCATCGGATTCCACATTTGGAGCCTGCTTATCAGCCCTGTTAACCTACAATGTAGGAATGCATGTATGTATATATGCATGTATCAGGTGAGTTACATACATATATGTATGCCAATATGTATGCCATGCTCTACGGCTACGTATGAGGTAGATATGTCCGTCCTTTGCGTCTTGTCTCGTCTTCTACATCGGGAGAATATGTGTTGATTTTCATTCCTTTCTTTCTTCAATGTCTCCCTTTTCTATGTGTGCGCGATTGGCGATGGGTCGAGTCGATGGACTCGGATTACTAGGTAGTATACGAACTTGGTACTTGTCCTTCCCCCTTTCCTTTCCTTTCTTTCCCTGTCTCTTCCTCTTCTCATCAAGACGCACATTGATGGATACTACTAGTAATGATGATGATTGAATGACAAGAGAGGAAATAAAGAAGAAGAAAAAGGGGAATAATCGGTTTCACAGCGTAGACCGGTGTAGGTTCTGGAACCGGGAGACTCGGAAGTACTTACCTACCTAGGTAAAATAAATATAATACCAACATTGAATGGGTAGCTTCACGGCATCAAGACTTTCATCATCAATCGCTAGCTTCAAGGTTGTATGTAACGACAAACATAGAAAAGACCTCATCCGCTGCCCGGGATTGAAGGGTGGTAAGTAGGTAGGTAGGTATGTGCCTAGGTAACGTTCACTTGCATCAAGGCCTTCCGGTGTGATACATGATGATAATATATATAATATATATATGTAAATGAATTATATTGATGTCTTGCTTTCTTTCTCGTTTTTTTTTTTTTTTTTTTTTTTTTTTTTTTTTTTTTTTTTTTTGGCTGTTGGGATTGAGCAGACGAATCCAATCGTAAGGAATGTGTATCTAGAGCCCATCGTTATGAGATTTGGATAGCTGATTGTTCAGTTGTTCAGTTGTTCAGTTGTTCAGTTGTTCAGTTGTTCAGTTGTTCAGTTGTTCAGTTGTTCAGTCTCTACAACATCGTTGACAAGTTTGCTCGGTTTGCTTCACAGATAGAGAAAAGAAGAAAAAAAATATGAAGAAGAGAAAATTTTATTTCAATTTTTTGCCTTCTTTGATAAGCCCTTATCTAGGTACTGCTTGTAGGTCCCTTATCTAGGATTCTAGGTACTGATCTAGGTACTGCTTGTACTGTAGGTAGGCATGAGACTGATGGATGAGACTACGATTTAAGCGTCAGGCCAAGACAGAATAGTAGAAGTTAAAAACTTTATTTGAAAAAACCGAACATGAATACCTACATACATGTATGGTACCAATATACATCCGTCATTATGGTAGGGGTACCTAGTGACATTCGGTCAAGCTCCGATCTCGTTTTTACAACGTTGATGCCATCAATGGTCTATGTACTTTGTACTCATATCGCACGATAGTCTCAACCAATCAACTTGGACCACCCTCCTGGTTTAAGTTATTGCAACATTGAACCAGATACCTCATGCGATCAATCACGTATCAGATCGACGAATTATAGTTCGCAAAATCCGATAAGAGAAAGTGTAATGTTGCTTCAGATAGAGAGGACTAAAGAGAGAGGCCTACTGGATGTTCTTGACCTACGCAACACACAACTTGAACGATATCGGTCACAATCAAAATAGTGTACATACACTATTAGGAACAATTGATCCCCTTACCTGACGGTCCTGACCTTGCTTGACCTATTGACCTGACCTACATACATGGTCTACACTAACCCAGACCCTAAGTGGCCTTTTTTTTTCTTTTTTTCTTTTTCCTTCAAGGTCTGATCCATCAATTCTTCTAATTCTTCCTATTCATTACTAACAAGCTAACTCTTGATGTATTAGACTGTGACCTGCCCACAAAACCCAAGTATCTATGCATATCCACGCACCCGCCTGCGATATTCTCATTGGATCGTTTGTGTAACCGGGTTTGATCTGTGCGAGGTCGTATTTGCCGATAGCTTCTCAATTGCCTTGGTGAAGCTTACATTCTACCAAGCCTAACTAGCCTACGAGGCAGTTTGTTAAAGGCCAACATAACCCTTATCATCATTGATACGTACACTGCCTATCAGACCAAGATAAGAGGAAGAGAAAAAGAAATAGAGAGTACCTTTATATGTAGGCAAAACGTTTTTTTTCTCTTTTCCTCCATTAATGTTAACGTCCTCCTTAGCCTAAGTTTAGTCCCTTTGGTGCGCTTGACTAACTGTCGTACCTATCTCCTAGCCACATATTCGCATGCAAATCTCCCTGCTGACACTTCATTAAGCTAGGTATAGTATGCTCGCTTCGATTAGGTCGGTTTAGGTCGATTGGATCATATCAGTAGTTGGTGTGCAGTTTCCCCGGATTTCAACAAAGAGCCCCCCGTCTGGCGTAGCCACAGATTCCCATATTATACATATTGCACCCTTTTTTCTTTCCCATGCTCTCCTTGATATCCACCCATCCATCCATGTACCCATCTACGTTTTTCTGTTTTCTACTTACTTACACAACATTATGATTGAACCCACCTAGCCCTCCGTTTTCTAATTCTAAGAACAACTAGGTGATACCTACTCTTCTTCCCTAAACAGGATTGATCGATCCACCGTGGCCGATCGCGCAAACCCTTGCTACTCTGACATACCATAAAAAGGCTTCAGGTGCGGAATCCCCAAACCAAGCCATTCTCAGTCAACCTTGCTGTGTATAAGTGGTTTTCCCGCTCTGGACCCTAAAGCTTAACAGTACTACCCGCCTGAAAGGTACCTGCCTCTATTTCGTCAGGGCCCTCAAATCGGGGCTTTGTATGTGCAAGCAAGTAAGGTTAGATGGTTCAAAATTCCCATCTCCAGAACATCCACTTTTCAGACTTCTAGATAGTCTGATGATAGTTCGACCTATACAGTACATACTACTGCCTACTGCCTGCCATCTACATACATTCATACATAATTTACCCTATCTATAGTACCTGCTAGGTACTAGGTTAGGTACGGTCTGTCTAACGGTGCTAAAGAAAAAATATATTGCGTGTCTGGCCGCTTCCACAAACCACAAAGCACCACTTGGGCAAAGGCACAGAGGCAAGACCCGACCACCGGCAAAATTACATACTTTCTTCATACTAGGTAGTCACCTGAGCTTCGGTTTCCACTCTAATTTCTAACTCCTGGCTTCTGGACTCGAACTTTTGTCCTCTGACCTCCTGCCTCTGACCTCTGACCTCTTACCTCTAACCTTTCTTTGCCTTGCTTACCACATACCTCCTTTTACTCTCGCCTGTTCTCCTTGCCCACGTACACGACATTATCGTCAACACTAGAATCGCCTCAGTCTGATTGGCCCTAATCCTTACCCCCAAGTCAACAAACCCAACCCACACCACAAACCCACTCTATCTACCATTATAACTTCTTTAAATGGATATACTAGGGCTCTCTCCTCTTCCATAGTTGCGGCTTAGGTCACATCGCTTTTGTTGTATTATCGGGGGGCATTGCGCGCCCGTCCAGCTGTTCTAGCATTGCATTGACGATCTGCTTCCTATTCTTAAAGGGCAAAGACTCTCACTGTCCAGATCACAAGTGGGAATTGGATCTACGTCGTTATGCCTTCTTCTCACCCCATTCCCATTCGCACGGACTTGGCTCTTCGACCGGCACCCAACGAGCCTGTCAGTGCTGCATCTCCTAAGTCCTCGGCTCTCCACAGCACCAGACATAAGCACACGCGCTCATCCTACTCGGAAAGCTCACCTATTACTGCCATGTCTAGAAATAACTCGTTGACCTACCGGCCCCTGAAACGTTCGATGCCTTCGCCAGACAAGACTATTGCGGTTATCAATGCAAGCGGCCGTCAGGCCGCGTCGTTAATCCGTATAGCTACTGCAGTAGGTTATAAGGTTCGCGCACAACTACGTAACCTAGAAGGAGTTATAGCCACCGAGGTCGCATCTAATCCGAATGTCACCGTTTTTGTCGGGGAGCTTTACCTTCGAAATAAACCAGATGACAATAGAGATGTCACTGTTCATGGCCATCTCCCGGGAATTCTTGTTAATCATGGTCTGATCTCACAACTTTTCAACGGCGCACAGCTTGCCTTCACCAATACCACTTTCTACGGCAACGAAATACAAATCGGCGAGGCGATCGCAGATGCTGCTAAGAAAGCCGGTGTTCAGCATTACATCTATTCGTCCATGCCCGACCATGCGGCCTATAATCCTCAATGGCCATCGTTACCACTCTGGGCAGCCAAGCATGAGGTGGAAAATTACATTCGTAAAATAGGACTACCGGCCACCTTTGTTTATACCGGCATCTACAACAACAATTTCACGTCTCTTCTCTACCCATTGTTTTGCATGGAACTGCAGTCAGACGGCTCGTTCAAATGGCAAGCCCCTTTCCACCCACATGCTAAGCTACCCTGGTTAGACGCCGAGCACGATGTTGGTCCGGCCATCATTCAGGTCTTCAAAGATGGGCCAGAAAAGTGGAATGGAAAGCGTATAGCGCTGGCTTACGAATATTTGACGCCCATCGAAGTTTGCCAGGCATTCGAGCGAGGACTTGGGAGACGCACACAGTATAAGAGGGGGCCCATTGAACTAAAGGTGAAGATCCCAGAAGGATATAGGGAACAGCTCGAGGCTTTGGGGAAGCTATTCTCGCTGAACAACAACGACCCTACGAAGCAGCCACCCTATTTCGGAGACCCGGAACTTGAGGGAAGATGTCCCGACGACGCATTGGCCTTGTGGGAAGGCCCAAGAGGGTTGGAAGAGTATGCAAGAGAAATATTTCCATTGGAGGAAGAAGCAAATGGGATGACTTGGATGTTCGAAGGTGAGGATGGGCCCATATTTGACGGTCCCGGAGAGACAACCGAAGAGGTCATAGACCCGGTGGAGGATGTTGAAGATGGCGAGGGAGATGATGAATCGCTTGACGAGGGTCTAGTTATGGTAAGCAATCTCGGCTGTCAACCCTTTCGTTTTGGGGGGGCACTGAAAGGGATAATTTACGTCCTACGAATCTTTTGAGGAAGGTTGCTGGCAGTAAATTTTCTTAAAATAGCTATACTATACCCAAGAAAGTGTACTAACTATAATTCTGACAGAGAGGTCTTAAAAGAGACGAAGAGTCCTGGCTTGCTTAATTGCCAGATCACCACACTATCCAGTTTTAGCAACTAGGAACCAGATAATAGTACGATATCAACTCCCCGTAAAGGCGGGGCATCGATGATGGCCTCCTCTCCTTACGAATTACTCGAAGCCATTCTCGTAGGCCCGGTTACCTCCCGAGCCTCTCACATAGCGAATGCTAGCTAGACCTTACTGCTTATATAACGGGAAGCATTTACAGGTGGTACACATTTACGGAATATTGCATTTAAAAGGGGCAGCGGCGTCTAGTCATCGCTGGTACTTCAATATCTAGGGATGTCATCTAACGAAATCTGGAAATGTTTTGGTCACATTTATTCGGCGTCAGGTAAAAAAAAAGCTTATCATCATTACGGAAGCTGAATTTGGGGGGTTGTCTAAAATAATCTAGAAGGCCGGCAGGACAATCCCCTGATCTATATACAGGAGGGGATGAAATTTCGTATAGAGGCGATGCCGAAGCACCCCTTACGAATTACGAACGTCACCGCATTTATTTCTGCAGAGTTGGAGATAAGACACGGTTTCCCGTTTCTGCCTGCATTTACGACACAGCGGGATTATATAAAACCAAGTAGCATCAGGTTTTCGGTTGATTCAAGTTCGATAGGTGTTGTCGTTTTATTTGATATTTGATGTTCTGGTTTTGTTGAAAAAAGAAAAATGGTGGAGAGATGATGATGATGATGGGAAGCTCTCGGAATGGATTGATCACATGTCATTTTGCATGCGGGCAGAAATACCCAGGTTGAGTCGGGCCGGGAAGGGAAGGGAAGGGACGGAACGGGACGGGACGGGATTTAGGAAGGAGGGGTGGAAGGGATACGATGGAGGAGAGGGGCCGCCGGCTAGCTTAGTTAAGACTCAACTCTTGAATAATTGAATTGCGATGACAATTTCTATGGACTACCTAGGCAGTTTTGATCGCCGTCGTTGTTGTATTATCGTTAGTGAGTGAGTATACTAGTCTAGTAGATACTTAAGTTACATGAGGTACAGGATGAAAGAAAGGAAACACCTGTGCGTAATATGTACTTATGATACCTACCACTGATAATTATAATCCCTACGTACCTACGTACCTACTCTGTTCCTTCTCATTTCTTCTCCTCCTTCTCGTCACTACCATCAGCGTACATCTGCAAATACGTAGCCTGCAACCTCGTCTGCAGGTGCTCAGCCGCCGTCAGCACCTTGCGCTGCTGCGACGCTGCACCCCCATCATTGCTATCACCAGCGACAGCATCAGCGTGGGTTTTGCTGTTGTAGGCGGCCACCCGCGCGCTCGGCACGGGCGTAAGCGGAGTCTCATTGGCCGGATGGCAGAAATACACGACGGAGTACCGTGGGTCGGTGGTGGATTCCCCGTTTTCTGCTGCCCCCGTTGCGGTAGAGGAGGAGACGCGGTGCACGGTGCTGCGCAGCAGGCCGTTGGTCCAGTAGGAGAGCAGGTCGCCGATGTTAACGAGGATGGGCGGGGCAGGGTCGTGCTCGGTGCCGGGAGGGGTTACGGGGACGGGGGACCAAGAGGAGGAAGAGGGGACGGGGTTGAGGATCTCGAGGCCGGCTTGCCCGCGCAGGCGGAAGAGCAAGGTTATGGAGCCGTAGTCGGAGTGTGCGCCGGCGCGGACGTCGGTGCTTTGAAGGGAGGGGGTGCTGGATGGTGGGGGGTAGTAGAGGAGTCGGAGGATGGAGCCGGAGGGGAGGTGGGGAGCGTGCGCGGTGCTGAAGAAGGAGGGGGGGTTGACCTGTGTAGGTGGGTGAGTGAGGGAACGTGGGCTTGGATTAGGTAAGTAGGGAGGGTTTGGGGGGCATCATTCTAAAATTAGGACATAGGTAGGTAAGTAGAATAGGGGGGACTTACACCGAGGCCGATGCCAAAGAGCTGAAGTAGTCTCTGACAAAGATCATGGCACGCTGACCGGAAGGCGGCAAGGGCTGCCTGGTGAGGCTCGAGCGAGCTCGGGATAGGCTGAGTAGCCTTGCCATTCTCAAAGGGGCCGAAGTTGAAGGCTCTTATGAATGGTCACACATCAGCTTATGTTTCGGACCCATCTCCCATCTACCTATGTATGAGATATGGAGATTGAGCGTAGTACTGAACTCACTCTTTAAAGTCCCCCACCTGTGATTGGTATTAGCTGTAGGATCTTCAGGGATATATGTCTAATTGGTGGCTTACTCGTTGAGTCTTGGGGTCTAGAGTCTCGGTGTGCATGCCGGACCACCCCTGATTGTTCTTCTCGATCTTACATCGTTGCTTTTCTTCGAGTTCTGAGCCAAATAGCGTCCGTGACTGCGTGTTTAGTAAGATGAGATATTAGAACTGTGCACGCTCATTGACCTAGATTAGGTAGGTATGACACTAAACTAAGATACATACCAGGTCAAAAATGTGGTCGATCTGCTCGGCGGGTATGTCCCGACCTGTGTTCTTAATATAGATGAAGCCGTACTCAACGGCAGCGTCGACCAACTCCTGAGCTACTTTTGCCTCGTCCGCCCCCTCAGCTGAGATGTCGATAATGGGAATTTTTGCCGTGCCGGCCATGGTTGGTCTGATATTCAAATAGGATATTCAAATAGGTGAACCTAACTTACTAGGTAGTATATACTTATGTATATTATGTAGTGTGTATATGGGTACTATGTAGTATGTAGAATCTAGATACTGAATTGAACTGCTTAAGCCTTAAGGTTATATCGATTGATGTAAAGCCTTGCGATAAATGGATAGATAATCGATACCGATACCGATAAAGCTAACTTCAATCTTGCTTCAATGTCCTGCGTCGTGAGTAACACAACCCCTCGGATAGAGCTACATACCTACTGTACTACTTATGTACTTCAGACTTCAGTTGACATTCAGTAAGATGGGCGAGCACTGCCACATTTGAATAGGTACAATACATACATGTAGTATGGCCCCAACCTTGATCATCTCATGTTAGACGAAATGTCCAATATTTGAACTTCACGCGGTGGTTAACTTGAAGATTAGTAGGTAATGAATAAAGCCTGAAGATGGAAGCTTGCTAGGTTAGCAGCTTGAAGCCAAAAGCTACTGGGTACTACTAGTAGTAGGTATAGTTAGTTACAAGCTAACCTGGAAAACTTAAAGCTCTGATTAGCTAGGTTAGTTAGCTGTAAGTTGGAGAAAAGTGGCAGCTGCTTACGCGCTAACAAACCAACCCCTGTCTGGCCTCCAGGGCTGTTTGCAAGTACCCTGTGGTACCTGCCGCAAGGCTTTGCCCTTGACCTTGAAATTGTTCCTCATATTGAACCTCACCACCACCTTCCCATATTTCCATCCTTACCATAGGTAATAGGAAAAAGGGTGCAGCTCACCTTCCCTTCGCACCGCTTCTCCCTATACTCTTGCCTGATTATCCCTCTACTTACTTTCTGAGCTCAGTCACTCCTTCTAGTTCTCAATAAATCTACCAGTCGCCAGTCGTTAGTCGTAACCCACCATACCTTCTATTCTTTCGCAAGTTTCAGTGCGACTTCCTCCGTTTGGCGCGCAAGAGCGTAAACTTCCACAATGCCGAGTAAGTCTGATTATCATCTTTGAACTTTGTTTTCTTTTCAACTCTCGATTCTCCACCCCGACTCTTGCGTCCGTCTATTTCCTACGCCCAACCACGAACTTCCACGCCGCCGCCAGTTTCTGAAATCATAACCGCTCGTTATTTACCGATTTACCAAACACAATACAACCTCGAACTTTCGATCCGCCAGTCAGCCATCATGCGATACCTACTAAATACCCCGGTGCCGCCCAACCACCCCGAGTTGTGGCAAAAGCTTGCTTTCCGAACCCATATTCCCACGAACGATATAACAACTGAGCCCGATTCCTGTAACGTCAACCCCCAACATCCTACCTTTGCAGATGGGATTTTGGAGAAGCGACACCATAACATTGGATATTATTTTCGCCATTATTATATGTAGCATTGCTAACCTTGCTTTGTAGCTTCCTTCGAGGATAACTGGATCAACGAGCAGGTGGCGTGAGTATACTATCTTCTTATTATGCTAGAATCATGCCATTGACGGCCCTTCTAGGTCTGCCGAAGTATCGCAGCTTGAAGATTGCGCCATTGCCGTCGATGCTGCCTACTACCTGCAACTATTCCTCGATAACCCACCCTACCATGAGCCGCTTCTCCCGGCCCTCGGTGGGTTAACCGGCATTCAGTCCCATCTCGAACATGATCTAGACAGCTGGAAAGCCAATAAAACAATTCCTCTCTTCGTCTTCAATGGACAGTCTATTGAGGGCCAAGACGATGTCTTTGTTCAAAAGGGGAAGAGAGCCATCGTAGGCACGGATGAGGCTTGGGGTCTCTATTTCCAGAGTCAGGCCAACGAGGCTGTTACAGCCTTCGGTTCCCACAGAGGTACTACTATTATCATCTCTATGTAAATTGAGTACATTGCTGACATACTTCATAATAAAGGAGCCTACCCTGTTCACCATTTATTTCCCTTACTGCAAGGTATTCTCAAGCGTCGTGGGCTCCATTTCTTGGTACCCCCTTTTAATGCCTCCGCGCAGGTGAGTTTCTCAAACGTAACCTCCTTGATAATTCCCCCAGCTGATGAGCCTCCAGCTCGCCTACTTCGACATGATTGAATCAGAGCAATGCTCAGCAATCATGGGCGCCCAGGAGCTGCTCCTTTATCCAATTAAGGATCACATCATCCGATTCATTGACTGGGACGCGGGCACCTTCAACGCAATTTCCAAGAAGGGTATCATTAGGGCCTTGGGCGTAACTGAGGGCTTGTTTATTGATGCAATGCTAATGACAGGGACAACTTTTCTCCCCACGTTTCCTCCGTTGAAAGAGCCTCAGATCACCGCTCGACAGCCCTCATCTGTGCAGGATGCCGTTAATATGCTGCGAACCTCGGAGAAGTCTGTTGCCAATGCTTGCAATTCGTTCAACGATATTCTTTCCAAGAGGAGAGAGTCGAACTGGCTGCAAAAGTACCGCAAAGCCAGAATGAGCATCGACCATTTCATTTACGTAGATGAGTCTGGAGAGGTCAAGGTTCATAACTTCGACACCCTGACCCGAGACAATTGGGAGTATCTCGGCTACCAGCTGCCCGCTGAGTTATTCCATTACTTGAATACAGGTCTCATCGGTGCGCGTATGCTGAGCTGGATCTCTCATGGTCTAATCGTCATTTACCCGACCCTAGACGGAGTCAGGTCCGAGGAATACAAGCGCCTAGTGACGAGCCAGCTCATGCCGCTGAGAGAGTCGGCTTTGAGCCTTCTACTACCTAGACTCCACAGAGGTATTCAGTATAAACCGATTATCGTCAAGGTTTGGTATGATGATAAGTATTCCCACAAGATCGAATACCGTCCGCAGGACAACCAAACCCTGAATCGAGTGCAAACTTGGAATGTGGATGGTGCCGTTGTCAAGAAGCATTATCCTGATGCTCGACATGGCTCCGTTCTCTTTGAAGTAACAGCCTTGAAGAACGCCGAGTTCGCAAAGAGCACCCTTACTAAAGAGAAGATTAAGGGCATTTCCTCTGCGGATCTGATCTCATCGGTCACACTCTGGCGCTTCCTGCATTTACGTAATTACGTGGACGATAGTCATCAACTGACGCCTTGGGGTCATGCATTGGCAACATCCCTTGAAGCCCTTGAACCGACCGTGAAGAAGAATAACCAGGTCCCAGGCTTGTTTGAAGCAGTCCTTCTAGCCTATGAGCTACTTAGATTTGATCTTCTCAATACCCGCAACCAGCACCCAGAACTGAATGGTCTGCCTATGAATGGCACCGATGATGATAAGGCAAGCTTATTACTTATCAGCCGCTGTGCAATCTTATTGAAGCTCCGCCACCAAGCGAATGGATATACTGGCCCCCTCAGCAAGAACTTCCTCTGCTTCCGATCGCTCAGTTCTTCTATCCGAGAGGCCGGTCGAGACCTCATCGAAGCTATTGTAGCATCTATGCTGCTCTTCGCGCAAACAACCCGCGAGCGAAGCGACTATCTCGAGATAGGCCAAAGGTATATGCTCACAACTAAGTCATATAGATGGTATCCAATACTAACATCATCTAGATTACCCTTCCTAAGTGACACAGATGTCGCTCTTGGCATTGCGGTCAAGACTCTGCTAGACGACATTCACCCCACGGATACCCCTGAGCAGAAGGCGGCCAAGAAGCAGGATTTCCCAGGCACATTCGTTCCATATGCAACCCATTTCTTCGAAGATTTGGAGATAGCTTGCGAGTTCTTCAATGCGCTCCATGCAGGTGTTAAGACTCTGAAGAATGAGATATCCGCTACCGATCGTGGCGCGTGGGAAAAAGCTTCGGTCTATCTCCAGCTCCGTCGATAGGCTTGCGCCAAGCTAGTCGAAGGCTAAGTATTAAACCAATTTATGTAGCAGCATTCTTGTCATTGGCTGTACATTGAGGAAATCAGCAGTGAAGCTCACTTTGCAGAGGATCGAATCATGTACACGCCCGTAGTGCATGGTTGTATAACTCGCTTGGTTTAAAAGTCTTCCTTTGAAGGACTATGCAATATCATACAATGGAGGCATCTCGACAACCCAATATCTTGCCAACACGCCCCATATATGGTAGCTACACGTTAATTGGGACCCGCCCATTACACGTATTTATGTTTCGAGGTCGAGGTCGCTTAGATACTTATGAATAACGATGAAAGTATTTGATGACGCCTTTCAGGTTCCCGCGAGGCGTTCAGGGGGTAGGAAAACAAGGGGCTTGCGGATCTGGGAAACCTCGGCCAAGCCTGTTATGTAATGAACGCGTCCATAGGTGTCATATCACTTATAAGCCTGTAAGGGGGAGTTGTGCTCAGGAGGACAAGGACTTGCTTTATACGTTAAGTAGCTAAAGCTTGCAGAGTAACTAGGCACAATACGTTGACGAAGGCTAGACAAAATATACTATGATACTCTTATGGTGCTGGAATAACATAAATAGTGAGTAGAGGTCTGTTGTTGTTAAGCTGTAGTACAGAAAAGGGGCCATTCTAAACACCTATGCCTCTAGTAATGCTTGTTGTAGGTGAAAGTTTGTGCCACTATGTTTACACAATCACTCAAAAGGGGAAAGGGAACAGTCTAAGATATACATCTTTTGATTTGCTGTTGCATTAGTAGTAGGGAGTAACATCCGCTAATCTAAGTGCATGTGTTATTATAGTACGACACCATTCCCATCCCAACAAAAACAGCTGCTAGACATACATATCCAGCTTGAACAAGAGGCTGAGTCTCTGTCTGTCTGTCTGTCTGTTTGTCCCATCCCTATGCTAAGTAAACGCCCGAGAAAATCATGCGAACCTGGGTATCTGCCGTCCATCCATCCATCCATCCATTCATAAGTCTGTCTGAAAAACAGACAGTCTTTTTTCCCATTTTTTGCCTATCCGTCCGGCCGACCAGCCGTAACATAACCGCCATTGATTTTGAAAAGGGGGTAAAAGGTAAGTACCTAGGTATATTTATATGATATACACCAATGACCAGGTACAATGCTGATAATAGCAACTACATGTACATATGTATGTAGTCGTTTAGGTTTAGATGAGGAGGGCGCGCTTGATGTGCTGGGGGAGCGCTTTGCCGTTAAGGTGTTTCTCCTGGCGTTTTTCGGTCTTGTCCCCGATAGTGCGGATTTTCTCGAGCAAGTGACTGCGTGCCATCTATTAGCTAAATGCAATCGTTGTGGATAGTGATGTGTTTCACACAGCTAAAACTCGCAAAGAGATCTGATTATTGTCTATTAGGAGGAGTGGGGAAAAAAACATACTCAATAGGCAGCTGTCCTTTTTGGGACTCCTTCAGTGCGAGGCTGACAAGACTCTTTTGGCTAATTGCATCTTCTTCGGTGACTTCTCCAGGAACTTTGTCGTGGTACTCAAAGTGCTGGTTAATGGCGATCTGTCCTTTTTTCTGGTCGGCGTCACGAACGACGTAGCCACAGTCGGGCTCTTCGCATATCCAGGTTTGGTTGGGACCCGTGGGTGTCGTGGAAGGTAGTTTCTCCCCATAGATTATCACTCGAGCAAGTGGCATATCTTTATTTTCATCATGCTCATCGTCGCTGTCTGAAGAATCCGTGTCTTGCGTTTCATCGTCTTCAGTGGGATACCGAGATCTCTTTGATGTCCGTGGCATCCCATTCTCGTCTATCTCCATCTCGTCGTCTTCAAAACCCGCTTCGTTATACAAGCGCTTTTTGCTACCGAAGGAAGGTCGTAGAACTGATGTTTTACCACTGGGGCGGCCTCTGCGAACTGGCTGTTTTCCTGCCATTCTTGGTGTTGACTCATTACCGTCCATAAAAGGTCCCACAGAAGATTGAGCTTCTTCGCGAGACGCCCTGCTCTTCTTCTTGCGTCTGACAATCTTGTGCAAGTCTTCTTCGCTAATATATTCAAAACTAGGCTTTGTGGTGATATTGTCTTCCAACCACTTATAGAACTCGCTATGGTGCCATTCAGATCCAAGAAGTTGCAAAAGATCCTGGGCATAATATTGGCAGACCTCGGTCGGTGCCTTGGTATTTCGGATACTTAGTTCCAGGTACAATCTGGTGCACCAGCCCTTGGGATTGACATCGTCAGGATGCTTCTTTTGCTTGCCTCCAAACATAGATTCTATCATCTCCTTTCTGGAATCTTGTAGAGCCTCGATTATGGTAGAAAGAGAGGGGTTTGCGCTTGGGCGGATTCTCGTAGTCAGCTCTAGTTGCTCCAATGAGTTGCGTCGTGGCATATTTGTTCCGGAAGATGGCTGAAGATTATGATGTCCGATCTGCGTGTTACTGGTAGCAATCGAGCTGGGATTCTTGTCAATGACATCGAGCATCGCCACATCGGAACCATAGGCAGGCTCAGACTGAAGCTTCTTGAAGAAGTCTCTTTTGGCCTGGGCGACCTTGTTCTCCCAGCCCGAGACTTCACTTGACGGATCCATCATCTCAGAACTCGGGGCCTCGCTACTGCGCATCGTCCTCGTGACTGAACTTCGCAATGTTGCTTTGCCCTTTCTCTTGCTGTCGACAACCTCTAGCGGGCTAGGCTGGTCCATGTAGGGAATTGCAACCAAATGACTAGATTCTGTAGTTGATTTGTTTGAATCTTTTTTAGCAAGTTTTCGTGCGATTTCCTACAAGCTCGGTTAATTATAGAAACCAAAGCAGAGTAGAAACAGAAGACGTACTGGAAACTGGCCCGTCAGCCATTCATGGAACTCTGTATTCTTGGGAAAATGTGAGAGTAGAAAGATTGCTTGATCTTTTACGCGCTGTCGGACTTCTGGTAGAGTCATTCCATCGCCAACGCTAACGGCGTACTACATATTACGTTTTAAGCGTCAGCCAACGAATTAAGCATGCGTGAAAGAGGCCTAAAAGCTAAAAGGGCTTGCTTACACTGAACAAGGCGCGATCTTGCGAAACTGAAATGTCTTCCAAAGTTAGAGTTTTGTTTTTACCCTGATCTTCTGACTGTGCTTGCACTAGAGCAGCTTCGTAGTAATCTAGTATGAAATAGTGAAGGGATATGCCCTGGGACATGGTGTCGCATATGGCCCTATATGTGTCGGATGGTACAATCTCGAACCAGCCTGCGCCACCACTAGCCCAGAGCACAGGCATCGGAAGATCATCATCCTTTAATCCAATGGAAAATGATAAGGTATTCTGTATTTGAATCCAAGGTGTTCGATCTTTCATATGTCGGTTGACAAGGAATCTTTCTTGATCCTTCTCGATTTCGAGCCTTCCGCGAACAATGAATGGGCCTTCTAGGTCGACATGTAGTAGGTTTGCCAAGGTACCATCTTTATGGTATATAGTGGCATCGTTAAGCAGGAAGCATGGCCAGTCGTCGGTGTGTGCTCGAGCGGAAGCAGGCTTTAGAACTGATTCTTCCAGGTAATATTGTATGCTTGATTCATCGATGGTAGCGACTGTTGATTCGGATAGTGCCCTGCGTTGACGTCTAGTCATGGCGACGACTAGTTAGGGTTGAAAGCGACTAGAAATGATCCTAGAGTTGGTTGTTCTTCCTCAGCAGGGCGTGAGCGTCTTTGTCTAACCTAGCGGAATATGTGATACGCGATGCGTGATGCGATGCGTGATGCGTGAGACCACTTGGTAAAGACGATAGAGGAAGAAGGAATTATGTTGATTACCTTCTCCTAACCATAAATCAAGCCTTTAAGTAGCAAAATTAGGGAGAGTGAAGTAAAGTTGTATTAAAGAAGAAAGGAACTTGAAATATCCATGGATAGTGAGAACTTAGAAGAGGTATGTATGTATGTACGTACTGAGTCTACTGACGCCCGCATTTAGTTAACGCATTTAGTTAACGCATTTAAGTTATAGTTAATATGTAGTTAACACGCGGTTCTTACCATTGTGCATGCATGCACTATATTGTGTACCTACCTACCTACTGTAAGTAGCCTAACTGTAAGCACTTCCCACCTACGCTAGTGCTAGCCTCTAGTTAGGTACATCTCTAAACTCTGTAAACTCTAGATTAAGTTTTGAACCAATCAACAAGTTCCGCTATTCTTGGATTAACCATGTCGATCCTGCCTTGAACCAAAGCTCCCTTTGGTTTTTTTTTTTTCTTGGGGAATTTTTTCAAAAGTTCTCTCTTGCCCATCAAATTTATAATTCTTCAGCTTCTTCTTTGCGCCGAGGTTTATAACCTTTTCTCTATAAACCTACCAAAGTAAAATGATCACTTTAAACACAAATTAGTGTACAATAGTCATTCTTTACTGAAACATTTGCTCGAATGACCAGTGCCAGGTTGCTGAAAATGGCGGCCTCCAGCTCTGTCCTCGATGGTGTATTTGGTACGAATCCATGCTTGTTTCCGACTGCTCTATGTCAACTTATTCCTTTCGCTGACTTGCCTTCTTTCTTTTGACAGGCATTAATAAGCCAATTGGGTTGAGTTCCGCTCAAGTGATTAGGGATTGCCAACACCACTTTAACCCCTCTACCTTTTTCAAGCCTATGATAGAGTTTGAGACGGCCAGTAGGGCCAATGAGGCACAAAATCGCAAACAACGACGAAGTCATTCGAAGCGAGACATACGAGTGAAGATGGGCCATGGCGGTACACTGGATCCCCTTGCTACTGGTGTGCTGATTCTCGGTGTTGGAAAGGGTACAAAAGCACTTCAATCTTTTCTAGACTGCACCAAGACGTACGAGACCGTAGTCCTTTTCGGCGCTAGTACCGACACTTATGACAGGGTCGGAAAGATTCTCAAGAAGACAAGCTACGATCATATCACCCGCCCCATGGTAGAGGAGGCGCTAAATTCGTTCAGGGGCAAGATTGAACAGATACCCCCTCTTTACTCTGCCCTAAAGATGGCCGGAAAGCCACTTTATGAATACGCTAGGGAGGGCAGGCCAATCCCGCGTGAGATCGCAACAAGGGAAGTCGAGGTGACTGAACTCGAATTAGTGGACTGGTATGAGCCCGGCGAGCACTCTTATCGCTGGCCGGCTGAAGAGGCCACCACCTTCGAACAAAACTTTGCCGAGCAAGTCTGGAAAGTGGAAAAGCAGCAGATGAGCTCCAAGAAGCTTACCCCAGAAGAGGAAGAAGAGGAGTCGAAGGCCTTGAAGGAGCATGAGAACTTCAAGCGGAAGGCTGACGAAAATGTCGATGCGCTCGTTTATGACCGGGTCAACAAGCGCCGAAGACCTCCAAAGCAGACCCCGTTGATGTCAGGGGCGTTAGGCGATCTCCCTGCGGCAAACCCCCCACCTCCTGGCAGAGGATCGAACTTGATCCCAGAAGCCTCCGATCCAAATGCTCCTCCACCCTGGGAGGGTAAAGGACCACCGGCTGCGAGGATCCGGATGACCGTGACATCTGGTTTCTACGTTAGGAGCTTTTGCCATGACTTGGGCATCAAAGTAGGGTCGGCTGGAATCATGGCAGAGCTTTGCAGAAGCCGACAAGGAGTTTTCGTCTTAGGAAGTTCCAATTGCTTGGAATATTCGGACCTGGCAAAAGGCGAGGCTGTCTGGGCGCCACAAGTGAGAGATGCATTATCCCAGTGGAATAGTAGCCCCACGAGCGTAACCACTCAGGCCCTGAGAGCCTTAATGGTCAACCGAAATCACCCTACAACCGAGCACGAGCAAGATCCATCTATAACGAAATCAAAGGAATCAGATGAGATTGATGGAACTATGGACAGTTCGTCAAGCAAGGCACATGCACTACTACCTTCCCAGAATCAAAACATTGAGACAGTGGAGGGCTCAGAGCCCCAAGAAACCCAGGGTGAAGGTGATTCCGCGAATGCGCCGCAAGTCTCTGCATCTGCAAACTAATCCGTGCCTAAAGAGACTACTAAGTCAGAACCCACCGACGTGGATGCTGACGCTGTATCCTGGAATGGGTTTGCCGATATTCCTGGCGCTTTGAAATAACACCATCCCAACTGTGTTTGAGGTCGTCGCGCGAGTGGCCTTCATGCATATAACATGCCTAGGTACACACACCCCTTCGTCGTAAGTATCTACGTTTATAGTAACAAACTTGCTACCATCTACCATGAGAGACGTATTTATGTTTCGTTGCATCAGCTAGGCGTTGGTGGGGGGGTTTCATGTGCATATAAAAAGAACCCCTCTTATGGCACCAAGTGTAAATATTTGGGCACATACATATGGAACTTGGGTGGAAACTTAGGTACATAGGGGTTTTAGGTAGTCTAATACCTAGATATCTACATACATGACCTACTCCGCACTTAATACGTGATGAACGTACTTATTGGTGATACTACCCACGACATGTAGGCTACTTACTCATGGATGAGACAAGAGGAAGAAAAAATCTCAAGACACGGAATGTATAGGTGTGTAATGTAGATGGTAACCGAAAGCAAACGAGTTTATATTTTATCGTTCTACATTACCGTCTATCATGAGCATCGTGACCGTTAGCAACCATAAACTGGGTATTGGACCCTCCCTCGAGTCCCTCCAAAAAAGAAGACACTCCCATCGTTGCCATTCCTATAAAATCCGATGATGATAAATGATGATGATGGTGATCGAAGTCAAAAACCGACGATACGCTGTCGTGATCCTGACCCCCTCTTCAAAACGGTTGTAAGAATCCCCCTTCCTAAACCTACTACCTAGCTTCGATTGCTAGATAGATATCATCGTCTTACCCCTCCGAAGGGTTACCATATATAGCTCCTTATTTCTAAACACTCCCCCCCTCTACCCCCCAATACTTGTACATGGAAAAATGATACAATGTGTGTCGACTGATTATCGAAACTTAGATTCTTGGTATGATTCTGAGAAACTTGATATATAAATATAGCCGTTTTTAAATGAGGCTTGGCGGCTCTTCGGGCGAGGAGAGGCTCTTTTCCCACTCCTTTATGATATTGCTGGGCGTCAGGCGGTTGAGGATGGCTTGTGGGCTGGGGGACGGTGGAGACGGTGAGCGGAGTTCGCTTCGCGATTGCTTGCGTCTTCTGTGGTTGGAAAAGAGAAAAAGTTAGACATTTGTGCGTCTCAATAAGAAATCATGTATAGGTAGGTAGGTAGATAGGTAGATAGACATGGACTTGAAAGATTGGTATATCAAAGTCCATGCCTTACATGGTGTATACGTGGGTACATATAAATAGCTTCATTTGGAGGCTGTCTTACAATGTTCCCTCACTTTCGTGTGTCCTCTCCGGAATAGCCGTAATTATATCCCCGTTGACTGTGCTGCCACTCCATCGAGCCGTCTTCACGTTTGGGCTTTCCCAATTTGACCAGTCATCGTCGTCGAAGCTGTCAAATGTGAGTGGTGTCCAGGAGAAGCGTTTCTTGGTCTTAGGCTCTGGTTTCGAAGTGGTGCGTCGATGCTGATAACGATCGCTGAAACTCCCAGTCGATGCCCTACCTGGTGTCTCTGCTGGATCTGATTCATCTTGGGTTGGTATTCGGCCACGATTTGAGGCAGATGCGCGAATTGTATCCTGGTCGTCCTCCATTCTTCCTAGACGTGATACTATTTCAGTAGTCCTATTAGTGGTCCCGGAAATCGCTTCATCCCCAACCGTGGCTTGTCTCAAATCTTCAACGAACGTCCAGAGACCCTGCTTCAGTTCATTGGCAATAAGTTGCATGTTATTTGATGGCTGACTTTGACGAGGAGCCCAAGTTGCACGCTTGTTGAGAGGTGCAGGGGAAGGCATTGGCGACTGCGATACCTTGGAGTACAAGTCAGCTGATCGAAGCCCATCAGCGTCTCCAGTTGTAGGCATCGTTGGCGAAAGCAAGGATAGAGTACGTGCATGACCGCCACGTATGACCGTTCTCTTGTGCTCTCGGGGAGCTCTTTGACTCTGTGCAAGAAGTATGGCTTTCCTGCGTTCTAATTCGCTGGGTGGTTTAACAGCCGAACTCTCGTCAAGGGCCCATTGGCTCTCTAACGTAGCAGCCATAGCACGAAGAGGGTCAACCTTTCTACTAGCTACTTCCTTGTAACTAGCAGAGGACATCCACATCTTCCTCAATTTTCTCAACTCATGCTCGGCCCGCGCCAACTCTTCGCGAATCTCCAAAACACGACGTTCTTGAGCGGCGATGGCGGAAATATATTCGTTTGTATCGGGAGATTTGAGTGAAGGGGTTTCAATCGGGGTTGGTGGCATTGAGGAAGTCGGCGTAGGTCTAGAAGGAAAACTATTAGGTGGTGCAATTGGTAATGTTAATGATAGTCGATTTGAATTCCGGGAAGTCGTCGAGGTGGACCGAGTGGACCGTGTTTGCGATGTCTCGCTCCGGGACGGTGGAGTATGAAGTGGTATGGAGCCTGAGCACGCATTTTTGCCCACTACCGCTCCGCTTTCTCCAGCACTCTCTCCATGGCTAGCATGCGGTGATGTGACAGCTGAATCTGGAACCGGGTTACCGGCAGTGCAAGCACTGGGAGCCATGTTGTCGGAGCTTGAAGTGAAAATCAAATGGAGTGAAAAGGCTGAATCTAGCAGATCGTGGTTCCGGCGCCGTTCAATAGTCGTGTCTATCCAGACCAATCGTTTCACAACTTTGGTTATTGAATGGGACTGCGAACCTTCTGAGGTGAGGATTTCCGTTGACCGCCGTCTCTGAAAAGGAGTGGTTGGGGAACTACGGACACGACGATGTCGACTTTTCCCACAAAAAGAAGGTCTAGAATGTAAAGTGGTAGTAATTAAGTTGTTGAGTCTCTTATCATTCAAAAGACTGGAGTTGGGTCGAGAAGTAATGAAGCAAATTTGTAGAAGTTGAATGTGTTTCATGGACATAAAAAAACATGTCGCCCATTAGCGAAGCCAACGGCGATCAAAATTCAGGGCGAAGGACTGGGGCTCGCTTGAGGAGCTGGGAAATTGGGGGGTAACGCAGCACCACTCAGATTCGGTATAGGGGGGAAGAGAAGGACCCAGGAGTCCCAGGTAGGTTACTATGGTATACTATGTAGACGGTATGGCCGTCCAGGGTATAGCTTTCTAACTAGGTTAGTAACCTATATCTGGGCTAGCGAATGATAGGCCTGGAAAAGAATGTACTGGGGGACTGGGGGGTTAACGAGGACCAAGGGAGCCCATAACTATAAAACGAGGGACAAGGTTCAAAGTCACAGACTTGGAAAGTTGGATTGCATACTATGTATGCAGGTGTTGATTGTAAGAAGAATAGTAAGAAGAATAAAAAAGAAATATAAAAAGAAACATTGATCAAGGCTCAAGGTTTCAACGAGGTTGTTATATGGACTCTGGGAATAGTTAATCTCAACGCGTCAAAGAAGGATAATGTAATTTGTGGTAATATTGAATTGATAATATAGGGTATATGTAGGTATATTCCCATAGGATAAAACAGTTAGAAAGGTTGGATCAAACAAAAAACCATTGTTACAGAACATGGGCGTATAGAAGTTGATATGTAAAACAAGAGAAGACTCGGGCCTCAAGGTCTCAGGTCTCAAAGTACGCTTTAATTTCATTTCGTTCGTTCTTTATTTTGGTGACTTGTTTGCATTGGGATCCCGGTCAACAAGAGGATGACCCCACATTTTAATCGTCCACTCATCTCAAGGCTGCATGGGCTGTTTTGTGCAGTCAGGGGAGGACAAGGATGGATGGGGGGACGGATGGCGTTTGCAGCGGAAAATTGCTTGACTTTTGATTGGGAAGAAGTTTTGGGTCGATTTGGTTAATGGGACACCACTGCCATGCCAGGCCCGTACGAAATGACGTCCCCCTTTTAGAATATTAGAGTATGGAAAGGATGGGAAGATGGGGGATCCTGGTACGGTACTGTATGGAATCTACGGATAATCAGCTGACGAAAGTACCATCCACACACACGACACGTGCTAAAAGACGACTCGGGAGACTTGTGCCAGCCGTAAACATTGAATGGTTACACAATATATACATAGTACATGTACTAGGTAGTTACCACATGTAATTTAAATTCACATATGCATGCAAGGACCCATAGTGTAGTGTAGTTATGTAGTACTCACGTGAACACCCGTTAAAGACGCTCAGTGCTGTCGCGTTGCACACGCGCTACTAACCTAACCTAGGGTTAGTTTGATATATTCAAACTTTCTCTTTGTCGAATTTTGAGTTTTGAAGTTTAAACGGATCCGAATAACGACAGCAACCTTAGGCATCATCAAGGATGCAGTTCTGTTTTCTTAGTTCTTGCGTCTTGTAAAAAAAATTTAACGCTATGTGCTTTCTACTTCTTTTGACCATGAAGCTGTGCACAGGTCCACTTCCTTCCCATCCCATCACTCTTTCGCATTTCCGGAAGGACCAAAATATTTCCTGAAAATATTTCCAATTGTCTACCTACCTACCTACTTAGGTACTCAGGTTAGGCAATTGTACTTTATTTTCGACTTTCTTTCTTTACCCGTTCACGTCGTTCCCAATTGCAATTGCAATGCCTTTTCCTTATACATTCGTGTGCGATCTGCTCCAAGAGCTTGATGATGCGTCTCAGAAGAAAGAAGAGAAGGACCTAGCTCTTATCAAGACCATAATCGAGGCTTGGTTTCGCAAACATCGCTCACTTCTTGATGAACCCGAAAATGATGCATCCGCTATATTATCTACTCTCATGCCAGAGAGGAGGACCGACCGGGTCTACTCCATTCAGGCTCCAACACTCGAGGGCATATTTGGCAAGGCTCTACTTCTAGGTATTTCGAGAGTCCAGGAATTGAGAAGATACAAAACACCTCGTATGGGTGTAGATCTCGCCGATTGCATTGAAAATATTTTGACACGAACGGTAAGTATTAGATGCCCCAGCAACACTTATAGTGTTCATGCGTTGATTCAAGACTGTACATGTGTTGCCGAAGTTGCTAACCTGCCAACCCTCGCCAAAGCCTAATATCATGGAAGACAGCAATGAACTTACTGTAGAAGAAATCGATGGCACTCTAGGTTCTATTGCAGCTGGCTGTCGGTTCAGCTCACCTGCGGTAAGGGCGTTGCGTGAAACTCAGGGTCCTATTAGCCAGGATCGAGCTCTGGCCGATATCTACAGACGACTCAGTCCACGCGATGCGAAATGGTTCACAAGATTAGTGTTGAGGAATTACCTGCCGGTCGTATTACCCCACTGGATCGTCTTCCGCTGCTACCATGCCCTTCTACCCCAGTTGATGAAGGTTAGAGATGATCTTTCTGTGACTCCTGCTTTCCTGCGGCACCTTATTCAGTCGCCCCATGACAGTGCTATAGCAGCTATGCTCAAACCTGCTCTCGGCACAAAAGTGGGAAGGCAGCCATTTTTGAAAGGGAGAAGTATCAAAAATTGTCTAGATCTGGGTAAATCTCAGGACGTGAGTTGCGAACAGAAGCTTGATGGGGAGTACTGTCAAATACACATCGATCTCCGCAACCCTCTTTCTCCAATCCAAATATTCTCCAAGAGCGGCAAGGATAGCACTCAGGATCGAAAGGGTCTTCATCGGTAAGCCGATCCTCAATTTTTTTATTCAGGAACTTTGGTTGACCAATTCCGACAGACCTATAAAAGACTCACTCAAACTAGGGACATCGGAATGCCCCATCAAAACTGGTTGCATTCTAGAAGGGGAACTAGTGGTATATAGTAACAAGGTAATTATCCTCCAGGTTTCTCCTATGTTGGCAAATATATACTAACCAAAGCAACAGGAAAATAAGATCCTTCCATTCCACAAGATCCGAAAGCACGTTTCACGCTCAGGTTCTTGGCCAGGGACCTTCCATGATTCTCAGTATGAAAGATCTCGTATTTGTTGGAATAGATTTGCTAAACTGAAAATAGGCGACATGATCATGAGCACTTAATGATCGTATATTTTGATGTGCTGATGATTGATAATGAATCGTTACTCACTGTTCGGCAGTCTCAGCGTTTTAAGCGCTTGAGTGAGCTCATCACTTGTCGAAAGGGCTACGCTGAGCTAGTACCACGCCAAGTTATCTCTTTCTCTCGGCCATCTGCTGCATCTAGACTACGCGAGGCTTTTGCGGAATGCATAGTGGCTCGAAACGAAGGCCTCGTACTGAAACCTGATGCACCTTACTTTGACTTGGTCTCAGGGTATGGACCATACAACTTTTGCAACATTAAGCTCAAAAAGGAGTATTTTGAAGGCTGGGGTGATGTCGGAGACTTTGCAGTAGTTGGCGCGTCATATGATGCTGCGAAAGCAAAGGAGTACAAATCAACACACATCGCATGGACTCATTTTTTCATTGGATGTTTGGAGAACAAAGGAGAAGTGCAAGCAAAGGTTGAGAAGCCTCGATTCAAAGTCACTAACATCGTCGAACTTTCCGAACCCCTTATTTGGACGTTGATGACTCAATGCTTCCCGTCCCCGGTCCCGTTCGAGATGAATGAATCTATCGTCTTGGACTTTGGGGGGAACGGATTAGGCAAACGACCAACGGATATCTTCCGAGATCCATTAGTATTCGATATGCGTTGCTTTTCATTCGACAAAGAACCTAATACGAACTTTTGGAGCATGCGATTCCCAATTGTCTCCAAGATTCACCATGATCGGTCTTATATGGATACGATCACTTTTGCCGAACTTCAAGATATTGCAACAGCAACAACCGAGATGGCGGAGGTTGAAGATAGCCAAGAAATGCGTGAATGGATAAAAGGACTAGAAAAGGCTGACCCACGAGGAATACCCATCGATGCTATAAACCAGCAAAGCCCCAGCACAGAGATGGGAAGAACTCCAACATCGCCGAATGAACATACCGAGCATTTTGCTCTATCGGAATGTCCTAGCGAGTCGCCAGGAACAGCACAATCTCAGAAACGACCTGCGCCTGATATAGCCGTATCTGCCAACAAGTCTCGAAAGGTTTCCAATACTTCTACGCCCTCAAGCTCGACCGACAACTCTACTGATGTGCCGCACCTGAGCGTTAAAGACAGGCAACCCCTCAGCGAAGTTAACGCAAATTCTATTCGGGAACATCATCGTACTAAGTCTCCGCCTCAGTTCTCTAAAGAGCCGTCTCCCAGTGTGTCCATGCCTGAGTATCCTATATCGCCAATAGGGGACGATGACTCGTCATCCGCACACCCTCACACCGCCGTTACTGATATCGCTTGCACCCAACAACCTACAGGAGAGCAAAATTGCCCCCCACAGCTCCCTCCAACGGAAAACGACTGCCCGCATACTGGGAAGAAATGCGAATTTAGCAATTGTTCTATTCTACTGGCGCCATGCATCTCTCAGTATGCTTGGGTTGCAGATAATTTGCTTCAGGACCATGGTATCAAAACTTTTTTCGTTGATCCCCATGTATGGTCCCAAGCACCTATGCCGAAGGGATCAGCATACAAATGGGACGCATCATCGCAAAAGATGAGGCGACTTCGAGTCCGCAAGATCTGCCTCGTTGAGTCGAGGCGCGAGGATGCAACACAATCATTCGTTGAGAAGATAGAAGCAGCTGGTCTAAAGAAGAAGAATGGAGAACGTGAGTGGGTTGGCGTCTATGATTGGCGAATTTTGGAAGAGATATCTGATATCGAATCTGGAAAGAAGCAATCTGGAGAGGTTGATCCCTGGAGGAAGCATTACGTGGGAATCACATAGGGAGACAAGAGTTGGCAGTATTGTAAGTGTCTTGCATTGCGACGGCGTTGCATTTCAAAAGGGGGGATGTGTCTTGATTTGTCAGGCTATGCTTTGAAAAGGGGCAAAAGTAATCCAAGCATCTCTGGATAAATGGAATAAAGTACCACTTTTTCCACGTACCAAAGGTCTTGGGCTTTTTGCGAGAAGTTTCATGAAATGGCTTGTATGGTAATACTCTTTGAATGAGCAACGAATCTGTACGAAAGGGGATCATGTGGCTTTATTAATGATATCCATCACGATCCACGTTATTCTCAACGATAGTCTTAGGATTTCGCATAAACTAAGTACGAAGGGATAGCTTCTATCCTAGGTACTCCTTCTTATTCATTCATCCATCAGGCTCTTGAAGATGCGATAAGTATAAGGTCACTATTAGGTAAATCTGTTATACCTAGGTTTGAATTATTATTAGAGGACGCGAAATGCGTGCTAAGACCCATCGCTTTCTAACTGCTTAAGATGCTCTTAAATTGCAAGGCTTCCTTCGGAGTACATAGATGCAATATCTCCAAGCCAAGTTTCTCCCCCTTTTATTCTCACACATTAAGCACCTACTTATTTATGGCTGCCAAGGAAGGCAGATAAGTTACCTAGGTAGCCATCTTAAAACTTCCTGATGAGGAGGTTGCCGACCATCTCGCGGGCGGTGATCCAGACGGTGTCCCAGAGGGTGGGGAAGTCGAGGGTGCTGGAGAAGAAGTCGGCGAAGCCGAAGAAGAGCATGGGCGGGATCCAGCCGCGCGCGTACTCGAGCGCGAAGCAGCCCTCCGGCATCCGGTACTGCTTCACCGAGCCCCGCCGCAGGTGGTTCACGCTGCCGGGGGGGTAGATCTCCGGCGTGAATTGGCCGGGTACGTACGCCCACTGCTCTCCCGAGAGGATGTGGAAGTAGTCGTCTGATGTGTGGCGACCGGAGTGCCCTTCGGTACCGATGGCGGTCCCGAAGATGATCAGGTATTCGGTTATGCCTAGAGGGGGTTAGGTTAGTACGAGGGAACCTAGAGACGTAGTACGCTTTCTATACGGTGTACGTATAGTCACAGCATTGAACTATATATAAGGATAAGGATAAGTAAGAGCAGGCACATACTAGCATGGATGATGTACATGCCGCCCATGGCGCCGCCAGCATTGTTGAACACCCACTCCTCCTGGACGTTCCACTTCGGGTTGACGTGGGCCGGGTGGTTCTCGTGCAGCTCGGCGACGATGTACTCGACGATCTTGGCGGTGTCGTTGCCGTGGGCCGCGACGCCGCGCTGCGCGAGGCCGTGCAGCTCGTCGAGCCCGAAGATGTAGAACTTCTCGAGGTTCTGCTCGACCAGGTACACAATCGGCGCCAACAGGCCGAGCAGGATCCCGACGAAGGTGAGGATCCGAGTCAGGCTGCAGCTGCAGCTACTTTTGCTTTGCGGCGAGGACGCCGAGGACTTCTTTTTGGGCGCCATGACTAGCTAGGTATTATATTGTGGTTCTGAGGTGAAAGGAAGGGTTCACCGATGGAATTGAAGAAGGGGGAGGGGGGGAGGTAAAGGAAGGGGAAGTTTGCGCAAGCTATCTCTTCCCTTTTTTATAACATGGTTTATTTTTGGTTTCCTTCACAGCTGAGCTGAAGCGAAATTTGGTGATTATAAACAATTCTTGTAAACAATTCTTGGTATTGCACTTACCTTGTAACGCTAAAGTACGAATACGTATCTACAAATAGGGGTCCAGTCTATTATCTCCAGATGTCGTGGTCAGATTCAATTGTTGGTAAGTGGGACCCGGCAATCCAGTCAACCGGATCGCACCATCCCATCATGATCCAGGCAGCTGTCAGGTACCAGTACGCTAGTGGGGCCGCCTTCTACTATGTAGTAGTACACGTGTAATAGCTTGTTAAAGTTTTTAATTGTATGAATTTACGACCCGTTCAACAATTTTACCTACATATACTTCGCCTCGCATTCCCGGACCAGAAGAATACCCCGTCTCCCGTCTCCCGCTGTCCGCGGGTTCCAGGTGTCCAAGTGCTTTTTACTATACCTAGTACGTACCTAACTAGGGTACCTAGTACCTAACCTAGTAGTTTAGCTTATCGATTATTGACATCATCGGCAATAAATTTTCAGCCAAACTACATAGCTATCCAAGCTTACCTAGGTATTCATCCAATCACAACAAGCCATCTCTTCGCGATCGCCCAATAATCCTTCAACCTCGTCTTCGACCATCCCATCCCTCTCCCCCGAACTTATGATGGCGCAATCCGTAGCGATCCCCGGTCAATATCTGGGCCCCGCAGACAAGTACGTCGCCGGCCCTGGGACACACATCTATAATTCGAACCTCTACTCGTCGCTGTTAGGAACCATAGCCGTCGCAGCGCCCGAGAAGGCGACGTTGGGTCCAGCGAAGCGACTCACTAGGATCCCTGTGTTGGGTTCGAACAGCAATAATAGCAATAGTGGAAGTGGCGGCAACAACAACAGCAGTAGCGGTGTCTCTAGTACCAGCACACTGCCGATGATATCCGTGTCGCAAATCGGCATCGTAGAGAAGCGCGAAGTACTGCCGGAGGTAGGCAACGTGGTGCTGTGCCGTGTTACGCGCATAACGCCCCGTCATGCCACCGTTGCGATACTTGTCGTCGGTGAAACCGTGCTGGAGGCCGAGTGGCAGGGTATGATCCGGTCACAGGATGTTCGGGCTACGGAGAAGGATCGGGTCAAGATATACGAGAGTTTCCGCCCCGGTGATATTGTGAGGGCGCAGGTGGTAAGTTTCACGTTCCCTAAGGTTCATACCAACTTCTAAATCTGGACGTGTCTAACTTGCCCACTTAATAGATATCGCTAGGTGATCAGGCGAATTATTACCTCTCGACTGCGAGCAACGAGCTTGGCGTTATCATGGCCACGAGCGAGGCCGGAAACACCATGTACCCCGTCAGCTGGAAGGAGTATAAAGACCCGGAGACAGGGCTTAGCGAGTCCCGGAAGGTGGCTAAGCCTTTTTGAGGTCTTGGACTGGCGGTGCCGATATCGAAACATTTCATCCTACCAGGCCACACTCCAGTTCCAAGGGAAATCCAAAAGGCCTAGTCATGGCCTCGCCCTTCTATGGAAAAATGAGACTTGGTATTTATATCGAGTTACCATGCTCGAGTCACTCGTCGACATCTGACAGATCAGCAAGACTACGGGGATAAGGGGGTAGTCTCGCGCTCTTAATAGCGCTTTAAGGATTTGTGTGAAGGCTCTTGCTCTATTTGCAGAGGTACGATGCGTCAAATCCAAACGCATATTAGCATGGCTGTTTCCATGGTCTGAAAACTGCAAAGTCATGTATCGTGAGTATCACACGAGGATCAGCCGCGAATACATACAACCTACCTAGATACCTACTCTGTCATGGCATAAGCTATACAGGACTCAAGCACTACCTGAGTTCTAAATCAAATACTTAGCTCACAATGGAAGCTAAATTTAATACACATGATCCTCTCTTCCAACAATCTAATTATATGGTCATGACCTCGAATATTATGTACAGTTAAGGGTCTGTGCTTACCTCCTAAACATCTTAACTTTTACAATTGGCTTACCTACCCCATACTCATTATTCTTCTTTTCTTTCCTTATAATAACGACTAGACCTTAGCAGGTATGAAGAGCGCCACCATGTCTTACTGCTTGGGTAAGCCAAAAAAAAATTGATAAGTACGTAGGTAGTAATTATGGTCATCATCATATATCAGTTAAGTCCGTTCGAGCCGACATACTAGGACATCGGCCACCCCTTTCAAACTATTTTCATGGGGGTAGAATACCTTACCTTTTTTCATCATCCCGAGGGCAGCTATGAGAAAAGGAGTGACCGAAACATAGACAGCCCCTAGCTCAATCCAATTTTTTTTTAAATTTTTTTTTTTTTTGGCTCCGGAAATGTGCCGGTGGAAGATTCTCTCATAAACGATCGAGCAGATAAACGAGCGGTAGCTATGGCCAGCTACCGTTGTACCGGGCCGACGCCGCGAGTCATGGGGGTGGTCTTTGCTTAGGGCTGTTAGATCTAGATAAGGGAGTCCGGATAAAAAGAACTAGCGGTTGACAAATTGCCGGGACACGCTAAAGGTTTCGTTTATTCCTTAAACTAATTGGTGCTTTTTTGTTTTTTGTTTTTTTCTTTGTGAAAATTAATTAATAAGAATACCATCTGCTATCGTTAACCGGGACAAACCGGATTTAAAACATTAAATCCCCACTAAAATCCATTAAAAGTCACCATTTAAAAATACGCCTCCCTTAATTAAATAAATTTATATAAATCCAATTTCTTATTTTATAGTTATTTTAAATAAGATTTATAAAATAAGGCTGTTTTTATTAAATTTAAACCATTATAAATAAAAATATCGAGTATTAAAAATAAAAGTAAATATCGTTAAAATAAAAATTTATACCTTTAAAATAAAACACACTTTTTAAATAAAACTAATAAATTAAATCACTTTTAGTTTTTAATAAATTTATATATAAAAAAAAACGTTTTTAACGTTATATTTAATATCATTAAAAATAGCTTATTTTTTTATAAAACGGCTAAAAAACATTAAATTCTTAAATTTACACTTTTAACTTAAATACACGGAAAAAAGCCATAAAAAGGTAATTATATCGGCACGAAATTAATAATAAATTAAGAAAATATATTAATTATATAAATAATAAAATAAAAAATTATTAAATATATCCTTTAATTAAATATTATACGTTATATCGCGATTAAATATTTAACTTTTAATAATTATTTTAAACTTATTAACATTAATTAAATTAAATAATTTTATAAACGTCACCTTAATATATAAATAAAAAAAAACTATAAAATAAAAGCTGCCTACTTTAATAACTTTAATAAAAAAGTTATAAACTAATATTTTAATATTAAAAAAAATATATATAGAAATATTAACTTTAATTTTACTTATAATATAAATAAGAAAAAATTAATAATAAGATAAAATATAATCTTAATTTTTATTTTTATTATTTATTAAATATTTAATAATTATTAATTAATATTAAATTTATTTTTAAATTATTTAAAACTTAAAAAGCGCATTTAAAATATTTATAAGAAAAAACTTAAACATTTTTTATTAAATATATTAATGTTATTAATATAACTTTTAAACTTAAGATAATATTTAAAAAAAAGTATTTATAAAATAACTACTTTAAATAAAAAATAAAATTAACATTTAATTAAAAGTTTATTATATTTAATAAAGATTAATTTAATAATTATATTATAATAAAATAGCTTAAAAAAATATTTATCCTCGAAATTAACTTTTATAAAAAACATAAAAACGACCGCCGCTTTTTAATTTATAATAATTATAAAAGCTATATAATAATAAGTTTATTTAATTTTTTATTTATTAATCTTAATTTTATATTTTTCGTATATTTATTACGATATATATAAACTTATTTAAACCCACTTTTATTAATATTTATTAAAATAAGTTTATAAAAAGAGTTTTATTATTCGTACCACCTTTTTTTGCTATCGGGGCTTATTCGTACACCTAATACATCCCTTAAAACCTTAAAACCTTAAATCCAGGGCTAATCTAGCGCCCCTAGCGCCCCTAGCGCCCCCAGCTGCCCCCATCAATTCAATCCAAATAACTTTTCAACCACATGTCGCACCATGGTGCAACCAAAACCAATTGAAAGCGCGTCCAATTTCGAATTGATTGATATAGCTCTCGAACTGTGGCGATACTCGGTCGCAGCGTTATTCAAGAAAGTGATGGCAGCCCGGGAGGCACGTGACAGCCCTTAGGGCCACACTAAGGGCCCTTAGCGCCCTTGGACCCTTTAAACCCAAACCTTATTCAACAGTTTCAACCTTGAATAACTTCTCAATTACATGTCCCACCACGATGCAACCAAATTCAATTGAATGAGCATTTGATTACCAATTGATTGATATAAACCCCGAACAGAGGCGATATGTGGTTGAAAAGTTATATTGGTAATTGTATCGAGGGGGGTCACGTGGCACTCCTTAGCGTGGCCCAGGCGGCTCTAGGGCTCTTAGGCGGCTCCAAGGGCCCTTAGCGTGGCACTAAGAGCTCTTAGTGTGGCTTTAAGGGTGATCACGTGCCACCCAGGATGCCACGTATTTACTTGAATAACTCTGCGACCACCTATCGCCTCAAATTGAGACCTGTATCAATCAATTGGTAATTGAATGCGCTTTCATTTGAATTCGGTTGCATGTTTGTAGCTATATGTTTCAGAGAGTTATTTGGATTGAATTGATGGGGGCAGCTGGGGGCGCTAGATAAGGCCCGGATTTAAAGTTTTAGGGGATGTACTGGGTGTACGGATAAGCCCCGATAGCAAAAAGAGGTGGTACGAATAGCAAAACTCTATAAAAATATATTATTTTAATAATATTAAATTATGTTTTCTTTTTACCCACACATTTCACGGCTTATAACCACTTAATAATAATCCTTTTAATATATTAAAAAGTGTTTATTTAAAACATTTAAGTGATTACGTCGTTATTATAAACGCGACTTTCGTTAATAAAGCTTTTTTTATTTTTTACTACGTAAAAACACGGGAAACGACATTTATTATAAAAAATATTAAAGCTAGTTTTAAAATAATAAGGAATTAACTTATTTTAAAACGTAAGGTTAAAGATTATACGAAATATAAAAAAAAGTTAAATACGGTTTTTATAATAAAAGAAAAAAAGTAAAAAAGAAAATAATTAAATGTTATTTTTTAATCCTTATTTATAAGCGTTAAATTTACTTAATATGTCTTTTACGTAATTTTAAAGACTTGTTTATTATGTAAAAATATCCGTAAAAAGTTTAATAAATATTAAATTTAAAAGTTAATGTATAAAAAAAAGTTAAAAGCCGTTTAAGGTAAAATGAAGTAATTATATATAAAACGCCGGCGTTAAATATTTAATTTTAATTAAAAATTCTTATTTTTTAAAGTTATAAAAGAGTTAAATCCCTTTAAAGCTTTTAATTTAATTAAAAATAATTTAAAAGGCATGGCGTAATTTATAAATAAGGAAACGTATATAAAGTTAAATAAGGTAAATAAGCTTTAAGAAAAGATTATGTTAGTAGGTACGTATATATGATAAATTAAATAATAAGTAAAGCAAGAATAATGGGGGTGAGATTAATGTAATATTAATGTTTAAGGAAGGAGGTTTAAATTTAAGAGTAAGGAGGGGATTTGATTTTTTATATAATTTAAGTTATATAGGTATTTTTTCTAGTTATGTATGTATTGCGTTGGTACGTACCTTTATTATATAACTATTACTTATTTTATTTTTTTTTTGCGATTAATTAATTACGAACGTTACGTTTGCTTTACGTTTAACTTATCTTTTTAGTTATAAATTAATTTAATTAGCTTTTATTAACGTCCTTATGGCTTTATTTAAAGATGCTTTAGTTATAACATTAGCTGGGTTATAATTATTTTAAATTTAACGGATGTTATTTATTTTCTAGTTTTTATAGGATTATTGAAAAGCTATTAAATCAATTATTAATCGCTTTTTATTTATGTTTTTTATTTATATTAAATATTAATATAATAAAAAAAAGTCGGTACAAAGTATAAAGGGAATTTTAAGAAGTAATAGCCGTTTTAAAATGGTATTAAAAGTGTGATAAATAATATAATTAATGTTAAAGCTTTAAATTATCTTATAAATTTTATTAGTTAATATATTACGTATAATCCGTTTACACTTAATAAATAATTAATGGATAATGTTTTTAATGATTTATATTTTATTATCTTAGTTAATGGTTTATTTGGTTTTTAAGATAATAATATAATTAATTTATAAGTTAAAGTTTTAATTATTTACGAATAATTCGTTAATAAAAATATATAAGCGTAGGTTTTAAGGCTTAAGATTAACATAATTAAACCCTCGATTTTTATTA